GATATCTTTTTGTTAGTAGATCTGAAGGAGGGTCTTTATATCCAGTTTTATATCTGTATAGGCTGTCTTGGTCTTCATAGCTTTAATAGCTAGAGACTGCAGTATTAGAAGCTCTAGATCTTTTATGATATTAGCAGCGGTACTCTTATCTATAGGGGTATTTCCTATTTTGGGTCTATGGGAATTACTTTTGCTAGTAGTGAGAAGGTTCTCTTATTCTTTTTCTTTATATACTGATTCGCTTATAGATTCTCTATATTTAAGAGGAGGGTTTATATTGTTTTATTTAGCTATAAGTATCTCTTTTTAAAGCTTCTTTTTTAAGATAGAAAGAAGAGATTCTTTTTCTTCTATGTCTTTTATATAGTTAGATTAGTAACTAGATGTATCTATAAGATTCTTTGATTCTGGATGATATTCTATATTGAAATTGTATGTTAATAGATATTCTATCTATCAGGTCTGATGTCTAGATAATATTTTTGTAATAGTGAAGTATTGCAGGTTATTATGGTCTATTAGGATCCTTATCATATATTAACTATCCTCTAGGTATTGTTATCAATGCTTAAAAGCATTAATTATAGCTATTAATTCAGTATTATGAGTCTTATATCTAATCTTTGGTCCTTGTAACTTTTGGGATTAATAGATAATAAGATGCTATACATCATCTTTAAATAGCTGAGTGATTACTGCATCTATAGCATCTTTAGAGGTGTCTATTTCTAATTATATAGATTAGATAGGGTCAAAGTGCTGTAATAAGAGCTTTTAACAGAATAGATCTTTAAATTCTCTAAAGGATTTTAAAGCTTTAAGGATGAGTAATCTAGGAATTTTCTTTTATTTCTAATACTTTAATACTCTACTTACTATTTTCTTTATAAGTTTAATCAGAGTCTTTATAATCTTAAAGAATTTCAGTATAAAGTTATAATAGAAATTTATAAATCTTAAGAAGAACTAGATTTCTTTTACTATTTATAATTTTAGTTATTCTTAAATGATTTAGACTCTATTCTTTTCTATTCTAACATTTTTTAAAGATACCATGAACTCTAGATACTTTATAATATCAATGCTAAAGCTATATTTATTTAGTTTATAATATAACTAATGCATTTAAAGTCTTTTCAGAATCTCTTAAATCTGAACTTTATGATTTTCTAGATTCTTCAAATATATAATTATATTATTAAGATAGATTATTATATAGATGTTAAGCAAGTCTAACATAGCTTTATTAATATAAGCCTAGAAGGTAGCAAAAACATTAGTTAGTCCAAATAGCATCATATTATATTTATAGTAACTATATCTAGTTCAAAATACTATCTTTCACTTGTCTCTATATCTTATTCTTATGCAGTAATATATATCTTTAAGATCAAATTTAATAAAATACTTGGCCTCCAACAGTCAATCTAGGATTTCCAATATTAAGAGAAACAGATATTAGTCTTTCACTATTATAACATTAAAACCCCAATAATCTACACATAAATAGAGATTACCATCTTTTTTCAAAATAAATAAAATAGAAGCCCCTACTAGGCTTTTTAATGATTTTATTTATTCTTTCTCTAAAACTATCTTTATATATACTTTTAATATTTCTTATTTAGACTTAATAAGCCTATATATCAGTCTATAAAAAGAAATTATGCTCAGTTCAAGTTTAATAATATAATTATACACTATATATTTAGACAGTATATCTATAGTTTTCTCTAAGAATATATCCTTATACTTCTAAAAATACTCTGAGATCTTCTAATCTAATTTTACTACTGATTTCTAATCTAAGGGTTTATTAAGTAATACTTTTATATAGTCTCTACCATTAATCCTAGCTATATATAATTATAGGTCTCCAGTTTTAAGAGCATTAGATAATATTTAATAAGCTAGATATCCAACTAGAAGCTCTTTTTATACTATAGTTATAATAAAGATCTCTATCTTTCCTAGACTGGTATAGGCTCTGTATCCCCAGATTTAGTTTTTCCAATCTATATTTAGATTAATAGCCTAAAGCTACAGCATATCTAAGATAATATTATATCCATCTATATTCACTATATTTAGTAAACATTTAATAGTCCTAGATAGCCCTTTAATATCTATAGCCTTAACATCTATATTATACTAATTATAAGACCGGATCTAGTATCTATTAACAGCCTTAATTCTTCAAAGTGTCTTATTTAAGTACATCCTAAACCTCTTTATAAAGATTTAATCTATAAAACTGCTCTAAACATCACTATCAATAAGCACCTAGAATAAAGGAGCTCCTAGTATACTAAAGAACTCTACCATTACAACTAATAATTGTTCCTACTATAGATTCTTTTTTAATATAATATTAGATTCAATTCTTAATGCAGCTATTACATCTAATAGCTAGAACTTCAGTTTTTTAACTTATTTATATCTCTTTAACCTATTTTGATCTTTAGCTTAGAACAATTACTGATAAAGTGTCTAAATTAGCTATAATTAAAATAGTTTTAACTATTTATATAATTTCTATCTCAATCTTAACTTATACTAAATCTATAGAATCCTTCTCTTAGAGATTTTAGATTCATTTAGGACTCTTATCTCTTATATTTTGATTACTCTCTTAAGCTATTATCTTCTCTAGATCTCTTTATAGAGCTTTTAAGCTTTTATTATCTATTGATTTTAATCTTCTAATATTTGAATATAATATCTTCTATCTTTTATAGAAATATTATCATTTCTTTATAGTATTTCAGTTTCTTTAGATATTTCTAGATCTCTATCTATATATTCCAAAGAACTTTAATATTTAATTATTTTATCTACTGCTTTTCTATATATTAGAGATCCATCTGTTTCTCTAATATTCAAAGAAACTAAATAAATTTATATACAGATTGTTCTTCTTATTACTTTATATTAATATATTAATATAGAGTATCAGTTCAAAGAAATTTAAGATTATTAAAGATTTAATAAAGATAATTTTTAAAGTTATTCCAGCTTATATTAATTATATTCTTATATTCCTTCTAGAATAGAGAGTACTACAGAAACTAGGATTAATCTAGATTATTTAATATTTTATTAATCTTATACTTTAAATATATATTATATTACTCTAAATATTTCTTAAATTAGGATTTAGCTTTTCTAATAAATATCTTATATTTATTATAATTTCTTCTACTATAGAGATAATCTAATTTAAATCTTAGAGAATGTTTTTCTTTTAATATTTTAGTTTAGAGACATTTTTCCTTTATATCTATATCTTTAGAGGTGAAATCTTAGATTTGATTTTAATTCTATAATATATTCTGTTTTAGTTCTATTATTTAGACTTATTATTTTAGATATTTATTGATTATTTCTAACTTAGAGAGAGTTATAAAGTTTAATTACTTTTTAGTAAGTTAAATATAGATTTTATTTATAGCTATTAGTTTAAAATTATATCTTTAATATTCTTTTTATAATATTTCTATGAGCTCATCAGTATCTTTAGATTTGTGTTAGGATGTTATTCCTTTTAATTTATTTAAGAGTTATTTAGAGATAATGATCATCAATATGCTTCTAGTGATAATTATTTCTAAATAATTATTAATCTTTTATCTTGAGGTTTAAAGCAATCAGAATGTGAGATAGTTACTGAAAAGTAGGTAAATATTAGAATTTATTAATCGAATATAAGGCTCGGTTAGATATAGATTAATTGCTGATCTGTGGTATATGTAGCCGCAGATGTGGATTATATAGTGTCTCGGCTAGCTAGTGCCTTGGCAGCGGCGCTGTGAGGTCCTCCGAAGGTGCCTCAGAGGCGCCGAAGGGTTATAGACCTCTTATAACATGTAGGGCCTCACAGTTGCTAGGGGATTATGAATTTTGCCTTAAAAGCCAGACAGTCCGCCGTACTTGGCAACCGTCCTGTCGGGTCTCCGTGGTCTGTGAGCGTTAAGAATTATGCATCCCGCGACATCAGAAGATCAATGCATTAGTGGGGTATCTCTTATTACAGCTTAGCTTTGGAGAAAGTTTTTATCAATGAGTAATGAATGTACTCCGTAAGGATGTACGTGATTAGCGTACGAGAAATATTTCACATAGTACACAATAGCTTTTGGCCAAGAACGAGTCATGTGAGACCTGCAACATCAGGTCCCCCCTTTTTAAACTTTCCACGTCGATCGCCCACAAACCTTAATAAATGGTTTGGGGTGTGGAAGCACGCTGTCGATGGGCTATGCTATATGGTTATATTATTGAATAAGTAGTAGAGAACTACAAATCCCTACGTAATATGGAAAAAAGAGACCAAAACATCGAAATATTAGTCATGATATTGCATATTGTATTCAGAATCTCTCCCGCCGTCGACCATGTGCGCGTAATTGGCCCTCCAATCACAACGCCTACTAACCACACCACGCGGCGTTAACACGATCCTTCAGCCCCCACTAACGCCAGTTTTTCTCAAATACTTTCAAAACATCCAGACTAGGCCAACAATAGTGCAAAGTCTCGTACATGAGCAACGAACTCCGGATCACTACATCCAGGGGATGCCAAGGACTAGACCAGCAGCCCGTGCCCAGCAGGCACAAAAATTAAAACAAAAGCCTCACCGTGACAAAGCCCACGCGGTCTACACGGGTCATAGTCTCTGAATCCCGTTGACTCGGTGCCTGCCAATTTTCCAATAATGAGCACTATTTCCTGCTAGTTGACAATAGTACCCGCTTATTTTGTAACCCATGCGTTATCTTTCCTTTAGGACGGATTCAATAGCAGCCGTTGCTTAATTCGTCGAGCGACTAGGTAGGTATAGGTTTAGATGATGTGCAATAGTTTTCGTGGTTGGAGTCAGCACGGACAATAACTCTGAATAATGGAGGGGCCGACAGGAGTGGGTTGGGCCAACGTAGTCGACAGGCTATATAACTACTTTGAATCTCCACCAGGTCGAGGCCGGGGATGTTACTGTCAGATAAATAATATCACAGATTGATTACATCAGTTCTACACATGGAATAATGCACATACTAAGACCCTATACCCATGCAGACCCACCGTTGAGTGCCGTTGAGTGCCGTTGAGTGCTAATTTCCTTGTGTTGGCCATCTGGTCTTTCTCATAATGTCCCCCACCGAACAACAATTATTCGCTATCTCGACAGCAGAGCGGACAACAGCGGCGATCTCTTTACTTGGAACAAGTATAATTGTAGGATCATTTCTCGGGTCAAAATCGTTTCGAAAGCCTGTTAACAGGCTAGCCTTCTATGCGTCCTGGGGGAATATCCTGTCGAATATCGGGCAACTCATCGCACGTTCGGGAATTGAGCTAGGGCTCAATACCCCACTTTGCCAATTTCAAGCCTGTCTATTACAATGGTGAATCTTCTTCCGATGAATATGAAGTGTAGAGCTGATTAGGATACCCAACCAGGTCGGTGCAGTCGGACGCCTACTGGACATTTGCAATGGCATGCAACGTCTACCTGACATTCTATCATCAATATGAAGCGGTGCAACTGCGAAAACTAGAATGGCGATATATCGTCTTATGTTATGGTTTGCCGCTGATCCCCGCGATTGTTTTTCTCTTTATCGAGACCGAAGAGCGAGGCAAAATCTACGGTTCGGGGCTAGTAAGCCATCATTCTTCCCTCCAACTAATATTTTGACCGCTCTATTTACTAACGTCTGATATCAGCTCTGGTGCTGGATCTCCGTACCTTGGAACTATCTCCGCCTAGGCTGTTTCTACGGCCCTATCTGGCTCATGATATGCCTCACAGTGTTAATATACATTCGCACCGGTCGCGAAATGTTCACTAACCGGCGCCTCTTTAATCTGAACGCCGGCAAAGCCCGGAGTAGCACCATTTGTGCCTGTACATTATCACCCACAGATCCTTGGAAACAGCCCACCACCCGTTTCGTCGAGGATAGCGGGCCCCAAAGCCCAACATCCTCCAGCACGACCTGGGACGACGACACAAATTGGGCATCGTCGCTGAACCCCACTGCGCCGATCACACTCAGCGAAGAATTCGGGCTTTCGCCAGCCCAACCATCACAGCAGAGAGACGACGCGCAGAACCGCGTCGAGAGTGTTGGTGGCGTCAAGATGGATGCGGCGTCGTGGGTATATACAAAATGCGCAATGCTGTATTTTATCGCTCTTGTGGTTACATGGGTATATTCTTCTATTCATATGCAAAGTGTAAATGAGGTGTATATGCTGACTTGAACGTTATTATTGTACAGGTTCCGTCAACAGTCAATCGAATCTACTCCATCGTACATCCCGACGAACCCAGTTTTGCATTGAACCTGCTATCCGCTATTGTCCTGCCTCTTCAGGGGTTCTGGAATAGTCTTATCTATGTCTCTATTTCATGGCGTACATTCAGAAGGCTGTATCAAGATTTAAAAAATTGGCGTCGTGGAGACGGTCCCACAGCCGCTCGGCGTCGGCGGTCGTTGATGCCATTTGTGCATACTGATAATGGGCGTGGGAGTGGGAGTGATCAGGCGTTTGTTCTATCTGTGCATACTTGTAAATGATGAAATCATGACATGATGATTACGAATGATACTTCGATTTCTCTGTAATAATGGTTGTAGCCTATAAATTGCGGTTACTCGATTAGGCTTAGAAGGTAGTGAAGTATCAACGAGCCTTAGATGCCGGGCAAGGGCTACTGGTCTGATCGGAGGTTACTTGTAGATTTTTACTAATTACTGAGACATTATTCCGTAGGAAGTTGAAAGAAAGAGAAAAGTGTCATTGACAAAGTGGAGATAATTATAGTAAGAAAAAGTGGTCAAAATAATAGTAGACAAGTTTGACCTGGTATCCCTGTATCCTTCGCCGAAATAAAACATGCAAGATAATCCAACACATCTCAGAATATAGAAACAAAAAAAGAAACAAGAAGTAAAATAAATTGAATAGATGTCTCCCAATTCTTCATTCAGCCAACCCGGACACCGTAGGTGATGTAGGAAACACAGGCAATGTAGGCAACGCAGATTGTGGATCTACGATTGGCCTATTGTCAGCCGACGAAAAGCCCACCAACACAAAGTCACCAGTATATGGATTATAACAAATATCATCCCCGACAAAACTTTGATGGGCATTCTCAATCCCACGATGCATGATATTCGTGGATTGGAAAATCCATTCTCTGGTAAGCCAGTAAATCTGATATGCCTTCATCCTTTCGTCCGATCTCACAATATCGGGAAACAAGGAGAATCCAGCCCATGAAAGGACCATGTAATGAGCGATAGGGTGAGGGTTGAGCAGCTCAGGTATAGCCACACTCGATGGCATCGTGAAGGTCCCCAGACATACGGGGACGGAAGAACCCTGTAAGCCGATCATTTGGTCGTACAATTGCTGCTCTTGGTAAAGTCTATCGGTTGCGTCAGGCCTCGAGGCCTTCTTAAGAATGAATGTGTAGCCTGTGTTAGGTAGAGCCATTTTCAGGATAGATGTGCCCCTTGTGGCGTTTATTTGAATGAGGTCAAAGCATGGAGGCGAGTCTTCAGCTTGTAGCGTGTGCCGGATTAGGTTGAGCATTGTGGGTGCATGTTGGACAATGCAGTCCAAATGGCTGGATGCGTTTGGGCAGGATAGGTCGACAGGCCATCCGTTCTTTACGCCTAGAATGCACGATGGTTTGCAATATTCTTGAGGTACCGCCTGCGGCTCGTTTCCGTCAATGTTGTTGTGCTGAGCTGCACAGTTGGGCATGATCGCTGGCATGGACATCACGGTTGACGAACTGCTCCCCAAGCTGTAGGAGCCCATGTTGTTAACGGGCATATGAGGGTGCACTGAATTCTTGGAAGCCGTCTTGTGGAGGCCTGCACTTTATGGTGTCTGTTTGTAGCAGAGTAACTGATGGAGGTGATAGTTATATAGGTTAAAACGAATTGAGGGCAATTCCTTCCTGAAAAGTCGATGTTGACGAGAGTTAAGTAGAAGGGAGACAGGGAAAAGGCTTGAGAGAGCTTGAGAACTGATTTATGCTTTCTTTCTTTCTACTCAAAGAACTCATATCCTCCAATATAAGGAAAGTACTATTTTCTATTCTACTATAGGAAAAGTACTATATTCTACTCCAATATAGGGAAAGTGCTGTTTTCTGTACCAAATATAAATAATGAAGCAATACACCCGAATAGGAAAAGTAGGGCTGCGGCATTGTACCAGCGCCGTGGAATAGCAGGGCATGACGTTCCATAGATGTATTCCTTAAGACAACCCTCAGGCAGACAGCTGGAATTGGTCTGGACCGTGGTTTCATCTAGGCAGCCGTAGAAAAAAAGTCGCTTATCCAAATATTGAGTGCAGTTGAGCGTAATCAAGATCTAATTAGCGGGAGAACGTAGAGTGTACTCGAAAACGTCAACTGGTAGTAGCGTCATCAAGAGTACAATAAACAGTCATTAAGAGAGTAATTAAGTGTTAAGGAAAGCATAACCATGAGGGCACCAACTTGTCATCGTGTATTATCATACGTTGTATACGCCCATGTATGATTGCCTAATCGAGAGCTGCACAGCTACTAGAGTAGTTAATTAACTATATACAAAAGTGTCAGGAGTCGTCCAACATGTTTATATATAATGTAAGCAACACTAGCCGTAATGGTTCATCCGGCCGACCGGGTTACTGGAACAAGATCGATGCATAATCACGCTTTCGGTTAGTGTATAGATTCCCACCGGATAATTAAAGCAAGCTGGCAGCGCCATGACGCCATAGGCCAATGGCAGATTCTGCCGCTGGCCACTCATGCGTCGCACAGGCTCCACCTGGCGCAATACACATGCAGTGGGTGGGCTCCAATGGCGAGCATGCGCGGCCCTGGTGTGCGCACGCTGTCGGAAAATAGGAGAAAAAGCAGGGAAAAAAAGATATAAAAATAGAAAGATAGAGGCGAGAAAAAAGGAGAAAAAAGACATTGGGCAAGCAAAAAATGGAGTCGCGTTGGGCCTTGAAGAGTCCAGATTCACGGGCGTCGATAAGAGGGCCAAGGCTGCAGCCAATCACGGCTGCGTCTACCGTCAAGTGCCTCGCTCGGGTCGGCCTCCCCGCTCCTTCCGAGTACTATTCTGATTTAGCCCCGCCTCTTTACTCTTATATGCTACACTTCTCTGCTGCTACTCTTTTTCTTGTTACTCCTCAGTTGCGCTTCTGTACCCAATTGTTGTGTTTTCATTGCTCTCTCAATGACTGCAATGGATCTCTCCCTACGATCCCGTCTCTGCTGAGGGAATCGAAACTATATCCCGACTGCCACTGGAAGCTACCGAGGATATCTGCACGCACCGTACCATGGCCGACACTCCATACAACAATGGCAGTGTCGGCGATATCACCCCAGACAGGTCGAGCCTGGACTTTCCAGGTCCAGAGCTGGCGCCTGAAGAGATTGCAGAGCGACTGCGGAATATTCGTGTGAAATTTCGCTCCCGCGACGAGCACGCTCCCGATCCGCAATATGCAGAAGATACCCTGACAGAAATCTCTACCCACCACCACCACCACCAACACCATCACCACCACAACATGCCCGACCTCGAAAAGGCCGATACCGCCCGATCTGATGCCAATGACGAAGATGGAAAGAATCATCTGACCCGCGTCCTGACCCTACGTGATCGCGCTCGCATGTTAATGACAAGGCTGGGGCGTCCGGAGGAGCCAGGCGATGCGCTCATACCAGGCATGACAACGGCGGATTGGGTTGGGGATCTGGATCCCGTGGAGGCCGATATGATGCACCCTCAGGAGCATGCAGGAAAGCACCCCACTACCGAGGCCAATCGTCTGGTGCGAGGAGTGCAGAATCTCAAGCGCAGAAAGCCCCTACGCACCCATTCGTCTGACTCGATTCCCAGCGTCGGTTCCGATACCGAGTCAGAGTCGCCTTATCGGGGTGAAGGCATTCTATCGCATTTGCTTCGCCTGCACAACCAGCAAGCGTCTGGTCGTAGCACGCCGGTCACCCCAGATAGCGGCACCACGACTCCAAAAAAGGTCAAATGGTATCACAAACACTCACCGAATCAATCGACCATGTCACTGGTCGGAGCAAGTCTGAGTCTAGGCACTCCAGGTAACCCATTGGCTCTGGACGATCTACAGAAGACTGTGAATAGCAAGCGACGCAAGATGCATCACAAAAAAAAAGACCCAAGGGAACATATAGCAGTGCGTATTGCTACCATTATCACTCGACAAAGATACCTCATGATTCTCTGTCGAGCCCTGATGAGATTTGGTGCTCCAAGCCATCGTCTGGAAGAATATATGCAGATGACGGCTCGAGTGCTCGATATCCACGCGCAATTCCTGTATCTGCCAGGAACCATGATCATGTCGTTTGATGATTTGGCCACGCGTACGACCGAGGTCAAACTCGTGCGAGTCGTGCAAGGCGTTGATCTAGCCCGGTTGGAAGACATCCAAGACATTTACAAAAATGTCGTCCACGAAAAAGTGACCGTTGACGAGGCTATTGTTCAGCTAGAAGACGTGATGAATCGGCCCCCAAAATACCCAACCTGGTTGGTGGTTCTATGTTATGGATTTGCATCTGTCTCAGTCGGCCCCTTTGCCTTTCAAGCACGTCCAATCGATATGCCAATCATATTCTTTCTCGGTATTGTGCTTGGATTGCTTCAACTTGTTTTCTCACCCCGATCTAGCTTGTATTCCAATGTCTTTGAAGTACTAGCTACCATCATCACCTCGTTCCTAGCACGCGCCTTTGGTAGTATCCGAAATGGTCTCGAAGACAATGGCGATCCGCATTACATTTTCTGTTTCTCCTCTTTGGCCCAGTCTTCAATTGCATTGATTCTTCCTGGTTTTTTGGTTCTGAGCAGCAGTCTGGAATTACAGTCCCATCAAATCATCCCTGGGTCCATCCGCATGGTATATGCCATTATTTATTCGCTTTTCCTGGGATACGGAATTACTGTTGGCACCACTATTTATGGACTCATGGATGGCAAAGCTAATCCAAATACGACCTGCCCTGGACCCGAAATAGGCAACAACCAGTATCTCCAACGCTTCCCATTTGTGGCGCTGTATGTGATCTTTCTCGTCATTATCAACCAGGGAAAATGGAAGCAAGCCCCTGTCATGATAGTCATAGCCGTGGCCGGTTATGTGGTAAATTACTTCAGCAATTTAAAGCTCGACTCGAATATGGAATTGGCCAACACTCTAGGGGCATTCACCATTGGTACGCTAGGGAATTTGTACAGCCGTCTCTGGCACGGCCATGCCGCTACTGCTATCTTACCTGGCATATTCGTGCTCGTGCCATCTGGTCTCGCCTCATCAGGCTCGTTGGTCTCTGGCGTTCAATCTGCAAGCCAAATCCGGGCAAACCTAACGGGTCACGATAACGGCACATCGAGCTCGGCGAACAGCAGTAATAGCTCCGTGTATGACATGGGTTACGGAATGATTCAGGTTGCCATTGGGATCACCGTCGGTCTGTTCCTGTCCGCAATTCTTGTATACCCATTAGGCAAGAGACGAAGCGGGCTGTTCAGTTTTTAATGCATATATTGTTCTGTTTAGAGTTTGTATAGAATGTGCATTGATGCATTGTATTGGTTTAGCTGCATATAACAAATACATTAAATAATACTAATCAAATCATACCATGTTAACACTATGTCCCCAACACCCAGCTAATCCCATCAATTCGCAAAATAAACCAGGCACTAAACAATCACCCCCAGCCCTATCAACCCTGCAAAAAGCACACCATCCCTCACCACCTCACTCTTCCACCCCCAACCCACCGCAGCCCCCGAACTCGTCGACGCCGCCACTTCTCCCGGTATCGTCGGTGTCCCAGCTAATCCCGCATACGGCTCCGTCGGTATTGATACCGTAGTCGTCGTCTCCCCCTGCGTCGCCGAAGGCCCAGCATCCGACGCCGCTGAGCCCTGTGTCGCTGTCCCCCCTTTTCCTCCTCCTGTTGTTGTACTCGTTGTACCCCCCTTCTTCGTCGTCGTCGCACTATGTTCACTCCCCGGCGTCCCATACGACGAATACCACATCCCACAATCCGTCACCGCCTCCGCGACATCCCCGCTCACCTGACTCCACGGCAGCGCGCCGAGACTCGCGGAGCAGGCATCGCACGCGGAGATGGCCGTGTAATAGCTCGCTGTGCACAGACAGTATAGGTATTTGTCTGACGTGCCATACGTCGATTGGCAGTTGCTGTAGATGTTGAGTTGGTTTGTGCACCCGGGCTCGCTCAACTGGCAGTAGGATAACGCGTCGGCGGAGGAGAGAGAGGCGTGTGTATTGGATGGGTCGCGTCGGATGTTGTCGATGTGTAGGGCCGTTGTGTATTCGGAGACGGAGGGGGGTTGGGTGATTTGTTGGGAGAGGGTGAGAGGGGTGCTGGTTAGGAGGAGGGTGAGGAGATGGTGGGAATGCATTTTGGTGACGTTCTCAGTCAGGTTGAAGAGGTCGATTTGGTTAAGATGTAAGATCACGGCTTGAGAGGGATTGATATTTTACGAGTTTCTAATCCCCGAATGAGGAGCAAGATCTCGTTTCTCGTCTGTGATGGTGAAGTGTATGACGAATATTCAGTTCCTTTCATAGCCCAGACCAAGTATCTCTAGTCGAAAGATCACTGATGAGCCAAGACGAGGACAGCCAGCTGAAAAGGAAACAAAGTGTGGACAAGGATCCAATATCTCGAATACGAGAAACACCTCGTATAAAAAAGCCCGTCTCACTTTGACTGCTGATTCAACACCGCCAGTTCCGCCAGTCGCATCCGTTTATATTTCTGTCGTCGCCAAGGAACAAGCCAGAGCCCAACCCATTAAATAGCAATTACGTACGCAGATCAGCGGTGAAAATTTTATCTCTCCAGCAAACCAAACTGACAAAGAATCCAATGGGCAGATGATCGAAACTGATGACAGCCAAAAGGGGGAAATCGACTAAGCTCGTATTCCTGGCGGAGTGGAGAGTTAGGGCTTCGTATTTGGTGGGGCATGGAACGCGATGGTGGGATCCAGGGACGTGCACGAGCAATTAATTCATTAATATTTATTGATTTTTTCGGAGCTGGACCTGAATATTTGTTTGATTTTGATGCTTTCTGAACAATAGAATTTTGTTTATAATGTAGGCGGTTTTGAGCCTTTAGTTGGCTGTGACAGTGTAAATGAGTGTGATTGATCTAAATCTATCTCCAAGTAAAGTTAGTCAAGGGGTAGCCAGCGATCACCCCAGTGAGACACGGCCTGCTGTGCCCCTAAGGTTTAAAGGAACACGTTATTTTAGCTCGATCCAACCCTTCCTGGCTTGGCTGGCATGTTTAAGAGTCTGACTGCGGCTCTAAATGGTCGGACCTCATCTAGGAAAGGGCTGAGTGGCGCATCAGAAAGTATCGTTCTAGACTAATATACGAGACTGGGAGCGCAAATTCGTGATTCGGCGCGCGCAATGTATTGGGAGGGTACGCCTTGATTATTAACTTTATTGATTTCCACCCTCCTCTTAAATCGGCTTTAGATATCTTTCCAGTTCAATAAATGCTATTGCAGACTTTTAGTTCCGCTGCTCTGTCGTTTCGCAATTTGAGACAGGTTCAAGAAGTTCTCGAGCCAATATGTCTATAACCGTTGGACAGGTCTCGGGCATTATCGCCTTTGTCGCGGTAGTGGGTATGTCTTGAATCTCTGTCGAGTTGTAATACCCTATTAACCACCAGTTCAGTGCATATTTTGGTCCCTTTGTTAGCTGTCATCGTGTTCGTCGGTTTTCTTTCCAGCGAAAACACCGCTGCAACATGGTATCTCACCAATCATTCACGTTCGTAACGAGAAAAAAAATGTTGACCAGATCAGGTCGGTCGTAAATCGCCAAATACAGTCCACTCTCTGGCCCATCTTCCTCCGTGCCGACTCGACAAATACTCGAAATGTTGCACGTCGGGTTCGAGTTCTCACGCTCCTGAGGAGTGCTGTGTATGTGATTATTTCAGTCGCTGCATTTGTCACGCCACTTGGATTGAAAGATGCGATCAAAGTCGGCGAGGAGACGACTCTACAGTTTCAATATATTAATGATAATTCGTCGTTTAAGTTCGGGACGCCGCCCCGGTATAGTCAGTTCGCGCGACTGTGTGGGTATATGCTTAATGTGAACTGTCCGGGGTCGTTTGGAGGGATGGCGACATTTTCTAACGCTACAGGTGGGTGTCTATCTTTTCCCGTTTTTTTAGTGTTTTTTAGTATTTGTTTTATTGTCTTAGTATCCAAATTCTGATTCTTTCAGGTTGGTACGAGATTCCTACCACACCCGACGCAATCATCAACACCACCATCCCTTCAAACTATCTAGAAATGTTTTCCAGCGCCACGTCCAGTCCAGGAACTACCCTCTCTGGCCTTTTCGACATCCAGTACCGCGTATGGTCAGTGTCTGTTGATGAAAAAAGCAACATCGACGGCGGCAAACCCTACGCCACCGGCACTTACAGAGGCATGGACAACATGATCCTCAGTAACGGAGTCGTTCTCATCGAAGGCGTGGTCGCTGATATGACGAACGGCGGTGTCGGTTATCGCAATCATACTGTCCCTTCGAACATTCCATACGGCGCAACATGGTCCGAAGATCTGACCTGGGTTGAGCCTATCACCGAATGCGTCGACACCAATTTAACTATCCAGTTTCACCTAGGTTCAGAAGATTCCGAACCTTCTAATGTTAGTCTGGTAGATAATGGCGGTTTCACGAATCTTGCGCGTGAATACCCCGAAGGCTTATGGAACGACCGACAGAACCCAGATCTTCGAGCTCGCGCGTACAAGGGGGCATGGATTAACAATGCACTAACTGCCATTTACCTCAACGTCACACGTCCTGGAGACTTGAACCAAATGAACTCTTCTATTGGTCAACGGTTCACGCGAGCCGGGTCCGGCCTTGGTTTCAGTCCGAAACTATACTCCACTCAGTTCGGGCAGATTGATGGAGGGTATATGACGTTCGACACACCAAGTTTGGATGCTACGGCGACTACCATTACTGCGGACAACTTCACCGATGCGTCTATTATATGTCAAGGCTGGGGTATTGGTGATTTAGCGAATTACACCAATACTGGTATTTACTGTGGTTACCTATACGGAAACCCCCAGAGCGGTGCGAGCAATCCTCTCGTTTTCGAGCCAATGCGGGTTTACACACAAAATATATACGTGTGTGCGACGGCGCTTCGTCAGAAGGTTAAAACGATCAACTTCTTAGCCAACGGTACATCCGATGTCAGCCAGCTTCATGTTACCAGCATAACCGACAAGGTTTATACGGACAATAGCTCAATGCCGATGTGGGCAATAGAAAACAGCAATTGGACGATCGAAGACGTAGCGCCGGTCTGGGGTATGGTGGATAAACGATTCGAGAACACGACTGGGTTTGACACTCTGCGAGCAGAACAGTTCTACCTACCAGCTACCAGCAATAAGGCTGTCTCTGGTCTAGGTTCGGCGACTGACAGCTTAGCACAGGCCCGCGCCTTCCAGGAAGCCCTATACTCCATTTACCCCTACCAGGGAGCTGGGAACAATTTCTTCTCCGGCTCAGACAACTTGGCCCTGAGTCGGGTATGGTCTGAACTATCGAGTAGTCCAATAACCGCGGCGACGATAATCGATCTGATCTGGACGCAGATTGTAGCGACTGCAACCGTCGGTATCAAGACAGTCACAACGGACAGCTCCAATAACAATGGACGATCAGCAACACCATACGTACACGGGATCGCATATCACTGGCCATACGCCATTCCTGCATTTTTGGTACTTGTGGTTTTACTCGGCATTATGTGCTTGGCGTTCTTCGTGTCTCTGACGTCGCGCTTCTCGTTGCGGATTCTGCGGCAGTTGCTGAACCAGACGGCGACCGGACGAATTGCCACCAGTTTGCTGTATCCTACAGTGGCGGATCCAGCTGCTGCTACGAAGACGTGGGCGGCGACTGCAGGAAAAACGCCGTTGATGTTTGCGGTTGTCGAGAAGGAAAAGACTGGGCAGGAAATACCAGGGGCGGCGTCGAGCCATGTTATTACCCCGTCATCAACGACAAACTTGTCGTTTCCGCGTGTAGGGGCGGGCAATGGGGACTATATTATGATGAAGGAGAATCCAAACGATCCTCGGTAGGGTGTTTGGAATTGTGATTTAGTGTGGCATTTCAGCGCTTATTCTTTCGATTTAGCTTTGCGGGCAAAAGGAGTTAATAAATGATTTGACAACCTTATATTATAATCAATTATGCGAATACTTTTATAAAATTGACGGCCATGGTATATTAGTTATTTGATTCCAGGTGCCAAATATCTCAATTGAGATGAAAATCTCTTAGTTCAACTTTGGGCTCCTTGCCTAGTTCTTTTTTCACTACATGTATACCAAACATCGATTAATCCATCCAGTGTTAAATTCTCTGCTCAATTTCTACAAAGAACTGCCCTCTCTTCCAGCGATCTTGCCGCGATGGAAGAAAAGTTATGGTAATAGCCCCGAAGAACCTCTATAAAGGGTCAACGCAATCCAAGGCGTGAAGCATCTTTGACTGAAAATATACCCTGTTACATACATCGGAATTGGCCAGAGAATTGAAAGTTAAAAAAGCTAAAGGTGGTGGTATGGATTTTTAAGATAATAAGTATTACAATCAATTTCAAGAATTCCCTCGCCGAGATTTATGATTTATGTTCTCTCCTTGTAGCTCAGATAGGCTCAAATACCCTCAAGTGCCCATTTTGAGCTTCTGTTAAGAATGTACTGCCAAAGTGTTACATCAAAGCCACGGGAAGCATGGCCGATGGCAATGAACGTAGCTTTGTGGGAAACCTGGCTTACCTATCGACCATTTCCGTTCTTTACTTATGCGAGATTGAATCACTAGCTCGACGAGTCTATAATATGCCACCAATCAGCAAGCTTCGAAATGCTCCGGAAAACAAAGCGCCGATTTTGTCACGTGAGCTGCATGCGGCATGTTACACAGCAGGCGGAAAATTGGACTTTAATGAGTATCAGATCTACTTCACGATATCATTTACAGTGGAGTCACATTTTCAACATTAGACTAGAAATGTATGCAGAGGAGAAAGAGTTAAGGCTAATGCTGCAGATATTGCTTAATAGTAATGTCATAGTGCAAACAACTCAAACACCAAGGAAACCGAGTTTGCCACTGCCAGTGCCAAAGCGGGCCAATCACCGTTTTGAGACACAATTCTGTCATAAGAAAAGAACCTCTAGGCAGCATGATACTTGGGCGGCTTGCTGTTTATACAGATAGATTACCATTTGTTCACCATTCGAACCTTTCTAGCTTCATGTTGCGTGGTCAAAAAACAAAATAATACGATGGTGAGATTGCGGGGCCTCAGAATTTCTTTGACATGTGAAAAGCGATATTTCCATTCTTAGCGATCTGGTTCTAGGATAGAGAAACACGAGCACAGCTGCTGCGTAGGGCGTGATTATAGGGTAGGCAGCATAGTAATAGAGAGGTGAATTGGCTGAGAAGTTTTAATATGCATAGTTTTATCGCGAGCCGCATGCATGGGTAAGGATGATGACGATTTACGACTGCCTAGTTCACCTAATACAGTAAAGCCGAGGCTGCTTCTCCTACCCACCCTAAATTCTCCATGGGGCTGACTAGTCGACTAATCGATCCATATGCTATTAAACACCATTCTATTCCGCTGCGAGTTCATTCTATAGACTTACCCATAATTTAACCACATGAATAACAAGAGCATTCCCCGATAATTGTTAATATCTGTCGCTTATCGCTTACCTTCCCCATTGGTAACCATCGTCCGCGACGATTGATGCTATGATTCGTCCATTTTAAATCAATATATACCCCCGAAATACCACATTAAACAAATCTAAAATCTACTCAATCGCCATGCCTCGCACAATACGCTTCAATGAGGAGCTTATGTTCAATCTGGCTATCTCGTTGGCCGGTACCAGCATAGCTCTCATCTTCACGGACCGATTCCCCGGCTGGACATTCAAAGGCTTGTTTAGCTGTATATTTGGCATCAACTTCTCCATCCAGCTTTTCTGGGATATTTTGATATACCCCAATTTTGTCACTCCACTGCGCTATGTGCCGTGTGTACCAGTAGGTTTTCTTCTTCTTCTTCTCTTCTCTCGTCTCTTAGTTTTAGTTCAAATCTAATATAGAAGTAGGGAACTGTCAGCCAACTGCACATCCTCATGGACTCGCCGAGAGGACAATTGCCACTGAAATGGATGCGCACGATCCCCAACAACGGGTTGATTCGGTTCCGCGATATCTTCCGTCATAGTCATTTGATTGCCACCAATCACCAGGCTTTGCTGGATATTATGAGCACCAATACATACGACTTTGAGAAGCCATGGAAGGCGCGGGAGTTCCTTGCGCGTATCATCGGATTCGGCTTGATTTTGTCCGAAGGGAATGCGCATCGAGTTCAACGCAAGGCATTGACCCCGGCATTTAACATCAAGAATATTCGCTCTTTATATACATTGATGTGGGAGAAGACAAACATCCTGATCGATGAACTGGAGAAAGAGGTCAAAGAAAACCCAATGGAAGGAACCAACACAAATAGCAGCGTTGGCAAAGTCGAGATGAGCGTATGGGCTAGGTATGTTCTTAACCTTTATGCGAGTTAAGCCTGACTAACATCATTAGTCGTCTTACCTTGGATATCATCGGGCCAGTGGCCATGGGCCGTGATTTTCAATCCCTAACACATAAGGAAAACAAGGTTGCCGACAGTTTCTTACGAATCTTGGAACCGACCAAAGAGAAACTGATTTTCCTTGCCGTGAACTTCATTTTCCCGCAGTGGTTTGCCAGTCGTCTTCCATGGAAATTGAACAGGGTTGTTAATGAAGAAACCGGGTATCTGCGTTCCGTTTGCCATGAAATCGTGCAGGAAAAGCGCAGAGCACTGCAGTCACAAAAAGCCGATACATCGGAATTAGACGCAGATATTTTGGGTACTATCATGCTCCGTGGAGAATTTTCAGATGATGAACTAGTTGATCAAATGTTGACTTTCCTGGCTGCTGGGGTACGTCCTCCTTCTTTTCTTTCTCGTTTACCGTTTGAGGAATTTTACTTACATATCTATATAGCACGAAACCACCGCGAGTGCCCTCACTTGGGCATGCTACCTACTCTGCCAATACCCTGACGTACAGAATAGACTACGACAAGAAATCCACGACACTATCCCCTCGTCCAATTCTCCAATCACATGGACCCAGCTCGAAGCAATGCCTCTTTTGAACGGTGTCTGCCAGGAAGTCTTGCGCCTGTACCCAACCGTGCCGAATACCGTGCGTGAAGCAGTCCGTGACACCGTCGTCGCCGGTGTCAGTGTTCCCCGTGGAACAATGATTACTTTATCTCCATATGCAATCAACCGCAGTCCTCATTTCTGGGGCGATACCGGTGCGGAGTTTATTCCCGAGCGATGGATTGACACAGATGAGAAGGGTAACAAAACCGTTAATCACAATGGAGGCGCACCCACAAATTTCGCGCAGATTACCTTCTTGCATGGCCAACGGTCTTGTATTGGCAAGGACTTTGCGCGTGCAGAGCTGCGCTGTGCGGTTGCTGGCGTGGTTGGCCGTTTCATGATGGAAATGCAGGATCCTAATCAGGAAATCCACATCGCTGGTGCGGTTACAACCAAGCCGCGTGACGGAATGCACTTGAAGATGACGGCAGTTGATGGATGGTGATTAGTAATTTCGAATGTTAATGTATATAGCTGGCTCAACATATTTGGGTTAATGGTGTGATGATTGGCGTTATTATTATTTTCGAATTGTATATGCTCTTTTAATGTACTTCAAATTTCCATAACCCCCAGGGTCAATATATCCTAATCTGTAAAGCGAAAAAAAGCAGATATATCATCAAATATATATGTGTACTTCTCATGAGGCTTTTAAGCCTTTTATTTTACTCTCTATCTCGCCCCATACGCGCGCAGGTAAGGCTGCTATCAGGATCTTCCCGCCATATGTCTATGCTTTCATGTATACACTGTTTATAATATAATTTCAAATAAATTACATTACCAGCAGAATACACCCTGATTTCTTCAATACACTATTGTAAAGGATGTATTGCGAATAAATAGGCATATCCATTGTATCCGTATCTAATCTCAGATATAGAGAATTAAGAACAGTAGTATGCTATGCGGAGACGTCCGTCCTAAATATGTCTCATAACGCACCCATATTGATACACGTATCTCCGACCTCCCAGATACCGTTATACACCATACTATGGGTGTATAGTGAGAAGGGATGAAACTGGGTTTTAGGGGTCTAGACAATGATTGCTCTGACATTGCAGTGGACTTGACGCTAGGGATTATTGACACTTTCGTAGACTCACAATCAATTAGACTTGCATATCAATTTCAAAAAAACCATGTCTATTTAAACTTTTTTTTTGGTAACTTAAGACTATTCAGAATTGGGTTTGCAGCACTTTTTGCGGAGTATTTTTGTAAAGGTCTTGAAAGGCCATACATCATCCGTAAAGTGGTGGTTACTCTAGTAGCTATATAGATAGCTTTGTGGTTACAGTTTCATTACTAAATGGTTAAGTAGATATGTAATAGTAGCACGCTTGAAGAAATGTATGAAACTATAATCAAGATCGTGTCGTATCTAGGGAAGACATCAAGACATGAAAAGAAATTAAAACTCCAACACTCCCGCCAGTCGATTCAGCAATTCACAACCATCTTGCTTGAGAATGCGTCAAAATCCACGACAATTTAAACGCCAATTGACTATAGTTAAGAGACGCATAAGTCGGCGTACAAGATGTTGGATTATAAAGTATCTCAATCGGTTACTATTACTCCATCCGAGGCTCGGCTTCGGGTCTCGCAACCAGTGGGACCGGCAAATTTGTAGTGAATATAATAGTCTTGGGAATAGAAGGCCCAAGGTCCTGTACCAGTAACTGACATATAGAATATACTAATTGTTGTTGTTACAGGACATGCGTTCCCAAAGAAAAGTAATCCACTCAGGGTCTGATTACGTTATAGAAGCAGCTTCGACCCAAGGCTTCCATATTATGAGGCGCGTCGCGAACCCCACTAGCGCGCGGTGGCTTGAGAATACCTGTTGAGCAAAATTTATGACAGAGTTCCCGCCTAGCGTTAGGCTGTTGGTTGCGGGTAAATATCATTGGCTACAACCTGTAGCTATTGCTGGCTATTGGCTATAGTGCCTTTAATTCCCACTAAAACAGACCTAAAGAGGAAATCAAACCGCATATCGCCTAGATCCGTGAAAGTGTTGACCTGGCGCGGCTGACAACACGTGATTTTTCTCGTGTTTGTTCCCTTCTTTTCATTCAGGTATAGAGGCACTGCAAAGATTTTGGGATAGCACTGAGATTAGTTCTTATTTTTATCCACATGAATTCGGTTCTAGGGCCGAAAATACTAATATTATAGTAGAAATACTCGTAATATAACCGCTATAGTGAGAGATTCTATAGTTTTCGGCATAGTCTCATAGATTAGTGTTGGCGCTAAGGCGCGCCATTCTAAATTAGCCTTTGCAGTGCCACTGTAAGTGCTGGGTGAAAGCTCGGCATAAGGCGCACGTTCAGAATAAAATCTTAATGTACACGAGCAGTAGAGTGCCTGTTAAGTTGCTAGGAATGCAACTCGTTAATTACATACCCCGGTGGAATGCCCCATACTATGGCTCATACCAGAACCAATTTATAACAAAAAGGTTCACGAAATATAGACAACAACTGAGCACGGCAGCTCTATGTGGGGTCTGATGACGGTCAAAGCGCCTCCACGGGCTGAGCTATAAAAAGGAAAGGAGCAAACATGGGTCCAGACCTGGCTTGCCTAAGAATTCTGGGTACCGTCATTCCTACAATTGCAAGAACCAGAAAATCGAATAACTGACACTGTCGAATCACCGAAATGACAAGCGTGGTGGCGATAGCCGGGGGTACCAGTGGATGGGGGAGGACGCTCATCGAGCAGCTGCGAGAAGAGACGGACAAATTTCAAATTATTGTTTTAACGCGAGGAGTATGTATTCACAATTATAATTTCTTAATAATTGACTAATTGCTGATAATAAATAAAGGAGCCTCGAGAGGAGGAACATGTAAAGTACGTGCAGGTCGACTACGATGATATTCCTGCGCTGGCAGCAAAACTCGATCACTACCTTGTTCAAGTCGTTATCAGTGTCATTGGGATATACGAAGAATCTTCAAGCGAAGCTCAATTCAACCTAATCGAAGCTGCGGACATGTCACGTGCCGTCCAAAAGTTCATTCCGAGCGAATATTCATATAACACAGACGCAAAGTATGCCCGCTTCCCATTTTAATCTGGAGTCACAATATGCTGATAATTGACTGGTCCGTAGGTACTTGGAGATTGACCCTGGTGTCAAATGGTGGCTCAAAGCCGCACAACGCCTCAAAAATAGCGGACTGCAATATACGCGGATTTTCTTTGGAGCTTTTATGGACTTCTTAGGCCTACCCAACGTTCGCACAAATATTAAGTCGCTTCACGTCAGCTTGATCGATACGGTTAAAGGCCGGGCACTGGTTCCGGGAGATGGGAGTGCCATATGGAGTTTGACGTACAGTTATGACGCCGCCACTTTCATTGTCAAGCTGCTAGACTTGGATGAATGGCCCGAATATAGCTGTTGCGTCGGAGACGACATCGATTTCATTACAACGATGAAGGAAGTAGAGAACGCCTACAGTGAGTGTCCTACAGTTGCAATTGCTTTCATGAGTTCTCTATCAAATCTAACAAAGAACAGACAGAAACCTACAAGTCACACATATCGATGCTGACGATATCAACACAGGAAAAACTACCAAGGTCGAGGCTGCACTCTTAGATTGCAATTATTCCGACTTCAGTAAAGAAGATCTTATCGGATTTGTGATGTTCGGCGGTCAACTTCTCCTTTCAGGCTCTCTTCATGTTCCCCGTGAATACCGACTAGATGAGAAACAGCTAGGCTTCAAGCCCATGTCATTACGTGAATTTTTATCAAAAACCCAAGGCGGTGGGTGAATGCGTAATGTTGAAAGCCCTTTGAGTGAAAAAGGTTTACAAGTTCTACAAACAGTCGAAATCTAAAAAGGGGTGCGCTAGCCGGGACCAACGTTTTTTTACAAAAGTCTAGGTAATGCCATCTCATAATTTAGCGTCTTGAAATCAAGGCAAACAACTCGTAGATAGCCGCACCGTTTCTACCACATTTCCAAACGTTCCTTTATAGCATCATAGCATAGAAAGAGCAGCAAGTGTGAAGGGGAAACAGGTACCAGCATTGGCATTAATACACAGAGAACTTGAAAGATTTCTTTTCATCTGTTTTAGACTCTAGATAATTCTTTACGATTTTCCTGGGTCTTTGTTTGGACGCTGTCCAACTTGCTGCTTGGTATAACCGCAGGCTATTCAAGAGCAACTCAAGAAATCCTAGGGATTCAAGGAGGCAGAGTATGAATCTTTCTAAACAATGGGAACTTCGTATAGGACTCCAGTCCTTCCACTACTTCAGCGTCCCTTGGTTTTATGGCCGTGTTTTGTTTTTATAGACATTATGGCCATTTAAACTATATTTTGTGCAAAAAGTATTTTAATGATGGAAAATTGGTCGGATAAGGATTGTCGGAAGAGAGACTGAAAATGGTCAGCACATAAGTATATTCTTCTTTTGGATACTCCATATCTGTCTATGACTTCCAAATCTTCACCCCAAACTGTAAACCTGTTACACACTCCCAACAGTGAGGTTCATGATGATAGATAAGATTCCTGTGAAACTGCGATAATCATGTGCAAGCGGCAATAGAATAAAAATAAGTCCAATAATTGGGACACAATAAGGCGTACTTGCTTAACGCGCCGCTTGGATCACTGGATGCGTGCGCTTGTGCCAGAATATGGAGAACGTGTACACTAAGACTGATATCACCACACAAAAGCCATGATTCCGCGGTAGGTAATTTGTAGTGCCTGAGTAAACTGAGTATGCGGCATCCTCGCAGCCAGTGGAGACTGGCAGAAAATCCATGTGGTTCCCCCACCCCTATGAGAGCAACGACTATTACAGGAATCTTGTTTCGCAGTGATAATTTGTCTGAAAGGAGTGGAGTGTAGAGATAAAATGCTATAAGATAGACACTAATACCCGTAATCAACTGTATGTAGAGGAATTGGGTCAGTAGGGATTCGTTATGGGGAATGAAAGGGAATGGGAGATGTATATATAATATATTTGATAAGTTCATAGCCCGTGATGTTTCCCGTGGGATGTTTGATAAAATTGGTTACGATAGCTTTATAGATAAGGTTGAGGAAGAGTTTGAGTTCAAAGGGATTTATAATGTTGGTTTGTACTGCTTTCTAACGTGATGTATGTGAGAGGTAGATGAGCTTGTCTGGTGTAAGCTCTTTAGAGCGTATATATAACTTTTCGTGTTCTAACTATTGTGATACTCTAGGTTGTTGGAAGAGTTGTTGTGTAGCTAGATAATCTATATTCATTCTATTAATTTCTATTTTGATAGGGTTGATAAAATATCAATTTTTAGCAATCTTATCTAGCCTTAAGCTGCGAAGATCTCACTTTAGCAGGATCTACGGGGGTCTGTAGGCGCCTATGCCTCTAATTCCTCGCGTCGCCTGCCTGAAGTGTCAAAACGTTTAGATGTGGGTACTTATTTCTTGCTTTAAGCTGTTTAACACTCTGCTGCTTGTGTATATTGAGATTTTCTAATAAAAATCTTATATATTATTTATAATAAGACATCTTAATATGAAAAAATATTAGTTATGCTTAAAGACATAAATCTATATAAGGTGTGGAAATGAAACATCGCCAGGGCCCATTACGGATCTAAACCGCGACTACAATATTATTATAGTAGTAAATTGCTCCAACAGTCTTTAAGCACCCCCATCTCCCGGTATTGTTTCTGATGAATTTTTAAACAGGTAAAGATATCAATATATAGGCGTGCTGTGAAATTTTTCATTCGCAGACCCACGATGCGATGATACGCTAGCATAGCCGAGGTAATTACAGCATTCTTCTTGGCCACATAACTCAAGAATAATGAGAACAAACAAACCTATCGAAATCCCCACGGCGTTGCGACCGTATTTCTGAAGCGTAGGTAATATGTTATTAATGTTTTTTTGCACGAAATGAATGAGATACAATGTGCTGCCGATCCCTAAGTACCTAGCCCAGGATGTCGCGTGGTCAGGGAACGAGGAAAGCTTCTCCTCTTCTGGAATGCTGACCCTAGCGAATTACAGAGGCATCCCATCTCATCCCTGTGAAAGACTCTAAAGTACCTAGTCAATAACTAATTGCTGCTAACTCTGTAGAATGTAGTGCTTTGGTCGAGCTAAGATAATACTGTGTCAAGGGCCAATTATCTTTATCCATATAATCGGCTAAGCCCGACATGTGGAGCAATCAGAAGCTGGAAGGGTCGCAGCTGCAAGAAAGAAAAGAAAAAAATTAGTCGCGATTTTGGATTGGACCAACTAGAGCAACGAGCACGGGACTTCCGTCGCTCAAGTAAGATTTCGATAGATTCGCCCGGAAACTAGAGGTTGCCTTTTTTTTTTCTCTTCCTTTTTTCACTCCTTTACTTTCTTCTTCCTCTCTCTATCGTGCTACTTTCTCGGGTTGTTAGTTAAATAACTAGACGATCTACCGGGCTAGAGTAAGACAAGTACATCACCCACTCGTGTCACAAAACGAAAAAATTCCAAATTGGCCAATTGAATTGAGATTTCCCCAGCATTTGACCGTTTATCTACTCCGCAGCCACGCGGGGTTATTTAAACTTATTTAGATCTGCAGTCGACTGCGACTTTTCTCTCTTTTTGGGGATAAGTTTCCAATCCTATTTGAGGTTTGCATATCTACAGTCCAATCGACCTGCCCACGCGAGTCTTCTCCCTGGTCTAGTATGCAGTCTCATCCGTGACGCGATTTTCTCTATACTGCAACCCTACGCGACAACCCCTAGTCTTGTATTTTACCGTATTGCTTGTCGCCCCGATTATTACTGTTCGATCGCAACGCCAGGTTTAGCCTGTAAGAGAGAACGAAAATGACAGGCCCAATTGAAAGGTCCGTCGACGACGCGCTGCTTGCCCGTCTGGGCAAGAAGCAAGTCCTCAAGCGTCGCTTCGGTTTTTGGTCTCTGTTCGGTTTCGCCGTCTGTGAATTAATTACCTGGGAAACCGTCCTAGCGCTCTTCAGCCAGGGCTTCGAGAATGGCGGACCCAGCGGTTTGCTGTACGGCTTCGTGATCGCCTGGAGTTCAACGCTATCGGTCTACACGGTCATCTCGGAGCTCGCCTCCATGGCACCTATTGCTGCGGGCCAGTATTACTGGGTGTATATGCTCGCGCCGGAACGATATCGTGTGTTTGCCAGCTATATCATCGGCTGGCTGACGTCGATGGCCTGGATTGCTACAGTGGCCACCGAGACCCTGTTCGCGGGCACCATGCTGCAGGGCTTAGCGGTGCTTGACTACCCCAGCTACTCGCCGACACACTGGCAGGCAACATTGCTTACCTGGGCTGCTGCCTTGTGTTCGACATTCATCAACACTGTCATACCCAGCATGCTCCCTCGCATCGAAATTGGCACGGTGATATTCCACATTGCTGGCTTCATCTGCATCATCGCTGTGCTGTGGCACTACACAGATCCATTACACAATGCCGACTTCGTGTTTCGGTCGAGCTTGAATGAGGGCAATTGGCCAACGCAGGGTCTTTCATATTGTGTTGGGTTTTTGGGAAATGTAGCGACATTTGTCGGCGCAGATGCCAGTGTTCATTTGGCAGAGGAGGTGTCAAATGCGGCGTCAACGATTCCGAGAGTTATCACATGGAGTATGATCCTGAATGGTATTGTTGGGTTTGTGATGATGATTACGCTGTTGTTTTGCCTGGGAGATGTCGATTCTGTTTTGAATTCGAACACGGGATTTCCATTTATCCAGATATTTGCTAGTACGCCTATTCCTCTTCTTTTCCTGTGATATTCGCTTGACTAACATTACTTAGACAACGTCCCATCTACAGCTGGTGCCACAGTTATGACCGCCATCGTGTTGATTCTCACATGGGCATGCGCAACCGGCATCGTCACCTCCTCATCTCGCATGACCTGGGCCTTTGCGCGCGACCGTGGCACCCCGTTTTCGCGGTTCATCAGTAAAGTTGATCCGCGTACGCAAGTGCCCATTATTGCTGTTTGTGTCGTGGTTACTATTGCCTGTCTGTTGACTCTCATCAACATTGGATCTCCAACCGCATTCAACGACGTTATTTCCCTGACCATCACTGGATTCTATGGCAGCTATCTCGTGCCGGCTAGTCTGCTTCTGTACCATCGCCTCAAAAAGGGAAATATCCTCCCTTATGGCTCTGTTGTTGACGGACAAGATATCGAATCCTCGTCTTCTCCTGTCGTATCTGATGAAATCGCATCTGACCCTTCAACTACACTTCCCCCTGACGCGGAGGTCACCGAAAAGCCCAAAAAGGATCCTACTACCACCGATCCTTCCTCCTCCAACCCCATCGAAGTGGTCGATAACCAGGGCAGAATCACATTCGCACCGAACCAGCTTGTCTGGGGACCCTGGCATATTCCAGGTTTATTGGGAATTATCAACAATATCTATGCGTGTGTTTACATGACCTTTGTGATTTTCTGGTCTTTTTGGCCACCTGCTACGCCCGTAGCAGCAGATACCATGAACTACTCTGTCGTTGTCACTGGAGGTGTTATTATTTTTAGCATTATATGGTATTTCATCCGCGGCAGGAAGGAGTATAAAGGACCGTTGGTGGACAAGGAGGTCATTGAGGTTATTCGTCGTGTGCATGTTGAATAACTTTCTCAGGTTTCCAATCTATACCCTAATGTTCTTGAAAATCACATTTAGATATCAATCAACAACTATCCTCATATCATCTATCCCAGTAATCCCAACAACTCCTTTATTGCCTGCACAATCTCCCCTCTCTCCTTCTTCCACACATCATCTCCATCTCCCTCTCCCAACCCCAAATCCTCCCCCCTCTCCGCCTTCCCCTGCATCCCTTCCGGCCCCTCTCTAAAAGGCAACCCGACATACCCCCTCTCAATAAGTTTCATTCTAACTCCTTTCAGAACCTGCACCAACTGCTCCCCTCCCTTCCCGCCTCCTCTCCCGCCATATGACACCACCATCGCAGGCTTCCCAGCCCATTCATGAAACAAGTAATCAATTGCATTCTTGACGGCTGCCGGATATCCCCAGTTATACTGCGGACAGATGAAAATGAAAGCGTCAAAGGAGGCAATGTGTGAGGACCAGCGACGGGTGAGGTCGTTGGTGTATCCCTGGGGGACGGCGGTGGGTGAGAGCTGTGAGGGGAGAGATGGTTCGGTTGTGAAGATCGGGAGAGGCCAGGATAGAAGGTCGATTGTGTGTGTTGTGTATGTGATTGAAGAGGATGAAGAGGATGGGGAAGGTGGGAAGAGGGATTGAATGAATGTTGCTATTTGGGGTGCACAACGAGGCGTACGTGTTGAACAGAGTACGAGCCCAATTTTGTATTGTTTTTGAGATTGAGTGTTGGAGACAGACATTGTGGTTTTGCGAAACGTCGGCTTTATAGATTTTTATTTGGAACAGTCAACCTCTCAGAAAGCCGGGGGTTAGATATTTCTATAAGCTTGAAACAGCCTTCCGTCTGGGTATAATTTTTCTTTCTCCCGCTGAATGTGCTTGATATCAACCGATGTTCTTCAGGTATATTGCCTCAAGTTCAGAAAACAAAAGAAAGATATGGTTAATTTCCGATTAAAATGATATCCGTATCAAATACAGATGGAATATGTGGGAGAGATGTAGTATATATAGCATGAAAATTAAGACAGCAATGTGGCGGGCCGTGCGGGCCGAGCAGAATTATATCGCAAACAATACAGGTATACATGTCTATTAGCGGAGGTACGAACCGACCACTTTACATATACGTTTTATGTATGGTTGTGGCTCTGAAATTCTTATGATTTAATGAACTCTGGCAGACATTTAAATCACTATGCTGAAGTTCACATATCAATTGAGTATCTGGCGTTGTACTATCATATGTAGTGCTCCCATGTCCGATCGAAGTCAATGGTCTATTTAATAAAGCTACCTTACGGTCTTAGTGGCCCTGAAAGAGATGGCTAATTAACACCCAAAGGGTATATATAAATTTTGCATGTATATTTCACATCTTATCAGATGCTGTAGATGGTTGATGCCTCAGGTTGTGTGACTATCCGGGACATCCGTCCGTAGAGCCTCTCTGATTGGCCAGCTATTCGCCGTCCACGGTTCCAACTCTCAAGACGGCCTCCGATTGGCCATAACCAGCAAGAAACAGCTAGCTCGATGCCAGGGTCTGTCAACGGTCTTGCCGTAGTTGTGGCTGTAGAATGTGCTTCTGTAAATAATCATTTAAATCATTAATATCATTGCGCACTGAAGGTAGAGTCAGGAGGATGCCGTCGTGGAAACGCAAGGGTAAGAGCGGCTCGAAGAAAGAGGGCGAGCCATCCACCGCTCAGACCCTTCTCTCTGTCGTCAACAATGCAAGCAACCTCAGTCTACCGACTCTGTCGACGCTGCCATCACTGCCAATCTCTCGCCCACAAACACCGAACCAGCCAGAGCGGCAGCAGCAGCAGCAGCAAAACTCCCCAGAGCAAATCCCGTCGCCCGAAGATCTCCGCCGCAAAGCCAAACGCGACGCGGCCTTTGGTCCTCTCGAGTCTCCGTCACATCTCTGCGTCTCGCGGCATCCCGGCGGCCACCTTGCTGACGCAGTCGTCGATGAACCGCCATATTTCTACCTCTTCACAACCTATATCAGTTTCCTCATCCTGATCTTCGTCGGTCACATACGAGACTACATCGCAAAATGGTTCACCCCGCACAAATACCGCCATCTGATGGCTCGGAATGGCTATGCGCCGTTGTACAGTGATTTCGATAGTTTCTACACTCGTCGATTGAAATTACGGATTAATGACTGTTTTGACCGCCCGACTACAGGCGTTCCAGGCCGTTATATCACCTTGCTGGATCGGGAGACGGATGATAATCTGCATTTTAGACTCAAGGGCACAACGACGGATACATTGAATTTGTCCTCGTACAATTACTTGGGATTTGCTCAGAGCGAAGGCCCATGTGCGGACTTCGCCGAGGAGACCGTCAGAAGGGATGGTATTAGTATGACGGGAACTATTGGAGATGCGGCTACGACAAGTCTGCATGTTGAGGTGGAGCGGCAGATTGCGCGGTTTGTTGGCAAGGAAGATGCTGTTGTCTTTTCAATGGGATTCGTCACGAATGCCACGACATTCCCGGCTATTGTGGGAAAAGGCTGTCTTATTTTGTCGGACGAATTGAATCATGCTTCGATTCGTTTTGGAGCGCGAATGTCCGGTGCTAGTATCCAGGTCTTTGCACATAATAGTATGACGGATCTCGAGAAGAAATTGAGAGACGCAATCTCGCAGGGCCAGCCACGTACCCACAGACCATGGAAGAAGATTGTTGTTACCGTCGAAGGTCTCTATTCAATGGAAGGCACGATGGTGAATCTTCCTCGAATCATGGAGCTGAAAAAGCGATATCGGTTTTATCTCTTCGTGGACGAAGCGCATTCAATCGGTGCCGTTGGCCCCCGCGGCCGTGGCGTATGTGATTACTTCAAAATCGATCCCGCCGAAGTTGACATCCTGATGGGCACATTCACCAAATCTTTTGGCGCGAACGGGGGCTATATCGCAGCTGACAAGGCCATCATCGATAAGATCCGATGCACCAACGCCGGCCAAATATACGGCGAGGCCCCGACACCACCCGTTCTCGCGCAAATTCTGAGCTCTGTCCGACTCATCGCCGATGAGGATCCTCTGCACTCAGGCGAGGGCCAGGAACGTCTGCAGCGTCTAGTCTTTAATTCTCGCTATCTTCGCTTGGGTCTGAAACGTCTCGGTTTCATTGTCTATGGTCACGACGACTCTCCCATCATCCCAGTTATGCTGTACAATCCCGCCAAAATGCCCGCTTTCTCGCACGAGATGCTCAAACGCAAGATCTCCGTTGTCGTGGTGACATACCCTGCCACGCCATTGGAACTGTCGCGCGCAAGACTGTGTATCAGCGCCTCCCATACCAAGCAGGACCTGGATCGTTTTCTTGTTGCCTGTGACGAGGTTGGCGAGGCTCTACAGATCAAGTTCTCGTCCGGCGTTGCTGGCGGGCTACGCGAGAGACCTGTTCCAGGAGATGCAAAGAATGCTCAGATTCTCGAGAAGCCACGTTGGACTGTTAAGGAGGTGATTGAGAGGGGAGTGAAGGATGTACAGGGGACATTGTACTAACAAATAATAGTATCTTGTAAATATGGTCTATGGGCCATGATCGATTTATGTAATAGCTAATGTTAATAACCATGTGAATAATAAAAAATAACGACAATAATAGAACATTTCAGAATCACTAATAATTGAATAAATGCGCCATAATACTCCAACAAACAATTGAATAAGATGATTTCAACAACGCGTATGGTATGGGTAATTCCTACTCTTTATAATACTTTCGTGCCTTCTCCGTCGACTATTCTACGAAGCCGTACTGATTTATCTCTCTTAAGCTCCATTTAAAGGTTAAACAAAACGTTTCAAACTTCCTCTCGGTTTTTTATCTCAAAAAGGGGCCTGAAGTGAGACAAAACTCATTTACTTTCAAGGCAAGGAGCGCACCCGGCCGAAATATTACATACATTACATACGCATACCTAACGGTACGCAGCCTCCAACACAGTGAGGAAAAAGCGGGAAGCCGCTGGCTGTTCGAGGAACCAGGCCAGGACGGCGGTTGCCACCCAGCAAAACCAATATTGTCGATTATCACAATCACGCTGGCGCTAGAATCTCACCACGAAACTCAAGCAGGCTCAACAGAGTCTCTCGAGTCCCGTCCCCTGCCTCATCAATATCAGGGAGGGGCCCAAAGGAAATGAATGATGGTGGCCAGCTCGCGATCGTCGCTACGACACTCGGTGCGACCCCAGCAGCAGTCACTAAAGCCGAAAAAGTCGGTTCGACGTGACGGCCACGAGAATCAGAGGAATAACGCCGGCGGCGGTGATGATAATGAGGATGTTTTAGGAATTAATGGCGATAGTCGGCGATCCAAACCATTGACCGCAAGCAAGAGTCTGCCGAATCTGAAATCCCGCAGTAGCCATCATAATGAGGGTAATAATCATACCAAACGGCCTCGTCGTCCATCGTCACCACCCTCGCCATCGCGCCCCCATCGTTCGCAGCCCGTGACGAATAATTACCGTGCAAAACACCAGCAGACGACCCTGGACGGGTTTCTCACCGCGAAAAAGGAGGCGGGGACGAGCGAGGAAAACGGGCAACCCCCTGCCAAAAAGGCTCGTCGAGGCGATTCAGACCATCACCATCATACCACCGTGACCAAACAACCCCTCCAAAGTCGCGACTCACCCGATCCCCTCAACGTTCTCGTAACTCCGGACCGATTGCGCACGCGTCAGAGATCAAATACATATAATACAGCCGATAGCTCGACTCGGTCGACGCGGCACACAGCTCAGAAACCTATCATTATCGCCAATGACGATGTCTCTGAGTCTAAGGCTGAACAGAATGAGGCTGTTATACAGGAACAGACAGGCAGGGCTCCAGAGAAACGCTCGCTGCGGTCGCATGATGGAGGCTCGCGGTCTAAGAGCGAACTAGCAATGTACTTTCCCAACTACGAGCAGATTATCAGCCTGGAGCCCGTCAAACAAGAGTTCCTAGGTCCTGAAACAATAATCGCTTTGATAGACGATCTAACAGAACCACCTCTTCCCAAATCCCCTCCATCCTCTCCTTCTCGAACTCGCAAACAGCGGAAGTCCAATGACCAGATTTCGCCATTTGGGAACCCGTTGCTCGAGCTGTATCAGGTTGAGAAAGCCGAGCTTCCACAAATCGGAGATAGTCCCGTGGTAGTTGATCCGTTGAGCAATGAGATATACTTCAAAGCTCACCGGCGACATGAACGGCAAGAGAAGCAGCTACGGAATATCGAGAAAGAACGCGCTCAACATGAGAAGATACAATTAGATCGCCTGCTAGATGAGCTGCAGGGTCACGATTGGCTGCGTGTGATGGGAATCAGCGGCATCACCGATACAGAGAAGAAGCTGTACGAACCAAAGCGCAATTACTTTGTGCGCGAAGTCTCTGCTCTGATCGACAAGTTCCGCATGTGGAAGGAAGAAGAGAAACGGCGGAAGCTGGAACGCGAGCAAATGCTTCTCGAAGCCGCTGCCGCCGAGGAAGAGGAACAAGACGAGGAAGAAGCTCCCGACACAGAACAAAGCGAGACTGAAACTGCAGCTGAAGACGTCCAGCCCTCGTCATCAGATAACCAAAGCTATGGTACACCTCCGGACCCCAATGACGTCGACGCCTGGGCTGCCCGTCAACTGCTTCAAGAAGCGCGATCTGCATCCGGGCCGGGACCTGCCCCAGCACGACGCCGTCTAGTTGATGCTTTGACAGGATCTCCTCCCAAGCCTCAACCGCAACCGCAACCGCAGCCTAAGCATGACGAAAAAGAAGAGGAACGAAGCCGACCATTCGTATCCTTTTATCCCAAACGTCACCTTCGCGATGCCGCCATGTCTGCGCGCCGAGGCGGTCGAAATAGAACGGCATTCGGTCGACCTCTGCCGGAGATTGACCAGCACGATTTCCAACTTCCATCAGATATACTCACCGAGGAGGCCGTGGATGCAACTGAACGCAAGCGACGGCGACTGAAACGAGAGAGCAGGGGATAGTCACTTCTTTTTTCACTTATTTATCTCCATTTTAAACGATTCTAATTGATTGTATTATTTCCGCGGACTTTTCAGTTTCCTATAATGGGACGAGTCAATGCGATTTTTTCTTTCCGATGGTAGATTCTATCATGTGTGGTTTGATTTTTCTTAATTACTGTACTACGAGAAAAGCGAGCTTGACTTTATCTATGGTTTATGATATTGCATACATGTATTCATAGTGATCGATAGAATAATATTAAGCAGCAGAGTACGTATATTTCTAAGAACTTCCTCCATATGTATGCGTACATATTATTGTAATCTGTCACATTAATTTGAAATGTATCTCAGCCCTTGCTCGACTTCAACGTTTTGGGCTTTTTCTGCCGGCATGAAAACCAGAGCGGTTGTTCATTCCGGTACGTGGAACTTGAGATTGATAACAGCAAAGGTATTCGAAATATAAATCAAATTCGAAAGCAAGTTGAATATTTACAATGAACCAACGACTTCGGGAGAACAGGGAGACAATCAACTGGAAAGCCACCAAATAAAAACAGAAAATCGAAAAAGAAACCCGGCCCTGCTGACCGGTTTAGCCTCATCAACCAGCATCTTTTTATCTAAAATTAAACACTCAGGAGAATGCCGGATTGGCATTCGTCAACAACTGCTCGAAGTACGCTTGGAACCATGTACCAGCCTCAGGGGCTGGTTGCAAAGCGTCGCTATAACCGCAGTGCGCATCATAACGGGCGGAGCTGGAGTTGGAGGTTCCGTCACTTTCACCACCTGGCTTCACCCAAACGAATGAATCGAGCAGGGTGTCCCCAGTGTCGGTGCTTGGGCGTACGCCAAAGCCGGTGCCCTTGACGTTGCACCAGTCGCCCCAGGCATTTTGATCGGTGGGTTGAACACCGTTGCGGGCTAGATTTGGGTGTTAGTGTTGAGTGTTCATAGCGGTTTGGGATTTATGATGGAGTTTAAAGGCAGAGGAGGTTACCCGTGTCAGTGATAAAATGGGCGTTAAAGCCTGCGGATGAGAGGAGTGGAGCAATAGCGTTGACATATTTTTGCTCATCGCAGTTGGAGTCTCCAGACGTGTAGGATGGGCAGGTTCCAATGGTCCAAGCGTTGTAGTTGGCGACATTGGTGGCGAGACCGCGAACTGCAGCTGGGGAACTGGCGTTAGAATACACTTCGGCGAAGAGTTGGGCTGCTGGTGAGAGATTGGCGGACCATCCGAGCCAGCCGGCATGACCTATAGATTTATTTAGTCTTGATTTCCTTAACTTGGTTCTGGTGAGAAGTGAGAACTTGCCTGCATCAATGTACATCGCAACATTAGCCAGGTTGAGTTTCTCGAGAGCATAGTTGATGCACTCATAATAAGCAGACTGAGCATTAGCACACTTTGCAACGTTCAGATTGGTTACCATATTAGCTAAACTGTCAGGCTCTGCCATCATCACCAATATTAATATCAAAACTTATGTAGTAGACAACTCGAGAAAGACTGCTTACCGATGATCAGGATAGTGTGGACATCTGAGTAAGTCGTGAGCTGAGTCACGATGCTGTCAATATACGCCTTGTAATGCTCAACACCGTTGTCTGCAATAGTATACTCGCCATTACTGGCAAGGGCGGCGCAGTCACGGTCCGGAAGGTCGTAGACGACGAAAATACCGGCAAGTGGAGGACTAGCACCCGCCTTGTTCTTGGTTTGGATGTCTTCCAAGAATGTGCCCATAGTAGGAACTTTGGCAGCAGTGTCCCTGTTTTCGAGTCAGTTATCTGTAGCTTTCTATTCGTCGTAAAAGGTAAATGATGAAACATACATCCAAAAGAAAGATGGCACCTCAGCGACCTTACTTGCTGCAGCAGCGAGTGAAGTCGCTGACAGAGATGGAATCGCCTCGCTGATAACCTCAGAAGAGTAAAAAGAGTTTGCATAAAGCTGGTATCCAGAAAAAGGGTTTCCGCTAGCAGCAGCAGTTGTCGTTGCAGCAGCTAGGGCAGGAGCGGCTGTTACAGTTGTTGGCGAAGGATGCTGAATTACAGCAGCACCGACAAGCGCTGCCGTGGGGAGAAGGGAGAGGAAGCGATACATGTTGATAGACAATGTAGCTATGCTCGGTAGATTCTTAGTTTATTGTACTTCAATTTCTAGAGGATTACACAGGATTATATAGTCAGGAGAATGAATGGGCCGCGGAGTGTCGGTATGTTTCGATTTTGAGCTTACACTGTTGTGAAGCATTGCGTCAGGAAACAAAACTAAACTATAGGTTCAAGCTTGTTCATTGGGTATGGTGTTGACTTCGAAGGAATCACTACTTCCAACATGATTATTCTCAAATTGCATGGAATCTCGGGACGTGTTGATTCTGTTTTCGGAAGTGATGAGCACCATACAATCTAGATTGTCTGAGGCTTCTTCATTATCCTGCTCATGATCCCAAATAGGACATAGCCTTCAACACGAGGGCTTATATCACCCAAACGGTGACTAGTAGCCCGTATAGACCAGACTGATTCCGGGCTAGGTGAGGATTCTCGTATACATCATATGTAGTATCCAATAAAACATTTGAAGTCCGCTTTTAGACATAGTAGGCTAATCTCTATGGGTCTTTGCTCGGTGCGGGGTTGATGTGACGGTACTTAAGCTCATTTTAAACCACATCCTGCGGAATGTCGGTAATTCGGGTGGTGATGAAAGGGCCATTTACAGCAGAGATGCTCCAGGCAGGCGGCTATGAAACAAGCTTCTATCCGCAATTAGCTTAACTATTGCCTTTGTTTTGAAAAGTGTTCGTGAGAGTTACTGGCTTTGTATCGAGCATGTTATCCATGGTAGCCCCAACAGATAATGTATTTCACAAGCAAGCGTCGCACCCCCGATCTATATAAAATGGCATTTTTGGGCCCTCAGTATTTTACCACTTCTATTAGAAAATGTAGTCTGAAATTGATTTTGTAATTATTATATATTATTAATGAAAAGATATTTTAATATTAATACGATTAACCTAAAAATCATACTATAATTCTATGTATTTTTTATACGTCTTAGTTATCTCAATAATATTTTATAATTATTTAGTAAAACCAAGCATATCTAATATTAAAAGTAAGATTTATATTGTATATCAATTTCAGATTAGATCTTCTAATAAAAGTTGTGGAATATTAAGGACCCAAAAAACAATTGATGCCAGTTTTATATAGGAATCGGGGGTGCGCCGCTCACTTGTGAAATATACACATTGTCAAGAACCTGGTTTCAAACATGACGCAGTGGCTGAAAGGCTCAACCCCAAAGACGCGGACATTTTCATTGGAGAAGCACAATACTATAGGTTGTTCTAAAGCCCTTTTTATTGATTATGGTGCGAATAGAGCCCAATGTTAGCGCTAAAAAGCAGCCTGTTTTTGGAAAATAGCCGAGTGCATGGAAACTACTTAGACAAAATTCTACATGGAGGTGTAAACGCAAAACATATATAGTATGTAACTATTCTGAAACGGAATTTCTACCAGGAGATTATTTCAACATTTGAAATAGGCCCGTGCTCCTGTGGCCCTATGGAGGTGGAGACTCAGCAATGGCATCAATAACGGACTTGCGCGACAGCATCTTGCCTAACCACTCTGATACATAGGTGTAGCTTTCCTGGTTATATTTCTCTGGGTCAGCGAACATGGCAGCCATTCTCTGCCATGGGACGAACGCGAAATCAGCATAGGTCGGCTTGCCGCCGACAAGCCATGGCCCATTGTTCGAAGTACCGTGTTCCTCTTTCTGCTTGGAAAGCCATTTGTCCAACACACCCGTAATGCGGTTCACCTCATTGGTGTACCGGTCAACCGCGCTAGGCACCTTTTCAGGGTGAAATTTGATGAACCAGGACATCTGTCCGTAATACGGGCCCTGTCCGCTCGTTTGGAAGTACAGCCATTGTTTAGTGTAGTAGGCTTCTGGTGTTCCAGCTGGAAAGCTCAATAGATGCTCAGTATCGTAGCGCTCAATGATGTATTCGACAATAGCGCCGGACTCCCATAGAGTAATGTTGGTGTTCGGGTCGTAGATGGACGGTAGACGTCCATTCGGGTTGATGGCAAGATACTCCGGCTTCTTGACATCCGTGAATGGCACTAGAGTGATTTCGTAAGGAATACCGAGTTCTTTCAGGATGATATGCAATTTGAGAGGGTTAGGGCTAGGACCCTGGCCGTAAACTTTGATTGGCTTGATGTTCTGGGACATTTCGTTGCCCTCTTTTGGAAATTTATGTTAATTAGAACAGTTTGTGTGATTATTGCTGTGATGGAGTATATAAGAGGAACTGTATTTGGTTTGGCAATTCCAGTTTGAGAAAATAGATTTGTTGATTGATGGTTCTTCACGAACAAATACATATAGAGCAGGTAAACCGTGCTTTATATAGGCCCTCGTCGTTAGTGAATATTACGAACAACTGACATTCTTGCGGCGTCCGATGACAAATCTAAGTGGTTTTCTTAGAAATATCGTGCTTTCTAATATGTCAGTAAAAGTCAATATGAGCAAATAATTATTAATGGTTGCAGTAGGACAGCGATATTGAAGGAACTTTTAGTCATGCTATTCCATTTCGGGAAATACCTGCGAATTCCCAGCAAGCCAACGATCGGTGTTAGAATCTTGCAGGCCGAACACCTTATTTTGGGCTGCGGATGCCACGATTGGTGGCCGCCCGCGGTGGGGTGGGTCTTATTTTGTGAGATCCACGCCCAAATTGCAAATGTATTGTTGCCGCCCGCACTTTGCCCTTCCCTTTAGCCTGCTATCTGTCTAGAGTGAGTAATAGTGCGGCTTCGGTGCGGTTATTGGAGGATAAAATCAGCGCATAGTGCGGACAAATATCTTTGGAAATCTGTTAGATAGATACAGAGACATTCGAAACCTCCTTCATTTGTCACACACTTGGACCCATTCAAGTTGTCACTATATGTGTGCTATGATATTGAGTTGATTCTTGTATTCTTTATTTCTGTAGGTTATATAAGTATTATTTGAAGTCTGATAGGTTGTCAGATAGAGATTATAGTCTTTCATCGTATATTAGAATTATTGGATTATAATCCTTCTGTTGTTTTGATCCAGCTTAGTGAAGTGTTAAATCTAAAACTTTTTGATCTTGAGTTATATTTCTTTAGCTGGTTAAATCCTGAATTTTCTATCATCTTACATCCATTTATTGACATATCTAGCCCTGAATTTTTTAGTGTTGAAAAGTATCTATTCTTATCAGAATTGGTATTGTGAAATGTAAATAGATTGGCTTAAGCATATTTTATAATGTAATTTTAATACTTAATAATGTTAATAATTGGTTTAAATGGAATTAGAAAATTAAAAAATTCTTTTAGATATTTTTATAGCTAATGATGGAGTGGTTCCATTAATCAAAGAAAAAGAAATATAAGAATATTTATGTTAGATGTTCTACTTGTTGATAATCTTAGCAAAGCTGACTCATAGAACAGCATAGCAGACTAATACTTTTAATATCACTCAAATACAATCAATCATCAAGGCAGCCAAGGACAATTTAAAACCAGAGGGCTCTAGAACCTATAAAACAAATATGTGTGACGCTAACACACGCAGCATGTAGCTACTTATGCTCAGCCTGGCTCTAGGATTGCCCACTGAGTCAACCCCGCGCACTTAGGGCGGCTCCGGGGCTCACTGAGCCTTCAATGAGTGGGAGCAGTCCGGGATGAATATGCTGGATCTGCTCCCTGCGTGCCCCGAAACGTTCAGGGATTACGCTGAGCATGCCCTAGGTGAATCGGAATGGCTATCGAGTCTAATTGTGAGAGATAAGCTTCAATAAGCTTCGTTGAAAAGCTGTGCAACTAGACAAAGGTTATATCTGACATCGGCTTTCCTTCTCTGCAAAAACAGGAAATCTTTCTGTTGTCTCAAGATTTACTAAGAGTATGTGTTAATTTAATGACTTAGAATAGCTAAAATCAAATTTAGAAGATGTCAAGGTAAAATATATCTGATCATGCCTATGTGATTGGATATTAGTGCTGCATGAGGTTGTATTTTATTGTAAAATCTGCGCTGTAAAAATAGCCGATATGTAATGTGACCGGCCATTATAGCTGCATGAGGTAGTATTTTATTCTAACATCTACGCTGTAAATAATAAAAATATTATAAATGATAGTCCGATTTGCAGTTGGTGCATGAGGGGCATTGACCTGACTAGATACTACCAACAAGGATGGAGGCACAATGCAATCCACTTACGAAATTCCAGAGTGATCATCTTGGCGCAATGCCGTACGCCCGTAAGGTAGCTGTAAGTATAATACTCTAGAGGGAATTTCGTAGGATCTCTATCCTTGTACTCGTTTTAAACCTTGGCCAAGCTGTCTGCCTCGGTCAAAAGTCCTGGGGCGAGGAGTAGAAAAGAGCCAAGCTCCTCACCAACACAATCTTGCAGTAACAGTGTCCACATTCGATCACCGTTCATTATCATGACTACTATTTTACAGAAGCAGATAGATCTGGTCCAGCAGGATTCACACGTCTATTATGTTTCTTTTCATCGTGACTGGATTATCGGACCCAGTAAGTCGTTCTACGGAATCTATGACTGGAAGCTGATTGTCAGGCATCCATGGAGGTATTCTCGCCGCTATTCTCCAACATACCACCAAAAGACACTTCATGACCACTCTATCAGCACAGGACCAACCTGATATTCTTTCCATGCATATCGATTTCTTGCGGATGTGTACTCATGACCCCATGGTCATCACTGTGACCGATCTCAAGACCGGTCAAGGAACCAGCACAATCCAGCTACACCTCACGCAACCCGGCAGGAATCCAAATCGGCCAAAAATAGCAGCTACCGCTACAGTTACTAATTTTGACGTCTCGCTCGGCCCCAGCGCTCCTACTGACTGGAAACTGCAACCGCAGCCCAAGCCATCACCAGACTGGAAAAAGCTAGAGGCAAATTTTCCCGATGACAACTGGCTACCTGTCATTATGGATGGGGAAATATTACCCATTATGCGCCGTATGACCCAGCTCAACCCTCGTGGTGGGTTCCCGATTGCAGGACTCTGTGATATGTGGAGCTCTTTTGGCTCCGAGCGCATCGATTCCACACATCTCACCCTTCTCACAGACCTCATCGCCTCAATGTCTGACACTATTCTTCGAACAGGTGGCATGTTGGACGCACACGCTATTGGAAATGCGACAGAGGCATGGGCCGGTGAAAATCCTGGTATTCCGCTTCGACTATCTAATTCATTGGAGCAAGCGCAAATGGGTGGAATGTGGAATTCGACACTGACGCTAGATATCGAATTCAAGCAGAGATTGCCAAAAGAGGGAATCGAGTGGGCCTTTTCGAGGGTGCTCACCAGGGAGCTCAAGAGTGGAAGGATGGATGTTGAAGTCACGATATGCGACCAAAGCATGTCACCAATATGTGTGGCGCGACACATGGTTATTGTACTAGGTGCAGCAAGGATGTTTGACAATCACAAGCAAAATCGAAAGGATGGAGGCAGCGTGCTCTAATTATTTCGCAGCAGAGTCACTAAAAATCAAGACTTTTTAGAAGCAACAACATGAAGCAGAGTCACAGCAAGAATATATTGCCTTCGAGATCCTGACAGCGGACCGGTTGCATAGCCATTCTCATGGTGTAACTATGGAAAACTCCCATTTTCATTTTTGGAACTAGCAGAATTCTATTTCCTATGATTCACTATGACTAAAAGACATCTGTCAGATTTATCAGGTTCCTGATTCATTACTTGTAATCCTTGTAATATTAAATTCTCATTTCGTTCTGTTAGACAGCGATGGTGCATAGAGTCCCTTAGCAAACAAAGCCTGCCTCATCGAAGTTGAAGAGATCTTTAGGTAGAATACCATACTGCAATATAACCTCTCGTGCAGAGTCAAAGTCCTCTTGAATTATCTTCGGATCTTCACACTGGGCCCGCTCATCGTTATATCTCCGCGAGAGTCGCGATTTAGGCTTTGAACGACGCTCAACCAGACTGTATACCCATTTCTCTCCAACCTGTTGATTTCCATTTTGTGCAAGAAGATAATCAGTCATTTGTCGTACCACCGATATGCGGACGTCCAGGTGGCGGCTGACGGCGGCTGATGCGCGTCGCCAGCTTCGTCGCCATCAAAGAGTGCCCACCGAGGTCGAAGAAGTTGTTTGTGATGCCAACCTCGACCCCGAGCAGGCCCGCGAACTCTTCGCACAGCGCAACTTCTGTCTCACTGCGTGGAGCCACGCGTTCCGATGCCACCTCACTACCGTTCAGTGCAGTGTGGGCACATCACAACACTTACTGTAGATACATCACTAGACTATACCAATATTAACTGATTCTAACGATAGAGCAGTATGCTTAAAATACTAGAATAAAACACAGCCCATGCAGCTATAATGTTCAGTCACATTACATAGCTAAGTATGTTTACAGCGTAGATAGTGAAATAAAATACAACATCATATAGCAATAATGTCCAATCAAAATATACAAACAGATATATTATTAGCTTAATCTGATTAGTCTAAAAGATTGCAGTTCTAGCTTAGAATTAAAGTCCTAGGCAGATCACAATTTGGAATAGAATTTCATGTAAATTAAAGATAGTATTAGGTACCTACATACTGTGCCATACATAATCAACGAAAATGATGGGCTGCCTTCAAGGACGAAGCCCCAAAAGTCTTCGAATTTCCGAGCATAAATAAAGAACGAACAACCTCTGCGTGCTTATATGAGTGAAAAGCTGAGAGTATAAATTATGCTCATTGCCTTTTTGGGAAGGTATGAAGGTCATTTCTCTGACATCCACGTGGATCACTCCCACACGAACGGACGGTCATCATTAAATAGAGTATCAACTTAAAGCAGCATTACGGTATCGATGGGTGACCTTAGAAACCCTGACGATATGTAATCAATACCGCACCATCTCAGTATCGACATGAACAGGCTCCATGGGTGCCGAAATTTTGGGTGGCTCGCTGAGGTAGGTTCCTGTCGCAGCTATAACACCTGCCGCGGACAGGTAAGTGCAGATGCGCATTTGCGTCCCGAAAGACGCGGCGTATACTCGTGTGACGGCCGCACGATCACTAGGGCTCAGCTCCGCTATAGTCGTTAGCGATTGTTCCAAATTGTGAAGCTGGAATGGTGTGAGGATGCCGGCGAGTTCGGTGTTAATTTTGTGATTTAGGACGATGGTTGCGATGGAGAGGCCGATGCTGCCGCCAAAAATGCGGGCTTGGCTTATTGCACCTTGAGCTGCCGCTGGAACGGTGATGGCAGTTAGAATTCTGCAAGCAGTCGCGAGACCTTGCAACTCACCAATGTTTTCCGGTTTGTTGGCTAGATTGGCCATCATAGTAACCGAAGAGAAGGTTAGGCCCGTTCCGAGGCCTAGTATGAACTGGTAACCGTATATGGCCTTGTTTAAGGTGAGTGTGTCGGATACCGTGGACATGAGTCCGCAACCGAGCAGGATCAGACAGGTTGCGAAGATCAGAGTATGGGAGGTCAGATTCTTTCTGGTAGAGACCGCACCACCAACGCCGCCTCCTGTCAAAAGCAGTAATCAGCTATTCTTCCAAGTCAACAAAAGTCCTGATATGTCACGCTTACCAAGAGCCATTGAGCATAGAAGAGGTAATAAATGCACTCCAGCCATTAGTGGCGTAGCTCCGTTGACAATTTGGAATCTTTGCGGCAGATTGATGATAGAAATGAGATACGGGAATCCTGTCAGGAAGATTGCCCTGGGGTAGTCAGTCACGGAGTTCGAAGTAAATCTCACTGGACAAGTTTACACGATAGCAGGACCTGTTGGCCGAGTCAATGCAATGGTGAGAGGGAAGATCGCCCGCATTCCACGTGGTCCTTCGCCAAAAGAGAGCCACGAGATCCACCCAAAAAATGCACACCAACAGACAGCCGAGATAGCCAACGCTGAGATAATAGCAGCACTGTTCCAAGCGTAGGCCGCGGCGCCAGCTTCTTGAAGCGCGAAAACTAATAGCGTTGATGCTGCCAGTAGGAGGATGGCGCCGAGATAGTCAACTTTATGAAAAGACCGCAACGGGTTTTTGGCAATCTCGGAGTTTGATTTTGGCCGAGGCCAGCAGACCAGCAGGCTGAATATCCCGAACGCGGTACATGGGGCGTTAAAGAGGTATATCCACCGCCAGGTGGACTCAGTTGTGATCACACCTCCCAAGATTGGACCTACAACGATTAGAAATCAGATGTGTAATGGGAATATGCCATTTCTGAGTTACCCAATATTGATCCCACTGCAACTGTCATTCCTATCATCGCACTAAAGGAGCCATAATGTTTTATGGGTGTGATTTCTGTTCCGACAACCATAACCATGGAATACAAGCCTGAACCACCTATACCTTGAAGTAGGCGGAAACCGATGAGTTGGTTCAGCGTTTTGGCCAGACCGCTTCCAAGAGAAAAGGCCCCGAAGAAAATCCATGCGATAATTGTCGCTTCTAAGCGGCCTATACCGTCACTCATCCGAGTGAAAATCATGGCAAACCCTGCGAAAACTCAGCCCCCTGGAAGTTTTAAGATAATAGACAATGGTATTAGATAAGACGGCTGTGGTAATTCTTGGGCGGTCATGTCTGTACTGAAGTATTCATACTGAATCCTTGTTTACAATAAGAACGTACGCACCCATATACGAGAGCAAGTAAGCCAGAACTACCCATGTCACCTGGAGTGGTTGTCATCGTTGTGTTGATGGGGTCTGATAGTGGATGTCTAGGAACACACCTTGATGGGGTCACCAAAATAGTTGCCAATTGAAACAAGAGCAGTAGCGGTGATCGAGGTCTCGATAACTGCCAGGAGCAGCCCAAAGGCAAAGCTAACGATACCTTCAACTGCCGTTGCCGAGAGAAAAAGAGTCGCTTTTGGAACGTGGTGGTTCACCTGCAAAGTATGACGACCAAGCGCCATCCCCGTAGTGGCTCAGAAGCTACACTCGAAGAATTTTCCTGATTTGGACCTTGCCGAGACTGAACGTCGTTACCCTCGCTCGGGGAAGTCATGGTCATCGTATATACAGTTTTCAAGGCAAGAAATGATGTACGGTATCTATATACAGACAGCTCATTTGAATCGAGGCGATTTGGGCGACGTTTGTAGAGTTCGTGGTGGATGATTGCAATGGTAGAGGTAGTAGACCGAACTCCCTATCCCGTAACTCTGGAGTTTTGAAAAAAAATCTTTCTTAAGTAAGACAAGTCGCAGTGCACAGGGTGTGTTTCAAGTGGTCCAGAACAGACACGAAGTGGAGGTCCTTCATTCACAATTACGGCATGTTGGGTGGATTGTAAATTAAATACTGGATTCTCGCATTGGTCAGTTTTCGCGCCGACGACTACATATGTAGCGTCAAATATGTAGGACTCCCAGTAATTGTCTGCATGACTTGCCAATAGAGTATCAGCTGGACACTGGTTACCCCTCCACCGTGTGTGTGCCCGACAGTTTTTCAGGGATCAGTGGCACAGCAGGCTACCGGCCCCGGCCACCATGGCCATGGTAACGCGGATCCAAGCAACTTTGACGTGGGCCGTCAGGGTCAAATGCATCGCCCGCCCTCTTGGTCGAGCTGTCACAAGCTAGGCCACATAAGTATCTCAAGTATGGGCAGCATCGGTAACTTCTTCGATACAAGGTTACAATGACGACGTAGATTTGGTAGCAGCGACTCCTTGGCGCAGGCCCGTTTCCGTTACTGAAGCTTCGACCTTAGTAAATGGAACTCCTACTGCGACCATAGGAATAGTGGCTTTTTGCGATTTGCGCATACTTGAAAGGCAATCCAGGTTCTGCTAGGTGTAGACTAACTACACAGGGTCTGAAGGCTGCAGTTTATACCAATTAACACGTGCAATGAAGGCCCTCAGGATCATGGAGAGGAAGACCGTCCAAGTTGTCGACCACTTACCCGTTCCAAGATTGCGGATTGGATACCTCTTAGTACGAGTTGTTTGTGTGGCTCTGAATCCTTGCGATGCAAAAGTTGTCTTCCAGGAAGATTTGGCTGGAATGAACTTTGGGACCGACTATTCTGGCATCGTCGCAGAGACTGGGTATGGGTACTCCAAAGACTGGCAAAAAGGCGACAGAATATTTGGTGTCATAATGGGAGCGAATCCCTTGCAACCAACTGATGGAGCTTTTGCCGAATACGCAGTTGTGAAGGCAGACGTGCAGTATCGAATGCCTCACTATATGACATTTGAAACTGCGGCGTCACTTGGGGTTGGCTTGGGAACTGCGGCACTGGGAATTTGCCACAAACTGAATCTTAAGATCAACCTTGATGACGAAGATGATACCAAAGACCAAGGGAACAAGCATGTATTTATATATGGGGGAAGCACCGCGACAGGCACCATCAGTATACAACTTCTTCGACAGTAAGCCCCGTAGTTCTATCTGACACGTTGCCTATAGTATTTGATTGTCTACTGACACTCACAGAGCTGGGTATATCCCGATCACCACTTGTTCACCTAAGAATTTCGATCTTGTCAAGTCCTATGGTGCAGAAGCAGCTTTTGACTATCAAGACCCTCGATGTGGCCAGAAAATTTTGAGCTTCACCAGAAGCAAATTCACCTGTGCCTTTGACACGATTTCGGACCGTCAATCCGCAAGACTCTGTGCAGACGTTCTCTCTAATGATCCCAGCTCCGCATACTGCTCAACACTGCCTGTATCGGAACCATTCCAGAAGAAAGCGATTGTGCCAAAGAGATTGCTACTCTGGAGTGGCCTTGGGGAACCTATTAATTTCATGGGGTACACCTTACCAGTCGTATTCGAGGATTTTGCGTACTTAAAGGAATGGACATTCCTAGCCGAAGCACTACTGGAGGAGAGGGAGTTGACCTCCCATCCAGTACGGTTCATGCATAATGGCTGGGAGGGCATTTGGAAAGGATTAGAAAGGATTCAAAACAGTCAAGTCTCGGGGGAGAAACTTGTGTATACTCTCAGCAATCCATAGTGCACAATAAGACTTCAATTTTCTATTCAGACTAAAACCACTCGTCTGCAAGCACATCTGGCATTCGTTACGCCAGTTGTTGAGACCTTGCCACAGTTTTCTCGAATAGCTCCTTAATACGTAAGATATCTGTTCTGTCTCTCGGAACATCATGGCCTCCCTTGTGCTCGTATACCACTCGAGTTTTGGCATTACAAAGTTCCGCCATGCGCTTCGAGCCTCCATACACTTCATCTGCCTTTCCCAACACATGTAGTGTAGGAATCTGTAGTCGTGTCTGCGTTACATCCGGATGGTAAACTCGGGTATAGTAGTTTCGGCGATCGAATACCTTGCCAGCGAGCCATCCTGGAATGAGTGGATGGAGCGCCGGATTGATACCTGTAGGATCATCTGGATCGGGTCTGTCATCTGGATGTTCCGCGGCCCATGCATTAAAGCTTCTAATGTCTTCAATATCTGGTGGCACTAATCTATGTGCTAGGATCCAGTCTGTCACTTCGATCCCTTCTTCCTGGTCGGCTGACCAAGGGAGGTTGCCACCCCAAAAAACCATAAATCGAAACAAAGGTGGCATCAATGGGTAATGCTTTTGACGCTTGAGCATCAAAGATAAAGGAACATAACCTCCCTATGCAATTTGTTTCTCAGTCCACACCGACCATAATTGGGTCAGAAGCTAGCTAGAACTTACCATACTAAAGCCCATGAGGCCATCAAAGGGTCCCTCCTCCTCGATCAGATTCAAGAACCACTCATGCAGCTCATTCATTCGGGAGACACTGGGAACGAGGAAGAACGTAAAGTACGGACCAGGATAGAGATTTTTGATACTGGGTAGAGGAGCACATTCCAACTCTGCGTCATGAAACACCCATTCCCATGAATTTGGAAGGAGTGATCTCAAGGCAGCTTCCCCATGTAGATTTTAGCGCAAGAATAATTACGAGAAAGGGCATGGTATTGTTACTTGTTTGTGATTCAAAGATCTCGGAGCTAGAGCCTCCGCCATGAATGCAGAGGATGCGAAGCATGGTATTCCACTCACTTGGTGAAAATGCTGTGGCAAAGGCGAGACAGCTCAATAAAAAGAAGGGAAGATTGAGGATTAGACATAAAGGATAGAAATTCAGATAGCCAAGGCTCTTAATATTAATTCAGTTGCATACGAGAGCCGAAGCCGGAACTATCCAGTTTGGACCTTGTTCTGACAAGTACGTGTAGCACAACATTTAGGCACCTAGTACTAGCATTAATTCATACAAAATTCTATTCCAAATCATAATCTACCCAGGATTTCAGCATTAAGCTAGAACTGAAACCGTTTGAACTAATCGGATTAATCCAACAATATCTCTACTCGTGCACATCTTGATCGGACATGATTACTGTATAATATAATATTTTCTTTCATTATCTATGCTGCAAAACATACTTGAATATGCAATGTAACCGGACATTATAGCTGCATGAGATATTTGATTCCAATATCTGCGCCGCAAAACATGGATATGCCATGTAACCGGACATTATAGCTGCATGAGATATTTTATTCCAATATCTGCGCCGCAAAACATACCTGGATATGTAATATGACCGGACAGTATAGCTGCATGAGATATTTTATTCCATTATCTGCGCCGCATATTTGCTTGGTCATACATATCAGGGTGGGCGGTATAATTTATAACTGAGTTCAATGGGAGGCGCCATAATTAAGAACTACTGTAAACGCCCCAGCCAACCGGAGATAATTCTGCACCAACTCATAATGTAGGTGAACCTGGGTGCTTGAGAACTCAAGTGCCACTATCTACAGCGGCCGTGCCATCCTTTCCAGATCATGAAGTCTTTGAGTCGATGTTTGGCCACAAATCAGCAACCTTGTAGGGAGCACTCTGTTGGTTCACAACAAACAATTAGCTGTGAGATAACATGTAATAGACAAACATAATCCACTCTAGTCTTACCTGCCTTGTTCTTCGCCTTGGAACGCACGACTGCCCTGATAGGACCGCTGCCCCATGTTAGTCGAGCCACCCCAATAGCTCGATAAATTCACTAATAGGCGTATCGCGGTTGTAAATTCAGACGCAATCATTATCGTCCCTGCTCAGGAATGACTGGACCCAACTGGCACTGTACGCATCTCCTATATAAGTAGTACCTGATACCAGGCAATGAGTTCAACATTCTGGAATTTCGAGTTCCTCAAAAACCATTTCCGACACTAAACTCAACTTTCGAAGACTACGTGCTCTCTACAAGGCTACTATATTCAGTATCTCTTGAAGATCAATCAACCATGAATTCTCAACAGAGGATAGCAGATATTGCCGTTATAGGTATGGGCTGTCGGTTTCCAGGCGACGCCAAATCCCCCGTTGAATTCTATGAAATGCTCTTGAAGGGACGGTCAGGGTTGTCAGAAGTTCCCAAGGATCGTTTCAGCATCGATGCGTACTGGCACCCCAGCTATGATCGCAAGGGTTCAATCGTGAGCCGAGGGGCTCATTTTTTAACTGAAGATGTGAGCCTTTTCGACGCTCCAGTGAGTCCCCCATCTCTCTCTTAAGCCTGAATCTCAGTGCTGACTACAATGCCAATTAAGTTCTGTAAGATGTGTCCTCACTCATAGCCCTTCTTTATTTCAAAATAAACACCTCCTATCCTATCTGCCAGGAGTTTGAGCTAATATAGCAAGTCTCCATGGCTCCAGGAGAAGTCAATGCAATGGATCCTCAGCACCGCCTGTTGCTTGAAATCACATATGAATGTCTTGAGAACGGTCGGTCCAATTACAGGATTCCATTTGGAGTTGGTGGCTGACATATATTAGCCGGTATCTCCGTATCCAAGGTTGTTGGTTCTGACATGTCCTGTTTCGTGGGAGGATTCACAAGAGGTATGTATTTCTGAATACTAGGGGCGTGAATATGTCGCTAATCTGGGCCAGAATATGACACTGTGACTGCCAATGACTTGAATGATACACTGTTGTACACCACAACAGGCAATGGTCTGACAATGATGTCAAATCGTCTCAGCTGGTTCTATGACCTTCGCGGCGAATCTTTGACCTTGGACACAGCTTGCTCGAGTTCGTTGGTTGCTCTCAGCCTCGCATGCCAAAGCATCAGAAATTCAAAAAGTGGCAGCCGACAATCACTGGTAGCAGGATCCAACTTGATTTTGGTTCCTGACCAGATGACCACGATGAATCCATTGCACTTTCTCAGTCCAGATAGTCAGTGTTTCTCTTTTGATGACAGAGCCAATGGGTACGTCCGTGGTGAAGGTATCGGCGTCCTTATGCTCAAACACATTGACGATGCCATTCGTGACGGCGATTGTATTCGTGCCGTGATAAGAAACGTTGTGTGCAACCAGGATGGTAAAACTCCTGGCATCACCTTGCCAAGCTCAGAAGCGCAAGTCACTCTGATGCGCAAGGCATATGATTCGGCCCATCTATCCACGGACGTAACAGGGTATTTTGAAGCCCACGGAACGGGCACTGGTACGTTACGCTTGTTACTTCCTTCCGCTCACAGCTAATCGTACTTTATTTTAGCGGCAGGTGATCCATTGGAAGTTTCAGCTATCGCCTCAGTATTTGACCGCGCGAAACCTGGATGCCGTCCCTTGTTGATCGGTTCTGTGAAGCCTAACATCGGTCATTTGGAAGCAGCTGCAGGTATGGCCGGCCTCATTAAGACGATTCTGGCTCTGGAATCTGGTGTCATCCCACCGAATATTAATTTCGAAAACCCAAACCCAACGCTGGGGCTTGCAGACCGGAACCTCAAAGTCGTGACAGAACCAACCCCTTGGCCCACTAGCGGTCTGCGTCGAGCTTCTGTTAATTCCTTTGGTTACGGTGGGACCAATGCGCACTGCGTTATCGATGATGCTTATCACTATTTGGCTACTCGAGGAATATTCGGTAAATCCCGCACGAAGCCATCACCTGCAGGCATGATAGCAAATGGAACGTCGTCTGAGAACTCTAGTCAAGCTCCGCTTAATGGCTCGAAACCCAATATTGGCCGGCTCCTTTTGTTCGTCATATCTGCTCCAGAACAATCAGCTCTGGAACGGATAGCGGCATCACAAGCTGCATACCTTCGAAATCTTATGGCCTCGGAACCCGAAACCGTTGACCAGGTGCTGAAGGAACTTGCCTTCACTTATAGTAACCGTCGTAGCGTGTACCAATGGCGGACAAGCATTGTCTCTGAAAATAGCAGAAACCTGACTATATCTCTCGAGCAAGTAAATAAAGGAATTCGTTCAAGGAAAGAGCTACGAGTACTCTTCTGTTTCACTGGACAAGGAGCACAATGGTATGCCATGGGAAGAGAACTCCTCTTCTATGAAGTTTTCGCGACATCAGTATCAGATGCCGACCGATATCTATTGTCAATTGGTTCGCAGTGGAGTGTTCTCAAGGAATTAACTGCTTCTGAAAAGTCTTCAAATATCAACAGCCCAAGATTTGCGCAACCACTGTGCACTGTTTTGCAGATAGCTCTAGTGGACTTATTGAGGCACTGGGGCGTCATGCCAAGCTCAGTTATCGGACACTCAAGTGGTGAAATAGCTGCTGCTTATGCTCTTGGTGCGCTCTCCGCCGAGGACTGCTGGAAAGTTGCATTCCACCGGGGTCGTTTGGTAGAAGAGATGGGCTCTCTACACCCCGCACTCAATGGAGGCATGCTTGCCGTTGGTTTAGGCCAGGCAGAAACCAAGGCCTACATCGAGAAGCTGTCATTATCAGAAAAGCAAACCCTAAGCATCGCCTGCGTAAATAGTCTGGAGAGTGTCACTGTATCAGGAGACAAGGTTCTCATTGACCAGCTAGAAGAGGTACTAAAAGTGGAAAAGATCTTCGCACGGAAGTTGGCTGTAGAGAATGCCTACCATTCGAAGCATATGGAGCTTATTGCAGTGCAATACAAGCAATCTCTACAAGATATCAAGATACAATCCGGTCACGAAAAAGTGTCTATGTTTTCAAGCGTTACCGGAAGCAGAATCAAACCTGAAGAACTAGGTGCTGATTACTGGGTGCGCAACATGGTTGCACGGTCTTGTTCTACAATGCCCTGGAAGCCACTTTCCAGGCAGCAACGGGAGCGAGACGAAGAAGCAGCAAGGCGTCTGCAATAGATATTGTACTTGAAATCGGTCCTCATGCAGCACTTGCCGGACCAATCAGACAGTCGCTACAGCAGCTCAACATGGCAGACAAGGTCACCTATGCGTCGATGCTTCGTCGCAAGGAGTGCAGTCACCGTGCAGCAATCACAGCAATGGGAATGCTTTGGGCCGCAGGAATAAAAGTCATCGTAGAAAATGTGAACAGCTTCTCAAGAGTACCGCAACAACAGATTCCGCTAATAGACCTACCAAAGTATCCCTGGAATCATGAAGCTAGCTACTGGCACGAGAGTGCTCTCTCGAAGAGTTTGCGGTTCCGGCATGCTCCAAGGACGGATCTTCTTGGAGAACCCGTACGGGAATTTACAATGTTGGACCCCGGGTGGAAGAACTATATTCGTTTATCTGAGCTGCCATGGATCTCGCATCATTCGGTCCGAGGCAACGACGTCTTTCCTGCTGCTGGTATGGTATGTGCTGCCATCGAAGGAGCCAAGCAGATCGCAGACCCGACTAAACCGATCAAAAGATTCGAATTAGCTGATGTAGTCATCAGCCGAGCATTGATCATTCCAGTGTCTGACCCCGGCATTGAAGTCTTCACAAGGCTCAAACCGCAAAGACATGGGCCCAAAGGTGCAACTTCCTGGTACGAGTTCACCTTCACCTCACTAGATGCATCAACCGGGCAAGAGCGTAAGTACACAGAGCATTGCTCGGGCCTAGTGAGGACCATCTACGAAGATGGAAGCGAGACCACAATGAAGGAGGACAAAGCGGCCGTTCAAAGAGATCAAGAGGAATACCATAGAGCATATAAAACCTGTGAACAAAATGTCACAGCAGAAAAGCATTATGAAGCGACTGCAAAAATGGGGATTGTTTATGGTCCATCGTTTCAAGGAATTAAAACAATCAAGGCAGGACACAACCAAGCCACATTCACGGTCGAACTCCAGGACACACAAGCGACTATGCCAGCGAACTTTGAATATCCGTTTGTTATTCATCCAACCTTGCTGGATGCTGCAATTCAATCTGCATACCAAGGACTGACCCATGATCGAACCAGTGAGGTTGGGGACGCAGTCGTTCCCACTGAGTTTAGAAAATTGAGTATTTCTGCAAATATCCCGAGTACGGCAGGCACGGAACTTGTGGGGTTTGTCAATTCCATTTGGATTAGTCCTAAGGATTGCGCTGCGACCATTAAATTAGGGTCCAAGCACTGGTCTGAGACGATGCTTGAGCTTGAAAACTGTATCTTTACCGGCCTCGGAGACTCAACTACGGATATGTCGCATGATCCATCAGTGGTAGACCGGAGACTTGCCTCAAAGAACCTCTGGAAACCAGCTATTGATCTACTTGACCTAGCTGGCGAACATGCACAACGAATTCTCGGCAAAGACGTCGAATCGCCGGAGTCATTAAGTTTGGCCGAGGCTGCCTGCACGCAAGCATCTACTATCTTTATTCAACGCGCGCTAAGATCCCTCACCCCAGAAATCGAGGCTTCCCTGACTGGCCACTGGATCCCGTACCTCGAATGGCTTCGCGGTAAATACAAGGCAGCCTTGGATGGTACATTGCCTTACCAGGATGATGCGAAGGAAGATTGGCTAAACATGACATATGACCGGGAGGAAGAGTTTCTCGAAGAATGCAGACAGCTCTATCCTGCAGATATCAACCTTCTCTACGCTGTAGGCACGAAACTAGCTGAAATTATCGACGGCTCGCAGCCACCGCTACCAGTTATGCTTGTGGATGATATGTTGACCAAGGTCTATGCTGATGCACATGGAATGGCATCTGGACTCGGTATATTCAAGCAGTGGTTCGATCTCATGGGCCACAAAAAACCTGACATGAAAATTCTTGAAGTCGGAGCGGGTACAGGATCCGTCACATTGCCGGTGTTGGAGATACTTGTAAGTCGTGACAATCGTACACCTCGTGTCAGCTCCTACACATTCACCGACATTTCGAGCGGATGGTTCGAAAGGGCGCAAGAGCTATTCGAACCCTGGGCGGGTCCCTTAAAATACCAGAAGTTAGACATCGAGCAGGATCCATTGACACAAGGATTTGAGCCGGAATCTTTCGACGTTATCGCTGCGAGCAACGTCTTGCATGCTACGAAGCGTTTGGATATCACGTTGGCTAACTGCTACAAATTGCTGAAACCAGGAGGCAAAATCATCATAGGAGAGCTTACATGGTGCCCAACTCAGGTGGGTTTAATCTTTGGCACGCTACCCGGATGGTGGCTCTCTGAGGATGGCAGAACTGGTGGCCCTGTCATCGGCCAAGAAGAGTGGGACAGGCATTTACGAAAGTGCCAATTCACCGGGCTCGACATGGCAATCGCAGCACAGGACACCCGTGGCGCAAAGATGCTCTCCGTAATGGTATCTACCAAATTTGTTCATCCGAACTATCCATCACTGCAGAAAGTGGTTATCATCGAACCATTGATACAATCAGAAGTCGGCACGGCGATCCTTGCTGGTGTCGAAGCTGCCTTCGAAAGTGAGGCCATCGAGACTACAACCGTGAGCATAAGCGAAGCAGGCTTTCTAGCAGATGCTAATCAACTAAACAAAGACAACGTTGCAACTGTGTGTCTAGTTGAAGCCGTAACTCCTGTATTCGCACGGCCTACCCTGGAGGTCTTCGAAAACGTACGCAAGGTGATCACAAAGAGTAATGCTTTGTATTGGTGCGCCTGCAACAACGCACCAGATGGAACAGCCCCACCGGAAGCTTGCGCCATTTCTGGTCTGCTTCGAACGGCAAGATCAGAGTTTCCTCGTCTGAGACTTCACGAGATTCACTTACATGATCGTAGAGTTGACGAAGCCCATGTTTGTGGAGGACTCATTCAGCGCACCGTACAAACGACCTGGGCAGCTCAAGATCACTACGTGCATGAGAATGAAATATCAGAGAGGGGCGGCATCCTCGCAATACCAAGAATTGTGGATGATGAGCCTCTAAACAAGATGTTGCGCAATATTGGCAAACCCCCAAAGCTACAAGAACAATTAATTCTGGGGCGAGGTCGACCAGTCAAACTCCAAATGTCCAAGAACAACAAGGTTGAGGGTCTTCACTTCACAGAAGACAAAGAGGTGGTTTTACCGCTCCTTGAGGATTTTGTCGAAGTTGAAGTCAAAGCCAATGGAATCAATGCCATCGATGTTGAGGTTGCATCCGCCAGAACCCCAGGTCTTCATATCGGCTATGATATCTCTGGAATCATCTCAAAAGTAGGGTCTCATGTTCATCGACTCCGCATTGGTGACAGAGTTGCCCTCACACGCCAAAATTCATTCCGCTCTCATGTACATGTCCCTGAATATGTCCCTCAGGTCATCCCTTCCAATATCAGCCTGGAGCAGGCGGCTGCCATTCCATTTACCTATGTAGCAGCTTATCACGGTATCTTCGAGCTTGGCCGTGTCTCAAAGGGAGAGAAAGTTCTTATTACCCAAGCGGCCGGAGGCCTCGGAAATGCTCTAATCACTCTTTCGCAACATGCTGGAGCTGAGGTGTATGTCACAGCTGCCTCAGCCGAAAAGCGCAAATACCTCGAGCACCAATTCAACATCACACCGGACCATATTTTTGATTCTTCGAGTCCATCGTTGATGCGAGCAGTCAAACGCCAAACTAATGGCGAAGGTTTCGATATCATTTCGAATACTCTCGGCGGGGAACAACTGCTAGCATTGTGTAGCTGTATCGCTCCATTTGGCCGATTTTTGAATTGGAACCAGGACGACGTGAAGGCCAACGCATCCGTCCAGTTGAGATGCCTAGGACAGAATATCAGCTTCTCGTGTGTTGATATGCCAAAACTACTGGAGAAAGCTCCTCAGCGTGCATCCCGCATATTGGCGCAAATCTTCTCATTGCTCCAAAGCAAGGCCATCAAACTCATCGAACCTACTGTGTTCGATTACTCTAACCTACAAGAGGCGTTTGCAGCAGCTCAAGACCGCAAGCATATTGGAAAGATTGTTCTTCGACTAAGAGAAACTTCAAGGGGTTTGGGAGTGCCTTACGACTCGCATCCTCTGGAGATACGGCCTGATGTCACTTATGCGATCTCTGGCGGATTGGGAGGTGTGGGCCGTGCGGTCGCATGCTATCTTGCTGATCACGGAGCCAGGCACATTGCTTTGCTGTCCAGATCAACAACAGTCAGAGGACTTGCCGTTGAAACAATCAAGTATTTGAAGGATTTGAACGTGGACGTTCAAGTCATTCCTTGCGATGTCACTATTAAAGAAGCAGTGCAGAAGGCACTAGACACGATCAACAGCAATATGCCTCCAGTCAAAGGTGTTATCCACGGTGCAATGCAGTTGAATGACGGCCTTTATGAAAATATGACATACGAGCAATGGACATCTGCCACCAAACCAAAAATCGAAGGCACATGGAATATGCACGATGTGATGCCGAAAGATTTGGACTTCTTCATTATGCTCTCCTCGATCGCCGGAATTTGCGGCAACCCTGGACAATCAAACTACTCTTCCGGAAACAGCTATCAAGATGCAATGTCTCATTATCGACGAAGCCTCGGACTGAGAGCCTGCACCATCGACGTTGGTGGTGTCGGCAGTTTCGGATGGCTTGAAGAAAACAAAGATGGTTCGACCTTCGTGGAGGTGGTGAAACATCTGATGATCAACCCCGATGAGTTTTTTATCATATTCAAGAGTGCTGCCACTGGTTACACTTCCTTCGATAACCCTTGTCCAACCCAATTGATTACAGGTATTGGCACAGGAGGCATGAGTGCCGTACACGTGGCGGCTGGCGGCAAGAATGATTACTTCTGGTTAATGATGCAGGGCCGGTTCGCTTATCTCAAGCAGCTGGATGCCCAATCAACTAGCATGCAGCTCCCTGACTCTGGTGGAGGACAATTCAAGACAAAGCTGGCTGCTGCGACTTCGACATCGGAGGGAGCCATCATTGTACAAGGCGCCCTTGTAGCGAAACTCGCCAAATATGTAATGACAGCGGCCGAAGATATTGACACTAATCTCCCTGTTTCTTCCTATGGTGTTGACTCTCTTGTCGCCGCCGAATTGAGGAACTGGTGTGTAGCTGAAATCGAGGCTGAAGTCTCTGTTTTCGAATTTTTAAATGCTATACCGATTAGCACTCTGGCATACCAGATTGCAGAGAAAAGCACATTGTTACCTGTGATGGTGGAAAGAAACTGATTCGGTGCCAGGAAGGATCATAATTGCGGTATGTACTTGATTAGGTTGTATAAACTTCTGGCTTTTGATCAGTTCCGTTGACAAGGGTACAACGGACGCGCTTCGGATTTGATACGCGGTCATTAGGCAGAGGTGGAAGAGATTATAATGGCTGTCGCGAGATATTTACATATCAAAAAATTAATCTATTTTCTCTAAGTAGATAATAAGTATGTGTCAAATGGAAATCTCGCTCCTGGGCAGCGTATTCAACCCGACGCGAGTGGCTTCCGCTCGCATCCTACTGCAACTACCACGCCGATCTGCCCCGCCTTGACGACACCACGGGCGCCGGTCAAGGGAGTTGGGGGTTTTTGAGCGACGAAGCACAAGCGACCTGTAGTCTAGCTGAAATTTGTTTAGTAGAAGTGTTTGTAGATGGGATCATCCGCAAAGCGACAGTCGGGGAACACATTCAGCACCTTGACGAAGGAGGAGGGGTTGGAATCTGGAAGATTATGATTCCTCGAACATTTGGGTAGGATGAACATTTAAACCTGGAATAGGATACATTAGGGCCTTTATAGCACATCAATGCAGAACGGCTCGATCGTCTCAAGTTGCTCGTGTCGATGTTTCGGAATGCCTCATACATCATTTGGACAGAAGATGCATATCGGCGCTATCTAGCGTAATCGCTCTGCGGAGTATTCAGAATGAGTGTCTCTCTAGGGGGGCTGTAGCTGTTCATCAAGAATCGTCGGCGGGTTCAAAAGTCGCCTGAGTCGAGCGTGCCTTATTGTATGGCTCCTCGATTGACTGACAATTGAATTGAGGCCCCTCAGCGCATATCTGTCCGTTAGGGAGTAACCCCCCTTCAACTAGCCCAACGATCTTCATAGTTCCCGACCAGTCTATACACGCACACCCAGTGCCCACCGACTGCCCAGGTGGTAGCAGCAGCAGCTCCGACTCCCTCAGCAAGACGCCGGGAGCATTCCAACTTTTAATAGAACCTCGCGGAAGCTTTCTTACAGCACAGAATTCGACAGAAATAGACCATCAGATCCTCCCAAGATCGGTGCAATTGGCACAGAGTCAGTTACAATGAGGTGATACTTTACTACTATAATTACAGTGGAGCATATGCTCGGCATTAGTAAAGCTACCCGCTGTCACTAAATTCTCTATTAGGTACGCGCCCCACATAGCCACCCCGCACGAGCTTTTGGTACCCCTGGTCACCTGCAACCTTGTACCTCTTCGTTTCTTTTCATTCTTTGGAAATCAGCCATTTCCGCTCAGTTGAGACTCTGCCTTCAGTCGCTACGGAGTCGCTATGCTAGACGAAAAGCAGCATGAAGCCTCCACAAGGAACGCCGCTCGACCCGACAATGCGGAACCCAAAGACGAAAGCGCCCCCAAGGAGGTCCGACTGCTCGATCGCTTCACATGGGCCAACTTCACCTGCACTCAGTCTACCGGCGGCGTGGCCATTCTCCTGTCCGAAACCCCCCATAAATTTCGCGGGTTGCAGACCGCCGGTGTCGTAGTCTTCATCCTCAACCTAGTTCTGTTCATCCTCTTCACTACAGCTATGATCTGTCGGTTCGTACAGAGACCTTCCAACTTACGCAAATCCGTCACGAAACCCCCCGAAGCCTATTTCACAGGCTCTCTATGGCTCTCGATGGCGACCATCATCATGTGTATGCAGCGTTTCGGTGTTCCTCACACCGGTCCTTGGATCATCGTCGCCGTCCGGGTTCTCTTCTGGACCTATGCTGCTATCACCCTGACGTATAACATCGTCATCTTCGTCGTCATGTTTGCCCTTTCCCCCCTCAAACCTGGTACCATGAGCCCACCAATGTTTCTGATGATTTATAACGCCATGCTGACCGGAACTGTCGCGGCGTCTATTGCAGCAGATCAGCCTGTCTCACAACGAATGGCTATCATCGTTGCCGGCATTGCTTTTCAGGGTCTTGGGTGGATGCTGTGCCTTTTCTTTCTTCCGCTCTTCGTGGGCAGCATGCTTATCAATGGTCTCGGCCCGGCAAACCAGAGACCCGGACTCTTCATATCCGTGGGTTCATCAGGATACACCATTGTAGCTCTTATTGGGTGCGCCAAGGCGATCCCCAACGAATACGGGTACTTTGCGAAGCACCCCACTGCTTCAGAAACCCTGAATGTCGTGGCATTGTGGATAGGCATATTCCTTTGGCTCTTCACATTCTGGCTTTTCGCGATTGCACTGGTAGCTCACCTGCCTATAATGATTTCCAAATGCTGCAATAATATGCCGCAGCCACAGATGAGTTTCACACTTCCTTGGTGGGCCATTATCTTCCCAAATGTTGGCTTCACAATTGCCACGATTTTCATTGGCGAGGAGCTGGAATCCAACGCCATAGCTTGGGTCGCAACAGTCATGACTGTGCTAGTCTTTGCGGCATGGCTCATGGACTTATTCCTGCATCTAAAGTCTATATTTCAAAGACGTATCATGTAATAAATGTTGGTAAATAGACGATATATTTCGTGCCAGAGTACCTTCAATGCTTCATGCTCTAAATCGGTTGGACCAACAAATAGCATGACTGTGGCCTGCCATACTGCCAAGATCTTGGTTGTGGTAAACCTATTGCTGACCCTCTCTCTTCCTTTTAGGTTTAGCGCTGCAAACTAGTTAGCCTGTATATACCTAGCTCTAATTAGACCGTTGGCGCTTCCAACTTCTCTCACCGTTGTAAAGCAAAGGCCATATGCGCACTTACAAGCACGATTAACTATGTATAGGAGTGCTTATTTTCAACCCCTCAGATCGACCCCGGAGACATCGGATAGCGAGATTGACAGAGAGACAAGGAATGCTCTTTGTACTAGCTTCAATATACAAATAATATACAAATTACTGTGCTTCCTACGCCCCTAATCCACTGAGTTCACAACAGTCTCAATCGCTCAACAACACTCCCAGCATCTCGAAGCCCTCCTCGCCCCTCGGACTGCGCTCTCACCAGTCGACCTTTCCCCCTCTTTAACTCCTCACCGCCCACCCACAGCAGAAGAAATGGCGGTGTCGACCCAGGCCCTGGCCATGCCACCAACCATGCGCGCATGGGTGCGTTCGCGACGTGGCCCTGCGTGCAGCGCGCTCGAGTTGGCCACTGGTTTCCCTACGCCCGCCGTACCGACAGGCTCGTCGCCTGACGTGCTGATCCGCGTGTCGCACGTGTCGCTGCAGTTCAATACGGAAATGCTGATGAAGACCCTGCCCAGCTTCTCCTTCATCAGCCCCTGGATTCCGGAGATCGAGCTGTCCGGCGAGGTGGTGGCGGCGGGCGAGGGCGCGCCGGCCGAAGTGCGCGATCCTGGCACGCACGTTGTCGCCTTTCAGAAAGTTCCTGGCCCCATGATCATGGGCCATGGCGTGTTGGCCGAGTACGTGCGGTTGCCTAGCAGCCAGGTTGCGCGCATCGACGCCACGGTTAACATGGCGTCGGCCTCAGGCATCAATTGCTCGGGCAGTGCCGCACTTAAGATGGTCCGCACAGCAGGTGTGCGTGAGGGCCACACGGTGCTAGTAAATGGAGCCAGCGGGTCGGTTGGTTCGGTACTCGTGCAGCTGTGCAAGCTGCGCGGCGCCAAGGTGGTCGGCGTGGCCAGCGGCGGCAATGAGGCGATGGTGCGCGATCTGGGCGTAGACGAGGTATGCAGAGGCTCCCAGCGGGTTGCCCAAGCATATAACTGACGCGTGCACAGTTCATCGACTACCATAAGCACAACCCGCTGCCAGCCTACCTGGCACATCAGTATGGTGACAAGCCGTTTGACTTTGTGCTCGACTGCGTCGGCACGCAGGCGCTGTTTGTCAACTCGCCAGCCTACCTCAAGACCGAAGGCGCCGTGGTCAACATTGGTGTGCTTGAGGGCATCGGCGTGACAGCACGCAACATGCTGTTCAACAGCTGGCTTCCCACCTGGCTCGGCGGTGTGCCGCGCCGTTATATCATGTTCAGCACGCCGCCAGCGCGTGACGATACCGTCTACCTGGTGCACCTGATCGAGGAGGGACGCGTGCGTATCCCCGTCGACTCCGTCTTTGACATGGAGGACGCCATTCTTGCCTACGAGCGCATCGCCACCAAGCGCGCGCGCGGCAAGGTCGTGGTCAAGGTGCGTAGCGACTAGAGTACGAGCATGCTGTAGGCGTGCGAGCGGATGTTTCTATGTACAAATATCAGTTAAGTATAGGCTACATATTACTAACACTTGGTTGCTGTATTCCAGTCGCAAGGCAAGGAACCAAGCAGGAAAACTACCTAGTTTGTCTAGTTTACATGGAGTCTGTTCCTACTTGTATGAATTTCTTTAACAAGTCAAGATATCAGTTATAATGGCTCATTTGCATTACACATGATTTATGTGCAATGAATAACACTTTAAGTCCTCTAAATTTACTTAAAATTTACCTTTGTCCTAGTTACAAATTACCCTATACTAATGATATATGATAGAGATTGTTCTTGTTCTACGGTCGTATATATAAATCATTAACTCAAGCCAACTCTGATATTGTTTTTGGGGGAGCTCTATGCATAGTATATGATGGGATTTGAATGCCGTAGGAATGGTTACTTTGTACTGAATTGTATAATTATCTTGTATATTCCATTCCACGACGAGACCACTCTCTCCAATGAGATATTATAAGTCCTCTCTCGCTCTCCTTGTTCCCCTAAGGTTGGACAGTGGTTGCTCACAAAATTTCCACCCCTCAAGTGCTGGGCTCATCGAATCCCAGCCCACAGTTATAGTATTTCTTTCTGTATATGGTTAACGTCCTTTGTGCCATGGGGACTTGATGAGCTTCATTGAATTTCACCACTATCATTTGGTCTATATTCTAATAAGTTTGTATCAGGCGCATACTCTTTGACAGCTATAGATCTTGGACGCCCTGAATATAAATAGATGGAATCTAAAGAACTAGGTTTTCTATTTTATGCTCTTCTTCAGAGAACAACTCCTTAGAATTAGAAAATGATATCTTCAAATTCGCGGCATCATTCCTGGCAGAATCTAAAATTAATGGTAAAATTGGAAATGTATCTGCTATTATAATAGTGAATGTAATATTCTGATCTAAGTTTTTATCTAAATAGATAGCTGTAGTCATTTTTGTCTCTTAATTGAATCTCATTACTCCTATATTATTTTCACGGCTATATTTACTGAATGTGTCCGATATCAACTTGTTTATTGTTATCCGTTCTTGTTCTAGATCATCAAAGCTCACGTCGAATTCTCTAACAACGTTCTTATTGTAATGCTAACAGAAGAAGGGCTTCAGATCATTAAAAACCGTTATAACTCCTAGTCCAAAAAGAGAATTAAATGGTATATCTAAAAGTAAAAACTGAAAATAATATTGAAGGGACTGAACAATTCTCTGAGCTTGAATTTGGAATATAATGCTATTCATGCCTGCTCTATAGAAGTAAAGTATTATTAGAAGGAAGAAGTTTCATTCTAGTAATATTTACAGTTATTACTATAAATTTAAGAGAACTTAGTTATAAGAAATATCAAAAGAAATCACTCTTTAATAAAGATTGTTTTTATCTTTATTATAGTATCTTAGTCTAAACTAGCGCTGACTGATAATATCTTGAGTATTTTATTGATAACATTCTTAGATATTTTCTAGATCTTCTAATTAAATGGAATCTTAACATAAAAAAAGAAAATCATTTCATTATGTATACTGTAGTTGTTATAATGTTACACTATATATGACCTGTATTGTTCTATTTTATTGGAGCTGTAGCCTAGGAATTGATCTTATCAAGGTATATAATTATATAATGGTAATTTAATCCAAGATTGTTCAACAATCAAACTTTTGAAAGAATTTCTTCTCTTCAGACTGAAGAAAATGAAAGGCAATCTGTATAGCCAAGAGCATGGGGTTTGATGTACTGCTAGCGTCCTCCTTGTGAGAACTTGAATTATCCCCAAGATACTCTGGCCCTTCTTTTTCTAAGCACACGTGGTGAGACATAGCCACAGCGAGGGATCGCTGGATACGCTTGAACATCGAGGGAACCAACTGTATGTTTATCCGGGCCTTGAGGTCTTCGTGGGTCACCAGATTGAACTGACCAAATACAAAGACTGTATTAGACAGCATGGATGAGAAAGAACTTGACTAACGAGATACTGATATTTTATAGGTATCGATATTCTTCTTTCCAGGAGCTGTGATGCAAGTATTTATGTAACCTCCAGAGCTTCTGACAGGCTCTCTCTCTTCGACTTGTAGGGTTCTGATCCTGCCCCAGCAGCAGACATCAGCGGTCTAGATGTCAGCCTGCACAGTGTTAATTGCAGCCGCACTAGCTTGCAAGGAAGTGTAATGTCATCACAATGAAACATAGCGTCAGATACTGACAGCTCTAACATGTCAACTCCCTCAAGAGGGTCGTTGTTGCCATCCTCTTCTTGTAGTTGCTATCCCGATGGTGGGTACTCTGCTGTTCCAGCTAGTCCACCACCGGGCTCGGCTAACAATAGATTAAATGGGTGCAATGACCCAACAGTAGAGGTTGGAAAATCTGCTATTCGGTCAGCATCTTCCCCCAGATTTGAGTATGGTTGACTAGTTCGAAGACCAACTACCTAGAAGACAATCATAATCACAGACCGTAAGTGGAAGCGTAAGGCCATTATCACCACAGACACCGGCAGGCCCAGGAGACTCAGCCCAAGCGCCATTGCTGCCAGGCATAGAGAAGTTTATCTCTGAACTTCCAAGCAACAATCTATCCAGCAGCATTGGCTGTCCATTCTCATGTAGCTGTGACCCAAGCGTTGGCAATTTCTGATCCTTCACACCTTTCTCCCGAGGCTGACCCATCCGTGAAGGAGGAATGAAGGTGCATTCTAAACCTAACCGATGACATCAGTCACATTCTGTAATTGCTCCATCTTCCTTGGTGCATCGATTTTTTGATTCATGACATCGATCGCACGCAGCCCTCTTCAACATTCTCCGTTGTAAGCGAGGACTGCTCATCTTGGACTGCAACCGAGATCAAGGGAATATTGTTATATAGGACTAATGTTGGTTGGGATCCTCCTTTTATCTCTGTTGTATTTGTTATCTGTATTGCAAGGTTAATATCACAACGTCTGCGCCATAAAATTTGTTGGCCCAGTATATTTGATTCGACCACCATGTGGAGGGGTTGCATTTTATCGCATGGGAAGCATCTGCGCCGCAAATTTTCTCTTCTTATGCATATAAAATATGATTCGGTGGCTATATTTGCACGAGGTTGGAGTTGTCACGATTTATAGGCTTCCATCCTATGTAGTGAATGCATTCTGATGCTGTCCCTTTGTGTTAGAAATATTCATGGTTTACTCCATAGTGTGGGTTATATATTAAACTTATAGAATCCTCATGTAACTATCCATATATTATCAGAATGCAGTAATAATAGAGCGTCTTAGTCCAGATGAAACTTCGATAGTAGACCCGACTTAGCACAGGCCAAGGGCCGCACTAGGTCCGCCAAGGCAGTGAATAAAATAATGATCCAATTATAGTATGATACATACTGTGATGTGGCCAGCTCACAATGCCCACCAGGCTAGATCCGGTAAGCGAGTGGTGTTGAGATCTTACCTCGGGATTCAATTGAGGTCATAAGGCTTTGTGATCCAACCACCGGTAACAGCACGAGCATCAATCCAATGGAACGCTCGCTTGTGTTTACAGGCAATAGCTCTATGATTTAGCTTGGATTTTCTTTGGTCATGCAGGCTGCCATGATAAAATGGAAACACGCCTCGGCGCTTACATTTGGAACCAGGAAGATCGAAGCTTACCTGCGGGACACTGGTAAGACCAAGAATAACCCTCATTGTATACGTCTCACGTCTCACGTCTCACGCTGATCGTGTGGCCATAGACAAGAAAAGACCGTCGACTCGGGATGTAAATTTTTGATTCGGGCCAAAATGTTGACATTAACAACACGGCTCGCGTGCAAACGGTTGAATCAAGAAACGGTTCCGTCCAGAGACGAGTTACTATGTAGTAGATCTAGAACATTGCCTAGCCACAGACAATATCAAAACTCTAAAACACTTTATTCTAGCTAATTTTCTTTTTTCCAAAAGAGAAATCAAATATACCATTTCTGCCGTCGAGATGAACATAATAGGCCCTATGTTTCCTGGTACACTCAAGTTCAAGGCTATCAATAGATGATAGACCATTGGGCCTTAGCTCGCTTGAAAGAATACAGTGGAGAAAAGACAATACCAAACACACCACTGTATACAGAACCATTGACTCAAAATTTCTCACGAAGATTATCAATGAGATTGATAGAATTATACTGTTCAACTCGTTCGTTGCCGGTGAGCGGGCGGTAAAACAATGATATTTTCCACGTCAATGGGTCAGGATGATGGATATGACGATATATTTCTCATCGCTCGTTCACAGCCATGGAAGAAAGAGGATCATCCTGTAGCAACACTATACTCAGCTCATTCTGGCATCACGGTTGATCTCTACACAGACCAGGAAGCATTGCATCTACACACCTGGAATGATGCACTACGTTGGTCAATCTAGAACTTCAAAATGATTATCATATACTGACAAGCATTGTCTACAGGGCCGGTACCGCTGAAGAGAACCCAAGGCGTGGGAGAAGTACCGCTGTTTGGGGCAGTTTCGATGAAGATGCAGGACTGGTCGGATGGAATAAATAATCCCGAATGGCAGCGCAGTGGGAAAACTGTCTGGGGAATGGATGGTTTGTACACCACATTTTCTTCTTTCAGATTTACTGTGGACCAACAGTAGGTAGCTGTAACTAAGAGGATTGGGAGGGAGGCATTTAATTCGTATCGAGGATCACAATGGCCCTCTTCTTGATGCCTATAATTAATATCATGCGACATTGCCGTAGTAACCAAAGTTCAACTGACTATCTGATGAAGGTCCAAACCAGGTGAAGCTGTCGAGCATTTGCTGCCATTGGCCGACATCGAATTCGTCTGTCAGACCGTTCTGGATATCCTTAGATGCAGCATGGTCCTCCTGGGAAAATATTGGCGACCACGCAGCTTGCTTAACTAAGTTATCTCCAACTCGTGGCAGATGGCCTTGCCAGAAAACCGGAACCGACGGTTGGAATGAGCTTCCTTGGCTTCTATTAAATCTATAGCCTGTACTCGGCGACATTAAAGCGGAGCTTGGTGGTACATGGCGCTGTGCTTCAGCCTTCATCTTTTCTAGCCATGATAACAGGTTCCGAACAACCTTTATAGAGTTTGTCCAGACGTTATCTCCTGGGGGAAGTTCCTCAAACTTCTGTATGACAGCAAGTGCTCTCTCATGAGTCCTCTTATTATCTACGCTGGTGACCTGGCTCTCGTCTGGATGAAAGAGCAAGCTAAGCTTAGACAGAACTAGTAAACCATACCAAATGGTCATGTAGGCGGAGGCAGGAAGGTGGACGGCCACGGAGGAGGGAACAGCCAGGAATGTGCTTATAATGTTATGCGCAGAAGTCGTAAGAGTTTTTAGGTGGTTTATCTCTTGTAATTCAAAGATGTCTCTTCTTCGCCACAGTGCTTGTCCAAGCACCAGTGTGTGTGCTGCGCTCAGCTCAAGGCGTAGAGCCCATGCTAGTCCGCCATTAATATTCATAATGCAATAAAGTTCGTGGACTAGGTAGGGTAGCTTACAATGATTCTCCGTATTATGTAAGGTCAGCGGCTCCTCTATCTGCGATTGTTGTTGTATTAGGTCAGAGACTCTAGTCCAGTCTTCTAAAGGTGGAAATTTTGAACATCGCCTCAGCTCTTCAAACAGTAGCCGGCTTTGATATGCTAATGACTGAACATCAACATAGGCCTTGAGTTGTAAATCTGTGGGATACTCTGCTTTTTCCGCTAGAGATTTAGCACATTGGTCGACCCATCTTGTATGTCGCATCGTGAGTTGACCGCGGAATATGGACGACCTGGTCGGAGCAGAAAGTCAGCACGATATAAGGAGTGAGAAATAATCAAAGGGGTTTAAGGCTGAATATATTTTTTTCATGCTTACTTAGAAGATATGTAGTAGCATCCCAGCAGAGCTCGCTGCCCAGCAGCAGTTTGAGATGAGAGTTCTTGTATTTGATCGGGTTCCTTTCCTTCTATTGGGATTGTCTGCATTCTGAAGCTCTCGTCCCTGTCAAGATCAAGATCCACAACCACACTACTTGCCATCTGGAGCAGCATATACATATGAGTATGGTAAGTTCTCCAGTGATAGTGGGACCAGGCGATATGTACAAGTAGTCCTTGTAATAGGTCTATGTTTCTTTCAATCTTTATGATTAAACGTGTTGCAATCTCTCCTCTAATTAGGGTCTCCAGGGTATGTTGTAACGCCGGATCATGCTCCAGTGAAGCGGTCATAACGCATAGAAAAAGAAATGGGGATTGTTGGCGAAGCATCACAAAGTCTATTTCAGGTGGTATGATTACGAAAGGATACTGAGGCATTTTATGCATTCGATATTTCATTAGAAGTTCATTAGCCAACTTGGGGCTGATGAGCCCGTGGAAATTCGAATTATTTTCGTTATCTTGTATTGGGGCAGAATCTTCTGTTTGAAAGTTATCGTGTTGAAAGGGCTGCTCAATCAGGTTCATTTCATGGTATGGTGGTTCATTAATTGGATGTTTCCTGCAGGTTTCATAATTAGAAAGGGTGACTGAGATCAACATGGCGTACGCAGGATAAAATGGAATGGTCTGACCTAGGCTTGCTGTTGCCATGCACAGTTTCAGGGAAGACACAGGGCGAGTGGCCAAGTCGAGTACAACGCTGGCATGCTCCTCTAGCCTCAACAGGGACACATTTCACTTTTAACTGAACACATCGGAAGCAGGCATGACGCCTTGGGGGCTGTCGACGATACATGTTTCCGTGATCACCAACATATGATTTGTAAAGAAAGACGAGAAGACGGAGGCAGCATAGAAGTCGTAGTAGTAGTCGGAGACGGAATCGGAATCGGAATCGGAATCGGAATCGGAATCGGCATTTGCTGTGTGCAAAATCAGCCAATCAGTGATGTCTCTGGGGGTATGCACTCAGCTTTGTGTTGAAAACAAAAGACACCTTCCAGTAGGTAAATGTAGATTATGATGCATTCACACTGAGATAAATACAGGTCTGCTGCACTTGGAGGTATTCCTAAGTCTTGGTTGTCTCTTCCTCAATTTCTCTGCCACCAGGAATACAACTTGTCACCATGGATGAACATATCAAGTCCGATAATAAGGCTGTCTCAGCTGAGGTGACCAAGGACCAAACATACGTACACTGCCTCGACGGGTTCAAACTCTACAGTATTTTGTCAGGCATCATGATTGCAACTATTCTCATCTCTTTAGATGTCTCTATCATCTCCACCGTAAGCTCTTGGGTCTCCCTTTAGCAGTTGATTTCGCTAACTTTACTTTTTTTTCTACCGTCTAGGCAATACCCGCTATTACAAGCCAATTCCATGCTGCAACAGATGGTGGGTGGTATGGTGCAGCCTATCCACTAACTATGTGCTCTCTGCAACCTTTAAGCGGTAAAATCTCAACTCTCTATCCTCTCCGGTGGACCTACGTCGTCTTTTTCGGGATTTTCCTTCTTGGTTCCTTGCTCTGCGGAGTGGCTAACAGTTCGATAATGTTCATTATTGGTCGAGCTGTAGCAGGTACAGGTGGCGCAGGAGTGGTTTCAGGTGGTCTTTCAGTTATTGCCATGATCACGCCCTCTATACACCGCCCGCTGTTCACGGGGCTTGTGACTTCATTATATGCAGTTGGAACGGTGGTTGCGCCGATCATTGGCGGTGCTCTTACTAACAATGTTACGTGGAGATGGTGTTTTCTGATCAACCTCCCTGCAGGAGGAATCACGATTATTATATTATTGCTGTTCTTTCATCCACCTAGCACAATAGTTACAACAGGGACACAGACGATGCGAGAGAAGATCAGACAGCTAGATTTGTTTGGTTGCATAATTTTTGTTCCGTCGATAGTCATGGTATTCCTTGCTCTCCGATGGGGTGGAAATGAATATTCCTGGAATTCGGCTGTTGTTATTGGGCTCTTCGTTGGATTTGCTGCATCAATGATGATATTTATCTTGTGGGAACTTCATAAGGGAGAAGAAGCAATGATACCATTCCGACTTCTTCAAGAACGCTCAGTTGTACTGAGTATTATTTTCGCTTTCTTATTTATGGGGTCCTTCGTCATTCCTGTTTACTATCTCCCTGAATGGTTTCAGATTGTTAAGAACGCAAGTCCTATTCGAAGCGGCATCATGTTACTCCCCTCCGTTTTTACTCAGATTTTGGGTTCCATCATATCTGGGGTATTAGGTAGGCTTCTTCCCAGAGCTTGCATTATTTTACCTTCTGAAGCATAGTCAACACTAACAGCCGCCATACCCCAGCCAAACATGTTAAATATTATAACCCTTGGTTTTTCCTTGGCTCTACTTTACTCTGTATCGCCACTAGCCTTTATACCACCTTTACTGCTTTCACAACATCATCTGGCAATTGGATAGGATTTCAAATCCTCCAGGGTCTAGGCTGTGGCTTTGCGGCACAGATGGCACTTCTCACTGTCCAGAATATCCTCGAATCTAGGCCCAAAGACATCCCTGTGGGAATTTCCATTGTGCTATTCGCACAATACTTTGGGAGTTCAGTGATGCAGACAATAGGGAACTCTCTATTTCAAAATAAGCTTACCTATAGTCTGGATTCATATGCACATTTGAACTCGACTGGAGTGGCGATATTGTTAGAGGCTGGCAATCTGAGAATGAGAGAAACAGCCCTTCAAGTATTTCCTGATCGTCTGGAAGCCATAATTACTGCCTACAATGATGCTGTTACTACTGTGTTTGTAAAGAACCCTTCTCTAAACTCTAATTCGGCACATAACTGACCAGATCCTTATTTCTCTAGTATCTTGCAGTGGCCGGCAGTGCATTGGCTTTTGTCTTGTCCTTTGGTATTAAGTGGATTAATACCACGCAAACTACTGCCAACGAGGCCACTGAAAACCGGACAGCGAGCAATAAGCCATAGCCTTAGTATAGGAATACATGGAATAGGGGGTTTTCGCTAGACATCTAACTTTCAGATGTTTCTTTCATATACTGTACACAGTTTGTCTGTATATCAACCGAAAGCCAAATTTTAAACCTTATAGCCCATCCTCCAGTTGCAACCCCACCAGCCTCATATTTAACGAATCTTCATCTTCCAATATTCTATGGTGAAAGAATGTTAAAATGGCTTTTGATAAAAGAGGTGGTGGCTCAATAAACTACTTGGACTAAGACTTTACCAGTAAGATGGAAAATATAATCATAAGGTGTTTGCAGGTCAAACCAGTTTTGAGAATGGCTATACTTTAAATTGATACATAGCCATTCATGATATTGGCTTAATTAACAAATATATGGTGATTGTTTTTCAGTCTTTAGTTATTTAGTTATTCAATGAGCTATTTTTAGTACCCTTTGTATGTGCTGTATTCATATTTTGGTAATTTTACGGATCCTGTAACAAACTATAGATATATATCATATAATCTGTGATAGGTAACCATAAAAAGGTTCAGCAACACAGGTAGCTAACTAATAAAGCCTGTATAGGAGAAGAGCACCCTTAGAGATATATGTACAATGACAGAGATGCCTTGCTAAACCTCTTTAATACCCTTATATCGCTATAACTTATGTCAAATGACTATAAAGTAAATACATGATGATGGTAAACAAGAGCCATTATATACCCGTTACTACGACGGATTTCCATGATGGAAAGAAATAAAGCTCTGTGGAAAACGAAAGATGGATGCAGTTATCAGAATGTAGAAAACACGAGGGGTTTATATGAGATTAAAACCTAATATGGTTCCAACATGAAGGTCTTGGTAAGAAGCATACATAGAAATTTTGGAACAGCTCAAAAGTGATTGAGTAAATTCGTGCATATTGTCTGAACAAAGAAACAGAACAAAATTAATAGTGTATGATCAACGGCAAGACAGGACGACGGAAGTGTTTTCAATCATAGGTGTTTGTTCGCTACGCACCTCACTAGACCTTCAACAACCGAGAGTCTCAGCAATTTCTTTAAAGTACATTCTATGTAGTAATAGCATATTCTGCTGTGACTGATCCCGGAGACCCCGTAGCATGGTGGAAACCTCCTGGTAAGAAACATCCCCTTGTCCAATGAGAGTCTGCGCAATACAGAATTTGTCAATCCAGGTCTTCGGCATCAGAGCAAACCTGGCCACCCTAGAATTCCTTTACCGCCAAAAACGAGAACCGTTGGCTGTGATACATCTTATCATCCAGCAAGTCCTCCTCTGGTAATAAGATAATAGCCAGTAAGTCATAACTCATTCTGAAGAAAGAGGGATTCTTAACTCTTCAGCCTCTTTCTTCAGACAGGGATCAAAGATGATCGGTGACATCGTGTCCGGTTTCATGGAATACAAACCCGCACCATTTGTTAGATAGTGTAGCCCTCGAAGAATGGTTCGACGCATTCTATTAAGGTGTTGAAAGGGGGTATCGACTAGGCATACATTGCAGTCGCATTTGAATTGTAGAATAGTGTGACGATCACCCCTTGTCACGGAGTTAAGTTGCGGAATGTAGGAGAAAGTTTTCTTCACCAACAGCAATATCACTGGTAGCAAAACTTGAAATACAATCTCTATTCACAGCCGGAACTCTGGAGTTGGGTATACATGAATGGTTAAAGCGAGATATGAAAGTATATACACCCCAAACTCGGCGGCCATCAAGCAGAAGCTTAGTATTCTTTGATAGGTTGAAGCTATTTTTAGCGAATAGTTCTAGAGCCGAAGGCCAGCGGTATTGAAGCGTGAGATACTGTCTTTTCTCGACAGCTCGAATATTTTCTTCATTGATTTCTGCCATCGACTTCTAGATAACGAAAAGAGCCTTCTCGATCAAGATTTCGAATCCTCTTGTAATTCTTTTGGTGGCGAATGCTCCCCAACCTTTTCCAGGTGTCGGTTTTGGTATATACAACGCATTATCTGGAATTTGGAGGTCGTATGCTAGAAGTGTTAGTCTAATATCAAACTAAGTTTCTTGGTACCTTAAGATGAGACTGGAACATCGTTCACTTTTGTGGCAAAACAGAAACTCAACCCTGCATGTATTCAGTATGTGGCAATTAGAGGTTGGGAGACCTGCTGGGGCTACTTAAAGCGAAACACTTTATAGGAGAAAGAAATAGAGGGAAATAGCGGCTATCGCGTGCAAACAAATATTCCATTTAGATGGGATGGGCCAATCAAACGAATAGTGATTCAGGAAGGAGAACCAAAATGGTAACAAACGCAACCCTTACGGCAAACCAAATAATCATTTCAGTTTTAACAGAACAGTGTTACATTCAAAGCATCCAAGATGTCAAATATCACCGTTTTACATGTAATTCCATATATCACAAATGTGACACTGGCAGCGAAACAATGTTAACTGGTGGGATTAAGCCATGACGGTGATCCATAAAATTAGACAATGAAGAGTACGAATAGAATTTTATACTATACCCTATTTAAGAAATCAGAGCTATAGTAGTTTATTGAGATGGTCTAGTTATGTCTTATTAGAATAGGCGTCATACTGCACCCTTGATAAAATCATTAACGGGGTTACTATTAGATGAACATTTTTGAAACTCTCACAGAGTTAGTTTTTCAAATGTTAAAAAGATCAGATAAAGTCTAAGTTTATGGCAGATATTATTAATATAAATTTGTCAAATTTTTTCAAGAGAGAGAGAAGTCAAAAGAGGGGATTATCTGTTAGCTAACGACACTACAGGGATTGATGTAGATGCTATCCAACTTATCATCTCAAGGCTCCTCTGTTCATGGCTCAAATAATTAGGCATTGCATTATTCTTAACTAAAAATCCTTTCAATACAATTCAGGGGACCTTTTTCCTCAAGCCTATCTAATGAAATAAAGAAGAAAAAAAATTGTGGCTTGGATAGATGTAAAAGTTTGGTAAAGCGCGGATAGCATCTTACATTCTCAAGATCTAGATATCGTATCCCTTCCGCTCCCCAAAATTGAGGTTCCTCTTATAAAAAGTAATAAGTCCATGGGATAGCTAATGAGCACACTCAATGCATTTAATTCCAGAAATGCCCTCCTCTCCGAGTTTTGTTTCCAGCATCTCTCCCTCGAGCACAGAACCTTTTTCAATACTCTGCTCTAAGCTTAAGCCATCGAGTATCATCCTATCTCTCTGTTTAGCAGCCTCTGCCTCTTTTTCGCGTTCTTCGTGGGACATTTCTGGGCCGAGAACTAGAAATAATACCATAAGGGCCAATCCTGCACCCATGAAGATAGCAATGGCGAGACCATAATTAAACCTCTTCATACCGTTTTTACCATCTGGCAGAGGAAACCTCTGCACTATAATAGCTTGAATGGTAGGTGTAGCCGAGGAAGCAAGGCTTCCAAGTTGATAAGCTACCCCAACCACGAGAGTGCGGATTGCTTGGGGTGACAGTTCTAGGAGGTGGATTGGGACTGGTCCTAGTACACCACCGATAAAGAATTGTTGGAAAAACGTACTTGCAGCCAGTGCCATGCCTCGTGGCATAATATAGGCCGGGATGAGTGCTCCACCAAATACACAAGCGGTCATCATGGTGAGCCGACGACCCATGATCGAACTAGCGTAGCCCGTGATGACACCGCCTACGAATCCGCCAAGTTGCCCGCTTATAGTGATCACGGTTGTTTTTATTGTGCTTAATTGGGCTTGGTCTTTGAGAAATGTTGGGAAAAAGTCGCTGCTACCGTGGGCGCAAGAGATAATTGCAGCCAGGAGAAATACAATATAGAGCAGCAATACCCAATTATTTTTTAATGCCTTGGCTGTATCACTGATGAACGCCTGTAAGCTGCTCTTGCTTTGTGCTTGTTCCATGGCAGACAATTCAGCAGCCTCTGCTTCGCGTTCTGCTTTCATGGCCCGAAAACATCTTGTTTCTGGTAGCCAGCAGCGCAAGGCAATGATGAGCATCGGTGGTCCGGCACCGAACCAGTATAGACTCCGCCATCCGTGAGATGTTGTGGGCACGAGAGCGCAGTACATCCCTGCTGCTAGTAGATTTCCCATTGCGGAACTAAGCTCGAAACATCCGGAAAGGACACCACGGGCGTCATATGGGAGATCCTCTAAAGCCGTGGCTGCGGCGGGTCCGAATACGCCTATTAAGCAAACCTGTTAGATTATACACTCACCGGATATATCATACTCGCAAATTTACTTACCCCCCATTGCAATGCCGTATAGTGACCTTACACCTAAGAACTGAGGCAAGGTATTGCAAAAACCAGATACTAATTCAAGAAATACGAGGAACGAGAGGTTGAGAACCAACGGCCACTTTCTCCCATATCGATCAGAGCAGATCCCGGTCATTATGGCGCCGACGGGGCGTAGCATCATTGTAATTGTCATAGACTAGGTCCAATCCATGTCAGTTAGAAAAGGGGAGATCGCAGGGAATATGGTTGTACAAACCCAGGATATTCCTTTATTATCAGCATTAAAGGCTTTCTCAAGTTCAGTAACGGTCATGGAGACTGAATAATTATCGAATGAATCCCAGGCCCTGGCCAGGAATCCACAAAGAAACATTAGCCATTGGTGCCTATTTAGTTCTTGGAGAATACTAATCGGGTTGCGAAGCTTCGACTTGTGAGGCCTGAGGCTGGAAAGGCGTGTAGAGAAATAAACAGCTATCTGGCTTCTGGAGTAGAACCAGCTTAAATCCATATGGTTCTTCATATTATTGGTGCTACTAATTTCCACACTATTGTAGCAGAGAAAATCAACTTGGATTTGCTTCATTGATGGCGTTAATTATGGTTGGTTATATAAAGCCTCGAATCCTAAAGGTGTTACTCCAGACGTTTCACTGAATCTTGTGTGGCGCATAACTGCCAAAGAATGTTGAGAGAAATAATTAAGTGTGTTTACTGATCTGGTATCAACCAAACTCATAACTGTAGGGAGATCCCAATCTCTAAAAAGGGGTTGAGAATCTGTAAGTGTGACTTACCAAATACACAAGTATAATATTCGGTCAGTATTTGAGGCCTTGTTCATTTATAGTCACTGCGTTCCATTGTGGTCTAATCCTTGAAAGTTGGGGTTTGATAAGAATTGTGGCTGGTTCTAGAGTCGCCTTTTGCGGGCATCTAGTCATGGTAGAACTAATTGAGGTCACATCATTGATAGAATAGAGTGGCGAAATATGTACATGATTTCATGACCGGAAAGTAGTGACAGATCTGTTGTGGAACAGTGAAATATATTCCGGTCGTTCCAGAGCCATGTTACCTGAAATTGGTGTAACTTGAATATTCAGGAAACGCAACTTTATGCGACAATGTGAAATTGAAAATCAGTCCTTGTGGCTTCTTCTTGTTTGTTCTGAGTAAGCAACAACCAATCGCATAGCAATTCCATGATAAGGAGTGGGAAAGACCCTTACTTTAGGATGCCTTCTAGGGTATTTTCCACATCAGGCCGACCGGTAACATAACCCTAGCCAAGCATCCGGAATGTCTGCATATGCCATAATACTTCAAACCCCACAATCCGAAATGCTAAGATTCCGGTTCGCCTGGGGCATTCTTTTCACTTTATTTTTTTTTTTGCTTCCTTCTTTACAGTCTGGCTAGATAATTCACCATTTATTATGTTGCTGTAACTCCCAAGGAAGAACACCTATACGGTTCATAGGAAATACATGCCTCCCTAAACGTCCAATTGAGAACACAATCCTTTCTTCAATCGACATCCTTCCACATCTCCACTCTCAAGTATTTTGTAAAATCCCCATATACCAGTTGACGTAATCTCCAGTCAATACCTCATGTGATATATTGATAATTCCCAAAGCTATGAAGTCGCGCAATCTATTCAAGGCTAGAATATGCGACACCGCATTCACGTCACCCCTGACACATGAGCACGTGAGACAAATGAAAATGCGTTGATAGAAATCCTGTACACCACATTTCCCCATCATCCCAGAAAATGGAGCTCAATTAGCTCGATAAATCTTATAGCAGGGACCAGGTGCCATTGTACTTGTTTATATCTTACAGTCAATACAAATCGATGCTAGCAACATCGGTGCTACTTAGGTATGGTTGATTTTCAGTGGGTTATGGAATTAGTCCTTTGAACACATATACTATTGAAATAAATCGACCTTATAAAACCAATATTATAGGGAACGAGAAAGCATCTAGGTCCGTGGGCGATGCTTTCTTCTCAAATTTTCAATTCATTTGAAATTGTCATATGGTTGACCTGCGTCCGTTGTACACATATTACCACGTAATACGAGCAAGCGTTTTCTATTTAACGGATATGTACGATTATAAATATTTGTGACATTTTTTTAGTTTCACTTGCTACAGTTTGCTGTCAGCCCCCGAACCATTGCAGCATTGTAAAAGTGCAAAATACCACTTTCTCCCATCTATTTTTTCCGCAGTATGATATCAGTTAGTTTTCCAGAGTATGATGGATGACACTTGTTATACCCCCTTTCTAGATGAATAATATGACCTTGCCCTAGTGACACTACGATCAGAAGTTCGATTAACTTGCATATCCATTTCTCAAATATATTGGACATGAACTCTATTCACGCTCCATTTGAAATCATCCTACACATTTAGAGAGTTTGGAGATAATTAAGATAAGTAAGACAATTGAACCTAGTCAATTTCCAATGTTAACACTTCTACAAATATAGGTTCGATTGGTATAATATTTTAGAAAACGAACAGATAGCAAGTTCAAGCAATTACAGGCATTGAAGTAATAGTAAGAGTATATACCTAAATTTTCAACGAATGGTTCAACGGGTAATGGGCTGATTTGGTTTCTTTCATTGAAAAGATGTCGTTGCCTTGGACTGAATGAGGTTTTCTTCCAGTCTAGGATTTTCATATGCCATATCTTCAAAGTACAATTTAAACCTATATTTGAAATATTCGGTGTAAACAACATGTTCGCACCTAACCGCGAGGGGAAGCATTGACTATGAGGAATAGTGTTCTTGATAGTAGCATATGATAGGATGAGTATTCAACAAAGTCCATAATTGCCGGTCTGACATGACTCACTTCTTAGTGTGGTATTGGGTACCATAGCATAGCTTTAATTAAAATCCCAACTGAGGTGGCCAGTAAGCAGATGGTGGCACGGCATACGAAAGAAACTATCGGTTCCCAGCTGCCAACCACGTCGTCAGTCAAGAGACTAGCCTAGTCCAAATCCATAAATGATCAGTTACTTATAATGTGCATAGCTAATAGTACGATGGTTGGACAATCAGCTAATATTTATGTCGCGGTACCCTGATATGGCTCAATCACTCGGGTAGATTAAAGATGGCTAGAAGATTTGCAGTTCTCGAGAAAATAAAAGATTATCTAAGTATGAGAAATCCCATATACATTGAGTTAGGTTGAATTACTCCCATTTGCGAGATTCCATCTAAAATTTCATTGAATATGAGATTTCATTCATTCACATAGTGATCATCGACAGGGAAGATGGCGGCAAGCTTCCACATCATTCATACCAGGACATTGTTGCATACATAATACTTATTATTGATCAAGTAATGCATTACTGGAATCGTCAGACTGCAATAGGAGCACATCCTGCTGCGGTTTCGCAAAGTAACAGATATTCCCGAGCGGAAAATTTTCATTAAATGAATTAGGAGCGGAACTTGGGAAATATTTGGGCTAGAAAATCCTCACAACTTTTATGGTATCTAAAATTTTAGCCCAATACTGTACAAACAAGGTAAGTTTGAGGAAGCTGAGAGAATGCATCGACTTGTTTTCGTGGGACTTGAAATGGCTTTGGGTTCAGAACATCCTTACACCTTTTATGCCGTGAACCAGATTGGTTTGGCACTTGGCAAACAAGGAAAATATGAGAAGGCCTCAGAAATGCATCGATACGCTTTCAACGGCCTGAAAAGGGTTCTAGATCCGGAACACCCAGAGACTATATATAGTGTGAATAGCATGAATCTTAGTCATGAAATAACGCTCAATAAAGAGTAGTCTAGCACTTGAGGTGTTGACTATGAGAAATTTCGTGGAATTCAGCAGCGTACAATTGAAGAACGAACAAAGTGTCTTGCTGCCTGAAAGTTCCACAAACTTTGTCCATGTAAAAAATTACCTCAGTCTCAAGTGTTGAGCCCAGTACAAGGACCTAGCAATTTGAGATATGATAGTGGGCTAATACACAAGCGAAGTTTATAAGTTTTGTAAGACACACTTTGAAGTGCGCTTTCCATCTGGTTGTCCCCAGCCGACTTTGACCCTTAGGTAATTCATCCGTAAAAGGTTGCAGATGCTAGGATAAAATACGGTCAGTAAAAGAAGCCAGTAGATAGATCCTCAGCATCTCGTCACCGTTCGACTTTCGATAACGTAAGTAAACTCGATTGGCCTGTTGCGCCGATTACTTAATACGGAATAAGATTCCGTCTGTTTTGCTTCGGTGTTTCCGCCGATATTAACCTTTCTCCCCCGCCCTGGCGCAATTCGTAATGAGTCACTCTATTCACGTTGGATTTATGTGGGGAACTCCTTATATATTTATTTCAGAGCAATGTCATCAAATTGGATTCTCGGATGATTGTATAATGCAAATTGTCTGAGAGTACAAGGGAAATACTATATGGACCCAGAAGTATTCAACATTACTACCAATCATACACCCAATGTCACGGCTGAAGCAATTGCTCGACCAGTAAACGAAACGGAAACGGAAAATCGTGAATTGGTTGAATTGAACCATGTACGAGTCCAAGATAGATCAATTCGAGTGCATGACGTTTCCAACTCGACAGCCGTATTAGAAGCCCCCGACCATGCCGATGAATCTTTCCCTGACGGTGGCTTACGATCATGGCTAGTAGTCTTCGGCTCATTCTTCCTGCTCATGGGCTCTTATGGCTTGATGAACACGGTTGGTGTCATGCAATCTTACATTGAAGCGCATCAACTATCTACATATTCTACGACGGCAGTTGGATGGATATTCAGCGTTTTCATATTTGTCACCCTTCTTCTTGGAGTCTTCGTTGGTCCTTTGTTTGACTCTCATGGGCCTAAATTGTTAGTTTATGCAGGATCAGCAATAACCGTTCTGAGCCTTTTCCTCTTCGCAGAATGCACAAAGTATTGGCAATTCTTCCTCTGTTTTGGCATTCTGGGTGGAATCGGAGCTGCGCTTGTTAGTACAGTTGCTATGTCCTGCGTTCCACACTGGTTTCATGTACGAGCCGGTATGGCGATGGGGACTGCGTTGGCTGGGTCCGGTTTAGGTGGTGTCGTGTTCCCATTTATGCTGCGAGCAGGGTTTTCAAATCTCGGCTTCAAATGGACAATCCGAATACTCGCCATTGTCGTCGGAGCTTGTTGTGGCCTTGGCTCTTTCATGGTCAGAACAAGATTACCTAAAACATTTTCAAAAGCAGTGATCAATTTGAAATGTTTCAAAGATATGCGTTTTACGTGGTTAAGCGCTGGTGCATGGTGTATATTCTCTCTCCCTCGCTTCCCTTTTCCCCTTCAAAAATCTCAGATTGACTTTATTGAGTTGCATAAACCTAATCAAGCTGACATCTTCAGGTCTTGAACTAGAATTCTTTTCCCTCATGGGCATCTACCCAACTTTCATCATTGCCCAGGGCTTTTCAGCCGACACAAGTATTTATCTCCTTGTTATTCTCAATGTGTAAGTCTCCTCATCGCCCTCTTCGCTTTGGTATCATGTTAAACCATCCTGGTAGGTCATCTCTCTTCGGTCGCTTGATTGCTGGTCGTTTAGGTGATCGCTACGGCCGCCTAAACACATTGATGACGATCATTGTTGTTGGAATACTGTGTATATTCTCCATTCTTTACCCATTCAGTCACTCCCTTCCAGCCCTGTACACATTTAGTTGCCTATACGGCTTAGCATCCGGGTCATTCATCAGTCTTGCGCCAGTGTGTATCCGGCAGGTTTCTGATGTCAAGGAGATCGGATTACGTTTCGGAACATGTTATTCTTTGGTTAGCTTTGCGTAAGTTTCTTCATTTTCTTTGCTTGTGATATTCAATCAAAGACTAAATGAAATGATTATCTTGGTAGAACACTGATCAGTATTCCTATTGCTGGCGAAATACTGGGAAAGGTTGGCTCAAAAGCATTGGTGCTGTGGATAGGCGCTGTTTTGGTGTGGACATTGGGGTTGTTTATTATGGCGCGTTGGACATGCCAGGAGTACCGATGGAAATGGTTAATGAAAGTTTGAGGGTAAATTTAGGCAAATTGTAAAGAATCGTGGATGTTATTTGTGTATTAACGAAACCTAGTTGGTGTGATTGAATTGCCAAAGGTTATAGTGTGAGATTATAGCAAAAGTTGGAATAAACCCATCTATGTTGTGAAGAGGTATAATAAGAATTTGATTGGAGTTTGTGGACTTCATAACTCATTTATTGATCAAAGTCACTGCTCATTGCATGTTTGTCTGCAACTAATAACCACCCCTTAACATGTTAAATACATAGTAATGCATGCAGGAATCGAAAATACAAAAGAAATTTTCGATGCCACTTCTTTCAAAGCAGGCAAAAGGTATAAAGATGGACATTCTGGTATAGGACCAAGCCTGCCGTGTGGCTTTTAAAACTATAATCATTGCAAATGGAATCGCATTTTTCAGTCTGGAGAAATGAAAGACGTGCCAGACTTAAGCTTGAGCGGCAGTTTCCTTGAAAGCCTTTGTCGTATCGGCCAGATTTGTGGCCGCGACGCCAGGTCGCTTGGATTGGTAGTTCTTGATAGCAGCTTTAATGGCGTCTTCGGCGAGCAAGGAGCAGTGAAGTTTGACAGGTGGTAGGCAAAGTTCATTTGCAATTTGTGTATTTTGAATCTTGCCGGCCTCTTCCACTATGCGGGGATTAGTTTCGAAACGCAGCCATGTTCAGGTAAGAGAGGGCCTACATGTCTTTCCTGCTAGCAGCGTAGTGAGATATGAGCTCGAGGCAATGGCGCTGCCGCATCCAAATGTCTTGAAAGCCGATTTGGTGATTGTTCCAGTCTTCTCATCGACCTGAATGTCCAAGCGGATCTAAGTTGTCAAGTTAATAATTGCCTCCGATAAAGTAGAAGCTGGTAACGGTAAAACATACAACATCCCCGCACTAGATTGGTATATTAGCATTGATTTGCCAAAAAAAGAGTAGTACTGAGGATAAAACATACAGCAGGAGCTCCAACTAGACCAGATCCAACATCAACTGACTTACGATCGAGGGAACCGACTAAAAGATGACATGTGAGTAAATGAACACGCCATAAAAACTAGCATTGCATGGTATCAAGTGAGTAATCAAGGCTGCAATCATCCCGGGTGAAGATGGTCGAATGGAACAAGTTGAACATCCAGATTGATAGGAAGTTTTGGAGTAACATTGAATCCATTGATGTTGCAATGTATCATGCCTCTGGCGTGTATTCCTACATGTCGACCAGACCGCGAACGAAGCACCAATATGTCGGCGTATGTATATGTTGCAATGCACGTATTTGACCCAACCCAGACGCAAGATACGAAACAATTTCGAAAACGAAGAAAATCGGGTACTAACCATTTCTCGGGTTCTGGTAATGATCGAGCAGTTTGGGTATGTTAGCCTGCTAGCTCAATACAAGCGAATATCGCCACTTATCTTTCTCATGATAACCTCGGCGAGCAGTAACGGTGAGGGCCGGAAGAGCCGGTGTCCGGTGAGCACGCAAGGTCGGCCTGGCAGAAAGCATATGCGCTGTGCGAGCGACTGATCGAACTGGATTCATGATGAAATATGTTGAAATAGAGGGCTTGTGTTGATAGACTGTGGGCAATAGTGTTGACAGGATTGAAGTAAGTCGTAGCAGATTAATTTCCCGTGGCGAACAACTTTGAAAGGTGACGTTAAGCCCGACCGCTTAGGTCACGTGCGGCCGGAATCGGGCGGACTTATCAGATCGGCCGAACCAGGGAACCAGATGGGGGATAGCGTTATCAGATTGAGCAGTTCGGACCAATCATCAGGCCTCGACCTCGGCCGAGTTCGGCTCCACGGGCTCGGGGTTAATAAAGCGCATTTTTTTGCCTGTTTGGGACCGATGTTCCCTCTTCCCAATAGACAAATTGGATGACATACCAGTGTTGCGATCGCAAATATTTGGTATGAACTTCAGATAAACGAGTATTAAACCAAAGCCAGTGAGAATGCGCAGATCGCACATTAATAATGATTTTCTACCTTCCCCACTTGCGAAATCGGACCTGTACACCAATCAAAATATTTTCAGTGTTTCTTCATATAAAAACGTGATTGATCAAGCAATGCGTGCGATTATAGCGTCACTATATATGTAGGCATTGCATATTGGATCTACTCCGATCGCGTAAGGTACATCATATAGCATCAGTGAGCCAGATGGATCGATCAACCACTCCACTTCTCAATGATGGGATTAGCTGCTCTATTAGCAATTTCGTACACTGCCGTCTGAATATGCGCTGTTATCAAGATTGAATTACACTTGCGTCAACAACTTGCAGGTTCTTTGTGCCGTAAACCACTAACTCCGGGTTCACGACTCCGGGAAGTTCCTAGGGAAGCATATCTCACGTCGATAATGATGTTTTAAATAGCATATTCCGTCCTTATAGATCTTACCTATTCTTTGATGGTACATGTTAAATCATCGGTGCTCAACCCTAGTGAGGCAGCTCTTACGGTCGCATTTGTTGTGGCTCTGCGTGAATTCATGTCAGTCATTCAAAATAACTTGAAACTAAGTGGACACATACACAAGGCCCAAGCCCATGAGACCATTAAAAGTAATATATCATGTATTGGCATTTGGATTTTGTACACGACGAAGACGTGTACGCCTCCTCTCATATCTATCATCTTTCTGGTCGATTAAAATATAAATTAATAGATCACTCCATGGATGAATTTTGCATCGCCGCAATCCGGCCAAAGCAAGCCGATATTTCTCCGCCGCTCCGCCACGCATGGAGAAATCTTGATGTCATAAACACTGACTTGATAACAGCATCGAGCTAAAGCTAGGAAAAATTGCTGCGAATGCCACCTGCGGTTCAAATGTACACTCTCATACGCCACGGCTTCAACCGTTTCTCGCCACCAAAATCTTCTCATGGGGGCTTAAGTACGAGCAGAAGCCATTTTAGTGGAACATCATCGTCATGGAACTGGGGCAGCTATTTACGAAGAACCGAGCTAGGAGACGAGGATATTTATGAACGAAACCAACTGCCATAAAGCACTGAATAGCGACCAGTCCGCTAGAATTCAAAATTAGGCAGGAAGGGGTGTTCTCCCAAGTTGACGTTGTCTTTTACAAGGACTCGCAGTGGAGAGAGTGATATACTATTACACGATAGAATCTAAAAGTTTACGAAGTATGTTGTCGAGACGTCCCCTATATCACTGGAGAATAGGCGTCAACCGAGTAACGGGAACTGGCTTATTGATGGGAAATTATAAATCTGTTTATCTGTTTGGAACTAGAGTTTGATCTATTATCATATTAGACTCTTCCAGCTAAGCCAACGCAGGACCTTTGAGCCCTTGCGCAGTCTACAAAACTGATAGTATGTAAGGTGAAAAAAGACTTGAATGTATTAAAATGTCTATGGCCACATACATCTTTATTCTCAGAATCCGAATGTTTTCAATTGATTATCTATAGCTCTACTGGAAGCTCTACCAGGCATTAATAGGTGGATATATGAATCGATAAAGTAACACTGAACGAACTTAAGTAAAGATTGAGCTCGCCAAAACTTTATCGATACAACATATCGCTACACCTCGAGAGATTCCCTCTCGAATAGTCTTAGAATGAAGCTATTCTCACACGCCGCTGCGACATCCAAGCTTGTCCTTTGCGAGTTATCCTCCGCCATTGGATCTAGTCCTAAGTCCACCAAGTGCTTAAAGCACCCGGCGGCTTCCTCGCCTACGTGTGACGATGCCAGGAGATGTAACAGAGTTGACCCCGAGTTGCTTCGCGCAAAAATATCTGCCCCGGCATCCCGAAATTGCTGAATTACTGGCACGATTGAATTGATTGCCTTTTTTCTTTCGTGCGCAAATGCATATCCGTGGGATCCTACCCATCCAAATAGACAATTTTTCACAAACGCAAAAAGAGCCGTTTCGCCACTTTTATTGCGATCATTGATGGGAATTCCTTGGTTCACAAGTACGTGGAAAAGTCTCTCGACATTGCCAGTAAAACCTTCTGGTCGGTTCGCTAGAAAGTGTAAAGCCGTGTTACCTTCTGAATCAGGTTTCAGCGAGTCAACTCCTTGCTGGAATAGAAATTCAATCACTGGTAGCTTTCCATCACGTAATGCGTAATGAAAAGGCGTGTTGCCATTATGGTCTGCTTTTTGGAGGAGATGAGGCACTAGGCGGACGGCATGTTCGAGGAATTCACAAAGGTCTAAATCAACGACAAGATGATGAAAGATATTGCAGCCTTGGTGGTCACATACGGTCAAATCAGCTCCCCGGCTACATAGATGTTGAAATACAGAATATGCCGTATCAATGGTATCGGCTTCGTGTTGTTCCTCTCTTTGCCTCCGCTTACATGCAGCAAGAAGCAATGTGCAGCCACTAGGGTCCCGCCTTTCGATTTCAAGAGAAGCTATATTCAATATAGGCTTTACGAGAACGCCGTGCTCTATGATTTCATGAACCACAGTATGCCTCGTTTGCTTCCGTGTTTCTGGGACGTAGTTATTCAGTATCCAACGCGGGCCTAACAAATCTGAAAAGAGATCGCTATCGTCATTCAAAACTGGAACGTCTTTGTAAAACTCCGCATATATATCTGCGCCATAATCTAAGAGTATCTTCATTAGATGCGTTTGAATAAGCCTGTAAGCTATAACCTCCGTACTTGGCGTATTCATGTATTCAATTGAGTTGATACCTAATTGCAGGCTAGCTGCGTGTTGTAGGGGATAACTTTCGAAGCGAACTTTGACGTTTCTACTTCTTCTTCCTCTCCCCCCTACCGCGGTAATCCCTATCCTGTGTCTTAGAGAATGTGTTTGTATTGTCGTCGAGCTTTCGGGACCTGTTAAATTGGCGTAGCTTCCTTGTGCTAGAAGGGATTTCAATATTTCAGGCTGATTAATATCAATCGCAGCAAAAATGGAATCCGCAGTGACTTTTGCTCCATGAGAAAGAAGCATTTTGACCATTTCGACATTTGTTCCCGCCATTGACAAACTGGTATCATTTTTATATGTAGCTGCATTAACATCAGCTCCAGCCTCAATGAGATATACAGATGCTTCCTTGGAGAACACTTCCTTCGAGGACAAGGCTATGTGCAATGGAGTACGCCCCATTTCGTCACGTAACTCAAGGCTTGCGCCTTTCTCGACCAGGTACGGTAAGGCTTGCATTACTTGCCACCAATGTCTCCCGCATGCAAGCTCGTGGAGACAGCCTTGGGATGCAACGGGCTGGTCGTCTACCTCACATCTTGCTTGGGCGTCCAGATTAACGCTGATTTTCTCAACGAGTACCTTTATCACGTCCATGTTGGGCAATTTTCGCTTGCATGCAGCCAGGAGAAGAGGCTCAACCTGAAGTAAAATAAATTCGGGCGTTCTGCCTTCGTCCATCCCCTTGCACCATTCATAATCGTCAAAGCCTCGAGCAGTCTCGACTGTACAGAGATCTTTAAGAATATTCGCATACCCCCATATTGACAGAGAATGCAACACGGATTTGCCAGCCTCATTAAGCCTCTGCAGATCAAATCCTTCATTGATAAGTTCTTTCAAAAGCTCGAACTCCCTTAGACGTAATATCTCTCCAAAAATGCTCCACGAACTTTCCTTGGAACCAGACTTGAAAAACTCGCTGCTGCGAATTGCATCTCGTTTACTTTGTGCAAAGAATATCGAGTCAAGAATACAAAGATCTGAGCTCTCAAACTTCTCAATGGTATTGGTGCCGCCAATCCGTGATTCCAGTTTCAATAGTCGTTGTAATGAATAACCAGCATTCATCGATTTAGCTGCAGCTATTGCATTAATGAGCGGAGTGGGGTCTCTCTTTATTCTAGCATCATACTGAACGAGTAAATCTAGAATCTCATCGAGACGAACCGTATCATCCTCTCGTGCAATGCAGCTATGAGGAATTTTTGACAAGAACCTAGCGTCTATTCTACGAGGATCTTTAGTCCAGAGATACGATAGAGGGCCCGACAAGAGACCTTGCTGGACTGGGCGATTATTATCCCCTATGTCGATACCGGCACCGTACATATTCCTCGTTCTGTACTGGCCCCATAATTCAAGTTCTTCATCGAATTCGGCACAACTCTCGAGAGGTGAGCGCCCTAACCTGTCTTGTAGACTTGGATCAGCTCCAGCCTCTAAGAGTAACTTGACTGTTTCCGGACGACCAGAACGGCATGCGTAATGGAGTGCTGTCTTCCCGTCATCGTTTTGATGATTGATAAATTTCATGCGTTTTTCAGCGTTGAGGTTCAAGATCTCACTCAAAATAAGTCCGACAGTATTTACCTGACGGGTACGAGACGATAGATGCAGCACCGTCATGCCTTGATATGTAGCGCCCAGTAGGTCGGCGCCAGCGGCAAGTAGACGATAGACGTAGCCCTCGGAAATTGTAGCTGCGAGGTGAAGCGGTCTGATACCCTGATTATCTGCACAGTCTATCTCTTTACATAGATCTAGAACAAAATCGAGTTTTGCCGTGCTATTTTCAATGACGTTCGTCGAATTGATGTTCTCATGCAAATTAGCACAGACCATATGTAAAGCATTTCTTCCGTGATAGTTCGTCTGGTTAGGAACAATGGCCAGCTCACGGATTTCACTCTTTGTCCGTGAAACGAGGCCCTCGCTGATAGAGATCTCATCGTCGACAATGACTGGATGAAAAATGCCATCACCATTCGCAATTATCTCATGGAAAAGTGTATTACCTTCGTAGTCTATCACATTTTGGTCAAGACCGAGACCTATGAGATGCTTCACAAGATATTGTTTTTTATGGACAACTTGGTGTAAAATTGTACGCCCTTTTAAATCCCGAATTTCTAAGCGAGCACCTCTTTGGATGAGCTTTTCACGAATAGGCCCAGTGTTGAAACGGGAGTTTTCTAAAGGCGATAATATCTTGAACAGCGGGGTTTGACCTTCATTATCGCATGCTTCCAGATCTGCTCCAGCATCTAGAAGAATGTCAATGAGTTCGGAATTGGGCCCAATCATGACATGCAATGGTGTCTGTCCCTTCTTATTTTTTAGATTTGGATCTGCACCGGCCGCCAAAAGAGCTTGAATTTGGTTGTCGGTAATATCTAAATGGCTCAACACGATATGCAAAGGGCCATTCCCTTCATAGTCCGTTGCATGAACGTCGGGTGCATACTCAAGAAGTGCAAGAGCCTCCTCAACAGGGTGGAGTGAGAGCCGGCAGAGTAATGGCGATTTGCCGTCCGATTTTCTCGGTTTATTGATATCTACATCGCATCTGCCAAAAAGGCAAGACAATATGTCCAAGTCTTTGCTCTTTAATACATGCAAGGGCGTATCTCCCCAATCATCGGCTACATTTGGGTCCGCACCCGCTGCTAGAAGGGGCTTGATTAAATGTGTAAAGTGCTGAGAAGCATAAAACAAGGCTGTGGAACCGTCCGGTGCTTTCTGATGGACATCTGCTCCAGCCTGTATCAATAGCTCGATGCAATATCCCGTATCTAGAGGGCCCCAGCTCCTGCCACCTAAGCCACAGAAAGCATGCAGAGGTGTGAAGCCTCGGGTTTGTTTATCCGTCCCCGATTGAGATTGTTCATCGCAGCGACCGGGATTAGAAAATACCGTCGGGTCTGCTCCAGCTTCTAACAAAATGCTGATTGTTTTCTGATCCCTATTTCTGCATGCATCGAATAATGGAGTATTTCCCAAGTATTTCACATTCACATCCAAACCCGGATACTCCATGATTCGGGCTACAACTTCCGATTGGCCACGTCCAGCGGCCCAGGAAAGGGCCATATGAGCAATATCTATGTCTTTGATGTGTAGTATGAATGCAGACACTGCATCAATACAACCGCTCTCACATGCGTTCTTGAAAGGGTAGCAACGACTTCTCTTCTTGCGAATAAGTGGGTCGACACCTGCGTCGAGTATGATTCTAACAATATCGCCAAAGTTGTTCATGGCAGCTAAATGCAACAGTTCAACACAAACGTTATCAGATTTATCGGATAGACCGCCTTGATTTATGAATAGCCTAACAGTGTCTGAATAGCCAGAGAAAACAGCCCAAAAGAGTGGACTCTTCTTATAGCCATCTTTCGCGTTGACATCAAACTCTTCTCTCGACAGTAAGTGAGCCACATACTTGGTGAGTCCAGCCCTTGCTGCAATATGGAGAACTGTAACATTTTCTGTGGTATCAACTGGCCAATCCATGTCTAGCAAAGCTTGGATGTGGCTTGTCTTTGCAAAAAGGTAATCGAGTCTTCGGTACAAATCTGTCATGTCCATGTCTGCGAGATCAGCTCGACGGACATGAATACCCCAATTCCTAATAGCGTATTCCAAAAATGGATTCTTCAGTTTTATATCAGGTCGGATGGCCTGTCCTGCTCTGGAGATCCCTCTACGCTTGGGATAGTTCGTCGGATTCCAGTTGTCCAGGCATCCAGCCTCCAGATAACTTAGGCATGCCATTGCAAGATCCTTATTGGTTGGACCTGGGCGCAGAATTATATATTCGTCCGTGATTGGGCTATGTGGCTTGATGTGGCGAGTCAAACCCTTGAGGAACTCAGTAAAGGAGTGGTGAACAACAGAGACAGTTTCGTCAGGGAGAACTTCGATTAACGGACCACAGGCTACTCGCACTAGATCTTTGATCACCTTCGGTTTGTGGCCATTTCCATATTGGTTAATTGCTTTACTGATCATTTCAACAATTTCCAATAGTCGTAGTGGACGTGTGGCGTGAGTCACGAATTGTATTATGAGGAGCTGAATATCTCGAGGTACTTGCGAACGTATTGCATGCTCACGTAAAAGGTTTGTGTACATGACGTTCAAGTCCATTGGCAATGTCTTATGTACCTCCTGAACGTCAGCATTGGGCTCGACAAACGAATCCATAGCGAGTTTTGCATAGAGAAAAAGTCCATTTGCGCGCCCTGGTACGGCTTCTTTTACAGTGGGATAGTATTCTCGAGGAACATTTGAGCTTTTCAGTCGCTGTTGAACATAAGTGACAATATCAATGTCCACCAGCTGTTCTTCTAGGCGAAGCTGTGGCATGGAATTAAACCCCAAGGCTCTTTCAACGGTGGCCACCGGTCTTGAAGTTATCAGCACTTTGATATTTGAAGGTCGCCAATTCCCCAGTTCCACTAATTCATGCAAGAAGTGATCATTCCCTTGATCCATTTCATCAAGGGCATCAACAATGCAATAGACCTTCGGGAAAGCACCAATGGCTAGTCGAAGGTCCTTCCACAAGTCACTCATAGACAAATTTTCAATAGTCTGGCCTTCCTCGCAGTATGCTTTTAAGCGCTTCTGTAGCGGTGGACTGTAGCGTAAAACTTGATCTAGCCAATCGCGTAGTGCAGCAGTTGGCTTATGATTTGCGTCTATGATCTGGCGGAAGAAGAAGTAGATAACAGGACATCCCTCTTTGCATAGAATGTTAATTAAAGAGGCCGCGATAACGGATTTTCCTGATCCAGGAATGCCCTTGATCCAAAGAAGTCCGTTCTTATTGCCTTCATGCCATTCGCGATAGATACTCGACGATGTCAACCAACTTCCCGTTCCTGGAAGATGCGACGCTGCATGTCGGTGAAATTCACTATTTTCACGGTCGTATTGAGTAGGCTGTAGCCATTTTCTGATCTCGGTCAAGTCGTGGGCGGAGAGAGGTAAAACATTATCTGTGTTGAAGCCATGGATATCTTCCGGACCAACCATGACGACGTCTTCATCTTCCTCCAAATTGTATTCTGCTCTAGACATTGTGAATAAACGAAAGACTTATGAATAGAATGATCTTTGTTTCAAATGATAAGAAGCTATGAGGAACTGCGGTCCTCCAGGTTGAGTCATCCCTGACGGTTTGGTGTTTTTCGGCGAATATCGAAATACCCCGCGTGTGGCGCTGCAGCCTACAAGTCAACGAGCTGCACATGTGCTTCTTCCGTGTTCTTCGTCGGTAGATGTAGACACTGGTTACTCTGAACTTATTCGTGCAAAATAACACACCGGCAAAAGATCGACATAAGCCTTTACGAGCAAAAGCAGAAGCTGGCATCACATATATTCGAGCAAGTTTGTATCAACTAGCTCCTCCCAAAAAGGAGCACTCTTTATGATAATGTATTTAAACCATTATATCCAGAATGAGTCTTCTCTCGGAAACATTACTTGCTATGTATCTAGTCTTTGAGACTTCATAGTCTCATTTTGAATGTTTTCTTTTACTTGGTTCTGCATTTACATGTAGTGGATGCGTTGTGTGTCCTTGAGGTTAATGTATAAGGACAGGCTAGCGTTTATCGTACTGAAAGTCTGTCATTCTTTTCAAACTGTCTCTATTTACTATCGTTCGATGCTGTAGTGATTGCCATGGCAGGGAAATTTACTTGCAAACAAGCCTAAATTTAATTCAACTAATAAGTAAAGTCAATGATTCCTTTGAAAACCGTTTACAGTTTTTTTTTTTTTTTTTCACTCTCTGCAAATTGAATAGTTTCGAGGGGCGAGTAAAAAAAAACAAACTTGTATACAGAATACATCAATGTTGAAAGACCCCAAAAGCTCGTCAATAGCAGGTCGCAAAAAGTCTCAATTATATTAGCACCCCTTTCCTTGCTAAGATGCTACCCAGGAACTTAAATTTTTCTTGTTCAAAACTCGTAAACTAAGGCACTCCCTGCTCATGAATCAAAGTACCCCCCAAGAGATTATGTATACATTCATCTAGACTCAGTCTCGAGGCCGTCTTCCTACAGGATGTCAAAGAAGCTATCGCTTAGGTTCAGACTGTTACCTCCGGAGAAAACGCCTTAAGCTCATTTAAAAAATAAATAGCGCATCCCAGGAGTCCTCTCGGGTGTTATCCCACACCTGAAGATTACCAAGATTCTCAACCCCCGCGGACATCTGGGGAGTGGTAGTTAATGGCGTGAATGTTGTAGCCGACGAGGTCTCCATCAGACGGCCAATATTTTCCACGGATGGGGGGTTGTCTTCGGTGCTAGAGGTGTTCTCCACCTCCACATCCGGGTTCAAAGAGTTAAAGAAATCGTCGAAGGAGTTCTGAAAATCGAAATTTTCTACCTTATTCCCATAGATTAACTGCTTGTTGATCCCGTCTATGGGTGGCTGCGAGGAGAATTCTGATCCACCGAACACCGGCACCATTGAAGATACAGAATCCGGGATCGTTTCTGGCGACTGGGTCTCGTAGCCGTGCGGCGCTGGGTGGATGATCTTATCTATTGAGGTAGATTGAGGGACGCTCGCCTCACTCCGTAGGTAGTAGTTTAGAAAATCCTCGGGATTGGGAAATGCTTGTTGATGGACTGTCTGAGTTTTCATAGCTGGTACTTTGTCTAGGGTGCGTTTACCAGCGTTTCCAGCTGAAGAACCACATGAGTCAGCTATCAACATCAGATTATTAGTGATATTGATACTTACAATACAGACTACATTGGACATCACGGTGTCCGAAATGGCAATTTGCACAAGCGCCGTTGAAAAAGCCTGAGACGATTACGCATTGCTGAAAATGGCCAGCGCCACCCTTGCATCTCTTACATACAGTCGTCACTTCGACACCCACTGCCTGGGCCATGACAGCTTCGCTATAAAAGGCACGGCCGTTCAGGTCTGGGACTTTCTTATCCATCTTTCTCAGCTCTAACAGTCGATGCATTGGTAAGCTTCTGAGCTTTCGCAGATTCGCTGATGGACGTTTGATGATAGCTTTTGCAGCCTCCAAGAGCATGGCTGGGTCATTGGTAGCCATTTCTGAGCAAGACGATGTTCGTTCCGTTGACATAAAAAGAAAAATCAAAGTCTGTGGATCAGGGTTACGAGGAAAACTTTACTTGTGAATGGTATTCGTGAATGCGAAAAGATGGTCGAGGGGGAAGATGTCGAGTTTAATACCTGAAAGGCAATGAGGTCTTTCCTGACAAAACGGTATGATCAGTACCACGACAGTACAAAGGACGACAACGACGACGATAATGATGAAGCTATCATGGGAAGGAAGCATAAAATAAAACCAATCAGCTGGATTGTTATCCCTTAGTACCGCAGGGTCTTTTTGCTATTTTTAAGTTATAGTAGAATTTTAGAGATAAAATATTGCTAGAAAAAAAGTACGTAGCTGGTTCAAAGTGAATGTGAATCAGTATTATATACATGTAGTTCTATTAACTGTGATATATCCCAATAGTGAACAATTTCCATCAAACACAGTGAGCTTTTATACCTTAAACGGTGTAAATTGGCTGAAAGTAAAATAAGCTCATAGATAAAAAGTACGCTAAGCTTCTCTTAACACCGCCCAACACCTTAAAGTGATTAGAAACCATTCAGAATCACGCTTCTACTCTTGTGGATCCTTTTATAGCCTGAAAGGGTCTATATATATCTCAAAGCTTCTATATCGTATGGATAATTTGACTTGTGTGCAGATTTTAGTCAAGGAGAGACCTGGAACCCAATGTTCCTGCCGACATTACTCGACATTTTAGGTACTTACCAGAGATGATGGCTGTAATTTTTGATGCCTGGTAATTATGGCGAGTCACTTCATTCTATTTTCATGTTAATACAGATGTAATCTAAACTGTTCAATCTTGACAGGAATGGTGAGATGCCTTCTGTTACGCGAGATCAAAATTTTTAAAGATTTCTCCACCAAATTAATTATTCTGCATTTTATTAAATTGGAAAGGTGTTGATTTATGGAATATTAGGATCTTCCAAGCCTTTGACATTAGGCTGCTCTTGATCTTGACCTTTGCCAACGAGTCTTAAACAGAATGCTTATTGCTGATACATATATCCTAGGGGTTCTAAATGCAAGACATACTACTTCAATAGAATTCAATGATGGGTGGTATTGTGATTAAACATGGAGAATACCATCTCAGCAGTCACAACCGTTGTGAGAGTTAGTGTATGCGCATGTAATTACAACAATACTGTAACTGCTAGAACACTCCATTACTAGCTCTGTAGAGATTTTCTCTTCCTTTGTTCACAACTTTCTCTGTTTGCCTGCCAATCCTTCCTCTCCACCTTTTCCTTGTTCCTGATAGCCAAGCATCATCATCAAAAATCAAATATTTCACAATTTTTCCTTATGAATTGAGCCTTGAATTTTACAACACTGATAGTGAAATCCTTCAAATTCTTTGTGGGTATTGAAGTTCAATTTTGTTTGATTTATCGAGATGGACGAGCAGAGAAGTTGCGAGTCGCATAATGAGTCAGATCTGGCAGACTCTCTTGAAAAAGATCTCTCTATTAACGACTGTGGGTACCGAGTTACTCCCCAATTCAATTTCCACCATTCTCACTAGACAAATCTGCAGCTATCAATGACCCCCCGAGCGTGCATCTGAAAATACTCTCGAAGGTGTAGCCTACCTAGAAGTGCGAAATGCTATACAATGTCTATTTACCAATATGTACACCTCCGCCTCCCCTCAGAATAGGGAGGTACACAGTCAAATGCTGGAAAGAATTCTTCAACGCTTACTCTTCCTAGAGGAACTTCACCGCGATAAAACAGAGGGTCTGATTCACTCCATCGGATACTTTGGGTCGTTGGCAAACAACACGAAACTTGTTGTCGAAATGTCAAAAGGGAATGTCCAAATAATGAATGACGTTCTTTATTCTGCCGACTTTACGGAATTCTCAGGCCGCTGTCTAGGGGACGACTTAGACCGTCTAGAGATTATGCAGAGGGGCTTGAACGCAATCTCTGTGATATGTGCGGATGCGCAGCATCGGCTGCTGGAACGTTTCTTCGGAGTGTGAGGATGCTGTTTTACTTGCAATATTACTACTAAAAGATGACAATCAACATTACAGCGGCGCGATATGTTGGATATGGCATAATAATTCGATGGGTATTATCCAGGGCTCATTATTCTTGTATCTACTGACACCATTCACAAATTGAAATTGAATGAAGTCTTGCTGTTCAATCTATTACTAAGTCGCTGGAACATCTTGGATGTTTGGTATAGAAGCTGCTAGCTACATATGTACTATTGGTCTCATCATTTTTAACTACAAATTATCCTCTTTTCGTGGCTAAACTGATGGCCGTCACCTACTACAAAATTACTAGAGGCTTTGAAAAGCTGGAAACTGGAAATCGCATAATATAACATGATGCTAAAGTTGGATTTCTGTGAAATTATGAATCTTTTGGTCGCTGACTTTGATCTCTATATGGAGCAGCGCTATGTGGCGCCGACAAACCCCGTGGCCTAGACAACAAGGGCAACACAAGACTCAGCCAGCGAGATATATCTCTACGACGCAATTGAATATATCTATTATTTTAGATACCAATTAGATATGTATTTTTTTCAATCTAACCCTGAATGTCGAGTCCGCATCCTAGCACTTAGCTGTCTGCCAACGGTGTCTGGTTACATGTACCGCGGAAATCAAACGACATTGGAACTGCATTGAGCTTTCCAACTACCTTTGGACTACGACCGCAATATATTCGGCCATCAAACTATCCGTTGTTACATATAACGACGAAGGTGTCCACAAACAATGGGATTTTCTAATCGACGGGCCAACAGAAGCCGGCAAACCCATCCTTAATATCATGGGCTCCTCCACCCAGTGCCGTTTCGAGATGAGAAGCACGATTGACCGCGATTCAGGAAATTTACCAAAGCAAACTTATCAATGGGATGCGGATGCTTCCGAGACGAGTTTCATCAAGGAAATTGCAAAGAATGCAGAGATACACAACGAGTATCCCGAATACAACTGTCAAGACAATATACTCGATCTGTTAGATTCTCTAGAGGAGAAAGGGGTTATTGACGGTATTGATGTGATTTATAAGAAAAGTAAGGAGATTGTCAAGGGCAAGAAGAAGGTATTTCTATACACTGGGCTTATCGCTCTTTTTAATATTATCCCGTTCCTTTCTATTCAGATTTGGCGTTTGCTTTTGCGTTTGCTTTTGCGTATCCGAGTTTGAAGGCATATTCAAAGTTACTTTTCAAACGTTCTCTAGCTATAACTTAAAATAAACATTTCTCAGTGTCACTTACGAGTATACATGCAGCTATAAATTCCAGTAATTTCCAACGAAACCAAGCCATAGTCTTGACGGGTGTTTTGCATTGGTCTTGCTAAATAATTTAAAAAACCATTTCCATTTTCCTTGCCCGACAACTCGGTTCTTCAATTTCAAAAGAATAAGCAACCCCTCACATACATGCAGTGCACTCACAACAAAATTGTCAGGTGGGTCAGTTGCTGTGAGTGAGTACCTTGGGGACGGCTCTAGCCCGAAGGGGACGCAAAATCACCAAAACTTAGGGTCTCCCATTTATTTTCGAATTTTTAGTGGATTTCTATTTTCCTGTTTATTTTGACGTCAATTGTTCTTACTTTTCTGATTTTTGTAGCTCGTGGGTGTCTCAACATGGATGGGTTTAGGTACAAGACTATGCGATCGCGACTGAGCATGCGGAACCGTCATACTGGTCGAAATTAGTAGCGAAAGACCGTTTTTAATATATAAAACGAGTTATTGGATCGGAGGACCGGAAGATACCCAGGTTTTTTTCACCTCACCTTGTCAAATGGTTTACCCTATGATTTTGCTAATTTGTCTTCAGAGCCATGCTTCTTTGCGACAGCTTAGTGCTACCTATGCATTCATTATGTATGCTAAAAATATAACAAAATACGAAATTGAGAATGGACTACATTACAAAAACGGGGCACTACATTAGTCTGTACTATCTGTACAACACACTATGCAGACCAAAACGTCCAGGCCGCAGAGCCATCTCATCAGGGAATCTCGGATAAAAACGGAAAATACGAAAATGTCAGACCTCCCGGGTTCCTAAAGCACCGGGACCGAGAGAACCATTCTGTGGTGGCATCCAACAGCTACGACACCTTCCAGAACAAGATAATCGCCAAATGACAGGGGTTTCACCTTCTGGATCATTTATATTTAGCCAACAAACTGGGGCTGCCTGGGAAACCCGTCGGCGCGTCTTGCGGCATTTGATTATCGGCCAGACATAAGGCGGGAATATTCGCTTCCGGCGAGAAAAAAGGAGAGAAAAAAAAAGGTAAAGCCCACTTCGGGCACACACCAACATCTGTCACTCGGCATCCTTTCTACACAACTGTGTCCCAAAGTCTCAATCAAGACGCAATCAATTCTGCCAAAATGAAGCACGGATTAACGCGCATTCAGCGTCTGTATCTGGTGATCAGCGTGTCGCTGCTATTTTTTCTTGCTGAAATATCTGGTTCGTCATTAAATCGTGTATTTCTGTTGTTAGTCGGGCTAATTCGTAACGTGTGAACAGTCGGATTTTATACCAAATCCCTCGCGCTTGTTGCCGATGCTTTTCATTACGTATGTGATAAGCTTGGTTATTTGGCTTTCTATACTGATAACGGTAGCTCAATGATCTGGTTGGCTTTGTTGTGGCTTTGGTCGCTCTTCAAGTATGGCACGATTTAATTTCTACAGGGTCAGTATTTGCATGCTAAATCCAATAGATATCAAGCAGAAAAGACACCCCCAAAGAACTGTCTTTTGGCTGGTCACGGGCCCAACTTCTTGGTGCCTTTTTCAACGGTGTTTTCCTTCTAGCTCTTGGCGTGAGCATATTCCTTCAGTCGATTGAGCGGTTCATTTCGCTACAACGTACGTTTAGTCATAGCAGTCTGATGAGCTGCCACTTATACAATAGCAGGTGTCGAAAACCCAAAACTCATCTTGATCGTCGGATGTGTTGGCCTAGCACTTAATATTCTAAGTGCCAGCTTCCTCCACGGTCAGTTCCAGCCGCATCATTTTACAAGAACTTCTTCCTAACGAAATATAGAGCACGATCACGGCCCTTCCATCCCCTCTGAAACCAATGAACTACAAGAAATCACTGGAAACGCCGCATCCGAGGTCCATCCACACCCACCTTCCAGCACTCCGAATACTAATATTCTGCTACAGGCATATTCTGCTCACCAGAACCATCGTCACGGCAACCAACAGTCCAAGGAAAACGGTCACGATCTCGGCATGCTCGGCGTCCTGATCCACGTTATCGGCGATGCAATCAACAATGTGGGCGTGATTATTTCTGCGTTGGTGATTTGGAAGGCGAACTATGCGGGCCGGTTCTACGCGGATCCGGCGGTTAGTATGGCGATTTCGATTATGATTCTGATTACGTCGTCGCCTCTGGGTGAGTTCCTATCACTAGCCATACCCGGGATAGGGACTAAGTATAGCTGTAGTGAAAAAGTCCGGCACAATTCTTCTCGAGAGCGTCCCCTTAGGCGTCGATCCGAGTGACGTTCAACACGATCTTGAATTGGTATACAACTCCTCATATTCCTTTAGGCCTCTTACGTATACTAACTATTCCAGATCCCCGGCATACGGTCCGTCCACGAACTGCACGTCTGGCGCCTGAATCAGCAAAAGTCGCTTGCATCGGTGCACATCGTGCTGTCCGACTGTCTCGTGTCTGATTTTATCCGCATGGCGAATACGGTGAATGAGTGTCTGCATAGTTACGGGATTCATTCTGCGACTGTGCAGCCGGAGGTAGTAGGGTCTGCTGCGAGTAAGATTGCAGCGCCGGCGTATCCTGATGCGTCGGCCTGTCAGATTAACTGTGGTGTTACTTGCGAGGAGTTGACATGCTGCGGTTGAGAACATATCTTGTTTGATAGCAAATACGGGGCTTTAGATGTCGATGCCTAGGATAGGAGATGTTGTTGTTGTTGTTGTTGATTTCATTACTTAGGTGCGGCGCCGCTAGGGCCAGACCGAGGTCTCACGGGTTAAATACAGAAATGTAGTTCTTGTACAGAATTGAACAGGAGTAAAATAATGCCATCATTTACAAGCCCAGTCGAGAAGAGAGGTGATTGGTCGAACCTGGCAGAATGTAAGGCTTCAAACCTTAAGCTCATCGCCCAATCAGTGGTTGCTAGGTGGAGCCGCCTCTCCCCCTCCGCGCGCAAAACACAAATCGCAGTCTGTCTTAGTCTTATTAGTCACCGCAGCACGCGATCATCCTCGATTTACATCGAGATCGGACAACGCCAGGCACAATACACTTCTTCGCCCCCTGTATTCCTGTAACATGGCTTACCCCATCGACAAAAAAAGCGCCAACAATTCCAAAAAGCCCTCCTCAATACATGGCTTCATCTCCCCGCTCTTCCTGTCTGATCCCACTCTGTACCGGCTCTCGTTTCAGTTATCAGAAACATACAAGGACCTAGCTGCCTCATCCCTAGAGCAATTCTTCCCTACTCCAGTCACACATCTCCCCACAGGCAAAGAAACTGGCCGGTTTCTCGCTGTTTACGTGGGCATGTTTTATTTACATGTTGGCTTTATTGAGCTCCTGGGTGAGCCAGACAGTAATCATAGATATGCGGGAAGCAGTAACGGTGGGAGAAGGCGTCCCGACGAACGTGTCCGGCGGACGCTAGAAAAAGCGTGGCCGATTGAAGAGAGGTTGAAGATGGGGCATGCGGCGGATTTCTTCTCGTGGATTGGCAATTGTATTGCTGAGGTCGTGCAGGATAGTCTCAGGAACGAGAGCGATATTGACAATGATGGTGGTGTGGTGAGGGAATTGGTGACGGGGATATCATTTTGTTTCCCTATCATGTAGGTCTACGTCTATCCCTTTGTCACTACATCAATACTGAGAAAGAAATAGGCAGAAATCTCTTGACGAAGCTATCCTAATGCCCACCGGCAAAGGATTTGGTTTGGAATCAGACCTAAATCTCCGCCAAGCACTATTAGATGGATACGAATGCCACATCCGCCCACTCACCCCATCCTCCTCTGACAACGAGAACGAGGATGACGACGAAGAAGCGCGCCATCGGCAGCGAACGGCCAAACGCCGAAAGCACTTCTCATTACCAAAACTCAAAATCGCCGCCATGACCAACGACACCGTAGCAACATTCGCTTCATTAGCGTACAGCATCAAGTCCCTCCCTAACAGCCGCGTAGTCATGGGCCTGATGGTTGGCGCGGGATGCAACTCCACTGTACCAATGAAACTATCCGATTTACATCCCTCAAAAACGGAATTTATACGCGCACAGGACCCCGCTGCGGCCGAGACACTGGTGAGTACGGAATGGACGCTGCGCCGGTCTAGCATGCCGTTTCTAAACATGAAACTCATGACGCACTGGGACGAGGAAGTGCAATCGCGATCTCAGCGACCCGGGTTCCAACCTCTGGAGTATATGGTGGGTGGGCGATACGTAGGCGAATTGGTCCGTATCATTGTTCTGGAATACTTCACATCCGTACTTCATATCGAGAAAGACGTGTTACCATGGCGCTTGCTGGAAATAGACGGCCTGACAACAGACTTTCTCTCTCTGAATGTCGCTTCTGCCTCACCATCCGGCCGCGACGACGAGTCTCTCGCAACCGAACTCACCCAACGCCTCCCATCTACCAAGGGCTGGATCTGGAATTCCGAAAAGGCCGGGATCCTACGAACAGTCGCGGCAGCCGTCCAAGCCCGCTCTACAGCATTAATCGCTGCTGCAACCGTCGGGTTGCTATCGTGCGCGGGTGAAATCCATCTCACAAACCCCGATAAATTACCAGACTCCGACTCATCCCCAAACCCGACGGACATGGGCACCAGCTCATCGCGGCAAGACTGGAAGAATGGACCGGAAGAACTCGTCGTTGCGTTTTGCGGCGGCGTGATTCAGAATTATCCGCATTATAAAGAGAATATTCAGCGACAGATTGATCGGTTGCTGGTACATGGTGGACCACAGGATGGAGGGAAGAGCATATTTTTGAGAGAAGTCAGTGATGGTGGCATTATTGGCGTGGGTGTTTTGGCGGGGACGGTTATGGGTGGAATTGAGGGGATTGTAGGGTCGAGTTTGCTGGGGAAAGATGATAGTAAGTAAGTCATTACCTCAAAAGGTTATAGCAAGAGGCGTTGTATATATTTGAAACTTGGATATACTGCATATGGATAGATTGACTTTAATAAAAATGCATTGTTGGAATTCTCATATCCTAATACTAGTTAAAACCAGGCAACATTAAATCACACCGTTGTTTTTAAGCAATTTGATATGAATTGATGTTTTAACATCCTTACCATCATCACGATTAAACGCGGCATAAGGAACATCCTAAACCGACTTTTACGGACTACGAAAAGTCGTTTTCGGCCAGACCCATTCTGCCCCTATGCCAATGACTGGATACACAAATGTACCCAGCATGCGAATCACGAGGTTGCTGTGACGGAAGCGGGCGGTGTAGATTATACCAGGGTCGACACACAAAACGCATAGTGTCCGTGGAGTGGGATCAGCGTCGAAACGGCGTTGAAGCTCATGCCTAGGGTTCCATTAGCACAATACACGAGCTCAAAGTAAAATTAGGATGGAGAAGAACATAGATGAACATCACCAGACACAATTTACTCGCCGCATACTGTCTCAGCATATGACTGCCCTGCGCGACCTTCTCTACGCTTTCAGTCTTGTATTCTTCCCAAATCTGCTGTAACGCAGGCTCATGGTCATACTTTTGTATATCAATATGCCGTGTTTTGAATATTGCCCCCTGCTGTAATCGGTGATGTCATGAGTCCAACTTGACACACACAATCCGCCCGCAGACTCTGTCGAGGTTGAGCAATAAGAGCAACACAACAAAAAAGCTGGCGAGGTAGTTTATAGCAAAGATGGTATTAGCCACCTTCTGTAGTAAAATTATGGTAGCCATTCTCTACGTATGCAGTGTTTAAAACGATTGCTTGTAGCGGTGGTCATTACTAGCTGCTGACATGTTGGTTTATGGTTGTGGCCAGTTTCCGGATGGATTGTAAGGGGGACAGGTCCACGGCTAGGGTTTTATGGGTGGTATTTTGCAGGTATAGCATGGGGACTGCAGGTTCAGATATGTGTGCACTATTCGCTAATGACGTCTTTGGTGGTCGATGAGCGAAGATTCCGTGATACTCGTTCGATCGGTAGGAGTCTAGTTCAGAGATGATTCCAGATTCAAGGCCACCAAAAGCGCCAGTCACTAGGATCGAGCCTTTGGGAGACATCTGGGCGATGAATATTAATTGTAGTAGGTCGAGTATTTTTTGAAAAAGAAAAGCCGGTGTCGTGGCGTGGAAAATTTTTTACAGGAATGTGAGACAAAGACCGCTCCCAATTCGGGCTTGTGACACTTTTATATCTAGCAGAATTCCAATTTCAATTAAACAGTAATCCCAAAAATTGGGTGGACTTTAACGGGGAATTTAAAAGATTCAAAGTAATTGAATCAGCAGCAGCCTACAAACAAGGTTAGCATCATGCAGCGTGTCAATGGGGTTATACCTACTAATTGTCAACCACTCCAGATAGTCAAAAATTGGCTACTTGTTTTTTTGAGAAAGAATTGTCTGGAAGCTATTAGGAGTAAGGAAAATATAGACTGGTTTATTGGCAGGAGACCAGTTGGGAGAGAAGAGGAAGGCGAGGCAATGCAAGCTCGTGCCTCTCCGTAAAGTTGCCAACCCTCCTTTCTTTTTTTTTCTTCTCGACCTCCATCTACCTCCAGTGCCAGGCAAGAGCTTTGCTGTTTTGCTGTGAGATTGAATCTAACTTCGTCGACTTGTTATCGTAAAACTTATTACATAAGGCTCCGCATCCGCAGTAGGCCGTTTGTTGGCCTAACTAAAACAGATCCATATCGCTCGATATATCAAATGGTATCATCTACATAGGTAACAAAACGTCAACCTAAACTCCAGGCAATTCATGAAATCATCAATCATCAATCTCCACGTCATTCTCGGATTCCTCGTCGGTGTCAGATTCGTCGAGATATTTGTTTTTGTAGCTCTTCCGTGATTTCTTCTTGATTTCGAAGAATTTTGCCCCGATATTTGAGAGGACTGTGTGTCATTGGGAACAGCTTGCTTCGTGACACAAAGTCATTTATGCCAATGGTCGATATGGTGCCGTAGACAGATCGGCCAATGAAGGGAGTGTTAGAGGATTCTCAGCATCGACTGCCAACCAAACGGTTGTATTTTCTTTTGATATGTGCTTTGAATTGGTCTCAACTTCCGATATTGTCTCCCACCCAGATGTACACGCATAACAGAGGAAACCCGATTCAGAGAATGAGGATGGTCTATAGCTCTCGGGATAGATCACCTTATTCAGGCCGTGGTGACATTTGATAGTAAGCAGGGTTCCACTTAAAGATCGAAAATAGTAACATTTAGGTCGTAAGGGTATCCTGTCTGAATGGTAGAAGACAATAAACTGCGCCCGGCATATTACTTTCGAGCACCCAACCCGTGTCGCTGGGGTCAATTCGTTGTCATTTTTTGACACCCGAGTGTTGACGATTTCCAATCTCTCCTTGTCTGATTTATAATTGTTTGCGAGACAAAGACCACATTTTCTGCTCTCCCATGCTCCTGGGTGGCACATCAGAGAAAACTAGTGCCCACGTGGCTGTATACGGTTAATTGTTTAATTTTATATGCTGGAATCTATGGGGGCCAATCACTGATGAAGTTACATTGCTTCACCCTAAACCTTCAACTTTCTCTTGGCATCTAGGGCTTTGGACCATCAGGCCTCCCCCCAAGACGCAACTAGCTAACTAGCGTCTGTGATACAGTAAGCACTGAATATAAGCAATTCATTCAGACCAGCAGTTTCGTTGCCGATGTTTTGCTTAATATCAGCTGCTTCATAATAAATATTGAGCAGTCAAAGGTAGAGTCTTGGTATGAGCATTTTGTACGATGAGCAGAGATCACAAATTGGTTATACTTTAGAATAAAGACCAAGTCCATCATCGGATAATTAATATCCACTACGACCCACTCAGTGTGTTGATACCGCTCGGGTTCCTGCTATCCAGGTAGTGACTGTAACAATCTATGAAAGAGTTATTCGCTAGGCCATATCACAAGCAAATTTTTTCGGGAAGCCTGTCATCAGCAAAGAAATCCATTTCACTATGGATTGATTGTCTTCGTTATCCAACTAGGGCTGACTTAGTCAAGTGTATCTCGTAATATAGTGTGGACACTAATGTAGTTCGTGAGAACGTCGGATCGGAGAAGCTATAAAGAATAACCCCCGACATTGACTTCCATACTAGTTAGTGGACTCAGCTGCTAAAAAGCCAAGCATGCTTAAACAAGCCACACTGATTTAAAGCGAGTTAACATAATGTGAGGCTTTTAGGTTCTACCACCTCGTTGTGTAACTATTCGCTTAGTGAATGGATACTGGTTTGACATGAATACATGAATACAGCATGTCTTTCTTAATGAACAATGGGAATAAATTGACATATATCCCCCTTATATAGACGACCTGGTAATCATCTGAGCTTCCCTTCTTCTAGAACTAAAATGGCCTCATCATTGCTTCTTTGCATCGCCTTGATGGCCGCTGGCCCGTTGCTCGCCCTCGCTCAGACGCTGGATAAGCCTGCGCTCACCCCTGATCTCGACTACTTAGAGCAGGGAGCCATCGATAACCTTGCTCCTACTCAAAGTACGAATGATCAATGGGGTTCTGGTTGGATTCCCTCCGATTGCAAAGACATTGCCAACAACGAGGGCAAGAACCCCGATGACTTTGAGATCTACAACGTCCACTACGATGATGTAAGATTCTGGTGCGATATGCGTTCGCATACCTCCTTGAGTAACACACAAACGCCATGCTGTGCCTCGGAATAATAACAAAGAGGATAAAAGTGGGAAATATCAGAAGCTGATGGTTCGAACACTTTAGTGTGACGATGCGTGGGTATTCTGTCGCCACAAGGATACCCCGACAGATCTAATCACAACGATTGACATCTTTGGTCGACTTCCCGTCGCTATGCGCAGCTGGGTATGTCAACAAAAATTCGACCCACGTATTAAGGATCATATAATTGACACGTTTTGTCTATACAGGTGAGACACGTCCTAACCATTCCAGGCGATAACTATGCGTATAATTCCAATGGCAACATTGCTTTCTTTGGAACAACTAGTGGCATCATGGATGTGGCGATTCACGAGACTGGACATAGTCTTGACTTGCTCGGAGCTTATGGTGATCAGTTGTCTTGTAAGAGCAACCCCCCCCGGGAAAAAAAATCAAGGCATTGTCTAAAGCTAGATGACAGCTAGCCAAGACTGGCTTGACAACTACAATCAAGATTCAAATGTGCCAGACAATTATGCTCAGACAAACCAGATCGAGGTAACATAGGTTTCCCTATCTTCAACGCACCTGTTTTATTTTTTTTATATTTTTTTTTCCCTTATTCTCGTGCTCCTTATCTAACTCCCCGTTACAGAACGTTGAGCAGAACACTGTCGTGAGTGTTTACGATAAGGTCGTCCCCGGGGGATTCGGTTCTGCCCAGCCCAACTGGAATAACATCTTCCATCAGTATGCAACGCTTCAGGGGAAGGCTGGCGATCAAATTATCCCCGGTGGAAGCTGTGATCGTCACCTCGTTAACTCCGAAACTGTTTCCACTAGCGATTCAGCAGCTGCTGCGATGGTAGATGCCGTTGATAAACCAGTCACTTCATTCAAAGGAAACTACACCAAGATTTTGAAAACCCACGCCAAGTTTAACACCAAAGAAAGCTGCTACTTTGGAAACTAAGGTGCAACACATTGCATATATGAACACATTCAATGTGAAATATATAGCTTAGGGGAGGTTAGAGTGAAGTTACTCACTGAGTAGCTTTATATACTGGTTCATGAATGGAATAAGATGATACCATAGCACATGACTATCTACATAGGTCACTGTCTTTTTAGGGCACAGATCAATGAAGACCTTACATAATCTTGAATATCTATTTGGGCCTGCATAGTGTAGATCGCCTGACTAATATAGTAGGTCGAATGACCTATAGACTGAATTTCTTGCCCAGATCGGATAGCTATCGCTAGAATATGTAATGGTCCCTAGGGACGGTGACATCTGGAGGCGGTATAATAATTTGTGCTAAGCAAGGCATGTAGATGCAAATTGTCACAACTTCATAAGCGGAAGTATTCGGTCACTAAGCTACTACGCTAAAAGACCAGAATGTTGAGGATGGTGAATCATGTCCACTACTCACTCATATAGTAAAGGTTGCCGGAAACCGTCACACAAATGGCGCTTTTATAAGATATCCCTACCAAGGATTCTCTACTTATATATTGATCCTGCCGATAAGGCCAGTCAATCCTCCAATATCATTACTACATGGTATTCCTCGCCTTCTGAATATGGTTAGGGTTAATAACCCTAAATCTTACCGGAAATATCGAATGTGGGTTTTGGAGATCCAGCCCTACCACCCCAGGAAGTCAGTCAGGCGGATCCCATAGGTTCCTGCAGCCCTCTACTCTTAGTGATGATCCTGATTGCGTGATCAAGGGCACGGTAACCCTGACTGTCGTGGGTATGGGAGCAAGTTACAAGACCAGACCGGAATCTATCATTAGCGCACCAAAAAGATTAGAGGCCCAATGGGATGTCGATGGTCTCTCCTTTAAGAAGTTTTTGTGTCTCTGGGATGGTTCTGGGCCCACCGTAGAATTTCAAACAGACCTCAAACTGAACCACTTCAGTGAGGGCGCTGAAACCTGGGTCGAACATCGCTTCACCGAGCCCAAACATGGAGATGTAATCGCTGGAGAGCTCCATCTCATTGGAACTGGAGAGTCATCTGGAACCATGTTAGGTGGTATATGGCGACCCGGTAAAGCTTTCACGGGCAGCTAGGTTGATAGCAAGGAACATTGACCATCCCGTATTCTGGCGTTCTTGGTTACGAGGTTGTGTTGCTTCTCGAAGAGGATGTCGATATGATTGAGAAGGACACTGGACGGAACATATTTTTAAGGCTGGTGGTATTATTGGACTGATGCCGGGAGTCTGCCACTCATATTGCGAAGAGACCATCCTCTAAGAAACTGTGGATAATCATTCAAAATAAACTTCCTATGAACCGGGGTTGTATTTGAAAAAGGCACGTAAAATTGTGAGTAATATAATCTCATTTGAAGCCTACATCCACGTGGGTACCCATTCTTCGCGATCCTCCTTACCTGCATTACCCGAAGAATGAAGGCGGGCCAGCGACAAGGTGTCGATGAGTAGTAATACAAGTCCTCTTTTGCAGGATAAAAAAACTGAAATCAAACTAACTCCAACTTTAATAATCACTTATTTTGGGAGCCTTTATACATAATTACGTGGCCGCTGAGGCGTCGAGTTTCATGTGATTGGGTACTGACATCATAACCGCACCCCCGTACATAGCATGGACGATGACAAGGAAACCCAATCCTTATAACAACTACCACCTTTCTGCATCAGTGTAGATTTCAAATTAATTCTTTAGGGAAATTGGAACATTTTTGAAAACAGATAAGAAAGAAAAGATGCCAAACTTTGCACGCAAATTCTTCCGCGATTTTCTAGGTCTGAAACCAGGACGACCAAGCTCCCCAGCAATCGCAACACCATCTGTACCATCCACCAACACAAATCTTGTCATCAATCAAGATGAGAGAAGTCTCTCTGAAGACAAATTCAACGGCACATACCCGCGCCTTACCCGACTTCATGACGGCGCCATCCTAGCTGTCTTCACCTGGCGTGGTCCTGAGCAACTACGCGTGCTCAAAATCTCCAAAAGCACTGACAATGGACAAACATTCATGGACTTCGCAGAAATCATCCGCGGACAGGGGGAGATCGATAATCCCTTCGCGATTGAGGTTGCGCCAAACCACATCCTCGCTGCATTCCGCAACCATGACTTTGGTGGCGAGTTTGGCTTTACACATTTCCGGATCACCGTCTACGAGTCCCGCGACGGCGGGCAGACGTGGGCGTATCTATCACAGGCGGCGGAGAAATCTCCGCCATTGGGGATCTGGGAGCCGTTTATGAGACATGGGCTAGACGGGGGTCTGCAGCTGATCTACTCCCATGAATTTGCGCCAGACGATCAGCGCACCATGCAAGTTATATCGTACGATCGCGGGAAGACGTGGAGCAGTCCACGATGCATTGAAGGCGCCGCAGATAGGTTCCGGGACGGCATGACGGGGATTGCTGAGACGATGGACACAGCCGAGAATCGGCCTGCGCTGGTGCTTGTATTTGAGACAACGCGGTACGGTCCACACTTCAATCTCGAAGCGGTGATTTCATACGACGATGGATATACTTGGTCGCATCGCCATGAGATATATGTCCCGCCGCCTGGCCATAATGCTGGGGCGCCGCAGATTGCCTCGTTGGGGGATGGGTCGCTGGTTGTGGTGTTTATGACGGATGACCAGGCGGAGGAGGTCAAATGGATTCATAATGCGGCGATCAAAGTTGTTCATGGGAGTCCTCCACATGGAGGCAGAATTAATTGGACTATGCCGGCTGTTGTCTCGCCGGCGTCGAGCTTCTGGCCGGGCATTATGGCGCTGGATAGTCAGAGGGCCTTGGTGACATATGAGCATGGAGGGCCGAGAGCGAGGTCTGTGACATGGAAGCCGAATTAGATGTTCGCAATGTTAGCAATGCTCTTAATGATGCATTACTGGTTACTTTAACTGCGGGGTTTTTTGATACAAGGCGGATGATGCTTTAAGTCAGCCTGATAATGTCAAGTAGATGTATGAGATTGACATGCGACCCTAAATCTATCTTGGGGATTTAGATCTTGTTCTCTGCGTATGTACGTTGAGTACTGGATCTGTTTTCGACGCAGCTAAAAGGCACGCGTTAAGTAATATGCACAGGCCACCCGAAATTCACAACCAAGCAACTATGTAATCTAGCCAAGCAAAAAGAGATACAGAAATCAAATCACTGAACCATCGCTCTTGCACACCAGTTGACCATGAACTCTTTAAATGAAAGCTAAAATGCTTAAATCAAGGAAGATTCTTCTGTCCGTCGTCATCTATCGTCAGCTTCTTCTCAAGTGCGCTTGCCGTGGCGTTAGCAGCCTCAGCAGCAGCTTTAGCAGCCGCCTCTTTCTTAAGTTTCTTCTTCTCCTTCTCTTTCTCCTTGGCGGCCTTCTTTGCAGCTGCCTTTTCGGCTTCGAGGGCTTTTTGTTTGCGTGCTTCCTCACCGCCGAAAGCTTCGCGCCATTCTTCGATCTTTGTGGCAGGGATGACGGAGAAGAGGAGCTTGGATTGGCCGATCTTGTGACCGGGTTTGAGTGCGTCGGTGACCCATTTGTCAGTGATGTGAGGGGTAGGCTCAACTCCGAGTTGTTCGAATATAGATTCGGAGGTGCTGGGCATGAATGGTGCGAGGAGACTGGCAAGAAGGTGGATGTGGTTGAGTGCTATGTTGATCACGGCCGCGCACCGGTCTGGCTCTTCCGTGAATAGACGATTGTCAAGTTTGTTGTCTTGTAGTAACTTGTTGCCTAGAGATGATATTTGCATAAAGTCTACAACGGATTGGCGCATTTTGGTAGCGTCCATGAAAGTGATGTAGGATTTTAGATGCTCGTTGACCTCTTTCTCATGCTCGGCAAGGAAAGGCGCCTCGGAGTATTTTGGCACTTCTCCGCCCATTTTGGCTTGAGTGAACTTGATGACTCGGGCCACCAGATTACCCAAGTTCTTGAGAAGTTCGTTATTGTTAGTGCTCACGAAATCGTCCCATTTGAATTCAGTATCGTTCGTTTCAGGTCGTCTTGAAATCAAGTAGAAACGCCAAATGTCAGCGTCAATACCGGTTTCTCTGGCACTGCTACCGAAAACACCGATTCCCTTTGATTTACTGAACTTTCCGCCTTCGTAGTTGAGATATTCGGTTGCTGAGATTCTGTGAACTTTGGTCCAAGTTGTGCCGTCGCCTAATTGAGAGGCAGGGAAAATGATTGAATGGAATGGGACATTGTCCTTGCCCATGAACTGATAGAGTGAGACATTCTCGGGGTCTTTCCACCATTGTTCCCACAGAGTACCCGCAAGATTATCTCCGTCGGTATAGTTGGCTGTGATGGATACATAGCCAATGCATGCATCAAACCAGACATAGAACACCTTGTGCTTATACTCTTCCTCATCAAGCCCTTCGATCCCCGTAGGAATCGGGACACCCCATTCGATATCACGAGTGATGGCACGGGGTTTAAGGCCTTTATCGATCCACGACTGCACAATCGAGGTTGTGTTATGACTCCACTCGTTCTCCTTGCTAACCTTCTCAAACCAGGGCACGATCTTGTCCTTCAATGCATCCAGGCGCAAATAAAGATGTTTTGTCTGGCGTTTCTCTGGGGTTGCGCTGGCATGAAGTTTGCAACGGGGATTGATCAGCCAGCCAGTAGCCTTGGCCTCGACATCTTGTTCCTGGTCTCCATTCTCCTTCACATCCGGCTCGAAGGGATCTAATAGATTACCACACTTATCGCATTGGTCTCCGCGAGCGCCGGGATCGCCACATATACTGCATTCACCCTCGACAAATCGATCAGCAAGAAATTTCCTGTGATCCTTGTCGGGGCAGTAAGGCTGCGTGGTTTCCTTCTCCTCGATATACCCGTTTTCCCATAATCGTCGGAATATCTGCTGGACGATTTTCGTTTGTTGGGCGGTGGGCGTCTTGCCGAAAATATCAAATTTGATTTTGAACCAATCGTAAATGCCTTTGTGAATGTCATGATATTTCGCACACAACTGCTCGGGAGTCACTCCTTCTTCCAAGGCTTTTGTTTCGGTGGCCGTTCCATATTCATCCTAAAATTTTAAGAATCAGAATTCATTACCTGCCACATAATAATCTGATAGAGAGGGAAACGTACGGATCCGCAGATATATAGTGTTGGAAAGCCTCGTGCCCGGTTATACCGCGCAAACACATCTGCGGGGAGCACGCTACCAGTCACGTTGCCCAAGTGAGGAACATTGTTGACGTAGGGGAGAGCACTGGTGATGAGGACATTGTGCTGGCCTGGTTTAGGCAGGATGGGCTCGACTGCCGCCATGATTGTGGTTCCTCGCAGATCGAATCTCCCAAAATTAATAATGTGAATATTGCATTAACTGATTCCTTGGGATGACTCAGAGCGGGGGGCATGGCGGACAGCGCTGGCAGAACAGGTTCTGCCATCCTCTATAAATAAATACTCACCGCCTTCCGTGTACGCGTTTACATAAATCATCAGATAATATTCGGGTGCTCCCTGCAGTTGTTGATACTTCTTTGATCTTCCATCTTTCGTTTTCTGCGAAGAATACAAATACCGCTTTATCAATATATACAGATTAATGAACCTTCAAAATGACTGGCACTCCTCGTGATCTCGTGCCCATCGCGAATCCTTTAAGAATCATGCAGATAAGCCGCAACTACACCTCCCCAACCACCGCTGTTGGAAGACTCGGTGGCAATAGCATTGCTACCTTCAACAAACACGTTGGTCACACTCTTGACTTGCTGGCCGTAAATATAGAGTGACTTGGAGTTCGAGATGTCGACCGCATTCTCCTGGCAATCGCCATTGCAGCCGCCACCATTGTTGAAGAAAGCCCAGACCATTCCGTTGTACAGGAAGAGGTCAGACGAGCCAGAAATGCGCTCGAACCAGGCCATAGTGCAGGTAGCGTCGCCGCTAGCACAGTTGCTGAAGTCGGGGTCGGATGAGATCAAGCTGTCAGCCCATGGGTTGGGAGTAGCGACATTGCCAGGACCTTGCCAGTAGGGAGTTTCACTGTGCATTGTTAGCTATTTTCTGCATTTAGGTTATGCAATATAATATCACGTCGTACCTTTGCTGGAATGCAGAGAAGACATTCTGGGCATTGTTGTAGTTGTATTGGTACAGCGTGTGATGCTCCATAGCAGTTCCGACCAGCCATGTACCCTTGGTGGCTTCAACGAGAATACCACGACCAGTAGAGATGGTTTGACCGTTGTTGCCGTCCAAGTCGTGGTCAGCAGTCCATCCCCACATGTTCTCAATGTATGCAGAGGATGTGTTGGTGAGATGAATCAAGCCCCAGGCGGCCTTGCACTGGTCAGGACCGCCACCACAGTTGGTCTCGACCTTACTACCTGCCGCACCACCAATACGGAAGTGGGAGTTCCAAATCCCGACATCCCCTGGATTTTGGCCAGCAATGTTGACTTCGACCTGAAGTTCAAATCATGTTAGAAATGCGCTCCGAGAGGAATCAGATCCAGGAGATCCACATACCAATTTGCATCCTTGCAGCACATCCGCAACAGTGAAAATAATATCAACGATCTGGGCAACACCAGTATCGCCTGGGTTTCCGACCTGGATCATTGTGGTAGGAGCAGCAGGGTTGTAGAAGTTTTCTCCAACGGCTGAGAAAGCAGTCGCATAGGCGTCACCATAGATGCGAGAACCAGCTGGGATAGTGACTGTGTCGTTCAGAATGTAGGTTCCAGCAGGGAAGTAGATGACCTTGCAGCCAGCATACTGCTTCAAGATTGCGTTGATGTTCGCCGAGTCATCAGTGATACCATCACCATTGACAGGCAAGCCAGAGACTGACTTCACGTTGATTACCTGGTCAACCGAGTATTCCTGGAAACTGGGTGGAGCGCTGGTGGTATAGTATTTGCTGTCGGTAAGAAGAGAGGCGGCGCGAGAGGTTGACACATCCTGGCTGACATGTCCGCCACTGGAGCTACCGCTGGAGTACTAGTGATCTATCAGTAGAGTTCATTTCATTTGAGAAAACTCCTTACCAAGCTACCATACACCCAGGTGTCCGCCACGTTACCAGTCACAGTAGCGCTTCCATCAATGGAGACAGTGGTTCCCTCGTTCACAACATTCTCAAGAACAATGGAATTTGCACCACTAGTGCTGCTCTTGCCAGTGACAAAGTTTCCGAGGCTGCTGCCAGTGGAATCGATGACGGTCAATGAACCAGAGACAACTGTTCCGTCAATACCGGTTGCACCATTTGCGAAGGAGCATGCTAAGCATGTGATACTAAATCCACCAGCGGAGATACCAGTGGTGGTGCCGTTTGTCTTGATGTTCTTCAAAATCCACTGCTGGCCGGACAGCTTCAAGCCGTATGCGCCGCCATTGAAAGTAAGGTCGTTCAAGATAACGTTGCTGTTGGAATCGTACTGCGAAGTAACACCAACGTGGCCGGTACTGTAATCAGGCATGTTGAAAACAACGTTGGCCAGTTGGGTGGCCTGGCTGACGGTCCAGTCGAGCAGACCAAGGCTGGTGTTGGCATTGACGGCAGTTGAGTCGATGACAAGGTTCTTAATGCCAATGTAGAAGTTGATGGTTCCTCCAAAATTAGGGTCCTTGGCATAGATGATGTGGTCGTTGGGGAAGTTGGATGAAGCCTTAAGAGTTGGAGGGTTGATCGGGTCACCCACAAGCACAGTGCCGACATAGAGCTGCAAACTGCCTGACATGAGATATGTTCCAGGTGGGATATAGACAATGGCTGGCTGGCCGGTGGTTCCATAGTTTCCTGAACCTCGTGCAGAACCGCCGGAAGGACCAGCTTTCTCCAAGTTAGTTGTGTCTTTGGCCGATAAGTATTTCCAATCGACGCGAGGCTGACTCACCATTGATGGCGTTCTGAATAGCCTTAGATGCATCCGTAGCTCCAGTATTGTCGGCACCAAAGTCCGTCACTACGTTACGGACAACGGTGTAGTCGTTTTTAGAGGACATGAAAGACGATTGACCGTTGTGGGTGATATTCGCGTACCACCATTGTTGGGGGTTATTGGCTGACAGAGGCGTGCAGGAGGCCTGAACAAGGCCGTGGGCAGTAGAGGATGGCTCGTTCAAGTCTACCCATGGCTTGATAGATTCGTCTTTGAGAGGGTATGGAATACCACTAGCAGTGAAAATTATTGTCAGTTGGATTCTTATCGCACTTCACATGTGCATCATCTAGGGAAATTACCTCTGGGCAGGCTTGTAGCTCTTCGAAGGAATGAATTCATTCACATTAAAGGTTTGCGCATTGTGCTGGGTTTCTGCGCGGGCAACAATTGAATCGACTGAAATAGCACTTGCCAACAGAGGCAGTGCCAACAGCGAGGCGACAAATCTCGCCATAATTACAAGGATCTCTTTATCGAGTTCCGATTAGAAAGAATGACTATGTTCAAAAGAATCTCAAAATGAACGGTGAGATTTATATCTATACAATAATAGGTATAAAAAAAAAGGTAAGGGAATGTCGACGACAACTTCGATCAAAGGAAGAGTCACGGTCAGAAAAGACTGATGTTGTTTCGCAGATCGCATCAGCGAGACTATATACTCAACTACGTGGGCTGAAGCTCTAGACCAGTTTCCCTTTTCTGCAATCGCGTAGTTACGTATTAAGACTATGCTTCTAGAAAGTTAGATCGTACACCAACGCCACAAAAAAATTGGGACCCAAGGTAATTATCTTTAGGATGTGCTTACAACGATTTTACGTATTGCGTGCGTAGCTGCCAACCTAAGTGGTCATGGCTTTGTATCGCTGGTTCACGTCAGATTGGCTGAGAGGCTTGGCCTACAAGCTAAGCATTTAGAGTCAGAGTCGAACGCCGTAGAGCAGTCAATAAGAATTGTTAAATACTGCGTAGCCTTACAAGTCGAGTGGTCCGCGATTTGAAGTTAATACTTTTTCGGCAATTGGGGGTCCCAAATACTCAAATGCTAGAAATAGCCCCTGCCAAGTAGGACTAGGGCTAGCACTAGCTCTGGTTCTTAACGTAACATTTCACGGGGAGCTTGCTGATCCTGGCCCAGTTAGGATTAAGCATTCGAATGCATTGAACACGCTTCGGCATTTGCAGGTAATATTTTACATTTTATTTAATTACATCTTTGTATGCTAAAGTCCGTGCTAATTAACGATCTCTCCCAATCGGCAGGGAATTATGTATCAACCGTCTTTCCCGAAAGGGAATATGGTCCTGTCTTCATTTTGACCTGGCTAGGGGGCTGAGCGCTGCTTCATGTATAGAACACTTTGCGTACTATTTTATTAAGCAAAAGTTAACATAATTATCACACCCTCCAATCACAGTTTCATTTATAAAGAGATACGCTTTATTGATTATAGGCGGCTGAAGAAAGTCCAAGCTCTGGCTCTACTTTGTACATGTAAATAATTTACACCTGGCGCACTTTACTATAATTAATTTTCCCCTGTTGATGTGGATCTTTTCCTCCAATGAGTGATTTTGACATTACTCTTGATTTACATTTCAAGCGTCAACTACTGATTGATTATATTTTATGAAGTTGCATAGAGAACCGGCATAATTTATTTCCATGGAAGAGGGCTGGCCTAAATAACCCTAACAACAATCCGTAGCAAAAAAAATGAAAGCTCGCAACTACCCTTCATCAAATTCGTAAGAAATCTGCAGATATATTTTCTCTTAATTTTTTTGTAATATCTTTTGATCTTTCCCATTTGATGATTAATTACGCATGGCCAGGTTACAGTGACAGCTATTATCTTTAGGTAGCATTGAGGCAGCCCCGAGAATGGGGTCTAAAGCGACCGTCCGTTTCAGCTAATACCGCCGTTGATTACAGTAATCCATAGTATTATTATTGCTTAGAAGTAACGGGAAAAACACCTTTCCCACTTTGCTTCGTCAAGGAGTCTCTAGGTCAATCGTCAAGCTGTCTGCCGCAGGACCAAAAACAAAGAAAAACACGTGTTTGTGCACATGTTAGATACTTCTGTTTGCTTAATCATTGATGAACGCCAATCTCAGGGTCCTGCGCAGCCCTATATGAATTAATCAGTCAGGTGGGTATTAATCTTGGAGAAATAATTTGTATAAGTCATAGTACATCAATGTACTTCGCAACATCAATTGCTCTATATGTGCAGTCTATATGCAATACATGGGCAAATATGTACATCGCACCCAAGCTCAAACAGGGGAAATATCAGGCCGGTTCCCAAAGAATGAAAAACAACCGGAGATATTTCTATCCCAGCGAAAGAACAGCAGCAACTAGGCTGCTAAGTAAACCCATAAACATTTTGACCAGAGAAAAAGTGAGAATGAAAAGTGCAAATGCAAGCGATGGACCCTTGTTACATGTATGTAATCAGATGCAATCTCTCTTGGAGCTATAAAAAAAAACAAGGTGGCTAAGGAAAAATCATCTTCTCATGGTCGATAATTCTTTTGTTTAACCGTCAAGAGTGCAACCGTGGGCAGCGTTGACCCAGCCAGTAAGACGGTTGGCAATGTCAGAGGCATAGCAGTGAGTAGCAACACCAGCGCCGAGGTCGCCGGAGGGGTCGACGCTGCCGGAGTTGTAGATACGGGCAGCTTCGTAGAAGGCCTGGGAACCAGTGCCAGTGGCCTGGTTAAGGCAGTTAGCGAGACCGTCGCCAGCGTCAGTTCCGGCAGCTAGATATACAAGTCAGTTGTGTTATAACTTTAAATGCAGATAAAAAGGGGAAACTTACTTCCGTCAGAGATCATGCCAGAGATCTGGTCGTCGGGGCAAGGAGAGATGGACTGGGCAGAGCCAGAAGAGCCTGGGTTGCAGGTGGAAGCACCAGAGTGGTCTTGCATCAGACCGGGGTTGCTGACACTGTAGACGGAGGTAGGGGCACGAACGCAGCCGCCGGATTCCTGCATGATGACAGCCAGGATGAAGCGGTGGTCAACGAAGGTGGCGGTGGCGACGGTATCAATGGCATCCTGGATAGCCTGGATCTCAGCGTCGGAGTCGTTGTCACCCCAGCCCAAGTTCCCGCAGTGAGCTTGCATGAAGGGCTTGTTGTTCTCGAACATGTCGGAGTAAGAGACCCAAGTAGACTGGTCGGGCCAGCCAGAACCGGCGGAGCCGTCACCGCTGTACATGGTGTAGGCATCAGTACCGGCACCGGAGCCGTCGTTGGCGTTGACAGCAGTGACAGCAAGGCCAGTGGCAGTGACAGTCTCGCCAGTAGTGGCGTAGGCAGCGCCGGCAAGGGCGGTAGCAGCGATAGCGATCTTGGAGAACATTTTGATTGATTGAAAGGATTGGATGATAAGTACTTGAAAAAGTAAAAAAGTACTGTTATCGATTTTGTTTTAAAGGAGGGACTGAAAAGTAGTTTGTAAAGGAATGTCGAGGTACCGGACCTGATTGAGCTGGTGCGATTGTTGTGCTTGATGGAAAGAAAGAGTCTCATCGACAGGAGGACATCGATGAGGCTTTTATAGATAGAACTGTCATGATGGCTCCTCATTCTAGACTGGCCAAAAATAGCCTTTCTGGAGGTTGAGGTTGGGTGACTGGTCAGCTACAATGCTACCCACCTGAACAAGGGACATCAGCTGTAGGCTGTTGCTACTGTGATGGCAGTCCGAGCTTCTACGCTTGTATGAGCAAGTGCTATTCCAAGAGGTAGCAGTCAAGCCGCGATCTCCCTGGGCGCCAACGGCCAGGGATCCGAGAATGGCTTGCTATTGAACGGCTGGGGGAGGCGTTCAAACTAGCATCTCGCATCTAGGCCTAGTAGTAGTCACGGGTAATACTACGTGCCAAGAAAGATGACAGGGACCATAGCAGCAAATGCTTGTATAGAAACTGGTTACCGGATTGGGTTATGCCATTGGGGTCAGAAACATCAAATGAGGAGAAGGGAATGGAACGTCAGCTTATGACACCTAACGCTGTGACAAGAGGGCATTCGCATAGTGTACTCCACATAAGCTTCTAAGGCAATTAACTTAGTCATGGGGTTTATTTCTTCTCTATTAGGGTAAAGCGGTGCTGGACCCTGGGCGCAGCGAAGCGTTGAATGTTCCCCTAGAGTGGTTGCAACATCTCCCGCTAAGGGGCGAAAGCATGGGGGACAAGAAATAGATCCTTCAACAGCCCTACAACGCTAATTTCAACCTAGTGCCATGAAGGAAGCAAAGCAATTATCTAATTCTTTTTTAATGCTTCAAATATTCCTAGGATAAGCCACTGCCGCAGACCGGTGCTGTCATGGTGTTTTGCGGCGCTCATGGCGTTCAATGGCGTTTGTGGCGTTTGTGGAGGTGATCCGGGATTACTAATTTTTCTTCAAAGGGCCTGTCAGTAGTCATCAGGCGAGATTCAAGTAGGTTACAGCACCATCATCTAACCAACAGCTACTGCGTCGTGTTCCGCGCGCAAATTGATGTAGTTAGGGCTAGCATCACCGGTCAGCAAGACTAGCATTTTCAGTCACCGAGTCAACCTACTCACAGCAACCTCGAAACAAAAATAACACACGTTGAACCATTTTAGCTCTACGCTGCCGACCAGGTACCGATCTGAATAGTGCTTACTGCTTAGGACCATGTATGCGAGCACATGGAGTCCATTGCAACCCAGCCCAGACTCATTCTAGCCTTTCCCTACGCCATGACTTAAAACTAACGGACCAGCGCTTGGGTGAGTCTGGTGTGGAATGCACGTCACTAGGCACTGGACTACTAAGTGGTTTAGCAAATACGCAGGGACACACTAGTGACTAGGCTAAATTCCTACGGCCCTGAGGCGGCACCATGGAAGAAGTGTTGGTCAGCCTCAATACCACCTCAGCGCAGGCTAATTTCGATCTGATCTAACCCTCATTAAATTTATCAGACATGAGAAACAAGTAACAAGTAACTAAGTGAAGAAAACTATCGATAATAATAATTATCGGATGTGTCGCAATCATGCATTTGTCTACGATTAGAGTTGAGAAAAGCCCTGACCTGATGCAAGTGACACAAATGTCTCCAAAAAGAATAGTAAAATGCTAAAATGTACCATCGGTCTAGATTTTAAGATCGGCAACAAATTCTGTGCCATGTCAGTACTGTCATCGCGGGCTTGCTTCCAATGGAATACTACATACCTCCGCACTGAGATGTCATAATCTGATCTACGTAGGTACACCAATTCAAGGATGGACAGTTTTAGCCAGACTGATGGCAAGTAGGTCCGGATAGACATGCATCAAGGATAATAGCATGAGTAACAGTGGACTGCCGGCAGACTCCGATTCAATCAGATGCATGCCATGAGTCAATGCTCTCCGGAACTTTTCAACGAATCAGTGCAAGTGGACAGGCAAGTTGGTTTCCTAGCTGCAGGTCATGAATTTATTCAATTACATATTAACATTAATTGAATTTTGCAACTACAATTCGCTTCTCAAATAAATGAAAAACTTAATTTGAAAATTCAATTATACCTTATACACGCTTCTCAAAACAGTAAAAATGCCTCCAAACACAAACCTAAGAATATAGCTAGGGATTGAAACGTCTGCAATGGAAAAAATCTAGCAAAAGCCAAGAATAGTGCACGGCACGAGTTAAATTCAGATCGACATTGTCGGCGTCAGCAATGGCCGGGCTTTCAACGAATTATACGACGCGATGAAACGTGCGCGACATGGGGGCCGACAGCACCCTCAGCGTTTCAGCCGCAAGAGGTTTTACAAACGAAACGATGCATCGCGATTGGCTGTGCACCAGAGTTTCATAAAAACTAAGTAGTAAGGTATCAGGAACAAAAGTTTAAAAAAGGAAGGTGGACAGTGCATACTATGTACATGATGTAAATATAGCTATGCTTAACTAGTAGAATAGATTTCGGAATAGATTCATCTTTTGCTTCTTTTCTTTTCCACTGTTTGTCAATGTTGCTTGACATCAGATTCAGGATAAGCGGAATGTAATTCCAAATGTCAGGTTGTCAGTTTCCTTCGAGTTTAACTAATCTAGGTTGGGAGCAGCCTAGTGTCTATCGGCTTGGAAGCAATGGTTGATCAAAAACCTCAAGCCGACACAGATATCTGTTGTCATGACTTTTAGCTTTGTGCAAGCATAGACTCGAGTTTGAGAGATCAATTCGGTATTCTCAAACATTTCCCCCATTCACTTCTGTGACAATATTCGGCAGGCAAAAGCACATGTCCACTATCCCATCTTCAATGGCAATTCAACTGAAAAGCTCCACTACAGAAGTGGCATAGTTCAAGCTTCCATCTCTCGGTGTTTAATTATCAGCACCTCGTTTTTCTCACACGCGGACATAACCGTGCGCCTCCGAATAATTTATATCAGGACCGTCCGCGAGTAGCTGGCATCGGTTGACGTTTGCCCCGGAAATTTGGCAACTTCCATGAACATCCAAGCATCAAGCATGCAGACCAACCAATTGGCCAGGATCCTGGTATTTGAATTACAAGCACCATCCATATATTCCCCAGCCGCCGAAATATGATCGAAGCTCGCCGTAAATAAAACCTGTGCAGCTACACGGTGCTCATATTCAGTCACTATCAGCCTCGCCGGATTGTTGCAGCCGCGCCTTTTCCTTCTGCTGATCGACAAAACCTCGCAAGATGGATTCAAGCCCTTCGTTGCGGCGGGCAAGGAGCATGACGTCGTTTACATTGATCGTCGAGCGGCCGGCATGTCTGGTGAGGTATTAGTGAAAACACGTAAACACTAGCAGGCGCCTTCATCATACTTGGCAAACGCTTCCAAATCCTGGCTGACCGTTTCTATATCGAAAATTTATTAGCAACCAAGTGAGTAAATATTATGGATAAAAGAAGTCTAACCAATCTGCGCCCACACCATTTCCGTCAAAGCTCCGATGAACTGAGGGGTCGCATTAACGCCGAGTTCGATGGTTTCTTCATCGACTATCTTGCCGATGGCTAGCCAAAGAGCGGACTTGAAGCGCTGCGGAGCTGCTGGTTAGCTGGTCTCGCGCAGAGGAACGAAGAACAAATACGAATCGCAATGCGGGACAGTACCTCTTCGAGAGCATGCGAGTCGTGGTCGTTGTTGTCTGACATATCTGTTTTTGTATCTGAGGTCTATAATAGGAGCGTCCGCGCATGAATCTGCTATCCTCCACGGCAGCAAAATATATGTAAATCAATTAAGAAGACGCGTCGAATGATATATCCTCATCGGTCACGCGTTCCCGCCCCACATTGTCGGCTCTTGAATGCGCTAGTCTTGATCGAGACCATTGCATTAAATGGCATTGTTGTAAAAAGTTATTATTTCTAGATTATAAAATGTCATTTCTCTGGTTGAAATTTGATCAAATTGTGTATTTAGAATAATCGAATTATCAAATCGCCTGGTCTTATAAGTTATTGAAGCATTTGAGATCATAAGATGGTCAATTCTACAGCAATGCTTAAGTCTTCAATATATATATATTTGAGCATTTTAGATGGTTGGAGATCACCATGGGTAAGTTTGATGGCACTGCCGTCAGGTAATCCGTGGCGGAATGGTTCAATAGGAACAGAAGAGAGATCAGATATTCTTCTTCAAAGGAGAATATATAAACCAGTTATAAAAATCACGAACTATAAAAGAGAAACCAACCTTAAACATATATAAATCATATAATACTAGATCATGTAACTACCTCCACAACAGATAAACCTTCATACCAACCATCAAATCAAATCCAGCTACATGCATTAGTACTACGTCTACATATGTCCTGTACCACAGCAGTTCAGCTGCGCTGCCCTGATTCGCTATCGCACTCAACTTCCCTCTTCGGATAGCCAGGCGGCTAGCCCTAAAACGGATGAGCCTATGGATTTTGGATAGATTATTTGGAAAAAATTATCACAACTTACTGAAAAGTTTTTGGTTGGGAAATATAAAATGTATGGTGATTCTCTTCGCCAGATGTTGACATAATCCAAGGAAGATTACTTACGAGATTGCACAGTTGTGCTTGTAGGCCTGGCCACAAACGCAATACGACTTATAAGATGAGTTCCTTGGCGAGGCTGAATTATGTTCACAGGATTTGTGACGGGTCTGCATTGTTAGAATGCTATTGGTACATATCTAACCCAAGGCTGTCAGCGCGTTGTGTCACCTGACGGTATTCCGTAGCTAGAAATGGTTATAAGAAGCGAGCTTGTTAGGGTGGGTTGGTTATTGAACTTGGTTGTTGGTGTAGTTCATTATTTTACTATACTCTCAATAGCTTCTGGGAAGATGGAGGGCGGATATGATGGTGTATCTGACCGACGCCAGGAACAAAGGTGAGCCTAGGCAGTCCAAGAAAAGAAAAGATTTTTGAAAAAGGCTGATATTGTCAGCTCCGACATGCATATTGCTGTTATGGGGGTTACAGGCGCCGGGAAAAGCTCCTTTATCTCACTACTCAGCGACGAAAGGCCAACGATCGGACACACTCTCGAAGCATGCACACAGCATGTGACGCAGTATTCATGCACCATTATACCAGGACGAAACGTATACTTGATTGATACGCCGGGCTTCGACGATACCAATCGCAGCGACACCGAAGTATTACGGGAACTCGCGCACTGGTTAACCACATCGTATGCCAACGACATAAAGCTGACGGAGATAATATACTTCCACCGCATTAGCGATGTGCGCATGCCAGGATCAGCGGTGAGGAATATCTTGATGTTCAAGAAGCTTTGTGGCGAGCATGCGCTGAAACATGTTGTGCTTGCAACGTCCATGTGGGATAAGGTTTCGGAAGACGAGGGAGTCAAGCGGGAGAAAGACCTCGTTGAGCGTCCGGAATGGTGGGGTGGGATGATTAATAAAGGGAGTAGGATGTTTCGGCATCGCGGGGATCGTGCTTCTGCAGAGAGATTATTAAAGCAGTTTTTAAGCGTCGCTGCGCCTACTGTGTTGCATCTGCAGCGGCAGATGGTGGATGAAGAAATGCGTCTAGATCAGACGAGTGCTGGGATTGAACTTGAACATGTTCTTGCACGAGAAAGAGAGAAATTTCAGCGTGAATTAAGCGAGGCGAAGGAATAGATGAGAGATGCTATGGAGATGCGTGACAGGGAGGCGATTGACGAAATGAACAAGGTTATGGAGACCCACAGAGCGAATATCGAGAAGCTGGAGAAAAACCAGAATGATCTCAAGGTAACCATCGAGAATCTCCACAGGGCCCACATGAAGGAATATGAAGCCAAAATGGAAGCCAAACTGGAAGAGGAACGGGAGGACAGTCGACCGGTGCTGAAAGAGCTTCAGGAAGAGCGACTTAAACACGCTCAGGTGATTACTCAGGACGATCCAAGAGCTACCAAATGGGAGCGCTCCTTCACTCTGCAAGGACGCAGTGGCTTTGTTAACAGCATTATCTTCTCCCCTGATGGTAAAACGCTAGCCTCTGCGTCGGATGATTGTACTGTCCGAGTGTGGGATATGTCTTCGACCAAGACAAAACGAGTGTATACCGGCCATGTTGGCGGAGTAAAGCAGATAGCCTTTTCACCTGATGGTAATGGGATTGTTTCTGCATCATCCGACCATAGCTCTGGAACAGCGAATCCCGTCACGGAGGACTCTCTGCGGATGATTGGCATTCATTCCACAGAGGTTGTGGCGGCGATTTATTCTCCCAACGGGCAGATGATCGCAACAGCATCACCAAGTAAAGTTCGAAAATATAGTGCACAGTCCTTAAGCAAGCGAAAGTCACGAATGACGGACTGGACTATAAATTGCCTAGCTTTTAGCCCGGACAACGCCTTATTGTATGCCGGCACAAGAGACGGACTTGTAATGACCTTCACAACGACTAAGCTGGAAGTGAACAGTCGGGTTCGTGCCCGTAAAAACTCCATCAATGCGTTGAAGTACTCTCCTGACGGAGAGATATTTGCCACAGCATCTGCAGATCACACTATCAGATTGTGGGAACCTGGCAAGAGTAGTCATTTGAAAGAGCTAGACGGTCATTCCGCTGAGGTTAATACAGTGACTTTCTCGCCAGATGGGCTTCTGATAGCATCGGGTGACACCGGTGGCAATATCTGGATATGGGACCGCGAGGCTGGTGTGAGATTGCAAAGACTGCGGTGGAATCACCTCCGAGTTACATCCTTGGACTTTTCCCCATATCTACCTCTTCTAGTCTGTGCGTTCAAGGATAGGACCATCCAGGTGCTAAAGAACACACCAGTGTCTCCTGAGAATGGAAGAGGTACAGACCAAGACAAAGTCACCGACGGCGAGGAAGAAAATGGAACAGAGAGAGGCAGCCATCAAGCTTAAGGGGATATTGGTCGGCCTGGAGGTTTCAAAGAGCTTGAGCATGGCATCCAGGCCTTTACAAACCAAAGTCCTGGATGTTGATGGTGAGAGCGGCGAGCCGATTCCCTTGGTGATGATTTTCAGTCCATCCATTTATTAATCGAATTTCACAATACTTTAACAAACTGCAAATTAACAGATTAATACATTACCTTGTAGACATACGAGTATCAAGACATTCTTTACCACTGCTCAGCAGTCTCACATCATCGAGCACATTGACCCGGCGACAATAGTCGGAGCTGTAAACGTAAGCCTAAGCCACGATAATCAAACATCTCGCCAATCCTCACCAAGAGTCAACAGACCACTTACCAGCCCACTCGCAGCCCCTCTTACCAAACTCCCTCCCAACGACTCCCGCACAGACTCATTCGCCGCCTGCTTTCGCTCAATCTCCAACCGCAGTTCCTGAATCTCTTTCCGCAGACGGACAATCTCAAGCTGTTCGTCCGGAAGATCCGCCGTACCATACAGCTGTTGCAAATGCAGTAGGTTCTGGCGTGCACTACCAAGCCTCTGCTGTTGTTTCGCTAGCTGGGCCCTCCAGTCCCCTTCCATCCGACTCATTCTCTCCTCCAGCCGCTTTTTTTCGTCTTGATGCATCTGCGTCAGGTTTCTGGCAAGAGAATGATGATTTTTTTCGTAGCGTTTGCTCGCGTCGTTGGAATTCGTCTTGGATAGCTTTCATTTCAGCCCTGCGCTGCTGGTACTCAGAACTCGTTGTCTGCGATATCTCTCTGATTGACTGCAGCGCGTCCTTCAACGCCTTCTGCATATCACATAGCTGGCGCGATGTAATCAGTCTCCCTGCAGCTGTATCGCACAGCTCAGCACCATCATCCACTAGTTCACTCTGTATCCTCAGTACCGTCGGCGCAGGTCTCGCACAGACCCAATCAACCACTCTGAGCGGCGCAACTCTGTCGTTAGCAGCCGACAGCTCTGCCGACGGGTATCGCACTATATAGCCCCCTCCATCTAGAATGTCTTTAAACACGCCCCCCTTCAACTCGTTCTCGCGTTCTTGCTCGATATCCGCGGCTGGAGACGACCACATAGTCGTCACCACAACCATATTCTCATACGCGTCTTTCCCCACTAGTTGCTTGACCATGTCAATGTTCAGTTTCGATGAACCCTGCAGACGGTTATCGACGATTCGGTGCATGAGGAAAATGCCTGATATATAGACCCTATTCGCATAGGGAGCAGAGAGGTAGTGGGCAATGTGAGAGAGGGTGTCGATGTCAGAGCGCTCCGAGTCGTTGAAACCAGGCGAGTCGATGAGATAGACAGTGCATTTGGAGGAGTGGTGGACGAAGGATGTAATGGACATGCTCGATGTGCCTGTTTAATCAATATCGATTCACGTATAGGTGTTTGCAGTATTGGGGACGCACAAGAAGCAAGGTCATGGCCAATCTCGAGATTCTGCCGGCTGGCTTTTGATATAAAAGTTGTTTTGCCGCTGCCAGTTATGCCGATAACCAGAATGAAGATTGCATCGGGTCTGAAGGTCCTCGCTATTAGCAGTGGTAGCCCTGTTTGGAGATAGCTTACTCGGCGGGATTTTTGCCAGTGAATTTCAGAAAATTTTCGACTTGGGTGGTGAATTTACTAGAATCTGACATGGTGGAATATATATATGTACAAGAAGGAGTGAGTGGTACATATACTGATATTACAACATGTTTGATGTTGAAGTGATGTTAACCCCGCACCTTCTTATAGAGCTGTTAGGTGCGCCGCTCGAGTATATATATAGATTAAAATTTCTTAATATTGAAGACAATAGATAAAGCAACGTTGATTTATATTTGAATATATTGAGAATATACAGCTATCAATATATATATAAATAATCAATTAATATAGACACAATCGAGTGTATGAATAGGTAGTTAAAGAAGAGTAAACACACCATCCCCAAACCAGCAACCACAAACCACGGGAAATCATAGGCCCGCGCGGCACGCCCGGCAGGCTCACGATCAGCGGCTAAAGCTTAGCGGGACTTTTTCCTCTCTGACGCAAATAATTTTTTACGCATGTACGAATTCTCCATACCATTGCATTAGTTACATACCAATTCACTCCCTCATTTATCTGCATGTGAGCTCTAGCCACGAGTATCCCGGACGAGCTCCTACGAGCAGCACCAAATACCTCTACCATTGCCGTTACCATTACCTCCGGACTATTATATCAACCATGTCCTACGCCACCGAAACACCATCCGCAGGCGCCGCTCTCAATGAAATCATCTCAACCATCAGCGCATACCTCCTCGACACCGTCTCCGATTTCCAAGACTGGATCGCGACCCCCACAATCCGTAAATGGATACGTATCATCGTGATCGTGTTCGGATATCTAATGGTTCGGCCATGGATCGAGCTGTTCTTTAAGAAGATGTTTGAACGGCAGATGGATAAAGATGATGCGGAGCGGAAGAAGAAGAGGGAAGAGGAGGAAGGATTTTTGGCGGAGGGGGTGGAGAAGGCGAGGAAGAGTGGGAATAGTTTGAGGGTTGGCGGGGGCCAGGAAGAGGAGGGGAGTGAGGAAGAGGCAGAGGAGGAGAAGATTAAGGCGAGTGGGGTGATGGAGTGGGGTAGGGGCGCGAGAAAGAGGGCCAAGAAGGTTGAGAAGAAGAAATTGAAGGAGCAGATGACTGAGGAGGAGTTGTTGGAGTTGTTGGATTGGAGTGAGTCGGACGCTGAGGGGGAGAAGAAGGGTGCTGCTTAGGGGGATGGGATTGATGTATTATTGTATAGTAGAAGTAATAAATCTAATATTCCGATTTGAACAGGATGGATGATGGAGAAATAATGGGATGTAGGTGGTGATGGCATGATCGTTTATTCTTCTATCTAAACTAACTACTGCACCAACTACTATGGTTAACCAAGAATACCGCCTTAGGAAATCCAAGCCCTGGAACCTTAAAAAGACATGAAATGAAGAAGCGCAGACAGGGACCTGCCCTTGTCGGCTACTTTTCGACACATGCTTACTGCACGTGTTGTGGCTGCATTACAATGTGATTGGACAAGAAAGGCCGTAACGTGAAGAGTGATGGCCAAATGTGGCCGAAGGAACGAGTGTATGAACAAGAGATAACGAGGGTACCTCAGACTTGGCTCGATGAAGAACAAAAGAATGGATGTAGGATAGTTTAGAGCTTGCTAATGGCGCCGTTTGAGCAGGTGGTGCCGGCGGCGACGGAGCCCATGCTTGTTATACGGCCTTCGGCACACATAGACCACGTCTGGCCATTGGCTCCGCAGACGATGGCGCCGCCAGTGGAGCAGGCTTGGCCAGCTGCAGTGCCTTCGGTGGCGATGACTTTAGGCGCAGTACTGGTGGTCGTGGGTAGAGCGGTGTTAATGGGGGTTGTGGTAGTGGATGAGCCTGCCCCAGAACCAGAACCAGAACCAGAGCCAGAACCAGAGCCAGAACCAGAACCAGAGCCAGAGCCAGAGCCAGAGCCAGAGCCAGAGCCAGAGCCAGAGCCAGAGCCAGAGCCAGAGCCAGAGCCAGAGCCAGAGCCAGAGCCAGAGCCAGAGCCAGAGCCAGAGCCAGAGCCAGAGCCAGAGCCAGAGCCAGAGCCAGAACCAGAACCAGAGCCAGAGCCAGAGCCAGAGCCAGAGCCAGAGCCAGAGCCAGAGCCAGAGCCAGAGCCAGAAGCAGGGGTGGCTGAGCTTGATGTAGCGGTTGTAGTGGATGAACTTCCAGAGCTACCACTAGATGAAGAGCCTCCAGACGAACCACCAGACGACCCACCAGAGCCGAGGAAGTCTGCAGAGCCAGAGCAGGTATAACCAGTGTCTGCCACACTTCCCACGACATCAGGTCCAGGCTCAGGGAATTTAACTTCTTGACCGGCAGTAGTTGTGCAACCACCAGGTCCGTTGACGTTGGCAATGAACATTGGAGGACGAGAGCTGTAAGCAGTTCCCGCACGAGCAGCGAGGAGATCACGGGCATGAGCACGTTTGCTAGAACCGCCCTTGATAGTAACCTGGGCGCAGTTCATATACATTTCCCGATTACCAATCTTGTTAAACCAGCTCCAGGCAAAAAGAGCGTTTCCAGATGGAGCGTCCGAGGGGATGGTGAACGTATAGTTGGAAGTCAGAGGGCATCCACCTTCCATTGACTCAATGACAGTGAATGTCTTGCCGGTGTCGTAAGAGAGGGACAATTGACACGAGCCGCCGCCATGCGTGGCGCTGCCAGACAATGACATGCCGTATTGCTGGCCCGCTTGGTATGTAGCAACCGATTTGAATGCATCATTCTGATATCCTTTGCATGGGTAGTCGGATCCTGAGGAGGACAGAGGGCTGGTGTAGGAATAATCCTTGTTGTCCCCGCCATTTGGATTCAGAGGGCTGCGAATGGGATAGGGGTCGCTCATCTGCATGTGCGCAGAGACAGTTGAGGCCAGGAAGGCGTAGATAGCGAATGTGTTCTTCATTTTGAAGCAAGTTCTGAGTTGCAGTGTTGATTCCGTGTTGTAGTAAACAGAATGCCAACCAGGGCTATTCTGTCGATCTGATAAACGATAGATGGAATATGGAATCTAAAGAATGACTGTCAGGAAAGCGTTGGTGATGACTGTAAGGAGGAAGATCTTTAAATATTCATTGCCATGCAAAGAGTGACTCTTTTACATGCAGGAAGGAACCAGGTTATTGTTCACCATGTCAACAATTGCACAGATATCGACAACCATGGCAGCAAACAAGGTAAAACAATCCAGAAGCAAAGAGATTATTCTACTTACCCAGAGAGCAAACAAAGAATGAGGTTGACGCCCACCTGCAAGATTGACAAGCCGTGACAAGCACAGGAAACCTCCTGCCAGTCCGGGTCCTCTGGCGCTCTTTATCTCCTGACCACAAATGCCAGTCGGAGGGGCTTGTCACTCAGCGATGCCGGTATTTGGGGCCAGTGGCAGGCGGTGCCTGGTTGTGGAATGGATGGACAGAATAGAAGGCGGCGGCCCCGCCAACCACAACCAGGCAGGCATGCCAGCCAGAAGCTTGTCTTGTCTCTCCGGCACATTCCTCGACACCATTAAATTATTATTCGCGTTGATCATTGATCATAAGAGCCAACAAAAGCCGCAAAGAGGCTCTGCCAAGGCGTGCCGTGGTGTGAGGCGCAACAGATCGCTGGAACAGGTCACCGACTACAGCGGTCGAAAGGACCAAGCTACTCCCTCGAATCTCTGTCGGCGTTTCAGGAGACACCATCGCGGCAAAAAAGTCGTTTCATACTGCCCGCACGTCGGATCATTATTGGAGACATCCAATCTCACAAAAGGGTCAAGTCAGAGTTAGAGGCTTGGGTGGACGTATGGTGAAACACAAAGCGCGGAGCATCTTCAGGCGGGAGGTCAACGGTTGGCTTGCAGACTCCGGCGTCGATTTAAACGCCTGTCGATCGTGAAACTCCCCGCAGACTGTCTCTTGTCGAGTCGACAGGTTTATTTGATTGGACTCTGAACAATATAGTATTGTTGACTGGTCACAGCGACAAATCAGCGTATGGCCTGTTTTGATTTTCACTTGAGTTTGAACTGAAATTGCATGATGCGTCAATGTAATTGGGCTGTCCCTCTTTTCTTCACAGGCTACAGTATTAAATATCGGATATTATCAGGATCCTCTTGGCGGCTCCAATAAGAGTGTATCTAGTGTCGCCGGTTGTTTCGAGGCATGGATCCCTTACATGGTGTTTGTCAAACATCCGACATAACCCCTAGATATTGAAATCCAATAGGCTCTTTCAGTGATCAATTCCGAAATATAAAGTCCGTGCGACAGGCCATTCAGACACTGGCATGAATTGCCCTCCTTGAAACAGCTTCATTTCTTATTTACCTTCTATTTTCCAACTAGTCTGAGAGTCTCGATTCTAGATGCGCATTCAAGAAATGTAATTGATTTAATTGTCGTAGCTCTCCGATGACGGCATTGCGCTGATAGTATTAACGGATATCGTTAGCGCCGATCGCGACTCTCCGCGATCGCGCGTCACCTCTTTCCAGTTCCACAGTCCAGACGTTTACTCTCTACGCCGCCCAAGGTTCGATGGTGATAGTGTCACTGCCCGCCGCGTTATCGAGGATATGACGTCGCTCACATTCTCACTACGTTCTCGCGTCTTCGCTTATGCTGCATGAAGCAGCCTGTCCCACTCCAGCCAAGGCATCGCCTGTGGCTGGGAGCCGTTAGGACTGCTCGCCTCCAACATGCCGCACATCGTTGCTATGGAATTGACTACCACCTCTGTCATGATCGTCAGGCACTGTACTGGCCGATCAGCCGTCGCCTGCCCCGTTCAGTCACTGTGGCAAACGCAGAAAGCATGTTCTTCAAGCCTATAGCCACCCTTTCCACCCTCTGCAACGCGCCAAACGTCCTCTCACACCCCCCAAACATCCCATCCCTTCAGTCCATTGCCCGTGTCCCGCTGTCTCCGGTACGCCTGTTTTCTGAAATACGTGGAATCAGTGGAATGATGGACCGGTCTGCCACGCGTGCGGCTGCTGCTCGCATACGTCGTGGCGTCCATACCTCCAGCCCTAAACGTGTCTCCCCCGCAGCAGTCGAGCCGGTCGAATCTGCCTTATCCAATATATCCGCGGTACTCGAGTCCGGGCCGCGCACCGGAAAGAAGAAGGCTGCACCGATTGACCCAGAGTCGGACGAGGAGGTACCTACGAATGCAGCTGAAGTCCAGGAATCGCTAGCGCGGCCACCGCCCGTCAATAGCGATTATCTCCCCCTGCCATGGAAAGGTAGACTCGGATATGCTTGTCTGAATACATATCTACGGTATGCGAACCCGCCTGTCTTTAGCTCGCGCACTTGTCGCATAGCGTCTATTCTGGAGAATCGGCATCCTCTACAAGACCCATCGCAGCCGTATCATTCGACCAAGAACCGCCCTGATCGGAGTAAACCTGCGGTAATTGCCAGGGGGCAGGAATATGTTCAGTCGCTGGGCGTAGCTAATGCGCGAGATATCGTGAAGATGTTGCGATGGAACGATCGCTATGGTATCAAATTTATGCGGCTGAGCAGTGAGATGTTTCCGTTTGCAAGCCATGATGTGTATGGGTATAAACTAGCACCATTTGCGTCTGAAGTGTTGGCGGACGCTGGGCGAGTGGCTGCCGAGCTTGGCCATCGCTTGACAATGCATCCTGGCCAGGTATTTCTACTTCTATTCCACTACTTCTTATATTTATACTGATGTCATCCAGTTTACGCAATTGGGATCACCTCGCAAAGAAGTGATTGAAAACTCAATCCGAGATCTTGAATTTCACTCGGAGTTGCTGCAACTGCTCAAACTCCCTCCACAACAGAACCGAGATGCCGTGATGATTCTCCATATGGGCGGAGTATTCGGCGACAAGGGCGAGACACTAGACCGATTCCGCAAAAACTACAAGACTTTGTCTCAAGACATAAAAAACCGCCTCGTTCTCGAAAACGACGACGTCAGCTGGTCCGTCCACGACTTGCTGCCGATATGCGAAGAACTCAACATCCCTCTTGTCCTCGACTTCCACCACCACAATATCGTCTTTGACTCGGACAAACTCCGCGAGGGTACCCTCGACATCATGCAGCTCTACGACAGAATCCGCGCAACATGGACGCGCAAAAATATCACGCAGAAGATGCACTACTCCGAACCTACACCAGACGCAATAACGCCTCGTCAGCGCCGCAAACACAACCCCCGCGTCGCCACCCTCCCTCCCTGCGACCCAACCATGGATCTCATGATCGAAGCCAAGGACAAAGAACAAGCCGTCTTTGAACTAATGCGCAAATTCAAATTACCAGGCTACGAGCGTATCAGCGAGCTTACACCGCATGTCCGTGAGGACGAGAATAAGCCGTGGAAACCACCAAAACGAACTAAGAAGTCGAGCGATTACATCGACCTGTCCAAATTAACCCCGCCGCCCCTGGATGTGCTCGCGGAGGAGGTTAGTATGGGCGGACCGGAGGGGAAAGTCTACTGGCCGCCAGAGCATGAAGAGTGGCTGAGACCCAAGAAACGGGTGATATCGCGGAAGCAGTCTTTCCCTCTCCCTGACTCAGTCGAATTCCCTCAAAAAAAGACGAAACCACGATCGACGACGAATCGCAAAAAACGCAAGTCTTCCCGAGTATCAACTCCTACATCCAGCTCTGAGAAAGAGACTCTGAAACCTCCACCTTCTGCGCGTCGGAGTACGCGTGCCAAGAGGGTTAGTTATGCCGAAGATAACTCTGCTTAGGCTGGTTTGTATTGCCATATTACATTTATTATTTTGCTCGGCGTTTGGGTTTATACTACTTATACCCATCTGGCGTTGGGTTGGCATTGGACATGATGAATGGAATTGGTGTTTTTGGTTAATGAAGCATGTATGAACGGCATACGGGTTAATGTCTATTCTCGCATCTCTAGATACTAGACATGTACATAAATAAATACATAAAAAGACTTCACAAATCATATGCATGGTTATACACTACATGGAGACACCGAAGAGCAGACACCCTACATATGTACATATAGCTAGAACCAGTCATGTTCGAGCCAGCAGCAGGGCTAGTAGCACTTAAACCAGCAGGGATTCAAAAGATACCCATGATATTGCGATGCATGTTACGATACAACCCAAATCCATTTATGCTCACTGAACGCGATCAAGGCTTCATCAAGCGCCTCCTTATTGTCTTGTTGTTTCTACCTCGCCGTGTCTATCATGTGACCAGCAAAAATGGCTTTATTTGCCCTCACCTGCTGGCGCGTCGCCTCGTTGTCAATTTTTGCCAACACGCGCTCAATGATGGCTTCTCTTTCGTCTAACAATGCATGTAGACTTGCCATGCCCTCGGTGTTTTGGTCCGGGTGAGCTCCCGTAGCGGCGTGCTTCAAGTCGAATTCCTTGAATTGGTCGTCGTGTTCACACTTGATTCTTGTGAAGGAATCTGTAATCCGTGAGTTCTGATTCTTAGTGGCGTTATGGCAAAAGGAGCGCTGGTAGATACCGCTGCTTCTTGAGCCTCTTGCGGTAATGGCCATTTAGCTTTCAGCTTCGTATCTTTATCCCAGTAGTCTATCATTTTAGGGAAAATAGAATGCGCAGCTCTAGATGTCGCCGTTCATCGTCCAATTTGAGAATCATGTTGAGATCATCGGCAGTAACCACATTGGCGTTGTCTCCGAAAATAGCCGATGTGAACTTAAAGAAGTCATGACATTTCGGGGGCGAAAGCTAGCTACAGTCAGGATAATGAATGATTGATATAGGAAAATAGACATACTAAATCTATTTTGGCATTGACTATGTTATAGGATAGCAGATATCAACCCTTCTTCCCCTTCCTTTCTCTAGTGATCTCAATTTGGCCTTCCCATGTCTCAATCCATCACAAAACCTTTCACGAAAATGCCGTATCGCTGCTACGCTTTCGTAGCAGCCTTTTAATTTGCTTATCTCTTCCATTCGTCTTCTCAACCGAGGACGTATGTAATGATGTTTGGTTGGCAATACTGAGCGTCGCGGAACGGTCGGTGAAAATGATCGGTGGCTGATCAATACCTTCAATCAAATGTCGTAGTTTTGGTTTTACCCACACCAGATACGCAGCGTCTTGCTCAGTCAGCCAATATCTTTTCTCTACATCACAGCCTGCAAGGGATGCACACTCACACATGATCTAGTGGTGTTTCTTGGGAGGGAAGGCTCCATTTTCTGTTGGCCAATTAGTTAGATACTGTGCTTTCAGGGTCTAATATTTTCAAAGGTTTACTACCCCATGTATAGTCGGCGAATAACGGGATCGTATAGTCGTTAAATATGAATGCACTGTAAAAATGAATCTTTCAATCATGGAGAAATTTCCGGACAAAAGAAAGATATATCGGGAATGAACACGCCGGAACACATGCAATTGAGGCGGTAGATCTCTTTGAAGCCATGTTTCCATTCAGGTCCTGGGAAATAAGTATCTTGCCATATTGAGATCAACTCCAGGTCAGCTACAACAATGGCTCCATGAGCAGCAATGTTGTGTTGCTGTCGTCGACTTATTGCTCTGCATCACTTGGTTCGAAAATAATATCTTCATCGCCAATCACCGTAGCCATATCCTTCGAATTCTCAACCTCATCTAGAACATCGTCGAGAACATAGTTGAATCTAGAGGCTTTTGGGGATGGGAGTGGAAGAGGGCTCCTTGACGAGTTATTTTTCCTTTCTTTGACGACACTGGGGTAGCCATTGGGTACTGTCCTTTAATAATGGGTTTATCTTCATTATGACCTTTATCACTTGAAGGCCTTTCTGACAGTAATTTACTATTTGAGGGCTTTCATTGGAATAATGTTTATGATGAGTAAGATCTGGGTTATCCTCTTTGGCTGAGTTTCCATTGACAGCAGGTTTATTGCCTTCGGAGGTTTGATAACTTGACGACGCTTCAGACGATGACTTGCTGTTTGCGAAAGTTGGTTGTTCTCATCGGAACTAAGTTCGCGATGAAGGAGTGTGGTTCTTGTGTCGTTAGGACCTTGTGTGAGCAAATTTGGAGTCATATTGATGTGACACGATCGATATATGAAATATTTTGATGCTATACGGCGTATCTACGTACGATAAGCTTTTGGAGTCGGAGAATCCCGGTCTCAAAATGTGCTTTTAGCAGCGTGATAGCCTCAATTTCATCCGCCCATTGGACGACAATGTCAGGCGGGGCGATGATTAAGATGGGGCGTTTTAGCAACCCATTGTTCTAAAATGTTGTTAGCATTTTTACCCTATTAAAGAAGATGGCAAGATACTCACCTTCAGGTGGAGAAGGAAGGCGATGGCGGTGAAGGTTTTTCCTAATCTAATATCATTGTATAGCGGATGGCTGGAGAATCTGACGTCCTTATAGGTGCGAAGGATTCGGTCCACTCTGATGATCTGGTGGTCCAGGAATGGATAATCTTTATGTATACCCGAGAGGCGCGGTGAAATGTGTTCTTTCGGGATGCTTAGATGAGCTTTCGCGTCGTCTAAATTGTCGCTTTGGAGATAGGTGCCGTCCTGCATTTTATCGAATTCATAGGGGGTCTAGACTGCAGTCTCAGTGGTTTGAATGATTATGTTTGTGGGGGTCGGCAGCCTCCCCTTCGTCGTCACAGATAATCGGACTGGCCAGGCCTGTTTGGATCCAGCCATCCTTTTCCATCTGCACAAACGCGTTAGTCGCCCTGTTGCGACCGATCTCCTCAAGTCCGGGCACCGGATTGGCCTCGAGGTCTTCTCTAAGCTGGTCTTCGGCCAAGTTCTCTTTTGGGTTCATCGAGAGTGTTGATCATCATCATTCCGGCTGGATTCCCAAAGTGTCGACGTTTCTCATGGAAGTCTATGGGGTCTGTATGCAGGATTTCGGCGATGGTGTCTTTTAGGGAGATATCAGTTCTCGAGCCTTTGCCAAATGGTAATACGTACCTGTCCAGATTTTGATTACTGAACCATCACTCTGGTCTGAACTTTCTGGGGCCAAGGAAGGTGTCTTCGTTCACTAAAATGTCGACACTGCTCAGAGAAATTTGCGAATTTCTTGGGATCACCCATTCACCAGACGTCAGTTCAGTCAGTTTTTAGGCCTCCGCTTGTTTTATAACGCGGGAAGAATACCCAACGGTCCTATCTTCGGATATCCAGTAGGTTAAATGTATACTAGCTGGAAGATTAGATATAATTGCTTCGTCAAAAGTCCAAGGGACAAGCTAACCAAGTAGGCTCTAAAGAGTCTGTCGTATATGTTTGTGGTATGATGAAATTAACCATGACCGTGATAGCCCCAAGGTGAGAGCCACATCGGAGTACCGGGCTAACGCCGTAAAGGTCGAACAGATACGCACTTTTGGATGTGGTACCCACCCCGGTTTACAGGTTTTTGAACATTCTGTAGAGTTCCTTTAATGAAGATACAGTCAAGCTAAGAAAGACCTCGTTCCACGTTCAGTCGTCCATTCAGGGGAAAATCCACAGCTACCCGATGAAGTCCGCCGCACCATGAATCATGGGGTATCCGCTCAGGCCTTAAAGCCGCATTGTTGGTTGAATCTTGATCAGGCAGACCAAGCTATTGATTGTGCTGGTGCCCTTCCCCTTCACCTCGTGGATCTCATCCACGAAGACACCCGCCCATCGCTCAATGCTCCGCGTGTAGGAACGGCGTGGTAGCTTACCCTGGGTGTGGGCCCATCTGAAAAGAAAACAGCCATGAAAAGAGATAAGGCAGGAGTTGTAGAGCCCCTCGTTAAGAGGACCCATGTCATAGTTCTATTAACAATTTCGCTGGCGTGGGAAATGAAAGCGGCTTGTACACCAGTCCATTCCCTACTAGGTGGAATATTTGGGCATTCACTAGGGTTCTTTCCGGGAAAGGATCGAAATGTTTCCTAGTATCTTCAATGATCTCTTTTGCAAATATTTTCCAGTCCGGAGAGCGCCTCACATGCAAATTCTCTCCGACAAACTGCTAAACCCATAGTCTCTAAATAGTATTAGTATAAAATGACGATGAATTTTGACGGACATGAATCTCACAAACTATTTAGTCGACAGACAGTTTCATCCATTTCATCCACACCAACCAAAGCTGGCCCATATGTGCCAGCATAAATGCTTGTCCCGAACAAGCGCAAGCAACACCGGTTCAGAGTGACGTCAACCCCTCAACAAGTCCTGAACAAGTCAGGATGACTGTTGTCATTCAGAAAGTTCTTTTATAGAAATACTCCAGCTGGAGAGGTTTTACACTAAAGAAGCCATATTGCCATGTTGTCTAGATGCCTACAACACTTTCTGATCGCGTAAGCCTCAATATGATGGTATTTGTGATAAACGAGAGAATAGTTGTCGAAGGAAAATTGTAGAAGAGAAAAATTTTTTCTTTGTGTCCAAATAAAGGCGTTTGCATACACGTGATGGAGTGGAATGCCTTAAACCAAACAATGCTCTTGTCCAGGCATCCCGGCATCCAGGTACAACGGCATATCATATCATATGGCGGAGTAGTTAGCTCCGTCCGTACAAAAAGAGAACAGGCGTAGAGGCAAGTATTATAATAAGAAAGTATATTCACGATTTCAAAAAGGAAAAAAAGTCCATGAAATGCAATTGAATTAGTATTCGAAATATTGTATATTGAGGGTGTCTTATCGTACGATGTCACTGATAATCACAATTTCTAGTCTGCTTATTATATTACACCCCACCAAGTGGGCAGTCCCAGGTCAGCTAGCTACCTTGTATGCACCTTTGAATTGCCATGGAGATTAGTCAGTTAAGACAACCTTCAACGTTTTTAAAGACTATTCAGGGGTTACCAGATCTTCAGATGGGGAACCGCCGGCATGCGTTGGAAAGCATGGTGTAGCACTGCACGCCGGCATCGCAGCGATACGGACCTCCTACCAGCGTCCATGATTAACCTGAGGTTGAGTCCAGAACTCATCCCCAAACGCATCAAGTAGTAGCATGCAGCATGTGTAATTATGCCAGCCGCTGAGTTCCATACATCCTATTGTTAATAAGAGAGAGTCCAGCTCCAAGCCAAACGAGAGTTCTTTAGCCAAAGACCAATCGATGACCCCTGTAATCTCAAACGTCTCCACATCAACTAAGATGTTTGTTTCAGAGAGGTCATTATGTGTGAGAATTTGCGGGTATGGTTCCTCTCGGAGGAGAGGTATACTGCGTTCCAGTTCAGAGATCTTTGCGTCCGGAAGTATAGAGGGCGATGACTCCTTGAGGCTGTTGAGCCAACGATAGAAACTTTCTGAAAATCAGTCTGCACTTGAGGGTCAACTGACTGTGGCTTGGACCAACACCAGGCAAAGTACATAGAGGGTATTACCATTATATTTTGTCATGAACCAAGGCTGGGGTTAGAAGAAAGATAGGCTACCTAGCTAGGTGCTTGACGTAAGAGACATGTCTAGTCTTGTCTTTAAGGCTCAATTTGACCTTGGTGCTGAGTACTTCTAGGCAGGGAACTCTTCGCAGATAAGACATTCTATAGATGTGTAGGTGGGTTGGCACTGGCTATTTCGCTATGGGAGATAGATTTTGGTAGCAAGGCACTATGGATAGACCTTGCTAGTTAGATCACATCCTGATCTAGTGTGGACCCGAATTCTCGAAAATACACAATATAATCTGGTTGATTGTCTGGATTATCCGTATAAAGCACCGTGTAGCTTGGTGAGCCTAGGACCGCAACTATCTAGACCGCCGAACTTCCAGATATTAGACGGGCATTGTCATCACGTTGTAATTGAGTTGGATATTCACGGGATTCAAAGAACTTGTCGATCGCCTGTTGAGCCCATGAGATCCCAGCCATAGTTCTGGATAGTGACACGTACTCACAGCGGTGCTTGGTCAAGTTCCATTCCTCAGCTGACATGGTCGAGTCAGTAGTTTAACTTTACCTAACTCACTATGGCGACGATCGCCTGGTATCTAGAAAATTTTAATATTATGCACTTTCAGAAAATAATTTTTATGCTTTTAAGTGGTGATTCCAGCAAGACAATCCACATTCAACCAATCTCCCCCTGGAAATCGCTTTTCTGCAAAGAACGCACTTCAAGAGCCGTGATTATCACCGAAAAGGTCTTACCATAATGACCGTACCAAAAACTGTGGATCCGATTCCGAATGAAAATAATTATGAAAAACGCATCACCCTCTCGAACACCCAGCAATGAGATTCCGTGGCTTCAACAGATACAATCCACAAGCAGTTCTAATAACAGGATAACGTGGCCATGGGAATTGGTTGGTGCAGACGACACCCTGAGCAACCCATCCTCATTATCAGACAACATTCTTGGAGGCCTGCTTTTCAGACTAGAAGATCCCGATGAGAATGTTAGATCAGCTGCTATGCAGGCCTTTTACTATCAGTCCTCATTATCAGAGAATATCCTAACCTGTATACGAGACCTAATGCTCAGAATAGTTTGATTTACCCGACCCCTTTACCAGCAAAGACGACCATTGAGAGTTTAGTGTCCCGACTAATTTCTTCCAATAAATATGTCAGATCTGCTATTGAGAACATTTTAATCAGCCAGCCATCATTCCTTTACGAATTCTATGGAGATCTGATACGTAAACTGCAAGGTTCTGATAAGGATGTCTGGTCCAATGCTGAGAAGATTATAATCAATCAATCCCTACTATCGGACAAGTCCTTGAGCATCTAAAATAGACTTCATGTTCGTGGATGTCTGTTAATGAAATGAGGCGTCCGAGTGCTCAGAGGATTTGAATTACAATGAGACAAATCGTATGGCAATGAAAATACGAGTTCGACTGTTGGGAGGATTTTAACGAGCCAGCTCTCATTATCAGGCAACGTCCTTAAACTTCTTGTATTAAACCTTGGGAGCGTTAGGGAGAATGTCAGATCCATGGCTGAGACAGTTGTAATCGAACGTTCCTCATTATCAGACGATATCCAGGAACATCTTGTATCCGCACTGGGACATCCCAATTGGAATGTCAGGTTGGTCGCCGGTCGGACTTCAAGCCACAGGTCTAACTCAGCTAACTGTGAAGGGTCATGATCATATTTGTTTTACGAAAATCAGATCATGCGAGAGATTGGCTCAATAATTTCCTCCGTTCAATATTCGATAGCAGCCAAGTTTTATAGATACATAGTCTAGCTTTACAAAAACATAATTATCGAACCTTATCTTGATATGTAGTTAGGGGGCTGAAACCAAAGAAGAGTGACAATCATCTTTTTGTAATAAAGTCATATCCTACGAAACAATGGTTCAATGACTGCCTCCGAAAATAATCGATAGCGGCTAAAAATTTAAATAACTGGTTTATCTTTATTTAAGCGCAGTCATCGAGCGTTTTCCTAGTATCAATGACTATCTCTGTATACAACTTTTATGATAGACCATAACTTTATACAGAATTGGCAGCAGTATATGTATTTTGGTGCTAACAAAAAAAATCATCTTTATTTGTAATTAGTAGTGTATTGTATAGAAAACAAAATCATTTAAGTAGAGGAGTCGAGTAGAACTACCGTGAACGGGAATATCCCTTGGATATATGGCAAATCCGATTCATCTTTACAAACATCCTTATGCATTATCCACTGTAGATTTTATTCATAGTCGCCCGGTCGATCCTTGAAATTTCATAATTTTCAGGAAATTCTTCGGGCGTTTTCCCGAATGAGGGATTCACTTCCAACCACTCTTCATGGATTTCATACAGCATGATCGAATGGCCATCAAATGCCGACATGTAGTAGTTGGGGTCGTTCACGCGATACCGAAAGATAATATCACGATCAACCTTCTCTCTAGCCCGAGTAATTAGTTGGCCATTACCCCAGCTTTTGTTCTGATTGTGATAATATTCTTTCCAATATTCCACGAGAGCGTCTCGGTTCCATTTATATGGGAAACTAGGCGAGAATTGTTCATGTTCGGCACCCAGTATATGTCCGAATTCGTGAAGGATTTGTCGGTCCATTTCCTTCAAATCTGACTTCCATCTCAATTTTGTAGTCGACTCTGATTTGGGAAAATTTTTTGCGTTGGACCCGACCTTGGAATACCATTCATGTGAGTTAAACGTAATACGGACATCGGCGTCCTTGGGATCGTCTTCCCAGACGAACTCGATATTTGGACACGCATTTTCCCATTGGCCAGCGGTGGTTATTACTCTGTTTTTTTGGAAATTATTTCCGTCGAGAAATCCAATACTAATTCTGGCAGTACCGTCGTCGTCCTTTGGCCATTTAAATTTCTTGGAAATGATCATATTGAGAGGGAAAGCAAGGTTTGGCTCAACACAACCCAAAAGAGACGCAAGTCTTAAAGAATAGAGTAAATGAGAAGCAGAAAGCTATTCGTATTAATACCAAGCAAAAAAGAAACAATCGATATTTCCCATGATTCGAGACTTATTCGGTTTATATAATATGCTGTCTGACTACATAGATAAATAATTTGCTATATCGATGTTTCACTGGAATTTGAAATGCTCTAGAGGGTGACGCAACGAGCTTGTACCATTTAGAAACATGTCATAATACAATACTAGAGAGAAATTCAGGAGGCTAGCTGAAGGGAAGAGACACCGTGCTAAAATTCGAGGACAGGTTGTGTACCCTAATGCAGTCGAATTCAGTGCCACTCGGGGTTGCGATAAGCTGACATGTCCTGTTTGATAGGCCATAGAGGACAGGGGTTTCCCATGCGGCTTAAAATTTCCTCGTAATTACTCATGTACAGTGAAGCGCCGGATCCCGATTAGCCTGTACTGAAATATTAGAGTCACGTCATGTTAAAAAAGATTCCGTTTCGACTGGTCAAGGGGATCAATGATAAGCAGAGAAGAAACCACCAAGTATAGGATGTTGACTCGGATTACTTTCTAGCTTCTGCTAGCTCAATTTGGTTGCCTCTCTTGGTTGTATACGTAAGCCATGGCATGCAATCTTCTGTTTCAGGCTGCGTAGGGGGTAATACCCTCCGAACCATCAATAGCTGAGGCTGCCAAGAGGGGCAGACAGGGAACAACCTCCACTTAATGCGAGCTACACAAATAGGAGCATACTGAATTTCGATCATGGCGTGTTTTTAAATTCGTCAGTTAGCGGCTCTAAGCATCTAACTACTGCCGTTTTCACGGCATATTTGTTGTTTATCAAGCATACGGGGACCGACAGCGAGCACTGAGCTATCAGAGAACGATAGGAACAATAGCCACTAACTGTTATTATTCCCACCGTCTGAAAGCTACTCCTCCTCCCCCTCGCAAGAGCCATCTCTATTGCAATGGAAAAGTGCTGGTTTATATTGCGCCAGAGCCATTACCCCCCTCCCCAAGATGGTATCGGACCAATACAATTGGGGCATATAATACCTGATCTACGAAGGCTAGATCAGGTAATAAATGCCACTCCCGGTCCATATCCGTACCCACGGGGGATTGCCATATACAAGAGCAGACAGGAAATTGTCAAGTCCAAGATAGATAATAACGACAAGGCTAGCTTATCGAGCAGCGTTCTTGTACCCATTCCACAAGCAGCAGGCCTCGTCAGTGTTGGAGGGAGAATTGGCTACGCATTCCAGCGTTCCGTTGCTCGGTATTGGGAATTTGACGCCCTCGACATCAGTTTTATTCAGCCGACAAGGGCCTACATCGAAGACTGTTTAGGTGAAGACGCAGTCAAAATGTATATTGATCGGCATCGACATTTGAACTCCTGGTCTCTGTATATGGTGACCGGATTGACCGTTGCGAGGGGTGCAAAGGCAAAGCGAGAGGATAAAAAGAGAGACGATATCTCTATCGCTCCCAGTGTGTACGTGCATCTTTTCCTTTCCAATATCGATTTGCCGCGACAAATAGATGTGTCATCTAGGTGTCTATTTCTTTTAGCTAATCATTGAAAGTTCCGTCGCGAGTGTGGTAGATGGCGATGTGGAACTTCTCAGCAATAGAAGCAACAGCGTCGCTTCATCATTTGAGAGGTCTTCGGATTTTATATGGTCTATTCGATTGACGAAACTATCTAAGAAATTCTACTCTCGCGATTGGGACCATGAGTCCTACACAAAGGGAGCAACCTACGGACTGGAGGATGAACAAAATAAGGAAGATATAAAGCAATTCTTGTCGTCACAAGCCATCGACTCCAGTCAGATACTTGAAGTGGGGGATGATATTTTTGTTCTTACCGATCCACAAACCGGCTAATGTTGATATTTTCACTGTGCATTCTTGATTAATTTCCTCCCAAAGTCAGTTGTCTCGTGGTCCTAATGATCACAATGGTGGAAGGCAATCCGCCTAAAATTGAAAACGGGCTTTTTTGGACTAAGATTACGATCACTTATTTGTGTTTGTGTTCGTAGCATACCTTAAATTAGCGACGAATGAAAGACTGACACGTAATCTAAACAGAGGGTAGTCTGCTAATGCATATTCGGAATTACAATGGCCATCATAGCATCCCCTGTAGAAACTATTGGATACAAATCCTAGACCTTTTGATTGTATTAGTCTGTGTTACCACCAGGTATTGAACTTGTATGGACCTAAGAAACGGCCCAATTTCCTCTTGTGTCGGCGACAAAAGCTCTGCCTTGCCAAATTTCCACACGGCCTGGTGATTATTCAAACTCCCATTTGCAAATCAACTTTACTGTGCAACTTTCGTGTCAGGACATAACTATAAATTATTTCTACAAGGAGCACTTTTATCGCTTATTAATTGTCCAATGGAAAGGTCGAAGTTTTCTGGTAAGAACACTAGAGATCGTGAGATCGTGATCCGCTCAGCAAGCTCTTCTACGGTGTATACAGCTGCAGAGAAAAATGACATTGATGTTTTGATCCAGCTTCTTGAACAAGGAGCTGAACCTGACGGGATTAATAAAAATGGCTGGACGCCATTACATGCAGCATCGTATAACGGCAACACATCGGCAGTTGACATCTTGATCCAGAATGGGGCTTCCGTGGAGGCTCAAACTCCCGAAACTGGCTACAGGCCACTCCACAAGGCAGCAGAACGAGGTTTTACTGAAGTCATTAGCATTCTACTAAAGAATGGAGCGAACATTGAAGGTCCGACAGCAAAAAATGCAACACCTTTGTATGTTGCTGCGCGAGATGGACATGTCAGCGCAGTGCGACTTTTACTAGCAAATGGAGCTAAGTTGACGCTCCAGCTTCTGGGGGTGGACACCATTATACCACGCTGCCAAAAACGGTCACGCTAGTGTAGTAGATCTGCTTCTACAAGGCGGCGCTGATGGAAACCGGCAGACAGATGCAGGCTGGAGTACTTTGCATACGGCAAGCTATTATGATCGCTTTTCCGTTGTAGAAAAACTCATGCAACCAGAATATCGTGCCAACACAGAGCTTCAGATCAAAGCTGACGGCTACCGACCACTACACAAAGCGGCAGAGGGTGGTTATGTACGAATTATCCGAAAGCTAGTGTCTGATGGTGCTGAAATCGATGGGCTGACGTACAAAACTGCAACCCCTCTCTATATTGCCTGCCGAGATGGACGCATTGAAGCCGTAAAGCTGCTACTTCAACTCGGTGCTTCAGTTGAGGTCGCAGCTTCTGGAGGTTGGACACCACTTTATATTGCTGCACGTAATGGCTATGACGAGATAGTAAATGTATTACTCCAAGCGGGCGTGGAAAAAAACCATCAGACTGCCGAAGGATGGACGTCGCTACATGCAGCATGCTACTGGGGGAAAAAGATGGTAGTGCAGCGGTTGCTTCACGAAAAGGTTGATATTGAGATAGAGATCTATTTGGACGGTTATCGTCCTCTGCACAAGGCCGTCGAAAGTGGTCAGAATGAAATAACGACGCTTCTGCTGTTAGAAAACGCCGATGTTAACGCGAAAACTATCGGAAAAGACACTCCTCTCTATATCGCAGCAAAGCAAGGGTACCTAGAAGTGGCGCAACAGCTTTTGGACCATAGCGCCGATCTAAGTATACCTAATTCAAAAGGATGGACGATACTACATGCCGCTGTATATTCTGGAAATAAGGAGGTAATCCGGCTTCTCCTTGATCGGGGAGCCAATGTCAATGCCACCAACAAGGAAGGACAGACAGCAATAAATCTTGCAGAATCACGCGACGACCAGCAGCTAGTCGAACTTCTGGCCAAACATGGAAAGGAGCCTGTACCAACTATTCCTAATCTCTCCACTATCACCACTGGGTGAGTATTTATAGCCTATTCGTTTTTCTATTATTATCCTTCCCTTCCATTGGGGTCTTTTTTTGCAGAACCTTGTATGGCTAATACTTAGTAGGCGAGCGGAGACACTCTCGGAGAGATGGTTTCAGAAAATCGAGGATCTCGCTGCTGTGCTGCGTCCGGAAAGAAGAGACCCATACCCCCCCGTACGAATCGCTATTATAGACAGCGGAATGCAAAAAGACCATCCTTATTCGCAGTCTGTTAAGGTTTTTCGAGACTTTGTAAAAGACGATAGCTCTCTAAACAGTCATGGTGGAACGCCAAACAACCCAGAAATAAGTGATGAAGAGATTGATAATACAAAACATGGTTCGAATGGTATTCACTTGATCGGCCGACTTGCCCCTAATGCCGATTTGTACGTGGTGCGTGTCTTTCAGGATAGCGCCGCTTCATCCAATACACAGGATCTTATAGCCAAGGTATGAGTGATTTAAGTTATTTAATGGATTTCAATTGACTGTCTGGGTGATTTCCTCATAGGCGATACGGCATGCACGAGATAATTGGAAAGTGGATATCATCACGTTGGCATCTGGTTTTGACCAGAGTCACAAGGAGATGGAAAAGGAGATCTACATGGCAGAGGCTAGTGACATTTTGATCTTCGCAGCTGCCAGTAACGATGGGAATCAAGAATATATCACGTTTCCTGCAAATATGGTTGGTCATACCATGGCAATGTTTGCATGTAATGGCAATGTCAAGGTCACGAATGATTTCAACCCGTCTCCGAGCCGCAATAGTCGGTATAACTTTGCAGTTCTGGGTGAAAACATTCGCATTAATCCATTTGACACTAAGCCGGAAAGTGGAACTTCAATGTCAACCTTTATTGGCGCCGCCATTGCTGCTCTAGTTGTTGATTTCAGCAACCAAAAAGATGTGAAAGAATTTATCGAGCATCGTGAATACGTCAAAAGTGTAGCAGGGATGACGGCAATTTTTGCTGAGATGGCTATCGCGGGTAGTAGTCAAGATTATCACTGTGTGGCCCCGTGGAAATTGCTTTCGTCATCGCGAGTAGATCGAAAGCGCCAAAGAGAGAAACTTTGTCACAAGATATCAAGTTTATTGGAGGCAAGATATCGATAGCATAGAGTACAGCACATAAAAAGGCAAATTACACTTATTATTAATCTCTTAATTTGACGGTGGTAGTCTTTACGTTGATGTTATCAATTGATGTAGCTTTAATCGAAATAGTTAACGTATTCGACAAGCACCCTGCGCACCCGTGTAATCCATATAAAATGGCCCTTTTTTGAATTGTAATTTCCCAACAAAATTATATAAAAATCATGACTCAAAATCTAGTATATTATTTATATATTAATAGAAAATACATGGTTAAAATGATTTTTAGAATAACTAAGCTGATAGCAAAATTACATCACATTATATAAAATACCAAAAATTACATTGTATTCTTAGTATTATTTATCAATTTTTAATCATCTTCTTTTACTTTTTAATATACTATTAATAAATATATTATATCTAATATATTAAATTTTGAGCCATGATCTTTATATAATTTTGTTGGGAAATTACAATTCAAAAAAGGGCCATTTTATATGGATTACACGGGTGCGCAGGGTGCTTGTCGAATACGTTAGTGTATATCTCGCTGACATAACGATATGAACACTTCATTTCTGCGTTTACAAACCCTGCATGCCCTCAATATCTGGGGAGGCATGAGTACTATGATTTTCCCGTTCAAGATACTCGGTTTTGAAGCTTGGACAAAGTATTACCAACAGTGAGCGAGGAGTGAGACTTGCGTTTCCGAAAAGGAATCATCACTTGCTGGAGCCGAGGTGAATTTAGTATCTTCAATGTTTATATCGACGGATGGCAGGCTGAAAGCATTGGTAATGGATAGTATATCGAGGAATACGTTTTATAGTTTGTCGTAAGTTTGCTGAATCTGTGTGATTAGTATATCCATGAATCGAGATACTAAGCTCATCAAGTACAAAAGGTTTTTGTCAACTTTTATATCAACTGCAAAACGTGAATATTGCCTTAATTAATAAAAGTATCTAGGCTACCCCAATTGGATGAGTCTAGATTATTTCCAAATGATGAGATATTCGAACGAGAAAAAAGAATGTTTTTCATGAAGAAACCCCGTTCTATGAGACAGAACTTGAAACTGTTACCATACAAATTTTCTCTATACAAAAAAAGATATATTCTGTCAGCCTGATCGCTTCTCTTCGGCTTCGACCCCAAGTAATGACAGTACGTTGTAGGTAGCAGTTACTCAAAGTTATTATTAACACTTATAACTTGACCTCCTTCAGCCCAGGAACAAATTTTCCTCACGCGTTCAGTGTAGGATTTCACATAATAATAGATTATCAATTTCAGCCTTGCAGCGTTCTATCCATTCTTTGGTTTAACATTGTTTCAAAAGTATTTTTTTGGGGTTCATTGATGAAATAGAAATTATTGACGAAGAAGGACTGAGAGAAGATTATAAGCAATTTTATCATGCTATGAGATATGGGAGTACAAATATTTATTTAATTTTGGATGAGCTTCGCCATGACTTAATAGAAAGGAGGCTTCTCCCATCCTTCCCACCTTGGCAAGTATTATTATTTCAATCCGAATTTTCTCACCGAGAATTATTAGCCACCTGTTAAATTTCGACAATCTTCTCCATATCAAGTTTGTAGACTGGGAGAAATAGTAGCTTATCTGGTTTGATAAGACTCTCTCGCTGGTTCCCGTATCTTCAGAGTCACAGTTGAAGTGAGTGTGCAGTGTGCCCAAGGACTCACAACATGCAGGTTTCACGTTGCCAGAATAGTTTCTCTAATAAATCAGTCATAAACTCGGACAGAATTTGCTATTTCTACGTGTAGAATCGTCAACATTTGTTTGTAGTGAAGTATCGTAACGACTTAAAACAAGAACTTCTTGATCACGCTCTAACCAGAAGGTCAAATCAATTTTCTTATTCAACCAGGAGAGGTCAGCAACGTATACTTCTTGATTTGTTTCAATTAACCAAACGCTAGTATGGTAGAAATATCCCAGGCCGAAGTTAACACTGTCGACTTGTTCTTGGACGATTCATCGAGAATAGTGAATGCGGGTAAAATGTAGTAACGCTTTAAGTCCAACAAAATTAGATTTCCAAGCGCCTCTCTTCTCCGAAACAAATCATTAATCCTATCCTTGAAACATTTAGTATTAGATATTATATATATTCAACTGCTATATAAGACTTCATGATTCCCTAGAACCAGCCAGACCAACCGGAAGATCGCTAACTGTTTCCAAAAAAATAAATAAAGAACCCCTGAAATACCTAGCCTTCCGCATTTAATACTATTTACGGTTGTATATTATGGGGAATAACTAATATTAGTAAATAAATATAGTTTTCGATGTCCTTCCGATTCTAAAATCCTTAGACATAAATACAGTATCATAGACTAGCGCTAAATGAAAAGGAGTGAGTAAAGTTATTAACAGGAAAACAGCCAACCCTTTGGAGGAAGCACGTAGTACTAAGGGAACACAAGAACTGTTGGAAATACATGATTGGTTAATTTTGTATTATAAACTCGAATCTGCTTACCCTACTTTTCGCTTTCCTTAGCGGCATACTCTAAATTCCGAGATATTCGGGATTTACCCCCACCCTCATTTTTACCATCATTAATTTTGTTCGACTTGAGATGTATTAGTTGTTCCCCTGGAATTTAAAGCCTTGAGGTCGTGACGGGAACGTAATTACAAAATGAGTGTCATCGAAATCGCCTTCCTCCACCTCATCAACGACCCCTCCTCCATAGACCGCCACTGGCCCGCCATCACTAGTAAATTAATAACACCAAACCCAGGTATTGTCACGGGGGGGCATGGTGTTATATCTTACCAAAACGACCAGAGCGTTCAAGATGATGACTTAACCAAAGTCCTAGTAATCGGTACTCGCACACTTATTTATTGCCTCCGAATTTTATTCCTTCTAACCTTAATCTTTCAGAATGGCGTGATCAGCGCGCATTCTACGACTTCGCAAATTCTGATCAGGCGAAAACATTCCAACATTCTATCAAACCCCTTCTCAGAGCTCCGCCAGATTTGGAAATGTATAATGCTGATCGCCCAATCCCAGCGGCCTTTGGTAGCAAAGAAGTGGTCGAAATTGTGCGGGTGTCGGTGCCAGACGCCGATGACTACGAGAGAGTTCGGAGTGTTTGGATGGAGGATATTGGACTGGAAGAGGCGGTCTTGTGCGGAACCAACTTCAATAAGGTAGATAAGAACTTGTTTATAGGAGTTCTTCTTTGGAATAGTTTCGAGGTATATTTTCGTTTATAAACACCGTTGTAAAATGGTAAACTGACAGGTGTAGGAACAAGCAAGTGTAGAGAAGCAATGGGTGACCCCTCTGTCAGCCATTGGGGAGGTGTCAACCTATGTGCTGCCGATAACCCCAATTGCCCTATAAGATTTACAATGCAAATGACTACATCGATAAATGTAGAAGTCGCTGGAGGACGATATTGAGGACTACTTCTTTAGGAATTGAACCCTATTAATTGACGAAATCTTTTCTAAAAGAAAATTGCCAATTGTGTCTTTTAATAAATTTCAATAAATTCCAACGGGTATCAATGAGATTGAAATAAGACGATAGTCGCAAACAGGAATAGTTGAATATTAAATGCGTGTAAAGGAGAATATTGGAGTTTCGTGCCAGCAGAGAGAGACTAGTTTAAAACCTAAGTAATCTTAAATCTAGATAGAAAGAATTTTAATAAAACTTGGCCTATCCGTGCATTAATTGTCATATTAGCTCTTATAGAACGGAGAACACATATATCAGATTAAAAGATAGGAACAAAAAGATAGGAACATTCCAGATGATTATACTACATCTACATCTTTCGGTTGTTGTTTCGTTGATTTGATTTGAAATAGTTGGAAGTACACTCCGCCATATTTCAAAACACCCTGTCCGTGAAATCAATGACCTGGGCCTTCTCGATGATCCCGTCTAGGCTCTGAACAAATTCTTGATGCGCAGGATCATTCTTAACGTAGTAGTCTCGATCTTCCTTGTTTGCGAATTCGACGACAAAGGCGTGTGTAATACCGCTCTTTGCAGTGTCGCGAAAAGTTAGAACATTATTTGGTAATCGGCATATAGGAACTCCACAGCCGTAATCAAGGTTTTCGAAAGCGTGAAAAATACTTACCTGGATTCCTTCAATTGAGTTGTCCAACCCACCAGATGATGATTTGATATAAGGCCGTTGAGATGATGGATGAAGACAGTTGTCTCTCAGCGCGAGCATGCGACTGCAGGCCTTAACAGAGATGGCATTAAAACCTTCGCTCGTTTCTCAACTGCATTTACTCAGATACGGGACTTACATCGTTAATAGTTGCAGTATCGGCACTGGGTTTGAACTGGAAAAGAACGATATGAGTAACCGACATATCTTATGATGTTGGCGCAGGCGTCGGGTATAGTACTATGTTAAGATGCCAAAGCAAAGAGCAGAACTATATGGAGATGGCAAACACACCAAATGACCATCGTGTAGAGAAGGCTTTTGGGAGGAGGGCGGTAACAATCAGCTGCGGGAGGGCGACCGACATCGGTAGTGCTGCTCGGTGAACCAATCACGGCTCGCTATCATCAGAACTGAACGGCAATGTTAGCCAGTTGTAGTTGTACTGGATACTGTAGGTTGAGTTCACCTTCTTATTGACCTCGGAACTAAAAAGCCTTTTGCGGTTATATTATGCTCCTTCAAGTATTGCTATATATAGGGTTGGTATTTGTTGAAGTGATATGTATTTTAGCTTACCTTATTCTATTATGATTGCATTAGCTGACCTATATCTAGGGTAACTGCATGCGTAGGACGGGGTGCACATACAAAGATTGAACAAGGTGCTTTTTAGACGGATCGTTAAACAACTGTGGTATCTCGCTTTCACTAGATGACTCATTATGTGACTCCCTAAATGACTCCCTAGATCACTTGGTTTTGGTATTCGACGGGTTAGTACTGCATCGCCTCGCAAGATCGTAACGAAAGCGACACCTGGTCTATTCAGCACTATCGAAGATGTACCTTCCAACCATAACTCTCGCCTTCCTTTGCTCAGGTATTGGCGTTATAGCCGCGCCACATTATCGGTATGAAAAGCCCAACTCTCAGGTCTCGGTATATGATGACGAAGGCTGTGTCACGCGTGGCGCGCATCAAGTAGCGACCGATAACATTTCTGGGACATGTATGGCACTTGGAAATCCAGACCATTGGTAAGCAAGTAGGAACACATCGTCTGTTAAGATATTTGTTAATCGCAATCTTCACATGGAATAGGGTTGCAAAATCCATTCAAGTCAGTGGGTTTGGTTGTCGCACAACAACTTGGTCAGGTCTCAACTGTGAAGGATCAAGTTTTTTCATTCTAGATAACGAATGCTATAATATAACCTATGGCAGCGTTTTGGTTACGGATTGTTGAGAGATTCAGCCATCAGAGCATAGGCCGAATGTGTGAGGCTTGGAAATGGAAGCATTGCTGCTCTTTACCTATGCTTGCTCAAGTTATAGGAATATTCGAAGCACTCTTCTCAATTTATTGGGCTATCAATTAATACTGGAGACAGACTAGTTACATTTATCGAGCTATGAATGATTTTGCACATTCCTAGCGAGTCTGGCGAGTACGTAAGGTTGAAAAGGCCAACGAGAAGTGTGGTTGTCTAACGATTATTGCTGATGACTGCTTCGACTCACGGTGTGTCTTGGCCTTTGTTATACAGACCAATTCGAACCTTCCTTCCCTTTTCACATACTCTTTGATTATTCAGACATACCGATGTCCCTGTGGTATGAAGTGCGATTGAATACAACCGGCTCAGTATTTTACTTTTATAAAATTATTTTTATATTGTTTATAATACTTATTCTTTTTGATATGTGTAGATATAACATCTAGATTAGTTCACATATGTACATGTAATCCTCTTGTTGAAGTATGAGGCTCAAGATATATCGTCCATATCAATTGATGTAGTAGTATCCTGTCGTTATTATGATTATATAATAACATTTGAGTGGTACGAACTTTGATTTAAATAGAAAGTCTGTCACTGTAACCTGTTGTGAATTACTGTTATCGGTATCTATAACCGTGAGACTTTATTTTAATTATATAGTGCAAAATGCCAACGTGTTGGTAGCGATAAAATGTAAAAGAGATCAGTTAACACTTAGAGCATCGTTAAAAAGCGATATTATATAAGTTTATAGCCCAATTACCTCACTCTCAGCAGTGCCATGCCTCATATCAGACCTTAAATGTTCTGGACACCACCTAGCTACCAACGGGAGAGCGAGAAAGATTATTCAGAGCTGTAATAAAGAACGGGCCTAACCAAGACCAAGCAAGCTGGATATTCTTATAAGTCTGATGGCATACATTTAGTAGTTGTAATAAAGATCTCTATATAATAATCGATGATCTGCAGTCTGTGCTTGATTGGTTATCAGACCTGTCTGCTTATGTTTAGTATTGAGTACAAGGTTAAGTAACTCGAGGTGTGTTGAGAAGGGACAAACAGAATGAAATGAGAACTAATGATCAGGATACATGATCTCCAAATAGTGCCAATAGGCAGCCCTATTGCATTGAATATTTCGCCTATTCAACTTCGGGGATTAGAATACATAGTTAGGTAAATGTTCAATTCTAGAAATGAAACGCACCCCAACGTCGTCTCTTGCCTGCTCCCTACTAGAATTCTGCATCTTACATCACTTTATAAAGTCAAGTACTAATCTAGAATAACTCCAATTCATCGGGGTCATACCGTTTTGCCCAAACCACCTTGCCTTTAGATGGGTCCATAATCGTGGCATAGTGAGTTGACTCATTCAGAATTGGATATGTCGTGAGCCATGAAAGTAATTCTCTTTGCGTTACAGCCATATCATCATTGTCTAGGGAGATGGGTTCTGAGGCTTGTCGACTTTCATGTTTCAATCTCTCCTCTTCTCGCTTTTGCCTCAAGCGCAATGATGACCGCGTTGTTTGAGCTTCACCAACTTTTTCGACCACTTTTATCCGTGCATGCTTCTGAAGTTTGTTGTCCCATTTCGCTTGTATGCAGTCTCGTCTTTCGGTACTATCTTCTAATAAATCCGATAAAGCCTGTGCATCAGATGACATCAATGATAGCCCTACGTGGTGCCTTCTCCTTTTATCTGCAGTCAGAGCTTGCTCAGATTGTACGGAGTCTGGCTTCTGGTCGTGGTTTGTGGTAACGATAAATGACGAGGATGATCGTACTTCTGCCGTTCGATGGTCCTTCTCCATTGTCACAGCTCTTGCCCCGTCACTGAAAATGAAATACGCTGCTGTCGTCGGTATGCTAGGCATATTGGCAACGATACTGTCTAAAGTTGATAGGTCTGGCTTCCTAGATCGAGTTGCTGGTGAAAAACGAGAGAAAATGCACTCCCTTAGGAGTGACGAGACAGATTGACGTATTCCAAGAAGCACGAGTATGTGATTGGAGTAGAAAGCAAAGTCGTGCGTTGGGTCATGAATGGGTCGAAAATTGAGCGAGACACTCAAGTCTTTCCGCACGCCGGTGAGAACGCCTACAAATCCTACATAGGTGATACTCGTAGCAAGAACCTCCTGCGGATCAGAGTTTTGATAGAAGTCGAGCTGAACGATCAAGTCGCGCAGCGGATCCATGGCCCAGTCTAAAGTCCTGAAATGAAGCATTTTTGTTGTTTGGGACGCAGACTTTGTTCGTGCCCCGCCACTCGTGCAGCCCATAAGTAGGTCGAGTACTGTATTTAGGCAAATAAGGAGGTACAAATCGATGTCTGTCGCAAGGCTAATGCCCCGAATTTCTTCTGTTTCTTCGTCTGTATACAGTCTCCGCAAGCACATGTAAGCTAGCCAATGAACCAATTTCAATGGGATTTTTGGAGAAACAGATGTAATCAGGTCGTCGAATATTCCTCGCATGGATCGCATCTGATCTTTGTAAAGACAAGCCAGTGCCACGTATCGTTCTGATGGAGGAAGTGAAAGGTTAATCCTGAAAACAGGAGGGGCTTGACCCAACAGAACAGAATGCGAAAGTCCACTCATTTTGAAAAGCAAGACTAGACTAGCATTATTATATAAAATGATGATATGGCTTCTTGCAATAAGAGAGAGTCTGAGCGCAGAGCTTCTTTCACGTTTGTAAGTCCCTTATACGCGCATACGGCTATAGCATACCTTTAGCTAACACAAATCCTAGAGATCCGGTGATTTGAGGCAAAAAGAAAAGATATGAATAGGAAAAGATAGTTACAGTGAGATTTAAAACTGCCTTCTTGAATTCGTTCTGCCCCACTATCACGGTCTTGTTTCCTCAGGCTAGTGAAAATTAGTTTGGTATTTTATCCGCCACAGGCAATACTCATTTGTTGGCCGAAAAACCACTACGCCAAAAAGGGGTCCTCTCTCGGGGATGTTATGAAACTACCTGTATAACGCTAAAAGACCACGAGGCCTGGGGAAGGAAAGTTGCAAAATATAAAGACAAACAATTACCAGTTATAGACAGTAAGACGTACTAAGGAATAGGAATGTAAGAGTTATATTATTTTATTATTTAATTTTTTTAATAGTTTTAAATCTCATCCACACGCAATAAAATGAGCATGGTGATTTTGCCGGCGAGACGTAATCGCGCATGCTTCCTCAAGCAACCAGACAGGACGCTTAGAGCAACGATAATTCCAGGCAACTGCGAAAGCCAGCCAATCACAATCAGTGCTCTGCACTCAGATAAAGAATGAGAATGAGTCATAATTGATATAGTACAATCGGTATAAGCAATGCCTCCATAAATCTCCTCTTCAATCCATTAGTAAACCCTTATCATTCATTTTTCTTGTCCATTCTTTCAGATAGTCTGTCTCTCTTCCATTTAAATCAGCTCTTGTTGGCTGCCTTGGAAGCTAGGGGCTGGAGGACATTCAAAAATAAATATTTCGGCAATAGGTGTTTAAGTACATATTATATATGGTTTATGATAATCCAATACTAAACAGTTTCTGCCAAGCCAATTTCTAAGATGGAGGGAATTTCTGCCTAGAAACAACTCTCTGTCTATGAGTGAATCTCTTCCTCAGACGTATCTAGGTATGGTGTTATATTAAACCTTCGGCCGTTTTGCTCATCCGTTATTCTAGATAAGAGATATTCTTATATAATCTACCAATCAGAGAGTCTGTAAGTTAGTAACTGGAATAAATAATGACTCAGCCTTCTATTTAGATGGGATTAACCTATATACTAAGAGACTATCTAAGACTGATAGTTACTGTTTACAGTATCTTGAATATTAATAATTTAAAATTGATACTTATAGACATTTAAATATTGATTATCTATAGGAGGTGTAATCTCAATGTCATTAGAAATATCATTCTGTTGGCTGATATTCATTCAGATGAAGTGCCTGTGAGGCCTGGCAGCAGCGAGGCGCTGCAGCGCATGGCGCGCAGGCTCGTGCTGCAGGCTCACAGAGGCTTATAAGCGTGCCAACCCTGGAATTGGGCAATAGCCCAATTACCTCAGTATTACTTTTTGGCACTTAGATGTGGGCAGTGTCAAGGAGCCTTACAGTGCCTTCATCATTTCATAAGGTTGAAATGAACTGCTCAGGCTGAATGACTAAATTGAGAATGATTACTGGGATTGGGCAAAGAGCTGATTTGAGGCATCCTTATATAATATAAAATGTGACATGCATGCAGCCAACGAATCAGCTAGGTGCTGAAGCTGCCTAAGATAGATTTCTCCTCGAATTTCGCCTACAGTACCTTGCAGGTTCGGCTTTACACGGTTCGCAACTCTTTGGCTCTTTCTCAGCGCCATTCCCGTCGCCTAATCTATGCTTGGTTTAGACTAGTATTGGAGTAATTTATGATGCTTATGGGGCTATGAGAACCATCGTTTTGGTAAGCTAGGCAAAGTTTTGTACATACGGAAATTTAGCTACTTAGATTTGTCACGACCCGGTAAGCAGGAGTATTTACTCATCTAGCCGCTTTAAATATTTTGTCTGTGATCTATTGTGGTCGAACAATGTTGTTCAAACGTGTTCTGGCTCTTGAGTCCTCGAATAACCGATTGCAAGCCTCTTCTCAATAATCCTTAGGTTACTCGCATCTATTATACCATTGTGTAAATAGCTATCATGTAGTTGCCCAGCTTCAAGCTGTCCGACAGAAGTTGGCAATAATATCACCAGATAACGCCTTGCCGAATCTGACTCGATTTTCAGCATCACGATTACCTACCGCGCAGCTAGGGGAAGTACAAGATGTTATAAAAGGCAAAGAAACGTCTTGACTGTGTTTACTGCAGCCCACAGAACTCCTGACATTCAGTTTTTTAGCGAAGGAGAAAGAAGTACCAAACTTGATGAGGTCGTGAGTCTCATTGCAGACCAAAGCGTCATTGTCAAACCAACGAAGCTTCGCACAGATCAAATCGAACCTTTACCTAAATCGATCCAAATTGAATTAATACTGCATATACCGATCCGCACGAATTGGAATCGACACTAAATTTGAGTTCAATTCGAAGTTTGCGACGTTGCACTAAAGTCAATTAAGTCAGGTTGAATCCGCTGTAAATACGCGAAGTCTATCAACTACCTGAGCTGATACTGTTGTACAAACTTAAGGATCAAAGGTTCCCTTTAGATTATTGCTTCCAGGCCTTTTTGGAAGCCTACGCAGCTTCCGGGGTTAAGGACCCTTTCCCGCTTTTCATTCTCTTGAAAAGTTCCCTTCCTTTCCGGTAACATGGAGATATCTGGGCATCGTTTGTTCAACGTTCTACGACCTCTTTACCCTTCTTTTGAAACCCTTGATTATAATTTCCTCTATCATCCAGTCCCAGCCGCTCAGCTAGGAAAGAATCTACATTACAGCAAATATAATATTTATCGAGGAGTGGGATGCCAAGTCCGCCTCTCAATATTATCATATTCAGATATACTGGTTTTTCGAGTAGGGTATAATTCGATGCTCTCCAGCATCAGACACTTCCAACCAACGCTTCGTCACTCGTTTGAGGAGTGATCGTATTTGCATTTCGTCGGTGTGCTTCTAACGGTCTGTGTATGCTATACGACAATTGGATGGTATCCGTGACCAATATACCGTTATTATCTAATCCAGTAAAACCCACACGACCCATTCGTGGTGTCGATTGGGCTCCTTGCGTGGGACGGTTTGAAGAGTTTGTGTTACTGAATGAAGCATGGTTGGTACGATCGGCCTGCTTTTTCCGTAAAGTCACAATGGTGGGTGCGTTGGCGACAAATGCTGAGAAAAACTCCTCCACTGATCCCCATGTATTACGGTTTACTTGTGCAGTAGCATTTTGGTATGTTGGAAGACGAACCACCGCAATAGCAATAACCAGCAAGCCGATAGAGAATATACCAATGAGCTGAAGCCGCCTGTACCTTTCGGTTAGTATACAGCAAATCGGGCGTTTGTTATGTAATTCTCACCGTTTCAGCGATCGCTTTATGCGGAATAACCATGGCATTGGTAGTAGAATGAGCATGGCATCAGTCGCAACGTTCAACGCCACCAAGGTTATCAATTCTATATCTCCTTGGATGCAGCTTCCTGTAAATATAAGCATGTACCATTATGAACGCGGCAGCAACGGACCTGGATCTGGCAAGACCTGCCAATATAAATGCACGGGCGAGCAATCAGTCCATGTGGTTACCTGGACAGCTACCATGCTAGCGAACAGAACACCCCAGTAGCCGGTAATAATGCGCTCCGGAGTCGGTAACCCAGTCAGTATACGTTGGCAGAGAAGCAAGACAACTGATTTCTGGATCCAGAGACTGAATTCGAGTGAGACTATGACAATATTTGGCACATCATGCGTTGAACTTACTAGGTGTTGTATACCACCCGATTGGCCATGGTCAATTTGCTGCCAGCAGTTCGCTTGTAGATTTCAGTATCGCTCATTTCAGGGGCGGGCCTGGGCATGTTGTTGTTTCCCCAGAGTAAAACGACTGTAGTCAATGCCGAGCGAGCAAGAACGCACAGGATTGCTGTCATTGTGAGGTAGTCACTTAGATTGAACGGCTGGTTCCTGATCCTCCGCAAAATAAGCCGCAGAGCCATGACCGCCAGAGACAAGGTCCCGAAAACCCCAACCAGAACAAGGGTTTCTCGCGGGTTTTCGTTCGTCATTACGTCTGAACCATCTATCGCTTGAATAGGTATATCATCCAAAGTCGAGATATTTTGTGATAGGAATACAATCGACATAGCAGTTCAGTGATCAAGGCGGGAAGGAACGAACAATTAAGAAGGATGACACGAGACGCCACCGCTTCCATCGCGCAATACTAACTCGGCCGGTTTCAGCGCAACCAACCACCCCGTACAATAAGCGAATCGGAAGTGTCTCGCGGTTCCTTAGCTTAATTTACCCCATAAACCTTCCCCACTGCCGCCCCCGCAAGTACGGAGGATCTCTAGGACCAAAAATCCCGCAAGGCCTGGGCGCTTTCCCCGAAATCCATCCGACTCAATTACCCCTTGCTCTTTCTCTTTCTCTTTAATTCCCTGTCACCGTGGCGTTGATCTGAAACGCCTGCAAAACAATCACCGCAGCTCTTCTGACGATGGTGTTCCTACTCCGTAGGGCTGTAATGGCCGTTCTGGCCTCTGCGCTCTACTCGTATCTTGCACTAGCGACATCAGAGTCGTCTGCACCTACCGAAGCCCTTCATACACGACATTACTTCTACGTTGGCGGAGAATACGTCAATATCCCTGGCGGCCATGCTTTTCAGAATCAGATGTACGTGGAGAAGCTTACCCCGCAACACGGAAGCTCAAAGCCTTATCCTATCGTCTTCGTCCACGGTGGCGATCAGACCGGAACAGTCAGTATTTGCATCTTACCAATTAATGTAGAGTGCTTTTCCTGAAGATTTTTGTGGGCAGAACTTTTTAAACAAGCCTGATGGGGGCAGAGGATGGGCTTCCTGGTTTCTTGACCGAGGTTACGAAGTTTATATCGTTGACCGGACCTTGACGGCACGCTCCGCTTATCAGCCTAGCAGTAATCTGTCATTAGGAATATTCTCTGTCGAGTTCATATCGCAACGCTTCACAGCCGTACAAAATTACCCACTGTGGCCGCAGGCAAAGCTACACACTCAGTGGCCTGGGGTAGGTGCTCGAGAATCCAAGCTGCTTCCATGAATGGAAAGTGCAATCACTAAGCAAAGGACGAATGCAGACTGGCGAAATGGGAGATCCCATTTTTGACAACTACTATGCATCTAATGTACAAGCTGTATCCGATACGATAGCCCAAGAAACGACGATGAAAGCCGCTGGGGAGGCATTGCTCGACAAGATTGGACCTGCCGTGGTTATCACGCATTCGCAAGGTGGACTCTATGGATGGCAGTGGGCAGATAATAGACCAGAGCTCGTCAAAGCTCTTATCCAGATTGAACCCAAGGGCCCGCCGTTCCAAGAAGTAATCTTTTCATCCGCTTTTGATCGGCCATACGGCCTAACGTCGATTCCATTGCAATACGACCCGATGCCAACCAATACGTCCGTACCATTTGAAACCGTGGTCGTACCGGCGCCTGTGAATGACAGTAGTCTATATCCCTGTCTCATTCAGAAGGAGCCGGCCTCCAAATTGCCTAATTTGGCCAAAGTTCCAATTCTCATCGAGACCGGGGAAGCCTCCTACCACGCTACTTATGACTACTGTGTCATTGAGTTCCTCAAACAGGCTGGCGTGAACGCTCAACATCTGGAGCTTGGAAAGGTCGGCATCCATGGAAACGCCCATTTGCAGTTCATGGAGAAGAACAGTGATGATATTGCTGCTGTACTACACAATTGGATCGTCAAGACAGTCAAGTAGAATAAATCTAAATCTGCCTTGTAATTATTATATCATATATTCGCTGCAAGTGAAGAATCTTCGTCTCTTTTAAATATATTGTATGATCCTACTTTATATTCTTATCCTCGGTGGTTTCCCCAAATGTCTCAGATGTTGTGATCATAGATGATATCCATGGACCTACCCTTCGGTTGGTTTACATGTAATGTGAACAAGAATTAAATCCATCAACCAATCCTTACACCGGGAAACCAAGCGCTGTTTTGATAATGTACAGGCAAACATGCTAACGAAGTCAAATACCATCCATCCAACGTTCAACGTACATTAAAATCTGAATAACAGCACTTATAGGGTGTATTTTCAATTGCTTTGATTGACCGTGTTTGTTTAATTTGTAATAGGGTTCAACCCTTTCATATATGTGTGTGTACAAACTTAAAATTAATAATGGTTCAACATCCAGATTGTAGATATAGTAGAACTATACATTTTAAATGTTTGTATGATCTATCAACCAAGGCAGAGTATACTGACGATTCGATATCGTATAACTATTCGTATATATTCCTCAAACAGTTTGTCAAATCAAAAGATGCAGCACTCGTAACCACTCGGACCAGGACAGAGACCACTTTGACCCATCAAGGTTAGTCAAGCCACAAGTCAAGGAAGATTGCATGTAAAGGGAATAGAAGTTACAGACCTAACAAAAGCATTCCCAGTTTGATGACAGTGACTGTCAGTAGTTAAATCGCAATAACCATCACCACCATTGCACCTCGGCTGAATGCAGCACTCCACGTAGGATGGAGCATCTGGACAGTATTTTGCTATGCTGGTGCCTCCATTATAGCTGCACCAATCTGTAGATTCACAAATTCCATGTGCAGTACCATCGGGTGTGACGGAACCCTGACCCTTTAAACAACACCAAAATCAGAACGAGCCCCAGCCAGGAGAAATCAGAATACTCTACTGGAACAGAGCACAGATCACCAGCACCTTGACCCACTACAAGGGCTGGTAGAAGAGAGACGTAATATGCAAAAATTGAAGATCTCATTGTGCAATGGATGTTTTCATGTACTTTCATATAAAGATTTCGTCTGTTATTTATAGACGATTTTCAAAGTCAATGCGGAGGATCCGATTTTTGCCTTATTCGCTTTATTGTTAATATTATAGCAAGTGGGGGAGAGTTATATTGATCGTGGAAGAAGAAACCAAATGAAGCACCTCAGTGTCGCATTGATGTCTTTTTCTGGACTCCTTTGAATAAACTTTATGTATTTATATTTACCGAATACGAACATGTCGTCTAATTGGGAGCCACACTAAAGCCCGCTTTTGATTAATTCATCGTTTTTTCAGCTGATGTCTGACATACCAAGAAGTACATTAATTTAATCTATCGAAACTACAACGTAATCTATTTTTAAAAAAAGCTTGTTTGTTCGTCAATGTTCCCCATATCGAATTTAGCGCAATGCGTCAGGCTGAATTTGGATGGAGAAAATAAGGTCTCAATTAGGAGCAAGCCTCTTCAGTTCAGAATACGAGTTTCTGGTCAGCAGATCTCGATTATTAAAATTCCTAGGACGTGGATGCTGGAACTAAAAAGCAATATGATCCCTAATCTAGGGATTTATTTGCCCCATAATCATATATCCACAGGTAAGTCGATCATTTCTTATATTTTAAAACCCACTATGATGCAAGATAGTTTAGAGAGTCTTCCAGGTGTGTCTTATAGCCTCGAGTCAGGTACATTTGAGGGTCGAGATAATAACTAGGTGCTAGGCAAAAGGAGTGAGACTAATGTCTGACTTATGCATTGTTTTGACAATATCACTTCACTAGAGAATTAAAATTATGTCATAGATAATATAGAACAAATCTACAATGACTCTATATCGATGAAAATATGGGAGAGCCTCTGGACAGTAAGACAGATTAAACGAGAGGGAGCCAAAAATAGAAGGTAGTTACAAAGCCCCCCTTTATGTCGAAATCATCAATTGATCGTTCTTTTCACATAGTCACTAGAAACGTGTTGCTTAATAAGTTGGCGATTGCTTTCATGCCGTCATGCTAGGCAAACTCGTACGCTGGAATAGAAACATACTACCTTTGTTAGAACGTCCAATATGGAAAACGAGCACTTGGGTATACATTACTTATAACTTAGTACTTGTATATTGGCCTGAACGAATTGTTAGTTCGTTCGAAATGTATTACTCCTTCAATACACCCACTTTCTTAGCGCCATACGATTTGTCAAGATGACTGTAGTCAAATCGGCTGAAATTAATTATGATTGTTTAGTGACTTTGGTATATCCCTACGGAGTGTTGTAAGACACGTGTTTAACTATATCCCGAATGCAAGATTAGGCTCAAATGAGAATCTCCTCCAGACTCCGGTCCGCCAATGCCCAATTATATCGTTTCAAACACCGACGGGCATGCTATGTGTCTCACTAGTACACTAGTTTTAGTTTTCCCGTGGTGGGTTTTTTTTAATTTTTCCTTTGTTTTGCGCTGTGACCAGGCTGACTTGCAGATGGGTCAGCCAATTGAACATCCATACATGTCCCCGAGTTTTGTCTACTAATAGTGGAAAGTTGAAATTACTTGAATAGTGAATACAGGCTGCTTGCAGTTGCTAATTGCAGCACAGGATTTGATGCCAGGTTTATCATTGTACCTAGTAGACTTAGCCTGGTATACTCCAATAAAAGCATCATCGTCAGCCAGCTGCCTAAGCCAGATACCCTAACCAACTACAAAGATACATTCTCAAAAGCCTTGTACATGCCTCGGTACTGCCGTGCCATGTTAAACCCGTGCTGCTCCGCCATAACCGTGTTCATGAGGTGCCTGATAGCATCCATCTCTGGACTTGCCTGGAGGAGATTATCATGCGCAACATGCAAGGACATTATGAAAGTAAGAACACCGTATATAGCTGTATCATCACTTATAAATAATTCGGCTAGACGCAATATTTCAGTCGCCAGGACGTGCTTGCGCTCAGCTCGCCCAGTTGTGGCTGAAGCTTTCATCAACCCAGGTGTGGATTTCAACGACAACGACGTTGGAGGTAGCCACGGAACCCCAAATAAATAACTTAGGTCCTCTACAAGAAGAACAACCATATGATGGAAAGCAATCGCACGGGCAACCTGATGGCTATGTCTTTGCAGAGAGCCATCATCTAATGACCAAATAGGTAGAGATGCCTCTCGCCAAAACTGAAGAGCAACCAGCATATCTCCGGTGCGAAGAGCCAATCTGGTGCGTTCCCTTTCATCCCACAAAGTGCCATTCTTGAAGGAATCAAGGTCGTGAAGCAAGCCCGGAACTGCAACTGCGATATTAAGCAAAGTATCAAATGGGTTGAATGATTCGGTCTCCCGAGGCTCAAGAATTGATTTCCAACGTTTTTGGGCTAGGAAACAGTGGTACCGACGAGTTCCGGCGCTGACTATCTGCGAGCGTGTCAGTAGTAGCCGTGACGAAATATACTTCATGAATGATATTGCACTTACTATCGTGTATCGGAACGCTAGAAGAATATCTCTGTTTCGACCAGTCTGATAATACTCGGGCCCTTGCATCTCAATCTGCGACAAATTTCAACACAAAGAACAGCAATGTTAACCATATCCAATTACCATATGAGAAATTGCTATGTAATGCTCTATCCAAGACCTTGCTCGTGTGACGATGATGTTTTCATACAAGCAAAGACACATTATGCTCATAAGAATATCCGGTTCCAACTGTGGAGGGCGACGGGCCACAGCGAACCGGACGCCTTTCAATGCGTCAGAATATGTGCGCATGCTTTCCTCGTATGCACGAATGTCTGAGGCCCTCATGGAGTAATAACTCGTTGTGAGTGCCTTTATACATCTATACTGCAACGAATTTTCCGGTATACTTTTGTCTAAGAATGTCGACAGCAGGGAAACCATGCCAGAACAGCAAGTCCCATCGCCAACAAGCCGAAGCAGGAAATACGACCGAAAATTCGCGACCGAGTCAATAGGAAATCGAGGAACCGAGAATAATGCCTGTAGATCTACTTGTAGGAATGCGTTGTTGCTGTTTCTATCTCGCGTCGTCTTAGAATCTTTCTTCTCTGCTAGCTGTCCCTGGCGGTTTTGTGGTTGACAGGGAACAATCACAACTGGCGAATTGTAGCCCTTGCAGATGTATCCAATTCTTCTACATGTTCCACAGAATGGCTCTTGCTGGTCTGGAAGCTCAGCGGGGGCCTGTCAGGCTCACAAGACGATGTTTGAAGGCGGGGTCGATAAAGGCGTGCTTACCACACTTCACTTTGCGATCCCTACATGTGTCGCATTTCCTTGTCCGCCGTCCGCCCGCTTGTCGACGTGATGCTAGTTCCATTTCTGAACATGGAAACTTGTGATGCACCTTGGTACTGTGTGGAGGAGCCGATGTATCCCTGTTACATGATTCTCAAGCTTTTGTTTCCCTGTTGATACCCAACCCATATAGCCGAAAACGAATCTGCCAATTAAAGCTTGTTCTCAACCAACCATAACGCGCGTCCCTACGTGATGAAATGTTTATCAGATGAAAGATGCTTATCTTTTTAACTTGATTTATATTTTAATCGCAGCCATGAATGTCTCCTATAAATATAATCTATATTTATTTAATTTTTCAATTACAACTATATAATCATTAATCTTTATAAACATGTGGGAAAAATTGAAATCCGCATTTTTGAAATTTAACGCCAATTGGCGGTGTCTAAAGCAGCTTTATGGTCCTGAGCCTCCAGGAGGGTGACCGGGGCCCCGCCGGCCTTTATAAGGCCTCCGCACCACTCTACGCATAATAAGCGGCATAGGGCGAGGAATTTGCAAGCACATTTGAACTTAGATCCCTAAAGACCCCCGTAGTACCCACTAAAACAAGATCTTCATAGCTTAAAGCTGATTAAGGTTGTGAGAATCGACTAAATAAATATATGAATACTATGATCCTCAGATCCCTTAAAATCAACAAAGCCACCCTAGAGCCTCGGCGTCACGGACCTAGATCCAATATACATGGTTATCACTAGCTGTATCGCGGTACGAGACGAATGCATTGAACCACATAGAGGTTATCAAGGGTAATTAGTAATAATGTACTGCAATACCTAGAGAAACAGTGCGTTAATAATACAACTGAAGTAAAAGAAATCCCTCACGGTGCTATGGAGCCCTAAGTGTAGATTTCCTTGCTGGTCCTCTTAGCAGTAATTAGGGTATCTTAGATTAAAGAGCTATGAAGAATAAGATAACTAAATACATTGAAATAAGTGTTCTTATACCCCCAAGCACTAGGCCAATCCAATTGGGTCGAGGACTGTCACGTCAGGGCGAGTAACTTTCAGGTCAACGACTAATTCAACCTTGGAACGTTGTAGTAGTTCCATTCAAGGTAGTTTGCATATTATCTATTGAAAGTCCAAGTTAGCGCAAATTTAACACAGATAGATGAAGCGAAGTCGCCATCTTTTCCAACTGACAGCGAGTAAAATCTCACCGCGAAGTGCACGACTTTCGAAGAACCGAATACCACCCCCTATTGCTAAAAGAATCAAAGGCTTTCATGATAGGTCAACAGAACTGGATGTTAAAGTTCCATATATAAATTAGAGGGTTATATTCGTAGAGAAGGTATGCTAGCATCTCTAAATATTAGCTAGGAAGTGTTTAACTGCTCTTAAGCCTGCAGTTTTGGAAGAACGAAATGGCGAGATTGAAATCCGAGTTATCAACAATGATGACTCTAGCGAAAGTTCAATTATCCTTACAGGTGTTAAATGCGTGTTTCAAAAACAACTTCCGAAAATGCCTAAAGATTACATCGCTCGCCTCGTTTAGGATCGCACTCATTTATGTATCGCTATCGTTAAAATGTCTCTGGAAGTCATTGGCGCAGCCGGATGCTTCTTAAATAGAAGGAAATCGTCAAAGGTAAAATACGTACCTTAAGCAAAAATCACATTATCCATCTACCGCCTTAGCAATGGGTCAATGGTGTCACTCTTATCGATCCCCTCTCTATCATTGCCATTCGGTCAACTGGCTGGTCTCTAGATACGGATGCGTTAGCACGGGAACCACGCTACGGATCTCATTTCAATAAAATGTGACTTTTATCCAAAACCATAAACAAGCATGGCTCTTCCTCCACCTAGCCAATAACGACGAAGTTCTTGATTATTACAACGTCATTGAACAAGCAATGTATTTGTCGATAATGGAAGAAAAATTGGAGCGTGATTCCTATACTGCTCTAAGAGAGCTTGTCAGTGATGTTGAATTGAGTTTTAGTAATTGTCGGCAGTATAATGACACAACAACAGTATACGCTAAAGTGTGCAGCAAAACTAGAGAAGCACATGTGGAAACTCATTGAGGAGATTCTAGAGTAGTTTGACTTAGTTAAAGAATGATCGATGCTAGTGTGTCCCACTCTTTAGTGTTAGGCCTGTTGATGAATAACGCGAGGATTTTGTCTGCCTAGAGTTGGTATTGGATAATTAGGTTTGTAGAGCAAGGCGCCAAGCACACCAGTACATATAGCGATTATGGTGTTGAAAGTGTAAATTCGGGCGGGGTATAGATGAATGATTAATCAATGCAAGCGCTAAATAAAATAGGACTGTGATGGTATTGGTGTGTATTGCATTCAGCATTGATATTATTTCCAAAGTACCGCATTCTTGACACTGCGACCTCGAACTGTAAGAGTAGCTCCTCGGCTGGATTACTGATCAGTATCAAGCAGCGCAACCACGCAAAAAAGATCAGTAATCTGGCATTACCGCGGTCCATAGAAAGAAAAAGATGAGAGGCCGAGGCAGTCAGGTTTCTAGGCTAGGTTCCAAATCTTTATTGATAAGAAGCAAACTCCACAACTCGCTTAAGGTTCGAACAGTATCTTTAATTAATTATCAACCGGATTTTGATCTCACCGCTATACATGTAATCATGTCGGACTTGCAAGTAGCAGTTTATGTCGCACCTCCAATCCCTTTACCTGGATCTCAAGGAGACTCATGGTCTCCAATTTCATGCACTTTAATATACTCATCCCACGATGCCATTCTTGTAGACACTCCCCTTACAATCAAGCAAAGCGAAGAATTAATCGAATGGATTGAAAAAATCGCACCCAACAGGAAACTATCCTATATATATATCACTCATGGCCATGGAGACCATTTCTTCGGAGTCCCGGTCATCCTGAAACGCTTTCCCAATGCAGTACCAGTCGCCACACGCAAAGTACTGGAACATATGAAGCAGCAAGTGGAGAAGAACATTTTCAAAAACATGTGGGAGCTTCGTTTCCCTGGTCAAATTTATCAACCTCAACTATCTCCTCTAGCAAGCATATTACCAGAAAGCGGCAAGTTCAGACTTGAGAATCGCTGGGTGTTCGAAGCCATCGAGTGCGGCCATTCGGATACATACGACTCAACCGTGCTGTGGGTGCCAGACTTGAAGCTAGCCGTCTGTGGAGATGTTGTGTATGGAAAAGTTCACCAGTATCTCTTTGAAGCAAATAATGAAGAAAAACGCAAGGCATGGATTCAGGCTATCGAGAAAGTTGAGGCATTGGGACCATTATACGTGGTTCCAGGTCACAAGCAGTCGGGAGAATTGGATGGAATCTGGCATCTTTCAGCAACGAAGAAATACATCCTTGATTTTGAAGATATTATTAAGTCAAACCCAAAAGATTCCAGAGAGGTATTTAGAAAGATGATGGAATTGTATGGAGATAGGTTCAACCCAAGTGCCTTAAAACTGAGCTGCAAGGGAGCCATTGTCGCAAAAGAGTCCCATATTTAGCTCTCTAAATAAGGTGACGCAGTGTTTCGGTCTGATACTTGGAACCAAAAGTGAATAGTAAATGATTCAAATATTTTTCAGGATCCTTGCAAATATTAGTACCTAAGAATTTGACCAGATCGACGGCAAACAATGAGCATTCCATCAAATGCTGTATTTTCCTAGTTTTTATCAATTTTCATGTCGACACTAGGTTAAGTGCGTTTTATAATGACCAATGTGATAGCCACCACAACACGAATGGCTACTTAGCAGAGATATTTGGCTCCAAGGCATTTTTGCCGGTTTCTTACTGTGATTGCTGGGTTATGAGATAATGCAGCGATAGAAATGGACTTAAATGTATGTTGCATTACTTCATACAGATTGAAGGATAGTATGCTATAAACCCGACATTTGTCTTCGAGATAAAGTGTTGCCAGTCTGCAGGTGAATAGCCAAAATGTACAAATGTCAAAATTCTGGTCCTATTTCAAATTATCTTTCTCACTATCCTGTGTTTGGAATTCGTGATATTACGTCGAGAGACATCTTCTATGCATACAGCGAACCTATTAGTATTTATTTGAGAAGCTCCGCTTTGGTATGATTGTTGTCTAGGACTAGAAATAATTCAGTCGACTTTGCACATCGGCAAAGAAACAAATACTCCAATTTCAATACATACGAAAGGCAGCCTAATCTGGGAAAACAGGCTTGGTAGTTACATATATCAAGGCCATCATTTTGTTCCTGGCGAAAACCCTAATCCCTTTTTGCTCAGGTCCGTTGTTCTCTATTTCTTATTGGCGTATTCTCCATATACAACCGCCTCATTTCTCTCAACCCATTGTTTCCACAGCTCAGGTTGCTTGACTGGAGCAACCATGCCATTGACTCTCCAGTTATCTGCAGGATGCTCATAGATGTTGTATTCCCATTTGATACCCTTAGGAGCTAGGATTGGCTCCACAATGTCATTGACACTGTCAATAAAAGCCAAGCGAACTTCTTCCGATGGAAAGCTTCGAGCGGCGTGGTCGAGCACGAAGAAGACGGTTTTGGGTGGTGTCTTACCACCGCTATAAAAGTTGCCAATTCGGTTTTCATGGAAGAATACGTTGACAAGGAAAGCTGGGATGTCCAGCTTGACATAATTATCTGTGATTCGCTGGGCTAAGAGGTCCTTTTCGGTCGAAGATAACGAGTCCGGTGTGATTTCGAAAGTCCACCGAGGCATGTCGTTTTATTCAATATTTGAAGTATATATAAATCTGGGGTAAGTGTGGAGAGGATTATTCTAGATGTCTTCTGTGGGATCGATTGAGCAATATTTGAAGCTAGAGACTCCCTCAATTTATCCCGATACACCGCGGGGCTTACATGGATCGACCGAGGGCCGGTATTTTGATCATAAATACATATATCTACCCGCCAGTGTTTGCTATAACTAGCCTAAACTATGATGAGTTATCAGGGTCAGTCCTTCTTACGCCGATCAGTAATCATATACCGGCGGCTTAACAGTGGTGGGGTATATTTTATTTTTAAAAGACAGAAATGCGAATGTTTTATCTCCTTACTTCGTAAATTGATATTATGTCTCTCTTATGTTCACGATGCCCCCCCTTCTCCAAGCTGATGTTTATATTTCCTCACGGCTACCCATCGCAGTTCAGCGAGATGGGGAGTCAAGCAGTTTCTCACCTATCTCCTGCACTCTCATTCACGGAGAGTACGAGGCTGTCTTAGTAGATACGCCAATTTCAACATCTCAAACCGAAGACCTTGTCAGCTGGATAAAGGAGACAGCGCCGGGGAAAGTTCTCCGCTACATCTATATTACGCACGGCCACGGTGATCACTGGTTCGGAATATCAGTGCTGCGAAAGCACTGGCCAAATCTGCGTGCAATTGCTACACGCGGTACTGTCGAGCATATGAAAGAACAAGTCAAGCCAGAAATATTTGAAGGAATATGGCTTACATTATTCCCTGGAAACCAAATACCACAGCCCCCAGAGCTTGCTGAGACACTGGAGGCACCTATATTCGAGATAGATGGGAATGCGTTACATGTAATTGAAGTCGGGCATACTGATACTTACAATACCACCGTTCTTCATGTGCCCAGCATTAGACTTATAGTGGCTGGAGATGCTGTTTATGGGGATGTCCATCAGTACTTCGGAGAGGCAAATACAACCGAGAAGAGGAAGGAGTGGCTTCGGGCACTTGATACAATAGAAGCTCTCGAGCCACACGCTATCATTGCTGGTCATAAACGGGCGGGAACAGTCGATGGTCTATTCAATCTACACAAGACTCGCGAGTATATTCTTGCATTTGAAGAGGCAGTTAAAACATCATCAGATTGGAAGGAGCTGTATCAGGAGATGCAGAGACTGTATCCGGGACGGATTAACCCCCATGCTATTCTGAGAGGGGCTTTGGCGGCGTTTCCAGACAGCTAAGAGACTTGCTTAGTTTTATAATTAGGGTCGAGGTGTCACAATTTGAAAATACGAATCGTATTTTATAAGGAGAGGAACAAACGCCAAGAATAATAAATCCTACATATATAAAACTCCCAAATAAAACTTTGAAATATCAACTAATGCCACATTTGATCCTGTGTAGGTCAAATTCAATAGGACATTTCTGCCCGTACTCTTGAAAGTTAGGATATGATCTACTTGTGACTGTAAGATATAAGCATGAGTTTACATAGGTACACTCTATGACACATGCGCGAATACTTTCGGGGCGGTCAAGTTGGTGATATGCATATCATCTTTTTGTCTGTAGGTTTATGGTTTAATTGACTGCCCTCATAAATAGCAGGTTATTTGATTAACGATTAATTGTATTATAGCTAGCGATTTCGACATACTCTACTATTAATGATGTCACAATAGCGTGATTTAATTCCACCCCATTTATCCAATGTTACTTAGCTGATATTGTGTAATGTAAATTTGATTTTATGGTCAATTGGGCACGTCAGGACCTTTTATTGGAACGATAAGAGCCTCACATGTATTGTTTGCACCATACACCAACGAAATCCCGACGTCTAAATATGAACAGGTGAAAAAACTCGGACTCTCATTTCTTTCCAGCGCGTTTAAATACCCCACTCCATCCAATTGCCAAATATGATATGAAACAATGGTCTTATTTCACTGCTTCAGGCCGGATTTTATGTGGCCGGATCGTGTCCAACCAGCCTTCAGTGATCAACTTCCCCTTACTTCCAGTCCAACACACCCTCGTATCCGCCGACTTTCGGGATCTACACTTGAGACAATTCTCACGTATTTACTGTGGTTGGGTCGGTATTCCCTACGACAATCAGATTGCCCAGCTTCCATTTGGTCTAATTTTGAAATGATCCGATGGTACTCACATAGAAGAGGTTTTGACTATGCAGGTTGCTATAAAGACGGGTCTCCCAGTACCACGAGTTATCTGCTATGGAGAACATCCAGATACTCCCCATGCACCAGTATCAATTCTTATGACTCGCGTGCCTGGTCGTGGGTTGGGCCAAGCCTACGAATCACTCACTGATGAGGATAGAAACTTAGTCTTACAGGAGTTGAAATGCTATCTGGACACAATACGGAAATGAAAAAATCCATGGGGTGGGGACAGAATCTACTCTCTAATGGGTACGCCTATAAGGAGTGTGCGCGTGCCCAATCATTCTCTGGGTCCGTTCGAGACTGAGAAAGAGTTGAATGAGTATCTTATAGAACCTGCTTGGGTAGATGGCTTCTCATGTAGATGGCTTCTCATCCAAGGCTGCATACCACGATGCTCTTGACCGCGCTAGAGTAATGGAGAGATTACCGCATCGCATTTTGTTTACGCACGGTGATCTGCAACACCATAACATCCTAGTACAGGGTGGATGAATCACAGGTTTTCTCGATTGGGAATCAGCTGGTTGGTATCCTGAATACTAGGAATTCACTACATCTGTAAAAGTTACTCGAGAAGACTTCTGGTGGTATGGCTTCGTGGTGCGTCTTGGGGGGACATGTATTTGAAGGAATTAGACTGTGATCGCGCACTATTCTCCCTAACCAGTGCCGTGTATTACTGGTAACCTACTGTAGGCTCTTTTTGATTCTGCTGATCTTAGCTGAGAATGGAGACGTATTTATTTTAACTTTGTGATGATACTCTTTAGACTTCTAAAAATTTTCCGAAAACTACTCTGAGATATGATAGTGACTTTTTTCTCGGTTAGAGGCGTCGTGCAAAATAGCATTAGTACAAAATTTGTTTCAATAAAAACACTCGCAACCATCAACTTTTAGTTTATAAAATATCTTTGAACGATAGACATGTAGTAATTACACAGAATCCCCGTTATCCAAGGATTTAGAAATTGTATGCGAATCTTGCTTGCGCCCCTATCGTTTTGCCAGTTTAGTAGTAACGATTCGATTCGTAAAAACAAATGTACATGACATACCTTAACAGCGAGTCGTTTACAAGTTACATAATAAAGAACTTCTCACTAACTTGCTGCCTTATATGGTATTTTGTTCCTCCACTATCGGGATTTTATGAAAGTACAGTCCCCAGTCAAGATCATTTAGCAGTGGAGGGTGACTTCTAATACATAGAATGATGTGGAGTGTGTAGATTTTGAGATTAATGAGAGACATTGCTAGGTGCAGGCTATCAAGTGGATTTGTAACAGGAGGTAATAATGGGAAAATGATCAAGTATTCGTTGGTAGATGACCTTTGTTGATATCTATTGTAGTTAAAACTGGAAGAAAATATATTCTTTATAGTTTGCCTTTCAATATGTTTACTACTGTGTCTGATTAGTTGTAGGTCAGGAAGCTACTCTATAGGTTATTTATTTATAAAACTGATTAGGATTGTAAAATTAGCGCGTAGAATCGCATTGGATGGGGTATAGCTGTATTTGAGAAAATTGATAGTAAAGATGTAGTTGAAACATTATGGGTGTAATGCTGACTATAGTGTGCACGACTCTTAATTATATGGAAAATTATGATCCAATCGTTCGGATTAGGAGCAATGATCTGTAAACATTCACACTCACTTCGATTTAATACTCAGGGGTTTGGGATAACCTACATTGTATCAAGCCGTCTAGACGTACTAACCGCTTTGCTACGATTTCTGAAGGCGAATCATTTTTGGGGACACTCAAGGCTGAGAGCGGCTAAGCAGACCCATTATCGGGAGAAGGTTAAGCGCTGAGCGCAGTAGAGTATATGAGCTAATAATAACCAATTATCTATCCCATGCTTTATTTATTGTGCAGCCCGGTCAGCGCAAAGTGTCCGAAACTCAGTTCGTTCAGAAGAACATCGACCAATCAATCAATATAGAGATCACCTTGAGAGCCGCCGAGCCGCCTTCGACCTTCCAGTTACGGATCCCAATGAACTAATTTCAAGACAAAGTTATCGCCCAGAACAAGCAGCGGGACTCTATAATGAGAGATAATTGCCCTGAACCAAGAGAATATTAAATTTTTCAAATATTGAGACTATAGTCGTATGCGCTCAACACTACAGGTAGAACGATGTGGATGATGCTTGGCTATTCTTTTCGGCTCTTTTTATACCCAGCTTAAGCAAGCAGGCCAATTCCGATCGAAGATGATCATAAAACCTCGTGGGCCTCTTCTATGAAATCCAGTTCTCAGTATGATGGCCGCTACATCTCAAGGGTACCACTTAATAATGCTTCTCATGCTATCGGCAACAGTCACTTCTAAGGGTTTCCATCCCTTCTGACCACCCCACTTTTTCAACAATGCGAGTGATTGAGTGGAATCTGTTGTCACTTGGAGTTTAGTGAGACCTGGGAGGTCATCAATGAACTTTCGGTCCGGATAGAGTCTCCGCATGATAGCCAGGATGTCATTCCAGTTACAGTACTCTCCCCATCCAGGAAGTCTTTCATTTTTGACCTCAGGATCTAGCACTGCTGCAACATGCAACAGTGCGCAATCTTTGACGTCGTTAGATATTACTGTAAAAGCTCTGTCAGTCTGCAGCCTTCCCAGTGATCTTGCACAAAAAGAAAAGACATTACGAACTTGCTGGAACCGCCGCTAATGCGTCCTTCTTCCCATCATATATAGTCTTGATAAACGCGTATGGAGTCTCAGCTTGCCCCTTGTTCAGATATCCACCTATTATGCTGGATGGAAATACGCTATTCACCCCGAAACGAGGCTTTCTCTCATTGACGAACTTCCACAGCGCCTTTTCAGCCTCAGCCTTGCTCGCCATGTACACCAAAAAACCACGGCTAGGGTCGTATGGTGGAGGTGCCCAAGCAAGTTGCACTGCCATATCGTTCCATGTATCTGGACCAATATGAGTGGTATCCTCAGGAGTGGGCATAGCACAAGCTGCTATAGAGGAGGTGTAAACAAACTCTCTGACCGACGGCTCCTTGAGAGCGGCTTCTAGGAGTGACGTGACCGCCGAGACGACTTGGGGTATAACATTGTGGGGGTTAGGATCGAAGCCACCAACTGAGGCTATATGGGCGATTGCAGATACATCCTTCACAGCATCATCGAAGGCATGCTCAATTGCAATATCGGGGACTTGCACCAGTTGGAAGTCGCCGCGTTCTGCGTAGGCTTTGAAGGTGTCCTCGATAAGCCATGATGATTTCTCCAGATTTCTCACTGTTCCACGGACTTTGAATCCACGTTCTAGGAATTGTTTGGCCGTATGTGAGGCTAGAAAGCCGTTGGCACCTGTTATAAGCACCCAGGAACCCTTGGGGATGGTACATTTTAGTTCATTCATGATTGATTAACGATAGTTTTTCAAGGTACAGAGTATAGTGCAATTGAGAAGGGGTGCAGGACTACTAATTTGGAAGGGAGGGGAGTGGCCGCATTATATACATGTAGTAAACCAGTACCAATACAATCGCACGAGTGACAAGTCAGCAGTGAATCCATCGAAGATCTGACAAATACAATACAAAAAATGGTTTATCACTTTAAACCGGTATCGCCTTGAGTGAAAGCAGCTCTCATACCAATTAAGCTGGCTCTGGAAGAGCCACTTGTGGCCCCCATAACTGGAAAGTAATACATGTCCCAAAAGGGAAAGCGTAGATTTCCGCAAAGGGAAAGTGCAGGTTACTGTACGAGGAAATGTATGACTAAGTTCAAAACAATTGATCTAATACCGCCTCTTGTAGGCAAATTCCGCCAGGCGGATTGAAGGGCAGGCTTAAGACAAATGTTTTTATGGAACATGCTATACTCCAATGAGAATATTACTACTAGATGGTCTTGTATCCTGCACAGTCCCCCAAAGCTTGTGGAAAAGGCCCGCCAGAAATCCACTTAAGCCCAGTGTTTGGAACCCACCATTGTGTCTCGCCATTTGGAGAATACCTAGGGCATGGCATCTAGACCTGGCAATATCGCCGAGCAGAACCTATGTTTTGTCACTAATGTTTCAGCACTACACATGGAAAATTGGAGCATTTTACGCACTTCGTCGAACGCAAGCATTACTGCTGTCGCAACTGTTGCATCATTGATTAAAATCGAGATTTCAGCTGAGATAGATTTATTGAGAGCCTGCATGCAGGACAACTTGTACATGGTAGCTAGCTGTGTGTAATATTGCTGCTGTTCAGATTCCTGTGGATGGTATAGTGATAACAGACGACATGCGTTGAGGAATATACAGTCAAGCGTATCCTGCCTGGCGATGGCAAGCGGCACCCACTCTCTGGTCATGAGGTCACGGAATTGCTCTGGATTCCAGCTCGTATGGCAGTAGCAGTGGACGCTTTGATCCGGAATTATAGCTTGTACATCTTGTTCGGATTAGCGTACAGACATCATAACTAGAGTTTAGACATGAAAGTGGAGGCTAGTTTAGTCAAACCTACAGCAGTCAAAAAGAAAATTCTCTACTGGACTGAAACGTCTCGCCGAGCTTGCGAATGGATCTATCCGATGGGATGCCAGTTGGGTGACGGGACTGGGTGCAACGAGGTTCTCTACGTCGCTCGTCTCCAAGCCAGGCGGTGAGTTCCCCTTAGACCGAGGCCCCGAACAGTCACCTTTTTTATTGGATTGCTGTTCATTTGCTGTTATCCGACTATTCTGGCCCGCTTGATATTCTATGATACGAAAGTGCCTTCTCCTAGCGTGGGAGACACGGGCCGCATGGACGTGAGCTCGCCGCTGGGAATCCGGTTTGAGAGCATCTCGTGGGTGCAACGAGTGGATAAATTGAATTTTACCAGGATTCTCTGATGCCATCATAATTGGTGTATCAATATGTAGAGAGTAGATATCATCGTCAAATGGTTCTCATGAGGATCAAATCATTTGTCAGCTACTAGACAGCATTGAGGCTAGCGATAAGAGATAGCCCCGTTAAGTCCGAGCTGAATTGCCTTGGCCGGCACTTTTCCAAGTCACTTTTCGGGACCGCCAAGACTTGCTCCTGCTGAAAATGGGCAATTAGTTTGGACGCTCCAGAAATGACCAAAAGATGGAGTCGGTTTTATTCGGAATATAATTTCAGCCGACTTTCAGAACATCGACTGTTTATGTGGTCATAATTCAGCATCAAGGTACTTGATGACTGTTGGGTTGCAAAATATAACGTATCAACACACACAACTAGGCAGTTAATACACCAAGGCAGTTAATACACCAAGGCAGTTAATATACCAAGGAAAGACAGGGTGATAGAAATCTCCACTCCGATCAGAGCCTATCTATGCAGTATTGAAGACTATGATCACGTCCAGCTCATGTGTGGAACAACCCTAACCCTAATTTACACATGTACTGTTGCTCAAAACTCTTCGAGAGAGACATTTGACGTCAGGGACAGTACATTTGGACCAAATTCACCCTTCCAACTTCGTACTGGTATCTACGTTGGGTTGATCTGCCTACTATGGATTTGGGGGAATCATTTGAATTCATATTCAATCCCCCACCAATGCCATCTTATGACTGGGACAATGGCCTACCTTGGCGACACCTCATAGCTGCGAATCACAAGTACAATAAAATACACGCAAGAGGAAATCAAATATCTATTCCTAAACCAGGGCCGTGAAAGTTGTTGGAAGGCTGAGGCATCCATCTATAGACACATTTAAATATTGTTGGCCTGGGGCTTCCCTCCTATTAAAGTCTTCCGGCGTAGTCTAGTTGGATAAATAGTCTCGTCCAGGGTAGACATCCAATAGACCAGCCTTCTCTTCTCAATATATCTGATCCCTACGTTTATAGAGTCTCCGAGAATGAGTCCCCTTGCTAGGGAACGCTTGTAGTGGCGGCGATTTCAGGTGCAAGCCCTCCAGATGAGCGTTCAAGAAGCCTCAGGCAAACTCACCCGTCCCTATACTGATATGCTTTCTGAGATGGAAGGAGTGCCTTATCCATGTTTTAATAGCATATTATTTTGGCCGTTAGTATTAAAAATTGAAGGTTTTATCTGCTTAGCGGAATTTACCAAGTTTGAATTCGGCGGAAAATGGGAATTGTAGCAAAAATTCTTTCTGGGTGACAGCTGGGGTTCATCTATCGTTAGCAAATCACTGTACAAAAGACTTCCTCCAGGAGACTATATGAGTTAGGCGACAACTCATGCAAAGGTAGTTCAGTCCAGAATACTCATGAGTATAATGTCCAATAAAATAAATCATATATTAGTGACCCAAGAGCTAGAAACAGAAATTGAACGAGCTGAAAGTAAAACATTTGTCCTCTTAACCAATTAATGAAATGAAATGTGCAGAGCTGCCAGAAAGAGAGCTAACCCATGTAATTACAACTAAGCATCATCCCTTTCAACAGTCCTCTCCAATACAAGAATATCCCGTACATACTCCGCATCTGCATTGTGCATAGTAGGCCATATCATCTCTCCTCCAGTAAGATACTCGACCTCCTTTTTACTGCATCGAAAGGAATAAAATATCCAAAATTGGCATCGTTGCTGCCTGAGAATAGAACTCCAAGTATAGTCAGTTTCCCTGGAGAGCATTGAACCTCCGATGGTTTTGTATAACCCTTTTCCTCTCAAAAGGTTGTTGTGAAGACAAAGGATCCCGAGTCTCCTGGCCTTGTAAAACACTCCCCAATACTAGGAGAACGGACCACCCATGTAGATATCGCGTCCGGAAAGCCGTTCAATTTCATGTCAACCTTAATTCCATGTAGGAGGCCGGTGGTAAGCCCGGAAGCAGCCCCATATTTGCCAACTATGCAAATATCTTCTGAATCAGTGTTAGAACCCAGATCGCATACGTCCCAAGTTTCTAATGCCCTGTCATTTAGTAAATTTTCATTGAGAAAGACTTTCTCAGGACGTGTCGAGGGATCAATAAGCTCAATGAGTGCAATATCCATTCCAAGTCGATAATCGAAGGTAGATACATTATGAGATCGGGAACCAAGTGCTGCCCCTCTAACGTAACCCAGTAAAGGATCTCGATGCAATGCTGCCTCATGTGCCTCCAAATCAACCAATTTATATTCCATACTTTGAACCTGCTCTTGCTTAGAAAAAAATCCTCATTAGCCTCTTTAAGGTAGTCAAGTTCATCTTGGCGGCCAGCTATTCTTTTTGAAATCTGTTCTTTTGCTTTCTTTAATGATCCCAGAATATTGATACGATCTTTTTCATAAGGGCATTGGACAGGAATTTCTTGTGAAGGATAATGCGCTTGTGTTGTAGACTGGATACCTCTCCAGAGATGGGGTTTTGATCTCAAGACCACATGAGAGTTTGTCAAAGCGTAGGTGACCTTTTTAAACTGTTTCTTATTATCAGATGGAATTCTCACGTTAATATACCCCCCCAATGTGCCACCAATGCTTTTTCACTAAGGCACCCAAGGCTACTTCCAGGCTTTGGAAGTGTGGCACCTTTCACTTTACCTATATTACCATCGTCTGAGGTTTGCATCTTCAAGGCTTCATGGGAGCTGGATAATATAGAGTTACTAGCTTGCCATATCTCAACAGATATAGAATCCGGAAGAATGGACTGAAGATTTCGTTGGATCTGTACCCAAATGCTGTCGTTGGCATTTTGTGCATCAATCCAAACAACACAGATATAGCTTTCCATATATTCATTAGATGCTGTAAGCCCAACTGGAACCATAGCCTGCCACGGCGCCTGCCCTTTTTTCAGTTTTTCCAGTATCTGTTGACGATATCGTGAACCATCATCCCAGTTCTTCCGAAATTCCTCTGAGCTGGACGGAAAATCGGTCAGAAAGAGAGATTTTTCGCACACCGTATCGCAATGTTCAACTCCGATAGAGCACGAATTACCAATAATATCGTAGAGGGCTTTATGGATATCAATAACCGCATTTGACCAAGAAAGGGGATCTTCTTTGTGGCGTTCCGGATTAAATACGCATTCAACAAGGAAACAAAGATGTTCATTTGGTGGATCTTCTTGGTACTTCACATTCGTTCGATAAACTGGGCCAAGCCACAGAGCAATACCAGGAAATTGTCTGGGTTCAATTTGATGCCGACTAAGAATCGTGTTTATCCGAGACCTTAGAGCTTCAACATTTGACTTGGACACTGACGTTGCACCCTGTGTATACAAGGTTTGCACCCGGGATCGGCACAGACAAGGCCATCCAACCCGCCATGCACGGGGTTGATCAACATCATGGAGGGAAATTTCAGGTTTGTTGTCATATTCGGTCATGTTGTCGCTGAATGCCAGATTAGCGTCGGAATACAACAGACCAAGTTCTTCATTACCAAAATAATGGCACTCTATTGCCACAAAACCAAGATGATAACTGCAGCCTACTATATCATAATCAAACTAAAATTGAATGATTACATTAAGGCAATAGTGATTATCAGGCACAAAGCTAAAACATCTGGTGGAACAGTAGGAATTCAATATATTCCTCCTCTTCTGTTGTACTTGCTATGGCGAGACACTTGTGAAGCCAAGATGACTATCTGCAATGAAATCTTAGCTGTGTTGAATCTTATTTAGGGTAGAGAGTTTGTACTTTGAATTTTTGTCTGAAATCCTTTTGGAGAAAAATGCAGGAAGACGTGTTTGCTGTTTGCCTTGTGTAGTCTTCGAGGATTTCTCAACTTTGTTAGAATATATGATTAATAATGCAAACTTCTTGAATTCTACAGTTAGGAACCTCATAGCCTCACCATTCCAAGACAGATGCCTATGTATCTTTGCCACATGTAGTTCTGTAACAGACGTTATATTACATAATTTTAATTAAACAACAAGCGCACGCGGGAAGCAAAGTATCAACTATCCCAAAGTGGTCCCAAATGAAAATTAGGTATAAATTCCAACTTCCTTCCTTGGGGTGTGATAACAGAAAGTCGCATTCTTCCTATATACAAAAGCAGCATGACTTACCGCAATATATACTTAAATCGTGTATTTAGAGTCTATAAAGAGTCTAAATATACTCTAATCAACATCATATTAAGTAGGTTCCATTAGCTATAAACCTAAAGTACTACGTCCTTTACAGGCAAAATGCTTCAAATGCTGTAGTAATTGTGCGGACAAGCCGCATATGCACGCTATATTTGACAACCCAATTTCTCGAAAATGTAAATATGTACAGATGATGGTGTCACTGTCTCAAAATGCAGCGGTGGATGGGAAGATATCATCTACAAACTGAATATACCGCTACGCTTCTTACCATGCGGATAAACGATCAATGCAGAGATAAATAGACCCACAGAAATACCAATGGCCGTCTGGATCATTGCATAACCTAGGGACGTGAGAGAACTCTCCGCTGTGGCGCCTGAAGTTATTGATATAGTGCCATTAGCAACTTGCTCGGCATACGATAGACCGGTGATAATAGATCCACTCGATGCAAGGCCGGACGGGACCAAGGTAAAGATACCCGGTATGATGGCAGCAGCAGCATGGCCGTGCCACAGACGGCTATACAAGTTGGCCAAGAGACCAATGGTGAACGCACCAACGGTATTGGCGACCTGGTTAGAGCCGAGCCGTTTGGTGCTAAAGTAGTTCGCTACGTAACCACAAACACCCAGAAAGACAGTCACGGGGAGTTGCTTTGGCTTGGCTTGATTTATGACCGCGGCAAACAAGCAAAACAAGGCGACGAAAGGAAAGTGCTGGATGTATTCGTTGCCCCAGGCATCTAAACTCTTGGTTGGACATGACTCCTGAGTGGTGGCGTTATGATCCATCAGCCCGTAGATGGTGGTACCGACAGTGACTCCATATCCGAGGAACAGAGAGTAGATGATGGTGAAGACCATGCGAATGGACCCAGCGTTCATCTGGTGCGACTGCAGCTCTAAGCTACTGCAGAGAACGGAGAAACCAGGCAGGATCATGGCAATGGAGGATTCCGCCATAGCCGCAAAACAGAACACGTATTCGCCGTTGTGCTTGATGCTTCCAAAGGCACGCGCCAGAAACGAAGTGAGAATAGCCGCGGATACTTCCAACACATTAGAGTATGTTGCAGATGAAGGGGCAAGGATGTATTGCATAAATCCCACTATGCAGCCGAGCATGAAGATGATCGGAAGGTCAATGGGGCGAGCGTTAAACGAGTATGGGCCGACGGTAACGCTGGCCAGGCCAGTTAAAAGGACCAGGATCCATTTGTTGTAGCGCGGCTTGCGCTTCATGATATCATCGAGTTCCTCCGTCGCTTGTTCTACGCCGATGACATCGTGCACCACTTTCTTATACACACTGTGAGTTATTGCTAGACGGGACAAATCTAGACCCTGAATGACACGTATGACTTTGACTTCGGCGGTGCGGGTAAGAGGGTCATCGAAGGACATAAACATACAGCCGGGGATGTACAGAAACTGCGCCTTAATGTCCAGCACGTTAGAGGTCATTGCCATATACTCCTCGAGGCGATGTGTAGGGGCGCCGTACATCATGAACGCACGACAGAGCTGCATGATATACTGCTGGCGTGCCAAAATTTTGGCGATGTGCACTGTAAGCTGGACATTCTTATGGGCCTTTCGCTTCTGCTTCTTTCGTTCTTTCACACTCATCGGCGGCGGGCCTTGGACATTTGGCACCCCAATACGCCCCATTTCCATAGACGCGGAGACAAGAGAGGAGGCATAGTAGTGGCCCGAGTCCTTGTTTGGCTTGCTTGGCTTCTTGATTTGTAGGTTGTTCAAGTTGAACCTGCTCCCTTTCTGGCTTTTGGGGCTGTTTTCGTTGTTGTACCACTTGACTTTTTCTTTCTTGCTACTTTTTCTCGTCGGCATAATCTTTGTTGATGGGAGAGTCTTGATTTTCGGGTCCATTTCGGATGGAGTTGAGGCAAGACTCATCCTGCTTGCATCTCCGATGTCGTTGGCATATACGCGCAGCAAATTAGACAGCATGCCTCCACTGACAGGAGCAGACGCATCATCAATATCTTCCGGGGTCGAGGCTCCAGAAGAACGAGATTCGTAGAATCCTTGTCGATGAGACCCTGGAAACCCTAGCTGCTCGATTAAGAGCTGAGTCTGGGCATTGTGGTCGATGGCGTGCAGTTTGTCTTCCTCGTCGTTGTTCTTGCGCGCGGCGAAGCTGTTCAGGTCGTCGGTAGCTCCGTAATGTTCTGGCAATAAACTCGCATCCAACCCATCTTCTTCTCTCTCGTGTGGTCGGCCGAGAGCATCAGCTAAGGTGTTGGCCCGTTTACGGACTTGCAGGCTGGCTGACCTCAATCGTTTCCTAAAATTCGTGCTAGACTGTTCACTGACATCCTCACCCCGGACCGTGGTCTCGGGGAATGGAGCATTATTTCTTTGCGGGTTCTGACCCTCGTGCTCCGGCCCAGATGATTCTACCGGGGTTGGCTGAGAGGGATACGCGGGTTTCTCCTGGGAGTCCGACATTTGGAAGATTCTTACGGCCGGAACTCATCGGACGTACTAGGAGATATGCTTAGAAAACAAAAGATGGCAAAGGGTTAGCGAAAGAGAGCACACTTTGGCCGGGGAAAGAGGAGAACAGCGCAACCCAGACGAGCAGAACTGCACGAACAGCGACATTTCACAATCTGGGGAAGGAATAGAGATTGAATTGGACCTCAGAGGGACATCTTTGAATTGAGGAGTACGTCCAATGGCAGCACTGAAGGATCCTGCTAAATTACGTATTAGTGGGTTGATAGCTTCGGTAATTTCCCGTTGGCGTCGTGGGTCGAGACTTCGGTAAATATGGTGGTATCTGCCATCAACAACCTCAACAAGCTCACGGCATCATTATAGGCAATGACTATCATGCTGTATGAATGATTATAGAGAAATAATTTCCATATTAAAGATGTATAGTAATAGACAAGCGTCGCCTTGGCCTTGGTTAGGGCGCCAAGAAATCCATGGTGGAGTGACTGGATAGGTCCCTATGCTCTATGATTGGCCAATATTATCTAATCAGCCTTCGAATTTGCTGCCTCGTGGCGCGAACAAGTAATAGTTCGATTTAAAGTAAGAATTTAGTGAGATTGCTGCAAGTAGGCTTGCTGTTGAAGGATTAAGAATATATGATATAGACCTAAATCTCGTTCAACATGCCACACTGCTACAAGTGGGATCCGACCCAATACTCGTAGTTCAGAAGCGTAAGTAGTACATCAGAATAAAGTACTTTATGCCATAAGAACGCTGGTTAGGGTTGTCACAAGCTTCGTCTCTATTACATTGGCTCAAGATGCATTTATTTTGTGATAGTGCGTATTCTCGCGGCTCTTGGTGTCAATTGATCTGAGCGAGCTATTCTGAATAAGGCCTATAGGGCCGAAATGCCGAATTACCAGACGAAGAGGTGATCCTGAGCAGAGCCTTGATCGATCAGGTCTCTAGCATAAGACTGGGCCGCATCTCCTAGGGTGATACTTCTACCAATTTCCCGACAGTGCAGTTTAACTACCTCAGACAGCACAACTCGAGATATCTCGCCCTGATAACATTGAAGACGCGCGTCTGGCAGAAACTGGCCTGGTCGAACCCCAATCCTAAAGACGGGCCAAACGGAGACCTGTGAGATATGAAATCTCTCGACGGGGCTACTTCGCAGAGCAATCCTGATGTCGGTTTTGGCCATCAGTGTCTAGTGGAGGACTTCATGTCAGTTTGTTGGACGGGTTTCATGCTGGGACGTCGCTGGATGCGGGCCTGAGCAGCTGGGACAAATGGAATATCCTCTCTGGTCGGTTTTGCATAGAATAATCATTCATCTTAGCATGATTGTTATACTTATTAGAACAAAGTGATATAGACTGGCGCTCGTAAGAGTTACGAGGTAATTAAGAAGAAAGGAACTATAAACATCGGCGGTAGTTTCCTTGACCAACTGATCATCGGCGCCTGAGGCTGCCACCTGGTCTTGGCCGGTGCTGGCTGTTGACGGTGCGGAATAATCCTAATTCTAACTACCCTTCGTTCTGCATTCTCCAGCGCTATTTGAATATTTCGACATATCGTGTTTCTCCATCTCTGTCACACCTTCGCTTGGATAATTCGCCGATACTTCTCATTAGCTACTAGTTCCCGACTAGTTCATTTCTCCTACAGTCCCCAACTCCCCACCGCGGCGTCCTAACGTCATTAAACACTCGGGCCAATCAATACTGTGCTATGATATGACAGCAGACAGATTACTCTCAAACACGACCCAATAATTCGGTTTACATTTGACAACCCTTCGCATATCGTCTCTACTGCAACATCTCACCCGACCGATAACCCTGGCGCCGAAACTTCGCCTCTTTAGCCGCTGGCGAAGAACAGCTTCGCTCTTCCCGCGAACCCTGCCACAACCGACACAAAGTCAGCCTCGGCCGTGGCGCAATCATAAAGGAAACTCGATTTTTGCAACCCTTCGTGCGTTGTCCCTGTCCAAGACACGTCATCAAGTTCGAAGCCGTCTGTGGACTTTCCGACACGAGACCCTCTCCCACCTCCGGCATCAAGCACAGGCGCGTGTTTACAAGGCGATCGTCGGGAGACAAGAGAGAGTTCATCTGCTAAGACAAGCGAGTACTGGTTATCGGGGAAGCGTTTTTACGCTCCTATTAAAAAAACGATACCTACGATTGCTGAGTTGGGGTCGGAGAACAGGTGTTTATCCGCCACGGCGCGGCTCAACGTCGCGCGCCGTCAGTCAGGCGCCAGAGAATGCGTATCACAACAAAATGTCACGCCTAGGATCCGGATATGATGGATGGAGCAACGACGATTCAGGGCGGGAATATGGGTCACGGCGACAGAAGGTGATGGGGTATTTGAAAGCTGCAAACGACCTGCGTCAGACGTATACGGCGCAGATCTCACAGAAATGGCAAGATTCGTATGGTGATACTAGCGTTGATGCTCCGGGGGCTTTCCCTGACGTCGACATTGCGCGGTCTGGGGATGAAGAAATGGTCATTTTTCCAAGTTATGCTCGAAGACATGTGAAGAGGAATCGAAGCGTAGGCACGCAACCCCAACCAATGCCAGGCACACACGAAGATATCAATCGGCCGAACTCGCCAGGGAGTATGGAGTATTGGAAAAAGGAGTGGGAAAAGTATGAGGATGACAATGCGATTGTAGATATCGATATTCGCGGCTGGTTATACAACCCGCAGCGAGGACCACTGAATCGAAAGCATCGCTTATTGATTGCACTTGCAAGGAAACTCAGTGGGATACCGGCTCCCTCAACTATTCCGAGCAACTCTATACAACAAAGAGTTGAAAGAAGGGAAGATGAGGACGTCAGCAGAGAAGCCCAATCAATCATCAACAAAGGCGAACATGATGCAGATTCAGCGTGGAGAAATAATCGATCTGGGGAGAATAGTGACTCAGACGCCCCGGGACGAATTTCGCGAGCATCTACAACTTCATCTCTGAATAAGGATGATTTGTCCATTGCTAATGCACGACTCATGGAGAGGCTAAGGCCGTTTATGAACTCTCCGATGGTTGGTGGTGCAATCACTTTGTTTTTCTTTAATGACGAGGAGAGTCAGTCGCGGACAACACTGACAGATGACTCGGGCCATTTTAATATCCGAACTGCTTTGGAATTTGTACCCACTCATGTAAGGATACTGGCATCCGAGTCGTTGTCGGTCACTGAAGAGATTCGCGTGATTAAACCCACGGGAGTGAGTCTGATCAGTGATATTGATGACACAATCAAACACTCGGCTATTTCCAGTGGAGCGAAGGAGATTTTCCGAAACACCTTTGTTCGCGAGCTAGATGAGTTGACCGTCGAAGGCGTTAGGGAGTGGTACAACAAATTAGCAGAAATGGGCGTTAACATACACTACGTGTCGAATTCTCCGTGGCAGATCTATCCTCTGTTGAAGAGCTACTTCAAGCTAGCAGGGCTGCCACCGGGATCTTTCCATTTGAAGCAGTACAGCGGAATGTTGCAGGGAATTTTTGAGCCCACTGCGGAGCGAAAACGGGCGTCTTTAGAAAAGATTATGCGAGACTTTCCAGAGCGACGGTTTATTCTAGTCGGCGACAGTGGTGAGGCCGATTTAGAGGTGTATACTGAGGTGGTTCAGGAGTATCCAGGAAGGGTCTTGGGCGTATTTATTCGTGACGTGACGACAACGGAGAAGAAGGATTTCTTTGACAGGTCATTTGATCAGACGAGACCCAGCTACAGGAGAACGGCCTCCTCATCACCTGTAATCAAAGATCAATCGGATTCAATCCGCAACAGACCGATATTGCCCCCGCGAAATGTGTCTGGGGCTAAGTCAACCAACAATGAAGACTTGATCAATTTTGATGATACATCAAGCGAGAATGAGGCTCCAGATAATACTACCGCCAAACAACCTCCAACAAAGCCGTCTAAACCATCAGCCTTACGAACAGCATCTACTTTACCAATCTCAACTTCCGAGCAAAAGTCAGAAACTATACGGCGGAAACCAGCACCGCCTCTTCCAGGAAAACCACGCGGACTTTCGGTTTCTCAGAAAGATCCAGTGAAAGAAAACTCATCGAAGGTACCACCGTTACCGCAACGAAAACCTACCTTTGAGAATGATGCCTATACGAACACCGTGAAAAATGCAGCTTTGCATGCTTACAACAACCTCCCTTCTACCAAAGACACTATAGACACCCTCTCTCGTTTTTCGCTGAAAGAAACAGCAGCAGCATCGCAAGAAAGTACATCATCAAAACGCGGGACACCACCTCCTCCCCCACCACCTCGTCGTGCGGCGAACAGCACACCTAGCAACAACTCTAACAATAATGAGAAACGGAATGCCGCTGATACTCCGCCCAAACTACCATCTAGACAGAACACACCACTATCATCATCTTTGACACCCAGCGCCAGTAACACCAGGCTAAACTCCAATCAGAACCAGGACTACGAATCCGGTCTAGCATACTACGACCCTGTAGATGGCCCTCCACAGCTTAACAAGCGCGAAGAACTATGGAAGCGTCGCTGGGAACGTGCGCAACATATTCTTTCCGATCATGGTGTGGTACTGGGAAGTTGGAGGGTTGGTAATGACGCGCAGGATATTACGACTTGGTTGGTTGAAGATGCTTTGAAGAAAATGGAAAAGCAGGTGGGTCATGATGAAAAGACATGAAGATAAACATGTATATATAGATATGAATATTGTATTTATTTTCAATTTTGATTCGTCAATCCGACGTCTCCCCATTTGATATGTAGATAAGCCTACCTTTTGTGATGATTAAAGGCTCACTAGCACCAGTTGACATTTGTACAGGTCAATTACATTCATTGATGTCAACTAGTATTGCAAGTCAATATTTGAACTACCAGCTGACACATTGATGTGGTGACCTGAATGATCAATTGATTAATATTGTTCTATTCTATTTGAGTATGCTTTTGTTACGGCTCCGTGGCTGTTGATATATCACCGCTCTAAATAGTCTATTACCGCGAAAATAAATATACATAAGAGTGGCGATGGGTCTGGACAATATGTGTCAGTATAACAACCCTGCGAACTCCATCTGGTGTAGCAGGAAGAAAAGAAGAGTAGTCCTCAAGGTTTCCTACTCCGCTTATGACTCGAGTGCATGCCGTGCAGCCTCTATCAAGCAATGAACTTGTCTTTGGCGAAGTAGTATCTTGCGAAACTAAAAATAACTGAACCGGCCATGAATACCGAGGCACTGAATAGAATACCAGCGTTGTAGCCATTATTGCTGATCAACGCACCAGTAATAGGCGTCCCAGCAAGACCTGCGAAGCCGATTATGAAAGTCGACTGGCCGGCATATGTGCCAATCTATAAGAAAATGGTAGGTTAAAAAGATTCCCTGTACTGGATGAAATGGAAGGGAAAGGAGACATTGAAGGGATGGATCGGGTCTATGGCTGACCTTGCTTGGGTGTGGCGCACAATGCGCGAGAGTAGACATCATCAGCGCGATTATTATACCACTGGTTCCTCCAAAAAAAAGCGATAGCACGACAAGCCCAGCTGAGCTGGTAACTTTTAGCCAGCAGTACAGCATCAGGGCAGAACTGAAACATGCTGCTGTGAGGACATTGAATTGACCTATATACATGGAAATTGTACCGCCGAGCATTCGGCCCACAAATGAGCCTGCATTGATCAGAGCAAAGAGGTATGAAGCGAGGGTATTAGACATGCCGTGTGCAAGACCATACTCAGCGAGGTAGAAATATGGAGTCCAAAAGCCAAGGATAATAAAGAACAAGCCAGCAACCTGGAAGCAGTAGGCAGGTATCTTGAAAGCTTCGAGGAGTATGAAGGGCCCCTTTCGCCTGAAAGGCGTGGGACGGATAGTCACGGCGGCTATGATGAGAAGAAACAGACTGAGGAAGCCGCAGACGCGCTGAGCCCAGGGAAATCCTACGCTGGGAATTTGGATGAGTCTGGTGAGGATTATAGGGAAGATTGTGCCGCCGATGGGAGATCCTGTTGAGGCGAAAGCCATGGCCATGGCTCGCTTTTTCATGAAATAGTGGGCTACAACAGAGATGGCAGGGGCGAAGATGAGCCCGCAGCAAGATCCAAGAAGAATGCCTTGGCAGAGGAGAAACTGGTAGAATTCAGTGCAGAGGCTGGTGAGCATCATGGCTACCACGAGGAGAAGAGAACATGGCCAAATGACGACCTGTCTCGGTGATATCAGTAATCGAGCCGTGGATATAGGAACTGAGGATCAGGATAAACAGTACCATGGGACCGTATCGATCTGTGATTGGGCCACTGATCAAGGTGGCCGAGAATTGAGCGAAGGCCTGGACGGATCCAATCCAGGCGATAGTCGACTGGGGGTAGCTAGACAAGTAAGTTTGGATATAGTGCGTCTCATAGATTCTGTGCAGAGTCGGAACACGTTAACGGTGGATCAGCAAATAAAGATTTATACGAAACTCACCCGAAAGAGTTGACAATGCCAAACGACGCAAAAGATGTGCACCAGGCGCCGAGAACGACTAGCCAGGCCTTCGTGCCTCCATCTGGGAAGTTCGGGACGGAAAGGTCTGGGGGCTCAGGAGACCCTTGTTCCTTAACTTTCTCAATCGACAATGACTCGGCATCATCTAGACTAGCAGGAGCAGCCTCTTTGGGAGAGGAGAGAGACATGATGTTTGGCGAAACGCTGGCGGTATTCTCTTCTCTTTCGATCATAGGCGGCAAGGAATGAATTATTTTACAGACCAGAGTGTGAACCTTGAAAAGGATAAAGAAATTATTATAGTCGACATCTAGCTAGAGAGGCAACAGTTGATATCTATTCCGGTTTCTACGAAATATACCACGTTTTGTTGATAACATATCCACATTAGTGTAGGTTATCTCCGATCAAAATGCCGAATACTACTTCCACTCTATTTTTGAATTAATCAATTCATTACTTACCCGGACTTGGCCGACTGAACTATGACAACGGAAATGGTTGGTCAGATAAGCTCTGGTCGTGGTATGTAGTAGTTAGGGCTTAGAAAAACTACGGCGTAGCGGCCGGAGTTCCGCTAATGACCAAGGCGCAAGTCTTCGGAGATGGTCGGATAAGGTCGGTGTTAACTTACATGTACCTATTGAGCTACGAATCTGTTTCTGATCAAACCAATCATTTCCCAGTAGCGGCGGATATGTCCTCGACCTTCAAAAGGGGTCCTGCCCAGTAAAATTGCGCTCTGCGTTATATGCGACTGCGTGGATTGTCAATGGGCTAATACGATTGTCTAGCCCTTATTCACATTATTTATACCACAAGACTTTGGACTACGCCTTGCGATGGATTGCCACAAGGAACTACAAGGCGTCGCAAAGACACCTATTTCCATCTTATAGGCCGCGAACCTCCCACAGGTTTACCACCTCCTCGATTCTAGATCGACCCAAGGAGATCAGGGTCAATATTCTCGAATATACACCATATAACATCGTGAAACCTTTGGTAGAAAATCGAACTTTATGGCCTACATAACTCAATAGTGTCTACCAATATTCTTGTATCTGAACCAGGTTTCCTTTCTATATTGGTATGAGCTTGAAGTTATTTCAGAACCAACTGTACGATCTATTTACCTAGATTCTCCGGCATATATCATTTTGATGCTAAGCCGCTAGAGCTAGAACTGTTCCGCACTAGCCTATGATATCCTCACACCATCAATGACACCCTACTACGCCTCATTAATTCACATAAAACAAACAATAATATCTTTCGAAGGTTGGACCGGACCACTTCTCAATGCATGGAGCCGATGGAAAAGTTAGTTTAGTCGGCTACCCAAGGCATGACGACAGATAAGCATTTGATTGGCATAAAGAAAATAATCCTAATATTAACTATCGCGGCCTCTTTGAAGTCAATTTTGGTTTTAATTTCTAAGTTATGGTTTCTATCTAACTCGAATTATTATTAAGGCGCTCTACATAGCGTAAAAAATATTGCAATATGGAATATATGGAAAATTTACCTGTTATAAAATGTCACTCAATGATCGAGACGTGTCTAGCATTCAAATTCGTTATTTCTGGATATTTATCGTTGCGAATTACGCTTTAAGCTGCGATATTACTCTTATTGGATGGAAGCGGCATTTCGGCAGGATGTTCGACGAAGTCACGTCATAACGACGAAGCAGATCATGAGACTACACCCATAACTGTTGATACTTTGTCGGCGACAGTATGACAACTTACGTCGTAGTTCGTGTCTGCCACAATATCCTGTCCATTCGTCCAGTCACCTAGGTAGTCGATTTTAAGTTCGGCAACTAGAAGATCTCGGGTATACCTTGATACTATATGCATTCAACCTTAGCTGCAAGTCATAAATCGCTTTCTTTCCCAATGAGGGAGGAACAGGAACAAACTATGACAACGTTTCATCAACCTGTGATCCCAATTTTATACACTTGGACACATTTGATGTCAACATACCGTCTGAACTTGAAGCTTTGACATATACGGAACACACAGCTTAAGTTCCTGTAATAGCTATTATACATCTCTTAGATCCCGCCATTTAAAAGAATTATTAGTAAGACATATTTTACATATCTCAAGCCATTACTTCTTGCCCGAAAAGAATCATATTATAACTATAGAAGGCTTATCCTTCAGTTTTACAGGTATATTACATTTACTATAGCTACTAGCTATAACAGTATATTTAAAGTTTTTCTATTATAAATAATATATTAATATAGCTAGTATACTCAAAGCATATCTACTATTTATCTATTAGATATAGAGTAGAGCTTATAAATTAAAAACTATATCTATAGGACGGTATACCTAAAGTTAATATAGAAATACTACAATACTAAAATATATAATTAAGAAGCCTAAGATTATCTATATATATTGATATTATAACCTCCTAATTCAATCTGATGGTAAATCCCCTCACCAGACACCCTCATGACAGAATTCTGCCTATTAAGCCTCCTAATCGAAACTCAAAAGCCGTAGCGTGCAGTCGAAAGAGATAAGATCTGTTATATGGAAAGAAGAATACTGAAGAACAAAACCCCCTTCGCCCCTTCCCTCTCCTTCTCAACTATTTTTTATCGTAGACAACTACATTGCTCCTAATAGAGTGGCTGGCGGCAAATTTCAAAGTGGCGATAACAATGACTGTGGTAACGCCTATATCACTAGAACAAACACTACTGGCGCATTCAACAACGGTCTTTGAACAAAGACACTACCCATGGCCCTCACGGCTCCAACATTGACTCCGATGTGGGACGATCGCGCTCGCCACTAGAACTTCACCATGTAACACTCCTGCAAGCAGTAGATATTTTACTCCTAGTAATGCACAAGAAACCTCTGGTCCTTATGGCTCCAACATGACCAACACGATAGATCCCAGGCTTGACTCCGAACTGGATCATCGCAATCGCCACCAAAACTTTAACAGTAACGCTCATATAGATGGCAGATAGACTACTCCGGTCACATCCAAGAGACATCTCTGGTTCCCATGACTTGAATAAACTAGTTTTTATAATGTATGGAAATGAATGCTACATGGTTCCACCTTAAAACAGAAGCGAATAGCAAATACCCTCAAGTTATGAATAGAGCCTATTAAGTCTCAACTGGGCAAATATAAGTTAGACATGGAGAAGCAGGGGAAAAAAAAAAACAGAATCGATGTTCACATGCAGGACTTGACTAAATAAAACAGTTCTATAGACCACCAAGAAACAATGACCGTCCATACTATTTTTCGGCAATTCGATGCCGACTTTCGACATCCTTATTATGTGCTTTGACATCCTTTTGGTTCTGTTGAGTATCTACTTCACCACTTTCCGTATTTGGCCCCTCTCGGTGATTCTTAAGACTGTAATATTTCTTTTTCTGAATATGTGTGCTGCGCTCGGCAGTTGTAGGCGAAGTAGCTGTTTAAAAAAATCCATGAGTTTCAAGCCAGACTATTCATCTTGTTAGAGAGACTCAAAACTAACTTTGCGGTTGTGTATCCTGTCCACCAGATTTATCGTCCGTCAAGTCATGGTTGCTCGATTCTACTTGCTCATTTTTGCACTGCTCTTTAGAACTGGTATAACAGCGAGCGGCCTCAGCGACAGAAGTTCCTGATTGGAGGCGAGGAAATGATATGTGCCGATATTTCGCTGTTGAATATAGTCGCCGGGTGGTCTGCATCTTCAACACCAAACCGATAGATAGTATAATATATACTGTTAAAGATTACCATTTAAGATAGTGTATTTTAATGCAATAGAGATTATCTAAAAGTAACCCCCTAACGTAATCCACCCCCGAACCGCCACTACCCCCGAACCGCCACTTCCACCCAAAAACGCGTCCCATAACAATTCTATATAATTCAACGCGTTAATATGCCACCAATTCGCAATAAAAACCATAAAAATTCTGAGGAACAAGAAGGTCGAATCTTATTAGCCATTTCCGATTTAAAAAATAAAAGAATTCCTAATATTGGACGAGCTGCAAAGATTTACAATGTTCCTCGAACAACTCTCCGAGATCGACTAAATGGCACCCAACAAAGATCTCAAATACGCGCCAATGGGCATAAATTGACTGAATCTGAGGAGGAATCGCTTGTCAAATGGATATTGAATCTAGATAAGCGAGGATTACCTCCCCGGCCATCTCTTGTACAAGAAATGGCTAATTATCTTCTTTCACAGCATGGAAATCAACAAGTTGGAATAAACTGGGTATACAAACTAGTTCAACGCCGTTCAGAGATTAAATCGCGATTTTCACGAAGATATAACTACGAACGTGCTAAATGCGAAGATCGAAAGATAATCCAAGAGCATTTTGACCGCGTACGAGAGGCTATATTAGAATATGGCATCTTACAGGAAGATATCTACAACTTTGATGAGACTGGCTTTGCTATGGGGCTCTGTGCCACTGCAAAAGTCATAACTGGAAGTGATCGATATAGCAGACCATATCTATTACAGCCTGGTAATCGAGAATGGGTGACTGCAATTGAAACAGTTAATTCTACTGGATGGGTTCTACCTCCATATGTGATTTTTAAAGCAACAAAATACTTACAAGAAGCCTGGTTTGAGACTCTTCCAGATGGTTGGAAAATCGGCATTAGTGATAATGGATGGACAACAAATAAGCTTGGTATGGATTGGCTCATTAATCACTTCATTCCTCGTACGAATGGCTGTGTAATGGGAAGATATCGAATGCTTATTCTTGATGGTCATGGAAGTCATTTAACTGCTGAATTTGACCGTACATGCACTGAGAATAATATTATTCCAATCTGCATGCCTCCGCATTCTTCTCATCTCTTGCAACCTCTTGATGTCGGCTGTTTTGCTGTTTTAAAACGGCAATATGGACAGCTTGTTGAACAACGGATGAGGCTTGGATTTAACCATATTGACAAAATTGACTTTCTTACTGCATTTCCAAAGGCGCGTACGATGGCATATAAAGCTGAGACTATTCGGAATAGCTTTACAGCAACTGGATTAGTGCCATTTGATCCAGATCGAGTCTATCAACAGCTTACTATCCAATTAAAGACTCCAACTCCTCCTCCAAGTCGATCAAGCAATTCACAATCATCTTGCTTACAAACACCTCAAAATCCTCGTCAATTCAAGCGTCAATTAAGTACAATTAAAAGGCGAATTAACCAGCGCAAATCAAGCCCATTAGAAGCTATTGATCAAGCAATTGATCGGATGTCTAGGGCTTATGAAATAAGTATAAATGAGCTTCTAATTGTACGAAAAGAAGCTCATGATTTACGGGCTGCACATGAGAAAGAGAAGCAAAAACGTCAACGGTCTAAAAAGCAGATATCTTACGAACAAGGCCTTACTAGAGAGGAAGCTCAGGTGCTTATCCAAAGTCAGATTGAGGCATCTCAAAGTGCTACTACTGTTCCGGCCGAGCCTGAGCTTCCAGTCTCTCAGGTGCGTGTACGCCGCCAATTTCAGTGTAGTGAGTGTGGTATTCTTGGGCATAGAAGACCTCAATGCCCTAATCGTACTAGTAATTAATTTTTTGTATATAATTATTATTTCGGGTTAGAAATTGAGATTTGAAATCGCTATAGATTATGTTTTCGGGTGGAAGTGGCGGTTCGGGGGTAGTGGCGGTTCGGGGGTGGATTACGTTAGTTAATAACGTAATACTTACATCACACGAACCCCATTTTTATATAACGTAATCCACATCCGAGCTGGCCACTCCCGCCCGAGAACGCGTTCCATATTCATTTCAAAGCTCAGTTTCTAACCTGAAATAAAAATTATATACAAAAACTAGTTACTATTTCGATTAGAAAATCCAGTTATGTTATATCCTGATATTCCATATTCCACAACCACTGCAACGAAATTGACGTCGTACAGGTGGTTGAGAGGCTGGAAGTTCATGCTCGGCCGGAGCAGCAGTAACAGTTTGAGATGCCTCAATCTGACTTTGTATAAGTACCTAAGCTTTCTCTCTAGTAATTCCTCGCTCATGAGATATCTGTTTTCTAGATCATCTATGTTTCTGTTTCTCTTTCTCATGCGCAACTTATAGATCATAATTTTCTTTTTGAAGAATTAGATCCTCATCGCTAGTTCGTAGTCAGCAGCACTTCCTGATCAATTCAAAAGGAAAGTCACACCCATGCATGGGTTTCGCTAGCATGGGAGAGATGCCTCTCTAAACTATCCTCCGGTTCTCTTTCTAGGTGTTGAATAGGAGCTAGCGCAGCTACCTCACTTAGTGCTCCGTACGGGTCCTAGGTAGACCCAGAACTTGAATCGTCTGAGACCCTATTTTCTGGCGTGTGGTGAAGTCAAGTAATGTCAATAATACTATTGACAGGGCTCGCTCAGTGAGCGGGGGTACTTAGTTTTGTTGCCGCTATATCAACGTTGCTTGTTTAATCTCCGACCCAAACGCCAAATACTCATTTCACTGCATATTTAGTCTACTTTATCTCACTTCTAACGCATCTAAACGTCACTAACTAAAGCAAGGCGATGGAAATGGTCAGTTAGACAAGCTCTGGCAGCGGCGCCAAGGCCGTAGCTCCGCCGAGTAAGCCGGGGTCGGATAAGGTCGGCGTTAACTTACATTAGCGCATCTCATGCCCTGTATGAGCAGCAAAATATCTGCTAGGAAGCATTTCCCTCATCTTCATCAAATATGGATCAATTCAGCCAGCCTGAACCCGTCCCTGGCCCAGGTCATAGTCCTGTGGCCACGAATGGTAACAGTCAGAAGACCCACAGAAAGCGTCTTCGGGTCAGTTGCGGAGAATGTAGACAGAAGAAGGTAAAGAAAGAAACAGGTTTAGCGATGATGACTATAAATCTTCTAATGTTCGCCTATAGCTTTCTTGCGACCGGAGACTGCCTTGCCACAGATGTATTCGATCGGGCAGGCCACATCTGTGCTCCTTCGAGGCTGGTACCAGGCCAGTGCCTACGGCTGACAGCTACCAAGCACAGCAAAACAGTGAACAGATTCGCGATCTGCAGGTAGAAGTCTCCCAGTTAAAAACTTTACTGTCCAAAGTCGTCCAAAGGCAGGAATCTATTGTCGAGAGTACGATAAATGTCGATGGTAATGACACCGCTGAGCGCGGTCATGGGGCGGTTCCAGCTTCAGAGCACGTTTCCCAACAGCAAGCCCACGTCCTCCCTTACTCAGCCAGTGAGAATGAATTCATGCGCCGGTCCCCGCGCGGTTATTACCGACAGCATACACTCTTCCGGTTTTTTGTCGAGGTATTTCAGTTCTAACATACGTAGAATCAAGCCACTTACCGTCTCTTACAGATTCCTGAACTCATCCCGTTCATTCGAGAAACAGCTGATGATTGGTTCAAGCCTCGTGGTATTACGCTTAGTAAAACAAAGCCGGTGATACATGACCAGAGGACAGTTGCTCCTCCATCTCTGGAGGTCTCTCCCGAGGAATTTCTTCCTGCAAAGCAGGACACGGACGCCTTAGTTTACTTCTACCTGAATCACGTTGAGCATTTACATCGATTACTCCATGTGCCCACATTTAATAGGGAATACTGCTCATTTTGGGAACCTCGGAGGAAACGTTTCCCTGCCATGACTGCGCTTATCCTAGCCATGATATCCATATCCGCCTGCGCCGCCCCTGGAACCTCGGACTCTATCCATATCGATCCCTCAATTCGGAAGATGCCTCCAAAGTGGATTTCTTTGTGTGATGATTGGCTCCAAAGTCAGGGTACTAAACCTCGCAAGCTCGTCTATTACCAGGTGGGCTGTCTGCTTTACATTGCAAAAAGGTTCAACAACATCAGGAAGAAAAGGTTTTGGAGTGAGACCGGTTCTTTGATCCAGAATGCGATTCTGGATGGCTTACACTGCGAGATAGCAAGTGATAGCCCTTACCAAAGAGAGATGAAGAGACGTGTCTGGGTTGTCTTACGTGAATTGGACCTGCAAAATTCAATCGGATTCGAACTCCCTACGTTCCTCCACACAATAGAGCCGACTGTTAGCGCTCCATCGAACATTAGAGATGAAGACTTTGACGAATCATCAAAAGATGTACCAGTCCCTGCCCCAACGAGCCAATACACGCGCATGTCATTTCAATGTCTCAGCTCCCGCAGCTGGGCGCTGCGCCTCGAGATATCGCAGCGTATGTTCAGCACTGGATCTTCCAGATTCCTCAACTACGAGGAGGTTTTACGATACACTCATAACCTCACGCAAGAGATTGATTCACTGCCATCCTGGAGTGAGAGTGATTACAGTGGAGGGACCTCACAGATGCCTACACTTGTCTCTACACTGCTGCAATTCCAGCTAAAGGAATGCATTCTGATGATCCATCGACCTTACCTTCGTCGAAGCGAAAAGAAATCTTCGCTATCAGAGATGATTAGCTACAGTACCTCACGCGACATACTGCTTCTCAACAGAAAACTTGCGGAATTGGGAATCCAGAGTTTGACGCTGCTACGAGATGACTTTCCATTAGCGTCGATGACACTCACTCAAATAGGACTGCTGCCAGCCAAAGGTCCGTAACTATCTTTACTTTCACTGGCAAATATTTGGATACCTCTCTTGTGTATCATTCTTGAATCCTTTCTACACCATCCAGAAACGCTAATTCAACACAGACCCAATTAGTTTCTCAATTCCGAGTCAAGAATCCACAATTGAGCTCCTAGAACAGTCCCTTCCATTGATCGAAGACAGTTATCTACGCTGCTTCCTCGGCGAGCCCTGGTGTCCTCTTATAGTATGTGGATGCATCATGCTGCTTAAAATTCATCTGGGAAAGGAAACTTCTCAAACGGCCAAATCCTCATGTGCACAGAGATTTCTTGGTATATATTACAGTCACTTTGCCAGACAGCTGGTTCCGTCGTCCATCCAACAGCTGTCTATGCCGTTGACCTTGGTGGGAGAAACTATTGTAAGTGTTCATTCAATCTTTAGGAAAGAAGAAGATTTTGCCTATATAGGCGTCTATTTGTTACTGAGAATGCTGTGAAATATATCATTCAAGCTAACTTGTATCAGGTCAGAGATACAGACTGGCAACCCCGAACGCCAAACACAACTACGTTCTCTGGATCATCGTGGTTAGATAGTGGCTACTCTGATGTGGGTTTTAAGATATCTCCATAATACCCCTTGCCACTTGCTAATCTTCGAAAATAGCTTAATTTTGACTGCAATGATATTGATATGGATTGGGATCGTGCTTGGGAATCGCTGTGGTCTCAACCAATTCAGCCCGACGGAAATAACGTAGATGGCGGATCGAGGTTATAAAGTTTCAATCGTAGTAATCATCCTTTCGTCTACTCTATAAAAGGACAGGGCTCTTTGAAATCACATCTGTATATATTTAGACAGTATATTGATCAATTGATATGGGTAATATGTCAAATTGTATGACAATTACATTCCGTGATAGTTGCCATCAAAAAATACAACACAGTATAGGAAGGCCTTTGGATCCCCTCGACCCTTAAAATATAGTGAGGGAAAATAGCTGGTATCGCACGCCTATTATGCTCAATAATTGGCCAGGAATCCGGGCTCTGGCTATTTAGAGTTCTCGTTTTTTGGCCGGCCTGAACTCCATGGTGACTGGATTTTGCGCCCTGCCATCATTTAGAGCCGCGTTATAGCCTTCTTCTGCTACAGAAAGATTGCCTAACGAGTCGATAGTGCTTCCGATAGCGCTTTTCTTTCGTTTAAGACCAATGTTCGCTTGAACTCTAGAAATGAAGTAGCACGCTTTAGCAAGGTCACCTTGTCTTACGGTGCTATGAATATATGAAATACGACGGATGCGGATAGACGTACGGTTTCTTCGCCTTATCGTCAGTGGGAGTCTTGAGCTGGCCGAGTCATGAGGAGTTAGCTAATTCAATCTATAAAAAAAAGGAAAGTTAAGCTGGAATAATTTGTAAATTTGAGACTTACCGTCACCTGTGGGACGATGCTTTCATTATCGTTCATTTCCTCTGGCTCTGAACATAGCTTGCCTGGTTCGGTATAATACTCTTGATTGGCATCCATGGGAACGTCTATGATTGCATCAGCTTCAATATAATGAAGATCACTAGCCTCTTACATATATATGCAGGATTTGGACTGTACATGCAAAGGGAAGTTTATCAAAACGCTTCATATAGCGACTGGACTTCTTGTAAAGAGATACAAATGATAAAGAATTGTAGTTATAGAAAGACTGAAGAAGAAGGAATTGGGGAATTGGGAAGAGCGTTGAAAAGCGTTTTAAGCTTGTCAATTAATGTGTCATACAGCATGACTATTAAATGACAACTATTTTCTCAGTCAATCTTTGACTTTAAAATGTCAAATTTTCTAAATCCAGAATGATGCAGTGCCAGTGGCAACGTATTACTCAAAACAGCGCAGTCACAAATAATGCATGTAATCCTGCGTGGATGGCAACAGGATTCAGATAAGACAGCGAACCCTTTATTCGACACATCATCCTCGTTACAGATGTGAGGATAAAACCATTCACGATATAAATTAAAACTAATTAGCACCCACAATAAGACACAAATTGACATTCTTATAGCTAGATAGCTTACGATTCCAAAAGTTTATTGACAGATGTATATAACTATCAATCAATCAATTGATGTAGATAAACCGTCATTCCAAATCTAATTGACGTTCTATTATACCACAATTGCAATCAATAAAAACGGTCACGCCCCCCAGTAATCTAATCAAAACTTCTTTTCTTAATTAGAAAAAGTGACCCTATTAACACTCTTCAACCCACCAGTCTTTCCCTCCCTGTGACTACTGAACACTCCATCCTCGGTGAATTTAGAATGACTTCCACGATGAATCCCAGTTTTCCCATCCTTCTTATACTGGGAAAGCCCTATTGAAAGTACAAAAAATGTTAGTAATCTATCTCACCAAGCTTTAGCCTAACATTAAACTCACTGGTGGAACTCTTCATCGACGGCCTTTTCAGCCCTTTAAACGGATTCGGACTATTCAAATCCGACCGCTCGTTATCCTCATCCTTCGGAAATTGTGGGAACAAGCCGAGAACCACACCATTATCTGTACATTTCTCAGGGGAAAGAGACTCGGTGGAACAACAGAATGGTACGATCTTGATTTTAGGCACCGACGAAGGAACCGTTTTGCATTTTACATGCTTGGGCATGTGTGCGATCAGATGCGTTCTTTCGTTTGGTGGGCGGAAGGTGGGATTTATCGGGTTGATGTTCAAGGTTCGGGTGCCTAGGCTGGGTGGTGTATTGTTGCGGTTGATCGAGTTGGGATATTGGCATGGTGATTGGTGTATAGCCTTCTTGGTGGTAGGTTGATCTGATGTTGTATGTATAGTCTGGTCGGCGGAGGGTGGAGAAGGGCGGTTTTTGAGGAAGGCGTTTATGCACATTTTGCTTGGAGGAATGGGAAACATGTTGTACATTTTTGTGGTCCAGTTGTGCTTCAGAGTGAAGAGACTTTTAAATATCACAGAATGACTGTACTGGACTACAAAAATGACTGCATCTGAAATGAATCATCGTAGCTGCCTCGCTATTCTATCGTGACAGTTCCATGCTCCTTTGATGGTAATACATAAGATTAGTCAATGCAATAGTAAAGCAATTTCTATGACATGATTCTATCTATAGAGGCAAATACATTTATGCTCCGCATCAATTGCGCTAGAGAAAGAGTATCTAGACCTATTTACGATGTGAGGATCCATCTACTCTTTGAGGTCTCGCGAGACTACATGTATTTTCAATTCACAATCCTACAACGAAAACTATTAAGGTCTCTCAGAAATTCAACCTTGATTTTGGACTCCAGTATTCAAAGCACCTGGCCCCAAATCATGAAACTTCATGACTCCGCATGCAACCAAATTGTCGTAGGCCGTCGTAAGTCATAGTCATAATCATAGATCATACTCACAAAAAAGAACGAATTTTCCCACTTTCTACAATACACCCACCCATATCATCATTCTCAAATCCACCGAACAACATCGCCCCTTCCGTCCTCGTTCGTTTCATATCATCACGAGTCCAAATCCCCATCCTCGCCCTCCTTAGCCCGCTCCATAAATGACTTGAAACTGTCAATTCTAGCCTCAATCCGACGTAGCTGATGTTGATGAAGTGTATCGTCGAAAATGCGGGCTGGCATGGTCACTGACCAGGTCCGCTTGTCGGCGCTGATAGGCGAGGGCAGCTTCTTTTTGGCTGGCGACAGTTGGCTGCATTTTTCAGGCGAGATGAATTCTTTGATAATGCTGGGGCTGCGAGGGAAAGTTTTCTTAGTGATCGATACACTGGACATTGAGGGGTTGAGGTCTGCACGAGCATCCTTGACCGCCTGGGCCCGAGTGGAAGCGGTGGTTGAGTCGGGCTTGCTGATGGATTTACTAGAGGAGGAGGGAGCCATGTCGTAATGTTGAATGTTGACAGTGAAGATTTGTATTGAAAGATAAACTGAATGGTATGAAGGAGTTTTTTGTCTTGTTTTTTGGAGCCCGTTGGAGATGAGTAAAGTTCTCAATTTAAGCCAGAAAGTGCGGTATCAATCTGGGAATTACACGGAGAGGCGTTTGAAAGGCATATTATGGGCTGGTAAATGGACAAATAACACAAAGAAGCTACTAGGACCCGTTCGTTTAGTTCTGCCTGTTGTTATAGGTTGTGTACACAAACCTGCGTCGGTCAGTCACGGTCACTACAGTGATTGCGATTCTATTTTTATAGACAGAACCATTAAGTTCGCAGATCATATATAGAGATATACAACTCGTTTCAAACCATATGATACAGCCAAGCTAGAAACCGAAAGGGTTGTTTTGATCTATTTTCATGGATATTGATAGTGGTTATAAGGCGTGGCACAACCCAATTAGGGCTAAATTGTCACAGGGTTTGTGAGATTTAGCTTTGGACCAGAGAGCGGCACAACACCTTTCTCCATTGTTTTTTGGGCAGACACATTTCTTCAGAGGGTTTCTTTATGCGTGTAGGATTCTTCAAAGCTTTCAATGTTGCAGCATAAGATTACTTCTCTTTGCATATCAACTGCTATAATAATGCACATACTCAGAAAGAATATTTGTATAAGGTTGCATTAAATATTAGTAATCTAAATATTGATTCTCGTAAAAATACATCCTATCAATCACATCTTCGGTATATCCTCCACCATACAAAGATCAATCTTCACAATCAGCAATTGGTATCACACAACAATTATTAGTTCGCACGAATTCCTGGTACAACGAGTGTTCATAGTCTCTCAATCGAGTCATTCATTCATTCATCAATTCTTCACCAAAATCAGACGATAATCAATTGGCGCTTTTATACAGTCTCGCAACTGCTCGAGTTCACCTATCTGGAATCAGTGTTTAAACTCGAGTATTTAGAGCTCAGGCTTGTAGCCGTTCTCAACCTCGCCGGGGGTAGGGTGGCCAGGGAGAGTATTGGCGGTAGCATCATGGTTGATGTTCTTGTTGCGACGCCAGAAGCGACCGCGAGTAGATCCGTAGGTATATCCGTTGGAGGGAGAAGGACCGAAGCGCTTCTCACGGCGGTGGCTGCGGGCCATGGGAATTTGGATGAAGAAGGAGATGACAAAGAGGCCTCTATACGGTTATTAGTTCTGTTTGGCAAGGGGTGGAGAAAAAGAGGGGGGAAACATACGCAGCAATGATTGAGAGAGCAAAGGCAGTCTTCTCCAGGCGGCAGGCAAGTCTCAAGTTAGGCAGATAGGTGACGGTTTCACCACTTCCAAACCCGAATCCATTGTCGCCATACCCAGTAGCCTGTGAGTCGGTCGGGCCGTTGCCGAGCGGCGTGTGCACGTTTCCAGAGCAGGTTTGGGTGCCATCACGCGTCAAAACGGCGATGGCGACCATGCAGCCGACGAAGCAGAAGTCAAGAACCATGGCAATAAAGCCGAAGAAGGTGATCCCGGCGAGACAGAGGGTAAACAGCGAGCCTAGCAGGGCGTAGAGGGTGGCAGCACCGGACATACCCTCGACGGCGCGAATCCATGTGGCGATAGGAAGGTGGTGGTCTTTCAGCACAGCAAGGTAGTAGGAGAAGATACCGAGGATGACAGCAGAGGCGAGGAATTGGAGGATACGAATCCCGTTGCCGAAGATGCGTAGTGCTACGCTGCCGACGCCCATGATGGTAGTGTTGTGTATCTGTTGAGGGTGGGGTGTAGAAGATCGGTATACACGATGATGTGAAATTATGATGTGGACAAAGCTGGAGCTTGAGTCAGGATGGCTGCGGCTTCTTGTACTAGCAGGCAAGGATGAGAAGAGTACAAGAGGAGCAGATGAGATGCAGGCAGAAAGATTTGGGCAGTTAAATAATAGTGAGCCATGATCGACGACCATGAACTCATATGAGCGTGGATCTCCCCAGGGCCTCGAGGGCGCGTCACTGGCCCGTGGCCGCTAGTGGGCCCCTTTGTGTATGCTGCCCGTGTGTTCATTGGCTGTGCCTGCCAGCAAGGTGTTGATCGAGTGGGGTGCTAGATCAATAATGGGGCATGATGGCTTCAAGTGATGTCATCGCAACCAATCAGGGCCTGGCTTCCTGATGCTTGCGGTGCCTCAGTGGTCCATCTTGCCATTTTTGGGTCTCCTCTTCTTTGCCAGAGAGGTACACACCAGGGACCCGAGTCCGAGTTTGGGTGGTGCCGTATTGCGAGTCCTGCTATTGCTCTAATGGACCTAGACTAGCCCCAAAAGGGCTTGGCGCTAGAAAAAGCAGGGAAGAAATAAACTTTGTCGTGTGTGGCTTGCTCGCTGCGCCCACCGACGTAAAAACTCTTCAGTCGCGCCTGATGCACTGCCACACGGCCCTTCTTTGGCCCTTTACAGGCCTCGTTGTGGCTTGAATAGCGTCATAGACATTTTAGATCATTAATGATGTGTACATGAGTGATTTTGTCTTCTAAAAAACCGTGTGAGAGAATCCCCTAATACTACTCTATCCCCCCCCGTGTATCTTGGAAGGATATACTGCTCCCTATTTCCCAGGAAGCAAGCAGTGTGCTCACCACCATGCCTATTCCAATCCACAAATCGCTGGCATGTATCTACCCTATAAAGCAGCCTGGAAGCAGTAGATCACAACCGTAATGGCAATTCTCTTGACAAGAGACATGGCCAATGTCTGTATTCTTTGAATAGATGCTTTATTTGACCTGTCTTTGCTTTTTGTTTGCTTATGTTTTTTGTCACCGTTGTTGTCAGAATATCTCTGTTTCATCGAGCAAGAGAAGACAAGAAATACAATGGTCAGATTCTCTAGCAGGAGATACAGTCCCAAAAAGTCGATACGGCTACCTCTATAAGCCATAAACCGGCTATCACAGCTTTGATATTAGTATGGGGTACGACCTTTATCAGAAAAGGTGGATTCGTCTGCTACGTAATACGTACTGTGGACCTGAGCTTGGCATGTTTTATGAGTACGAGTACGAGATAGCCGGCCCTTGCTTGACTACGTACGGACATGTAATCAGATCTAGCTTACTATTGACGATAATCGATCATTTATTTTTATCAATTCCTAGCTTCCATTGAAGAATGTCTACTTGTATAATGCGCCGACTTTTCTGACTAGACCTTGCAAAGCATACACATTTTACATAGTTACTCAACCTTTAAAATATGAAATCAGCTACCTCTGTCAAGAAAAAGACTAGAATAGTCCCGAACATACCCTCGAGCTAGATGGGGACCATAAAAAACCCGATGAGGACGCGCTGTCGGGAGAGCTCATAACTTCTGGGTCCCGGCATTTACATCGAAAGTTAGGCGGCAAAGAGATTCATTTTTCGCTGTTGGAGGTGCTATTGGAACATGTACGACGCCCTTGGTACTTCAATATCCTCCGAAAGAATATTGCTTGAAGCGAAAATAGAATTCATATATACTAACATTCGGCTCTGTTTTGCAGCGTTTTATGTGCAGATGGGAGCGTCACTTCCGAAAGGAGGACCTGCTGGACTCTTCTTAGGGTTTTTCGCCTATGGAACCATTGTACTTGCCGTGAACCAGTGTTTTGGTATGATGCAGTCGTTCAGCATAGGAGCATACTGACATGTCGAGTTCGTACAGCCGAAGCGGTCACGTATCTTCCAATTGCAACGCCATTTGTTCGACTATATAATGAGTGGATACATGTACTAGAACTAGAGAAAAAATTGACACCCGCAAGCTGATGCCTAAGGCATCGAAAATATACCAGTATTACATTCCAATAAATATCCTTGCTTAGCCAGTTATTTTGCATTGTGCCGGATTATACATATCTATATTCTGTAGATGCCGTGGTTTCAATGTCCTTGGATCTAACTTTGAGATTATTCATGTCATTTGTTTATTTTGTTTCATCTGAGCCACAGCTAACCGCAGCGAGAGCTAATTAATTAATAAAATTAAAATTATGACAGGGGTCAAATACGAGACCCAAAAAAAAGCTTGGGCGCCACATACACTCCTCGTCGTACGTGTACTTAGTCAATGGTCATGTTACACGAAAATAATTACTCTCGGCATGTTCTGCAGGACTCTCTAGGTGTCGTATGCGCGATATTCATAGACAAGGGACTGTCTACTGAAGGCTTCTATATCGTATAATACTTTTCTCAGGATTCATACCATCTAATAAAGAAAAATGGCTGAGGCGCAACATGAGCAGCTAGATGTTGTCATCATTGGCGGAGGTGAGTATCCTTAGATCCCTGCTTCAACTTAATTAGTCTAACAATCGTATCTGTTCTGTAGGTGTCGGCGGCATATGTTCACTCAGAGCCAACATCCTCAGTAATCCCTCTGCGTCTATTGCTCTACTAGAAAGCCAGAGCTCGCTCGGCGGCGTATGGGCACGCGAGCGGATCTACGCTGGTCTCAAATCAAACAATGTTATAGGGAATTACGAATTTAGCGATTTCCTCATGGATCCGAGCAAGTTCAAGGTTAAAGCTGGACAACATATTCCGGGCGAAATCGTGAATGAGTATCTCACGTCGTATTGTGAGCATTTCGGATTGGGAGAATATATCAGATTGGATCGGAATGTGGAGAGTGTGACTCGGCGTGTTGACTCAGATTCGTGGGTGGTGAAAATCCATAATGAGAGTCGATCAGCTATCGAGACTATCGAAGCAAGGAAATTGATCGTCGCGACGGGTCTGACCTCGCAGGCTTACTTGCCTACAATCACGGGACAGGAAAGTTTTTCTCGACCGCTGTTTCACATCGCCGACCTTAAGAGACGGGAATCCGAAATCGTCAATGCCTCTGCCAAAAGAACAACAGTACTCGGAAGTGCCAAATCCGCGTTTGATGCCGCATACCTCCTCGCCGACGCCGGGTTGCCGGTCGACATGATTATTCGAGCCTCTGGCCATGGCCCTTCATGGATGGCTCCCGTGCGCGTGACCCCGTTGAAGAAACTCCTCGAGAAGCTCCTGAATACACGACTGCTCACATGGTTCAGTCCATGTATTTGGGGTGATTCCGACGGCTATCCATTCATCCGCAGGCTCTTGCACTCTACTTGGCTCGGTCGAAAAATCGTAGATGCCTTCTGGTGGATCCTCGGGAACGATGTTATCACACTGAATCAATTCGATTCTCATCCCGAAACAGCGAAATTAAAGCCGTGGGTTGGACCCTTGTGGATTGGTTCTGGACTCAGTATTCTCAACTATGATCATGATTTGTTGGATATGGTCAGAAATGGGAAAATTAAGATCCATGTCGCCGACATCGAGCGCTTGTCCGAAGGCACAATTCATCTCTCGACGGGAGACACATTACCATCGGATGGAATGGTGTGTTGTACAGGATGGCGAGCGAGACCCAATATCAAGTTTCTACCAGACGGCATTGAAGATGCCTTGGGACTACCTACAGCCAACGATCCGTTAACTGGGAATATGATTCGTACTGCAGATGCATATATCACAAAGCAGCTTCCGAAATTGAAAGAGCAGCCGGATTTTAACCCTCATTTCAAACTTCTCAATGCCGACTCGGAGGTGTCGCACCCCTTACGACTGTATCGGTTCATGATTCCTTGCTCATCCAGCCTCGCGTTGTCTCGCTCAATAGCATTTGTCGGCATGGTTACTTCAGCCTCGACGATACTTCTCACGCAGGCTCAAGCACTTTGGGCCTCCGCATATCTTAATGGTACTCTCAGCATCCCAGCAGAAGAAGAAATGCAGTGGAGTACGGCACTGCATACTCAATATTGCAAATTGCGGTATGGAGTCGGAGCTAATGGGAAACGAAATCCCGATTTTGCTTTTGATACCCTGCCGTATGTGGATATGCTTCTGAACGATTTGGGTCTGAAATGGAAGAGAAAGGAGAGTACATTAAAGGAATGGCTGGACCCATATGGGGTTGAGGATTATAGAGGACTAGTGGAGGAGTATCTGGAGAAACTTAAGGAGGACAAGAAACATATTTGATTTCGAATCGTCTAATAGGTTGGTATTGTATGTATTTAAGTCAATGTGAACACCGAACGCCAGCCCAGTCAGGGCTTTGACTGACTAGGTCATGATGGGAATGAAAACATGTGAAGGAATAGCCGGACTCGTGCAAGAAATGCTATCAACATAATTAACGGATACGATCCAAACGGGAGCGGTTCATGGCGATCTGATCGTCCACGTAGTCGCTCTGTATGAATGTTAGTACACAATGTGTAGATTAAAACTGGAAAAGAATCTCACCTTTCCCGCAATTCTGTCCAAATGACGGTTCTGTTCTTCCAATTCCTTGCCTGTAGCTTTTGACAGGCCATGTAAACGTGACGCGGCACCGGCCAGCAGGTTCAAGTTATTATCAATCTCGTCTTCCATAGCCTCATCTTCACTATCAGCTTCGAACTGATACTTGGCTCGCTCGGAAATGTTCTTCCCCTGCTTTGGGTTCGCCTTATTAGCATCCCGTTCGATCTCTCGGAAAGTGCGCTCCATGCGCTGGCTAGCTTGGAAGGCTTCTGAGCGAGTCCCCTCACGCGTCGAGCGCTCTTCACGGTGGGTGGCGAGAAGCTGTTCATCACGCTCGCGACGACGGGCGTTCTTGGTGAACGGGTTCGAGACGTGGACGGCAAACATACTCTTGTTAAGAGTGTTGAGTTCCCTGGCCTTTTCCTCAGCCAGACGACCTTGGCTGGCTGCAACATCAAGTGCCTTCTCAGTATCAAGAACACGTTCACCTTGGGCTCCTAGACGAGCGAGGGTGTTGCGACCGGTTTCTTCAGCCTGTGCAGCGACTCGGAGGGCATTTCGTGTAGAGGATACGTCGCCTTGCTTGATGAAACGGATCTCTTGCTTGACATTAGTAACTTCTTCTTCCTCTTCTTCTTCGGCTGTCAGTTGTCGCTCCTCATAGACAGCTGATGTGCCAGGAGTCTCCTCCTGTCCATAGCCTCCCGCGCTGCCGCCGCCTGAGGAATACGGTGGCGGTGGTCCACCAGCGGGTTGATTCTGAGCTCTCTCACGAGCGCCTCCAAATAAAGCATTTCGATCCGCCTCTTGGTTGGGGTCATTGGGATCCCCGGCCCCCAGACCACCGTAGCCGCCTGGTCGTGATCCACCACCACCGCCGCCGTGTCTATTCTCTTGACCACCCCCATATCGATCATTTCCATATCCTCCCTGGTTGGCATATCGGTTTGGTGCGTATCCGCCCTGCATGTTGCCGACGGGACCACCAGCCCCTGGGCCATCTGGATGCTTCACGTCACCATAGCCAGCCCCGCCGGGAGGGCCAGGAGCAACGCCTGCGTTGACCTTGGCACGTGTGTATGGGTCTGTAGGAATCGGTTGTGCGTATGGGTTGCTGCTATTCGCCTGCGGATTGGGGCTTTTGTCTCGAGATCGGGAGCCAAAGAGTGCCCGACGGCTGGAGTCTTCGCTGTCGTCGTCCTTGGATTTCTTGAAACCGAACTTCTTCATGTTGGGCAATGAAAGAGAGTGTGATTGCTTTTGGGGGAGGGAAGAGAAATGAAATATACAGCAATAGGAAATAAAGAAAAAAGCGCTGCCTGGTTGATCATAAAAGGGTATCAGGAGTCGAGGGGTGGTAATGTCGATGAGACACTGGCCGAGTCGCTGTCTGACCGCCGGTTGGTAATACCAATACGTGGAAGGGCCATTTCCTGGGTGAAGCAGAGTAATTGGGGTTCTGGGGATACTGTAACTTACTCTTCCGTCGCAGTGGCGCAGGATATCCACTCTAACCTGAAACAGCCTAGCGCCAGTCGCTTTTATCGCGCGGCGCAGCGTCCATTCGTTACTTCCGCCTTGTTCTGTGTCTGCAGGAAGTCATGTCAACACAGCATTTCCCACCCTAGCAGTCATGGCTCCCCTTTCGGGGAATGAAGCTGATCACTTACGAGATAAATCCCGCAGGGACTTGTTGGATCTGCTCGAAGGTGTAAGTTGGTGCCCAATTGCCCGGCGCCCTCGTTGGCTGATCAGCATCAGGTTCGCGGGAAGAAGAACCTCGTCATCAGCAAAGACCTGGCTGGTCCGGTCGGTCTGTTTGTGAAGTTTTCTGTTCTACAGGAATACGGAGTGGACCGTGTATTTTTGCTGGAAAACGCCAATATTGATAGTTCGCAGCGTAATGTGGTCTTTTTGGTACATGCCGAGAAGGTCAACCAGGTAGCGACTGCTGCTGGTGAGTGGATATCCGTTCACTTGATTTTCTCTACATTTTTCTTTTCTTACCCTTTTCATCTCATTTTTATTTCTTAAATATTTGGGACTTCAGCAGATTACTTGGACTTGGACCAACTCTTCGTAAACAGTCTTGTTCCCTAGATTGACATATCTTTTTCTTATTATCATAATAATTCCGGCGCACTCATTTGGCTTTCTGTTTTTGCACACCATGGTCTGGATGCCATCAGTATGCGCTAACATCTACCAGGTCAGATCAAGAAACTGCGCCAGACTAGCAGTGTAGAACACGACATCTCCATATTCTGGGTTCCCCGTCGAACTCTTGTAAGTAATACTATCTTAGAGGAAGCGGGCATCATAGGCGATGTAAACATCGCCGAGCTGCCAGTCTACTTCTTGCCATTAGAGCAAGATGTTTTGTCCCTGGAGCTTGATGACGCATTTGCCGACCTATACTTGGTAAAATTCATTCTCTCATTATTTAGCAAGGCTTGATCTAACCACGCACAGCACAAAAATCCTGCAAGTGTGTATTTATCGGCCAAAGGGCTGATGAATATTCAGCGACGCCATGGGTACTTTCCACGTATCACAGGCAAAGGAGACAATGCTAAAAAATTGGCTGATCTTCTGGTGCGTATGAGGAAAGAAGTTGAAGCAGGGGAGACTTCAACCTCGGGCCCCGAGTACGGCAATAAGCTTCCAAGCTCTTCAATTGACGAACTTATTATTATTGGCCGAGAAGTCGATTTTGCAACACCTCTTTTGACGCAACTCACTTATGAGGGGCTGATAGATGAATTCGTTGGAATACAGAACAACCAAGCTGAAGTTGATTCCGCCGTTGTCGGTCCCGCTTCGCAACCCACACAAGGATCCTCTGCTACTGCTCAACCGGCACGACCGGGTCTGAAACGTAAGATTCAGCTTGATTCCTCGGATCAGCTGTTCAGTCAACTACGAGACACCAATTTCGCTATTGTTGGCGACATCTTGAACAAGGTTGCCCGAAGACTAGAGTCAGACTATGAAACTCGGCATACAGCGCAGACAACAGCTGAATTGCGAGAATTTGTCAATCGCCTCCCTGCCTACCAGCAGGAGCATCAAAGCCTGAAGGTCCACACAAATCTAGCCGAGGATATTATGCGCCAGACCCGCTCTGACATATTCCGTAAAGTTTTGGAGGTCCAGCAGAACCATGCCGCCGGCGCAGACCCAAGCTACCAACACGAAAATATAGGCGAACTTATCGCTCGCGGCGTTCCACTAAAGACCGTCCTACGTTTGTTGTGTCTAGAGTCATGCATGTCTGGGGGTCTCCGGCCCAAAGATCTCGACCACTTCAAACGCGAAATCTTGCAGGCATACGGCTATCAACATCTTCTCACATTCCGTGCCCTCGAGAAAATGGAGCTGCTTCAACCTCGAGGCTCCGCAACTGCCATGCTTCTGCCGGGTGCGGTCGGCGGCAATGTTGCCGGCACAAAAACTAATTACAGCTACCTCCGCAAAAACTTGAGACTTGTTGTTGAAGATGTTAGCGAAAAGGACCCAAACGATATCTCTTATGTTTATAGTGGATTCGCACCATTATCAATCCGACTATTCCAATGCATCCTGCAAAAACCATACATTGTCTCTCTTATCAAAGGCGGTCCACCTTCATCCGTCTCAGTACCAACAGCCCAGATCAACACATCAACAACATCATCTCCAGGATGGATTGGATTTGAAGATATTGCCAAATCTGCTCGCGGTGCCACATTCAGTATTGTGCAAAAGGGTGATGAAAAGGCCGCCAGAGCGAGACATACACTGATTTCTGGCGGCAGTTCTGGAAGCAATAAGAAAACTGTTTATATAATGTTCCTTGGTGGAATCACCTTCACCGAAATCGCAGCATTGCGATATATTGCCGCCCAGGAAGCTATAACGAGGAAGCTGGTCATTTGCACAACTGGCATCATCAGCGGAGATCGGATGATGGATGCTGCCATTGAGAAGGGAACATTTGGAAGAAAGGAGCAAACACAGCACAGTGTTGCTGCTATTTAGGTCTATATGAGATATTTTTCCATGGATCTGGCACGAATCTGTATTTCTCGTAGCATGGCGTAGAATTATTCAACTGTCTCATTATATGCAATATCACTCTACTTGATTTATATTTTCATCGAATAAAGCGTGGCCATTATCACGTCACAAACTATGCTTAAATAGGATAATGGTTCATAGGAATTTTTAACTAAGAGAAACAATTAGATAGTGGGCATTTTTTTAAAAATGCCAAGATCACTCCAACAATCCAACAACATAATCTGGGGCTAAATACAGGAACACTGCCACGCTGCGACGCCCTGCGCCCTGCGCCCCACGTTAGCAACATTAAAGATCGGTTCATTTCTTCGTGCGGCCGATAACATGCCGCATAAATACCGAAGCTATCCAGAACTCAATAATATTCATCTCGCGCAGACATGATCATAGGCTAGTGACAAACACACCACCTCTTCAGAACACAACATGCCGCGCACGGAAAAAATTGGGAGCGCATCACTGCAAATAGACGTCGCGTCTCCCCCATCCTGGACATTTGCGGCTGGAGACACAATCATTGGCACCGTTATACGTCTGTCACCTATTGTCGCGCCAGAAGCCACAGTGACAATAGATCTCATCGGACGCGTAAAGACCAAAATTAGCGTAAGAAAGAATACAGGCAATGGCACTCGCACAGAGCACTACCGGGGCCGATGGATTCTCATACGCACCAGCCAAGTCCTCCATCGAGGCCCGCTACATCTTGCAGAGGGCCATGGGATTGGGAGCGACTGTCTCTCGTGGCCTTTCTCAATAGAAATTCCTACACGGCCGCTTGCCTCGCTTGCACAGAATAACTCTGACCAACAGAGCTATCTACCGCTCAATAATGTCGCGGAACATCCCCTGCCGGGATCATTTTACTCCTTCCGTAATGGTTGGAGTACCAAGTCGGAGGCTTTTGTAGAATATTATCTTGAATCAACGATTCGGTATACCCGCAAGGGATCGTATGAGACGGGCAATGCCACGCGCCCTGTGACCCTGCAGCATCCCTCATCTGGATCCATACCTGCCAGTCAACAGCTTCAACGACGCACGTTTCAGATCACAGTCCAGACCCAACGGCTACTGCCAGGAATGGAGCACGCTGAGTTATCATTCACGCAAAAGACAAAAAAGTTTTTCCACTCCTCGAAAGTCCCAACTTTCGGGTTCAATATCGAAATCCACTTGCCTAGTGCTATCGAACTCGAAATCCCCTCTCCTATCCCCTTCGTCATAAAATTCTCTTCAAATACAGTATCAACCAGCCCCATAATTCAAGATACCGTTCAAACAGTTCGACTGAACTCGGTCCGAATGCTCCTCAAATCTACCACCACCGTCATCGCACCTGGGAATTTCCTGGCCAGCAACACACACAACGACACGCAGTCGAACGAGCATGATCTCGGTTTACATACGATCTTCAGTAAACTCGAAAAACCCATCGAATTCGAGTCAACTAAGGGAGACCAGGAGGTTGATATTGGAACCATGCTTCAGCTAATTCTGTGTCCGAATGGACTATATACCGGAAGCCGACGTCTCGGCCTTGTATCTCCTATTTCCCCTGATTTCGTCACGTATAATATCAAACATTGGAATGCCTTGCTTTTGGAGTTTTTGTTTACTGTCGCTGATGAAAAGGTTGAGAGGAAGTTCTCTGTACCGATTAAAATCATGCCGCCGGCGAGACAGAGGCCTGAGTTACCGGAGTATTCTAAAAAGCAGGAAGATAGCACGTGATTCTTCGTCTTGCTGTTTCTAGGGAGATTCGTATATTTACATGGAGGTTGAGAAGGTCCATTTTGCTGCTGGCGATGCAAAGTGCGGCCCCAAGCAATATAAGTCGCTGTGAAACGGCGAGAAAACTACTTGTTAGTGACGATCAAGATCCATGGAATATGGTGGTTTCCAGACAGGTTCTAAGCCCAGAATCGCCTTTCAGTAACAGTCTTGTCTGTCATCAACAAAGGACGTCTCAATGGATTCTCCCGGTACTCAGGATCGCCCCTTGCTGTTGCTTAAGGGTTTCAGAGGGACCAAGTTGAGCTCATAGGATCGGGACGCATTCTATCATTTGATAGCGATATAATCTTTACGAAGGACAAACTTCGTGCTTAGACCCCATCCTGTCTTTCTTTTTTTTCTTTCTACTTCGTATTCTCTTTTGTACCAACACCGTGAAAAGTACTTCAGCCGTATTTCCACGCCAAAGCATTCATCCCAGCTGTCCTGCTCTCCTTCCTCACATCTCTAGTCCTGTTCCATCTGCCAAGTATTGAAGATACCTGCTCTGTGCGCCCTAGTCCAATTATAAATACCTATGTATTATTCCTCATTCTCTTTGATATCTCCACACCAGTTGTATGCTCCCGAGGCGCTGGCCAGCCTCTACGATGGCACCGTGCTGTGGTGGCAACATCATCTCCGTAGATGCTTATTTCGCATTGACAATGATCTAGCATTGGAAGGAGTTAAACGAATCTTTTACCATCACTGGAAGAATAGTGAGTCGTTCATTGATCCTTCTTCATCCAGTGCTAACATGATTCCCTCTAGGATCACCGTCGGCTAAAAGACCACTTCTTAGAGGTGTTGGCCGAGCGTTACACTTCGCACTACTCACCATACTTTGGTCAAATTATTTAGGGAACCCAGTGACACAAATGCCGAGTGGCCTTCATCACGGAGAGCATACAAAAGATTATTCCTCAGGTTGGAAAAGGCGGGGAAGTGCCCAGCCACGTGCTCCTAGAAAGCTGGGCCGCTCTATTATACGGCTGCCTACACTATTATTCGATTACTTTTTTTTCTCTCGCATATCCTAGATAACAACCATGTGCGGCGCTGAGTACTCGGTTTCGTGCGAAATTAAACGCAGCGACCCCTTACTGAGAAGGGCCTTTGAAGTCTGGGATCTCAATGGGGCTCAGTGGTAGCTGGAGAACTGGGGGAAGGCTGTTGCATTTGCGAATGATGGCATTACTCCAGTGCTAATTATGTCATGATGGAGTCATTTCTATGGATCATATACAGTGAGGACTTTATTATGCACAGTAAGCGAGCTTTCAATACAAGTTATGAATAATTGTGCGGAGTATGTTGGAAATACATGGACGGTCTCCGACTTTTGTATTTTCCTCAGACGACTCGGAAACGGGCTTCCCGATGAGAAAATGGTTTCCAAAAAAAGAAAAGAAAAGAAAAAGAGGGAAAGAAAAAAAATAGGCACCAGTTATAAGATAGTACAAGTATTTATATTCCATTGATTACTATAGCTCACAATTGATTTGGCGATCGTATGATCTTTTCAGCTTTCATCCTATCATACAATTCATACTAGCATTTTTCTTTACCCCCGACGCAGCCAATCAATCGAAGCTCAGCTCGACATATACAACGTCTGAAAACTTGAACATCGACATGTCAACGTCAGCTCCTCTACACCCATACTACCCTCTAGGTGTTCACATTCCAGGGTACATAGAAAATGTCAATTCCGTTGTGACTTTAATCGGCCAATTCGCCGTTCTGTGGGCAGCTGTCGTCGGTCTCGCCTGGGTCACCATCGGCTTTCTCCGACCAGGAGCCAAGTATGCCGACCGTCTGGCTTTCGTCTGGTTCTGTCTGAGTATGTCGATTTTTTTCTCTAGTGCGATGTGATAATTGACATCATGCAGCCGCATCAATACATCTCTTCTTTGAAGGGTATTTTGTTGTAAATCACGCAACTCTCGGAGGATACAGCCACCTTTTTGCCGAATTATGGAAGGAATATTCCCTCTCTGATTCGCGTTATTTGCGATCAGATGCCTTTCTGGTTTCAATGGAATGTATAACGGCGGTATGCAATCTCTCCCCTAAACCAGAACTCTGCCAGATATTTGTACTCACCATGCATTTCTTTGCCTCAGGTATGCTGGGGCCCCCTCGGTTTCTTCATTTCTTATTGTATAATCGTGCAACACCCGGTCCGATATGCATTGCAGATAGTCATTTGTCTTGGTCAGATATACGGTGACTTGCTGTACTTTGCCACCAGTCTCTTTGACCTGTACCATACCGGACTAGAATTCTCGAGACCGGAAAGTTATTATTTCTGGATGTATTACTTTTTCATGAATTTTATTTGGATCGTGATTCCTGGTTGTAAGTCTGCACAAGTCAACTGGTGGTTACGTGTCTGATTAGTTGACTGACTTTGGAGTAGACTACTTAAGAGATGCGATAGGGGAGGTAACAACGGTGTTTCGGAAAGTCAACGAGTTGGAAAAGACGCAAAAATCACGATGAATGAACTCGGCACATTTAAAATGCCTTAAATCGTTGTTTTGGTCGAGAGACGAGGAAGAGGATATTGGGGCCGTTGACTCTAAAATGAATCAAAGCCTCCCATGGCAAAAGAAAAGTGTTTAAGCTTATAAAAACGTCCTATATTAGAATTCCGGACCGCCTTGGATATGTCACTTCTTATATAGAAAAGGTCCATTACCGAAGTAGTTGTGTATTCAATAAGATCATATTAATTCAAGAGCACTAACAGAACTCTCTTAGAATGCATTATTGTCTTGACGTTATTTTGCTTAGAGCAGCACCCACATAGAAAAAAACATCAATTGTGTTTCCCAATCGTTAGATTATGCAGGTATCTTGCAACCAGAGTACCACTCTACTGTTATTTCGCGGCGTTTCTTCTCACAAGGAGAAGGCATGATTGGTGGCCCGGTTCCAGTTTTGTTAGAATAATGGGCTTCTCATTTGAGCTTCCTACCCAAGGGCTTCTAACTATTAATACCACGAATTGTATAAAATACATAGATAGTTAAGTCGCTATAGAAGGTTGTGTCCTGTCCTACAAAGTCGATTAGTCTAATCAGCTTTCTGGAAAGACACCCTTTACATACAATTTACGAATAACAAGCACATATGAGAGTTCCTGAATGTGTCTCGCGGTTCATCCAACTCAGAGCGTCCTAGCTCCTCCGGATCTAAAAACGCGATTTACACATTAATTAAAATATTCTCACACGAAATATGAGGACCCAAAGCTTATAAATAAATATTTTACCAACCTGCAGCACATTCGAAGCGAGTACAGAATTATAAAGATATTTATAACATTAATAAGACCAGATTTGTTTTGGAGATCATTACTATAGCAAAATTTATATATAGCCGTGATCATTCAGACAAACCAAGCCTCATTCTGCCTGGAAATCGTGAATGGGTTGCTACAATAGAGTATCTCTATTAATTATATTCAAATTTAGTACTAAGCACACTAACTGATAGCTATACACATCGAAGCATATCACTTGATTAGTCAAAAGTACAATCACTAAATGGCTAAACATCAGATAAGATTAACTTATTTTGGCTTCCAAAAATATTCAATATATTAACGAAGCCTTGTACGGTTAAAAAGATATCAGTTATTGATATTAGATGATCCTTGGAATTTACAAATTCAGCGAAAAGCAAGGCACCACGAGGTACCTAATGTCTTATTCGTCACTCAATACGGCATGTAAATGACTTTAGATATGGTCAACGCGGCCCAAAACCCACTCCAGATGACGATAGGTCACACGGGGCTGATACTCCGGCTGCATGTGTCCACTCTGGAAGGTCTCGACCCACATCAAGCCTCGCTCTTGATGCTGGATACCCATCACTCCCTGGTGGCTATCGTAACCAGTCAGACCGTTCTCGTCAAAGACAGCCTGGTACTGTAGATCGGGCAGATCGATCACAATCGGCTTCGTGGGTTTCTGCTGGAAGCCTAGGTGGCCGTTCCAAGTCATGTTTTGGATGGACAGCAGGGTTCCGTTGGTGATGATCACCATGTCGTAGTCACCGTTGCCGATCAGGACGCGGTTGGTGGCCTCGATGACTTGGGGAAGGACGTGCTCGATGGGGTTGGCGGAGGTATCGCCTTCTTGTTCGGGGCCAGCGTTGCCTCCGACAAAGACGGGTTTGGTGGAGCACTCGGTCCAAGTGACATTGGGAGCATGGAGGGCTTTCTTGACGTCGGCACGGTCAAAGTATACAGTGGCGCCGGCGGGGATATAGTCTAGAGAGCCGGGGAAGCCGAGAACGTCCCAGAGTAGAGGGCACACGGTGTTGACTTCGTACAGGTCAAAGCACGGGTTTGGTCCGAATGCTTCGTTGTAGATAAGGTCGAAGACATCGCAGGAAGCTTGGCTGGTGTAGTTGAAGAACTCCACGGGCTGGTTTCCAGGGGGAGGGAAGGTGAGGTACTTGTCAATGTACTCTTCGTACCCACATTTCTTGTGAAGCGCCTCGAGCTCGTTCAAGAAACTCTGGTTGAAGTTGAAGAGATTGGCGTTATTCAGGACGAAAGGCACGGCAGGCACCTCTTCCTGCACATAATCAAACTGGCCGATACATGGGTCGTAGACCAACGCTCCTGTATAAGTTTAGATTCTTTCCTTGGAGATTATTAGGACGATAAAAATAAAGATCATACCCTTGAGATTGAAGTGTACGGGGTCTTTCTGGTCTAGGAAGGCGGCTGAGATATATGGTACATATCTTCCAGCATAACTTTCACCCGTCACAAAGATATTGAATTTCTTGATGCCAAAAAGCTTCTGGAAATTCTTGAAGAACTTGACAAAATCTTCGGCAATCTCTTCCTCGGTGGTGGCGGTAGGTTTGCCTTGGGAATAGCCAGTACCGACAGGTTGTTCGACCCTATTCATTGTCAGGCACGCAGATACATCAGATAGACATTGCGCTATGACACAAGGCGGAAGGGCAACGAAGAACCTACCAGAGCATGTTTGTGAGGTTGACCCAAGAATATGGGTTCTCAACTGGCAAATAAGTTCCAGACTGCCACAGAAATCGCCCATTTTCTTGGAAGAAGCCCTCGAGGGAACTGCAACCCGGTCCACCGTTAAGCCAGATAGTGATCTCATCCACGGGGGCACCGATCTTGGTCTGGAAGATGAAAAACAGATTTCTCGCGTCGTCGCCTTGGTCAATTGGGACACTTCCGGAATACATCTCGCCAACGTCAAAGTGCACATCAGGCAGACTTTCAACCAGATAAGCTGTAAGTAGGAGCAATGTTAGCAGAACAGTAAGTATACATATGTAGAATAAAATAACCCACGCTTGGTAGTCTCGCTCAAGAAGCGATAGTGGTCCTTCGAGCGCGCATCTATGTCGTGAGCAGCAGCTAAAGAAGGATTTCTTTTCTCACTTCGACGATCGCGAGCCATTTGGCTGAACCTGCCGAACCCACCGGCAGACACATGGTCTACCAGCAGGCCAGAGGCCAGGATGACTGGGGTCAACAATGATTGAAGCTGCATGGCTGAAGTTTACCCGAGACTGGCAGACAAAACCCTGCTCACGAGCGTCTGCCGTCCGGGGATGTAGGCCCAATTTATCCACGAGCTTAGCTGCAGGTCTTGTTTAGCTCGTCATCTCCGGCCAGCATCGGGCGGAGATAGCGAGAGGGGAAAAATAACCTCCTTCCTGATCGGCAGTAACCCCAGCGCCCAAAGTGTTCTAGTGCTGGGAAATTACTTCTTTAGTAATTCCATAAATCTATGATCCAGGAGCAAAAGCACCCGATGTGGGCTTGCGTAACAGTCAACTCCATAAGAGTTACCTATCACGACAAAAAGCCCACAGATTATGCGGAGAAGCAGCGAATCAGCTGTCGGTGTGGCCGGGCCTTAAAAGCTTAAGGAAGCTTGTTGATTAGGCCCCTTTCGGCAGCTGAGTAAGGGCTAGGGAGTCTCTGCTAATGAGCTGAGGGCTAACTGATCAGCGTTGCCTCGAGGCGAATAATAATACGAGCGCCGCGGAAGCCGTCGATAAGGCAGGCCCACTCGGCAAATTACACTGATAAAGCTTTTCCCTGCAATGCCCGTGATTCTACGGTCACGCCGATAAACTGACTATTTCAATGTTGCATGCGTTACGAGGATTTTTCTATTAATATATTCGGATGAAAGTATAAATTTTCAATAATCTGTCATTTCAAGCCCTAGCAATACTCTGTACTGATCACCATAACTATTCCTACAGTAAACTATTGATTCCGCCTTAATGATGAATACATGTATAAGGGCGGAGACATCAACTGATTAGGATAAGCCCTGGCCCCCATAAACATGCCTCGAATTACTTGTCTGTCTCCTTGGTAACCTCACGCCATTCGCTTCTTATTTTCATCACTGTTTTCAAACTAACGCCTCGAGCTTGAGGTTTGCTGAAATTGGTGCTATTAGATTGATTTCTAAATAAGCGAGTTTCAAAGATGACATTCGGTTTATGTATGTTAAAAAAAAGTTTCTGCAGATAATATATTTTCGCGCAGAGGATGATTGATGTTACATCAACTGATTGTTACCTTTCAATATTGATTTAATATATGTACGTAAATTGCCAGATTATATAGCGGTATTCAGTGCCCTAGCGTGCCTTACTACATGCAATCTAGATATCTGCATTAAAATTTGAACAAAATTGCACATCAATCAGCACAAAGTTCTAAATATATAGGCGGCTCGGCTACACTGATGCGAAAGCTTCTGCACTGCTTTCTATTTATTTTACAAACAAGGCTGATCAGAATAACTAGGATTGATACCAAGACCTTGAGGTGTTTAGAGAAGTTTCTGGGAATATTTCCGTTGTGCTTAGACTTTACTGTTCTCATCTGGTATAAAAGTGGCCTTCAAATGTTGTATGGCCAAATAGACTGTTGTTACTGGCCAATATCTCGGTTGCAGAGATAGCGTCACGCCAGCTTATTCAAATTCAACTTTTTAGTTTAGCAACTAAATAATGATCTCATCTAGATAAAATGTGTCTTGGTCTAAGAACTCTCTAGAGGCGCCATTCTGGCAGGGATTTCGTAACAATAGATATATGTACGTACGGCTGAGTGACTTCGGACATGGTCGGACAATCAGTCTTCAATTCACTGGGTTACACCTTTGTTTTCTGATTATACATATGTTCTTTATGGCTTGAAATCAATTCTAAAAGACACGTTCAGACAGAGGTACCGAGTATATTGTCTACTTAACGTGACTACTTCAAGCCCTTTATAGATAATTTTGGGGGCGTATAGTCATCTCTCTCTCGAAGTCCGCACAGGCACGGAGACGCCCACGCCAGCCTCGATCAACCCAACAGCGCAACGGCTGAAAGTAGTGCCAACAGACATTCATTCAGATGAGCTCAGGCAGAATCAGAATGAATAGCTCGCCGTGCGCAGCAGCTTCATTGGCCCACGGTAGCTGATCTATGTGGACGGCCGCTGATTGGCTCCCTGGCGCCGCCCCCGCTGCTCAGCCACACTTGGAGCTGCCTCAGCCCTCAGCCAGACTGAACAGCTCACCATGTCTTCTTCTCTCCTCCCTCTTCCTCAGGACATCATCTCGGCGTCAATAGTAGAGCACTGATTCAATTGCTTCCCCTCTGCGATTTTCCTCGCTGCAGACGCACTTGTTGTTGCTCGTTTCTCCTTGCCCGTCCCCACGTGAGGTCGTTCGCTTCCCCGCCAAGCTAAGCCCTTGCAAGCCTCACCTTATCGCAATTCGATCGAAACGACCCCTCCGCGGGCCTGTCGCAGCTCGCCAACGTCTTTTCACTCTCTTCCCCGTTTCTCGCCTTCTCCGGCAGGCACAATGAGTTGTAAGTCTCCTTTGTTCATGGGGTCGCCGTTTTCTTTTGGGTGCTGTTCTGTTTGAATTGGCCCTTCCTATATTTTATTGCGTGTTCAGTGTGGATGTATTCCTGGCGCGAGGCTTTTTCATTGCGCCTGTCACCTCTCTTGCAGTCGTGGTCGTTGGTGGAGTGGGTGGTTTTGGGCTTTGTTGTTATTCTGAGCCTGTGCAAATCAATTGAATTTGTGTGGGAGCATGGTTCGAACATTCATGTAGAGTTTGCGCGAGCATCTGTCGATTATGAAACTAACGCGCTGGTTTTTTCTTTCTAGTTTCGGGCATGCTGAACAAGCTGCAGGGGCAGCCGGAAAGCTATGAGAAGAAGTACGTTGGTCTTTTTTTCAACCCCGGTTTTTCACTAACTGAACGAAATGAAATAGATCCCTATATCGATTCGGTCGAACACTGGGCGCGGGCACTTATGGTATCGTTCGCGAGGCCGATTCTCCACAGGGAAAATGTGCCGTCAAGATTATATTGAAGAAAAATGTGCGCGGAAACGAACAGATGGTGTACGACGAGTTGGAATTACTGCAGAAATTGAACTACCCAAACATTGTTCATTTTCGTGATTGGTTCGAGTCGAGGGTATGCAATAGACACTGGCTCTAGGCTGATGATTAGCTGATGAGGATATTAGGATAAATACTACATTGTGACCGAGCTTGCGACGGGAGGAGAGCTCTTTGATCGAATTTGTGAATATGGAAAGTTTACTGAGAAGGATGCATCTCAAACTATCAGGCAGATATTAGGAGCGGTGCATTATCTACACGACCGGAATATCGTTCACCGAGGTATGTATTATATCCACTCTCGATTTGACTATATAACTGAGCTCAAGACAATCAGATCTCAAACCCGAGAATTTACTCTACCTCACATCCGACTCACAATCATCTCTTGTACTTGCAGATTTTGGAATTGCCAAAATGCTAGAACATTCTAGTGACGTTCTCACTTCGATGGCCGGCTCCTTTGGATATGCCGCGCCTGAAGTCATGTTGAAAGAGGGCCACGGAAAGCCCGCTGACATGTGGTCAATGGGTGTCATCACCTACACCCTACTGTGCGGTTACTCACCTTTCCGGTCCGAGAATTTACCCGATCTTATTGAAGAATGCCGCGGTGGACACGTTCAATTCCACTCACGCTACTGGGGCGGTGTATCCGAAGATGCGAAGGATTTCATCAAGACATTACTCAATCCCGATCAGAACTCCCGAGCCACAGCCGAAGAGGCCCTTGAACACCGCTGGCTCAAGGGAGACACGGCTACCGACTACAACTTGCTGCCCGAAATTAAGGCGTACATGGCCCGTGCCAGACTCCGACGTGGTATCGAAATCATTAAGCTCGCCAACCGCATCGAGGCTCTCAAAATGCAAGAAGACGATGAAGACGACGAAGACGAATCTATTTCCAAGGGTGATCTTCCATCTAATGCTGGCGAGGCAGCCAAGCAAGCTGTTCACGGTAACAAGAATACAAATGATCTCTCTTCCACCTTCCCGTCTCTGTCGGTCACCGATCCTTCAGGCGGCGTGGGTGATACCAAGGAAGGAGATGGAGAAGGATCAGGATCTCTTCCAGGAGGTACCCGAAAGAAACGAAGTTTGAGCAGGATTGCGCGCGGCGCTATTTTCCGTGAAGTTGTTCTTGCAAAAGTGCGTGAGATGAAGCAGGAGCAAGAAACCAAAAATGTAGAACGCGAGGCGATCGCCCGTGCGGAAGCTGGCAATCACCAATAACAACAGATATTTATTGGATTTGCTATTGTCACTTTTCGATGATATCCCGGTTATTTATAGGTTGTGGATGTTTTTCTTTTCCCCCCCTTTTCTTTTGTTTATAATCTTTTTACTAGGTTCTACACGTTGAGTATAGCTTGGTTTATAGGTAGGCATGTTTTGTCCATAACTTAATCAAAAACATGTATATGTCACTTCACAGTCATATCTAGTCGAAATAATATCCAGTACATTGTTTTCTATCTTACTCTACATTGAACGTACGACGAACTAAAATACAACCCTCTTTTAAACAGCACCCAACCACCTCCCCAGTTCAACACCAATCTGCCCCGGCTGATCAAACATAACAAGATGCCCAGCATTCTCTACCACAGCCACCTCTTTCGCCCTCAACGCTTCTCCCAACCTATACGCAGTCTCCACAGGAATCCAATTATCCTGCTTACCCCAAACAATCTTCACCGGCAACTTCGTGCCTACCTCCGCATACCTTCCCTCCACTGCATCTGTATTCCTATAATTTGCCTGACATAGCTGCCGAATAAAGCCTTCCTTCCCGCCTTCCCTCAACCACGGCTCTTTGAGCATCTGCATGTCCTGCTTTGATAGCTCGTAAAACGAGGCATTGCGTATATAACTCTCTAAGATCCCGTCTATCGCTATGTCAGGGAGTTGTGAAAACTGTTCGGGGTTGTCGGCAACGGCTTTGAAGAGCGGCTGTCCGAATGGTCCAATTGCGACGACGTTGAGCAGACATAGGCTCGCGTAGTGGCAGTTGTGCAGTAAATGCGCGCGCAGACTCATCAGCCCGCCGTGGTCATGCGCGATAATGTGCGGGCTTTGAGCCCAGGTGTCGCTGGCTTGCCAGTAGTGGAAGAGGGCGGCGAAAACCTGGGATTGGCGGGCTAGGTCGGCATCGAGTTGGGTTATTTTACTGCTTCTACTATTACTAGGTTCAGAACTGGTGGTGGTGCCAGGGAGAGGTATTTCGAGCGGCGACTCGCCGAAGCCAGGGTTGTCGAAGAGATAGACGTGGAAGTGGCGAGAGAGGGAGAGCGCAAATGGAGTCCAGACGAGAGATGACCAGGGTGTTCCGTGGATGAAGATGAGTGGAGGGGAGGCTGGGTTGCCGAGTGAGCGCCATTTGATTGTGTAGCTATGTGTTGCGTTTTGGTAGTTGAAGGTCTGCGTTAGGGCTGTGTTGTTGCTGGTGAATGCTGACGTCATGGCGGTTCGATGTCAATAGTTGATGGGAGAGAGGTTTAGGGTTGGCAGATGCAGATGGTCATATGGGGGGGACAAGGTTATGTAATAATTCAATTGACAAGGAATGGCAGGGATTTTTATATTAAGCCAACAAAAGTATGACATCTACGAACTGTATGTTTGATTGATAATATCGATCATCGACCTTAAAGCGGCGATAAACCCCCTCCAACTATACACGCTGATTTCCCCGCCTCTTACATGAAACCAACACTTGGCAAAGCAACTGGAAACTCTGTTTGTTTATATTTAAGTATAATATAGACAATCATGACGGCATACTCTATTATGATACCCTATCTCCCCGCCATACTGCGAGCTAATAACTAGTGCCGCTTTTAGGGTTATAAACACCTAAATACATCATCGATGCAACTGGGCTGAACTGCCCTAAGGATACTCTTGAGCAGGGATCAGAATGCCCACCAACCCACAATCCATTACTGTCCCAACACACCGCCATGCCTGGCGTCGCACTGACGACTACACCCCCGGCACAGCCAAGATCAAGCTCATCACAGAATCTCTCCCCCTGCCACTCGACCCAACCCTAGTCCTAGTCAAGATTCATGCTGTCTCTCTCAACTACCGAGATGCCAACATCGCGCATGGCGGAAACCCCTGGCCTGTAATCCCCAATGGAATCCTTGGTAATGACGCTTCGGGAGAAGTCATTGGTGTAGGCGATAAAGTCAAGGACTTCAAGATCGGAGATCGCGTGGCCCCCGTTACGGACACAGAACTCATCACAGGCCGAGAAAGCGGTCGATCGTGGCTAGCGGCTAATGAAGATGGGGTGATGGCGGATTATATCGTTTTTGATGAGTCGAGACTCGTTAAGCTGCCGGTACATCTGGATTGGGTCAGCGCAGCGACGATTCCGTGCGCAGGAACGACGGCGTGGTCGGCTGTTAAGGGTGCGAGACCGGGGAAGACGGTGCTTATTCAAGGTATGTACCAGATTTAAGTGTGGGAACTTAATTAATGATGTTGATATAGGTACCGGAGGCGTCGCCATGTTTGCACTCAAGCTTACTCGAGCAGCTGGAGCTAGGGTCATCCTGTCTTCGTCTAGCGATGAGAAGCTCGTCAAAATAAAAGAGCAATACCCGAATCCACCAATATTAACAGTCAACTATAGAAATCCCACCTGGCATGAGGAGGTTTTGCGGCTCACAAGCGGCGTCGGCGTCGATATCGTCGTTGAGAACGGAGGTGCCCCGTCGCTGGTGCAGAGCATGAAGTGTACGCGGCGCGGAGGGGTTATCAGCCAGGTCGGATACCTTGGCAAGCAGGATCCAGAGTTATTGGAACAACTCATTCCGACTATTATCGACAGACGGGTGGTGTTGAGGTTAGCATCACAAAATCAGTAATAGACTACCCAAGCTAACATTTCCTGCAGAGGCATAAATGCCGGGACGAAATATGATACGGAAGATCTCTGTGAAGCGCTTTCGGCTCATGAGACACAGCTTGATGATATTATTGATAAGGTCTATCCATTTTCGCAGGCTGAGGAGGCATTGCAGTTTATATGGGATGGTAGGCAGATTGGGAAGGTTGTACTTCGAGTTTAGATGTGCTGGGATTAGGTAGTAGCACGATGCCTCTGTGTCAGAATCTGCTAAAAGGCATTGATATTAATATCATATGGTCATATACATGATGTATCTATAATTTCTATGGAATGAAGGCTATATATGTGAAAGATATGTACAGCTTTCTATATAAAGATATGATATCCATTCACTGCGCCATCGCTGTTAGATATTCATGCACTTCCAATACACTCATGCATCAGTGCTATTGCCGGTCGATCCACTGATCCCCCTCTGATTCCTCTCAATGTCACTCTTTTCCATCAACCCGTACTTCGTCTCTAGGTCCGTTTTCAACACGATCTCCTTCTCCAGAAAGATCAGGACAAGCGAAAAACCCGCCAGCGCTAGCGAAATCTCCCACATAAACCTCAGCGAGTCCTCATACACAGCCACGACCTCATTCCTCGTTGCTGGATTCAGCTGTCCAATAAATGCGGCAGTCGCGTCCGCATATGCATTACCAGAATGAAACTGCTTAAGAATCAGGTCCCTCGTTGCTGTATCGGCAATTTGTCCAGCACGCTGACCAAACGCATTACTGAAGATTGCAGCGGGTACGACGACACCCCAGATACTGCCGAAAGAGCGCACAGATGACCATACAGCCGTGGCAGCCGCCTGGTCAGACTCGGTTCGCTGGGACGCGGCCTGGCAGGCTGGGAGCAGGGAGTTCATGATGATTCCATTGCCGAGGGAATTGATGATTTGGAAGATCACCCACTCCGCTGTGGAGGACGATTGATCGAGGAGGATGAATAATCCTAGACCTAGTGTGATTGCGGCAAAGCCTGCGAGGTGGATGGGCTTGTACCTCCCAAAACGTGTGAGGAGCAGCACGGCTGATATAGAAGCAGGAACAGATACGATGACAGACGGCAGAACTTGCAGTCCGGCCAGGGAAGGGGAGCTGCTGCGTACGGCCTGGAAATAGACGGGCATGAAGAAATAGACCCAATACAGAAGGGCAGATCCGATAAAGGTCACGATCATGACCACAGCAGAGGTGCGGTTGCGGAAAAGATGGGGTGGACAGACGGGCTCCCTGGCCCATTTGGAATTCTCAAACGCAACAAAGGCTCCAATACCTACGAATCCGATGACGAGAGGCACGATAATGTGTGACGAGCCCCAGGCGTATAAGTTACCTCCGTATGTTAGGGCGAAGAGAATGGAGACTGACGAGCCGATGAGCAGGAAATTTCCGCCATAGTCGATGCGACGGAGTTTTTCTATAAATGACATCTCCTTATCGTATTGGACTTGGAGGAAAATGAATACCATGACCAAGGAGGCACCACAAATCTGCCGGTGTGAATAGTAAGGAGGAAAGTTTGAGTTGTCTGGGAAGATTCTCTACATACCGGGAGATTGATATAGAAAACCCATCTCCAACTCGTGGAGTCGACAATGGCGCCACCAACCCATGGCCCAATGGCAATGCCCACGAAATATGTAGTAAGAAACCAAGCGACATACTTTCCTCGTTCTCTCAACGGCACGAGGTCCGAAACAATGATATTGGGAAGCGTGTTGAGACCACCACCTCCCATTCCCTGAATAGCTCGGCCAGCTATTAGCGTAGCGACGTTATTCGCACCACCGCATAAGCCACTGCCCAACACAAAGAGAACAATTACTCCCATAGTAACCCATCGTCGACCAAAAATGTTGGCCAACTGGCCGAATAATGGCTGAACAACAGCACTTAAGGTTGGATAATCAGTTCGAACCGTTTCAGTAAAGAACATAGAAGCACAGCACTTACGCAGTTAAAAAGAAAACATTGGTTACCCAAACATAGCTGTTACCCAGGTCCAGTTCTTTAGATATACTCGGCAGAGATGTGGTGACAACGGTATTCTCCAGGGCGCTGAGAACACTGAGAAAACATAGGGTGATTATAATGACATAAAAGCGAAAGCTCTTAGTATTGGTCTTGATGGCGGCGGGTTCCGTCACTGGAGTATTCTGATGACCACTATTGGTTGGTGATGCCATTGTTTGGTGTCTGAAGCACTGACTAATTCAGCAATGGGCTATAACATAATAATAGATAGAAACAAAATAGATCATTCATGATAAATGAACGAGACTGCTTAACTTACCCAACAACTTTCTACTAATATGACAAAGCAACTGTTGGCCACAAAATGCTACCACCCCAAAAGGGTTCATCTTAGCTCCTTATGGGTACGGCTTCTTAGTGGTAATATATAGTAACCAACAGTCCTGCAAGTACCATGCATAGCACAAACGTCCAAAAATTCATTGTTTGTTTTTCATTTTCTATTGTTTACACTGTAGGATTCCCGCAGACAAAGGGGCAATAGTTATTGCGGCGATGGTCTTATCTACAGGCGAATGGCCAATATTTCTACGCCATGTCTGCTTGGCTAGCAGGTTGTAACTACACATATACTCGCTGAACCGAATACAGATGCAGGGCCGGTCCACTACATTAGGCAATACCGCAGCGGAGGACTGGGATAGTTATATCTCCACGTGACCAAATGTCAAATAATGATTTGTGGATAGATGTGTCTCTAGATCAACTAAACACTAGCCTAGCAAGCGAGCTTCAAGATTGTATGAATCGGTGCTCATCGAGCGTAATTACTAGTTAATTACGTGTTGCTAGGTCTCTTTGCTTTGTAATCAGTGCCACCACCTTTGCTTGTGCTATGCCTCCGGTCTCGTATTCGACTAGTGGTCTAAATGAGCTAGCAACTATTAGTAGAGGACGGGAAATTCGGAATGCATTCGGAACTGGAGAAAAATGGATATAGATTGACTAACTGCTTGTAGAAACCTATTCGGAGCAGCATATAAGATGACCAACCTGACTATAGAGAACAATCTCTTCAAAAATTATCCACCTTAGGCGAGCAAAAAAGAGAAAAGGGATCATGTATCAGTATGCACTAAAAAGGCGTCATTCACTGCAAAGTACAAAATCTTCGCTCAATTAAGCATGCGGTCAATAGCCAGGATTTTCCAGAATCAAGTGTCACTTAAGTGATCCATTCTACATCCAGCCGTATTCGTCGATCTTTTGACCTATATTTGAACTAAATTGGAATGGATACGTGTTAGGCAACGTTAATTCTAGCCCTAGACGCGTGGATGTCGATTTTGAAAAGCTGAGCCGCTGCGGATAGAAGTCAATATTGTTAGATGATCATGTCATGTGGGCAGACAGTGATACTCTATTATAAATGTTCATACATTATGGCCAAGTTTTGCTCGCCAGACAACCAGACAATTAATCTGGCCTATTGCCGGTTGAGGCTTTTATGCTACATAAGCGCTAGTAAAGATCTGCAGTCAATTTAGGTGAATCAACGAGTTACAGCTGAACGGGGTTGGGCAGGTGTATAGGCGTGGGCGGCTCAAAACGCTTTCCTAGTCTTAGCGCCTCAAGGGTCAATCAATTTCATGCAATAATTGCGTGCTAATCCAGGCACTGGCGGGAAATTTTGCCCGTTTATGGAGACTATTCCCCGTTACTGGAAGTAAATTACCAATTACGACACTATGGATTAAATGCCAAAACAACATATACAACTATGTAAGCTTTTGAGAGTGGATTAGATTAGGAATCCAAGGGCTAATAACGTCAATTTAAAGCTTAGAGTTCAGGGGAATACTGATAGATAGAGCTTTAAAATAATTTATCGCATTGGATTAGAATTTAGGAATCATATATTGATATGTGGGTATTGTTTCATATGTTGGTATTTACGATGTTCAATGTTGAATGCTGTCTTTGATTCATTTTCAGTAACGATTGTTCAACTGTCCGTCTCCCCGGCTTACGAATCCTCGGTTAACATGTTATCAAGGTTTTCGATTCACACGGTTTCACTTCCAATCGCCGTGGTGCAAGAATCGGTGACGTGGATGGTTTACCATCGATTTCTCTGTCCGATAGCAAAGTCTGTTATTATTTTTCATTCTTTAGATATCCTAGCCCGCATAGAAAATCCAAAGAAACTTGTTTTGTGAATAAGAGCAGTGGAAAACTCGTTGAATGTGTTACTAATTCATGCTGACGCGAGTAGAGGACAGCGGTATCAGCTAAGTTAGCTTGAATATTTTACATATTTAAGTTGTGTACGGCATTTTATCGACAATTGAGTATCCCGCAAAGTTTGACCTTGACGCCATTAGCAAGAAGTAGCTCATTAAGACATGCAGCAAAAACATACCGTCACATTGAGGCTCTAATGAGCTTTTTGCTGCGGAGCTCTCTGTCCTACTGACCTTTAAATACCTCGTGCCTTGCATCAAAATCTCCTCCTCAGCATTGATTCCCTACATCTCTATAGCACAACAAAATGTCCCATTCTAGATTCCGTGATTATTTTCTATCTTTCAATCATTTCCACATAGACACTCCCAAGATTACAATCAGATTCAATATTAGCTCTCAACAAAGGCTATATCACTGGATATAAGCTACATCCGAAGCAAAATAGGCATTATTCAAACTGATTATCCGGTCCATTTCGGAATACTGCTGGTCTAGTAAAATTGAAGTCACCGCAGTTAACTCATCTGGACTAGCTCCACTGTAGCTCATAGGTCCGGCACTAGCAGAGGATGAATCTAACATCAAGGTATGATGGGGAGTATTTCCTGAGGTTGGTACCATCCCCGATGCGCTTTGGGAATTAACAAAATTGGTGGAGGACACTCCATTTAATGGTTGGTGTATGCTTTTATGCGAGATGTCTTGTGTGTAGGAAGAAGCACGACTAAGATGTCGGCCTGAAGATGACATAGTTGGTGCATCTAGGTTGGAAACTGGAATATTTCCATTTGCGTGACTATCAGGGTTAGCAATCACTGCATCGACGGCAGACATCTTATCGGGATGGCTCCCATGTTCGACTTCCTCATGGGCATTCTCAAGTCCATCGCTGTTGGAAGATATAGAAACCTGCCCCGCCCATTCGATTTCATTTGGGTACCCAAGAACATCCAGCTTGAAAGACTGGTCGCCTTGGCATTTGCTGTATATTCCATTAAGCTGGCTGAAATATTTTGCTGCTGAGTCTTTCCAGCGGGCAGTGTGTTGTGCTCGATGTTCTTCTGACCATCGTGCGGACATGATATCGAGAGCTTTCATTAGAGTCCAGTAATCAGGGGACAGTTCTGTTTTATAGTACCGCCAGTGAACTACATGTGAGTTACAACGTCAGTTGAAATGCTATCTGACTGAGAGCGACAGTAACCAGAGGAAGACTTGCAACAGATATAGAGAACAGGCTACTTACCAAGTAAAACACGGGCGCTCACAAATACACAGAACGCAAATTGACTGTCTACTAAACTTTGGGGTGACGAGTAGTCGAGAAATCTTTGCGTGATATTTGCCGTCTCCGCAGCCGCAGCTTCACATGTCTCTGCACTAGATAATGTGGGAAGCTTGACAACCTCTAACCATTCTGGTGGGGGATAGGCAATGCGTTGATGAAGCAGAATCATGGAAGTATTATGCGTGACATGAGCCAGCGTCAAGTTTGGGTCCATCATTATCACGGTCGGTTGCCGCGAGATATTCGAGTCCTTCCATTTTTGAGGGAGAAACATTTTCCAACTATACAAGAATCATGTCAGTCCAGCAGAGTAAAGTTTCAATTTTCAGGGGAATAATGCCACAAAATACACCTTTTCAGATACATACCTGACCAACCGCAAGTCCAATTCTTTAAACCGAAGAAGCCAGCTACCCATTTCGTGACGATCACGGTAGTTCACCTTCTGCTGTAAGAAAAATGTGGTTACCCTACTCAGAGACTCTGTCGCCTCAACCCTGTAAGCAAATGCCCCAACAGTTGATAAGTCAACTTTTTCATCCGGTACGGAGGGTACAATGCTGTTTCCTGATCGATTCCTTGCTGGTTCTGCGGTATTGTAGTCCGTTGGGGAAAAGGCGATAAGACTACCGATCTTCCCTGCAGACTTGTCCCATATACCAAAGAAAGGTGTAATTACAGCTTCTTCATTGTGCCACAAGCCCCCGTCAGCGGGTAGGCGGCGGTGGACATCGTTTGATGTCAGACTTGTATTCCAACTATAATACCTGTTAGTAGACTCAAAGTTTTGTCATTATCAAACTTCATACCCAGTAGTAACAGAGCAGAACCTGTGTTATTCGTTTGTTAGTATTTCGCTCCTTTATCGGAACTAATATTACTTGCCTATCCAGATTGAAAATTGTCCAGAATACTCGCCGCCTCTCTTCTTCTTCGATCCAGGTTTTTGCTGGAGGTAACGAAGGGCGCGGCTGAAGTACTGGCCCTGTGTCGTGATTCTCGGACTCAACACTCAGTTGGAGATATTCGACGGTTCTAGTTAGAGAGCCAACAATAGGCCATGCACGAGACACTCTCCCGGAGCCAATCTGGGAGTATCAATATCCAAACGGTTTCGGAAGGAGATAAAATATTAAAGAAGGCAAAAGAACCTACATCTTCGAAACAGATAATTATCAAAGCTTGAAGGTTCTCGACATACATATCGTCCATCCCAGTAAGTACTACTATTTTTCGTGATCGTTCACAGATACTTTCAATATCGCCGGGAATAATTGCCACTTCACCAGTGTTAAGATGCCTGAGCATTGCCACAACCATCGCATGTAGAACAACTTCTAAGCGGCGCCTCTCATTCGGGTTCTTCAGTCGCCGGTGAAATCTTTTCTCGTGAAAAATTGGAATCCATGGCTGCACCAGCCTGAAATAAGAATCTATAACTGCCTCTAGCACATTCGGCGGGGGAAGACTAGAAGAGACATTTGCCAAATCGTCCGGCTCAATCAAGACCGTGTCGTCAACATGTCTTCTTTTTTTCGGCACCTGTAACTGCCCCCCTTGTATTTGAGTACAATGTGGAGAAGACGAAGGTGGTAAAGTTTCTTCATTCACCCGCTGCGTGATTGTGCCTGCAATGTCTGATGCATCCGACCATCGCCTTTTCCGTCTTGATTGAGATTGAAGCTGTTCAAGTAGCAGCTCTAAACCTTCCTGGAGAGCAACGACCGCTGCGGTCTTGCCATCTTGGCTAGTTCTCTGAGGTAGTTCATTGGGAGTTCTACCTTGTTGAAAGACCGCATCTTCGAGAGCATCTATATTCTTCTAAATTAGCCTTTTCTCGGTCTTGAATGAAAAAAGAGTATACCTTCTAAGGCATGACCTAGATGGATATAATCTATACTGCTTACCTACACGCCTTCTGAGAGCTTCTACTGCACCCGTCTTCAGACCAGGCTTCTCACGGTCATTATCATATCCACAAGTCGTCCCTAGATTAGTCACATGAGCTACCAATAATACAAAATACTTATTAAAGAAATAGAAAATGTGTTGACAGACCCACTCTCCGACAGTGGCTGCAGATAGGCAGCTCGCGTGAGCAGCGTAGTTTGCGCTTACGACATGCGCCGCACGCAGGCCGCTGTTCTGCCGGTAGCGATTCCTCCATATCTTTTGCGCATCGAATGTTCTTGTTGGTGTCCTCCGCCGGATTTGTGAATATTGCCGGACAAGAGGAAGGGCGAAGAATGGTGTACTTATGCCGGTGAAACTAGCCCGATCGGCCGCGGCATTACTCCGACGCCATTATTTCATTTGAATGGTCACGCACCAAGTAAAGTTTTGTGAAATGAGGGGAGAGCTAATAGATTGCGGAGTCTCTCCGGCGGGGTGCGTTGGAGCATGTCGATTTAAGAGATCTAATATTGGTTTCGTGTCACATTATTGGTACTAAGGTGTCGTGTTACCATTCACATCAATTAATTGGCCATGTGGCTTTTCTAATTAAACCGACTCTGCATTCCTTTACTCGTTTAGAAGTTTCTCCAACCCACTTAGCATACCCAATACCGAGGAAGTATGGGTTGGATGCATTAAAATGTTACGAAGCTGATCCGGAGATACCCCGAGGTCCAGCCCGCTGAACTCCAATTGAGATGCGAAATCTAAAAACCCAATAAGTTAAATCCTTTGGAAATACAAAAAGAAAATAAAGCATCATTCAGTCTGCCGCAAGGCAATCAAAATGCCCCCGCTTCCTGGATTCTCCGACAACCCACTTGCAAGTCGAGATGAACTGATTACAGCCGCCATCGCATTTACTCGGCCTCTACACCAACATTTTTCTCCTGCGAAGGCATTTATATGTCTGCCGAGCTCGACTGGCGCTCACTTCGATGAAGGCGCTGCACGGCTCGAAGGATACGCCCGGCCATTATGGGTGATTGCATCGCTGCTGCATTCACTTCAGTATGACCCGGACACTAATCGTGTGGACAGCATTAAGTCGCTTGCACAGCCATGGATTGAAGGCATTTGCACAGGAACGGACCCCAATCATCCCGAGTACTGGGGCGCTATTCAAAATGGTGATCAGCGTATGGTCGAAGCGGAAGTAATTGCCTGCGCATTGCTCTTTGCGCCGCATCATTTCTTCCATTCTCTTGATGAGAATTATCGCGCAAATATCGTCGCATGGCTTCGAGGCATGAATGGCAAGTCGATGCCAGTCAATAACTGGAGATGGTTCCGCATCTTTTCCAACCTTGCTTTAATTCTTGTTGCCGACATTTCTCGGGATGAGCTTCAGGATGAAATGGACAAAGACATGACTGTTTTGGATTCTTTTGACATTGGCGAAGGCTGGTCAGCAGATGGGCCATGGTTGACAGCTGAGCAGGAGAAAGAAGAAGAGCAGGAGAGTATCACGTCTCGACGGCGTGACAAAATTGGTGTCGGTCGGCAGGCTGATTATTATTCGGGAAGCTTTGCCATTCAGTTCAGTCAACTATTATACTCGAGGTTTGCTGCAGACTTGGATCCTGTCCGAACGGGTATGTATCGAGAGAGGGCACGAGAATACGGAAGGGCATTCTGGAGATACTTTGATAAAAATGGTTAGTGTATATCTTGAATTTCTCCATATAGACTAATGTATGAAGGTGCTGCCATCCCGTTCGGACGCTCACTTGCCTACCGATTTGCCTGTGGAGGATATTTTGCTGCGCTTGCCGTCGCCCAAGTATCTGACATGCCTATGCCTTTGTCATCGGCTGGTGCTGTCAAAGGTTTCCTACTCCGACATCTGAGGTGGTGGGCAAAAAATTCCGATAACATCTTCTATCCCGACGGGACACTCAATATTGGTTGGCTTTATCCGTAAGTAGGAGCACTTTGTCCCAATGAGTAGAGAGCTTACATCTGTATTCAAGGAATATGTACATGAGCGAGGACTATAATTCTCCCCAGTCAATATACTGGAGTCTCAAATCGTTAATTGTACTTTGTCTTCCTCCTAGTGATGGATTTTGGGCATCTCAAGAAGTCCCATATCCCAAATTGTCGCCCCAGGTGGGAAGCTCAAACTCAGAAGAAACCATTCCCATCTCAATTATTCGTCCAACAACTCAGATACTCTGTAACCACCCCAAAGGTAATCACCATTTCATGCTTTCACCGGGTCAGTTTGTGGCCTGGCCGATGAAAGCGACGCAGGCAAAATACTGCAAGTTTGCCTACTCATCCGCTTTTGCTTTCAGTGTACCAACAGGCCCGTTGATCCAGCAGCTTGCGCCGGATAGTACACTGGCCGTGAGTCGAGATGGAGCCTCTACGTGGGCTGTGAAGTGGAAATGCTCTTCTGTTGAGTATCTCTCAGCCACGATTAAACAGCCAGGCTCTCATGGAGACGAAGTAGTCCCCGTCGCGCGTGTTCAGTGGTACCCATGGGTACATGACAGGCAGGTAACAATCACTACGACCCTTATCCCACCGTCGACGCGTTGGCCGGACTGGCATATCCGTATACATCGGATTCGGGTGAATGGTTCAAGTACGCTACCAAGCCTACATCTTGTGGAAGGTGGTTTTGCTATTTCGCGAGTCCCAGCCAGTGAATTAAGAAACCTTCCCGAGGTCTCCGAAAATGACGAGTCCTTTTTCAACACAATTTTAGGCAAGAGTGAAGGTGTTTATTCATCTCAGAATAGTACTCTCGTTCTCTCGCCAGCCGGTGCAAGCGGTATTCGAGGCAGTGCGTCGGCCGTTGCTGGAAACGTATCCATCAGCACCGAACACGAGGCAATGAAGCCAGACTCTAACACCAACATCGCTGCTCAAAGAACATTGATACCTGTCACAAGCCACGAAGTTTTTGAGGTGGGCAGTGAATCTGAGATTGAGCTTGTGACAAGTGTATTTGCCGTCCAGGCGGATGCGGCACAAAGTAGCAATGTTCGGTCCTTAAGGGATAGATGGATAGATTTTCCAAAAGTCGTTATGGAGGGAGAAAACTTAGATCCTAGGAATGGCGATCATTTTATTTTATTTGAGTAGCTTCCAATCAGTATCATCTACCTCATTATTGATTGGTGCTATTAGCTGAGTTTTAGATAACATCAATTGATATATGTACAATGTCAACGAGAATAAACCATAATACATGAGTACCTCGAACACTGTCAGCCTTTTACTGTACTTCCTTGTTGCTAAGCTGAAAAACAATAGTCTCTCAATTTTTCTGCTAAATCTCTAGATTCTGATCAAAGACAGGCTCGCCGAAATGTCTATCAATAGTCCTGGCATCATATGGTTGGTGGACGACTCGATAAGGCTGAAAGCTGAAAACGGCATAATATCACATCGAGAGAAGTATGTGATCTTTGTGACAAATTATTGGATCATTCTAACCTGAATGATACTTGTGTTCTAGTGATACTGGATTAGTAATGCTTTTATTCGATCCAATCATTTAATTTAATTCATCTATACAAGTCAACAAAAACGCTAAGACCAGAGGATGGCGCCCGTTTTGGTCTGACGGTAAAAGTATAACACTTATCATAAGTAGGCTATGATCAACATCAGCTCTACTGTAGCTAAGGCGACTAAGATCAAGGTAAATAGGCAATATGTATCTTGGATAGATGATCATGATTAGGATAACTCTAGGCGATTAAGAATAACGTACAAATATAGCGCAGACATAATCACACTAAAGCTAGTGGAGTCCTTTTAGCCTTCGCTACTCTACGAACCTAGCAATCCTCTAAGTTGGGAGGTCTCGTCAACTTAAATTCCCACAATGCCCCACTATCGAGCACATGTAAGAACACATTTTACCTATGCGTTGCTTAGTCCCGATGAGATGTGGTGATAAATGGATGTACTGTAATAATACAGTTTGCTTAGGCGTCTTTCCGTTTGGTATCATACCATTCAATCCAAGAACGGAACAGTACATAAGACAGTAACCACGTAGGGATTAGTAGTCGTGGCATTAGGGTTTAATCTGTCCTTAGCTTCATGCATATTGGTTTCGTAACAATCAACCGTAGTAGCTTCAAATAATCCCTTTCAGGTTAGTGTTATGTACTCTGTCCAGTCACTGTCCAGCCTACGGGTGCCTCGTATGCACGATGCTGCTTGCTCGTTGTTTCATCTTCGATCCTGTGTCATGCGTTCGACCGACTCCTGTTACCATTTTCCGTTCTCCCACTTCAATCCCATATGTACCTTCGGTCAACAATGGCTATTTTATTTTCCCTTTCGTTTTACAGGCTAGTGAAATATAAGAGGCATAGACCATATGTTGACGGGCTCTTCAAGGAACTGAAAAGATTCTAGATCCCGATCATTCTGACACGGGAGCAAGTTTTAAGATTCTTTTAGACTTCAACGAACATTGGAGACATGAAGAGGCTTCATTAATCCAACCCAGCATGTATAGATATTCCGTTATATGCAGATTATGTTATTAGAAATCATCCTAGCGATGTTATATATGTACTGTGGAATAATCATCCAATAGAAAAGTATGCACCTTAACCCACCGCTTCAAGCGGTAAATTCCGCTTGGCGGGGACAAGTCGGACCTGGCTCTCATGCTAAAATGGCTAACCCTTGAACTAGCAGAATTAGGCACATATCCCCTTTACAGGGTTTATTTTACCTCCAATGATTCAGATCAACCCCGTACGTACACGGGCCTCCAACTATTTGGCCAACCATATGTCGTAAAATGGAATTTTAGCCTAGTGTGGGGAGAGCCCAGAAACTGCCCCTTATCACGTGTCGCAGGTTGTATCGGCATCGATGGAGCATTTAAATGGCCGGAAATGATCGAGGCAAGACTATTACGGTAGAAGGAAACTCTTTTATTCTTTTCATTCTGCTCTACGATCCAGCCGCCTTTTTTTCCCACGGCATATTTTCGTGATATGTAACCCAATGGATAATCGAGGTCCACAGGTTCTCGCCGTTAATATTGTGTTTTGGATTCTCACATGGCTGGCGCTCTCATTGCGAGTATATGTACGAGCTTTTATGCGGAAGATATTCGGTATCGATGACTGGTTCATGGTTGGCACGCAAGTAAGACGTCTTTCGATCCAAATGGCTGAGAAGTATGAAGGATACATGGTTTCATCTAGCTTTTCTTCTCTTCATATCTCGCCTGCCAGCTTGGTGGAGCGATATACGGGACCGGCCGCCATCTGTCTGACCTGTCTATTGAGCATGCCGAAAAAGCTCTTCATGTAACACCTCACATTCAGCCTCATGCGCCTATCTCTCAGCTAAATTTCTACATAGTTCTGGTGGCTTTGTGAGATCTTCTACGTCATCAGCGCATGTTTGATAAAAGTATCGGTCGGGCTTTTCCTGCTACGTATTACCGTCCGCGTAATCCATATCTGGATTCTCCGGTTATCCATGCTGGGAACCATCGTTTTCGGGATGGTCTATCTCTTTTTGACTATTTTCCAATGCCGGCCAATCTCTGCCTGGTGGACTATACCCAAACAGGGTTGCTATAAACCCAGTGTGATTCTCGGCACCATGTATACTGCTTCAACCATGAATGCCGTCGCAGATTGGACATTTGGTCTCCTTCCGATCTTCATGGTACGGGAACTCAACATGTCACGGAGAACAAAGGTCGCCGCTTTATGTATTCTAAGTTTCGCCGCCATGTAGGTTGAAAATAAAATCCCAGAAACGAAGAGGTGACGACCAGATAACTAATAACAACCAGTGGAAGCACTGTGACTGTGGTTCGCATCCCAGATGTCGCCACATTGGCCGATGATACTGACTTTTTGTGTATTCTTTGCACATGTGATATAATTGGCAGTTGACAGACACTAACTCGAATTCCAGGGAAAACTACGAACTTCGCAATTTTGTCGACTGTGGAAGTGGGAGTTGGTATTGTCGCCGCATGTGTTGCGACATTGCGACCGCTTTTGACTGCCGTTATCGCCAGCACTCGTCGCGGTTCGGGCAGACAAGAGCCAGTGGTTCATCACCAGTCGAGCAATCGAAAACATGATCAAGCGCACCGAAGTGCTAGCCAAGACTATTTGAGGACGAACGCCGAGCCAGTTAAGATGACCTTCTTTATAGATGACGGGGATAGCCTAGCAAACTTGAGTAGCAGCGGAGGAAGTGATGTTGAACTCGGAGTTACTCATCACACAGTTCTTACGACCTAACCAGAGTCCGTTATTGAAGCAAAGAACAAAGGTGGGCCAGCTCAGAATAAACTTCAGAGGACAAAACTTAACGCGTGGGGTCATTACAAGCAGGTGTGACTTGCGTCGGTCCACATTCTTTATGAAGTCTAACGACATTTCAAAATTTAAATCTACCCTTTCTTATCCGCTAAAGACGTGCATGATGTTCTCGGTGCGGCCTTAGAGATGGAATACCGTTGACCTGCCCCACATGCCCTCCTATCCCGGCTTGCTCCATTATCATCAACAATTGCTTCTTTTTTGAAGTTGGGAGGACCTTGATTTCCGTTCAACTGTTTATATGAATTGGAATTTTTTTTCGATAAAATTATGAGATGTTTTTCGACTAGGAGCAGGAAAGCATGAATCCTGTCTTCGTTGGTTTTGTAGAAAGGCGGAGAAGATTCCTTACGTGATATGAGTACACAGGGACCAATCTCTGAGGTAGTAGGAGGAACAACACGGCTACTCTTCCGTCCTGAATATCCGGACCCTTATTCCGCGCCGCCGCGGGTCGTCGTATGAGCGGCGTGGAGGCGGAGAGCAGGGTGCGTGTGGATGCGATGAGGTGTGAGCAGTAGCGGCAGTGAAAGGTTTTTGAGGTCCTGTTGTGGATGCTGAAACCAGCCTTAACCGACACAAGGAGCATAATCTCCAATTTAAGTTGATTAAGGTCGCCATTCGACATTGTGGGCTCCCTATTCCTAATACCTCATGGGGTCGAGATTGAGGTTGATTGGCAATGCAAGAATAAGGGAGATTGAAGCTGTCATCGGGATCATTCCCTCTAGATTTGCAATGGTTACCTTCGGCTGTTATCAGCAACCCGCAATCTCGAGGCACACAATTTCCACTGTCAACTAGTTCAGTAAGTTTATTGAGAATGTTGAATTCTAATCTGAGTTTGATGCCGTAGGCGAGAGTCTTGTAGGACGTCTGAATATTAAAAGGGTTTGCGTATTCAATACTGATGAGGGAAACATCGAGCAAGATAACAATGATATTGACAATGATCAGATTAATAATGATTTTGTGGTGTTCGCTTCCTCTCAGTTGGGAAACTGATTTAAGCAACCCGACCGCTTTCCAGATGTAGAGACTGGAAATTATGGATTCCTGGGTAAAGAAACCTGTGGTCGTATAGGTAGCACGTCTGAGACAGTAAAATGGGCTTTTATGTGAAGAGAATGGCGATTGAGAGATTTGTTATGAAATCTACATGAATTTACATCAATTTTTACTTCGAATGAATAGAACTTGTAAACCGATATTTAATTTGCTCTTGGTCACAATGGCGGTCATAACAACGGTGAGTGTGATGTATTCTTCTCGCCATTTTCCATCCTTTCCAAGAAGCCCAGCCCGTGTCAAGGGATCTCCATCAGATGGAGTTGGAACACTCGTATATCATATGCGGCATATTGGCGCATAGTTATCGAACTCTCTCCAGTCTAACCGTGACATTTAAACACACTCTCCGAGGCCAAACAAAGTTCTATACAAAGCCCATTCTTAATAAATGATTTCCAAATTCTAGTAGAAAGTAGTCTGCATATACCAGGCCGTGGTCACTATATCGATCATGGTCCTGAGAATTATGATTTGCCGTCGCATTCTTCAAAATAGAGTCAAACCTTTGTCCTGATTCAACATCTTTGACCTGAATTGCGTTCTCCCCACTGGCCTCGGGGACCAAAATTGTAGCTTCCTCTCTGGATTGACAGTAGTCCAATATATCAGCGACAATCTTCATTGCTGCTGTACGATATCTCTCCGCTAACAGTGTGTCGCCCAGTGCAACCATAGACTGCGAAAGCAGCAGCATGCCGTTCGCTGCAATGACTCCCGCCGATGAGTCTCGTAATGGCCTACCCTCGTCTTCAATGGGCGCATCAAAATCCCACAAGGGAACGTAACGCCCTATACTTTTGCCTTGACGATATACTTCTACGCACTGCGGGGCGGTTTCCAATCGCCATAGGAAATACTCGGCGAGACCACATGCAACGGAGAGAAATTCCTTATCCTTGGTCCAGTGGTATGTTTGAGCATAACCCAGTATACCCCATGCCTGACCGCGTGCCCATGTTGAGTCAGGACTGTAGCCCTGCGCGGTGCGACGTTCTTTGATTACGCCTGTTTGGGGATCAAAGTTGACGACATGGTAGTTTGAATAAAGTCGCATATTCCTTGACCGAGAATCTTTCTCGGCAACGTGTTCCGTCCGAAGATGAGATTTCATCAAGGTGCGTGCGTGTGTGACCGCAATCTCTGCTAAGCTCGGATCGCACAAATGTTTTGAGGCATAGAACAACAAATCCAGATTACACATGCTGTCGATTATAACCAGGAAATCATCTGTCATGCTATTTATCGTAATGTCCTTTTGATTTAGAGCATCCCAGCTGCGAATTGCCCTTACGCCTGACCCGTAACGACTGGCAAGGCTTCGGGCTCCGGTGAGAAGAGACCGCAGGCTTGCTTCGTTGCTTCTTAACTCCCAGTCCTTCCGAAGAGATGGCTGCAGAATAAACCCGAGATCATGAGTATCCTTTCTGAAAGCCATTTCATGAATTGGGCCAATCCATGCGTTGCAGAGCGCTTCCAATTCTCTGCGTAACGAAGAACTGTCGAGTGGTCGAGTAGTTTTCTCGTGACCGAGAAATGGGAAAACATGAGGGTATTTGATTGATCGTTCAAGTAGCGAATAAATTATACCGGGAAAGAAACCACAGGTCCAGAAATCTTTTTCTCGAAGAAAATACTTTCCAGTGTTCTCGCCCCTTTGGGGTACAAATTCGGGGTATGCAATGGGTGGGTTCTAAGCTTGTCAGCTGCAACATTCTCAAACAAAGGAGTTATGTACACACATTGTTCTCTAGCCCTTCTTTTGCAACTCGTAGCATTTTTGCGAGTGTATTCTCGGAATACATGTCCAGCAGTTTTCTTGGCATATGGCGAGATTCATCGAGAATAATGGATGAGGAAAAAGTTTCCACTGATTGGCAGTCCGATGTTGTTGTTTCACTGCGCGTAGTACTGTCGTCTCGCCAGTCTTTTGAAGAGGGTGTTGATAGCGAGTGTTCAGAGTGCTCCGGCATGCCTTCCTGAAGAAATGATGCAGGTTGCATAGCTATTTCTGCCATCGGATTTCTATATCGTACTATCTCAATTATTGGATCCAATAAAGACAGGTTTGGAAATAACTTTTGAATGTTCTTAGCCAGCAATTATTGCAACCCGTCAAATGCAGCTATTATATTTCCATAGGCTCTTAGATTGTATTTCCAATAAAAACGCCGTAATTGTAAAGAAAAGACTATTGTTTGTGCAGGACAGCATCGGGCGATATCCCTCCGAGCACATTCGCCCGCAATGCCGATAAAGGGGAGAACTGCGAGTGTGGCGTGTCTGAACAGCAAAAGAAGGTTTGTTCGGCAATAACTAACACGAAGCTGAAAATTGAAATCAATGGAATAAACGAACTCAGACATGCAACACTTTGCACCTACTGACTATTGCTCTCCGGTCGGCTCATTAGGTATTGATCAATGCTCCGGGCGAGATATCCCGAGTCTTCGCTTGGTTATACTCAAATCAATTTCAGCCTATCATGTGTCTGTGCTAATAGCTCTCGGCAACGTACCCCAGACTCCAGTCCCCAGATCTAACCTTCGGTCGGGGATGCCGGTTCCGATGCTAGTCTATTAGACATCTCTAGTAACAACAAGTATAAAGGAAACGGCTATTGTCCAGATACTTCCCAAGGCCATGCGACACGGACATCGCAATGGCAGAACTCACGCACTCCGATAATCACAACTCCCACACCTTCGAAGGCCTCGCACTCAAGGATGTTATTCCTAAAAATCGAAAGCCCCTGTACAAGGACTGGACACTGATAAAACTCAACACGCTTCTGCTCTGCGCTCTGTTGACCCAAATCGCATCTGGATACGACAGCAGCATGCTGAACGGAATGCAGTCACTCCCTCAATGGAAGAAATACTTTGGCCAACCCACCGGCACTCGTCTAGGAGCAATGACTTTTGGCCCGACGGGAGGCATTCTTATTTCGGTGGTGGTCTCATCCCAACTCTGCGAGAAGTTTGGTCGGCGATATCCAATCTGCGGCGGATCACTGATTATTATCCTGGGCTCGATCCTACAAACTGCAGCAGTTAATTATGGAATGTTCGTAGTTTCTCGCTTTTTTGTGGGTTTCGGCCTGGGCATTGTCTCTGTCGCTGCGCCGCCTCTGCTCTCCGAGGTCGCATATCCTTCGCATCGTGGAAAGATCGTTTCGTTCTATCTCGTCACCTGGTCTCTTGGTTCGCTCATCGCGGCGTGGATCACGTACGGAACGTTCAAGATGACCAACTCGTCGTGGAGCTGGCGCATCCCCAGCGTTTTACAATGCTCCTTTTCTCTCATCCAAGCCGTGTTGAGTCTCCTCGCACCAGAGTCACCTCGTTGGCTCATTTACAACGGCCGCAAGCAAGAAGCCCTCGATATACTAACCAAATACCACGGCGATGGTGACCCCAGCTCGCGACTTGTGCGATTCGAAATGGCGGAAATTACAGCCACGCTCGAGATGGAGAAAATTCAAAAGCTGTCTCGCTGGTCAGAATGGCTTTCCACCAAAGGAAACCAGCATCGACTTTTTCTGGCGCTATATATCCCTGCTATGCTGCAGTGGTCAGGCAATGCGCTTACCTCGTACTACTTGTCAAAAGTACTGAATAGTATCAATGTGACAGACTCCAAAACACAGCTTATCATCAACGCCTGCCTCTCTATTTGGAGTTTTGTCTCGGCTGCCTTCTTTGCAACCCTTGTCGACAGAGCGGGTCGCCGACGCCTGTTCCTCTGCGGTATGGGAGGCATGGGAATTTCCTACATTATCTGGACCATCTGCTCTGCGATTAACGAAGAAAAAGGCTTCAAGAACTCCGGATTCGCAGCAGCGGTGCTTCTTATGATTTTCGTTTTCGGTGCCTGCTACCACATGTGTTCGCCGGTCGCACCTACTTACATCATGGAAGTTGTGCCATATTCGCTCCGCGCCAAGGCCTCCATGTTATATCAACTAACGGGAAATCTCGCCGGGGTCTACAACAGTTTCGCCAATCCAGTCGCGATGGATGCCATTTCTTGGCGATATTATATCGTCTGGTGTGTCGCGATCGGAGTCCATTTCACTCTCATTTACTTCTTCTTCCCCGAGACAAAAGGTAAAGGATTGGAAGAGGTAGCAGAGATTTTTGATGGACCAGATGCATTGTCTGGTGTCAATGCGATGAAGGAGACTGGTCTAGACATGAATGCAGATAAGGTGCTGGCATTTGGTGATGAGGCATTGGATTTCCCTGCGAAAGGATCTGTAGCGCAGGTTGAGAGGGTTTAATGTCATAAACTTCATAGTTCTATATCGATGGTACTACCCGGTAGTATTAGGGGAAATAATTTATAGCCCATGGAATGCTACATATATACCAATTGATGAGCTAGGTACTACTTTAAATCACTCGGCATCCCAGTCCTTAGTGGTTGCTCTCTCTAGCAGCAGGCAATTCATAGATATATTGAGCTAGATACGCAGTATTTGGAAATAGATTGCTTTTGCTGACAACTATACGTCGAAACTGCTTCGTTTATAGCTGTCGACAGAAGCGACATCAAGACCGCAACAAGTTTCTCTCCGTATACGCTTTGCTATACCAAGTAATACTTGTAAACAACGACAGATCCAAAATTGTAAGACACTATTGCACGATCGGTGCGTCGAAATGGCCTTTTGTCTTTGCTCAATTAGACGAGAGCTAGAGAGTCGTTTTATAGCTATGCCAAAACTCAACTGCCGTGCCTTTCTATTACCTAAGTATAATGTCTGCGTTCAAAAGCGGTTTACTCGACAGGTGTCTTACCACGTCCATAACAATCAAATCTACCATCATGCAGCGACAGATCCACATCATCGTTCTTTGTGGATTTCGTATGTGGCGTCCTCTTTTTCAAAGGCCCGAAAGATCGCGATCCGATCGCTATTGAACATTGAGGAAAGTGATCTCACAATCGAAATAAGTGGAACACCACCCACCCTGCTGCGTATAGCGTGCTGGCTAGAACATTCAAGGAGAGACACTCCCCACTTAGTGGAGTATCCCTTAGATGAACATTCCAACATCGTCCGCATTACCTCGGCGGGCTATTAACATCTTAGGGGTACCCGGGAATACTTTCGGAAACACGTAATTGGCCCCTAAGACGTTTGTTGCCGTGTTAGCATAGCACTTTGTATTTTAAACCTAATTTTGAAAGTTGGATTCAATTTTGGACTCTTTCATACAGTCTAAACAAAGGCCTAATTGACCCTAACAGATCAATCCAAAAAAAAACTTAGTCGTAAACTAACCCCATCAACCCCACTAAACCCCTAGTCTACCCCCCGAACCAATTGGAGTTGAAGTGTAAGATAATCAAGACATTCACTATGTAAAGATTATCAAACTTAGTGGTAAAATAGTCAGTATATAATGACATCGCGATCAACATGGGGGCCGATCAGGATCCCTTAACTTTGCTGCTCGGGTTCAGGACGACCCACCGGGTCGGGCCGACAGATCGTAGATCTGACCCAATCTCGATGGTCAAAGCCGAGCCACATATTCTATGAAGAATGGCCCGGCTTAATGACAGCAAATGCGACGCCGCTTTCGAGACGGCTGAATGTGCTACTCCACATAAAATAGAATACCATTCTCGGCTTATAGAGATGAGTCACAGGGCTATCCCTGCACGAGATGCTTCCGAGTGGGTTTATCTTCTTATCTCGTTGCTTCGTGCAAATGGCTCATAACGCGGAGGTCGTATGTTGTAAAAATGAATTTGTCGTGGAAACCTCGAAGCGGGGGATAAATTGGCAAGAGAAGAGAGAAACTAAGGAGGGGCAAGGCAAGAGGGTCCCTGATTCAGCATCCGAAATGCATTCAGAACAAAAGCACCCGTGATGGGTATTAGGGTCCTGAGAAACAACCCGCCAATACTCCCCCACGCTTCATCTCCTATCTTCTTTGGGATGATATTGGTCACAGAGTCAGGGGTTCGTTGTAGACATCTCATCTCAGGCAAATGTCCATGACGAAGACCCTTATGGAGAGGCACGACTAATAGCGGTAACTTTAGCAGGGGCAGTAGTAATACTAGTAGTAGGAGCGAGAGCTTTAGCGCGTGGGAGAGCTATTTGGTAGAATACTCTTCTGCGCCGAAGAATATCCCGGTTTCTCCACCTATGTGGGTACGTACATATACGAAGAAGCTATGGGGCGAACTCGGATCTCGCACTAATAACTATAGACCAAGGATACGGTAAACACTAGGACGTGAACGGCAATCCCACTATTCAACATTTGCCATCCTAGCATAGGCTGGTGTTAGGTTGTAAGGGCTGGGGTTTATCTCAATATTAGGCTAGGAAAATTGCTGTGTCGATTTTTGGTCTAGCTGAGAGAAATCCAATAGCTGGCTGCCTCTCCACGGCCCGGATTATCCGGCGTAGCTGCTCAGCCACCGAGCAGCATGGGCATCGGCAGATGAGTTGCTAAGATAGCAATACATCTTCTGATTTGCACATTAATTCTCGTAATACTGCCTTAGGTTCGGTAAAGGGAAACTGCTTTCTGTATTGATTGAACTTTTAGCCGGTTTCACTTTCTCCATGCAGTGGAGTTTTCGGCAATCTTGCCTGCGTCATAGAAACCAGACCAGCTTCTAGACAGAGGTACTGATCAATGCGAGTTGTAGGGGCCTGGATGATGGGACGTCTTGGGTGTGGATTTAGAGATAAGCGCACAAAGTTATTGCTGATCCGTCTGAAGGTCCTTTCTAAGTGGCTGAGCAGAGGACTCCAGATGAGCAGTCTTGATATTTGACTTCTCAATCAAATATGGTGGAGCGCTTTCTCCTTACTGCTTCCAATGTCTCACTCAACACTGGGGAGCTTCCCCGTAGGTCGGAGACTTCCTTCTGCTCATAACCCACTAAGGAGGCCCCATTGGCCCAATCTTATCGGCCTCTAACATTAAGAGAGTAGTGTCCAAGTAGCTGTTTTAATTACACTATGGTGTCATGTATCTCTACAGATTACGGTATTGGGCATAAAATTAGGAACCTGGAAGTGACCAACCCAGGTGTATTTAAAACTGTGACAAAACAATATATAAAATGTTCCTTCAAGTCCATTGTTTATTTAATAAAATACAATAGAAACTAAAGATAAAAACACACTAAACCTTTCCTGACTTTGGTGTGTCCCACTTTTAGACATTCCTGACATGGGTTTGTCGGCTAACCGAGGGGTGGAAGAGAGATACAAACCTCGTTAGGAATGAGACGTTCCTCCGAATAATATTTTAGCTTGTCCTAGTCTAATTTACCTCGGTCTAATCCTATCAAATTTTTATTTTGGGATAGTTGTTCTCTAAAACATCCTGGGATTAGATAACTTACCCTTTGCCTATTCTTGTAGCTGCCATCCTACATTCTGCACTAACAATACTTAAAGGCTGTACACCCGCATAGCATTCATTCACAGAAGCTTCCGAAAGCTCAATCGCTAACACATTCTTGTACTCCTCAAACATAATCAAAACCTCTCGAGACATTGTCAACCCTTCCCCCTCGGTCTCTTCTGTTTTGAAACCTGACTCCGAGAAGATGGACTCTTGTCACCATGCACTACGAGTCTCCTCTCAGCGAAACAAGCTCTTGGCTACATTTTATACAAATGACCAGATCGATCTTGACGGATCATCTTTGGATATTCCCAAGCTTATAGCAACTGCCCGGTATGCCAGACGACCGGTGAAGCTACTAAAAACTGTAAAGTACTAACTGCAGTACCTATCTAGTTTCAGAAAATCGGCTTCTATTGATAGGCTGCCCAAAGATGCAGCCGACAAAATTGAGCAGAGCATTCAGTTTCTCAAAAAGGAACTTGGAAAAGGCCGCTCTGTGTATGGTATGGCATTCCTGTAAACTGACGTCATGAGGCTGATATATTCAGGGGTGACCACTGGCTTTGGAGGTAGCGCCGATACCAACACAACCGCCATAAATACACTGCAAGTAGCTCTCCTACAGATGCAGACAAGTGCTGTTCTTCCCACTCCTTCCCAAAGTCGAATTGCCTCTACCAATGGCCATATTCATGCAGCCCTTTCAATGCCCGAGGATTGGGTTCGAGGTGCAATGCTTGTGCGCTGTAACTCACTCCTCAGAGGACATAGCGCGGTTCGCCTCGATGTAATCAAGACCCTTCTGATACTTCTAGAAAATGACGTTATTCCCCTGATTCCTCTTCGTGGAAGTATATCGGCGTCAGGTGATCTATGTCCACTTTCCTATCTTGCAGGAACTTTGGAAGGGAATCCAGATGTGTACGTCTGGATAGGACCAAGTACGGGCAGAGAGATTGTATCATCTGACGTCGCACTTCGTCGACTCAACATTAACCCAATTCAATTCGGACCTAAGGAGATACTGGGGATTCTCAATGGAACGGCGGTTTCTGCAGCTGTAGCGTGTCTTGCTCAGCATCAAGCAGACAACCTGATCTTATTGGCTCAAGTACTTACATCAATGGGCGTTGAAGCCCTTCAAGGTCGTCTCGAAAGTTTTGATCCCTTCATCGCCGAAGTGCGTCCTCACCCTGGTCAGATAGAGGTAGCAACGAACATTTCAACCTTTCTGAGAGGCTCTCTCCTAGCAAGAGGTCGAGCGGGGACAGTTCATGATGGTGGCCTACGGCAGGATCGCTATTCTCTCCGTACTGCTCCCCAATGGCTTGGCCCATACGTCGAAGATCTTATTTTAGCCCGTAAGCAACTTGAGATTGAGCTCAACTCCACAACTGACAACCCTCTCCTCGATGCGTCAGCCGAGAAAACACATCACGGTGGAAACTTTCAGGCTGTATCCATAACCTCTTCTACCGAGAAGACACGCCTTGCTCTTCAGATGATCGGCAAATTGATCTTTGCACAAAGCTCGGAATTGCTCAACGTACATATGAACAATGGACTTCCTCCAAACCTAGCTGCTGATGAGCCGAGTCTGAGTTTTACGTTCAAGGGTGTTGATATAAATATGGCGGCTTATATGTCAGAGCTTGCTTTCCTAGCCAATCCAGTCAGTAGCCATGTACAAAACGCGGAGATGGCAAATCAGGCATTGAATTCTTTAGCCTTGATCTCGGCTCGATATACACATATGGCTCTAGATGTGCTATCGTTGATGAGCTCGGCTTACCTCTACTCTCTTTGCCAAGCTCTAGATCTTCGAGTCATGAATGCGAGATTTCTTCAGCAGGCGAAGCCAGCTATCGAATATCTAGTTCGCAATGTATTCGCTGAATTACAGACGGACATGGTGAAGACCCTTGTGTACACAACATGGACGGCGATCGAACAAGCCATTGCTTCTACTGCCATTAAAGACTCCTCTACCCGTTTCGTTGACGTTGCTCAGTCCACTCACACACCTTTGATCTCGCAACTACCCCCAACTCCTTCAGCCCTCTTGCTCATAACGACCTTCACCACCCGTGCTGCCAAGCTTCTCCAGTCTCTTTTCATCAACAACCGCGCGGCCTATATGCTTGCCCCGGACGCTACGCCGTTCCTAGGGCTTACCTCAAAACGCATGTACAATTTCGTACGTAAGGAGCTTGGCGTCCCATTCCATCGCGGACTAGTGGATCACCCAACCAACTCTACCGATGAGGAGGAAAGAAAAAAGTTGAAGACGACGGGCGGACAAATAAGTATTATTCATGCCGCATTGATGGAGGAGAGGTTGATGGAGCAGGTGGTCGGTTGTGTGAGTGATGCTTTGAATGGGGGAGAGGATAGAGTCGCTGCGATGCTTTAACTTTTATTCAAGTAATAAAGATAGAAGTGGGTAAAGAAATAGAACCGGGGGTGGTAGAAATGAACAATACTAAGAAGCAGTTCTTTTCCTATGTTAAAAACATTTCCACGTAAAATTAAGTTTCGGCATGGTACACATACCATCAAACCACAGGCTATATAAAAAAACATAATTCAATCCAAATTCCCATCTTCGGTAACAAGCTTGATTCTGGGTACTAGAAGAAGATTGCAAGAATTTGCTTTTAATGCCTGATAAAATTTGATGCTGTAGACGTACACCATCTTAATAGATACGACGTTAGTTGTTGACTGAGAACTGATAAAATTCTTACGATTTGAAGATAAAATAGAAGCCAGGCACCGTGGAGTTCGACCACCCCAAAATTCAGTTATCTTGCAATAATGATCATCCTAAGAGAGATTCTTAATATAAAAGTACTTATCTGTCTTATTATTTACATAATCAACAGATCAGGATTACTTTTCAAAGCATTAATTATCTTTAGATTATCCTTTCTTTATCATTATTAGTCAATTCAAAGTGTTCAAATAAAATAAGATTAGATCTTAACCTTTTTTTGTAATATAAATAATCTTTAGGACTCTAGAACTTCATTCAAAAGATACTCTATAATGATCTTAGCGGGGGTATAAATCATGTCATAAGAGTAGCTTGATGTTTCTTCGGCCATTATTTGAGGGTCGATGCTTTCAGATGCTTTATCGACATTGGGGACGGAGCGGTTAGGGTTATCCGCTGCGATCCTTTTTTTCAACGAGACATGAAACACACAGGAGCCCGAGATACAGCAACCAAGCATCGGATTGCGGTATATCCCTGACGTTTCTGCTTTTCCTAAGAGCTAGACACTCTCATGAGCTGCTTCTGCAAACCCTGACCTTTGCAACTCCAGATGCATCACCTCGCCTCACCTCAGGTAGTCACATCAGTTACATGATACTCAACAGCGAAGCGAAAAATGAAAAAATATTGTATCTATGTCTATTTAGCCAATTTTATTTTACACAAGGGTACGTGAGTGAGTCAATGAAAGAAAGGGGGAAATAACTGAGAAGAGATGTACAACGACTAGTAGTCCGGCGACTGATTTGAATGTAGCATAATTGACTGGACCCGAGTGAACTCAGAGATGTCTAAGATGCTTACTCGACACAAATTTAGCTTTAATCCTCCGAGTAGGTTGCAAACTTGCTGAGAGCTCGGAGCTTGGCACCGTAGAAGAACAGCAGCCACATCCCTATGATACCAATAACGCTCAAGCCACCGAGGAGACTCGTGCCTTTGGAAAACCCAAGATTCTGATATAGTGGATGCGCAAAGAGAATGCTGCCGCTGGCCAGGGCACTACGGAAGAAGTCGTTTGCAGCGAATAGAGAGGCAGCATACTGAGGGTAGCTGAGTGGGATGTAGAGGAACATACACTGCAGCACGATGAATGTCGAGCCAGCGTAGATCGAGATGCCAATAGTTGGGACGATCCAGTGAATAGAAACCCGGGCTGTCCAGGCAAACATAAATAGGCCAATGGTAGGACCGAAGGATATAGGTAAGCCAGGTATGAGAACGTTCTCTTGTGGGCCCATGCCGACCTTCTTCACCCGTGGTGTAACCACAAGGTACAGATATAAGCCATAAGCGATAATGGCGACAATGCACCCAATGATGATGCACATAAAGACGAGACCGACTTGGCCTAGGTTCATATGGTAGAAAACGGGATAGACAAGTGGAAACACCTCAAAGTCTGTACAATCAGCTAAAAGACTATGTCAAGTCACAGGAGACTTACAGGAATAGTAGATGCCATAGACGATAGCCGAGTAGACCTGCACAAACATAACGGCTGGGTCTTTTAGAGTGATTTCTAACGGCTTGATCAAGGCATCTATGGCAATGCCCGAGACTGTCATGTGACCTTGGTCAATCTCGCTCTGGGACATTAACTTCTGGCTACCGGTAAGCTTGCGTAGGCGTTGGGCGCGGCGTAAGAGGATATTAGGGCCACTCGTTTCCGGCATAAACATAAAGAGAGCGATGAGCACCGGTGCCGATACCCAGATAGACTCGTATAAGGACCATCGCCAGTTTTCCGCTGGCACGGCGAATCCACTGATGAGAGGACCGAGAGAGGCTGTCATAGACTTAGCGAGCGGATTTTCAATGGCCAGGAGGAAGACTTACGCCCACAGGACATCGCGGCAACCCAGGCAATCATTGCAAAGGGTAAATTTATCAGGCTATACATATCGCTCATCGAAGCGCCACCTGATGCTAAGCAAGGTGACCCGAAGAACCCCTGCAAGAAGCGCAAGACAATGAGGCCCGCAAAATTATTCACCAAGGCTGTTGGAATAGAGAGGACAACAAATAGGCCCATAGTGATGATATAGATAGGGCTGCGACCGATGCGAGGGATCTCACTGAGAGGTGAAAAGAGCAGTGGGCCAACGCCATAGCCTAGTACGTACATAGCGAGACCTAGAGTTGCCTTGAGATTGCTAACGCCAAACTTCTCCATCACACCTTGGGTTGATGATGTGTAGATTGCTGAACTCAGGTATACTACAAATGTATAGAAGCATATAAGCAAGGCGAGGAGCGCACGGCGCAGGTTAGACCAATTGTGCGGGTTGGCGGTATCTTCTTCGTAGTACCAATCGACTAAAATAGTACCGTCTTTGGTAATTTTTGGCGTCAGACGAGTAGATTTGTCTTCAGCAAATTCCTTGCTCTCAAGATCCAGTTCGGCCGCGTTGCTGACGTCGTGCTCCGCCTCTACCACCTCTTGCTCGCGGTTCAAGTTAGAGATGGTTGAGGATGTAGCTGCCTTAGGCCGAGGTATCCTGTCGATCTCTGCGTCGCTCATCATACGGATCCATGGCCCAGGAAGCTTGAAGTCCGGCTGTTCTTCTGGGTATTTGAAAAGGCGATTGCTGGTGAAAAAGCGCACGAGCTGTCCCAAGGGAGCGTCTCGGACGACGTCATGAATCGATTCGCCAAAGGCCATCTTGCCTCACCGACTGCTGGATTGAGTCTGCTGAGAGGGTAGTTGCTCCGATATATCAAGCGAAAACGTAGAGAGTGTCTGCAATAACAAGAGAGCAGACGACATCGATGGAAGACACTCTCTACACTTATACGGCATCCGCCGGCGCAAACACTACCAGGGTCGCGTAGTATCATGATTGATAATAATCTCCGTAGACATCGCAGAGATGAGTGTCAGAAAAGGAGGAAGAGCCGAGCGAGTTCGGCTCTTCAGACAAGAGACTGCCTGATTAAGTAAGAGCCACAGGCTATATCCGCGTGGGGATCGGATGTCGCCCACAAGCAACACTCTAGCGCCCTTTTGGCGACTAGCAACCTGCGGTTCCCATCCATTAGCGGAACTCTTTATAAGCAAGAAAATGACCAATCAACGTGTCATAGGGCGAGAGCAGTCAGCGTTTGACCGCTTTGCCGGAGGCTCCGAACCACCAGCCTATCTGCGTTCCTTTCCTTGATTGCCTGCCGCTGACCTTTGCACACGATTGACATTACGATCGCGTAGAGCTCGAGTTCGGTTTTGGGAATTCGCGCCCTCTGGCAATTCGGTTAAATCTGCCAGAATCCGTAAACATGAATCAAGAGACACGAAGCCGCAATTCGAAACGAAACTCCACGGCGTGTGAGCATTGTCGGGCGGCCAGAGTCAGATGCCAAGCCAGTGAGCAACCAGGGGTGTGTGAAAGGTAATGCATTAAACAACTTCAGGTTGTCCTTTTATTCTTATAGTCTCTATTAGATGCCTCGCCTTGAAAAGAGAGTGCATCTCCCGTACTAGGCCACGGCCTCACCGATGGGGACGCATACGGGGGTAAGAGCCATGTCTTGCTGACCTCTAGATATTTTCTAATGTCATTCCCCTATCTAGAACGGGAGACAGTGGACCCTCGCCGCAGTCACCCGGCCATCTTCGCACCTTTAGCATTAACTACACCGTGCCAGTCAAAGCGGATCTCAATGATAACTTCGAAACCCTGCTGGAGATGCATGATCAGGCTCTTGATACCGCACTCATGGAGGAAGATCCTGTTGATAATTCGCAAAGTGCAAGCCAATCAGTCAGCCTCCCAAGCCCCTCAAGTTCGTCAAATCAATCTCATCCAATCTCCGACATCTGGCGTCAACCTTTATTCGATATGGCATCCGCGGAATCTCTCCTGGATACCTTCAAGTCTATGGTTAACTACCTACCGTTTGTAGTCTTTCCCGACGACTCTCCTCTCTCGTATCTCGCTGCCACAAAACCTTTCATTCTGCTGTCTATCTTGACCGTAGCTTCTGGATCAAGGATGGTGCAGAAACACGCATTATATGATGATGAGTTTCGAAAAGCTCTAGGTCTGAAGTATGTCTCTGGTGGGGAGAAAAGTCTCGAGCTGCTTCAGGGCCTATTAATATACTGCGCATGGTATGTCTGGTGGTTGAACTAGTTTCTATGCATCTCCGTCTGACGTCACAAGGTATCCTTCTCACTTGCGGCCCAAAAACGGACAGCTGGTTCACTGTTTGCGAATCGCCGCTGATCTTATTCACGACCTTCATTTGGATGAAGACTTCCTCACAATGCCTGATCCGTTGGGTCGGGAAGTGACAGACGATGAACTTGACAAGATCCGAGCATATCTCGCCTATCTATATCTTGTTTCTACGTAAGGTGCAATGTCCTCAAATTCAATTATGCAAACGATTCTTACTTCTGAATCCCCTATAGGTATGTCGTTGTATGGAGAGGGGAGAAAGATTTACCTACAAAATTTCCCCCTTGGGCCAGTAACGCCATCGACATCCTCCAACACAATGCCCAAGTCGACAGCGATAACACGCTCGTGGCTCTAGTCCGCCTGTCTAGTCTCTTTTCCGATGCATCCAAGGCTACCAATGAGAGCGACGTGCTAACCGTGCAAAATAGTCGACTGATTTTGATTGGTCTTGAACAACAATATCAGGAATTGCAGCACAGCATGAACCACCACCTTATCGTGGGATTCGGTACGTCGAGCTAGGTGAATGTGAACGTGCAGGAGAGAGACTGATGCAGTGAAAAGAAGCGACACGAATGCAGGCGATTTTTGTCGACGTATTCCTTGCCTGCGGGAGCTTACTCGTCTTCCCCGTAGCGAAGACCAATTTATCTGCCAAAATAACTTGCTTTCCTCCGCCATTATCCAAGATCTACAGTGCCACGAAAAAGATAAAAGCTTTTCTAGACTATGTGGGCGAACTAAATGATTCGTCGGTCCTTTCATTTACAATCAACGACTGGACACGGCTCATTGTCGTCCTTACATTATCATTCCGCTTATCATTCCCGCTTTCGCTATATCCTGAATTTGATTCGGCGTGTGCCCGCTCCGAAATTCAACTGGATCAATTCCTATCTAAAATGTCGCGTGGTGCAGACGACGCCACAGCTTCAAACGATCTTCTGTCGGCTAGTCGCGCCATGCTAGGCCTTGCTAAGTCGAAATACGAACGTCGACTGGCCTCACTTGGAGGACCACCATCCGTCGCCCCAACGAGCAGGTTTTTTGGGTGTCCTGTGATGGACGGAAGCTTGAGAACATCCGTGGAACAATGGGAACCAAACTTCACGAATTTATCGGGGTGGACCGATGCCGGTGAGCCGAAGGATCTTCCCCTATTTCACGATGTATGGGCAACGATGAATATGGGATGGGGAAACGCCAGTGACATACCTTGGGATACAGTGGAGAGTTTATTTACGCCGCTTCAGCTCTGAAGGCGAGCTTGCCCCTGGAAGTCGACGCGAGAGAACCCCATTTTGAGTGTTACTTGTCGGGTTTAAAATTTTAAGGTATTTTGTGACTGCACTCGCTTGGACCGCTTAGTCAATCAATGTAAAAACACTCCTGTTCCTGAAATCTCCTCATCCCCAAACCATGACCAGATCTCGTTGAGTAGCAGGCCAGGTACCTCATAAGCACGGTACCTCATAGGTGGCAAAGTGACCAGGTAACCATCGTGATCGTTCACAGTCCTCTTGAGAACATTTCCTCCTCACTTCGCCCAAAGTCAGGCGCAGCGAGGCCCCCATCGTTGAGCACCTCCTTGTAAAATCATTGACCAAGTAATGATCTCCTCGGCAGTCCGTCATGCTGAATGCCAGGGTGAGCGGTTCCGTTGTATGCATCAGGCGGTATCCAGATTATTGATCTCCAAAGTATTGATATATGCAACTTTATCAGGGGTTGCTAACCCCTCTGCGAGCCTGCACATCATTTTCTTCGGGTTGAATGGCATATTTAGAGTAGCCGAGCTGGCACATCAGTCCATTGAAAGCGTAAGACGTTTCGACGGGACCGAAGCCGGGGTGCTGAGGTGCAGGAGAGAATCCGAAACCCAGGATTGACGGAGGAAAAACCTGAAATGCCGGCACAGCTGCATTAGGAGAATTTGTCAAGTTGCCCATGATGTTGCTGACTTCTAGAAACGAGCTTGGCCACCCATGGATGATGAATAGCAGAGGAATGGCATCCTCCCGAAGTCAACGATGATGAACAAAGTGGAGGGGCATTGGATAACTGGCATTATCAATCACCGGTTATAGAATGGCTGTGAACTGTTCTAGCCTTATAAAACTGTTAGTAGATCAACGGGAACTGTTTTTATGCCACTTACTTTTGGGTGATTGATGCTTTAGTTGCGTTCTAGCTATACTTATTGACCCAGAAATCCCAAACAGTGAAGATTTCAGCTCTAGGGCCGCCACCTATCGCGTCCATAAACACAGGAGCCCTTGTGTGTGCGACTCGTGCCGAGTGTCTTCAATAAAATGCCCCGGTCAACGTGGATTGCAAATGGCTTGGGCGATCTGTGAAAGGCGGCATTAACATTTGGCACAGAAAACTTCTCCGCAGCAGTGCAGACAGGGTTAAAGCCAAATGTTAAGAAGGATAAAAGCATTTAAGCGTTCTGAAATGAGCTCAGGCTAGGCTTCTGCTTTCAAGACGGCCCTTGTTGTTTCTGTCCACTTGTTGCCGTCATTGTGTTATCAACAACCTGTAGGGCTGATGTCATTCTGGTGGCAGGATCTGAATTAATAAACAATTAATAAACCGCGACAACTACAGTTATGCTCATTACATCTCATAAAGGTGCTCTTTAGATATCCGAACGTTGCCGGAAGTGGAAGTGTTGGCTTCTAATGCAATGGCCCACTTCTATTTCCGGGTAGACAACTCCCGTACCAACGTCGCGATCAGCTTTATTGATTATCAAAATCTAGAAATCTGCATACTGTAGCTTACGAAATCGGCAAAGGGTGCTTACAAAGTCTGAAAACCCCAAATTCGCTGATCTGGCGACCTCAAAAGTCCCGAAGCTACATCCGGGCGGCTTACGGATATTGATGGCAAGGGTGTGTTACTCCACCATGACCACCGCTCCACCATTAAGGCTATCCTATCACCTCTGGCTTGGAAACCCTCGCATTATTACAATTCCCAAAAAACTTCTTAATGGTTCAACCAAGATCCAGGAATGAATAAGCCGGTTTGAGACTTCTCCGCCGCCTCCATTTATAGCCAGCGTCTACCAGCGTCTACCAGCGCCGATTTAGCATAATAACCTCAAGCTGCTCTTCCACATTAGCCCACAACCCCTTCTCATCCCGCCCTCATTGTCAATTACCGCACCAAAATGGCCCCTATCCAATTTGGCGTCCTCGCCTTTGCCTACCAAGTAGTCGACATAGCCGGGCCCACGGATCTTCTCAGCTCCGCCAACAAGAGCGCCCTCAAAACCATTCAGCAATACGGCCCTATTGACGAGGACCTCATTTCCCGAGCACCAGAATTTGTGTTCCATCATATTGGCGTGAGCAGAGATCCCGTCGACCTGGGTACTAGCCAGATGACGATTGTCCCTACAACGACTGTGGATGAGTGTCCCGAGCTGGATATCTTGCTCGTTGGAGGGCCGTACCTGGGTGCCTTTGACTTAAACCCCAAGCACGCTGATCTGATTCGAAGACACGTCGCTGCTGGAAAGCTCCTCTTTACAACCTGCACTGGTGCCAGCCTCGTCGCGTCCACAGGCGCCCTAGACGGGAGGAAGGCCACGGTCAACAATATCGAATACGAGTGGGTGAGGAAACGCTGGCCGAAAGTCAACTGGACTCGGGAGAAGAAGTGGATCATCGACGGCAACATCTGGACAGGATCTGGCGCGATCGCTGGGACGGACATGGTTGCCCACTGGCTCAAGGAAAACTATGGCCTAGATGTGCTCATCCAAGCTGCCGCCACCTTGGACTATGAACCGCGAGATGCTGATGGTTTGTTCAACGTGTTTCCGCAGAGGTCTAGTTCGAAGGGAGAGAAGATTTCTACTCATGTTTTTAGATATTATGAAGAGTAATGAACCAATCTACACGTTGACCACGCCAGTAGACCGCATTAGAAGGAGACTAGAGGCCTGAGAAGGATATCTGTTTTGTCGTTTCGTAGTCCTCACTGATGAAATAGACATGCAGCATCTATCTTCGCGCCACTAGCCGTGTCTCTTCTCACTATGTATCGGATCATCTGTTTATCAATCTCCATGTGTATGTATGCACCGATGACTCTGTTCTGAGCCTCAATAGTGCAACCTTTTGTTCGCCTGCCGCTTGTCGCTCCTCTTAGCATCTCTGCTCTCTCTAACGTTCTAAAGTAGAGAGTAAGCGTTATGTATCATGCGCGAGAGTGTTTGCTAAGCATTGCTTCAGCATCCTCTCTTGCTACTATCCCTCGTTATGTAGCTAAATATAACTAATAAAGCAGGGAAATAGAAACAAGGCTAGAGGGAGGGAGAAGGTTAAGATCAGCCGAGAATAGTTCGCGCTAGTTGGCTAACTAACTAATTTTATGCTATCCTTTCTTTATCAAAATCTTAGGCATTCATTTTAGACAACACCATTTTGAAATTAAGTTTTGAGCTTCAAGCTTCGAGTTGCGATAGTCGTCATCCATTCATGACATCCTTACCCTAGCAATTATTTAACCAGTCCCATAGTTTTCAAGCACGTAGTCGACATCTTTGTCACCGCGACCCGAAAGATTAACCAGTATCCGTTCGGACGAAGGGCGTTGTGATGCCAATTTGATTGCAAACGCCAAAGCGTGCGCACTTTCTAATGCAGGGATGATTCCCTCGAATTTCGCCATGCGGAAAAAGGTACTGATGACTTCTTCGTCAGAAATTTTTGCGACGGAAAGCCGGCCAGTTTCATGCAGCAGCGCAATCTCTGGCCCGATGCCGGGGTAGACAAGTCCAGATGCCACGGATGAGACTCTGGCAGGCGTACCGTCATCTTCCTGTAGCACAACTGACCGGGCACCATGCAACACCCCCGGCCTACCGTATGATAGTGTCGCTGCGTGTTGGCCAAGTTGATCTGATTTACCGAGCGGTTCTACTGCATGCAGGGCAACCTCCGCATCATCAATGAAGCCGGAATACAAACCCATCGCATTCGAACCCCCTGCCACACAGGCAACCACATGCTCAGGTAAGCTGCCATTCGTGACGGAGAGAAATTGCTCGCGGGCTTCTCGACCAACTACAGCTTGGAAATCTCGAACAATCAGGGGGAAAGGATGTGGCCCGATAGCCGATCCAATTGCATACAGCGCGTGTGCATGCTGTTTGACATATGCATTAAATGCGGAGTCGCTAGCTTCCTTCAGGGCAGATTGGCCAGCGGTTGCTGGTACCACACGTGCACCGAGTAGCTGCATGCGACCAACGTTTGAACTCTGCTTTCCAACATCAACATCGCCCATATGAACTTCGCATTCAAGACCAAAATAGGCAGCTGCAGTTGCTAGCGCAACGCCATGCTGACCGGCTCCGGTCTCAGCAATCAGCTTTGTCTTGCCCATTTTCTTTGCAAGAAGTGCGAAACCAACACAATGGTTGATTTTGTGCGCGCCTGTGTGGTTCAAATCTTCCCGTTTGACGAAGATCTGAGCGCCTCCGACTTGCTTCGAGATATTCTCAAGATAGTGGACTGGGGTTGGCCGCCCTTGAAGTCCAATCCGTGCCTTGTCGAGAGCCTGCTGGAAATCTGGCGACTGACGCAGCTCCTGATAAGTCCTATCTAATTCTTTGAGCGCCGGCCGAACCTCAGGCGGATAATAATTACCGCCAAACTGGCCGAAATATCCATCGGCGTCTGGGTAGCTTTGGGAATGAGAACCTTCAGGGTCCAGCATCATGACCAATCCTTGAGGATGAAGGTCAGAAAAAGGCTGTCCTTGTACTGTTTAGAACAGGATTTGTGTGGTACAGGCCGCTGCAATCGGACGACGAAACTGAGGCTTCCAGGTGTGTCGTCTCGCGATAGGTGGTCCTGGTCTTTCTTTTAGCGCTTTTAACACTTCCGCGTACCAACATCCAAATTGAGATTGTGTACAGTACTGTCTATCTGAAATGGAGTACAAGACGTGGGGATGTAAGCCGTAAAAGGTTGGTTGATTCTTTCGAGATTAAATATTTGAGTCAGAGAACAAGAGGGAGGTAGCCTACGGTGTTCCCGGCCGGTCGATCGTCGGACGGGTCAAGTCAATGATATACAGTTGGATGAATTATGCTTGGGGATAACACTGAAAAGGTGGTAACAACAGTAAGCGCTAAAGATTCAACTAAACTTAAAACTGACAAAATCTCTTGTTATAGTGTATAATTCCAAACCGGTGCCAAATTATTATGGGGCAATACAAGTACAAATTTTTAATGCTACGTATCCTCAAACATAATTCATTCCACTGTAACAGGTGGCATGATTCATGTAAAGTCAGCCCTAGTCAACTCCCCAGTTCTGTTTGCGGGGGTATCCGATCGGCTAGGGGAACAGACTTTTGATCCGCTATCCGATATCTAATGTGCGATTAGAGCGAGTCCCCCAGGATTTCATTCCTCGCTCGAGGTCAGCTTTACAAAAGTGTCAGAGGGTGCATGTCACCGAAAGGCGCAAGATGCAGTAACCTACAAACTATTCTTCTGCGTTCAAGACATTCTGGAATTTTTAATACTGTTACTTTAACTTCCTGCTATTGCCAGAGAAAAAAAGAAGCACTACCAGACATTGGTCTAGTTTACTTCTGAAAGTACCATCTAAATACTTTCCACTAAGAGCATTACCATCAGATCTTCTCTAAAAGTATGTGGACAATATCAAAAATTTTCTCCAACAGAAGCAGCTCAAGGAGCATTGCCATATCCGCCACCTTGTACGTCAATATTGGCTCCGTTTTCCAAGAGTATGTACACAACGACAAGGTTGTCACAGCAATCGATAACTCACAACCAATAAATGAAGGCTGACAATGACAGGCAATTTGTGACAAAGAGAAACCGAGTCAGTTATTCATTTGTTGGGTATCTGACTACTCGAGAGAGAACATTCTGTGAACTCCTGAAAAGACGCACCATATCGACGGCGACGGCCATCGGCGTGCTTATAGTATTTCAACAGACGTTGAGAATGTAATGGATTTTTTTTCCAATAACGGTAACTTAGCTCATGCAAATAATTGGGTACTTGTTGCTTCGAGGTGCTTTTTGATGACACTGCCAACTTACTAAACAGGAAAATCGCTTTCGAGCGTATGATTCCGAGTCACTAATTTATTTTCATGGTTGAAATAAGAATACATCGTTATTGAAAAAGCTCGATAGATGAGAGGTGTAAAGCTTACGATTATTCTATTCAATTTGAGGGCACATAGGCAGCTGTTTTTAACATCTGAAAATTATATTCAGTAACGTCATAGGGCTAGAAGCTAGAATCACTACGCTAAGCTCGAAAATAAATGAGCAACGTTGATAGAGGTCGATCACTCTCTCCTACAGTCGATTTTCTTTCAGGATATGTATTATAAAGCGATTGATTGTATGACCCCGCCAAACAAAACGCGCAAATCTGTCTAGCTAGAGGTAACTGATCTAAATGTTTAAAATGTTGAATACATATTTCTTTATTATACATAGAATGGAAAAAGAAGAAGTTATGTAAATTTTTTTTTTTAATTAAATAAAAAGGTATTAACTTCAATATTATAATTGTAACGTTGTAGCAATATAAGTCGTGGTGCGAGGTCGGCCCTCCTTCAGACTAGTATGGGAACTTCTGACCCACCAGCTCCTCGCTCAAATCCCACAGCTTCTCCACGGCTTCAGCGTCCCTCGCATGCTCTATCGGCTCAACTATCTGGCAGTTTTGCAGGTACGACGCCCCAGCCGTAACGATATCTGGGTTCAGAGCGGCCGCGAGTGGCGTGGCACCGATCTGGGCGTAAGACTTGAACCTCGGCTCGTCAAACACAAAGTCCTGGCCCGTATTGCGCTTCGTGATCTCAAAGATGTCGTCGTAGTCCTCCAACACCAGGTGCGAGCCGAGATTTGTGTCGAGATTGGACCCGGGATGTGCGGCGAAAGCGGTGATGCCCTGGTGCTCCAGGCGCTGTGTCAGGGCATATGAGAATAAGATATTTGCCGTCTTAGCCTGCCCGTACGCGGTCCACAAATTGTACGTCTTGCCATCGGAGAAGTTGTAATCCCCGAACTGGAAAGGACTGATGCGATAGCCCAGACTGGAGAGATTGACGACGCGGGCCCCGCGCTTACTCTTGTCGGACGCCGCAGCAGCCGAAAGCGCCGGTACGAGGAGGTTGGTCAGCAGGAAATGTCCGAGATGGTTGGCTGACAGCTGTATCTCGATTCCCTGGGCATCGAGAGTGTACTCCTTGATTGCCATATTGCCGGCACTATTGATGAGCACATCGATCTTGGACGCCGTCGCATTGAGGATCTCTCCTGCTGCTTTTCGGACCGAGGCGTAATTAGACAGGTCAACCTGAACGAAGGTGGCCTTGACTGACGAGTCTATCTCCCGAATGGCGGCGAGGACAGGCTCGACCTTGGCCGCGGTTCTAGATGCAATCAGAATGTGAGCTGGCGATGCTTTAGCGAGCGATGTTGCCAATGAGCTCCCAATGCTGGGCTGACTTCCACCGGTGATGACAAAGGTACGGCCTTGAACCTGGGCGCGATAGGCGTCGACGACCTGCTCACTGGTGGTTGTCGCGTCAAAGACAGGCATGACGACGATGATAGGTCGAACTAGGCAGGGGAGGTAGAGAGATAGAGATATATATACCCAGAAACCAAACAATTTTCGCTTGTCCGGAAACGGAGTTGTAATTTACTCTAAAGGTCCACTGGCTTCTTGGAAAACATGTAAATAGAGTACATGCCCCAGGGCAGATATGTTACCAAGCCTAGAATTCTGCGGTAGCCAGAGGCGAGCACGGGGGTCAAGCTGTTTACACTGATGAGGGGTTCTGGCGGTGACCGGCTTACGATTCAAAGGCTGTCTCGGAACGTTGCCTAATATTTAGTGGGTGTAAACAAAGACATGAAAGCGGAAAGCGACCCAATTGAAGCTTCTCCTTCGCACTAGTCAAGGGAAATCAAGCGTCCGGGCATAATCGAAGGTAGATCCCTGCTCCAGAAAATCCTAACATACACTCTAAAAGGCTCTCCTTGGATTCAATTAGGAAATCACATGAGGGGCACGATATAATAACCCTCTTGAGAATTGTCGAAGGCTCGGGTATTCAGGTGGAAATGATATTACGGATAAGGAGATTAATGTACTCCAACGCCTACTTGATGTTGTTGATCTTACAAAAGCAGTCAGTATAAGTTGGATATTGAAATCAATCCGACACTATGGTGAGTCACAGCAGAAGTATATCATTTTCTAAAACAGAAATAGTCACAATCTAATCTTCATTGATCAAACACAGTTCTAAATTCTAAATTATATCAATTTCAATATCTATTAGCTGGATGGCAACTCTATGGATATAGCTGTTCATACTAATAAGTCTCGTGACTACTGTCGGCATGAAAGGCAGCCGGGCTATTCATATCACAGTCTAGCGTAAAAACTTTAGTTTCTAGGTTAGAAATATTGAGCTAGCATGAGCAGCTTTGAAAGTCAACAGGGCCGTCTGAGAGTGCTCGCCTCATGCCAACAAGGCTCTGAGAGCCCATGACAGTTTGAGTACTTCCAAATTCGGGGTATGTGGTACTGAAAAAATGCGCTTCGTGTTCCCAGGGAATCCCGTACAGCTCTATGGTTTTCAAAGTCTCCCTGCGCATTGAAAGAGATAGTTTGATGGACTGAACAATGGATGGTTCCGTATTAACGGGGATGTGGTGTCTCCAGCAAAAATACGAAAGTTTTTTAAGAGCCGCGAAAGTCGCATTTGTATAAGCACCAGTTGACAACCCTAGATTAGTGCTAAGATATGGCACTGGCTGTATATATATATCAATTGATAGCATTCCAAATTCATTATACACATCATCAATGCTTCCTCGATCGTTAAAAAGGAAATAAATAAAAACCATGACGCATAAAAATGGGTATAAAATCTATATCACTACAGCCAACACTCAACACGAAGACAAACCCGTCTTTACATACAAAGAACGAAGAACAACCGAAAAGAAATAGAAGATTCTTGGTTTTCACTTAAACGGTGATACGCCACGACCGATTGGGAGCGTCCGCTCCGCTCCTATTCCTCGATCGGCTTTGATCACCGGTTTCTCTTCATCCTCTTCCTCCTCCTCCTCCTCCTCCTCCTCCTCCTCCTCCTCCTCCTCCTCCTCCTCCTCTTCTTCTTCTTCCTCTTCTTCCTCCTCCTCCTCATCATCATCGTCTTCTTCTTCGTCTTCGTCTTCGTCTTCGATTTCAAGCTGCCGTTCAGACATCTCCTCGATAATGCGTATCCTGACGCCCAGCATCCCATAACTAGTCGCAATACCATCAATCCAAGCCGTATTCGGGGCACGTCTGTACTGCGGTGTAATCAAACTCTCCAATTGCACCGGAAATGCTCTATTCGATGGGTTGAGGGGGAAAAGGAAAAAAGGGAATTTCGATGCAGAGACAGCACCACTACCACCACCACCACCAGAAAGCGAATACAGTGAATTCGACGGGAGAAGTCCCGCAGCCTGCTTTTGTGACTGCGTCAACTCACCAGTGGAGGAATTTATATCGTCGACTTGGGAGAAAATGTTTACTTCTTCGCGTAGGATGTCACGGTTGTGCGGGTCCGGTGTGAGGAGGATGAGGAGCTCGTCGACTAGGATTATGCCAGAACGCATGCCGCGGATGGCAAGGGAGGAGAAGCCGTCGAAAAAGACGTATGGGATTGGACCGACGAACTCCCGCCGTCGGTCGTTGGCGAATGTAGCATCTTTATTATCCGGTCCGCCGTGCGTGGCTACTGTGATCCCAAATTCAGTATGTAATCCACGGAGCGCGGCTCTGAGTCGGACCAGCTCTTGCAGCAATTGCGGCCCGAGGAGAATTTGCTTCTCAGGTGGTGCTTCCCACAGATCCTTAACCCGTTTCACAAACCCGGGCACTCTAACCATCTCCCGAAACGCACGTTCAGCAATGTCCGTGAAGAGCGAGGAATCAGGTTGCTTGGCGTTGTCAGCCGCAATAAACTCGCTCATCGTCTGCCATTCGGGCTGTTCCAGTAAACAAGCTTCACCAGTAAGCAAAGCGGCGGTGATGAAGAAGCCGCGGTAGGCGATATAAATGGCGCGTCCGAAGCCATCAGTATGCGCTTTTGCGCCACGAAGCCGCATCATTTCGATGACGCCGGCATGGTGGTACAACCAGGACTTTTCTGTTGCGCCGGCATACATCTCATAGCAGCTCAGCACGACGGCGGCAGCGAGAACCTCGTCGGATGTCCCTGATTCGATATCGCTCAGGCTCGCGGCAAGCATCCGTAGAGACCGGCCGTACAATTGTCGGCCGGCATTTAGCAGCCGCATATCGCCATATTGGGCCCCCATGTATATACATGTGGTTGCGCGCATGCTCAGATCAAAAGCGTTGTATGGGCTTCCCGAGCCGCGCTGAACAGCGTACTCAACCCATGTCACCGGCACACGTGTTTCTGTGCATTTGAACAGACACGGCCATGCAGTCAAGATGTAGTTGATAAAGACCTGGACCTGCTGCGCAGAGACGGTCTGCACGGCGAGTGATGGTGATACGCTTTCGTCGATGGTGAGATTGAATGGCTTATAAAGTGCTCGACACATATTCTTCTCGCTGGGTACACCCTGTCCTTTATACCGACGCCTCTCACCCGATCGCTCAGAACCAATCTCCTTCTCTTGCTGTCCCTTTTTTGATGATCGCGTGCGCGCGGAAGACGGCTCACCGCCGCCTCGCATGTACCGTTGTTGAAGCGCCGGCCCTTCATTCTGGAATTTGAAGACACGCGCATATCCAGGACATCTCACGCCTGTCTCGATGCATCGCTGACATTGCGGATGAGTCAAGTCACACTATCTCATCGATATCAATTAGTAATGCGAAGCTTATAAATTACAAAAAAAGGGTCACCATCGAACCACAACTTCATCGCCTTCCTTCCATACTTTGAAAAGTAAATTCAACACACCTTGAGTCGCTTGGAAATACAATTCCGACAGCCTTTATTCCTCGGCACGCCGACCATTGCGTCAGCCTTTGTCGGTCCAGCCTGACTTTCCTGACGATTCGCGGTGCGTTTTATACCTGGTCCCGTCACCTACATCACGATAACTAGCGAACGCCATTCACAAAATAGCGGTGCGTCGCGTGGCTATCCAGGATCCAGGATCCACTAGGGGGTTTTGGCGGTAACCTGCATATTTAGAGTGAAACTAAAATATAACGGTCGATAAGGCGCATTCGTGAACAGCCTTGAACCACGCCGTTGGAATACTAACACGAGGTTTTTTCAGCTTGGAACGGTCGAAGGTCAAGGGAGGGCCTAAAACTTGGGCCTTGGGGGGGGCGCGTCTGTGGGGGTGAAATAAAGTTAGCGACTCTGCGGCTCTCTTTGGCTTTAGCGCATCCAAGGGTCATGGATGGGGGTCAGAAAAGATCCAATGGCTAAAGCAGCATCGCGCGCTAGCAGGATTTTCAGCTGAAGAGGTTTTTGATATCATATTATTATACTTTGGACTAGCTTTTGCAAATCCCTAGTTTGTTCAATTTGTAATAGGGCTAATGACGATCCCGATCCAGACACGAGCTTACCCGTGCATGATGACGTGGGCAAGGGCCCGACAAGATGGTCATTCAAAATTAATAATCATAAACGAAGAAGATAGAAGGTAAGTGAATAGAGAGACTAGAGACAATTCTCCAATTTAGCGACCCTTCCAGCCGGATCTAGACCATCTGTGCTGACGCGCTGTATAGGCATGCATATTGGACGCAGAAACAAACACCCCAGGACATCAATATTCTGATACACATTCAGCTGTCAACGATCGTATTCTGGTCTGTGACTTTTCATATTTCATTTTAGCCCCAAGCCAGGCAGCAACAAAAACGCAGGATAAGGTAAGAACGAAAAAAGAAAAGAAAACGGTGAAACTCAGCATGATATTTGATGGGCATAACAATTCATATCTACACAGCTCATAGTTTCAGCTCAAATGAAAAGTCTAAGTGATGCCAGTCGACGCCTAGGATACAAATAGACTAAAATTGATGCGCTTTCAGGAAAAATGCGTATACCTAGCTCTGGCGTCTCGCTAGATAAATTGCATTATAATAAACACACATAACAGCATAATACAGCACAAAGGGAATCGGGTAGTAAATCATATAACAGACAGCCACAATAACACCGGGTCAATCGAGGGGACATAAATGCATAAGAAACATACAAGAGAAATAAGAGACTGGGTCATGAGATGTATGTGGTGAAAAAAAAAAAAAAACAAAAAAGGTTTACTGGTTTTACACCAGCCCGTCGTATAGAGACAGAGCACTGACAATCGTCTGGTCATGCTTGCTGCCTTCTTTGAACTCTTCCATATCCAGGCTCCCGTTTTCATCCTTGTCCATCTGGCCGAAAATCTTCTTTACGCGCTTCTCCGGAGTGTCCTCGTCTTCGGGAAGCTTCACCATTGAGCCAACCTAGTACAGTCAGCCTAACTGTCCATATCTTTTTATCGAAAGGTATATGAACGTACCATTTTGTAGATCGCTTCTACAATCGCAAGCATCTCATCATAACTGATCTTCCCATCCCCATCGATATCATACAGCTGAAACGCCCAGTCTAATTTGTCCTCCACATTACCACGCGAAGTCACCGACAGCGCACAGATAAATTCCTTGAAGTCAATGGTGCCACTATTATCCGAGTCGAAAACACGAAAGACATAATTCGCAAACGAGGACGGGTCGCCGAAGGGGAAGAACTGGCGGTAGATTTTTTGAAATTCCTCTTTATTCAAATGTCCGGAAGGGCAGTCTTTCAGGAAACCTATCCCGAACAAAGTTGACAATCACATTAGTCAACTGTTAAATACAAGCAGGTACAAGGATGGAAAGTAAATACCTTTATACCATTGCTGCAGCTCTTTCTTGTCGAAATGCGTGACCTTGACCAACTCATCCAGCTGCTTGGGGGACAGCTTCGACTGTCTGCACGTGACACGTTCCAGTTAGCCACGAGCGCGTAGTAAATACTGAAACTCCAGCCAAAAAGACGATTCCCAAGAGCAGTGCAGTCCACAGGGTTGTATAAAATGTGCACTAGGCACTTCCATCACCCCCTATTTGATTACACTCTGCCAAGCGCCAAGGAAGACTTACTTTTGACCCATGGTGATGCTGTTGTTAGGATACTGTCCAGCACAGACTGCAGATCCTCAACAGAATTGGCAGAATCCCTTTTAAACTTCTCAAGTATGCCCAGAAGACAAACTAGACCAATGTTTATATATCCTATCGTCGTTTGACCTCAACCAACAATCGGAGTGGCGCGGGGTAGACAGCTTTCGGGGAGATAAGATGCGGAGGATAAGTACACTGTTTAGCGACAAGTTGCGAAGGGGCTATAAAACAGAGAACCGGAAAAAGTAAAATCGATATCGCAGTTCGAGAGCGTCACTGTATACGATCCTGGTGATGAAGGCAGTCAGGCTGGCGAGGGGAGGAGGGACAGGCTAGGCGTGGGCTTCCGGGCTGGGGCGCGATGGCTCAGTCACAAAGCAGTGTTGGGTGGTTAACTCTAGTGCCGAAAACAGAATGGATTTGAGTGCAACAGAACTGTGCTCGTCATGCCGTATGCCAATTGTTTACTGAAGCTCAATGGGTTTGTAATAACATGGCGGGGGATGAGGACTCACCCGGCCAGGCCAGAAGCAGATCAGATGCGATCATAGCCCAGAGCTGCTGCTGCGCCACCCTAGCTGATTGGCTACTTGACCCGCCATTGACAGCCAGCCCGCAGTAAGATGATGCCATCTTCCTCACGACGAGTAATGCTTTATAGATCACCTGTCAAACGCTGGTTTCTATTATTGATTCAATGTACAGACTCGGGAAACAAGACGAAATGAAAAAGATAAAAGAAAAGAAGAAGGGAAAAAAAAAGCATTTACGCCGTCTATTTACACAGTGCTTCCCATACATCAGTCACGTCGAAATACATAAGCATCGGGATATGTGATGAAATGCTTGGTCAAAGATATATCGTCAAAGCAGAAACACCCAGCTGGGTTGGCTCAAAGGCACCCAAAAGCTCGCGGTTGCAACGCTCCACACATAACTCGTGCGGGTAAATCTAATCCACCTTAATAGATCCGTAGATTTTCCGCACAAAAGCCCAACTAGCGAAAAATCCAATTGTTCCTAAGGTAGTGTATCAGCATTGGTTTTGTGGCAATATAAAATGACGGAGACTCACCAGTCAGGATATAAACCAAGAAAGCGATCAAAGCAGAATATCCGAGGTACAATACCGCACCCGTCAGCCCACCGAAGCTTACTCGGGTTGCCCAGAAGAGAAGGGCATTCATAAAAACATAAAATCCAGTCATACCAGCGCCGTTGAAAGCTCGCCATTGCCAGCGGTAGTCTTCAGCGCACAACATGAAGTAAACCAGCAAAATAGTAGTAGCCGCAGTGGTAATAATCATCAGCCCATAGCAGAGGAACAAAAAGCCGAACATATAGTAGATCTTGCTGGTCCAGAGTGAGTTCATGATCAAGTACAACTCAACGAAGATGGCTGCAAATGGCAGAATGCCAGTAAGCAGGAGCGACGGGATAGGCCGTAGAGTTCCTGCAGGCGGGGGAATCTGTCGAGGGATTTGGTTGGTCTTTGTCGGGGCTTCATAAGCCTGTTATGACAGTCAGAGATATACCATGATTCTAAAGTAATTGAAATACATACCTGTGACTTGAATCCTAGCCAGCTGCCAGCAAAGCTTAGAGGCAGGCTGATTACGAACCAAATAAGAACCATAGCGATCATTGTTGTAAATGGAACAGCACCGCTAGAGTTTTTCGCCCAGACAAACAAATTCATAAGGAAAAACCAGATAAAAACCATGGTCGGAACGAGTAAAGGCGTCAGCACGATATTCCGCTTCCAAGCTTCACCACCGAATGATTTGTAGGCGCGCGAAGAGACATAGCCACCAATAAAACCAAACAACGTGTACAGAATCAGAATTGTGGTACCCAAGAAACCTCGGTTTGCTGGAGAAAGAAGGCCGAAGAGCGCAAAGGCCACAGTAACACCAGTCATAACAAATAATTGTATACCGTTACCAAGCAAAACACTGAGCAACAGTGGGCTCTTGGGGCATCGGAAAACGTCGCCATGTACCAATTTCCAACCTGAGTCTTCCTGGATGCCATCCTCAACAACAGAGGTGCCATTAAGGTCATCCAGATTAATCTGGTCCAGTCGATTGTAGCGCGCAATATCTTTCCTCAAAGCCCGGATGAGAATCATGCTAACCATTCCAACGAGAAATACCACGAAGACGGAAGAATTGATCAAAGAGAACCAGTGGATCTTTGGGTCAAAAACATGGAGGTATTTATCCCATCGAGTTGCCCAGGCAGTGTCTGATTCCCGCCAATATACACTGTAGGTCCAAACAACTTTGGTATCTTGGGTCTCACTCAGAATCATCGGAGAGCCACCTTCACCACAGTCGACTTGACCACTGCTCTCAATGAAAGAATTGCCCCGAGAAGCGGGTTGCACCAGGACGCTAACAACTCTGTATTTGGTTTCCTGAGAAGGAAGACCAGCGACCTTGTGGTAATCAATGAGAATGTCGAAATGGTTGTTTAACATTTTCTCGCCATTGTCATCGACCGTGCCCAAAAGAAAGCCGGGGCTATAGAACTCTGCATGCGTAATTGGATCCAAGCTCACCATGGCCGCAGGGAGTCCGTCAACAAGCCAGTTGATATCATAAGCCTGCTGGATGCGGTTGTTTGTGAATCGTCCATCGCGAGGACCAAATGTTACTTCCTCACAAACAGATTTACACGTCTCGTTTTCGCCCATGTGTAATTCAAACGGCGAAGTACGGATGCGGTCGCCAAAAATGATACTACCTAGAGATTCTCGAACATCTTTCGGTCCATCCTTTGGCTGACAAAAGTGGAATATCGGGTTATAATAATCGTAGGAGAGTACAGCATGAAGTTGGTCATCCTGCGCGGCGATCCCAGGCGTGAGGTGGTTTACGTAGAGCGGCACAGCTTGCCCTTTATCATAGGAGCTCGGTGCGACACCGGGGAGGTAGAAGGCGGATGTGAAGGGGGAGGAGGATAAGAGAAGGGAGGATAGAAGAAGCGTCCGCCTTGAGGACGGCATGTTGATGTGTGAATCACTGATGGTGCACGCAACGTCAGCAGGCGTATAAATTGGTAACTTGGCTTCTTCTGCCTAGTTTTGAGCACTTACCGACGCAGCTAGTGACCCCGTATGGAAATGCTAACAAAAGACGATAGTGATCATACACTAAACGAGAATCAAGTTCAATTCATTAGAAGAGGACTCTACCATTTGTTTCGAGGAAACTTGTGGGTGGACAGTTGGCTCTAACAATAACCAGGGAAGCTCCGCCATGAAACGTGTTTCTACAGGTCACGTGATATGACTAAGCCCAATAGCTTGAGGCACTGCATCGGGCTTTCTTTACGGTGTATTATTTTTCGAATAGAGTATGGGCATGCAAAAAGTCTCTGGTCATTAGTCAAGCCTTCCAGACGCAGTTTCAACTACATATGTACAAGAAATCAACAATTAAAGTACGCTCCAAACCAATTTGCGGCTCTTTGGCGTTTGGCAAGCATTGGCCAATCAAAGCCCATCTAATTTTGGGGCCTTAGATGTATCACGTGCTGATAAGCATCGCCGATAAGTAATTTTCTCGCTCTCCAAATTTTCTCGGTCTTTACAGCAAACAAACACCATAATCAACCCCAGCCATGGCCGAGGAAACAACACCGCCGGCGGATGCGCGCGCGGAAATATCTACTCTTCTCGAGACAGTGGCAACATGTTTAAACAGCACGTCGACTTCATTGCCTTCTTCTACCGCGCCAGAAGACTCTTCCACCCCGACTATCATCCCACCTGCGGACGGCATCTCCCTGCTCGACACGAAAAGCGAATTGCTACTATCCTACCTGCAGAACCTTGTTTTTCTCTCCCTCTTTCAATTGCAGAGGCTAGGAAAGAATGGACAGGCCAGCAGCGAAGTCTCACAAGATGATATTATCAAGAAATTAACAGAACTGCGAGTGTACCTCGACCGAGGGGTGAGGCCACTGGAGGGGAGGCTAAAATATCAAATTGACAAAGTTGTCAAAGCCGCAGATGATGCGGAAAGAACGACACGGTCACAATCCAAAACTACAGGAAAGAAATCGAAAAAGACCAGGAATGAAGAGGTCTCTGATGAAGATGAGGAAGATTCTGACTCTGGTGAAGATGATGAAGAAGAAAATGAGGATGATGAAGAAATTGACGAAATGGCCTACCGCCCTAATATTTCAGCATTCTCTAAGAATTTCCAGAAACCTGAGAAGGACTCCCAAGCGTCGTCGTCAAGGGACAGACGAAAAGAACAGCAGTCCTCGGACGGAATCTACAGACCTCCAAAGATTAAGCCAACCGCACTACCTACAACAGAAAGCCGTGAACGCGGACGTGGTCGCGATAAACGGCCTAAGAAATCTAGCGTCATTGACGAATTCGTCTCTAACGAAATGTCATCTGCGCCAATGGCCGAGCCAAGTATTGGAAGCACAATTCAGCGTGGTGGACGACAGGTGGTTAGTCAAAGAGACCGACAGCGGGAGGCCGAACGACGCGCCTATGAAGAAACCAATTTTGTGCGCTTGCCAAAGGAGAGTAAAAAGGAACGTGCCCGGAGACAAGCACGTGAAGGGCCGAGGGCTGGTGGGTTTGGAGGTGAAGAATTCCGGTTGCTTAGTGAAGGCGCAGACCGAATTGGTAGACTTACAAAACGAGCTACGGGAGGCTCAAGGAGTGGTGGAGCTTTGGAGAAGAGCAGGAAACGGGGTTTCACAGAGGATGGACCAAGAGCTGATGGTGCTGCTATTGGTCAGTCGTTTGAAAAGAGAAGGAAAAAGGTGGAGGGGTGGAAAAAGTGATACTTTCGATTACGTTTTTATGAATCAAGTATATAATTTCTGGTTCAATGGCAAAGCATGGCGTCGGTATGGTCTGCATATACATATAACTATGCAATTTTTCCAAGGCATGATACGGTTCGCTTATTCTAATTCAAGGCATTGTACTCTCAGTAACGGTAACACTATCATATTCTTACTTCGTGAGATCTAGCTATATAACATTAAACAATGATCCGCCTCTAACTACTATAGTCCAGCTTACCAACACCAATACATAAGGTCCCGTTGAAACAGTATAAGTCTCTATTTCGCCGGCATCCCACACTTCGTTGCTTGAACCTGCTCATACACAACCTCCACATTCCCAAATTCCTGACCATGCCCATTTGTCAAATCATTCAGAACCTTCAACGCAACATTAAATTCTCCAATCGCCGAATCAATTGCCAGCACGTTGACCGTCTTGTTATTGTACGTCAGGGCATAGCAGGCACCGCAGTTGGGGTCATTCCAAGCCTTGACTGTCGGAGATCCGGCCACGTTGGGTGTGGGGAGGTCCGCGATGGTGTTGTAGTTTTTTGTCATGAGCCCATTTTCGCCGTTGGAGCAGGTCACTGTAGATAAGGAGAGGGAGGTGTCGTCATAGCTTGTGTCGAAGGTAGCAATAGAAGTTGATTTGGCGGCGAACGTGAAGGAAGAGAGGGATAGGATGGTTATGAGAGGGAAAATGTACGTAAGAGAATTCATCGTGAGATTCCAATGTATGAATTTAACCAGTCCGTATTTTTAAAACAAGAGTATCGATTTCGCAGAATGGTTCTTCACGATGTTTATTATGTTGTCAAATGTCAAGGCTATCAGACTAGATTAGAAGCAAGGGTTTCGATAGCTTATATGCTTCCGTAGATCTATCAACACCTTACCATCCCACATTCCTCGTTTATGAACAACATTGTTCATCCCATACACTTTTATATATTCATCTTCTATTGGCCAGCGTAATAGTCACCGGCAGGAAAAATTAATTTAGCTCCGAACCCCGAAATTCTCATTACGTCAGGAAATGTTTCACCTTAGTGATGTACCCTCAACAGCATGACTCATGAGGAAGAATGACCAGTGTCACTGTCGCCACTATCAGGGAGCATTGAACCAAAGGATAGACTCATCGTCGTTGCAATTACTCGGAACTTCCAACGGCTGAGGTGAGGCTTGAGAAACAAGACAATATCGACTAACGTGTGGTAAAGGCTATTATTGCGTACAATCAATCTTGTTAATGTTTAAAGTTCAATTTTTAGGATGACCAGACTGTTCGATTCCTTTACCAACGCGCTCTCCACCATGTAAGTGAGAAATACGTTATCATCGACGGACGTCAGTCCAAGATATTTGAGCACTAGTATCTTGGGGTAATACACTCCAAATTTGGGAATAGAATGATAGGGCGCAAGATCAAAGAATCATCTTAGTTGCCCTAGTACGGGTCGTCTCGTTATTCACACAGAAATGGGAGGCAATGAGAAGACCATATTTTTCCCAATTCCCCTAGGATGAGGCATACCAATTCGTTGAGGTATGGGAGACTCGAGTGCTCACAGCGGTTTTTACTTTGACTAAAAAACAATGGCCACAATTACTTTCTAATCAAGGAAATCCATTTATATCCAACATTATGCGACTGCCGGAATCACGCCCTCTCAGTGGAGATATACATCTTAATTCATGTGACTTGGCAAGGATTGTACTCATAAGACGAGTATCGGGTGCATTCGGGGGATAACTCACGCACAAAATGCCTCAAATGAGAGTTAGTAAACATTCATTATTCATCATCATGGGTCTGCAGTAGCCTGAGGTCAAAGACAAACACGGAGAATATTGTAAGTTATCTAAATATAGAATCAGCCACATCTTAATTCTCTAGAAAATGAAATATCTAGGATATATTCTATTTATAAGTTTTTAGTATGTAAGGTTTAATGACCGTATCATGAAGTCGCTCTAGATAGATATGATCTGCAAGGTATGGCAGTGTCTTTGTGATAGGGTTACTGTACTCCGAATCCCCTGGTTACTACGCATCTGAACCCCCCGAAAGTTTTGTGTCACACCGCTTCTGCTTCTAAGTTATGAGGGGCTAAAACATGCATATATCAAAGAACATTACTTGAATTCAAGACCTCTACCTGTGAAAATGGAGGTACGCCTATATAAGAAGACATGGCGATCTCAGTACCACTTTTTCTATTTCAATTTCAAGTGTATTTACTGCTACATTCGCTAAATTCTCACTGTTGAAACTATCAAATAAACTTGAAGGGCATCATTACTCAACCAAAGCAATAATCATGAAAATTTTTTTAGTTCTTTCCGTGGCCTTTGCTGGGGTGATGGCTGGGCCTTTACAGGCTAGGAACTCCACTTCCGGGAATTCAACTGTGAATGCAATGCAACAGGAGTGTGACATCGTCGGGGACTGGTTCTGCTGCAATGACGGCTCGTGGACTTGCGAATGCAACAGTTCACACATTTTGCAAGGCACCGCCAGATGTGGGGGACCAAATTGCTGCACGATTGAAAATCACGGTGCTTACTGTATTTGCTGATTACCGTGTAAGTCTGGTAACTTGTTACAGATCTTGACTTATATTCATCTATATCAAAAAAACCTCTTTCATAAAGGTTTCTATTTATTTAATAAATGACGCATCTATTGCTAACATCCAGTTTTAGCATATCAGCTCGTGTCAGTGAACAGCTAGCAATCTGCATTTGCTCAATTGTTGCGAAGTGATAAAACAACTAGAGAATAGGGAATACTTAAGGATTTTTCGGCTTTTTTTTAACATTACAAGCGTATTACAGCCAGTCTTTTATCATTCTTCGCAATTCATATCTTATATTTCCTTGATGGCCTCCTTTAAAGATGCAAAGCATATAAATTGATTTTATTTTTTTTGGTTTTGTTTTCTAGATGCTGCTACCTATAGCAGCTTAGAATATAGCCAATCCAGCCTTTTATTAAACCAACGTTACAAGAGAATATCTCATTCTAAGTATTTGACAGTGCAGGACTCCAGATAATGGTCATCGAGCATTGATGTAGATAGAAATGCTAGGGTAAAAGTGCTAAAATGAAAATGAAAACCTAAAGTAGAAATCCATGTATCCCAGAGAAACCCTTTGACGGCGCTGTCAAGTAAATTCTAGGTTTCATTTGAAAATACTAATAATCCGCTCTCCCATACACATACATCGCTGTATCACAATACAACATAAATGAAACTTGGCAGGAATGTAATAGAATCGTGTTTTTGTGGAATGTCAGGAACATTCCAATCAGTCTGATCCATGGTTGGCCAATAGGGCATACCCGACCACATGACCAAAAAGACCAATAATAATCTACATTAGTGGATTATGCCTCAGAACTGCCTTATATATGCAAGTCTCTCACATTTAGTTGAATAACTCCAAATCCCGACTCCAACGAAGCCAAAGAAATTAAATAAAATTAGAGTGGCTATTGTACAGGTTTCGTAATACTCGCCCTCTCTTGGGTTCCCATTTTTGAGGAACGCGAAAGAACAAGACGACTTACCTGGAGACAAAAGAATTAATTACGCCATTTTCATTATTCATCCAGTTTGCCCGTATACTAACTTTTTTCTTAGTTATTGGTACATCGTCTAATGAGTTTGTTGGTATCAAAGAAGTACAAATATAAAAAACTTTCCAATATATCAATATTAACTGGTATGGGACCACAAATCTTAAAACCCAAGGGGAAGCACCAATAATCAATTGAAGTATTCAAGTTCCAACCATGATTAATTAATTAACAACACTATAACCCGTCACCAGCTCTTGCTTTCGCTTGGAAGGCACGGAAATCTTCATCGGCACCGTGTAGTCGAGTGAGATACCCCTTGAACTCTCGTGTCATATTGCATACCTGCTCAAAGTCTTTCTAGTCTAAGGTAGGCCCATCATCCTTGGTCTTGTTCGGCTTCTGGGAAAACTATATTCTGCGAGCGCAACAGCAGTTTGAAAAGCCAGAGGCGAGTTTAGCACATTGAGTTTGAAATGATGTAGTAACATTGAAAGACACACCATTGCGGATTTCGCGACCATTCCAATCTATTTTGCTAATTACGTCGTCTTCTAGAACATAGAACTTGGCGTGTCGAGTTACGATGAAATTATCTCGTTCAGCTGTAAGCTTGTCAAAAAACTGTTCCCAAATTCTTTCCGGTCGCCTTCTTTCAGATTTTCATAGCGAATTACAACATGGATTCTTGAAATAAAACCATCATCGAAGCGACCAACCCGATTGGTCGTCAGGAACAAGATGCCTCGATAATACTCAATACATCGAAGGAAGACTAAGGAAGTAATAATTTCAGTACTCGCTGAGATAGACAGTAACGTAGAAATAGATTTGAAATCACTGAGCAAACTGACCGGATACCAGGCTATTCCACTTGAGGTCAGTGATTTGTCTCCTCTCGAGGTACACATCCGCCTCATCGATTAGCATGACTGCGCCCCGTTTTTCGGCCAGACGGAACCATTTTTCAAGCTGTCGCTCCATTTCAACCTCGTCGGTCCCAAGACAATCTTCGCATGAGCACATTATAAGTCCTTCTTCTACATCTTCAATATTGAATAAATTCAGTACATTATCCTCATTCTGCGCATAATATGCGGCGGAATTAACGTAGACGCGACTTTTGACCTACCAATTAATTGTACGTTAGAAAGATGTAGGAGTTTTCTACAGCGAAGATTTACCTGTCGTTTTGATGGACCTCCAACCTCACCGGAATAGAACACCTGGCGTCCCGGCAGCATATCATACCATTTCGCGCCAAGATCTTCTAGGTATCGTCGAGTTTTTCCGCCGTCCTCTGTATCGATGAACTCACACGGAATAACATTGAGCGATGTGACTTGTCGTTCGCCTTCGAATTCTGTAATGTGAACCTCCTTGGATTTTCTTCCCACCAAATATCCGTTAAAATCAAGATTCCAGAGTTCAAAAAAATGGGCTTGTAGACGATGAGAGCCGCTGGAAAATATTCTTTCGTCTACCTGAATTGATTTAATAACATAGGCCGACAGCTGGTTGAATAAGTGGTAGATTGTGCCAACTGTGAAAGCAAGTTTATTTTAGAATACATATTTTAGATACTGTAAATTTAGAGCATTAGATAGTACATATACATATTGACCTACGAATTATGAATTTATCTGTCAATCATAATCCTGCAGGATACTATAGCAGTGGTCTTCTCTGCTTTTCCACTGGACCAAAAGGCACGAGTATCCTATTCATAACTATATAGAGCTGCCTAACATGTCAAGTCAATCTCAGTGATCAATCCTAATAACTACCTTGGAGAAATGTTTCTTGTCTTTGAGACGCCTATAAGCATCTTTGGCCTCTGCCAGCTCAAATACCACATCATCCACCACAGGAACAATCTTCTTCTCGTCTATATAACGCACTAGCTCTTTGAACTGGCTTCGGTTTCCTCCAAGAATGCCGCGAACAATACAAGTATGCAAAAGAGTGGCAAACAAAGGCACCGGCTCGGCTGTATCTCCAACTCCTCCAATCACTAGAATAACGCCATCCGTCTGTACGGCTGCTAGGGACTGGGGCAAGGTTTGATTGCCACCAATGTCAACGATAATATCGAAACCACGTCCCTCGGGGGTCAATCGCCTGGCTTCCTTGCCCCAGTTATCAGCGTTCGAGCGGTAGTTAATTGTATTAGCCGCCCCAAGGTTCTTCAAACGAGTGGCTTTTTCTTCCGTCGAAGTCGTGGCAACGACGGTACCTCCAGCTGCTACTGCCAGCTGCAATGTGGCAATGCTAACGCCTCCTGTGCCCTGAACGAGTACCCACGTACCTGGACCGACTTCCCTGCCCTTCAGGCCAAAAAGTGAATTCCATGCCGTTGTCCATGTACAAGTTAGAGTTGCTGCAGGTAGCCAATCTAGAGATTTAGGGGCGTGGACAAGAGCTGTCTCAGGGAAAACGCCGTTTGATCGCAGGGTTCCATCCGTTCCTTGTCCCAGCATTAAAGGAACGTCGGAAACACTAGAGAATGCATTATCTCCTTTCTCCTCAGCGGCTTTTGGATCGGCGTGCGTAACAACACGATCTCCGGGCCGAAAGTCCTGGACAGACGAGCCAACTGCCTCCACGATACCCGCACCATCACATCCTGGAACGACAGGTGGGGTTATCGGTCCATTGAGGCCCTAAAAATAGTATTAGAAAGGCTTTCTGTGCTGTTATTCCATATATACGAACCATCGGACCAGCAATAATAAGTTCACGATAGTTGAGACTGGCAGCGCGCAACTTAACTAGGACCTCATGAGGGGCTAGTTTGTTAGGAGATGGCACAATATCATATTGCTGATATTCTAGCGATACCTCAAAGCCTTCTTGGCTATTCAAAACCCATTGCCTAGCCATGTTTCTTTTCTAGAGAGAGTATAGTTATAAATCTGTGTGCTGCTTTAGAGAAAAGTCGGATTTCTAGAGTTTAACCTCTGCGACTACATCTCTACTTAAATATCCTTTGAAACAGAGCAATGCTTATTTTTATTTTACTATTTTCCAAGTTTAGAAAATCAGATATAGGCTTGTAGACTCCATCGCCACTCACCCTCCACATTCACGCTTAACCTCTATTTCCTTATTAGGAAAATCAGATTAGGGTTCTAGCCTGATGTAGATAGCTTAGGGCACGTTCACCAATAGAAATTCTCTGTTCGATACAGAGGCCCCGCCCATCTTTATTTGTCATCCCGGCTGGCTCGGGTCATCTTTTTCAACCTCTCCAATATTATTCACTCAACCTCGAAATTGATTTTCTGTTTAAAGAAAATCAATATGGATGGACCAAGCTTCATATTTTTAAACACAACCAACACTCCGAATCTCTCGCCGCAAGCGGCAAAACAAATGAGGGGACATATCACCAAGTCCAATTTTGCAAAAAGACGACAGCGGCTGATTACGTCTACAACTCCTAAAGGTACAGCAAAAGCAAGTAAACCTAAGAAGGAGTTGGACAGGTATAGGGGAATATTAATAAAGAGCAAATTTACAACATCGTCCAAGTCAGATGACAGAGCTATAGCGTCTTCGCTGTTTGGCAAGTTTTTTACAACACCAAGTCAGAATAATACCTCACGTACATATCCTCCAAATCTAACTAGCTTGTGACTATATGTATGGCTAATTAATTAATCAGACCATGAAATCCACGGACTTATTCTTCTGAGCTGCGTAAACCCACCTGGTAACCCCCACGAAGCCGCGTGGGTTGAGTTTATCGTCTCAGACCCCGCGCTGATCGAAGCATCTATGGCTGTGGGTGCACGACACTGGTCGCCGCAGCCATCATGGCAGTTGCAAGCAGATTTGTACTCATCTAGAGCACTCGAATTTATAATTCGACGAATAGGTTCAAGAGAGACCCAGACAGATGGGTTTCTAGGGACAGTTCTTACAATGGCATTCGCGGAGCGTCTAATGCATTCAAGCCTCACTTGGGGTATCCATATAGATGGTCTGGTACAAATCATACAAGACAGACGTGCTAAAGGTATCAATATGCCAGCATGGTTTTATGATCTTCTAGTCCTGTGAGCACAGACCATTCCTTCCTGGAGAACTCGGCTGATTGTGCGGCTAGGGATGTTACCAACTATATCTTCGATTTTCCACGGATATATCATAAGAAGATAATTGATGCTTTAGGCAACGATGCCTGCCCGGCAATAGTACAAGTAGCATCTATACCTGAAGATCTTATCGCACTTAAAAGGTCTATCGACAGTCATCAACCGGATTCCGAATACGAGATCGATGCGTCAATAGCGAACTTGCATAATAAGGTGCAAGCTCTACTAAAGAAAAATCATAATGAGTTTGTTTGGGCCACCGCACAAACCATCGAACTAATTATCTACCTTCTCTGGCCGCTACAACAAGGATCACAGTCCAATAATCTCAATATACTTGCTGAGAAATTGAAAGAAACTCTAGAGAAATGGCTAGTTAAACCCTGTCCATATATGGATCTCACGTCTTGTCAACTTATCATTGGGGCAATCGCTGCCAAAAGCGGTACAAGCACTAGGACATGGTTTGTGAATAAATTGACAAATGCAGCCCGAGCGATGCGATCGCGTGGATGGAACGACCCTTTTGAAGTGTTGGAGATGGGTATGAAGGCTGATAGACATATGGCGACATGGTTCAGAATACTCAGTAGCGAGTTCGCGGAATAAATAATTTTTCAATGGCCCTCATATTTGAAGACATACCATTTCAACAGAAAGGTATACTGCACGGAAACAAGGCATACTGATCGAACATTAATTACAATTATTCAACAAGACTCCAGATCGTTTTACAAATACCCGTATCAAGGGGAAAATCCACAACGCCACATTGTTAATACATACATTCTTAAACATAAAGCCGAGGAATGAGAAGGGCCTATCGATCATGGAATAAACATTATTCATATTTAAAAGTTACAGCCAATCATTCATTAATAATAATGAACAATAAATCTATATTATGCCGTATCATAGGTTATTAAACATTCCCTCCAAATCCTACCACAAAAGAACCAATTCCCGTGCGTATATATCGTCTAATAGGATTCAAGTGTTGGAACACCATAGCGATCTTTTGTCTTTACAGTAGCATTGTCGAATTCTACAACAAACTGTCAATTATGTGTATTTCATACTGAATATGTTTTTAAGTCTTGACTCAATGCTAGCCTCGGTTTTCACCGGGACAAAATTCATCACCTGTTATCTAACTTTCGTTAGGGAATTTAAATTCGGTATTCAATTAGTTGGATCGACTAAAGTCTGATATAATAGGTTAGAATGTCTGCTTGCTAAGTATTATTGAAGAAATTGGGGCGAGTTGATTTCTAGATTTGAAATGAACAACAAAATGGACGAAACTAAACCGTGTAGTGCTTGCAAGGTTGCATTGTTTTCGACATTTATTCCCTGCCTGTGATGCTTGAGTATTAAGATAGTGGATATCTGACGACAACATCTGGAGTACTAAATATCTAAATGCATACATATTTAAAAACAAGGCGTACGGAAGTTTATTTACCTCTAATCCAGTTGACGAATTATTTACTGGATGTACCTACATATGTATATAATATGTAATAATATTGTTACAAACCATTAATGATCTTAAGGAGTGTTGAGTTTACCCCCATCCTCTTTCTTTGATTTGTAAGAAGAATTAGCTCACTGGAACAGCATATAGTATAGAGAATAGCAGTTGTACACCAATTGGCACTGATAAAAATTTGTGGCTGACTGTCAGACGTAGAGCTAGCAATGAGAAGTCGATATAATGCTAAGATCTGGATGTTTGTTGAGCTAAATAGTATACTATCTCTTAATGCTTTTTTATCAAAAATGATTTCGAGCGCCCATGGTCTAGTGGTATGATGTGTCACTAGTAAATTACTAGGTAATGACAAGGTGAAGAGTTCGATTCTCTTTGGGCGCATATTTTTTTTTAATTGCATATTTTGTTTAAATTAGTCACTGTTTGATTTTGCTTTATACAGCAGTTTTGACATAGCAAATTTGCGATTTGTTGTATTTTTTTCCTGTCAGTGCCAAGGATTATGTACGGGACGGAGAGCAAACCGGCCAATCGGAAGACGATATAATGCCGAGATCTGGATGTCCACTGACCAAATTTGCTTTAAGGTCTATTTTATGCGAAATATTTCATGCGCCCATGGTCTAGTGGTATGATGTGTCACTAGTAAATTACTGGGTAATGACAAGGTGAAGAGTTCGATTCTCTTTGGGCGCATGCTTTTTTTCAAGCAGTAAAAATTACTGCTTGCTTTTTGCACAGCGCTTTTTAATTAGCAATTTCTTTCTGTCAAAGACAGGTTCGTCATCCATGTGTGTATGTATGTATGTACGCATGGTTAATCCGTCGTATTGATCAGCAATTGTGAAACTTGCCTCGCGTTTTAGTGTACGGCCTACGCGCGTCTGTGGTATCCGTTGAGAGCCTAGGACGATTGTCTTTTAACTCTGAGAGAGATTACAGAGAGTTTATATTTACAGCGCATCGTTATAATTAAACAACCCGGATCTTGAAACAAAAGGCAAAGGATATCGATTATTAATGGATCCTTGACCCTTCCTTGCCTAGCGTAAATCGCATTCGGAGATTAGGAGGGCAGTGAGCTACCACTGCTCCAAACGACCTTTCAAAATTTTGTTGAGTTGGTTAACTGGCTGAGGTACATTGCAACATAGGCTCACTCCTCTTCTGCCAATGAATTTCATGCTTGTTCATAAGAGGGGATAAAGACCAAGGCCCAAAAAGTATGTAGAAGTGTAGAATGTAGAGACTGTAATATAAGCGAATGTGGATAACTGACAGTTGATTAGATAGTTTTGAGAGAAAAGGTTTGAATCCGGATGCGAAATTAAGCCCTCATCTAATTAAGGTCAGTCAGGCCTTCTCATAATAAAAGCGGTATATGGAATGCCTATATATCAGAAATACCTCAACTAAGGATTCACTGAGTAATTTATCTATTATGAATGAGCATTTCGGAATGCAGCCGCGATGATTCCTTTAAGAACTCTACCTATCGATAATAATATCCGTAGTTCAAAGAGTATTTATCAGTTTATTCATTGTATCAATTGATATTAAGCAAGATGGCATAAAAGTGTTGCTTGATACGAAAAACCATCAGTTTTGATATTTATATAAGTGTAAAGTAGAGATAAGGGCCCGCTGCCATCACCTATGCGGTAATCTCATTAAAAAAAATAGCAACCGTAAACTAACCAATCCCTCGTCCATGCGCAATTCCTTCCAAGCACACCAAAACACCAAAAAGAAGCTAAGACTAGCTCGCTAGAACCTCAATTGGTGTATAGGTATTATTGCTATGTTGATACAAGGTACCATTCTCCTGTAAGTATTCAGTGATCGACAGGCACCCTGCATATACTCCCCGAGTCCCCACGGAACAGCGCCGGATCGGATGACTAGATACCTGATTAGGAACAAATATTTGAACTCCACGAAATTGGTGGACCAATTAGTTTGCTGGTTTGTGGTATGTGCCGGGCTATTATCTTATTGATATGATTGGGTGAGTGGATATGAATACTGATTCGAGATTCCGGGCTCAAATTAGATGGGGATACAATTCGTGATTCTTATGTTAATAGAAGCAATATTTGAAAATAGTATTTTAAACATTTGATATGTAAAATGCATGCGTGATAGTTTATCCGACCAATTTACAAGACAAAGCTCAACAACTTTGTACCAACTAATGATTATATACAAGGTCTTCCATATTTGGAATTTGGAAGCACTAGAAACGAACTTATGGGTGAAGACCCATGTCAAGCACAAGCTTGGCGAAAACACCACCCATGACTGGACGGTTAATGAAGGGGCCTCCGTTGTAGTCACCGCTGACGGTGTCGTACCAGTCGGTAAGAGGGCGGTTGGTAGGTGTGACGTTAATCCATTTGGCGAGTTCGCTGAACAGCATTTCGGAGACTTCGTCGGAGCAGACGGCGGCAACCCAAGATTCCCAGTCACCTGTTATTCGTTAGTGTGTATTCTTTTAAATATTTGTTGGAGATCAGTGAACGTACCCTTGGTGTAGCTGTGGCGAGTGTCCAATGGGACACCATAAGTGTCGTTGACCGTCAGGTAGAAGGTGCTCTGAGTGTCGTAAACGGATTGAGGAACAAGGTCCAGTCCGAGAGCCTTGTCGCCGTACAAGTTGTACAAAAGACCCCAGCTGCTATCGTTGTTGTAGTTCAACTTGGCATGAGCAGGGCTGGCTTGGGTATTGAAGCCAAGAGTCTGCCACTGGGTGATGTAATCGGTGGCAATGGAGCTGTAGTTTGACGCAGAGGCGTTGTTACCAGTGACGTTGGCGATAACGGACATGGCTTTGATACCGATCATACCCTTGAGGGCAAGGTTGGTCTGGTTGACCAAAGGACCGGCGAAATCGTCAGTGGAGATCTGGTTGGAGGGGTACAGTGCCTCCTGGATGAGGAACTGAGTCCACTGGTCGAGGAGCTTGTAGTGCTTGGTGAGGAAGTCAGTGTCGTTGGCAGCAAGGTAGTATTCCAAAGCCATGATAAGCATGTCACCACACTCTTCTAGAGGCATTTGCTCATCTTTGCCGTCAGTGTGGCCGGTGGCGTTGGGGTAGTGAGAACCGAGATCGTGCATCGACCAGCTGTTGGGGTATTGGCCAGCTTCCTGGTTGACGAACAAGGGTTCTAGCAACAACTTCATCAAGAGAGGGTTGGTGTAGACGTAGGCGGGGTGGGCGGGGAAAATAACATCAACGGTCTGGATATTACCGTCGGAAGAAATTTCCTTGAGGAAGAGGTACTGGGTGTCGTTGGTTCCGACGAGCTGGACGCCACCAAAGGCCTGTCGAAGAGAAAGGGTAGCGAGAGTAGCGTAGTCATCGCTGACAGCGGCGGCATCAGACTGGACCTTAGCATCGAGCTTGGCAGTCAAAGAGCTAGCAGTTGCGTAGTCACCTTGGACGAAAACGACAGCAGAGACCTCGTCGGGGAAGTATTGAGTCCAGAGAGAAGGAAGAGGAACAACGCCATCAGCACCGAGGAATTGAATGGCATCCTGCTGGGTAAGACCGACGGTGAAGAGGCGGCTAGTAGAAGTAGTACCGACAGAGCCGAGGTCGAAAGAGTGGGCAAAGACAGGCCAGTCACTATTGATAGCACGGTAGTTGGTGTCGGCGGCGTTGGTGAGAGTGCTATGGTTGCCAAACTGGGCACGAACGTCAACGTCAATACCGGACTGGTAGGTGTACCCCTTGTCGGTCGTGGTCGAGTACCACCAGTTACCGTATTCGGTCTGATCATTGACTTCCTGGAAGTTGCCCTGGTTCTGGCGGTAGACCTTGTGGTAAGCAACGCTGTCGTTGGTGCCGTATTCCCACTGGGCAACTTGGCCACGGTCACCGGAAACCCATTCTAAAATGAATTAGCAACTTGCTTCCACCGGGTCAGGAAAAAATAATATACCAGCAGAGATATCGGAGTAAAGTTGAACATCATGTTCGCTTCCATCCAAGGAAACGACGTCAACGTTGAGGTATGAGAAAATCAAAGACTGGCGCTTGAAGTCATCGGGAGTAATAGGAGAGGTGAAAGTGGCAGTGATTTGCACTTTGCCATCAACAGAAAGAACATAGGTGCTAGAAGAGCTAGTGTAGTTGTATGAAACCTGGTCGACAGTGTTGAAGTGCAGAGGAGCTCCCATCCAGCAGTAAGAGGATCCGTCAACATTGATCAGACCAGTCCATCCGAGAGTGGCACCACTAAGACGCGTTAGTCCAAGCTCCGTTTTTACCTAGAATGGCAATACTCACGCCCAGAAGGTTGGCCATTGACCAGCTAGGTAACCACCGTTACCACCATCGCTACCAGCTTCTTGCCAGGCGCTCAGGTAGGGAGACTTGACCGCTAGAGGCTGGGCAGGTGGGCGAGCCGGGGAAAAGGTAGAGGCCGCTCGGATGGAAGAGGGTAATAAGGAGAGTAAGAGCGAGAGGATGACGATAGGCGTCATGATGAATATTGTATAAGGAGAGACAATAAATGAAAGTATAGGCCTAAGACGATGAGCCTACAACAGAGATTTAAGTTAGACACAGATTAACAATTTGGTAGACTGATTACTGTAATCAACATCGCTTCTTCTCCACCCAAAAAGTACACTCCCCAAAATGCGTTCTAGGCATTCTTGGGCAGATGAGGCCCAGATTCACGATCTCTTCTTTCCAGCAAAATGGGGAATGAACAGGAATGAGGGGAGGGTCAAGATACCTTAACAGGGCCCGGGAAGTCGGTCAATAAAATTTACTATAGGCTCCGGCGTCAGCATTCGGAATGGAATGTGGCTTTGTGCTCGCCACGTTGTCGCTGTAAAATATAGCTGGGCTGACTGGTCACAGCCTCGCAGGCCAACAACCAACATCCAAGACCAGCGGGGTTGCAAGGTAGGGTACTTACTAGACCAGACCAAAGGAAGAAAGTCGATCAAACGCGACACAAAGGGCTGAATCGAAATCGAAGAACAAAAAAAGAAAGTCCTCGAACATTGGCGGCCATGGGTCATGCTTTATATAGAGGGGGCCTTTGTCGCGGAAGCACAGGCGGGATCACCGCCAGGCCCGTTGGTGGATGAAATGTTGGCACTATCCATGACAAGCTTCATGAATGCTGAACATAGCGTTCCTGATGTAAGTTGCATGTACCGTACGATTAGCGGTCAGGACGTAACAGGGTCGGTACGAGCCCAGGATTCTGGACTGAGGCGAGATGGGGTGGTATTAGGCAGGAGATCGGCATGCTGAGCACCTGGATTGAGCAAGCAAGGGGGTGGGGAGTAATGCTGTTGACTCGAGTACATAAGTGGGTGTGTAATGTTCTTACGGCGTAACTCCGTAGAAGAACAATACTCGCTGCAATTAAAGGTAGTAGTATCCAAGATTTTTGATGGTGATGGTGATGGTAGATGTGTAAGAATAGAAATGGAAACATCCCCACGCGTGAGGCGGCGATCCTACGCTGGCATCTTCCGGGCCGAACTGTGTTTTCGCCTTAAGACTACTGTTAGAATAGTCCTGGTTACATGTATCCATACTGTTTTATGACTGGTTAATTTCCCAGATTGACTTGGGGTCCATGATTACGGAGATCCAGGCCGGCTCTGATGGCACCTCGAATGCCGCTAAATCGCCATTCATTAAGGGCCATACGAGGCCATACATATCCATACATAATGCTGCATGACGCCGCCGGAATAATCGCCTGCGAATTTCGACTCCATCAACACAGACGCGCGTAAAGGATCATAAGAACAGCGACTTCGAACTCCGCAGTGAGTACGCGAGCATAAATAGTTAGCAACATATATCACCATATTATAAAATCTAAAGCCAACGATGAGCCACATAACGCCAACATGCATAATGAGTGGAAAACCTGGAAAAACTCCTTGGGGGACATTCGACGCTGCTAAACGACGGCTTAATGGGGGCCAAGCTAGGTACTTTGCGGTTAGCCCGGGCATTTTTTTAATGCTGGAGCCAGGCACTAGCAGGAGGATGCTGACCAGCTAATGAATCACTAAATGGAGTGTGCTCCCTTTTTCTAATATTAGTTATTCTAGTCCAATCAAATAATCGCTTACAGCCTTACACTCGGAAAAGTGCCAATGATAACAGAAGAACATCAGAATAAATCAAAATGTAACAAATTAGAACGCAGGATAGAATATCAGTCGAACATAATCATCTCTTGGTTCTTTGTTCAGTGAGAATCAGACAGTTCAATGTTGGACTTCGCGAGTTGCCAATAGACCACCCACCGTAGTACTGTTAATCCCTTCTTCCGGCTGCATGTTGCATGTTGCATGTCCGAGGCCACTCTGTTTAGCATGGCCATGCGAAGAGCATATAGTTGGACGGCAGTTAGACTATTAATGGCTCGTAGGTGGCGGCAGCTTAAAACTCACCGTCAACGCCACCGGCAGCAGGTACACCTTAATATAGGCCCCTGGTGTTGTCAGCCACTTTACTCGATTAGCATATTTCTTCTCTGGAACGCGCGACTTGCTCTTAGTCTTAAGTCTGTTATTATTGCTATTATTCTGACTAGGTCAATTCTAAATCTGGCATGCACCTCGGCCTCTCAGGTTACATCAGATGTTCAATTATTTCGGCACACACGAGTAGTTTCAGGCGCGTGATCGGTCAGCGAGTATGTTTCACGGCTTTGTCCGTCTAGAGCGGCCTAGCCGTGGATATTGGTGTGAACACAATGATACTTGAATCCACGAAAACCCTATTAATCGTCCCCAAAAGAACGGCAGAGTTTACCCTTCTTTCCTTTTAGGGTAGACCCGCGAAAGAGACCTGAGGCACTGTATACTATACATGATCATGGCTCTTTGAGCTTGACAGGGAGAATTTAAAATAAATAAAATGATGATGATCGCCTGCACAATTCATTCATAGAAACATCATAAACCAACCAATAGCCTTAGACCGCTCCCCGCATCTCTTTCAATTGAAAAATTAGTAAAAACAGTCGTATATACGCTGGCTGCAAGGAATTTCAACTTTTCTCCATATCTCTTCTATTTACCGCCATTTGAACAATTTTCTACACCCACTTTACGTATCGTTCCTAAGAGAAAAAGGAATTCGACAATCTCATCAATACCTTGATTCATATTAGTTCGAAATTTGAACGAAGAAGGTTCGAATTCTGGCACAGTTGTCTCTGACGTGTCCGTACTTTCAATGTGGCTGCAAGATATGCCATGCAGATGCAAGCAACATGCAAGCAGTATGAATGTTTTCGTTGATCCCGATCGGTGAAGATGTTGGTCGACGTCATGCCGGAGAACATGCAGATGTGGACGGTGCATCAATTAATGCAATATTAATACTACCTCTTGATAAAAGATAAAGTGCTATAGACGGATTCGAAACCTCCTTCATCTTTTTCACTCTCTCCTTGTTTAATCCAAACCCTGCAGAGACACTACTTATAAGACTAGGGTGGATATAGTAGTCCTTGTATTTTACCTTACTAGTGTGGTAAACACATACTTGTTACACACAGTAATCGATTCACAATGGGGTCCAATTATTACAGTTCCATTTCAAATTACAGTGCAAGAGACAAGATTTCATGCAATTTCGGTTTTTTTAAATTACAAACCCAAAATCCAACCCCGCAAACTATTCAAACATATCAAACCTGCCAAACTGATCAAACCGAGCAAACGGGCACGAAATTGGCAATATATTGTTGATGTATTCTTAAGGCTTGATGTATAAATACCGCTGCTTGATTCCATATATGTGCAATAGTTTTATTTTATTTCAGTATTCATATACAATCTCAATTTAATTAAATCCGTAAAACTGTTATCGCCTGTACTGCTTGCTTGAATGGCTTACCAGAAGATTGGTGTTTTTGGTGCCACAGGCCGTTTAGGCCAAGAGCGTATGTCTCCATTTCATGAGCCCTGAACTAAATAAGAAAAATATGTTCTAGTGTTCTGAATTCTACCGAGTCTATTTAGTTACTCGTGCATTTGTGGAAGAAGGCTTTGACATTGTTCCGTTCTCTCGCCAAAAGACGGCAAGTTTTCCTCTGTCGCTTTATTTTATATGTGAATTTTCTAGCATACCCAGCACATTGCTGACTTTATGAAAGACGGTTGCGGGCATCCCAACACAGGAAGTGGGAAGTCTAGTTGGATTCGACGTTATTGTTTGCACCGTCGGTTAGTCGAGTTGGATACCCTTACATACTCATTGATATAGATATGCTGAATTGAGATTGACGTCTAAATACAGGGGTGTCTGGGTTGAATGACCAGCTTTCACTTATAGAAAAGGCAAAGAAAGACGGCGTCAAACGCTTCGTCCCCAGCGAATATGGAGTTGACCACCGAGCTTCCGACCTGGACTTCTTCAAGCCAAAGAAGCAAGTGTTCGAGGCTGTCAAGGCGGCTAGGTTTCCTGATGGTAAGCTTTCTTTTATTATTCTGTTATTGTTTTCTTGCTTTTTTCGAAATGGTGTGACTAAGATATGGATTATAATATAATACAGGATGGACCGCAATCATCACTGGCTTCTTCGATGCAGTGATCCCTGCTGTTGCTTCCCTATCGACCGATTCATCAGTAATTAATGTTTCTGGGAATGGTAAAACACGGTATCCGTTTGTCTTCCGCCATGATCTCGGTCGCATTCTGGCGTACACCTTTAAACACCCGAAGGAGTACAAGGATGTATGGCTTGCAATTGCGAATGAATGGCTTTCTGGAGATGACATAGCTCAGATAATACAAGAAGCGTCAGGAAAAAACCTCCACATCAAGCACATAGAAGCAGATGAGAAAAAGGCGCCTGTAATATACTTGTTGGAGAGGAATGGCGGTAATGTTTTTGATCCAGCCATCCAGACCAAGGACATTCCGATCTCTTTGGTAGATTTGAGAGCTCATATTCGAAATATTTACACGTCACAGTGAAGTTTGCTGTTAACTGATATAGTATCTGAATAGGAATGGACAAATACGTTTTTCAGTAACCACTCTTCATCTAGGTCCTATTGTTTGTTTGTTGGAAGGGAACTTCGTATTCCAACATAACATCTCTATTAATCGTCTTCAAATGCTATTAAAGCAGCTGAGTACTGATAATTCAAGTTTACGAAGGAGTAACCGACTGATCAACATTTAGCTCTAATAAAAAGCTGTACTCTTAAGTGGATTACTAGTATACGGTTCAACGACGTACAAGTGCTACTCAATTCACGTAGAGCAAATTGCGTACCAAAATGTCCAATCTATTCTCGAATGGACTGAAGGCTGATTACACTGGAGGAAATGAATTAAATTCTTCAAAAGTTGGTCACATGTGTGACCAAGTATTTCAATCCGAGAATGAATCTAATTTAGAACAACACACAAAGTCCATGATACATGGTTCATTGAGAATCTTTATGCCGGAAAGATTTAGGCTGGTAAACAGTGGGAACAAACAAACCCAATAAACCAGCAAATCGAAATGCATGTTAGTATTTAATTTTATTATCCACTTTAGTCTGCATTGACTGCTGGTCTCCCCGCAAATAATTCCCGTAGCCGGCTCGAGAGTCCATCTCTTGACGTGCTTGTAACTTTGCTAGCACTAACCAACTTCCAAGAAATCTAACCAAATAGTTCGCCAACGCACGAAAATCACAATTATCTCAAGATTGGGATCACCGCTCTCCACAACATGCGCCTCGTTGCGCGCAAGTGTGGGGTGTACAGAGTACTCCACCTTGGTAACTAACTAGTTAACTACTAAATAACTACTAACAAGAGCTAACACCTGAATATTAATATTTTAGGCCTCGGCTAACAGAGGAGTTCGTCATAGAGCGGTCGCAATGGCTCCCAGACTCAATTACTTCTACGATCAGATAACAGGACAAGGTTTGGGTGGTGCCACAAGTTACCACTTGACTGTGAGCACCTAATCTGACCTTCCCAACACACAAAGTATAGAAAAGAATCGAGACCGTGTCAGATGATATCAACAGCACATCCATGCATGCGCAACCAACCATCACTCAGGCAGGCGGGCGATCAGCAGGTTCTCACGAACAGGCTGAGAGCTAGGGCTATATTAGCGCATGATATTGGTACTAAGTGTGGTAATTGGGTGGTACTACTACTTGCTTGGTACTTGATGCCAGTGCGTAGTAGAACTTAGTAGTACTTAGGCTCAGGGCATGACCGCCAATTGGAGCTCCCAGGCCAATCAGGGTACCTGCCCGCAGCCACTATCGCCATCCTGGCTGTGATCGTCCCGCCAGCAACTCCTCCATGTCCAAGATTCGTCGCTTATCACGGCTCGCTGAGGGGTTTGCCAGGGCCTTATCGCAGGGACCAAACACGACATGGAGTAAACATGGCCTGTCGTGCTGCTCCGGTCTCGTGTCGAGGCTGGCAGCCAGCTTATAAAAGCCTAAAGGTCGCCGAGCTACCCTCACCCTCAGCAACTGATAGTATCTAGTACTGGGAACTAGCATCAGCCAACATGAAGTCGTCCGTTCTGCTGCTGTCGCTAGCTGCGTCCGCGCTGGCCGTGCCAGCCCCGAGCAAGAGACATATCGTCCACGAGCGAAGAGACGCTCTGCTGCACTCGTGGAGTGAGCCTCGCCGGGTCGATGGCCGGACCCAGCTGCCTGTGAGAATCGGGTTGAGTCAGTCCAATATTGATGAATCGCATGATATGCTCATGGACATGTACGTTTAGTATCTTGGTAGAAACGATGGATTTATCTGACGAGAATAGCGCGTCCCCATCCTCGCCCAACTACCGCAAGTACATGACCGTGCATGAAGTCAACGAGCTCTTCGCCCCGGCCGGCGAGGCTGTCTCTGCCGTCCGCGACTGGTTAGAGAGTGCAGGAATTGCTGCTGAGCGTGTGACACAGTCGGCGAATAAGCAATGGCTGCAATTCGACGGCGATGCAGCAGAGGTTGAAAGCCTTCTGGGTGCTGAGTACTACATTTATACTCATGATACCAACGGTCGGTCACACATGGGCTGCGAGAAGTAAGCTTATGTCTATCTGCCTCTATGCATTCAATCTTCCTTATGCTAATGTGAATAATAGATACCACGTCCCTGAGCATATCAGTCATCATATCGACTACATCACCCCAGGTGTCAAGTTGCTGGAAGTGCGTGAGCCACAGCCGGCTGAGCTTGAGAAGCGTACCTTTGGTTTCCGCAAACCTCAGCCTCCGCTGTTCAAGGCCCTTCCAGAATCCCTCGAGACTATCATCAACAGTATCCTCGGTGGCCTCCTAGACCTGTGCTCTACGGTCATCACTCCTAGCTGCATCAAGAGTAAGCACCGCCCCCAATTAAATATACGGGAAAAAGACTGACCTAGCAGCCTTGTACAACATCACCGAAGGGACAACTGCCACCAAGGGCAACGAACTGGGCATCTTTGAGGATCTCGGGGATTACTACTCCCAAACCGACCTAGACCTCTTCTTCACCTCGTTCTACTCACAAATCCCCGCTGGCACAGGCCCAACTCTCAAGGGCATCGACGGCGCCCAAGCCCCGACCCAAACCCTCACCCAGGCCGGCCCAGAGTCTGACCTGGACTTCCAAGTCTCGTACCCAATTATCTGGCCCCAGAACAGCATCCTCTTCCAGACTGACGACGCCAACTACGAGGCCAACTACACCTTCAACGGCTTCCTCAACAACTTCCTCGACGCCATCGACGGCTCGTACTGTACCTACTCCGCCTTTGGCATCGATGGCAATACTGTCGACGACCCACCATACCCCGACCCAGCTTCGAACGGCTACAAGGGCTCTCTCCAATGCGGCGTCTACGAGCCCACAAACGTCATCTCCATCTCCTACGGCGGTGACGAGGCCGGCCTGTCCGTCAACTACCAGAAACGCCAGTGCAACGAGTACAAGAAACTTGGACTGCAGGGCGTGTCGGTCGTTGTGTCCTCAGGCGACAGCGGTGTCGCTGGTGCGGATGGCTGTCTTGGTGGTGGCAAGATCTTCAACCCTGACTTCCCGGCTGGATGCCCGTACATCACCACCGTCGGCGCCACCTACCTCCCCTCTGGCGCCAGCAGCACCTCCGACTCCGAAGTCGCCGTCTCCCGCTTCCCATCCGGCGGCGGCTTCAGCAACATCTACACGCAGCCCTCTTACCAAAGCGACGCCGTCAACACCTACCTCACTCAACACACACCACCCTACCCAGCCTACGAAACCAGCGACAACTCCAGCGTCGGCGCGAACGGGGGTATCTACAACAAGGCCGGGCGCGGGTACCCCGATGTTGCGGCTGTAGGCGATAACATCGTCATCTTCAACGCTGGCGCACCGACTCTGATCGGTGGCACGTCGGCCTCGGCACCCATCTTCGCTTCCATCCTGACGCGCATCAACGAGGTATTGCTGGCGAAGAAGGGCACGACGGTGGGATTTGTGAATCCGACGCTCTATGCGAATCCAGATGCCTTTCATGATATTACTAGCGGCGATAACCCCGGTTGTAGTACGAATGGGTTCTCGACGGCGCCGGGTTGGGATCCTGTGACGGGGCTGGGGACGCCGAATTATCCGGCGTTGTTGAAGGTGTTTTTGGGGGAGTGAGTGATCGAATATAATCTTGTTATGGTGATGGTAATAATGATTGTGATGTCCTCTCATCAATACTGACATCTGCACCGTTTATTACGTATGTAATGGTGTGGTATATAATTGTCTAATCTGAATATAATCAATCAATATCCAGTCAATCAAGTCATGTATAAACAATACATCTAGCTGTAAGTAATCACCTGTCATTGACATTGAAAAGGCATCTCTATTTGATACAAAGACAACCGAAAAACCATGAAAAAAAATATATAAAAAAGTTCTATGAAACCATCGCTGTATAAATGAGAACGAGACGACTCAAAATAACGACCACATCAGCCAAAGAACTTGTTCATCGCTTTGTGCGCCAATTCGACTCCGAGGCTATATCAATCAGTATCAACACACAACAGTAAAAGGGTATCAAAGGTAGAAGGGGGAACGTACAAGGTAGCAGCATTAGCAGGCACCGCTCTCGCCAGAGCCGGGCCGAATCCAGGGAAAAATGACTTTAATCCCCCACTTGCATGAATGGCTCTAATCGTACCGCCAATAGTCGGGTTGCCTGCCGCCGACTGCATTCTCGACTTAATTGTATCGATGGGGAAAACAGGAATCCACATGGCCACGCCGGCCGCACCACCAGCAGTCAAAATCGCAGTTAGCGGGAGATCGCCCGTCGCATTGCCGTTCTCATCCTTGGGTGTGAGCGAGCGTTTGATGTATTCGTATGTCGCGAAGTACGCAGCTGAGCCGGGGGCGTCGCGAGCCAGCGTCATTGCTGAGCCCCGGAATACGCTTCGGATGCCGCCTTCTTTGTACAGCTGCCGCACAACGTCGACGCCGCCGGAGTACTTGGGCTTTTGGCCCGGTGGAGGTGGGTTTTGGCCTTGGATTTGGAGGAGCACTTTGACGCGCTCGAATGGTGCGGTGATCAGGGTCATGGGCACGGCCGAGAAGGCGCCGGCGGCGGAGATTTGCGCGATGCTGTATTGCGGCGTGTTGTTGTGCACCGGCACGGTCGAGAAGGACGAGACAAGGCTTTTGCCGAGATCGTAGCCCCAGAAACTGACAGCGACTATTTACGATTAGTACCTATATTAGTGGTTGCCTATAAGAATATGAATGGGTGGTGTACTCACACATCGGCGTAACGCCTACAAGCGGTGCTGACACGCCGGCATACAGACCCCTCGCCAGCCCTTCGCGCGCAATCGTCTTCTTGACCACATCAATGGCGCCCGTGTACACTCCCTTCTCGGCGGTTTGCATGCGCACTTTGACCAGGTCGAATGGATGGCCGACCACGACGGCGCAGATGCCGCCAGCGCCGCCAGCGACGAACGAGCGGATCTGGGCGAGGGTCTGCGACGAGGCGGACTCTTTGGCTGGAGCGAGGATTTGCTCGTTGTCCTTGATCTCGGTTGTCGTGGTTGACATGATGACGGCTGGGCAGGTGTTGCGGGGAAGACAGAAACAGACAGACCCAGCTGTGGGGGGTTGTAGGTGTAAAGATTGACGGGGGCAAACAATATAGTACAAGAAATTGAAAAACCCGATCGCACAAAAATATCAAGAAGTATAAAAATCTGCCACGCGCAGTCTCACAATCTAGGCAGTTTTACTGACGTGATGAGCAAAGGAAAAAGCAACTCCGACGAAGTCCCACGGCGAGGAGCGGCAGCCAACCGCGTACGGACCTCGGCTCAAGGGAGTTATTCCTCCCGAGCCAATCCCGTCCATCACTCTCGGGCCAAGGGCTTTTACTAACATTAATTAATTCTTATTTATATACATAGCCGAAAGGAAGCTAACATTATACTTGCTGCATATATATCATATACGTCCATCCTTCATATACTGTTGAATTGGTCAGACTGTTCTTCCTTGTTCTGCGAATGTAGATCGGGATTGCCGAAGTATGGATCACTTAACCCTAATTGTGGAGATCCCCGCAATAAAGTTGAATTGCATGTGCCTGAGATGCTCAGAAACAAACAATTCTGATATCTCGCGAATAATAATGCCCGTAAAACATCCAGTTTCACGTATCAAGTGCTTGGTCGCCTATCGCACGCATGCCGCACGTGACGTCTGCCAAATTTCATTGAAGGGTACATGTGCATGTAAAAAATTCATACCATCAATTGATATAAAACCACACTTGATATTAGTTGCCATAATCGTTGCTTATATATAACAACAAATCCAATCGGACCTTGGAAAATATATGTATCCGATACTATGTATATTATCGTACAGCAAAGAAACCATCATAACCAACCGAGAGCAAAAGGAAAGTCAAATTCCGAGACTGTACATATAACCCGCCCATTTTCTGTACCACAGCAGACCGCTGTTTCAAGAAATTAAAAAGAGAAAAGGAAGACGCTATTTTGAACGCCGGGTAGATAATTATGAGAATGAAATTCGTCATGGTTGCCTGTCCTTTTTAAGACGGGAGGATTAGGGTAGGTAGGGGTAGAAGGGTATAGAAGAAATGTGTGAAGTTAGGGGGTGTGGTTATGCCCCCGATTCGGAGTCGGTTTGTTGTTCGACTAATTCCGCCGTGCTACCTGTCAGCGGGTGCTCTGGCCCGGCTTGATGGATGCTGGCACCGGCGCGGTGATGCACGACGTAGCCCATGCCGGAGGGCTGGCCAGGGTCAGCGCTCGCTGTGCGTTGGATGGTCGAGGAGCTCGATGCGACAGAACCCGTGCGGTCCTGGCTATGTTTGCTGCCCGAGTCGCTCGCGGCAAAGGGGAGGCGAGCCTGGGGGTCGGATGGCTGGAGGAGTTCGGCTGACGCGGCGTCGTCGCTGGGATGCCGCTGTACCCTGTGCTCCGGCGAGTCGGGGATCGTGACGAGTACTTGCTCGCCGTCTTCGTTAGGGTTTATCTGCGTTTCTCGTCGTGAACTCTTTCTGGGCACAGGAGGCCGACTGGATGTTGTCAACACGCTGCTTCGGGAGCCAACGCGGCTGGGAAGCTCAATAGAGCCGCCGACGTCGATCTGCGGTAAGCGGAATTGTTCTTTCTGTTGTTGGTCCTTTTCTTGCGTCTTCTTTTGTTCGGCATCGTGGTATGACGACGTGGTGGCTCCGGATATCTCGCGGGAGTGGCCGCCAGTTGCATTATCGTCAGGACTCTGTCTATCGGGGTCGTCTCGGTATGGTTCGTGATATTCTTCATCCTCAACGGGCGGAAATAGTCGGGGAGGAGGCGCTCGGGTGCTGCGAACGACTTCGAATCCTTTACTCGGTTCTTTGGTCTTCCCACCCAAATATCGACGGAACCAGCCAGAGGCCGATGAAACGGGTCCAGTCGGGTCTGCTGGTCCCGTTTTCAACTTACGAGTTCCTGTATGAGATAGAGCGGGCCCACGGACGCGGTAGTAGAAGTCGACCTCGCGGACAGCATAGTCTTTTCTATTCGGTCGAGAATCCTCGAGATCAGGGTCATCTCGTGCGGCGCCAAGATAAGCAGCGGGTACCGGATGACCTGAACTTTCAGTTCCATTATCTTCCGGATCGCTGCCAGGTGCGTTCTGAGCACGTTCTCCATCCAAAGGCTGCGTTTCCATGGTTTTACTCTTCGGCCTGGGTGGTCGATAGTAAGGGTCAATGACTTCCGGTTTGAGGCCTAGGAATGAACTGCTCTTGGGTGTTGTCATAGCCTGGTAGCCAGCTGGATGGGAAAATGCACTACTGGCACCCGGGGTCGTCGGCGTATACATGCCACTGCTATTAGCTCGACTGTGACTCGGGTCATGCAAGCTACCTGCATCATAAGCAGTACTGGCTAGGCCGTCGCTTAGCGGATTGCGATTGAGGAGGAATGCAGAACTGCCAGAGAGGCTTCGTGCTCTGGACTCGCCAAACGGAGTTGAACGGTCATCCATGTTGGCTAACATTGCGGCATCGGAAGCCATGCTCTGCCGTGTGCTGCTTCTCGGATTTCGACGGGAAAGCTGTCGTGCACCAAATACCTATTCATTCTATTGTCAGCTTTATAACTTCTAATGTGATTCTAAGATGCACCTTTGTGAGACCACCACGAGTTGCTCCGCCTTCAACACCCCCTGCACCTGCAAGACGGGCAACCACCTCAATGATGGTTTGCAGAGCATTCAAAAAAAAGCCAAAGACCAGCATCATTCCGTGCAAGGATAGCATAACATATCCAATCCATCCTTTTGTTTCCTCTGAGATGCCGAGGGCCGGAACAAATGTGACGCTGAGGAGAACCACTAGGAAGCGGACTACAGCGAAAACCACTTGGTAAAGGTTCATTGAGGTTGGAGAAGGGTATGGGCGAAATGCTGCCAGTACCAAAACCAAGGCAACTTCGCATATTGCGAGCAGAACTACCTGAGCAATACCCGACGGTTGTAGTGCACCAATCGCGAGGGAACGAACAGTTGTAATGAAGATAGGCACTAGGGCAAAAGCCGTGGCACCATCACGATACGTGTTGTAGAGAGGACCGTAAAGCAAGACGGTGGAAAGATCGTCAAACAAGTAGGCACGAGGGCGCGCGGTGATGATAAGACGAATCATCCAAAAGGCAAAACACAGAAGAACCAGAATCAGAACGACTGCGAGAGCGACCGAGTAGGCTGGTGATTTTCCAGCAACAACGAGTTGAAACAAGGCTAGAGACATTATAGGAAATAGAAAAAAATTGAATGTGATGCGAATGACATTCCCAATCGTGAAGGGCATGTTTTTGGCGCGGAGATCCTCTTCTGGAACGTCGGCCAGTTTGTGGTATATCCAGCGAGACCCCAAAGCTAGCTGAGTCAAAGCAGTAACCGCAAAAACGGCAACCAAAAGCCAAACCATTGAACCCGGCCAGATGTCTTTTACATCCGCCAAGCCAACGTACTGACTGAACCGATCCATGCCGTAAGTGCCATTAACTACATAGATTCCGTCCTGAACCGGGTCGATGCCGCCATTGTGACTCACGAGACTCTGGTTGAACATAAGAATAGACCATGCTCCTCGAGAAACAATCGGTTGATAGAAACCAGGGTAGCTCAAGCTCAAAGTGCCCGTCAATGCAATGAATTGGATATATTGGAGACAGTCGGCAAATCCGGGCGTCACAAGTCGTAGTAAATCCTCGTCCCGACCATAATTACTCGTCCAGCGGAATATATCGGTGGAGCCCCAGGGACTATAGGTGGAGGCCAGGATCTTGGCAGCAGCGACAAAGATCAAGATGAGAAGAGGGATAAAAGCCAACGTGTTTCCAAGTGTGTCTCCCAGATCTGGGGTGATGACCCCAGATACACAAGCCAGATCCGTGCCCTGTTGGTCTCCAGATTTCACTCGCAGTGTCGAAGACAGACTTGTAAATTGATACGATGACTGGATATCGTGTGCGACTGAAAAGGCTCGGAGTTCAGTAGGGTTACTCCTGTAGAGGTGAATAGTTAGTCAGCTAAGTGATGTTAAATATCAGGACAACACTTACACATTCTTGTGGAACACTGGGCCAAGCGGACAGTCACCCAGCGTGACGCCCTGGCAGAATTGCGAGGCATTTTCATAAGCAGTATAACTGAGCAAATTCAATGTCGTGAAAAGGGTAGTGTATGTATAGTTGCCATTATTATCAACAATAGGGACAATCTTGCCTGCTGTCACATCGGGGTTCTCCCAGTCTGGCGAACCCACCGCCGGTGCTGTATCACCACTTTGCACCCCAGTCACATTTCCATAGACCGTGATATTGAGCGGATTCGGGCCGGGAGAGGGATCATAAAGAACCGAATAATAAAGCGGAACGAATTGGAGCTGGTTGGGGTTGCTGATAATGTTGGACTCGAGACAATTATCAAAGTTAATAAAGGCAGCCTCCGCCGTGAGGGTCATGAAAAGGAATAATAAACAGAAAATCGTAAAATAGCCGCTCGAGACATGCCGTCTCCGCCGTTGCCGCGACGGCCGGAACGTTGCACAATTGTTCTGTAACTGACTCATCCCATCCTTAAGTGCATCAAGCCAACCCGACAGCGGTATCGAGCAGGCTTGTTCTCGGTCGACGGGCCTGTTGTCCTTGGGAGCCGTTTCGAACATCGGGGCTGTCAAGAAAGACCTCAAAGAGGTCTGCCCCTCTGCTACACCAAGCCAACAGTGTGAATTGCCCTTATTTTGTTCCTATTGCGCTTTGTTTCCTCGCGGCAGTTATTCTTCCAAGCGGAACGATGCCGATCAATGAGATAACAAGCTATCGTATCCACCGTTAGGAAAAACCGTAGAATGCTTTAGAAGCTGCAAATGCAGAGCGACACCTCCACCTCAAATGCTCAACACATCACGGACCTGTTCGAACGAGCGATAGAAGAATGACAATCTTCTTGAGACGCAACGGTGGAGCCCGACAGGGGCCGCCCAAAAAGCAAGGCCGAATCGAAACAGGAGCGGGGAGAAGGTGTACACCGGTCGAGGAAGAAGTGTATGGACTGGCGCTTGTAGAAGTGGATGTTTTGACGCAGGTTGTATAGTCGACAGCAGCTCATCAACAGGACCGTAGCTCGGCGTGGTCGTGTGGCTGTCCTGGGCGAGACACGATAGATGGACGCCGGCTGTGCAAGCGCAGGGTTTCAAACACGAGAGAGGTTAGATGGCGGCGATGGTGACGGTGGTTCGGTTTGGTTGGAGGAACTGGAGGTTAACCATGGCGTGGCTGACGGTTGTCGCTGGTGAAATTAGTCGTCAGTTAGTAAGTTGTTGCCCTTTAGCCTTTTCAGCCTCTAAGGAGTTTAGCGACTGCCAGCGGGCTCTCGCACGGGGCAGCATCTAAACTTGGAAGTCAGCCCACTCCACTACATACTTCCTGCTGTTCTATCGTCCCAGTATTTACTATTTATTATTATTATTCTTATTACACTGCTTTTCACTGGTATTATTAGTATTGCTCTCATGCCTTCAAATTTCAACTTGATCATGCCATAGACCCACGTGGTGTGTAAGTGCGAAAATCTCATTGGACAACTGTGGGCGATAAATCGTTGACTACACGTACTGCATGTCGCGGCCACGTATAGTTCACTACCCACGACGTACTCGCCAGAAGGATTGGCTATATAACAGCTGTGTGTATTCCCGTACACAACGAGAATCATAAACCAGGTAAAGGGCAGCGCTGTCTTGTGCGCCGATCGTCCTCTGGGCTTTTTTTTGGCTAATGATGTTTGGCTGTCGCCCGATGTCTCACATGGAATCGGGGCTATTATTGGCTGCGGAGGAGGACGTGGATGAGAACTGACAGAGTGATATACTAATAGTGAGATGGTGTTCTGACTATAATTTTGTCGCCATGATCGAACATTTCTCTGGCAGTTTCCCTGGTGTTTTTCCTGTTTCTATATCAATTTATTTCGCATAGATGTGTGTTGTGAAAAGGGCATATATCCCGATAATTGTTGATTATCGAAGCAGCGTAGAGTCCTCACTATCCCGTTTCAGGTGGGTGGCAGTGCTAGACACGATCACTAAAGCCAATTAGATGCCCTGGACGGTCCCGCTGCGTGGCTGTGCTTGACGCCAGGAGGTTCGTATGGCTTCAAGGCTCACATCTTGCCAGTTGATGGGTATTGGATAATGATATGGTTGATTATGTGCGGGTTTCAGGACTCACACAGGGGCCGTTGTGATCCTTCTACTGGTATTCTGGTTATTTTATTCGTCTACTTGCCAAAGCACCAGTCGCAGTTCTGAGACAGACGCCATACAAGTGTCGCTTGGATCCAAGCCTCCAAAGTCAATCAATGCATATCAGATTCGCGTAGCTGAACAAAATCAATTCGATTATGTAAGAGGTATAAAGCTAACCACCTGTGGCGTCAATATATATATCAGTTGGTGGGTTTCCTGTCATATAATGAAAGAGAACTGAGACAACGCTAGTTTCGTAGACAACCGTTCTAGAACAAGCATGTTTCATTCTATTGTCGATGAAATGCAGATCGTGGAACTGCCATAACAGACGACACCGCCAATTTGCGGTCCTCCGCTTCCCTTGCGATCGGATGGATTATGATACGTACTGGTACTACTACTACTACGTAGCTATATATCCGTCTGGACGGGACCAAGATGGACAGGAACGTGCATTGTCGAGTAGCTCTACTCTTGCGAGTTTGATGTTATGTATATGAATTAGCCAACGGTCGATCTAGACGGCCGTTTTCTATAACCAGTCTTAGTCTAGCAGTCGAAGCTCGGCCGATCAATTCCTGTCTGTCTGCATGCTCGGGAGCGGAATGTGTTCATTTGCTAGTTGCCCGGTAAGCTATGTCGATCACTAATTAAAGCAGTGCAGCACTGAAAGCAAGGAAGAGCGTTGACGTGAGTAGACACGGCTCGGACATTGTTCAGTCAACTTTATTGTTTATTGTTCGTATGTATGACAAATGTCAAACTATGTGGTGATTAAGCAATCGCAAAAGCGACTGGGGAAGGAGGACTCTTCCCAAGTGTCAATAAACATATATTATAATGTTCTATTACTATCCACTAGTTATTCATCATATATACCATATACATATAGGCCTATACTTCGCCGCATTACGAACTCCCTGTTTTAATTTACTGGAATTTATCTGCTTATCAGCGCGTAGTACCGCCAGCAGGGACCAGATTGATGCGATGCGACTCGCTAAAAGGCAGGTGAAACTTATATCGATAGTTAGTCTTGGCGCGGTTAGTCAGATACACTAACATATACTCAAATAATGGTAATTATATAGTAGTATAATATTGGTATATGGCACAATCAGAATATTAAAACCAAGACATGACTCAGCACTTGATAGAGTACTAAATATAATGAAAGAAACAGATCGCTCATGACGACAATGGCTTGCATGTATGTAGGGGCTGCGTGGAGGAAGAATGCGCCATTATGGAGACCGCATACTTGGACCTCGGATATGCTGTATCTATGACAGCTTTCTCTCCACTATCACCAGTCGCCAACTTATGAACTTACCATACTGCCCAAATAGACTGCCCCTGAACAGGCCACGAACCGAGGACTAAGTTCTAAAGTACCCCTTATTAGTAGATTACTAGCAACGTACTACCAAGTCTCAAGTGTGCACCGTACTCTGTATGCTGTGGGGACGGCGCGTCGCGGGATGGCTGAGTTCGGCATGGCGTGGTTTCAGATCAGCGTCAGACTCCAGGCCGCGATTCTACTGGCTGCCTGCCGCCAGCCCCGCCGGGTGCCCCGCCGCCTATTGGGCGTGGGCGGCCCAATGGCGGCAGGCCGACTGTGCGACTCCATGGCTGTTAATCACCATTAATTTGTTCGTTTTATGATTTAAGATGATTGTGAGAATCGCTGAGAATACGTCGCCCAATCGGAGCCTCGTGACACCGCTCAGATCGCCTGCCCGTGTGCTTGCAGTTCATCCTTGTCGTCGTAACTGCTGCGTGTCGTTCGTCTGAACCATCGTCATCTAGCTAACCTAACATTATTCCTCGTCTCTTTTTTTGTTGCTATTGTTGTCGCTGTCTTCGTCGCGTTGTCGGGAGAGTCAAATCATCAGTTGGCAGAACGGCCTATCGCCCGCCCCATCGTCCTGCCAGCACACACTTGCGACGATCCCTGAGCTTCTTTTTGTGGTTGTTGCTGTGGCGTTGTCTTCTTAGTCTCTTTGGGCTGAGGTATATCGATACTGGGCGGGAGCTAATTAGACTGATCCTGCCGAAGGAGACAACAACACCAACCCTCCTTCCCTCCCCTGGACTGTGTGCACTCGAGCTGTACCTTGTTTTGTGCCTGCCGACCTTCGTCGCTTTGCGCGCCCTTTCTCCCTCCAATTAGGTACGGATTGCCTCTACTGCTACTACTGATTTGGCCACCGCCTGACGACCTGCAACCCCGCCATTGACTGCTTCCTCTGCCTAACTGAACAGTGGCTGCCCACTTGATTCGTGGCTTCCTCTCCTAGCTAGCTAACTGGTACATAGGCGTCCTGACACTGCGATCGCTGATCAGTCCTCGTTCGACCGCTTTTCCATAATCGTTGTTTGGCACGAGCCCGCCCTTGGGATGGTCCATAGGACAGAACCAGGTTGATATTGAGGAGCCACGATATTGATTATCGCCATGGCAGGAGACGACCCGTTCGCCTTTTTGGCAACCCAGGAACCCCCCAAACCGTTGGAGCAGTCCAAGTCAGTCCGCAGATTGAATTGGGGCGGATCCAAAATCAACGACCAGAAGAGTCGATGGCGCGAAAAGCTGTTTAACAAGGACCGAGAGAAACAAGCGGCAGAGACAGAGAGGCAGGTTGATGATTTCCTCGGCCATGCTCGCCCGCGACCATTGCCTGAAGCGCCGAGCCTACCTGCCCTCGACTTGGGTCCCTTCACTACCACCACACCGCAACCTCGAGCTTTATCTACCACCCCCCCGTCCCCCCAGAAGGATGTCGTTCAAAACGTCCCTCCCCGGCCAGCCCTCCGAAGAAGCGCCGGGCGAAACCAAAAGGCTTGCGTGTGACGTTTTCGGATAAACGACCAGACGTGATTGGCGAAGGCGGAGATGAGTCGGAGGAGCCAACCATGGAGATATCCAGGAATAAGGAACGGGCGGCTATTCAAGGGGCCAAGACACAGAATGAAGAATACGAAGATTTGGAGAATCGTCGACCCACACTTCCCAATCTACATGTGGATACCTCTTTTGCTGGTGGCAGTGACGCCTCAGGTGGGAAAACGGGAAAGGATCCTCAATGGACACCCTTGCTGCTCAGTCCTCAGGATCAGGATTTGTTAATGGCATTCAATGCGGGAGAGCGAGGATCTAGGTTATCTCTTAGGGCGTCTTCCGATTCCAACTCGTTCGCTCGCCGTGTGCAAGCGCGAATGCAAGCAGAGGAAGGTCTAGCGTTACAGAACCGTTTAGAGGATGACCCTGTTTCTCCTACGACTGCCGATAGCGAGTCGCGATTACAGAAACAGCAAGATACGTTGCCTACACGTCCGTCATTCAATTCTCAGCGATCCCAACTATCTTCCCAGTCATTAGCTGTCGACGATGGAATTTCTGCTTCGTTATCTCTCCGAACGAGTCCCGTCCCCGCTGTCCACGAACAAGCCAAGATGCTTCGACAAGGAAACATTCCCGAAATAATGTCACCGAACAGCTCTGTGAGCAGTATTTCACCACCTCCCCCCGAAGAGCCAAAAACAATCGCGCACCCTGTAGAGCCTCCACATGCCCCTTCAAGCAGGGAGGCACCAGATGCTTCTCGATCAATGGCCCCCCTGCGCCTCGTTCAGCAAAGATGACACTTCGTTCTGTCGCCAATGCCATGGGTGATCATGCGTACCAGGACTTCACAAACCATGTGGGAAAATACAGCAGTCTCTATCATATGGCTGCAGAAAGCGTGAAGCCGTTGATGGAGACTTCCTTTCCCGAATGGGTTCGAGCTTCTACCTGGTGGTTTTTAAGAGGCCGATCTGGTCTTGAATCTGCCGTTCGAGCCGGCCGAAGCCCTGAAAATAACTTAGCTGCGCAAGCTGTTGTTGATCTTGGTAAATCTTGGTGGATTTGTACTGAAATTGTACCTCACCACCCCGAATTGACCCGCTACGGAAGAATGAGTGTAGAAGCTCTGGCAGCTGTGATCAATACTACAGGTGATAATAGGATGGCTGGCTTGGTGAACCTGCACCAGAAGGTGCTCAATCATTTACGCGCATTAACTGTGTCAATGAAACGTAATCAAATTCTTACCGCTCTTGAATCTTATGCTATGGAGCCGACTATCGACTCGGCTATTTGGATCAGGTATCCGTTCTTTGCACCAGATGTGGCCGCAGCTTTTTCTGCAAATAATCGGCGTTCCATGTTGATTGATTCAACATCTCATCTCACCTCTACTCCCGATATGATGCTCTTGGGCGACACTAGCCGCTTCTTTAGCTATGCCACTATGTTTGTTGAAGTTTCACTCTCAGGTGACGAGGATTTCGACTCTCCGCAATACGCCATTCAATGCATATTATCGATTAAGCGAGACCGGAACGACTGGTACGTTCTGGCATCGATTTCAAGCCAGAGTGAATTGGTCAACATTACGATTCAATCCGACAGGAAGAATGGTCCTACGTGGGATGATGTCAACTGGCACGTCAAAACTCGCACGATGACAATCAAACTTCGTCGTGGGTTTGAGCTGAACGTTGCCTTTCAAGAGAAGGATTTCAAAATGATCTGGAACATCGTCCAGTATACCCTTAAAACAGAAGCTAGTTTGCAACCTGAAACAGGTGAAACCAAAATCTTCCATGACACACTTAAGGTGTTCCAATACATGGATTCCGGCACCCCCAAGGCCTTTCCTCCTGAGCCGTCTCCGCAGTGTCGAATGGCATTGTTTGAAAGGACAGTTACGATCACAGAAGGTACGGGCAAACGCAAAGCTCACCGAGGATTCAGGTTATCTGTGGTTACTAGCCCTCAAACCAAGACTTTGAGCAGCGTTCGCCACATACTCGGCTATGGGGCTCCCATCGTTTTTGGCTATCTTCGCGGAGAAAATGGAGCGCCGGCTCTTTTACTCAATTTGAAAGAGGAGTCGAGAGCGCGCTCAATGGTATTGACTTTTGATCGAATCGAACAGCGTACCCTTATGCATTCCTTGTTGCTCGGCATGCTTGCGAACGAAAAGGAACATACCTCTCCTAACATCCCTATACGCTCCTTTAGTATCGAGCAGCCTGGCGATTTTAATCTGGGCGCTCAGGACATCTCACATATCAAATTCAACTCTGGTTCTATTTCTGTTATTAATTTAGAACCCATGTTTATTAACCATGCATATTCCCCGAACATTTTGTCCGAGAACCTGCGTGTTTTGGTCAGCACAGATTGGGGTACGGTCACTGATCGAATTAACTTGGGTGAGTATGAGTTGCAACTTCAGTTTGTGCGATATTGACTGAATATTACAGGTCCCGGAGAATTGAAGATTAGCTTGGATGCGAACTTCAATACTGCATTATACATGTACCGCGCTCAGCAGGAAGACTTGACAGTATCTATAGCTGAAAACCTCGTGGAAAAGGACTTGCCGGATCGTGTGACGCAGTTTCTGGAAGCTGCCAGGTCTAAAGCAATGGTCCGCTGTTACGAATTTGCTACATTACAGGGTAAGTACCATAAGTTTATTAAATATTTGTGCCTCAGCTAACAGCAGCCAGCTCTACATGAATTCCAAGAAATTGTGACCGGGTATCGAGTCGCTTATGATGGAATGGCAGTTTCGTTTGCCATCGCGCGCCGACGCATGGTTGTTCCAATCCACAAGAAATGGGAGGCAAGCTCGGTCAGGCTGCAACTGGTGTATCAGAATAAAACCGTGCAATTACTGGCGTTCTTCGGCAACGACTTTAGCCACGGTACATGCATGAATTTTGTGCTCAAAGGAACCGATACCTACGAGAGCTCGAATCGTTCAGGGAAGATTGCAGTTCGCATTGTCGACGCTAAATTTGCACTCCCGAAGAAAGAAGAGGAAGCCTCTGAATTTGTCTCTCTGGACATGCCGGATTATCCTAGTGAACATGACGATATCACTATTTCTTTCGAGTCGGAGCAGGGTAAGTTATTCAGACACACACTAAATTCCATACTGATGCTGATTTTATGTAGAGCGAGCTAGGTTTTATACTGCTCTGCCTGGCGCAATCCGAGAGCCAACTCGCATGCAATCTTTACGACGATGATCAATCAGTATCTGATCTTTATTATGGATGTCACGTATGATGTATACTACCTAAATCATGTGATAAGCGGAGACAATGACTAATCGGGATATGTCAGCCTAAAGCGGCAAGGCTCCCCACCTTTCCCCTCATAACGCAATCAATCCGCCCTTGGGAAAAGGTCTCTTCATCGGGGTCATGGGTCACATCGACTGTAAAATAGTCGTCTAAATATTTCTACATCTGCATAGCACCACCGACGCCCGTTGCGCAGTTTCCATCTTCGTTTGTTCGCTCACCAACATGTCTAATCATATCGAAGCCAAGCTAGCTACACTTGCTATCCATGCCGATAATCCTCTCAATAAAGTCACAGACGTGGCCCCTCCAATTCACCTATCCACAACTTTTAGATACCCAGATGACCCGAATGACTTGACTGTAGTTTCTGACTTCAAGGTATACCGCGCAATTTTGAAACTCGCAACCACTTTCTGATATCAGCTATCGCAGGGCGATATAACCAGCCATGACTTCGTTTATTCTCGGTTGGCAGCTCCCAATTCGACTCGCTTTGAAGCAATCCTTACCGCTTTACTCAAGGGCCGCGCCCTCGCCTACGGATCTGGATTGGCTGCCTTCAATGCAGCCCTGGTTCTCTTGAATCCGCGCCGTATCTCCGTCGGTGAAAACTACCATGGCTGCCATGGTGTCATCGACATATTCAAACGAGTGTCTGGCTTGCAAAAGCTGGAATTGGACTGCCCTGCCGAAGAACTACAAGCTGGAGACCTCATCTTCCTAGAAACCCCCCTCAACCCGCACGGAACCGCATTCAACATCGAACACTACGCGCAAAAGGCCCACTCTAGAGGCGCATTCCTCCTTGTCGACAGCACATTCGGACCGCCGGGCCTCCAAGACCCATTCGAATGGGGCGCTGATCTAGTCATGCACTCGGGCTCCAAATACTTCGGCGGACACAGCGACCTCCTCTGCGGCGTCCTGGCCACCAAACGCACCGACTGGTTCAACCAACTCTTCATCGACCGTCTGCACCTAGGCAATAATATGGGCAATCTCGAAAGCTGGCTGGGCGTCCGCAGTCTACGCACACTCGAGCTCCGCGTCCAACGCGCCAGCCAATCCGCCACCAAACTCGTCTCCCATCTACATACCTCTTTGACTACGACCAACCCACCACCCAATTCCCCCGCCGCCACTATCCAGTCCGTCCTCGCAGAAATCCGGCACGCAAGCCTTCAATCCGACGAATGGGTCCATAAGCAAATGCCGCATGGCTACGGACCCGTCTTTTCGATTTTAATGAAATCGCCGGAGTTGGCGAGGAAGTTGCCTAGTAAATTACACTACTTTCATCATGCGACTAGTCTGGGTGGTGTCGAGAGCTTGATCGAGTGGCGTGCGATGTCGGATTCGAGAGTTGATCAGAGGTTGCTGAGGGTTAGTGTCGGCGTCGAGAATGTGGAGGATTTGATTGGAGATTTTGTGCAGGCCTTTACGGCTTTGGCGGCGGAGTAAGATAGCTGGCTGGCTTTGAGGGTGTGGGTTTGTTTTAGATTTTTGTAAATAGGAGATTTCATAATTAAAAAGATGTTTATTTCACTCTACTCTGGTCTGTTAAATGGCTAATACTTTAAATATCCCAATGTAATTCATTTTATCATACCCAAGGAAACATATAGTCAGATTTAAAGGCTTTCTTTTTAATCCTTATACTTCTTATTTATAGGCACTTTTCTTATATCAATGTAATATGTAATGCCCGATAATCTGTAGCTATTCATATATCTAATACCTGTATCTTTGTGCAGAATTCATCCTGAACCCAAATCCACCATACTGACACACGAGAACTACAATATTGCAAATTCATGTGCATTAGACTTTGAGCTCAGAGCCGCGCTCCTGCATTTTGATGAGTTTCATGAAAATCCCAAAATTGCTCCCGGGGATAATAATCGTTATTATCTGTGAAAAATGGAAAAACACCATGTGGTAGCAGCTTGTCTTCCTTGGGGGGGAGGGACATTGGTATGAGCAGTGCATCCACTGCAGCTAGCAACGTGTAAAGAAATTTTCCAAAGGTGAAAGATCGCCTCCTAATTGGTATTGGGTAAGTTTGCGTAGGGTTTTTGCAAATACTTCTTGTTACAAGCCTTTCTTTGTTGTACATATCTTGTATATTATCAACCTTTCAAAATATCTGCGAAGATCGGTTTATATTACATGAAGTCACGTTGCCATATTAAACACCTGATGCTTTATTTTCGTTATCCATTTGTTGCTTCTTCCTTTCCTTTGCCTCAGCATCAGCCTGTTTCCATGAGCCCTCATAATGATGAGTAACAAGTATATCTCCCTGGTCATCCGGAAACCCGTTCTGGATGGCCGCAAACGCATTTCCAGGCATAATAAGAACGTCTCCGATCAGCTTCGGCTGCTTTATGCCTGAGAAATCACGATCATCCACGGGCCTGCCCAGCAGTTGCCCGAGACTTTTCAAGATTTGAATAGTCATGATCTTGGGACCAGTTACATCAACCACGTCTATGGGGAGCATATCCATGGTAAGCCCTGCAACAGGTACCCCATTCGACCACGCAATATCCTTGATCATATCGACGACAGCGTCAACAACGATTTGCAGATTGCGCGACGAAGGCTGCGCCGCAAACACCCAGTTGGTGAATTGGGAAGCCACCTGGGTTCCTTCACCGCGCCATTCAAAGTCAAACTCCAGCCCGACGATCATATCAATCTTGTGGTGTCTATACTCGGCTGGCACCCACTGCAAGACTTCCTTGTCGCATGTCGCGTCTAAATCGCTCCAGACTCCACCTTCGGCCAGAACCATGAGGTAGCGAAGAAGGTCGGCACGTAAGATTGGGATGAGAAGGGCTTCGTAGACCTCGACGATGTCCGGTCGGGCTTGGAGATAGTGAGTGCGAACAAATGTCTCACTAGATCGATCTGTGAGGAGTTCCAGGCGAAATGACGGGTTTTTCTCCGTCCAGCTGTTAGACCATCCACGCTGATCTTCACTTAAGGTGTTGACTTTGGCAGTTTGCCAGACTTTCTTGGGTATGCCGGAAATTGCTGAGGTGACAGCGGAGATAGTCTCGCCGGCGAAAGATGTTGGTAATGGTTGCGGATTAGAGTTTGGTACGTCGCTTGGAGTGTCTTCTAGCGATGGCTCCTTGTAAGATGTATTCAGAGTTGAGTTTGTATCGGTAGGCGTGTCTATATCATTGTGCTGGCATTTGCTTGATTGTAAAATAGAGAATGATGAACGAAATGGATCCCAGTTGGTATGTAATATATAAATTGAGAAAAGAACGAGGGGCGTGACTACAACCACGAAGCGCAGAAAGCGCGATGTATTCAACTTAGAGAACAGCATTGATGAGCTCCTGTGTTGCAGCCAGGCAAGAACAGATGGTCATCGCTGAGGGTAAATGAAGATTGAAGAAGCTGAGATAGTTGTTAAGAAGTGAGAGGAACGGAGAATTGAATCTAGCAGGTGCTTTCGATCATTTATTAACCTATGAACGAGTGTGCAACGCGCCAAATCCTCTTGGTTGAATGCAATACTGATACCAAAAATAAACCCCTGAACAACCATCGGTCAAATAAGCTGGGCCTGCGCTTGGGAGTCAACTTTGGGCTGAAACCGACGCGGCGCGTATACTAGGTGTAGAGCCAATCGATAACATCACACAGTTTCAAACCCGCGGGTTATCGTATTAGCGATAAATGATCCTCTATCCCCCTGTCAAAAGCAATTTAAAGGATAACAAAGAAATGCGACTGGTCCAGGCGGCTACAACAATTCTGCGGCGGCTAACTAGCAGGGTGGCAAGCCCTGAATGCTGATTGCTTCATTATTGCCCACTTTGGACCCGCGGTAAACACACTATAGGTGTATCATCACGCTTTTCGCATTACAATGTTATGATACAAATGTAGGTTAAGAGAGATCGGGGGTCGATACTTTCTAGATTAGCATCTGCAGCCCACTGTTCTATACCCTACCACCACTATTCACTATCCTCACCGTCCGTATTATCACCTGGGCCTCCCTGCCAATCACCCATATTGCAGCGCATTAACTCAACACAAATTCCGGATTATTAGCTTGGACAGCAACCTTAAAAACATAGAAACCATCAACTTTATATAATAGAGAGTGACAAACACAGATAGTCCACCCAAAGACAGATCCAACAATGATTATAAAAAGATCCTATAGAAGTAAAATATGCCTTAATTCTTTCTTTTCCTCTTTTCTCTTTATAATAAATTAAATTAGATCATATTTCTTAACATTATATTAAATAGATTATATAAAAAATATAGCCTTTATGTTTACCTAAGAATAATCTAGCAGTTATGTGAAACTATTCAGGCTATAGATAGATGTTCCTTGTATACCTTTGGCTATATATATGTGCCCTAGATCCCTCTCTTGTACTGTTAGAACAATCTTCCATATATAATCAGAATGCACACATACCTTAGATCATTACACTATAGACATAAAGATATCATGGTCGCTAGATGTTTGCATGAATTCACACTCCAGTCCTCCCGAGCCACACATTGTGACAGAATAAAAACCAACTCAGCTCAGATGCCCACAGTTTCCAATGCTCTGTTTGAATATTTATTTTCTTACCAGCTTATGTAGAAAGGCCACCAATATTTCCAGCTACTGCTATCCTATAGTGTAACTCTTCGGTCTCCGGTAAGTTTCACGTAGAGCTGCCGAATAGTGAATCGTCATGATGTAGGAAGTCGATGAACTCGTCGTTGACCGATTGAAAACCTGCCGGCACAGGATGAGAGTTCTTGGGTCGTTTAGATTGATTATATGCACATATTTGCCATTGCCTAAGGAGGTATATAATACCCGATCTGAAGATACCGTAGTATGATTTGCTGATCCCTCTGTGTAATCCCATCCAGCATGGCCCGTTATTTTCATGCACGTGTTCGACTATATCTGCAATCATATCTTCAGTAACCACGATACGTTTCTGTCCGTCCTCCATCTTTGGCGCAGCGACTAGATATTGGGTTTCTTGGTCCCATGTAAAGGTCTTCCGGACGTAGTTACGTCGACTGCCTACTCTATCACCTCAGAAATAGCACCCAAGCTCACAAGTCCTTCTTCTGGATGCTTTATGAAGCGAATTTGGTAAGCTAACGAATTGGAATTTACAAGAAGACGGCATCGCTTACTTGGCTAGCGTAGAATCCCGTGAGAATAGTTCCAGCTGCAATCGATAATGGGGTTAAGCTTGATGGATGAGCCAAGCTTTCCCGAGGTTGAAAATGCATAGATCTTCCACGATTTGTCGAAATCTACATCTCGTTAGTAAAAGAGTTTGATGATAATGGTATCAAGACACGCCAAATATTGGGTTTCAAAGATACTAACCTTAAACGAGTTCAGTTTTCCATGTCTATAAAAACCGTATACATTATCGCCATCTAAACGTATAAGACTGACTTCAACAGACTGTATAAGTTCCCCGCCAGGACCATCCAAAGGAAAGCGCATAATCTCTGAGAAACTCGTTAATTTGCGACGGCCTAACTTCTGTATTTTCGGTGACGCGGTCTTAGTTTTATAATGGAACTCGATAGAGCATAAAGCCCCTAACCGGATAACACAGATTTCAATCAGAGATCGAAGATACACTCCATTAGGACCTCCAAATTGAATCCAGCATAATGGTTGATATCCAGCAGTAAGTGGGCTTTCCCCTGTAAAGGATTCGTCATTTAAATACAAGTCTGAGTGAGGGACAGCAGGATACCACAAGGAAACTTTTCTCAATGAAGAATTCTGTGGCATAGATTTCGATACATGAGAAAGCTCCTGCCCAGATATTGAGAGACTGGTTATTTTATACCCCTAATATTGTTAATAATCAGTTCTAAATATAGATGGTGATAGACATTACATCTAACCCTATTTCTAGGGCATTAATGACCTCAGAACATACAAGGCGCTCTGTCACTGGAGAGTTACTGGGGCACCCAAACCATCTTGAAATCCTCCCATCGCAGTTGATAACTTGGAGAGCCTGAATTCCTCGTGGTCCCATCGCCAAAACGAACCCCTTCAGGGTTGCGATGTCGAGATATAGTTCCTTATCCTTAGCAATATAGCCCAGACAAATATGTGAACCATCCTTTGATGTGAAACGTATCCCTGCAAGATAACCAGTAACACCTGCTTCTGTGACTGAAAAGGCAATTTGGACAAGATCTTTAGGTAAATATGTAGATTGTTTTTCAAAAAGCCGGCAACCTTCCTTAAAAGAATAGTTAGGAACAGTGTCTTCCTTAATATCTGCAGCTACCGTCCATCTGGGATCGAGATTTGGAATTGCATAACAGTGATCTGTATATCTAACCAGTTGGAAACAGAGTAAATTAACCAGTGCCTGGGCCAAACTCCAGATTCTCTTTCTATTTTTCAAACCTGGTGGGTTCTGGGCATTATTCGTCATTTGATAAAGGTAAATCCAATCTTTAGGCCGCTTAGCTCTCGTTTCAAAGATAAAATCACGGTCTCTACCAGTTTGGAACCTGGAACTCCAAAAGGTCTGACTAGTCAAAAGCGGGAGAAAGGCTTTTGATGATATGAGAAGGTTCGCAATATCTCTAGTGGATAAATATATAGCAATGGTTTCACGGATCTCCCATGGCAACAATGAAAAGCAATTGTTGCTATTTGTGCGGAACTCGGAATTCTGATCCACTTGAGAGGATATAGATAGCAATTTATATAACTCTGGGACGTCATATGGATTATATCTCGCATATTGATAGGCTTTTGACTTGCTGTATTGTTCCATAAGTCGGTCCTCCCATGGATAATAGTCCTGATTATCGATTATACTAAGGCCACCATAATCATGGCCCCAAGACACCCCAATCCCTCGTATAGGAAAGGGTAAAGAACTGCAAATCCTGTAAAGTCGTTCTAAAGGGATGTTATTGGGCTCCACAACTTTCTGGAGAAGACACCAACAAGCATTATGGACAATATAGCCATGTCGGTTATTCTCTGGACTTTGTCTCATAACTGGAATCTGATCTCTAAGTTGCTTTGTATAACCGTGATCGTCCCAACGCATATGAGGAAGAGGAGGTGCGACCCACGTACCATCACCAGGGTCATCATAGCACCCGACACCAGAAATGAAAATTCCTCCATGGTTTGAATAGACTGATTGGCTCAGCAATAGATCATGGATTAAATGGACAACTGGGAACCGTACTTGCACGAAACTCCTTCAACCAAGACTGGGTGACAGATCTGGTGTAGCCATCAACTGCGTATCCACATATAATACAGCCGAAAATGACAGGACTCATGACAATTTCAGAGGTGAAGAAATTCTCGAAGCCGTCGGCACCGATAACGTAATGTATGTGGGTGGAGATATATATTCTTGGGTTTGTAAACGGGGCCAAGTGGTATCTGTCTAGCAATATAGCACCCCTCCCATTCGAGACAACCAGCCGGCTTTTCAGAATGCCGCTATAATTCCTCTCTTTAAAGGCGGTGAGTGGCAAGCCAATGAATGAACGATTGCAAGACTAGACACGCTTGGCCAATGAGAACCATTTATCCAAAATACATGTATTGCTATTTCTGCACATTAATTATTATCTGATTGATTTCCTACGTTTCCGCAGAGACCACATTATGAAAGTTAAGAAAATCTTTGCAGGCACATCAATTTTTCACTCCACGTAAGAGATGTCAAGAACAACAAATGCAATTAGCTAAGATTAGTCTTTCTAACAATAAGGTACACAGTATGCCTATGTATTTTCGAATGGACACCCTATACCATTCTCTGATAAATAAACACAACCGACAGTAGCAAATAAACACGCTCGACAGTGTTCTCTCCCAAACAGTCTTCAGGCTACACCACTCCACCATATATGACCGTCGAAACAAGCTCAATAAGCAGTTTTGACGACGTAGTCGTTCAAAATCTTATATACACCATTTTCATCATCCCTAAGCTCATATGCTTTTCCAGTGAATGTTGATTGGTAGTCTCTCAACATTTTCTCGCCAGGTACAAGATAGTAGAAGCGTACATACATCCCTATTGTGACAGCACCATACAGAATGTTGTTACCACCTTGCTCCGCACGCACCAGCATCAGATAGTTCGTGAGCTGAACAACAGCTTCAGTCCACATGGATGTTTGAATCTCATGTCCTCTTCTCTTAAAATAAAATAAAAAAAACCACGTCAATGAGGATATGACAGTACGAACTAGTAATTCCTTTTTTTTCTCGTCTGAACCAAAGGTCTATGTAGGGACATTTCATTCTTAAGGAACATCTCGATAGCACCCTTTAGTCTAGCCGCACACCCACATCGTACTTTTAATAACATCAATAATATATTTTTTAAAAATTTAAGTGAATAAAAAGATGATATAAGTTACACTCTACTGGTATCTGCTAGCCAGCGAATGATAAGGTCGAAATACATTATAATGACACTTAAGCTTAGCTTTTTTAATCTAGTTAGGCATAAATTGGCCCTTAATTATGTAACCTGCCCTGCAGCTTGGACCTATAATCGCATTGAATTCAGCTACTGTGATCCAAAGCAGGACCCCAAATGAACTCAGTTAGATATACGTCGCGCAGGAAAAGCCAGCAACTGGGATTGAGCCAGTGAGATTAGGCATTGCGTCACGGCTGGTCAATATACCGTTCCATTCTTAAGCGAATTGGATGTGAGCATGCGGAAGCTGGCAGGCGGATATTGCGGGAAAATACATCTGTCAGGCAAAGACTCGTGCAACAAAAAGGATATCTAGATATTACTTCGTAAAGTATAAAGAGCAGAGAGTGTTAATGATCAATCTTAATCTTGGTTGGACTTTTTTAGACTGGGCACTGAGCTGTTATCTAATCATTATGTCGAAAGAACACAATTTTCAACGCCTGATCCGCTTCATAGACCATAACGGACAAGAGAGCCATGGTGATCTTCCACTGGGCATAGCCACTGACATGATTGAAGGCTCCACTGTTACACTTCTCACGGGAAATCTGGAATTTGGTTTCTTGAGGACTTCTGAAACAGGGGTTGTCACCAAGGTAGGAGCATGACTAATATCGTATACCAAAATTCCTGGAAGTTACAGCTCACCGAGGTTTGCAGCTACTATGTCCGCTTGAGAGAACAAATATCATTCATTGCATTGGACTGAACTATCAACACCACGCGACCGAAGCAAAGATGACCGTTCCAAAGCACCCGGTTGTTTTTACCAAACCAGCAGACGCACTAACGGGACCCTTTGATGACATACACGTTCATCCGGACGTGCAGAATCAAATTGATTACGAAGGCGAGCTCACTGTTGTCATTGGCCGCGACGCTAAGAACGTTCGCACAGAGGATGCACTGGATTATGTGCTGGGCTATACATGTGGCAACGATGTCTCTGCACGAGACTACCAAGTTCCGGCCGATATCTCCGGCGGCCAGTTTAGTTACGCAAAATCATTCGATCAGTTTGCTCCCATCGGGCCCTGCATTACATCAACCAGTGTGATACAGGACCCTCAGACACTGAACTACGTAACCAAAGTCAATGGGGAAATAAGACAGAGTACATCTACTGCAGATATGATTTGGAATGTGAAGCAAATTATTGCGCATTTGAGTCGAGGGACCACTTTGAGACGAGGAACTTGTATTATGACGGGTACACCATCAGGAGTAGGCATCTGGATGAACCCGCCATCATTTTTGAAAGATGGTGATGTGATCACAGTGGCCATTGAAAATATTGGATCCATTACAAATACGGTAGTTTTTGACTAGAAAATAGACTTGAAATGGATTTTAATGCCATTTTCTGTCCAACGCTGGGTTCTTAAATCTATAGATTGTGTATATGTAGTTATCTGATGTTATTGCCTCAACTAGCTTTGATGGACTTTAGATATTGGCAATTGCGTATGAGTCAGAATAAGTGTAATGCACTATGTTTCAGTATGAGTGATTGATTATAAACTATATACTGGAGCATGACCGGCTCTATATACCTGAGCAGCATAATGAGATGCTATCTGTAGAGCGTGTATCAAGTCTATCCGTAGCACAAGGGAGCTTTGTATAGCTGAGACGTGCCATAGATCACAATGATAAGCTGAAGACTAAAATCTTCAAATAGATTGCCTTTACTCCAATTTCATGACTTCCTTCTCCCAGAAAAGCTGCCCACGAGCGACAACCTCGTCTTTTGTCAACCACGGAAATTTAATGGTATCTAAATTTCCGTCAAAGTGGACATATTCGTCAACACTTTCAAGGGTTCGAAGTTGACATGTCGGAAAAAACCCGGTATACTTCTCATACTCATAAACCATTAGAAATGTACCCTGTGAAATCTCCCCATCGGGCAACGTCACTCCAGCAGGACATGCCGTCCATGTATGTGGAACACCCGGGGCGATTGTGACGAGCGAACCCGGTGCAACGATATAAACGGTGCCATTAAGTTCAACCAGTGCCACACCATCGAGGACAAGAATTCTTTCCGTTACAAGAGTTTGTTTGGGATACCGCTCGTTCTGGCTTGTTGATGATAAAGAGATATGGACGTGGCGAGGTAAACGAGTTGACGTGTCGAAAGAGATGAATCCGAATTGCCCGCTGAATATTGTGGAAATCTTGCTGTTGGCAGCTGACGTATGTTTCCCATCGTTCAGTTCGTGCATTTCTACGGGAATATCGGAAAAGGGCCGTTTGAGGTTGGCCGCCCGTCCGTGGACTATGTTGCAGCCATTCTCGAGTGTTATTCCTAATGACATGGTTCTTTGGTTAAAATAGAATCCGCTAAATCATCATCCACGATAATTTTAACAAAAGGTAATTTCATGTTATATTTTATATTGTTGTATATACAAAACATAAGTAAATCAGCCTGCTAAGGTTATCTGTATCCGCATTATCCGCGGGTAAAGAGCGCTCTGCGCCGATTTATTTGTGGGGTTGAAACTTTAAAATGGCTTTGATATAGTGATCCGACTGCGAATCAATTAACTTAGTGAAACTTTACAAGTCGGGACTACCAATCAGATAAACAGCCTGGGCCATTGTGGGCACCTACATCGTGATACTCCAGACTGGATGTCAGTGGCACTGGACCCCGTGGGGTGCATGGTTTTTCCCCACACGTCAAAGACTATGGCAACTACCGCCATAAAAGTAACCGGATTCTTTCAAAGGGGTTGAGTATATCTTATTGTCTCTTAATTCCTTGAAAGTTTCAATACGGGGTAGATCAAGATACAAACCAGATTAAAACCAGGTAAAGAATGTCATCGGCTCCGAACGACACTAGCCTCAGGCCTCGCATTCGCATAAGACAGGCATGCCAATCATGTCGGAAGCGACGAAGAAAATGCAATGGTCTGTACCCGTGCAGTCAGTGTGTAGCTTATTCATACGAGTGTGAATATCTACAGGGCCAGCAAGATCATCGCCCATTTCGACGTCAATCATCGGCCGACAACCATACTGACCATGATAAATCGATATGCACCAATCCTACTACAGACCAACACCGAAATCATCAAGCTGAGGAGTCAAATATTATGAAGGAACATGCACATGACAGAAATACAGCACACATGGAAAACTCAGGATCATCGCCATTCATCCATTTTCCATCAAACTCACCCAAAACCAGCAACCTAAACAAAAACACCGACTATGGCAAAGCGGAGCCTCGACCAGCTGTTGATGCTGCTAAAGGCAGATTTTCAAACCCACACAGCGGTATCTTATTACCCCGAAGAGTGAGTCGGTCCATAGATCTTCCAATCGAGCTTCGATTTCATTCATATGGATGGAATGTAAACACCAGACCAGAGCCGTCTGCAGTAGTGAATCCGGTCGTGTGCCGCTGGCTCAGTTTCCAAAATGTCACTCTCTATAGTGACATCTTTTTTGAAGTAGTGGATCCGGTCTACCACTTCATCAGTAGAAAGCGATATTATGAGCGATGTGCGGATATGTGGGAGAAGGCGACTGCCTTGGTAATGAGAGCATCACCGCAGTGGCTAGATCTTGAGGCACTAGTTGCTGGAGTCATTAGTCTCGGCTCTTTTTTTGCCGAGGACCCTTCGCCTTTAGAATCCCAACTGGTGGACCATGCTAAGAAAATCCTCGATGTTGGCTGTGCATGTGCTCCGGGAAGACTGTCTCTTGATCAGACGGCAGGGTGGATTCTGAGGACTCTGTACTTGCGCCTTACCACACGCCCCCATCTTGCCTGGTATGCATCCTGTTCGACCATGCACGTTGTGGAGGCGATGGGATTACATGTTGACTTGAGCAATGTTGACCTGGCTGCGAACGAGCGTCGTATGATGACACCGGAAATACTTGCTTCCCGGAAGAAATTATTGGAGTGTGCGACTTTTCTCAATGCTATCATTTCTGCTGACTACGGTCGATCGCGTGTTGTTCTCCAAGAATTTCCAACAGTCGCTGCAAACCCTGTCACGGATTTAGGCTCAAGCACGGGCTTGATGAAATTGGCTCAAATATTGTCGAGTTTAGACACGAGCCTCTCCGATGCATCTCGAATTGATATTCTTTCCACTGTGAAGGCGTTACCTGACGAGCCGCCAGTCTTTGTCCTGCTCAAGACCGATGTTGCTATTCATATGTTTCGGAAACATGTTCGCCTCGAAAGTGAAAAACTTCCAGATTCACAGAGTAAACTCATGTTGAGCCTCATAAGGTCTGCATTGTCCGAGGTGCGATGTCTATTGCCTTTCCGACACGCGTGGTGGAATATACTCTGTACACCATTTCAATCTTTGATGGTTCTGCTGGCTATGGACTCAGACGAAAGTCTTGTTTTAATTAACGAGGCCATGTCGATCTTGCAGGCTGTTCATGCATTATTTCCCACCTATTTGGCAGCCGAAGCGTTCCACACGGCACAAACCCTTGTCAAGGGACTTAAAAAGCGTAAAATGAGACAAGTCCAATTTCTTGAAAATGAATATTCTCTTTCCAACCCAAAACAATTGAACTTGACAGGGAGTTGTGATAGCAACAACAACATTGATGGTATTAATGTCAATCTCTCCATGGACCCGGCGACAAATTTGTCAAATTCATCCGATGGAGAATCTACTATACTCAACGAGGCAGAGACACTGCTTACTGACTGGTTTTCTGGGGCTTCAGATTTGGATCAGTTGTTGAACATGGATATCTTTAGTCCAAACGGTGGGCAGGTGTTGTATGGGGGAGAAGCCATGGATTTGTTTAATTTTCCGTAGTGTTCTTACATAACCCTAACTTTAAGCATAGAATACCTTCACACGACCATCCAATGGGACACCGTGCCTAGAGTACTTACATGGCTATGTAGTAAAATCAAGTTACACGTAAAAATGCTTCATGATCCAGACCACTGACTAGAATTTGACGTATAAGTCTAGAGGATACATACTTATCCGCATTATCCGCCTCCGTTAGCTGTTTCTTCACTGAGCGGCTTAGACGGGACTGACCCCATCTTGGAATGGGAAAATCCCTCATTTTGCTCCAATGCGAAATATTTTTATATAAGTTGATATTTGTCGATTGATATGAGCTTTTAGATATCTTTAAAATTTGTTTAAGCAAATTACATCTAAAAGCTGTGCTCAAGTCAATCAAAAACGCCAATCAAGCATTCTAACTCACAAAAATAGCAAGACCAGAATGTCGGAACAGATAGCATGGATTGGATTAGGAAATATGGGTGCTGTAAGGCAATATATTCCTTGCAATTTTGAATTGTATTCATCCACTCTAGATTCCCCCTTCGCTAATGCCAGATGATGAAATTAGGGAATGTGTAAGAACATAGTAGAGAAAACCCGCCTCCGCCACCCAATTCTAATCTATGATATGGATGAGCAACGAGCTCACAACCTTCACACACGGATTGTGCATACAGAGGTTGTATCTTCTATTGCAGCTGCCGCAGCTCGGGCAGATATCATTTTCTATAGTGTGCCTGACGACAAAGCAGTATTCGCTGTTCTGACGGAGATTCTCTCAACGGGCATATCGGGAAAACTGATAGTTGACTGCAGTACAGTGCATCCCGATACTACCAATCAAGAATCAAAAATGGTTGACCAGCATGGGGGTCACTTTGTAGCCTGCCCGGTGTTCGGTGCGGCGGCAATGGCTGATGCTGGGCAGTTGATTTGCATACTTGCCGGAAATGCCGAAGATACTGCCAAAGTAAAGCCTTTCACTACGGGGGTAATGGGCAAAGCAACCATTGACTTTACTGGGGAAGAACCGGGCAAAGCTACCATGATGAAAATAATAGGAAACACCTTCGTGCTTAATATGGTTGAATCCTTATCAGAGGGGCATGTTCTGGCTGAGAAATCTGGGCTGGGTACTGCTCAGTTGCACAAATTTATTGAAATCATGTTCCCAGGACCTTACACAGCGTATTCGACTCGCATGTTGACTGGGGATTATTACACTCGCGAAAGACCGCTATTTGGTGTTGACATGGCAAGGAAGGATGCTAGGCATGCCCTGAGTCTTGCACAGAAAGCGGGAATGACTATGAAGCATGTTGAGCTGGCTGACGTTTACTTGAAAGTTGTACAGGAGCAGAAGGGCTCGCAGGGTGAGCTTGCGGCCATGTATGGGGCTAAACGATTGGAAAGTGGATTGACTTTTCAGAATCAAAAGTAAAGTAGTTTATTTTGCTTTCTTTACTGTTTCTGACAAAAATATGAATTGAGGAAATTGTCAACTACTACATGTATCTAACTCAACGTCTTTCTGTGCCTTTTATGTATAATGTTGAATTCTCTTTCAATGGTGGACTTCAACCCATGATTGTGAATCTTGTAGCTGGTTGGAAAAGCTGATACAGAGTAAATTTTGTATGAGTTCGTGTTAATCGTTAAGTAGTACCTCCTATACCCGCTCTTTATGGATTGGATTGCTATTGATAATTCTCGTGTTTATTAAATACTACCACTGTGATTAATTCCATAATATAGACAACTCTCATAAATCTAGATGGGTGATCACTATATGGAAATGTATGGAAAGATGAATGTGATCAAAATCCGGGAACAAAAACCATTCGCCTGTCTCCCTTCGCTTCCCAAACGCTTTCTATTTTACTCATTGGAAACACATCCAACTTCTGCGGCAAAAAGTTTTCCATCACCTTTAGCATTTCAGGCAATTCCTCTCGCAACTCATTAAAGCTAAAACTTCCCAGGCCAGACCCTGTAATGGTAAGGTTTCTTGACCGCACAGTGTAAGATGGCAAAGTCAAAAGTTTAGACGCCAAGTCACCAATTTGAACATACTGTACAGGAACAGTGGATTTGAGGGACTGGAAGAGAGCCATTGTGGGTGGGCCGTATACGTAATCCAAAATGACATGAACGTCACCTACTGAAGAGAAATCTGTTTCTTCGATAGGATTGCTCAGGCATATTCTTTCATCCAGGGCCAATGACGCCAGTCGTTTCTCATCTCGGCCACATCCGATCACTCGTGTTGCCCCCAATGCTCGAGAAACATCAACTGCAAGGGTTCCTGACAGGGATGTTACACCCATGATCAGAACGGAGAAGCCTGGCCGTGGCGGGTTGCTGTTGGTTGTCATCAAAGCACGTCTGCGAAGGGCCATCCATGATGACATAGTTGGGTTTACCAAGGCAGCAACCTGGAACTTGTCTAGGCTTTTGCTAGGTAGAGGAATGACGTCCTCCTTAGGGACGTTAATAACCTCGGTGAAGGATCCCGTTTCACCATAGTAAGTGAAGAAGTAGACTTCCTGACCCTCAGATGTAATGCCCACTCCATCCACGCCGAGGTTATGTGGAAGGCTTTTTGCTGAGTAATGTCGTCCATTAACTCGAAGTCGGACGAGTTGATGCAAACCTGTGGCAAGCACTTTAACCTGAACATATCCTGAATCTGGCGCAGGGATATCCGGAGCTTCGTACTCGAAACACTTTGGTGCTTGACACCACTCCGTGACCTGAGCGATACGCATGAATATTGGCCACTGAAGGTATTAGGTTAAATCGACTCTTAAAATATACAACTGATTGAGTCATGATAGGTATTCTCACCTGAGAAGCAGTGAATATTGGGTAGGTATAAATACAAGACCCTCAAGTATAAACCAGTATTTCAACCCCACAAAATAGCTGTGAATTTTTCTGTAGTTACAGCAATTAATCTTCGACTCTCATATAAGCATTTTAAAGAGTATTACCCGGGATTTAAAAGTCTGAAGGAGCCAAAGTTAGTTGGTGCACCAGCATTTCCATATCCAGCCAATGATCAGCATGTTCGCCGAGGATAAGGCGGAAGATGTAAATTAGGACGCTCAGACTATATTATGTGGTGATTTGAATAGTGGCGAATGAAAATGAAGTAAATTGGTGCGGATAACGCGGACCGCAGGATCCTATTCAAGTGAATGTCAACGAGGGCGGAAGTGGAAGTGGAACAAAGATGTGTGATTCCTACGTTTTTCAAATCCCCGAGTATCCTAGAGAGTGGATTTCACACATTTACTCATCCGTACTACAAATAATAATGTTGATGTCAAAACAGAGAGTCACTTTCTCGCGACCTACATCAATCGAAATATTTCGTTGAACGTTTTGTTTAGCTTATCACGATAATTTTGTTGGCAAAAAATGACGGCTAGAACGTATCTCCCTTTGATAAGTGTACGTCACTTCCAAGAAACGTTGCTATTCAAAAGGATATTAAGCTGATTATTCGAATGCTATATAGCAACAATCGACTGCAAATATCAAGCCGAACCGTGGCGCGTCGGTCGAAGATCACTTGGCCGCCAGCGATCTCTCCATGAATCAGGTCACGTTTCATGAAGCCTACAAAATCAGGCCAGAGACTCAAATTAAATTGATAAAAATTTCATTTATGCGATATCAACACCCGGACCTTGACGTTATCACGACATTTCTACTTAGTCAGTTTCATCCTCACTGCGTAGGATTGCTTTTCACCTCAGCCTAACCCTAACTCAAAACCGGACAACTGACAACTCCAACCTTATTTATCATGTAGACTTTGGGCTCAGTGTGGTGAAAAAAACGGATACTGAAGTATGGTATCGAGGATATGGTGCAGACCAATATTTATACTATGCTTGCAAAGGACCAAGACAGTTTCTTGGCGGTGCATTCGACGTGGAAAGTTTTGAAGATTTGGAAAAGTATGCTATAGACTCAGTTTGATTTATTTTATACAACAAAAGAACACTCATATTCAATATATCTCGAGCAGGGCGACAAAATTGCAAGGCGTTACGATTCTGTCCGACGGCATTGAAGAAATGAAAGGCGCACCAGGCGGTGGGTATATTGTCACCCTCGCAGACCCAGAAGGGTTCCCTATCAGCCTCGTTTATGGACAAACCCTAGGAGAAGCAAAGCCAATGCCAGAGAAGGTTATTATGAACGATGAAGTCGATAAACCCCGTGCTCGAAAGTTTCAGCGGTTTCAAAATGGACCGGCCGCTGTTCATAAGGTAGGAGGAGCGGTCGGATTGTTTCTATGGAGTTAATATTCCAGGGAAAGAAATACTTAGCTAACCTGCTCGAACTGATATAGCTAGGTCACTACGGCCTCGTTGTCCGCGACTTCATGAAGCAATTTTCATTCTACACGCAAAACTTCAATCTGATGCCGTCGAATGTGTTATATATGCCGACCGCTGACAGTAAACCCAAAGAGGTCGGTATGTTCGCACACATTGAGCGCGGTGAAGAACTCGTAGATCACCATACCATTTTCCTCACGAGTCTGCCACCAGGTGCTACGGAACCACATGTGCATCACTGCAGCTTCGAGATCCATGATCTCGATTCCCAGAAATTGGGCCACTACTGGTTAGCCAAAAAGGGATATGAACCCGTCTGGGGTGTCGGACGACATATTCTGGGAAGCCAGATATTTGATTACTGGTGGGATCCGAATCATTTCATGGTGGAGCATTATATCGATAGCGATGTTGTCAATCAGGATACCCCAGTATCATTCGAATTAGCCGAGTCAGCTAAAGATGCGGCCTGGGGCCCAGACGTGCCTTCTGCATTCCTTGAGTGACATCGTTGAGAATATCCTTTGAAAGTCTCCAATTACATTAAAATGTTTCAATACTGGTTTCCATATTCATTAAGATGGCCCTTTAAATAATAAAGTACGTGTTAAGTATTTGACAGCCTCTCTTGTGACCCCTTTAAGTAAAACAATATCAACAAAATTCGTGAAAAGTCCATGAAAAGCATCAAGCGGTTACCCTTGGGACATCACAGACAACAGCTAGAAATAATAAGCATCGAACACGAGCTATTCCACGATGGTCGTATGTTTATACTTTTTTTAATTGGCTAAAATATGCACTCAATCTACATATGAATAGTTCCAGTGATACCATAAATTTCTCTAATAAAATCTCAAGGAATTTACTGAAATTATATGAGTGCTTTATATCTCCCTCTGACCTTGTTTGACCCTCTGCCACCGAGGTATCAAGCTCAGGGTATAAGAACCAGACACTACATAGTCCATGGAATCATGGTTATGGTTTAATGCAATATGCTTTCTGATAGATATGACGTATACAGTATGCTTGTTACAAGCTACTAATACCTAACTCTACCGGTATAAAGAACTCATGCCAACTTATCTTTGAAATGGAAAAATCTCCAGATGTCAAACAGGAAGACTGTCTTAGACAGTCTCGACATGACTGCAGTGCCCTGAGAGATCAGCAAGCTTCTCGTCTCGCACTAAAGTTGCAGCTATAGTTGTCATAGCGCGGTCTTCTGGCAGCATGAATATATAGTCAAGCTCTTCCAATGTTTTGTTTGCTGTCTCGGGATAGAACACTAAATAAAGGGCGTTATTAAATGACGCCAAAGAAGATTCGTACTGAGTTTCAGATTTAGCTCACCGAAAATGACCCAAAACCAAGTGAAGTTCAAAACTGCCCAGAGTATGAAATACTTGTAACCAATATTATCGATCCCAGGCTGGGTGACCTGTACAACAGCATAATTCCAAATCCAGCCTGCATCGATTCCAACTCATTAGCTCTGGTGGATAAAGGGGATTCATAATCTCTCACCGGACGCAGCCGAGATCGCCCCAGCAAATTGACGAAGTTTTAATGGTGTTATTTCAACGCCATAGAGCCACGGTGGTGATTGCAGACCCACCCCACTTTTGAAGTCAGTCTTTTTTTTAATTTGGTAGAAGAATGACAAATTCTTGGGGAGGAATTTACAAGGTGAAGTTGAAAAAGAATATGCCAAATGTGGCCGCTGCACCAGCGGAGAACGTTTCCATGGACGTCCCGATGGCAGTAATTGCCATTCCGACGCAAGTCCCTGCCATTCCAAACAGTAGAAGCTTTAAATAGAAATAATAGTATAAGCAACGAAGTCCTTTCCAAGAGTGGAGCACAGACAAGCCCAAGGAAACTTACAGGCCGACGACCAACTCGATCAATGATTGGAATTGAAATACACGTTCCCAGAAGAAATGCTAGGGACACAAAGCCGCCCATAAGCAAGGCAAGATGATCGCTCATTTTGACAGATTGCTTAAAAACAACAGTCGAGTAGTACGCAATTACATCTGCTGAAGAATTAATACTTCTTTTCTTTATTGATAAAAAATGGACCCAGCACTGGGGGTAGGACTGCAAAATTAGCATACTTATTCCACTTAGTTGTTGCATTGCTTGCACACCAAAAGCGAGTAGTATTCTTCGTCTATATTGCATAGAGCCGCCGGTAAACATATCTCTCCAAGCAGATCTGCCACTGTCTTCCATTTCGATTGCAACTTTTATGTTCGCTAGCATATCCGTTGCTTCTGAGCTGGAATCAAAAGATTCTACACCACAGATTGCAAGAATAGTAGTCTCTGCTCTTGATTCATGGCCCTGGGCAACAAGCCATCGCGGAGACTCGGGAAGAAATGGAATGGTAATAAGTTGTAGCAAGCATAGTGGTATCTGAAATGCGAGAGGAAAGCGGAAGGAGAAACTGGAGTTGTAGGAGCTGACTCCATAATCGGTCTTAGGTTATCAATGTTAACACATTGGAACACAGGAAAGGAAAAGACATCGCCTACCCAGTACGAAAGAACCAGGCCAAGCACGGCACAGATGGTAAGACTGCTCCCAGCTTTTCCACGCCATGATGAATGGGCAATTTCAGCCTGAGATAGCTACTAATTAGCAGGTGAACGATCAAAGATTGCTATTTCATTGGCTGACACTCCAAACCGGGACTGTTGCCGTAATTATACCCAGGCCGAAACCAGTAACAATTCGACCGACAATGATCTGGGCAACACTGTACGAGCTAGCTTGGAGAGCAGAGCCAACAATCGTAATAATTTGTCCAATTGCTGTGGTCCACTTTCGCCCAAGCATCTGACCTGGACTCATAATCAATTTATGGCATTCCAGCAGAGAAAAATGCTTACCATAGACCATCACTGAAATTGCCCCTAGAAATGCCCCTATCTCGTATATACCAACGACGAGGCCTGATAGAGACGCCGATGGAGACATGTCGTGGAAGATTTCTTGCTTGAAATTCGTTGATGTAATGAGTCCACTGAAGCGCTACTTAGCATATTGAGAAAGTAAAATTGGTTTACTATTGACCTCATCACTCCCTGATCATATCCAAACAACAACATCGAAAAACTACACGATGCAATAGTCATCCATGCTAGAATAGTTCCTCGGGAGTGAAACGGGGCCATTCTGGTTTCAGGCATCAAGACTGGAGTCAATAATCGTAGAGTGGTAGGGGACTCATGTCAATATGAAGATTAGACTGGACACATTCATGTTCCTCATGGAATTTATACAAATCTGGGGTAAACACGGTTGAATACGCAGCAGAAAAATTGAAGTTATATTTGCTGTCTCAACAGTAGTACTAGTTGCTGTAGCCTGTAGTGAGTGGAACGATAGGATGTTGCGGATAAGCGGAGCGGAAGCTAACTCTTGTGAGGGTTAATGATCAACCGGCTGCAGAAGGTTGGACGGAAGTGGAATCTATTTCACACTTTTTGTCCGTGTGCGTGCTCTTAAATTAAATAGTTATTACTGGGAAATGTTCGGATGTATTCAATCCTAAGTTCCTCCACAGACTCGTGGGTTTTCTCAAATGACTTCCCTACGTTCCTTAAATTAGGACATGACGTGTATCAGCGAAGTTCTCCACTTAACCAAATAGGAGAAACGTAAATAAACCACAAAGCCATGGTACTCCCAGACAGCAATTCATGCATAGTAGTAACGATGATTGGCTGGGACGGTGAATGAGAAAATTCGAAACCGAACCTTTATACTAGTTCGCTTTATCCAGGAAACCTGACAGGATTGCTATTCGCGGCGATAGCAATCCTTCTGCTTCTATAGGCCTTGGCAATATTTAGACTGTAGATTTAGCTAGGTTGTTACTAGAGACAGAAACAGCAGCAGTAAACCCTCCCTATATCTTTATGCATCATTTCAAACTCCTCCACACTAAATGAATTTTGCCCTCTCGTCTATCTATTCCAAATGTCCCATCCACGAAAGACCGAAAATGAAGCCACCTATGTCTTATCCCCAATGGACGTAAACTAGTGCTAGAGTTTTTGGTGTTTGATGCTGAGTCTGTCTATGTCAAATCCAATACTGAAAAGTCATATTTAATTGGGTAGGGTAAAGATAAAGAAATCGCTCCCAATCTTGTTAAATTTGACCCCTTTGTTACGGTGACTGAGGCAAAGCATGGTTTGTGTATCAGATAAGACGACTATTTTAGTATCAAAAGTTTTTGCGTGTTACTCGTACTCCCCGATCCAAAGAGATATCGAAGATTACGGAAGTCTATTCGATAGGTACATATTCATGAGTTTAGTGGAAGGCCAGAAGTTAGACCCTGTCTACAAATCATATAAGGAAATAACTAAACAACGTGTTGCTGATCAACTCAAGCAATGCTTTCGTGATCTTCGCAACATTAGCGGTGGTACCTATTTGGGATCGATTGACCAAGGTCCAGTTACAGAGCCGGTTTTGACGAACTCTCCCGATAGAGGTGGATTGATGATTCGCAGTGTAGTTATATACTAACACATTTTATCTGAAAAGGACCATTTGATTCCGGACAAGCTTTTAATAACGCTATGATTGATGCCGATGAGATTAATGCCCCTAAACGCCACACTAGATGCTTCTTAACTACTAAGCTTTCCCAGAATACACATCGTATTTTCTTTACGCACGAAGATCTACGACGTCAAAATACAATGGTACAGGATGGGTGCGTTACTGGTATTCTTGATTGAGAATTTAGCGACTAGCATCCCGAAAGCTAGGAGTTTACAAAATCCCCCTATGTCTGGAGGTGGCAGAATGATTGGATTGACTAATTGATAGAGATTCTTGAATCATATTGCCCAGAATATGCAATTCACTCCTTCCTAGCTGTGGTGACATGGTGACATAAAAGAAACCGAATGGAATACATGCCAACAGAAATATGTACAGGTTAAGAATTTCTTAGACTAAGATGGTTTCATTTTCTAGATTAGCTAAATATACGTATGCAATATTTTACAATACTACTTTTATATCGTTATTTCATACACGTACAAGAGCTTTAGTGAAACAGTGCACAAGGCAATGCTTTCTATCTATGAAAGGGAGCAGGCTAGGAAGGATTAGCTTTCAAAATGTTAGGAGAACATGGAGGTGCCTCAGGAATAGCCTTGCACAGGTGTTTCATCCCTCTAGGTACAAATAGCCTCTAATACACACTGAATTAAACTTTCTATGTCCTCTGTACATAGTGGTAAGGTTTAAAAAGGAGAAAAGTGCCATATGACTTTAACCCCGGAAGAAGACTTTAATAAACGTACATACAGGCTAGTAGGTGCACTTAACTTTTGTCAGAAAAATATGCAACCACAAACAACCAAAATAATCCTTTCCAAGTAAGGGTTGCGCTCTTTTTGGTATGGTGGTTAAAAGTTCGACAACTTTTTTCAATTTTGAAATTGGAAAAGTTGTTCTTATATCAACGGACAAATGCTAATTGCCACTGCCTCGCCTATGTTCCGAACAGAGAAGGGCAGTGGCAATTAAGCCGTTGCCCTCCTTTCCTGTGTTCGTTCAGCTCAATCATTGTTCCATAGCCATATTTGCTATTCCTTGTCGATAATATATAATATTCGTCATACCAAACCTCGTTTCTTGAATCGGGCTCATATCCCTCCTACATTCCAGTCAACGCGCAAATAGAGAGCCCATGGCGGCGGTCACATGATTCGTTTCCTCGGAGCGCCGGTACAGAGCGGCAACAGTATTCTTCCTCCAACACTAAATAGACAAACTCACGATGGAACATGATCCTTTTTATTTACATATATGCGATTTTCATCCTCTTAAAAATTAAAAGCAAACTTCGACAACTGTTAACAGCGCTCAAAAATCTGAATAGACGCTCATCCAAGGAAGAGGAACCCAGCACTGCTGCAACCGCCCCAACTACGACCCCTGTATGAAAATGGCGTCTTCTGCAACATTTCATATCCATTACTTTGCATCCGCATCCTCATACACTGGGAAACCAAGCGAGTCATTCGCAGCGCCATTGCCACTTTCGAGATTATTCCCGCTCCTTGAAGAGAAATATCCTGGGATTACGAAAGCGGTTCTGAGCAGTTGTAGCGTTAGTGTCGGATTGGATTACGTGGATGTCGAGGATGGTGAGCAGAAGGGGATTATCATCGGTCCTGGGGAGGAGGTCGGTATCATTCCACCCGTTAGTTCGGGTTAAAAGTGAAAAAATAAAACCATACTATTCAAATTAAACATCATTTGAATTCTGACGGCATGTCAACCGATTATTCGAAGTGTTGTTTTAGCGGGTAGGGAGATCAAGGGATATCCCCAAACCATCACGACCAGCCCAGCCTGGTCGCTGATGCTGGCGTTCATGACATCAATTTCTATATCGATCTATTGGAGATATCGCATACAGACATATATACATGTACATACTTCTCTCCTTGTAACATGACACTTGAGCTGACCTCATGTGCGACAGGCGGGCACGTGCCCTCCGTCCCATGCCACGGTTCACCATGTGCGCAACAACATAGCTGCCATTTTTATTATTTTTATTTTCCAACCTGTCTGAGCTACTCTCGGTATGAAACGAAAATATGCTGGACAGTTTTGACAGGCTATTCACTCCGAAAACACCCGAGCGTGCAGCTCAACTGAAACCAGGCAAGATGTAGGACGCCGCTGTGGAATGTGCCACGAAATTACTGCGGTATATACGTCCTTCCCACGAATGGCTGGTCGCTTGGCGCACGTTATTAAAACGTGATAAACCATGGTGACACATTCCTTCCAGAAATGAAGCGTGATGGCACTGATCAGCCGAGCCTTGAGCACGCCCATCAATTAAGAGAGTCACACGTATAGTAAGTACTATGTAAAGTGGCTGGTATGGTCCAGATCATTAATTGAATTGGGGATCTGCAGCAATGTCGGCTTGACTTTTCTGGTTAGTTATTCTGGCTTCGCCCTGAAATTCTGCAGAGCAACAGAAGAATATGTTTCAGGAAGATTCCCAACAACTTGAAACGCTGTAGTAGCTTAATTATACAATCAGTTTAACTTTATCTATAAATCCATGACTTTCTGGACCCTAGAACGAGAATATGCCGTTCTCATTTCTTTTTCCGAAGCGCATGACTGCATCAAGGCTCACCGATGATAGACTTTGTTTCACAGTTTTGGAATCTCTGTGTGTGTCTTGTTATTGTGTTGAGACGGAGTTTGAAAATACCGCTATAGTTGCGGTGAGACCACGGATAGCTATTCTCGAAGCCTTGTCGAGATACGTCAAAGGCCAAAGGTAAAGAGATCTGCATCATGACAAGTGGGTATCTTACGCCAAGGAGGTCTTTCCTAGTGAGTGTACTTGGTTTTTATGTATATTTTAGTGTTCCAAACTGATATACCTAGGACAATGAGGGATCAACATCAAGAGATGCGATTGGGGACGGTTTATCGTACGCAATATTCTGATCCACATATATACTGTAAACACCTAGACCTGACACTCGCTAGGATTAACGTTCTTACATCTCCTGCACAAGCATTCAAATACGAAAACTCACGGAGATATCATTCATACAGTATGTTTGTGAGCATTCCTGATACAATCGTATCGCTGATGATATTAATAGGAGAAGGATCATACTGGGGTCCTAATGACGAACAAGATGGATTACACCAGACAATAACGTTGGATCACCAAGCATTTTAGTCATCAAAAATACTAATCATCGAAACAGGCATAGGCTGTTCTGCCTCCTTCTACAAGACAAGCTTTATCTCGCACCTCTGTCAAATCCTCAACATATCCTCGACATTGGAACTGGCATCGGACTATGGGCAACGTATAAACCAATCAATTCGAATATACTTTTCAAATTCTCCTAACATATTACAGAAACATGGCAGACGCTCTCCCCAACTCCCAAATCCTCGGCATCGACCTTTCCCCCACCTGGCACGACGCCGTCCGTCCCAACCTACAGCTCGAAGTAGACGACTGTTGCTCAAACTGGACATATGCGGACGAAGGGCGAGACCCATTTGACTTTATTCACATTCGTTGTTTGTATGGGAGTATTCATGACTGGCACAGCTTATACAGGCAAGCGTTCGACCATCTAAATCCTGGAGGATATATTGAGCAAGCCGAGCTGTCACTAATACCGCATTTCCGCGCTCCGGGAACCCATTCTGATTCGGTGTTTGAGCGTTGGTATGAGTTTTGGAAAGAGTGTAGTGAGAAGACCGGGAAGTCGTGGTTGGTTGCGGATAGAATGGGCCAGGAGATTTATGACGTTGGATTCGAGGATGTTTGTGAGGCGCGGTATATGTTGCCGCTTTTTAACCATGATGATGTTAGCATGGGTCTTTGTTCATGTCAAGAACCTGAGATGGATGGGGACCGTATATCAGGGTTAGTTTCTCGGTTGCGAGAAATAAGAAAATGGTTCCAGCAATTCTGGCAAGCAGGTATGGAAGGATGGATTCTAGCTATAAGCACGAGATATATGGGGGTATGTTCAAACAAATCCAGATTACAAGCAAAGCCTATACTAACGAGTATTTAGTGGACAGCAGATCAAGCAAGGGAGTTTGTCAGAATGACAAATGAAGCGATCGAAAATGGAGAATGTGACGTTTATTACGAAATGTGAGTTGACCTTTCGATTGTGGTGTTTTATTACTCGCGAAATTTTACTTTGAGACTGATTTTGGTTTCTCAGGATTATCGTGTATGGACGGAAACCTTTGAAAGGTGAAAGAACTGGTATGGATATAAGTTAGAATATTAATTAGTCGAGTAGAGAATTGTTAATTTGGTTTTGTGTACTTTGCGAGCTTTGCTAGCATGCTAGCGTGCTGCTTATTTCATATAATATTCAATGTTGCCCAATAAACGGTATATTGTGTAGTGGACGAAGCATGAGAAAGAATGATCGGTTTAGATTGAGCAATGTAAATAAAATAATTAAAACGACGGCGACCTCCTCTCCTGGAAACAGAACAGACTATTAGAAACCAGGACAGTACAAATCAAAAACGCCACAGAAAAGCAATAGTTCCTGACTAATAATCTCAAATCCCAATTACCATACACATGTGATCGTAGTGATTCACTTGATGAAACCTAGAACGATGTAAAATAGACGAGTAGGCCGAGAAGCTTTCGTGTGTATCAGAACAATTTCGAAGACGTTAGTCTCACGGTCCCAGAGGTTCTCCTTTCTTAGCTCTCCTGCTGAAGAAGAAAAGAATAACCCCGGTCAAGACAGTGAACGCAAAAAAAATACTATACCAGTATCAATGTTTGCTCAGTAGCTCAGTACATTTTTTAGGGTTATGCTTAAGCACAGAATATATGGAATATATGACTTACCAACTAGCAATCACCAACCCCCAGATAGCTTTCATCTCATTGCAGATCTGTTTAGATGCTGCAATAAAGTCGGTATAAATAACCTTTCCAGACACAGTATTCAGAAAACTGGCGAGAGTGGAAGCAAAAGCAGAAGCATCGCCGGAGCCGCCAATGTCGTTGCACTTGACGTATGAGAGAGGTTTTCCAGCAATAACGGCAATGATTAGGAGACCAGCTAGTATCACGGAGTCGAAAGCCAGTGCCCAGGTGTAGGTCACTTTTTGGTCCCAGAATAGAATGGCGAGGATGATTAGGTAGAGGGCTGCGAGACATACCTAGTAAGTGAATAGTTAGTATTGAACCCAGCACTCGATATTAAGGGACTTGGGATACGGTCATACCAGAGCAAGGATGCTGATTAAAAGAGCAGGGGGGCTGGTATTGTCATCAACAATTTTTGCAACGAAGTTGGCTGTTAGGCCAATGATTGTGATTAGTGTCATGAATTGTACGACCCGTAGAATTTGATAACTTTCGCCTAAGATGCCATAACGACTTCTTCTAATAAAAGATGGTCTCTTTGAACCGTCGTCAGACATCTTGAAGATTTTAAAACAGAAAGTAGTTGGAAATGCCGAAAAAGAGCGAAGTGTTTCGGACAATTCAGCTTCTCGAGTGAGTGAGATAGGTTAGCGAGCCGGCACAAGTCTTTATTGACGACAAAGGAATGAGATAGCGGTTCTTAAGATGGTGAATTGCAGAAATGACTGATACAAACCATACAAAAAGGAATGATAGATATGAAAAAAGACAAGAATGATAGTTATGCAAAAAAAAACAGGGTCCAGAGCTGTGGGAGTCCCTCTTTATGTACGGGTCCAATATAGAGTCTAGAACGACCGCGACCAATTTTAGCTCTCCAGAGATCAGTGCCATTTAGCTTAGTTTCATCATCAAACCTAATGATCCGCCTACATTATGGCTGAAGAAGTATATTTTCCTTGTTGCTACGATGATACAGCTGTGTACGAGTAGGCGCTGGGCGGGCCAATCAGCGGGCGGGAAGTACCGAGGGCAAAAAATAGAATATGGGGAGAGATCCCGCAGCCGCCAGCGTTGATCGGCCCAGGCCTTCCTATCAGCCAACGAATCCAGCGACACGGGAATGCGCTGATACAAGCACTATGCCTCGGCAGTGTAAGCCTAGATTTTAAGTCTAGAACATGCCGATCAGGTCTCTGCGGCTGTCATGCAACAGGGTGAGTTCTCTATACGGGAACCCATCCGACTTGATGTCGCCAACAGCTCACGGCTCAAGATGCATTGACTCGCGGCTTGGTTTCGAATCATATATTTCCGACTGTGAGGAAAGCAGCCTTCAATTTCAAAAGCGGGCCGTTGTGCATGAAGCTCCATGAAGCTCCTCTATATTTGCTGAGTTTCGACAGTTGTCTCACTCTCATGCCCGACCAAGTAACTCTTGTTTTAACATACTAAGCATAAAGAACTGAATAGTTAGCGATTAGAAGAAGGAGCCACCAGTGGCGCATAACGGTGATCACCTCGTAATAAAAAGCTTCGAGCCTTGTTGTATAAAAAGTTGTAGACAGTCGTTGAGATGTTTATTTTTAGTAATGGGCAAATGTCTCACCGCCCATGGCTGCGCGACGCATCTAGGCGGTCAATTTATGCCGGCAATATTTCGTTTTTCCTTGGGTTGGGGGAGGAGCTCATCTTTGGCCACATCTTGCTAATGGTGTATGGCTATTCATGCAAAATGATAATCACATTACAGACCCCCAGATTTAAGAAGTGATCTATGATGCAAGCTTACGTTTGCGCCCGCTGCGCTCGACTGCAGAGCGGTTCCGTGTCATCGATCGCAAATCCTCTCCTCCGCAGCCAAATTCGAAATTCAAGAAACATCGAGATTAATCGCTACGCAAAGCGTGCGCTACACGAAGAGCGTAATTCCGTAAGTTAATGCAGAGTTTATTCGAGTAAGCATATCATAGCTAACTTTAGTAGAAACCAGAACCCCCGAGTGACTATCGAACCGCAATCGATAACCTCCTTCTCAAAACCGAGTTCGAAACGAACAAGGATATCAGAGAATACTTACGCAAATGGCAGACTCAAAATATCAATCACATGGATCCCGTCCGGGGCCCCGGGACTTCTAATCCGGGTTCGCCAAAGTCTTGGATGGGAAATATGTTGAATGACAGTATCACCGCCTACGATGAGGCGGTCGAAAGAGCCTCGATGGCCGTTGATGAAGGTTCAGACTTCAAGACAGACCTAGGCGATGCATACGAAGTAGGCGAGTTACTAGAGCCGGGTGATCTAGTCGGATTCTTTTCGTAAGACCTCCTTACATAGGCCGGCGTACTCTGAATGAATCGCTAACGTGGTGATGCAGTGGCGTCGGCTTGATGGTTCCGGCAATATATATACGCTCGGTTGAAAGACAAAAACAATTTTATACGCTTCGGGGCAAATGGCGTGTTTCTAGGGACCAAGATGTTGATCTCGTCGTCAAGAATTTCGTCTCAAAAGAATTAACGGATACATTACTCCCCTTCCTTCCTGATACCATAGCGAAGACTGATGTTGAAATGCAAGCTCTAACTGAAGGAGGTGTGCCTCGTTCCGTTGGTGAACCGCTGATATCCCTACTCCAGGAATTTGACAGCCAGGTCAACGCGATTTACCGGGAAAATTGCAAGGCGCTAGACTACTTTCATTCCATTGTCGCTGATCCGGAGGTTCGCCGTACCAACAGACTTCGGGAGTTGGCATGCAAGGCTTTAAATATCGAAGAGGGAAAAGTATCTCCTGCAGCACTCTTCGCAACACACAGAGCTGCCTTGCGAACGCCATATCTTATTTTACGCGATCGTTCTTCAATGTTTGCTGATAACTACGTGATCCAACCAAAAAGCATGGCAAACGACTTTGAGACTGTCGTAGAGTGGGTTCGCGATCATGAAGATTATGTGACTCAGCTTGCTCTTGGGGAACGACCTGATTTCCAGCAACATCCTCTTCAAAAATTCATAGACAAAGCTCAACGATTAATTCGCCAAAGCCGTCAATTCAGGTCACCGACAACCATGGCAAACGTTGGACCTTCTTCACAACGGCTTAACCCGGAAGAGACAAGCGATGGTCGGTTGTATAATAAGATAGAAACGGAGGGCTTCACGGAGGATGATAAGAAGATTTTGCAATACCTACAATATTACTCCTTTCCGGCAATCCGTATCACAAATGGCTTGTCTAGATACGGTGCTGTCCATATCATGAGGGCAACGGGAATGTATGCTACCGTTGATATTCAACGAGGAGCTATTCCTCTCCTCCTCCAAGAGTTGGGAGTATTTTCGCCTTGGGAAAACATTTATACGATAGCCCACTCACTGGCTCTTCCAAACCATCGTGTCGACATGAATAAAGACTTTGAAAAAGGAAATGAATCCGAGACGGGTACAATTTTAGACCAATACAAGAAGGATGCAATGGAGAATTCGAGAGTTGACTGGGGCAACTTGCCCATTTACTGTATCGACGACCCTGGCGCGAAGGAAATCGATGACGGTATTTCTTTTGAGCGTGTCCCGGGATCACGCGATACCTTCTGGGTACGTGTGCATGTTGCAAACCCATCAGCTTTCGTTCCAACGGACGATTCAGTCTCGGAATATGCTGCCAAGTGTTTATCGACAGTCTATCTTCCGGAACGAGTTTATCCAATGATACCACCGCGAATAACCCATGGACGCTTCAGTCTTGCTCCTGACCGTCCGACACTAACGATCAGTGCCAAGGTTAACTTAGAAGGAGATGTCCTTGAGACAAACATCGTCAACGGGTATGCCCGAAACGTTATTTATTTGACCCACGGTAGACTGCGACGCGTATTTGGCGCTGAAGAACAACCAAAAATCCTAGCAGTGGGGGGAGAGATTCCTCCTAGAGAAGTGGATCATTACCAGGAGATTCTCACCAAGGACGAAGAAGACCATTTCCACATTCTAAGACATATCATGACGAATATTAATGATAAATGGCGTGAAAATGGCGGATTGACATGGCCGGATTCCTTTGACAAAAACCCAACAGTGTATACTGGACATCAACCGGCTGAACCTTACGAGATGTCAGAAGTCACACATGGAGGTTACTATCTCGGCGACCCAATCATTGGATTACAATACAACGAAAGTGATCCTTATGAAATCCCGGATATTGGGAAAAAGAATCTTGTTGCGTTAGTTATGAGATTTGCTTGCCACGTCGCCGGACGCTGGGGCGCAGACCGCAACATTCCTATGATTTATGACGGAACCTATTATCATCCAGAATATCCACCCCTAACTCCTGAAAAACTGAATAATCTCAACTCGGACGACTGGCTCCATTACGCTTTCCCCAAGGGAATTAGCTCTTCGACTCCTATTCCTCATCATGGCTTGGGTGTGGAGGTATACACCAAGACAACTAGTCCCTTAAGACGTTATACCGATCTGCTAGCTCATTATCAGATCGAAGCTGCGCTACGCTATGAGAAGGAATACGGTGAGAAATTCGATGGCAACAAGACACCATCTTTATTGCCATTTTCCACGCAAGATGTCGACCTGGTGATTGAGCGGATAAAAACAGCGTCTCCGGCTATCAAGAGCATCCAGAAGCAGTCCAACACAGTCTGGGCATGTCAGTTCTTGTTCCGCGCGTTCTACTTTGGGGAATGCGAACTTCCAGCGACTTTACCTTGTATCGTACGTCAGAATTTGGAGGGAGTCTCTACCCTGGGAACAAGATATGTAGGCGCGTACGCCGGCGAGAATCTTCCGTTCGGCGTTCGGGCTCGACTCTTTGTGCCGCCGGAATTTCAGGACCTTGAACTCCTCAGTACGGTGGAGGCTAAGATAATTGCTGTCGACATGTCATTGCATGTCGTGGATATGGAGGTTGTTCAGAAAGTCAAGAAGTGGGAAAGGACAGGTGATTGGGCTTAACACGGTGATACCGACTATTCTGTGTATACTTATGTAAATAATACCATCTCATGAATTTAAATTGTATAATATCTTGCTAGCTTGCACGCTAACAACAGATCAACATTGAAATTATTCAAATGTTTAAATGTTGTCAAATGTGTGGTCGTTGACAAAGAGTCTCGAGGACGAATATATATTTTCAGTTCCTGACGACCCCGACAAACCAATTGATGTATAATTTGATACGCATATATTATTGCTTCGAAATATGAAATACAGATATAATACAATGTTGATTTCATCAGAACCATCTAGCGGACTTATGACATCGGCAATTCCATCATCGTGTTAAGACCGAAATCTGACAAACGCCACCGTTACCCCGTGTTATGCGACCGAGTCTCGTTTCGATAATAGAAGAGGGTGCGTGAATGATTTACAGACTGTGTATAAAAAACCAATAGTTAGTAAAACCCTTTTCTGCTCGAGACATGTCTTCTATTATGCGTCCAACAATGAGGAATCCGAAAACTTACGGAGGAATGAGGAACTCGCTCAAACTGCTGTGGAAGAATGCAACTGCGGCCTGTATAACCAATATTAATCATCTAGTTAGACTGTATGCGGGAGACAACAACATACACCGAAGATAACAACACTCCTGACGATGGTCGCATTCTCTGGGTTGGTGACTTCCTTGTATGCGATGTTGAAAATGCCATCGGCTTCGCGGCCACGGCCAGCTGGTTGGACGACACGCTTGGGAGGCATTATGGTCGAATTTATTCCAGGTGATTCAAAAAATAAAGATGGTTTGTAGATTGGTTAATGGTGGTAGTTGATTTCGTTGAATAATGTTGTCTGCTCCGAGAAATCTTCTGCGGGTCCAGCTTGGCTCCGTCATTGGTTGCGGACTAAGCTTGTTTCGACGGCCGTAGTTGATTTCGGAGGGGAGCTATGACGGTTGCTCGAGGACGTGAGTTTCCTGCAGCATAGCATTTTGTATTTCTATCGCGCCTTTGTCTAATTTATTCTATACTACGTTGATTGTATTCTATCTTACGTGTCATTGGCTGCTTGACAAAACCCCGTGACATACGTTCTGCGCGACCACGGGACATTCTTTGAGGCTTTATACACAAACACCAATTTTAATAATGGCCAGTGTTGGTGATATTTTCAAGGTATGCTAACAAGTCGCGCATTGTAGACACTCAATTTACTAAGACCTCGCGGCGAATAGAAACCTGCCGCCGTCCAGGCAAGTGGCAAGCGCAAACTTGAGCAGCCAAATCACGATCCCAGTACGTCTACGACCCATGCCTAAACTACTCATTTGACACATAATTAACGTTGTTCTGCACCAGATGAATTATATAAAGCGGCCAAGCTCGGTGCCAATGGCGATGTCAAGAACAAAGGGAAATCCGCGGCTGTCGAAGACGAAGAAGACGAAAACGAGTTTGCGGGCCCAGAGCTCCCACCTGATTTCGAAGAAGACGCTCCAGATGACGAGGAGGGTCGATTTTTTGGCGGAGGAATGACAAAGGAGACCACCCAAGCAATGGAATACCTTGATCGACAAGATACGGAAGAAGGGGCAGCTGTAGGTGAACCCAAAATTTTTCAATCCGGATATAAAATCTAATCTGAGGTGTTTTGGGGGGAAAACAGGCAGAAAAAATTGATACAACATGGGTACGGCGCTTAGCTCTGAATTTTGAGAAGCGGATCTCAAAAAATGCAGAGCTGCGAGCGAAGTTCGAAAACGATCCTGAAAAGTTTGTCTCTACAAATTTACGATACACGAGACGTTCTAACATTCTTCTAGATTCATGGCCTCTGAAGCGGATTTAGATACCGATATAAAGGCTGTTTCTATACTATCAGAACATCCAGAATTATATGGAGAGTTCTCGAAGCTAGGATGTGTTGCGTCTCTTGTTTCTCTTCTCTCTCACGAAAACACAGACATTGCTATCGATGCTATACAAACAATATCAGAACTGATTGACGAGGATGTACAAGCTGAACAAGAACAATGGGATGTTCTTGTTAATGCGATGGTTGGTTTTGACCATTAGAAATATGCGAGGAATATGAGCTAAACTTTTACAGCTTGATGCAGACATTATCGAATTGCTCGCCCAGAATTTGTCCCGGTTAGATGAATCGAATGATACTGATCGATCTGGGGTGTACTATATTTTAAGTAAGTTTTAAGTTCTGCAGCAAAACTTTCCTTGCTAACATATAAAAGACGTCTTAGAGAGCTTGGCGTCACAGTCATCAGTGGCCGAAAAGATTGGCCAAGACGCAAATACTATGCCTTGGCTTGTCTCTCGTATACAACAAAAAGAGTCGCCCGTCAGTCAAAACAAACAATATTCCGCGGAGATTCTTGCGATCATCCTACAATCATTACCAAAGAATAGAAAAAAGTTTGCTGAAACCGGCGGCGTTGACACGCTCCTTCTGTTATTGAGTTCTTACCGGAAGCGAGACCCTGAAAAGGATTCAGATGAGGAAGAATATGTTGAGAACTTATTTGATTGTCTCACATGTGTGGTCGATGAAGAGGAAGGCAAGGCGAAGTTCTTGGAGAGCGAGGGTATCGAACTTGCCCAGATCATGCTCCGGGAAGGGAAACTCAGTAAGCAGCGAGCACTACGTGTTCTAGACCATGCACTGTCAGGTCAGGCTGGTGTTGCTGGCTGTGAGCGACTTGTAGAGATAGCAGGACTGAGAACAGTTTTCGGCATGTTCATGAAGAAGGTAAGCCTCCTTGACAACATCCCACTGACCATTATCTAACAATTTCCATAGCAAGAGATTGAGACCGTGGAGCATTTACTGGGAATATTCTCTTCCCTTCTTCGACTTCTACCAGGAGGATCTGCACCGCGGATACGAACTCTTGCCAAGTTTATGGAAAAGGACTACGAGAAGATCGACAAGCTATTATCTCTTCGGAGGGAATATGCGTCGAGATTGAGACCCATTGATGCATCGATCGAGCAGGAGCGAAAAGAATTGGACGAGGAAGACAAGGAGCTTCTGGCTGGGGAATGGCTTTCGCGCCGACTAGACGCTGGCCTATTTTCACTACAGGTATACTGCCAGTCAATATGTTCACGCATATTTGCTAACAGAGAGTAAAGACCCTGGATGTCATCCTTGCTTGGCTCAGTGCCGAAGACGACGGCGCAAGGAAGAAAATATCAGCATTGCTAGCTGACCGAGACGAGGATCTCTCAGTTATCCGTCAAAGCCTTGAAGGTAAGATTCTTTTAAAACTACCCGAAGCTTTCATTAACGCTGACATTGGCCCCTGCAGAGCAAATGAACGGTCTTGGAGAGGAAGACGAGGGTGAAAAGGATCTGAAGGGTATGCTGGCCACACTCGTGCAGTTTGTATGATAAGAATGTAAAGTCACATGAACAATCAACCAATGATTAGCAAGCTTCACTGTAATCACTTGGCTCTGATCAACAATAAATCCAATTTTGTACCAAGGATAAACTGATCACGTGACCAACCGAGACGGTGCGCTAGCCCCAAAGGGCTTAGAATTCTGCAGCCGCAGTGGCGCTGGAGTTGAAAGGAAGATCCACCCCAGAGAACATTATTCCTTGCTTCTTTCACCATCGCCCAGCTTCTCCTTCCCTGCGCTCTCACATCGCGGTCGTCGGGGACTTGATTCTGCCTTTTACGCGCGACTTCGCGCTTCGAGTTGCGCGTTGCATCTTTGAATTAACCCAGAATTTGCAAGTCGCGACAAAGACATCATGGCGGACTACCAGGATGTCTACGAGGAGGAATACTACGACGATGAGGAGGAGGGAATCACGTCGGAAGACTGCTGGACGGTGATTTCATCATATTTTGATTCAAAAGGCCTGGTCTCTCAGCAGCTAGACTCTTTTGATGAATTTATCTCCTCAACGATGCAGGAGCTGGTGGAGGAACAGGGACAAGTTACAATCGACCAGACGATCACGCCCAACGAAGACGAAGTCGATCCCGTCGTTATCCGTCGATATCAAATCAAATATGGCACTATTATGCTTGCTCGACCTTCCGTGGCGGAAATTAATGGGCGCACCACAATCCTTTTGCCTATGGACGCCCGTCATCGAAACCTCACCTACGCCTCTCCATTATATCTCAATGTCGATAAGAAGTTGACCGAAGGTCGCGAACGACGAACTGCGTACCGCGATGGCGAGGAAATGCTGGATGGCAATGAAGATCAGAAGGCCAACAACACCTTTCTAGACTGGGAAGAGAAGCCTGTCACTGTCACAGAAGAAGAAGCCAAGGGTTGCTATATTGGCAGGATACCGATCATGTTGAAGTCCAAGTACTGTCTTCTGAGGGACCTGAATGAGCAGAGTCTTTACAACTGGAGGGAATGCCCTTACGATTCTGGTGGATACTTCATTATCAACGGAAGCGAAAAGGTTCTTATTGCTCAAGAGCGGAGTGCTGGAAACATCGTCCAAGTTTTCAAGAAAGCTCCTCCAAGCCCAACGCCTTACGTGGCAGAAATTCGTAGTGCCGTCGAAAAGGGCTCTCGCATTCTCTCTCAACTGTCACTCAAACTTTTCGCCAAAGGTGACAGTAGTAAGGGTGGCTTTGGACCAACAATCAGATCTTCTCTTCCATATATCAAAACCGATATCCCTATAGTTATCGTTTTCCGAGCCCTCGGTGTCGTTTCTGACGAGGATATCCTCAACCATATTTGCTACGATCGCAACGATACCCCCATGCTCGAAATGTTAAAGCCTTGTATTGAGGAAGGTTTCGTCATCCAGGATCGAGAAGTTGCCTTGGATTTCATTAGTAAGCGAGGCTCCTCACAAACGAGCATGAATCATGACAGGCGTGTGAGATACGCGAGGGAGATTATGCAAAAGGAATTCCTCCCTCATATTTCCCAGAGTGAAGGAAGTGAAACTAGAAAGGCATTTTTCTTGGGTTACATGGTGCACAAACTTCTGCAATGTGCACTAGGTCGACGAGATGTCGACGACCGAGATCACTTTGGTAAAAAGCGTCTTGATCTGGCTGGTCCACTTTTAGCCACGCTTTTCCGAACCCTATTCACTCGTGTCACAAGAGACCTTACTCGTTACGTCCAGCGATGTGTTGAGACAAACCGTGAGGTCGTGCTCAACGTTGGTCTCAAAGCGGCTACCTTGACTGGTGGTCTCAAATATGCTCTCGCGACGGGTAATTGGGGTGAACAAAAGAAAGCTATGAGCTCAAAGGCTGGTGTCTCTCAGGTGCTCAGTCGATACACATATGCCTCTACACTATCACATTTACGACGTACAAACACGCCGATTGGCCGAGATGGAAAAATTGCTAAACCTCGGCAGCTACACAATACTCACTGGGGTCTGGTCTGTCCTGCTGAAACCCCTGAAGGTCAAGCTTGTGGTCTAGTAAAAAACCTGGCACTCATGTGCTCCATTACTGTTGGATCACCTAGCGAACCTATCGTTGATTTCATGATCCAGCGTAATATGGATGTGCTGGAAGAATTCGAGCCGTTAACCACTCCAAATGCCACAAAGGTGTTTGTCAACGGTGTTTGGGTTGGTGTTCATCGTGACCCTGCTCATTTGGTTAGCACAGTTCAATCCCTTCGCCGAAGGAACATGATCTCGCACGAAGTCAGCTTGGTTCGCGATATTCGTGACAGAGAGTTCAAAATTTTCACAGATGCCGGTCGTGTATCTCGACCGCTGTTTGTCATAGATAACGACCCAAGGAGCGAGAACTGTGGGTCATTGGTACTCAATAAAGATCACATTCGCAAACTTGAAGCGGATCGTGAGCTCCCAGCGGACCTTGATCCAGAGGAACGCAGAGAGCAATATTATGGATGGGAAGGTCTCGTCAAATCCGGAGTTATCGAATATGTTGACGCGGAAGAAGAAGAGACAATCATGATTGCTATGACCCCTGAAGATCTCGAAATTTCTAAGCAACTGCAGGCTGGTTATGCGATGCCAGAAGACAGTTCTGATCCAAACAAACGTGTTCGCTCTATATTGAGTCAGCGCGCGCATATTTGGACACATTGTGAAATTCATCCAAGTATGATTTTGGGTATTTGTGCAAGCATCATTCCCTTCCCGGATCACAACCAGTCCCCGCGTAACACATACCAGTCTGCTATGGGTAAACAAGCTATGGGGGTATTTTTGACAAACTTTGACCAACGTATGGAAACGATGGCCAACATCCTTTATTACCCTCAGAAGCCATTAGCAACTACGCGGTCTATGGAGTTCCTGAAATTCCGAGAGTTGCCTGCCGGTCAAAATGCTATTGTCGCTATTGCATGCTACTCCGGTTACAATCAGGAAGATTCCGTCATTATGAACCAGAGCAGTATTGATCGTGGTTTGTTCCGTAGTTTGTTCTACCGAACTTATACAGAGAGTGAGAGAAAACTTGGGCTGCAAACCGTTGAAAAGTTCGAAAAGCCTACGCGTGTCGACACTCTTGGCATGAGGAAAGGCACTTATGACAAGATCGAGGATGACGGTCTCGTTGCCCCTGGCGTGCGAGTCACTGGTGAAGATATTATCATCGGAAAGACAGCACCTCTCGCACCGGACTCGGAGGAACTGGGTCAACGTACCCAGGCTCACACCAAAGTCGATGTTTCCACACCATTGCGAGCGACCGAGTCCGGTATTGTCGACAGGGTTTTGATTACTGCCGGCAACGACGCAGAGCTGAAATTAGTTAAAGTGCGCATGAGGACTACCAAGGTTCCACAAATAGGTGACAAATTTGCGTCGCGTCACGGACAGAAGGGTACCATTGGTATCACGTATCGCCACGAAGATATGCCTTTCACTCGCGAGGGTGTCGTTCCTGATCTCATCATCAACCCTCACGCCATTCCATCCCGTATGACAATTGCCCATTTAATTGAATGTCAGCTTAGCAAGGTATCTTCGCTTCGTGGATTCGAAGGCGATGCGACACCTTTCACCGATGTGACCGTCGACTCTGTGTCTCGACTTCTTCGGGAGCACGGCTACCAGTCACGAGGGTTTGAGGTAATGTACAACGGCCACACTGGAAAGAAACTCAGAGCTCAAGTGTTCCTGGGTCCTACATACTACCAACGTCTCCGACACATGGTGGATGACAAGATCCACGCCCGTGCTCGCGGTCCAACTCAGATCTTGACCAGACAGCCTGTAGAAGGTCGTGCACGTGATGGTGGTCTGCGATTCGGAGAAATGGAACGCGATTGTATGATTGCCCACGGTGCCAGTGCGTTCTTGAAAGAGCGTCTTTTTGATGTGTCCGATCCGTTCCGAGTCCATATTTGCGACGACTGCGGGTTGATGACACCGATTGCGTAAGTACACTCCTTTTCTATCGCTCTAGGGGTACACTAATGAGTGTTTTGTAGGAAATTAAAGAAGGGTCTCTTCGAGTGCAGACTCTGCAACAATAAACACCGCATTTCGCAGATACACATCCCATATGCTGCTAAACTGCTCTTCCAAGAGTTGGCGGCTATGAATATTGCGGCACGCTTGTTTACCGACCGCTCCGGCGTGTCTATTCGTTAATGTATATTATTCTTCCTTGAAGGTTTTGATCTGCGCAGGCAACGCTGTGGCTATTACAGAAGGCTGAAACCTCCGTGGGTTTCCCGTCGTGGTAATCCCGGAGTCCATTCCTGTTGCGAACTAAAATAGTAATTACAGCATTTTGGAGAAATTGCGGGCATATTGATTTAAGAGGACGCGGTCTTGTTGGGCAAGGGCAGAACTTGACTGCTCATGTGATTTAATACACAGGGTAAATGTACTCGTGATAAGAAATATATCTATGATAGAACCAGACACTTCTACTTCAACCACCCCATCCACATCCCCTCATAATCAACGCTCCAGATCTATGTCCCTATCGGCATAGTGAGATGCCCAAGGTGCTCTCGCTCACGCGTAGATGCAAACGCCTTTGTTTATATGCCAAATTTTTCACCCCTCAACCCCTTATCCAAGTTACCCGTGTCAATACAGCTAGGTTATCCAGTTTATCCAAATTCATGCGATTGTAGCCGAATTGCCTCATTTCACCCACAGTCAGTCCCCAGGTGCCGGTGCCGTGTATATTGAAAAAAAATATGCAAAACAGCCAGGTTGATACGGCATTATGACCACAGCAGTGCATGAGAGGGACAGAAAGATGCTGAACTGAATATGCATCATCTTATACTAAAGCTATTTAGACCGAATGCCTTCTTAGCCTAGCGCAAAAAGCTTTTGATAAAAGACCAATTTGGCAATGGTATAAGTATTGGCCAGAACAAATGAACTAAAAGGAGAAAGGAATTGCTATTTGCAACTAAGAGGGGTCATAATGTACATGTTAGGCTGGAGATGAGCATCTACGTTGCTATTGGGTGTTGCTTTAGCGCTCAATCCATGCTGTTTTTGTTCCTTTCTAACCTTCCCATTTGTCGACTACCTGCAGTTTGATACTGTGGTTAAATACCGCGCCCGAGAGTTCGAGCTATGGAAAGGGCTCTCAGAAGGGGAGCTAAAGTACCTAGAAAAGAGATTGATGCAAATTGAACACCGCACGTATATCTGGTTATATCTTGTGTTTGGCTATCTCGAGATGAATTTGATCACATAGACAGAGAAAGAGATGAACAAAAAGATTTTTGAGAATATTCCAGAGAATTTTAACGATGCATATGAGTCAATTATAGCGAAATCCATGGACAAGGAGAGGACGATGAAATCTTTCAAGGTTCTTCTATCTGCCTACCGCCCTTTGACAATTGACGAGATGCAGATTACCCTTGAAATTGACGAAACTCTAAATTCTTTCTCAGGACTAGATCTCGAGAAAACCAGTGAGTTTGAGAATAGTCTCCGAGACTATTGCGCACTGTTCATTGTTATCAGCCGTAGCAGGGTCTTCTTTCCATCAAACAGGTCGCGAATTCATCTTACCAAGAGTATCTCATGGCAATCTCCAAGTAGCCGAAAAGAATTTTCGGTATTCGATTGAAATTGAGAAGGCGCATTTGTTACTAGGAGAGTGTCGCATGGCATGTATCAAATTCGCAAACCGGCCAAATATTATTAACAAACGGAAGATCGTGATCAGAGAAATAGAAATAATTTCCGTCGGTGTGATCCTAGAAGACAACTAGCTGCCCGATCTTTACTAAGTTACCCGTCAAAATACGGGACATGTCACATCAATCAGGCAGAAGACAAAGACGATGCGAGAGTATATGAGAGCTGTTACGAACTCTGCGACACTGAATCTCGCAACCTTTTTCCATGATGGGCCGCGAGCCGGGGTCATAAAGTCTCACCAAGTGAATTTTCACGTCTGTCACAAGTTTGTTACTTTGGCCTTCGTTCTGTCGTTTCTCTATGCCTTGAAAAAACGAAGTAGATATCCCGGAGGAGTAGGCAGACAGGACACCAATATGGTAGGCAGCACGGAATGGACATAAAAAGTCGTCAAACTACTGCTTCACGCTGGTGGGGTAAACTTCGATTCTCTAACCAAAAATGGTGGGACTCTACTTCATCAGACAGCCGAAACTGAGATGGGAATAAATGTCAAAATGCTGCTTGACACTGGCCAGGTTGATATTAATTCAAAGGATTGCAATGGTTGGACACCTCTATGTGTAGCAGTATACTATGGGCGTGAAGCAGTCGTCGAAATGCTGCTTGGTCCTGGTCACGCTGATATCAATGTCAAAATGATTGTAGTCTAAAAACATTTCAAATGGCCGTACAGCTTGGATATGAAACAATTATCAGGTGATTGTTTGCTGCTAGTATGAATTCACAGGACGAACTTGGGAAAGCGTTTTTTTTATCATTATGCTATGGGTATGAGTCAATGGTCAAATTACTGCTTGAATATGGCCACACAGATATTAACTCACAGTATCGACTTGGTCGTACATCAATATGGCTTAGCAGCAAGTCATGGACATGAGACGGTTGTCCAATTATTGCTTGAAACGGGGCAGGTAAACGTTGAAAAAAAGGAAGGTAATGGCCAGACACCATTTATGACTGCAGCATATAACGGATAGGTTGCAAACATCAAGCTTTTACTTTCCCAGGCGGATATTACTTTACAATATTAGGAAGGTCGTACGCCGCTAAGTGCAGCAAGAAGCAGGGGGCATGAGACGATTGTCAGGATGATAGCAGATACATGTACTAGCTGGGTTTTGTTTTGATACAAATATGGAATTAAACCAAACTGGCAAGGTTGACACAGATCGAAGCACCTTGAACATCCCTGCTAGCGACCTAGTAGCATGCTTGCGTCATACGTTGCATAGAAAATCTTTTATACGATAATATTTTTAGTATATGCAAGACGTACAGTGCTATTCTTTCTCTAGATTATTAGCGTGTTCTTCATCATGTCTCCCTATCCCGTGGCAGTGGAATCACAGGCAGATGCAGTGTTTACGCTGATCACGATTCATACTCTAAATCTGTCGTCTGATGCATTTGGCAGATCAGGGAGTGCATGCGTCTCCATCTATTGCAATTTGTCATGTCGTTGTATTATTTCTTCAAGAAAAGTTCCATTCTCGTTGCATCCAGTGTAAACTCTACAATTCTTGCAGATAAGACTTGCAGATGCAATACATCTGCACGAGATAGATCCTTCCTGCAGCTTATTTTCGCAAAACCAAGAATTCACCAGCTGACCGATTCGTCAAGGACGTTGATTCGCCTCACCTGGCCGATTGAATGCATGGCTGGGCCGATAAAGTTGCATTCTTCACGAAAGCAATCCTCCAAAATATCCATCAGGTCAGTAGTATAATAATGGCAGCATTATTATTAGTCTTGGATCCTTGGATCCTTGATAGATGGGTTGTCATGCGTCAGTGGGCCATGCCACCGAGTCGTAAACTAGCAGCTACTGAGATAGTAGTATGTGGTGATGCAGACGCTGAGTGGCTGGCGAAAATAGCCCTAATCGGCGAGGGAGGGCGGCCGGCGTCAATTGGCGGCATCCCGTTGGCTGACAGCTTTTCCCTCCTGCACTCCCCTCATTTCCATCACCATCACCATCACCATCACCAGTCCTGCCAGTCCGGCAATCGTCCCTCGCTGGTCGTGTCTGATTTGATGCTATTGATAGCTCACCTCGATCCGAGCCGCAATTGCGTCCCAGCATTCGCAGTCAGTCGACTCTAGATATGGTCTGATCATCGCCATCGCCAATCATCGGCGGTGTTTATCCGCCCATCACGGCTCCCCCTCCATCGACCGGGTCTACTGGTCAATGAGAAGTCCCTTCATTCCCGGAAGGTTGTCCAAGTCTGCAGAGCAACGTTGATGGGCCCCGCCTGGCAGCTATTCATCAACCAGCGGCCGTCTTTTGGCGCGGGCGTCCTGCACGCTGTCCATGTGCCCCCACCTGGTCCATGTTATTCACTGCTCAGCGAATCTAGAAACTATGTCATTTCTCGTCCTACTGTAAGTGGCTGCTGGGAGGGTTGCCATAGTGTGGTTGGTCCCCGCAGCCGCCCACCGCTGTCTACACATAAAGATGGCTGCTTTGCCGCCATCACTTTCTCTTCTTTCTCTTCTTTTCTTTCTTCAGCAAGCTTTTCCCTTTTCAGAGCTGCCCTAATTTCAAAGTACCAAGTGCGCTGGCTGCACTTGTTCGTTGTGTTCTTGCCTCTATTCTAATTGTTTTCTTTCCAGCCCCAAAAAACAACAATCCAGGTATTCACCGAGCTGTGCTCATTGATACCTGTTTAAATCACCACTTGGTTACTTTGAACAGACAAATAATCCCATACAACGTCTTGTCGCCGGTCGGCTTGACGTTTAGCAGCTCTCTTGCTCGAAGCTCTATCAATTCTTCTTTTTTGCAAACTATTTGTTGCCGTTGTGAGCAGCGACCCTAATTCTTAATCGAAAGGAGTGTATACTTTCCGCTTAATTCGTCTCTTCTACCTTTGCGATTGATCTCGAATCTGTGACAACGCGTCGCCGATTCGACATTTATTTTCAGATTCAACCTTTCAATCTATCAAGGTGGATCGCCAAATCGTCTCCGTGATTTCGGTTTTCGGTCTGGAACTTGAATCGACCTTTGCATCTCGCCAAAGTGTCGATACTGTCAACTACTTTCAATCAATCATCGCAACATCTTTCTCAAACTTTTGAGGAATCTCCGTCAAAGAAGCTCTGTCATCGAGCCGAATCTCAATCGGAACTCTTTTCGCCAACACTGCCCACATAATATTTCTTGATAGTTTAATCATCGTCGTTAATATACTGCACTAAAAATGGCCGCCGTTCAATTGAACTTCTCTCTTCGTACCTCCAGCAGCGTCAAGACCGTGCACCTGGTTGGTTCCTGGGACAACTACTCTCGTCAATTGCCCTTGTCAAAGGACTCATCCAAGTCAGGAGCATGGGCCGGCAAATTCCGCTTCCAGACTTCGGTCTTGCAACTTGGTGGTCGTTACTGGTACTACTATATCATGGATGGATACCACGTCTCCCACGACCCAGCGGTTGAATACACTGTCGAGCCTACCACCGGCCGCAAGCTCAACGTTCTCGACGTCCCCGGTGGAAAGTCTACCTCCTCCCACCGCTCCAGCCACGCTCGTCGCGAGTCCGTCGATATCCCGAAGGGCCGTGCTCTTTCTCCATCCAAGATCCAGCACCCCAAGCCTTCCAAGCCATACGCCTCGCGCGGCATCCGTGAAGGAGAGTACTTCCCCACTGTCGACGAACTCACCGACCGCTTCTCGCACTCGCGCCTCTCCGACTCAGACTCATACTCCAGCAGCCCCCCAAGCTCTGTCGGCTCTTCGCTCTCATCGCGTACCGACAGCACATCGCCATCCTCGCTTTCTTCCCTCAGTGACCCACCCACCCAACTCTGCCGCTGTGAACGCTACGGAATCACACGCAAGGGTGACCGCGTCAAGCTCGACTGCGGTGGTAGCCGATGCGGCTACTTGGATTCATCTGAGGGCAGCGACTGCTCGTCCGAGTCCGAGTCTGACTCTGAATACCGCGCCGCTCGCCGTGGTGCCCGTCGCCAGGGAATCGTCGTCCGCCGATGAAGTCGATCGCTCTGCTACGAAGAATAGATTTTTTTCTCCTTTCTTGTTGAACAAAATGCTTTTCTCTTCACCACCGTCGAGGACCAATCTCCTCATGTCGCTCCTTTTCAAGCCAAAGGATATTTTTTATCTACGCGCGATTTTTTGAGAGAAAGCAGCAATACGCTTTTCAACATCGTTGTACATGCGGTAACATGTTCAAACGCTTTTTATGCAGTTATGATCCGGTTTTGAATACTCTTTGTTTCACGACAACGAAAAAACGAAAAAATACCAAAAAAATGGGTCATTTTTTTCGACCATATATATTTATTTACTCTATATTAATTAATGAACCGACAAGACCCATGATCCGAATTTGTGTCTCGGAGCCAAAGCAACAGCGCCACGGAACCGGGCTGGTCTCGCGCTCCGTGGTACGCTTGTGTGTGAGATGGCTAGCACAGTCGCCAGCATGGGACCTTTTACACTTTCACTGGTTTCGGAAGTGAATATGACTGAAAATGAAAAAAGGAATTGTCTGGGATATCAGAGTCAAGCAAAAATCCAGCGATTCTATTTATTAAAAGGTGGTTGGTATTGAATCTGTGTACTATGGCACTCTGTCATCGGGGCTGTAGAATAGCAATAGCAATAGTCAAGATATAATAGCAGATAATACCTAATCAATCACTCCTGATATGAAAAAGTTAGTTTTGTTTGAATTGCATAAGCTAAACCAGAAAGGAGGTATTAACGTAGCTTCCAACTACCTTCTCCATTTACACAACTTCTGTACTGACACATGTATATGGGTCTTTTTAAATCAACGACATGGTCATTATTAACTCTTCACTTCTCAATATTAAAGTTGCCCCCAATTGCAATTTCATCAATATATTTACAAAGCTCTTAATGTCTATTATCCAACTCCTGGAATACATGTATTGGGGCTAGATATCAATTGGCGTCGAGTGGCAATGGATAATTGTGAAGCTGAATGCAAAATCTCGGCCATAATAGCAGCAATGATAATTATTTAAATTCTAGACCTTTTACACTCGCCTATACAAAATGTGTGATGCTAGACCCTCAATCTTGCCATTTAACACTTATCACATAGCTCATAACTAGATTATTTGTTGGTTAGCATCTGTGGGCCCGAAGAAATCTAAAACGCCAGGCATACAAAACCGCGTCTTTCCATATCCATTTCAGATAATACTGAAAGCTTCCTATAAAATATAACCCGAAACACACAATTTTCTATTCCGTGTTCAAGTATACCAACTAATTATAACGACTAGAAAGTCTTTAGTGAGCAGGATGAAGTCTCTAGTGATGAAATTGATATCAACTTCATCTTTGAAACACGACTCAGAGAATTTCATCTCTCTCGCTCATCAGATTGTTTAATGGCGGAACTGCGTCATACCTGAGGGAGAAACTAGTACTAAAGTTTTCCCGCGTATACATATACTTGGTATCCAAGGTTACTTTGAAGTCTAGTGAGATCATGCCAATGGCTTGAAGGTTCTGAAATAAAAGCTAGCTAACGTCTTGGATGGCATGGGCTATCCCTCTTTCTAATAGTCTTGTAGTTTAGGTAACAAGTCTCCATCCAGGGATTGAGCAATAAAAGATGGCTTCTCCTTCTTCAACTACCATACCATACGTTTGGGAGACCTTAAGCCAATAAGCCTAATTGACTGTCAGAGAGAAAACCTTCGTTAGGCAAATCTTCTTGCGATTCTTCACCCAAATTAATGTGGCGCTCAACCGAATGTTCTTGCTGCTTCCTGACCTCTCCCGTGGATAGAAAAGAGTGCCGTATGCCGCGTTTTACTAATTGTTCGCTGAAGACTCCGTCTCAAGGCTGAAGGCCGAACTGGTTGAACAAAACCAAGCTTCGAGTATCAACTCTCATCACAATACTAGCCACAATCAACTTACACCCTCATTAATCTGCAAACCTTCTTCCCCAAAAAACATAGACTCGAGTGATACATTGCGCATTGCAAACAGGAACATTCAAACTCCGCATTACAAAAGAGGATACGAGAGATCCAGAACCCAATATCTCTTTCAGTCTATTCACTGTATTCTATTCTAGAGTCACACACAATATACAAGCCAATTTCCAAAGAACCGCATCCTCGCGCCTTGTCCCATCTAGTTCAGGTTTTGGTAAGTAGGGGGCTCGTAGTTGGCCTATACGGAGATGAATGGTGTTGTGCTTGAGGGCATAGCGTTACTACTGCAGAAATCCTGTGTGCTAGTCTTTTAGGGGGTTATATTTTGGCTGAGAATTATGATCCGTTTCCAGACAATTTCAAACACATACGACCATAGGGTGTGGAAAACAGGGCTTCCCGTCCGCTCAGCCGTACTTAAGCCACACGCCGGCTGGTTAGTAGTTGGGTGGGTGACCACCAGCGAATCCCAGCTGTTGTATGTTTTTGCTCACCTATTCTTCCCCCTTATTTTTGCTGGGCTTCCCGTCCAGAATCCATTGCCGCCCTAAGCCTGAATCCTCCGGGAACCGCCGTGAATTCTAGTCTAGTGACGTGGGCATTTTTATGTCCTCGGTTATACCTGCCATCACACCAACACGAATTTGGCCAATTGTTATATGTTATCGCTCACAACTCTGATATCTACCATCAGCTACCTGTTACAAAAGGACGTAGAGAAGCTCAAAACTTAATAGCCGACTTTCATTGGACCAGCTCACTCTCTAGACTCCTATTCTCATGAGCTGTCAGGCAAGGATATATGACTACTATAAACAGTCACTAAATCTTCTGGTTTATGACCTAATCCTAAGAGATTTACAACATTTTTGAAATGATAGCCTTTCAATATATCATCTTCTATTTAAATCATGGAGAAGGTCCAGACAGAATTATTGCTTCGTAATTTCAACTGTCTTCGCAGGGTTTAATGATATTTTTTGTGCGCGCAATCAACGCTAAACATTACATCTTACAGTGGGCACCATAGCTCAAACCCGATGCCAACAAGTATTGGAGATGTTTGTCCCTTACACTTAACAATATGGTACTATTGGGATGGGAAGCAGAAGTATAGTTCATCCCATTTTCCGCCTGGATAATCAAACAAACAGTGCTAATGAGACGATGATGGGGGCTGAAAAGATCAAATTCCAGTTATTGGCGGATGCTTCTCATTGAGAATTCTGATTTGTCAGATCAGTTCGCAGCTAAGTAGAATAGTGAACAACGGAATTTTTCTGTCAAACCACGACCTTCGTTCGATCCTCGATAATTTATATTGAATTGGACTTCATACAAGTGATTATTCCACCAGTCCTAGATTGTGACCACCTCGATGTCGGATATGGCTGGTATCGCAGAGACTCAGGCCCAAGCCGATGCTGATTTAAATTACCTACGAGAAGAGAGGGGTAGTTCAGGCCACCAGGACCTGGGCAAACCAGCTCTAATATCCAGTCTTGACAATGCTCTTTCGCTGTATGTGGGTTGATGGAGTAGAACTACTTCGATGCTGAATTTCTTTGGTAGTTTTTCAGGCGAACTTTATAAGACCCCAACACATTTCCTCTTAGAGTTGATTCAAAACGCAGATGACAACAGCTACGCACCTGGAGTCTCCCCCACCCTCTATTTAATGCTATATGAGCGAGATGGCCAAACATACTTTCGCTCTGATTGTAATGAAGTGGGCTTCTCACTAAAACAACTTGACGCCTTATTGCTAGTAGGGCATAGCACGAAGTCCACAGTGGGCGGCCAGAAGGGTTATATTGGAGGGAAGGGTATTGGATTCAAATCCGTATTTAAAGTAGCCGATGTAGTCCACATCGCGAGTGGCTTCTACGAGTTCATGCTAGACCGCAACAAGCCAATTGGTATGATATTACCCATCCTCAGCTGTTTCCCCGGTGCAGATCGCAAACCCAAACACACCCAATTCCTCTTGGAAATCAAAGAAAAAGACACCTACGCAGAAATCCAGAGAGACATGGAGAGAACTAAATCTCCGCTTTTAATTTTCCTTCAGAAACTAGAAAAGCTGCAGATGTCTACTCCGGACACCATCAAAACCTTTTCACGCCGTCTTTGTGGGTCTGATAATCTTTTTGGAGGCGAAACTATTACAATAATAGGAAAAGATGAGATCCGAGGCTTGACACAAGAGACAAAATATGTTGTGCAACGACATGATGTTCGAAAACTTCCAACGGAGCCTCGAAGGATTGGAATCACAGTGTCGGAAGTTATAGTCGCCTTTCCTGTCAAAGACACAATCTATCCCATATTAAGAACCCATAAAGCTTTCGCATTCCTACCTGTTGAAAATTGCGGGTTCCAGGTTGGCTCTTTCTATCCTTTCTGTCCTCAGGACCTAAACCGTAACGGTTGATTGACTTTTGTTTCATTTCAGTTCATGATCCATGCCGACTTCCTGCTGGTCGCTAGCCGGGAATCTCTCGAGGTTAGAAATTCGTGGAATCTCGCTCTCCGAGATGGTTTCCGCAAGGCTTTTCTGAAAGCGGTAGAAAGATTTATAGCCATGCCCGCGAATGAAAGGGGCGAAGGCTTATGCTATACATGGCCAAAATACCTTCAGCGCAAATCTAGAAGCTCATCGTTCTGGGACAATCTCCATGAAGGCATCTTAAACGACCTGCGCGAAAATTATATACTCGAATCTCGTGATAAAAATAACGGTTTTCATAGACCTAGAGATCTTTTCTATGTACCACCAGAATTTCGGTATAATGGTAATACACTTTTCGACAGCACACAGACAAGGAAATCACATTTGGCGTTCAATTACGACGGCGTATACGATGAACTACAACATATTGGAGTTCAGAGACTTTCTATTAGGGGCTTGTACGAGGAATTCAAAAGCTGGATCGCGGAACAGGGTCTGGGTAGTATCAAATTCCAGTTACACGCGTGGCATCAGCAAGTCAGCCACCTCTTCTACAACGAAGAATTGCCGTTGGATGAGCTCAGGAACCTCCCTATTATTCCCCTTCGAGATGGCTCCTGGGTAAAGGCTAAGAAAAAGCATGTGTACCTCGCTGCACAACACAATGACGAGCACGTTCCTACCGGCATCGATGTTTTCATTGTGGACGAAGCTGCATCTCAAGACCCTATAAGAAGACATTTCTTCGAGTTCTTGGGAATCAAGGAATATAAGCCTCAACAAGTCTGTAACCTCATTCTCGAGCTACATCGCAGTCCTTCATTCTTCTTGTCAGACCGCGCCGACGATGATTTCGTATCCGATGCGGCTTACCTCTTCAATCATAGATCGTTATTCTCAATTAGTGGAGTCCCTGACATATGGTTTGTTGTTCAGCTCTCAGGGAAAAGATTACGAAGTAAATATCCGGTCTACTTCGTTGACCAGGCCGTCAAGCCAGGCCTCATCGAAAAGTACAAAGACTTACCGGAAAATCCTTTTCCAGTCCTCGTTCAGGAATACGAGGCAGTTATATGTGGTGGAGAGGAAACGATTATCAAAATATTCCACGACTGGCTCTTGAAATCTCATACTCTGCGCCTCCAGGCTGTTCCAACACTTGTGCGCGATGGGGCTCTTACCCGCGAATGGACTTTTCTCCACAAGAATGATACGGTAGACTTGTTACAGGCTGTGAAATTCCACTGGGGTAAGAATCACCGGGATCCAGCTCTTTACAAGGCCGTGCGAGAGCTACAAATGCGATGTCTGGATGACACTACTAGGAACTTAGGTATACTGGCCATACCGACTAAGGAGCTCATGCAGGAGTGCCCACACCTTAGCTTTGCTATGGTACCTAATCCAACCATAAAAAACTGGGGTTTCTTATCTGAATTTGGCGTGCTTACGAAGTGCGATGTGGTTGCTAGGCTCCGAGAACTCCAGTTTATTAGCAGTCTTGCTCTTGATAAAGTTGACAAGAAAGCTGTCCATACCATCTACAAGGCATTGGGGAAGAGTTCAGCTTTAGACCAGAGAAGAATCCAGTAAGACAAACGATTACTAAGATTGTCTCCTATGCCGATGCTAATGAATCCAACAGAGAAGCGTTCCGTAATCATCCTCTAGTATTTATCGCTCAACCAGGACCCAAATGGATTAAGCACAGCACCTGCGTATGGACTGCTCCTAGACCCCTGAAAAAGATTATCAAACTTGAGTCCCATTATACAGGCTGCAAAAACTTGTTCTGTAATTATCTGGGCGTAAAACCGGCGGACATTCATCACGTTGTGGATGAATTCTGTTCGATGGCAGATGAGGACTGCGAGAATTCAGTGCGGCGATTCGAGGAATTATCTTCATTATTAAATCATTTTTATAATAAAGGTATTTCGCTTACGGAGGAGCAAATCAATAAGATCAGAGCTTCTCCAGTATTTCCAGTCCTAAGCACCGAGTATGCGTCTCAAACGAGATCTGATATTGACCTGCGTTCTCTGGACGATGGAGACTGGTACATTCCAGACAAAACTACACTTGAATCTGCCTTCCGCGCTAAGGCAAATCTACTCAACCTATCGGTGAAGTCTATACAATCAATTGCTGGCCTGCTTCAACAATTGGGCTGCAAGGGCATGTTTCTCTCCTCTGTTGTTAAAGAAATAGTTGAGCCGACAGGGGAGAGCATCCACGACCTTCAGCTCGAAGGAGACCTCAAATATCGACTCAAATATATCTCTTGGTATGTTCCTAGATATTCCAGTTTATGGCTGTTTAACTAATATGAACTTGATTAGTCTACTGACAGAGGAAGATGAAACCCCCAAGGAAAAAATATCACGGATCCATGTTTGGTCCGTGCCATCCATACAAATTACAAGACGTTTAGATAATGTTGAAGTCGTGGATGATAATGAATTACTCAAAATCCAAGAAAATGGCGATAAAACTGACATCTATATTCGAGAAGATATATCGATGTACCAACAGCCCATGGTCAATTATGACCTTGCAAACTATTTCTCTCTCCAGTTCCAGATAGACACAGAGGACACCAGCCTTTTAAACCTTCTGATGAGCGCTCCGATAAATGAGCTCTCTGGAATTATCGAGAAACATGATCGGTTCATCCCAGATGAACTAAATGACGCAGATAGTGACAGCCAGTGTGCTTTTATTAGGGAAGATACGATGTCTGTGGGACGAAGTGAGAATGGTGAGGATGGTAAAGATCATAACCAGTTGGATAACAGTGAAGATGAAAAGAGCGAAGACGAGGAGCTCGAGGATGAATCAGGACCAGAAAATGAGTCGGCATCAGAGAATGAGTTGGCGTCAGAAGATGAGTCGACATCAAGAGACGAAGAGAACGCACGCAGCGTTACTGTTTCATCTAAATATCCGCAGTCTCTTCGAGAGTTGATTCCTTCACATCAAGACAGAATCGAGAAGATCATTTCGACGGCCAGCAACTTCCAAATGTCAGACTCTCGTGTTTCGAAGGTCTCGGCTTCTGCACGATCTCTTGGACCAAATCATGTATCCAGCCTTTCTCTTCCGATAAGAACCGAAAACACCGACAACGATTTCGGATACAAATCCTCAGTTGGCAAGCAACTTCAACCTCTTCCCATGGTTAGGCCTGAATCGGAGGAGTCGTTCGACATTGCTCCAGCGGCCATGTCTCATGGCGGTAACCGTCACAGGTCTATTTCCATAAGTAGCTATCTTAACACGCCAACATCATCACCTCCTCAGTCACTGCCCAGGTCAATCAACAAATTCGTACCAGTGACGAGAATACGGTATAGAGAGATCGGGTTTCGCGGAGAGCTTTTTGTAACCTATCCGTATTTCTCTTAAAGTATTTCGCTAACGAGCGGTGATAGGTTCATAAAGTAATGGAACGTCATATCAATGATTGGACTTTTAAGAACTGGACTAGCAAAATGCGAACCGAGGCCGGATACCCCCTCTTCATCGAGAAAGAGAAATACTTTACAGACTTTACGTACCTTGATAGTTCTGGATATATGAAAGAGGTGCTCCATGCGGCTAACGTTGACCTACGAGCGCACTGGTCTAATAGCACTACATACCATCTTGAGATCAAGACTGCGTTGGAAAGCTGCAACGAGCCATTTTTTGTTAGCCAAAACCAACTTAATATGGTACGTAAATGTCTCCTCTCGTCTTCTGTCAACTAATCATTAAATAGATGCGAGATTTTGATGATGATCCAAATCATGTATATATCATACTCAGAGTGTTTGGCATGAAGAGTAAATCCCCGGGGATTATGTTTTTCCCTAGGCCCTGGGACCTCTATTTGAATCGGATTCTTGACCTCCGATCTAACGAAGGATATAAAGTATACCAGGAGGACGGGGTCAAAAATACTATTTCTAAGCATGCATTGGACACGGGTGAGGAGCATGGTACATAAAAAATTTAAAAAAAACAATCGCTTGGCTATAGCAAGTCCAATCGGATTTGTATCCCTTCAGAATTAGGGAATCAGATCAATATACAAAACTAATAGCTGATATTTGGAAGTCTTTTATTTCTTTATTTGATTTTCCTTTCTGATACTGATACTTGGGTATTAAATATTGATGAGTGATAATTGAAAGGGTTAAAGCTTTTGAACGGGGGAAGACAATACGCTGAGTTGTTTCGTTATCGTGGGTATGGAAATCCATCTATGCATGTATTGAGAGATGTTCATCTTGCGACCGCGGAAATAAATGGGATGAAAGATGCTTTGATCCGGGGCAAGCTGACAGAGGAGAAGGACATTCTAGGTTTGAAATGGAAGCAGTGGGGCTAATGAATCATTTCCCCTATTTAGTGATCCATGGCATCTGTGATTACTCGGATTCCCATATGAGTAAAGAGTGGCAAGGATATGCAGCCAGAGCAGCAGCAGCGTATGCGAGAGATCTCTTATACTAAATTGTCACTCAACAGGGGCAGGGTGAGAAAAAGATAAGTGATAATCTTTCATTCGGTCAGTCAAGCACATTATATTGTAAGAAGTAACCCTATAACTAGCTTTATTAATCAAGGAAGCCATAGATGAAGTTCAAAAGACAACTCAAGGTACAAATATTATTATTAAAAAAAAGAACCAACGCGAAGAGCATCAAGTCATTACTAGACGGCTTACGTCGGTAGATTATAGTCTTCAAAAGTACTTTTTCTTGATATCCGTCGCCAAGTCATTCACTCTGTCAATTTCAGTATTTTCAAATCCATGTTGCAGCGTATCCACCAAATTCTTCAATGGAAACAAAAGACGCCGGTCCTCATCCAAATGACCCCCATCAGGCATAAGATGTCCTAACCTCAAAGGGATATCTTCGATGGTTGTCAGGTCAATCAATCTGCCAGGTGAAAAGGCAGCCTTGTCCAGAATACAGTGATTGTCACCATCATTATAACATAAGTGTACAGACAAGTGAAAATCCCCAACAACACGGATTCCTTTGAGTCGGTACCATTGAAGGATGCGTCTAGAAAGCGTTCGATGATGTATTTCCCGAAAGTCGTTCTCAGACAAGTCCCATTTATCGTTTGAAGTATTCCGACGCTCTTTCTCTTGGATGTCAACAAGGATGACAAGTTTGGTATTACCATCACTACCCTCCAACCATCGTTGTGCATCTTTGAATAGCTTGCGTGTGGTCTCACTTATTTCAACCTCAAGAACAATAACTGGCCATTCAGCTCTAAATTCCATGAGAGATGCATCTGGTTGTTTTATAGATCCCACAAAGTTGATTTCAAGGGAACAGTCTAAAAGTAGAGATATGTAAGCATTCATACAATCAACATGCACAATAAGATATATCTGGCAATAAACTTACCTGTACTACCAGTCAGAAAGCAGCGTGAGCCAGCAGCACTCAACCTCTCTCGTATTTTGTCAAAGAATATGTAGATTATGCCAGTAGCAGCTTCATGCATCCAACCAGAACGTCCTTTCAGGATAAGACATGCGTTCTGAGCATCAAATTCTATACCGCGATTATCATTGCCAATTTTGTTCAGCCAGTCATGGTACTCTGTAGGAGAGACCTTGAACTTGTTAATAACGATAGAATTCTCAGAGACACGCCTCAACTCATCAACTTTGTCGGCGGAAAGGTCACTCAAGGAGTGAACTTTGTCAAGAATTTGTTCGATCTTGTTTTGGATCTGATGTTCCTGTTCCATGTTGTTAGGATGTGATAAATCTGATAGAGCCGTTCGATGGCCATTGGTCTTGGACGTATATTTATACGCTGAAGGATGACGGGGCGCATTCACGGGGGCTCTTGAGGCAGCGTCAAATGACAAGGCGAGCTTTGATGCATGTTGCTGGAATGGGAACGGCTCAGCTACCGGCCCAACACCGGTCATCATCTTCAAGATTGAGGTCAGAGGATTTTGGCCAATCAAGAATGCAAGATGTCAGTCTTTAGGGAGAGGATACGTAAGTTGATATTCCTAATTAGGAAGACCAATATATATATTAGGAGAGTTACAAATACCGTTTCATATCATTATTTGGCATATTCCCTGAAACATGGAGAAGACCAATTTCTTCTACAGTTCATTGTTGAATAATGCTTTGATTTTCTTCATTCTTATTTCAAGCAGTCTAAATTTAAAGATGAGTACGATGCAATAATCACAGACAATGAAGAGAGAGCTTCCTGAAACTTCACGCCTTGCTTGGCTGATTCCTTTACAGGTCTAAAACCAATAGAATGTTGACTGGCAGTGACTCAGAGCATGCATTGTTATCCAAAGAGGAAGATCAGTCAAAATTACTCTTAGCCTCAAAAGACGAAAAAACAGATAAACAGTCTCGCAAAACACTCATTAAAAATTGTACAAAACAAGTGACATCACTAATGCTAATGTCTTTCAGGCTTGGAATTCGCATCATAATATAAAGCCTATCTGTTTCCTCCCTTGATCAACTTGTCCAATAACTGCTAGTATCCTAATACTATGACTCTTTGCACAAAGTGCACCCAATTATAATAGCTGCAGGTCATGATCCAAGATCTAATCAGACAGCATGCCACATGTGCAAAGTTCTTGATTTGATCATCAAGTCACCTTATTTGTTTCAGGGACATGTCTCAGAGATCATGATGAAACAAAGATTGAAGATTTCATGTAGTGATAATCTGTATCTTCTATAAGAGCAAGGCTGGTAATGATATTTGTGGTGTAGAATCTGAAGCATTGTTTCGGTGTTAGTTATATACAGAGATAGAGGGCACTAGCTACTAACATTTATTCTTACTTCTGTTCTATGAGGAGCGGGCGTATTATTTCCCTGACATGGGACTGCCTAAAAGTCAGGGTAGAAAGGGTGAGAGCAAGCAACTTATCATTATAGCGGGATTGTGCAGACTATGAGTAGTTGGAAGGGATAAAGCGGGTTGAGCTTATCTTGTTACTGGCAAAGGGACAGCTTAATTTAGTATAGAAATAATATCCATAGAGAACGCCAGCAATTGTTGTAATTCACTGTTCCCCAGAAATTGTATAGGGATGGAGAACATATCTCATTGTCATTATTAAGATACAAGAGTTCGTAGTATATTTCTGTCACCCTGATATTTACCTTATTACTGTAAAGATAAAATAGCCAAATTTTCTAATTAACTACAACTAAATATTATATCTATAGCCAACTCATCTAGGTCTAACAAGACTTTCTATTATTAAATCGTATTGTGCCATTCTGAGCTGCCCGTGAAGTTCTCCTAGACCTGCTCTAAACGATGTGAATGTAAAGCGGGCAACCTTGAATTTCCTCCTTAGTAAACCCAATCATACTTCCAGCTGTAATATATTTTTGTAAATCTTTTTTATTCTTTCTTAGCTTTTGGTTCATGATATGATCTCAAATAGTGCCTCAGATTTTAAGAATGGTGCTTGGAAATGGAGTTTGAATTAGCGATACGCTAGATGCCTTATCACAGTATGTCAGGTCGAGGCAGTGGCTAGAATAAATGGCAGACCTGTCCATAGATCAATTAAATAACAATATTCCTTAGCTTTCATTTTCAAGCCTTCTATACCAACCAAGTACTCAAAACACTAGTAGTATTAAAGAATGCAGCTTTTGAATTGTTTTTGTTGTAATATATATACATAGTTCCATAGTGGAGTGAGTGTGTCACCGACCAGCAGTGAATAATCAGATATAAAGCGTGATCGAATGTCGATTGATTGTATCAGTAACGTCATCCAAGGTGGAGCCTCCAGGACCCATACCCATTCGTTCCATTGTGATCGGTCAACCAAGCCCCGGTCAGTCTTCATTCTGATCAGCCATACCTCATCTGTCTCCCAATACACTGCCTGAAATTAACTGCGAGTCTAGCTCGACGATTATCGGAGGCATCCTATCCAAAACCAGTCTGGATATTCTTGGGCATATACTCCTGGTATATTTCCAAGCCAGAAGACAGACGAAGGTCTGTAGGCAGAGTATGATAATGTAGAATCCTCCTAACCCGCAGGAGAATAGCAAGAAACCAGTTCTTGTAGCCCAAAAATACAGTATATGTGCAAAATCGCTCAATACCCGGAACAATTAACGAGTGCAACGCCTCAAATGCAGCAAGCCATCTAAAAGCCAACCCAAACCCCGTATATGCTGAAAGATAGTAGGAAAAATAAAAGAAAAAAAAAATACAACAAAGGCTTCTCAATCGTACATGAAATACATCGTCAACGGTCGTTGACTCGCTAGTCGTGACTCACGTGATGCATGCATGACTTATCTCGTGACTCGTGGCACGACTCCATACAGCGGATGTTGTTCCTCATCGTAGACGTCGTGAGAGCGCTATCGTCACCATCCTCCCCACACCCTCGTCCCGCTGGGAGAAGCTGTTAGGAAGATAGCTGTATACTGAGTAAGCTCATCGTTATGTCGTAATGGAAATCCAAGTCCACGGAATCTGTCGTGTTCTAAAGTAAAGGGGACATGACCGAAAAACCCTGCGGTGTAGTTGTCGAGAATCGAAATATGGAAGTGATCCAGCACTTCAAAGATCATAATCGTAAAATATGAAAGAAATAATGAATGTGACCCCCGGAATTCGAATACCTCGGAATCCCATCAAGCCATCAAGCACACAGCGACATGTAGTATTCCGAGATGGAGAAAGAAATCCAAGCCTTTTCCCAATGACCAAACTGCGTGCTCGGCACTGTCATCCTAGCCGCAACGGATGTATTTGGTTCACCGATAACCCTTTGGAGGAACAGGGTTGTTTCTCTGTCGGACTGAATGGGCCGGACAGGCATATCCAACTAGGACAGTCTTTTCTTGGGTGCCATGGTTCCTTTGGCCAAAAGCTTCACATGGGTCCACGGCGTGTTTGAAATAGAGACAGCGGCACACAGAGTACCGTTCCACCACTTGATAGCACATGACGTTCTCACAGTGGATCTTTTTGAAGACGTATCTCCTGGATGGGAATAAAGTAGTGGTATCGTAATATTGTTGAAGCCAAAGGTCACAATTGGGTCTGGGTTGGAGCAGATCAGAAATTATTTAAAAAAGTGAATGGTTTATAATCATCAAGTATGTCGAATCGAGAATCGACTAGACGGAGACGTCGGAAGATTGTAGTATCGGAAAGCTAATCGCAAAAAGAAGGACCTGTCCTATATGAAGCTGCAACATAAACAATCAAAGCAAACGAAAGAAGCTATTATTAGCTGTCCCAATTGGGAAGGACGCAACAAAAAAACTAAATAATCAACGAGAGGCAGTTTCCGGCTTGCTGTGAGAACCATGGCCAGAGCTCTGCAGAGAAGCGGCGCAGTCGAAGCATTTATATCAGCAGCGTCAGCCACGAGGCTCTCAATCTAGGCGGGACCAGCCGAGAAGAGGAAGGACAAGACTAGGCAGGCAGGCAGGTAGGCAGCGGGGACATGCATGCAGGTGGGCGTGCATCTGCAAGGCGCCTAGTAAGGGTGTGGCCGATGTATTATTGTCGTTTCCACGCCGTACAAGAGGATGACGGTGGGCAAGCAGAATCCTCATCAATGCAAAGCCGATGGACTAGCGGACTAGTGTAACGAGCCGGTTTCTCCCCCCCCCCCCACATGCTGCGATGCGATGTCATTGCCGAGCCACAATAAGCGTGCCTTTTTTGGAATTGAGGCCCACCGTTGGCTAATTTTGTCGTTTTGTTTACGATCTTGTATTTCTTTTTCGGTTTGGTTTCGTTGAGGAGTCACGGTCAAAGCCGGAAGCTGTTGATCCCATTTCCCGCCCTCCAGATTGATGAGAGCGCGGCGTCGAGACAGAACGTCAAGACGAGAGTAACCTGAGGCTTAGCACAAGCCATGATCACAATTCAGTGGCTTGACCCTGTCTGCCACAAGCACCGAGTACCAATTCCTAGCCCGAAGCAGCGCAAGTTCCAACCGTAGTCATGGTTCTGCTAACCGGAAGCATGCAAGAGGGAAGCGGGCGTACAGACGGCGTCGTTTTTCAGCTCGATTGGCAGTCACGGGTTATCCACACCGCTGGGTCCGCGCTGTACGACGAAACGGTGTCTGACGCTTCCTAACACTCCTGAGTACTGACAACCCGCCGATATGGATCCTTAGGCACAGCCAGCACCAGAATAACACACGCCATTCTCTGACTAGGTGTGACAAAACATTTCACCTCTGCGCCCACGTCCAACCGGCACCAACGCCTGGGGGCATGAATGCGCACGATGCTGGGTGCGCGGATCCCGGAAACTAGGAAGCGACTGGCACTAGCCACAGCGACTTGCATTAGTCGCTGCCCAAGCGATCGCGCTCTGATTTGCAGGCAACTCGGCGTTCAGCGAGATGGGCCAGTCAGAAGTGACTCATGCAATCTCAAGCTCGTCTGAGGGAGCCTTCGTTTCATGAACTGCAGTGGAGCTAGTCAGCCCCATCCCACAATCCCGCATGTATGCATATGTATGAGCTGGGGGATCTAGACCAGCTCATGTCCAGCAGACAGCTACTGAACCGGTCACTAGAGCAAACGGTACAAGGGCACACGGTCGCACACAAACACAAGATACAAGACAGAATCAGATCGACCTCCGTGGCTCCTCCGGTTTCTAAGTTTAGGTCCTGGCCGCCAATCAGACGGCTCGGAACCGGGCGGGCCGGGCAACTGCCTTGCTCTCGGGCAAGGCCTTAGGCAACAACGGTCACGTTCTTCTATTTACATACATATTATTCATATTCAGATCCATGTTACTATCTATTCTTGTCGTCTCATCCTTGTCGTCTCATCCTTATTACTAATCTATGGTTTATTGTCGTCTGGACTTTCCGTTTCTCCCGGTCTTTGTGAAGCCTTCCACGGTATGAGACGCGTGGCTGAGCGGATCCAACGGATGCTAGTATGTAACTACTAGCTATGTAGTAGAGAGCTGCTAGCCGAGGTTTAGATCACTGCAATAGGACATTAACAGACTCAATACAGAACTCGATTCTGCTGTCGGCGTTACGCCCCTAGAAGCTCTTTGTACAGCTGTGTTCAGAATACGGCTAGCTCTTTGTAAAGTGGCGGCATTTAATACGGCCCAAGCCTAGCTAGCAGCCACAATGACAGCGTCTACGGATACAGCATGCATTCCTAGTATATCGCTAGCATTAGATAATACAGATAATACAGAAACTAACATTCTCAGCTTCACCTCAGTGCCCATGTCAGCTGATACCAACCAGACTACGAGTGAGTTAACATGCAACATCACCCATGGTAATTAGCACATGCAGGCTTCGAGCAGTTAATTGCTGCTAGTCTAGATTGTCACACATCATGTTGATTATCTAGACCAGTAAAGCGTCGTAAAACAGTTCGATTGCGAATAAGACTCGCTCTAGAGAGCGTCACATTATTGGTATCATAGGCACGCTCTGAAACAGCGGCATCTCCGGCCTCCGCGATAATCCTTGATAATGCGCACAATAAGAAACCGGCGCAAGCTGAGGGCCAAACCTGCAGCGGTTATGGACTAATTTAGAAGTCTGAAGTCATTATTCATGAACATTGCAAAAGCATAAAGGTCGTCTTAGAGCTTGGAGAGAGAGAGAGGGAGAGACGGTGAGAGAAAAACTGGACCCAGCAAGGACCCCGTCAGCCCTATGAAAAGGCCGCGCTTTGCCCTAAACGGAAAAGTGTGGAGGTCTCAGCCACACTCCGGCTGCAGGCTAGCCAGCCCACAGGCCAATCAGCACACGGGCGACGCAACCATGCGGTGAGGACATCGACAGTACTTGTTGCTACTTGGTATTTCTTAGTACTTACTATGATTGACATGCTCAATTGACAGGCAAAGGTATTCCTCTTCTGTAGATCGATCGATCGCTGCGCTCTGCCAGGCTGGATACTCTTCAATCCTTCCTCGGCCAGCCTCTTCTGTGTCACCTGGCTGACCGACTCTCGGATTTCGCCGTGATCGGCCGATGATGCGCCAGATACGTCTTGGAGAAAGCCACTCCTCATTATTGCTGTTGCTGAAGAGCCAGAATTGTGTTTCCGAATTTCTGACTCGATCATGACGCTGTCTATATTCGACATGTACACGCTCTAGTCACAACATCAATGGCTGCTTAAAAAACTATAACTTCAAACCCGTATAATCAATCACCCATAGCATTCACCCTTATATCTATTACAAAACTTGTTGGGATCATTCAATCATAGCCAAATTTATAGAAGAATTTCCGATACTCTTGTTCAACCAAAAATAATACTCTCCACCTCATGTCGTTGTCCCAAGGAATGAGACTACATAAAGAAAGATTTTCTTCCCGTAAATCCTTAGAAAGAGTTGATGAGGGGAGTCTTGTAGTTAGAAGGGTATAAAAATGTCAAATTACTTCTTAGGTTATCTCTCAGTTTTCTTGTAGATTAATCGCTAGAGTACATTCAAACATCCCTTTACAGGATCCACAATTTGCTTCCGTACGGTCACTCTTTGATCATTATTTCACTATAGCGTTGGTATTTATAGTATACATTTTATACGTTTTCCAAGCTCAGGGCGTCGCTTTTATGTGCTTTCACGATTTGTGCTTCTACAAGTAAGAATTGCATATCGTAAATATGGCTTTAAGAAGCTCTTATGACATTGCGTCGAAATTTTGACCGATCTGCGCTCGAAATTATTTATTGATCGATCTTTTTAATCCATTTGAGCGTAGTGGTGGCAATCCTAATCCCATAATCACATGAGAATATGATTCATTTCGGTCCTTGGCGCCTGTGGTAGTTAACAATAGGGCTGAATATACTCGTGTACAGGTATCGGTAGTGTATCACCAAATCTCTCCGATTCGATTTGGCCTGTGCTAGCTCACCAGTAAGATTGTCCCTTATGTCAGCCTAGTGGCTATTACATGGTTTATTGTTATCTATAAATTTAGCTGTCATCTTCTAAGTTTTACTGGTGAGGCTTGTACACTCCACTTTCCAGCCACATCAACCAGGGTACTATCTTAGACTGCTCAGCTCGCATTGTTGTTTTTTTCTCGTTTTGGTATTCGATTAGTAAGGGTGACCTTCGGGTCAGCTTACGTTTTGAATCAGGTTTGTATACAATATCAGCTGGTTCTTGTGAGGCCAAGTATGCATGTCAGTCCCGAAACACCAGATAACGGCCAGAGGGAATATGCCGCGTCAGCTTTGTGCTCACTTGGGATTCCAGGCATTATATTCGTACTATTGAAGCATTATTCACCTAAGGAGCAGAAGACATGCCATATTGATTACACTTCACATGCCCACAAGAATGAAAATGGAAGAAGAGATGCGATTCCCTTTTATTACGATTCCTTGTATGTCAAAAGCATGATTACAATAATAAGTCGACGCAGCGTGGTCTATCGCAAAACCATTCCTTTAGCTAACCTCAACCTCAATATCCACAGTAATTTGCTATCCGGTTTCGTCTTTTCGTCGCCATCGCCATTGTTACTCTCCCCCGCTGTTGATGACGCTGTGGATGCGGCAAGACCTGCTCGCCAGTCCCATCCTCGGCGGATCGGTTTCGCAGATTCGTTCATGGTGTTAGGACGTGGGATGAGAATGCCGGAGGTTGTGGTGGTAGATGTGTTGTTGGTAACCATGGAGTCAGCCATTTCCCTGTCAATCATGGAGTAGCTGCTAGATGCAGTCAGAGTCGATGTGGACTTTTTGAGACCTGCTGCAAGTGTAGATGAGTCCTTGCTTGGTTTGCCTGTCTTTTCGAAAATGTATTCGTTCAGACACTCGTAGAAGAATTCTTGGACTGCAGTGAAGACCCGTGGTGTGACGGTTTCAAGGTCTTCAATTGCAGCGAGTATGGTGGATTGTTGTTCGATGGAGAGAATGGATGATGGGGGATCTGGTAAGCGTGAGAATGGTTCTTCTCTAGTCAGAGATAGAATGGGGGAGTACTCACTGTCAACGAAAACAAGGGCTTCACCAAGAAGAGAAAGGAGATTGTCGACAAGAACGGCAGTGTCCTGATCTGGGTCATATAGACCACCGTAAATGCTGTCTGCGGCACTTCGGATGACGGCAACTAGCGCTTCGGCAGCAGCTCGTTTCCTTGCCAATGGCCGTAATTGACTCTTTCCAGACTCTGACAAGACAGGCTCATCACGGAGATCGTAAAATCGACGAAGTGTTGCATAGCCGCTAGCGTAGAATTGAAGAATGCCTGCTGCTTCTTCGTCAACCTTTGCGATTGATGACAGACATACTCTCGGATTCTTGACTAGAGATCGGAGTTGTCCACCCAGCTGTTCATCGGGGGGCCATGCTCGAGATTGCTGTAAAGAATAGGCAATCAGTGTATTTACAATATCCCGCAGCTTTCGAATCGACCTGGCGCGAGCATAACAAATCATCGCAAGACCATAATCGCATTCCCTGTTAGACTTGGCAGCTGCCATAATCTCGTCTCCGTAATTCTGATACCATTAGTTTTGTTGGCGAAAAGAATAATCAACTACTCACCGCAGCGATCTTCCGTCCTTGTTCCTCAAATCCCAAGTCCCCGCACATGACAATCATCTGTTCCACCTGGTCGATTGTGTTGACAGGGATCTGGTCCAATAATTCAGCCACTCTGTCTTTCGACCACTTTGTATCTTCCATCCTGCTGAGCACTTCCAAAGCCATTTGCCAGCCTTTGCGAGATACTCCGTTGTATTGGAACTTATCCCTGCCGCTAAGGCCGTGTGCGTAGTCATCAAGAATATCGTCCTTTTCCAGCTGTTCAGCGTTACCACTATCCTGTCCGTAAGAAAGTACCATCAGATCATTCTCATTCAGTAATCCCGGCAGTGAGTCGCCACCGAAGTTTGACTCTAGCCATTCAGCTTCATGTGCTATCTCCGCTACAGATGCAGCAAGACACAGCGACCATGTTTCGAGTATCCCAAGGGCCCCTCTCACATTACCCTCAAATGCGCAAGCTACCCCAACATCCAGTCTTTCCAGAGGGTTCGGACTGAACGCGCCCTCATCGCCGTTGACGGTGCTGAAACTAGAGTTGAGGCGGCGGAGATACGTTTCCTGCAAGCTTCTATCAACAGTAGAAGACATTCGCATGTTGGTAAGCCCAGTAGACTGGTCGTCTTCTTCGCCGCTCCACCAAGCTGTCAACCCAATCGTTGCCTCGATCCAATCTTGGGAAACAGATATAATAGCCGAGCTTTCCCCGATGATGATTCCGTAAATTCCTTTGATACCCTGGTATATCGACCACGGTACTCGACTCTCGGCCATGCGCAGTGATTGAGTGAATGATATTCCGGACTGAGAAGCACCAAAATTAGTTGACATTCCAAAATTTGACGCCTCGAAGCGAGGGCCAGTTGAGGGTTGCACTGGATCTTCGCCTTCTGCATAATCTTGCAACTCCGCCAGTGCAGAGCGAACACGCTTTCTGTATGCAGTCCAGTCGAAACCAGTAACATCCCAATCGTTCTCCTGGACAAGAGGAGAAGATTCAAGCATCTGAATGGCTTTATTGACCACCTTTTGAATACTTTGCAACTGCGCACCACGATATCCTGGCTGAGAAAGCCCATCCTGCAACGCTGACCGAGCATAATTGAAATCAGCCTCGCGAAGGAGATGAGCCATGTCGCCAAATCGGCCACGGAGAACGCCCGCTTGGATAATATCCCAAAAGTCTCGCGAAGCAGTCGGGTTAGGGCTCGTCTGCTGTAAAGCCTCGACCTCTTGTGCAGAGCCTGAATGATTCTCGTTCAGCCAGTCGACTAAAACCTTAGGGATAGGAACCTCCTTATTGGCGCTGGAGCCTGATACTACCAGACTTCGGCTGTTTGTAGGAATCCCTGACGTTCTGAGGTATCCGCCTGTGCGGTCTTTACGAGGAGGGTGATGAAGATGTAGTAACAGAGAGGCGACAACGGTGGCTTTTTCGATGCCGGATGCATCTTCACCGGGTCCAAAGGTGCCACTGGGTTGGTGTTGGCCAGTGTGTTCACTTTCCTTTTTACAAGCCTTAGTCCATATGTCTGTCAAAGTCGTCGCTGCTTCCGAGAACATAGCGGCAGCCTCACCACCACCAACTTCGGGTCCCTGAAGCTTATCTAGCAATTCTCCGATGCACTCGTCCGTTGGAAGTACCACCTCACCAGGCTCTGTAACGGCGGCAATTTTGGTCCGGGCAGCTAGATCGCGAGCAATAATTGGGAATTGCGAAGGCCTTTTTCGTGGAATAAGCTTTGCCTTTGCCGACGCAGGTGACGATGTGGCCCATTGCTCATCAATTTTGGCTCGCTTCGCATTGCCAGGATTAGAATAGATCCGCTTTGGTGCAGGAGCAGGATTTTGACCGCGGAGTGGACTGAATGTCGAGTTGAAACCCCCAAATAAAGATGCGTCCATTTTATTGTTTGTAGGTTCCATCTCCATATCATCCTCAAAGTTTGCCTCTTCATCGTCTTCATATTCTACTTCATCTCCCTCTTCATCACCTTCGTCTACATATTCCTCATCGTCTTCGCCTTCCCCAGATGCTTCATCTTCTTCCACTTCCTCCTCCTCCTCCTCTTCTTCTTCACCTTCGCCTTCGTCTACCCAGTCCTCACTTGCTGCACTCATTTGGCTCAGGTTATGTGGTCGCTTATTCCGTACCTTCAGGTTACCGCTGGCATTAACAGGCTTGAAGCCCATTTGATTTCCAAAAGACCCAGAAAAAATGGAGCTCTTCGCATTCTGCAACGGGGGAAGCTTCGATGAAGAGAACGACGAGAAGAGACTGTCATTCCCTCCGAAATTAGTCGATTGACCAAATCCCGATTCTGAGAAGCTAAGATTCGACCGGGATCCCATTTGGGAGTTTCCAAATGTCGACGAATTCGGTACGCCGTGCGGAGTAAAAGACGCGGCGGACGAGGGAGGCGGACCCGCAGGCGTTGTCGAAGGATTGCTGAAAAGGCTTCGCGATTTGTCCGGGGTAGAAGGAGGGCTGGAATCTGGGACGGTGAACGCCATGTTAAGATATTACTGAGCCGCGCTCAGAGCACACAGATATTTGTTGGGCGTTGAGAAGCGCAAATCATCGACTTGTGGCTCTTGAGACGGATCAACTTGGGATAAAGTCGCAAATGAAATGTTGCGAGATACAACGATCAGCCAGTTATTATAGTCAATGCGTGTAGCTTTGGCCTATATCTCGTTACTAATAACAAGGAGAAAAGAAGGCAAATATGAGATTAAAAGGACGGTAAAGGTATGGCAAGCAAGAGCATAAAGGCTACGCCGTCAATTATTTGGCTGCCAGACGCGCCAAGCTCAGGCCTTGCCGCCTTGGTAACGCGAATCACGTGATACAAACCCCATATGTGCCTGACTTAGAAGGCATCAAAACCGGCGGCGGATCTCAGCCAAAAGCGGAATACGGGCTTGATCCACGCCTCAACACCGCCTCCAATGTTCACAATGAAAACAAGGCCGTGTTTCAAATTTGGCCCCATGATCCAAACTCTACCGTCACTGGTCAGGCCAGTCGGTGACCTATTAAGCCAAATATCGAATAAGATTATTAAACCGACGTCATTCATCTAGCCCTCATGTATTAGCCCCAATTTCAATATATATATATAGAGGATCAGCGCTTTACATTGAAGGCATCTTCCCATCTCACTCTTCTTCTGCTTTCAACTTACTACGCGAAGGGTCTTTTGACATTTACATATCATCGAATAGACTAGAGTCTCAGAGTATCCCACAATATCCACCCACCATGAATCAAGCACCACCGCCTGGGTCTGGTTATGTACAACCACGAATTTTCCCTGTTTACAATGCATCCCGGAGCAATCTGACAATCACGATGGAGGACGACCGGCCAATATTCTTTGTCGAGAACTCAAGCGTCAGAATTCATAAACCAGATGTCGCCCTCCATGCCGGCACAGACAAACACGCTCCAATTGTCGCACTTTGCAAATTCTCGCGCATGTCAGGAGACTCTAAGATTGGCCTGGGCGACCCCAACAGACCCAATGGAGTCATATGGGAAGAATTGACAAGAAAATCCTGGAACAATTCAGAGTACCAGTGGATATTCAACTTTGGAGGACGCGAGCGTCGGCAACTTACCTGGAAACGCACCCACAGTGTGGGTGTAGGCAATGACACGCCCAGCTTCGGCTCATCTCGAAATTTCAAACTCGTTGATAGCCACACGAATGATATCCTTGCCGTCTATAATAATGCGGGAATGTTCCATTTCAACAAATGCGGCAAGTTCCAGATAAATGTTAATTATGGAAGGGAATTCGACACCATGGTATTCCTGACGGGGTTAGCGTTGTTGGAGAAGGCGCGCCGTAGGTCTCGCAACTCCTCAGGTGCTGCGGCAGGCGCAGCTAGTGCTGGAAGCTAAGACGAGGATGTATTTTTTGTTGTTCTTGACGATACCCAGATTGGAACGTTGTATGTTGGAATATGCTAGCGTTGATTACATATGTATTTGGGAAATCGAGTTTTCGCAAGCTCGATAAGCTTTGCGTTTCGGTCAAAACTCCATCAATTGATCATATGCTGTAATGTTCTCACTTGCAACCATGGTTCATAAAGCGAATATCAGTGATCATCAAAAAGGCTTACTCTTCCTACTGTCTCGGACGACCGCGTTGGCGGGGTAATGTATAAAGTTAAAATGCTACGCCTCAAGTTAGGCAGACTCATTTATAACTTGATATTATTATATACAATCCATAGTGTTGTTAGAGAGTCAACGTAAGCCTTAGGTTAGAGGCGTAGTAATAATGCTTGGCTACAGTGGGTCTTGCAGTAGGGCTCGGTTTGCTATACCGTGATAGGCAACTTTCGCGGATACGGCTGCAGATATCGAATGCGAATGCGAATAGATGAGTGGACAAAACGTTCGAAGTAGGAATTGATGCAAATGATCTATGCGAGCTATGCGATTTAATTTCAAAGACCCTGTGTATGCAATCAGGCACTGTTCAGTAATACATGCAGCTCTTTGTGATAAGTTGATCTTTAATAAAGAACGTACGATGAGATGGCAGATAATCAATTTAATGCTAAAGGTAACCTTATTTAAAGTTTTCAATAAGAATAGACCCATGAATACTGTAAAGGTTTCAAAACACGTATACGGGAACCACTATATTTTCACGTTGGAATTAAGATCGTTAATAGCCGAATACGCGTATACCTGGCGCTGGTCTTGGGCTATGCCCGATCTAGAAAGGTATACGAATACGTGAATACGAGGAACCAATCAGCAGCCGCAAAGCATAAAGTCGTGTTCTACAAGTTTGCTCGTCAGTGGAGGCCCTTTGGGCGCTTATTTTGTAGATAATAGATATATTTCTGCTGCCTGTGTCTCAGGAACTGACACAGCCTTCATTTTATCCACCCCGTCTACATGGCAGGTCACATATAAAGAGTCGTTGCGATCGCATCTACCAGAATCAGAATGAGTCGACAACTGCAACATTGTTCATTGCTAAATATAATTTCTCGGGCCAATTCGTGTTGCGCATTGGTGTTTCAGTTTCCATATATTTCATTCTCTTTGTTTTATATACGCCTTAGCTACCCTCACCTCGCACTAAGAACCTTGGGCTCGAGATAACTTCAATCGTTCGGGTTCTTCTTCACTTCTAGGCCATTTCTCTCGCAATGGCGTCTTCCGAGACCAGCCAGTGGAAGGCTTACAACTATAATCCATCGCTGGCAGCAGCAGTCGTCTTTATTGTTCTATTTCTCATCGTTTCTATTATTCATGTGTTTTATCTCATTCGTACACGGACTCTTTTCTTTATTCCGTTCATCATTGGCGGACTCTGTAAGTCGCATTTTGATTCCCGAACAATCTGTACGAAGAATCCCCTGTTAATGAAATTTCAGTTGAGACTGTAGGGTACATCGGCCGGGCGATGAGTGCACAACAATCGCCAAACTGGGCTCTCGGACCGTACATTATGCAGAGCACCCTGACCCTCGTTGCCCCCGCTTTGTTTGCTGCCAGTATCTATATGGAACTCGGAAGGATCATTCGGGTGGTTCATGGAGAGCAACTCGCACTTGTCCGTGTGACTTGGATGACAAAGTTTTTTGTTGCGGGCGATGTGCTCTCTTTCTTGATGCAGGCTACAGGTATGACTTAGCTATTTGGGTAGAATAATACAAAGTGATCTCTGACCTCTTCGATTGAAACGCAGGTGCCGGAGTCCTCGCAAGCTCTCATTCCTCAACAAATTCCACGGGTACTCACATCATTGTCGGCGGTCTTTTCTTACAACTCATATTCTTCGCATTCTTCCTTGCTAGCGCCATCACATTTCAAAGGCGGATCCAGAAACACCCGACCCCGGAATCTGTGGCTGACTATATCCCCTGGACAAAACATATGATGGCTCTGCATACGTCCAGTGTCGTCATCCTTATCCGGTCGATCTTTCGTGTAATTGAATATCTGCAGGGGCAGGATGGGTCTCTGCTGTCGACGGAAACGTATCTGTATATTTTTGACGCGAGCCTGATGTTCCTGGTCATGGTCACCTTCATTTATATTCACCCGAGCGAGATAAACTGTTTGTTAGGAAAGGGGCATAGACACGTCACCCGTGGAGGTCTGGCATTGACTGAGTTTAAGATGGGCGTTTAATTGGTTACAAGCGCGGCGATTCTGTTTTCTGTGTAGACATATTGAGGATTTCAGAATGTTTATATTTCGGCCATTATAATTATATTTGCAGTTTTATTGATTTTGGCGTTGGAAACACCAAACAAACCGAGACAGCTATTATATTAATATTATTGGATAAAAAGAAGTATATATAAGATGTCACCTGACCGGCCACGATTGGACGGAAAAATTCGCAGACGGAGTGGGTTTCCCCGCAGCCGTAACGCCCCGACCACAGCCAACCAGCAGCTGTCTCCGCAGTTTCCCCGGACCTTTATCCCGTAAGAATACTATTATTCATACCAGCCCAGGCGTTTAGCACAACCGTTGCATGCTACGGAGTCACTAAGTGCTACGACCATGGCTGGAACATAAGTGAAGCTGCTTCCCCCACACGGCGTGAGACGAGTCCGACATCGTTCTGTTCTTCCCCATCTGTAGTCTCCTTGTGCTCGAACAGACCGTCTGCAGCACAGCAATCAATCATGGGTTTCTTCAAGAATTACCGCGTCTATGTGCTCACCACGGTGGCCTACTCGGGCTCGCTGCTCTTTGGTACGTGGGCCTGCGAATTGCATGAGATGAAGCAATGTCTAACATTGCACGAATTCTAGGCTATGATACCGGTGTGATGGGCAGTGTCCTGGCCCTGACAAGCTTTAAGAAAGACTTTGGCCTGCCGACAGACTCTAGCGGCTTTGCGTCTTCCGCCAATGCCCAGGTGTCTTCGAATGTCGTGTCCCTGCTCACCGCCGGGTGCTTCTTCGGTTCCATCTTTGCCGCGTTCCTCAATGACCGCATCGGTCGCCGCTACTCGTTGATGCTTTTCTGCTTGGTGTTCATGCTCGGTGCTGCCATCCAGGTCGGTGCTCATCACGAGATCGGCATGATCTACGGTGGTCGGGTCGTGGCTGGCCTAGGAATCGGCGGCATGTCCGCCATCACCCCGGTCTTTGTCAGTGAGAATTGCCTCCCCGAGACCCGCGGTCGAGTGGCCGGCTTGTTTCAGGAATTCCTGGTCATTGGCAGCACCTTTGCCTACTGGTTGGACTACGGCGTCTCGCTGCGCGTTGCCCCGAGCACCCAGCAATGGCGCATCCCGGTTGCCATCCAGCTTATCCCCGGTGGTCTGATGTTTACTGGCCTGTTCTTCTTGAAAGAATCACCCCGCTGGCTCATGCGGAAAGGCCGGCATGAAGAGGCCCATTCGTCACTTGCCTATATCCGAAACGAGCCTGAAGACAGCGAATCCGTCATGAAGGAAATCGCAGAGATCCGGGCCTCTCTCGAGGAGGAGCTTGCTGCAACTGAGGGTGTCACCTGGAAAGAAGCCATCAGCAAGGGTAACCGCTACCGCTTCTTCCTTGCCTTCTGCCTCATGTTTTGGCAGCAATTCTCCGGCACCAATAGTATCGGCTACTACGCGCCGGAAATTTTCCAGACTGTCGGTGTTAGCAAAACCAACGCGTCGCTGTTTGCCACTGGTGTCTATGGCAGTGTCAAGGTTGTCATGACATTGATCTTTTTGCTCGTGGGGATTGACTTCATAGGCCGGAAGAGGGCTTTGATGGGAGGCGCTGTGTGGATGGCTGCGATGATGTTCATCATCGGCGCAGTTCTGGCTACACACCCACCAGATGTAAAGAGCGACACTGTCTCACCCGCATCCATGGCCATGGTCGTGATGATCTATCTCTATGTCATTGGATACTCTGCATCATGGGGACCAACTCCTTGGGTATATGTCAGCGAGGTAAGCCACCATCTCTCTCCCTTTCTTCGAGAAAATATACATATTAATTCCAAATAGATCTTCCCCACCCGCCTTCGCGCCTACGGTGTCGGTCTCGCCGCCGCCACCCAATGGCTCTTCAACTTCGTCATCACAGAAATCACACCCCAGGCCGTGAACCACATCGGCTGGCGGACGTTTTTGATGTTTGGCATATTCTGTCTGGCCATGGGCATCTTTGTAACCTTCTTTGTGAAAGAAACTAAGGGCCGCAGTTTGGAAGATATGGATGTGTTGTTTGGCACTGTTGATGCAGAGCAGCGTGCCGCTGATGTCGAGCAAGTCATGAGCAAGAATCGCATTGAGCATGAGGAGAATGTTGACGAAAGCCGTGCTGCTAACACCACTACCACAGAAATAGGGAAGGCGTAGACTCGCTATATATTCTGGAGGTAATTTCATGTCTGTGATAGCAAAAGAATATGTTGCGTATTTGAGCTCTACTTAATGCAATGACTCTTAAGATCCGTTATCCAGGTCACTTGACTAACCTGTGTACTCTAGTAGTGTAGTATACTTGAAGTGATAGGGTATCATCGAATTTGGATTATGCAAAAAAATACCTAAATAATGCAAACAATACCATCCCAATGCCAAAATATCCGATAAATGCAATCCATTCCATATGTTACAATCATTCTGTAGCCCCAATCAACTGCTCCAATTCTTCGTTCGTCAGAGTACTTCGTCGCCGACCCTTGCTTTTTCCAGGAGCAAGCTCGCGTTTCGATCGACTTCTCTTCTTTGTGTCTTGAGTGGCTGTTTCCTCGGTAGCAGCCTGTGCTTCGGCTTCAACGGCTGCTAGTTTGTCTTTTACGGATAGCTGAGATTTTTGGTTTGTCTGCACGGTTTGTTAGTCAATACATCAAAAGAAAAGTTGGTATAATATACACATACCGGTCTCGGAACCTGCGATGATATTCTCCGTGAAGATCTCCGTGTGACTTTCTCAGATGTATGAGCCTTGACCATTACAGGTTCTTCGCCATCACTTTCGCTATCTGACGCTGTATCCATTGCCCCATCGTAAAATGATACCTTTCTAGCAGATGCTTTTGATTTCAAATTCCCATTTCTTTCGCCTAGAGCCCGGATTGGCGGCCGAGCCAGCGTCGGTTTTAGTATCTTAGCTTGCGGTTCACGGAATTGCTCTTCTTCCTCGATCTCATCTTCCATTTCCTTAAGGCCGTTCTCATTATCGTGAGTATATGAGTCGTTCCCATTAGCCGACGATAGCGCTAATGAACGGCCTAGGCCTGAGTCCAGGCTCATGCCTTTTCGGAGTTCATCGAGATCAATGGAATCTCCTCCATCTGAGATTCGCTTGTGCCAGCCATCCATCATAGCCACTGCCTGCTTCCAGCGCAATTGCATCCGCTCCCAGCCCTCCCTGAGCCGCGTAATTTCTTCATCACGCATTTCAACCTCCTCCAGAGGCACAAATGATGGATTTGTTAGTAAGTTGCCCAGATGAACAAGTACCGTGTCCATCTCCGCAGAGAGATCCATCACATTTGTTGGGTTTGAGTTGACCGCTCCTCCCTGGTTGTACGACCAAGAACCCCCCATGTCGGATGCGTCGCCGTCCGTCGAGGCCGATTCTGGGAGACCTTGCAGCTCTTTCAAAGTCTGGATGGTGGTTCGTGATAAATTTATTAGTGTGTCATTCTCGTCGCTTAGATTCTGGCAAAGCTGGGTTAGAAACTCTGTAGTCTCCTGTTTCAAGCTGTACCCAGGATTGTTGATATCAGGTTCGAATTTGGGTGCCCGCTCCGTCGTCCGGTTTATATTAATTGTCGTAACCCCCAACCCTTCCCGCTTCCCTCGTTGCCGCTCATTCAAATGGGACTTGAGTTTTTGTAGCTCGGTATCTCGTTTTCGAATATCGTTCGCGCACTGGGCTCGGACCTGCTGGACTGTTGTTTTCATTCTCTGTAGCTGCTCTTTCAATTTTCGCACAGTTGCTTCGGTGCTAGACATAGTCGTCTTCAATGCGCGCTGTTGCCCTTCAGCCACTGCAACCGATCGAGCTAATTCCGCATTCTTCGATTTCAATCTCTCCTAAAGCGAAAAGTACCCGTTAGTGGGTGTATAACATAATTATAGACTGTGAGCTCACAATCTCCACCGTTTGCTGCGATTCCGTGGTGCGCAAGTTCTGTATCGTGCTAGCTAGGTTCTCTCGGTGCTCCGCTTCTCTCTATCTTAGTGTCAATAACATTCACAATTGCTACATTGTTGATAGAAAACAAACATCTCTTCTGAGGACAAGGTCATTGACTAGATTGATAATCTTCGCCATCGTGGCATCACTTCCCTCGCCATCGTCCGGCTGCGCAAAATCGATTGGCTTGCCATTCTTCAAAAGGCCGCGCGCGAGCAGAATGTTGTTTACGTAGTTCGAAGCGGTCTGCAGATCCCGGGAGTTCATGATGATAGAATGAAAACACCGACAAGCCGGCAGCGTAGTCGCCTGGATGCGACTTTTATGCGTCCTCGACTGGATCGCTAAAATAATGGGTGAGATGATAATCACAACATCCCGAAATAGCAGAGTGTAAACACCAGGCCGATCATTTGCGGGACGGCTGATTAGCGTGGATCTGTTCACCGCCCACGTGAGTCCGTGATGTCCCTTGGCGCGTCGGACGCGGTAGCTATTGCTCGGATTCAAATTCATTAAATATGCAGTCTCACTAATAAAATGTCTATCAAACGGAAGATTTCTGAAGATCTGCATCATGATCCCAGTGCTAGCTGTGGTCATACCAAGCGGCCCAATTTTGGAAAGAGGGTGCTGGACAAGTACCGCCAAAATGGACAGGACCTAGCTCGGCAGGGCAAATATGAAGAATCCATTCAAGTTTTTAGCTATGTACTTTCAACCTGCGAAATTCTGCTTCAAATACACCACATTTACACTACTAGTTATATTCCTGACATATGAATAGGCTCTTCTGCAAGAAAACGCCAATATGTCGGATATCTTGGACAATCGGTCCGCTGTATATTGCAAACTAGGCCAATACGATAAAGCTCTGAGTGATGCAAAACGATTGATTAGATCAGATAGTCAAGACGAGAGGGTCTGCTCATTGCTCAAAATCATATTATTAGGGTTTCTGACAAGTCATTAGGGTTATTTACGCGCTGCTAAAGCACTTATCCTAACACACAAACCCGAGAAAGCTCTTGAGGTATATGCATATGCTTTGAAAAGTATCGATAAATATCATCCACAGCGTGAGGTAAGCATTTCTCCCAGTACTGATACTATTCCTTCCACTATTGTTTTGTTGGGACTATTCTCACGTTTCCCCTCTAGGTACTGGAAAAGCTTCGTTCTAAACTTTCTGCCAAGCTGGAATCACAGTGTAAAGATCCAATCCAAACTCTGAATAACGATTGTCTGCTTCAAATATTTGAGTACATACCTTTCATGCAGAGAGTGTAAGTCTGCAACCTATGCCTGCTCCTCTTCTATGAAGAATACTATGTAATTGAAAAGCCATTGAATGGGCCAGTAACTAACGGGTTCTGCAGTAAGTTGACCCGAGTCTGCAGATCCTGGAAAGCATATATCACAGGACAGTCATCGCTTTGGAGTGACATCTCTTTCAAGGGAGGGCGGTCACCAGTCTCACCGGAAACAGTCAGAGCATGTATTCGGTACTCTGGGCAAAGGCTCAGAAAGACACAAATTCACAACGTCAAAAATTTTCTCAATGCTATTCAACAGATTTCCCGATGCCCTAAACTCGAACATCTCGATATTGATGGCGTCGCTGCGCAAGAACATATACTCAGCCTATTCCGTCGGAAATATACTCTGAGAAGCATCATTATCTCAAAAAAAGTCACACTTGGCAGAATGGCCATGATAGAATTACTCAAACTACCGAACTTGGAACACTTTGAAGCTGGCCACCAAATCACCCCAGAGGATCAAATGGATGAAAGTCAATGCGTGCGCACCCCAAATTTGAAATCCTTCACTCTGAACTTATCATGTTATTTGAATTCCGCTATGAATTTCAGGCCACAATGGGCCAACACCACTACCCTAGAAAAGAAAGAATACGAAGAAAAAGAGCGACAACTGCGCCTAGTTGATCCGATCCCCAAATTGGAGGTCTTACGTCTTGTAAGGGATCAATCTACCAGTCGAGGGGTCTCCTTATCCCCATTATGGTTTTGCAGTCCCAAATTTCGCACACTTGATTTTCGTTCTCTCCATTTGATGTTAAAGTGGAGTTTTCCCGAGAATCTTGAGAACTTATTCCTCATTGATTGTACGATTGCATTTGCCACAGAAAATTTCCTTCCTTTCAAGCTTCCAAAACTCAAAAGTCTAGTTCTCTGTCAGCTAGTCTGGCTTAGAACCATCCATTTAGAAAAATTCCTTACACACAACTCTGGCGCTCTAGACACTCTGCAAATCGAACAATGCGAGGGCATCCAGTCGACAGACACTCTCGAAACACTCAAAGCTTTGCCCGACGCACTCAAAAATCTAAAAGTGTTGCATCTTTCTGGAATGGGATTTTACTCTCTCGATGACAATCTGGTTATCGACTTCATCTCCGGAACAAGGCTCAAGGAACTTCACCTAGCGCATTGCCAGGTGACTGGGTCTCTCATCAAAAAGATCGTTCAATGGCGAAACCTCGTGTCTAAGGAAGATGAATTCTTTCCGCGTATTGATGTACTCAGTATTAAGGGTTGTGTGGAGGTCTCCCCTGAGGCATTTGAGTGGGGTCGTGCCAACGGCTTGAAAATTCTGAAATAAATGTCATTCCTATAACTCCAACCTGCTCCCTTGAATTTGAACCACAAGATATTGCTAGCTGGTGAGTATGTTCATCAGGTGCGCCTCTTAGCTCTAAGAACCGACCGCGGTAAGTCACGCTGAGCTGAGCTGAGCTCGCAAAACTCGTAAAATGGACAATGTCATACATTAAGGCCCCTTCTGGCACCTTGTCCTTATAACCCCCCTTATAAATCACCTTAACTAAACCTTAACCCGCACTAATAGATTATTTTATTTTAAACACTTACCTCTGAAAGCTAGCCCTAAACCCTAACGGAGCCCCTGAACTAGTCAGAACTGAAGCCTTATTATTACATGAGGGCGACCTCCCTTGATTTTTGGGGCCGGTTGGAGACAGGAGGTTGCTCTTAGTTGGTGAGGAGGCATATAAATATAAAAAGGAATCTCTTATAAAATGCAATAAAACAAATCCTACCATGACCATACATGATACCTGATCACGACTGGGGTATCTACCACCTTGAACAATCGATCAATTGATATTTTGATAACCCCTATCAGATTCTAATGTCGCTAAATACTCGAAAGTTACCTCCGAATCTCAAGAGAGAGAGAGAGAGAGAAAATAAAAAGAAAATGGAAAGAATAAGCCGTGATTGGAAAAAGCCCGATTTCTTTCCAACAATGCAACACAGACAGGACAAATCAACAAATGACTAGACACCTCTCTCCTGGCACCATCGCTCTACCTCACGAGCCAGCTTTTCGCGCTGGTCGTGAACCTGCTCCATCATGGGGACGATTTGTTTCTTATACGTAGCAACAAAGTCCGGCTCGCCGGTTGGTATCGGCCCATCAATAGCGGGGACCGAAGTAGCCTTATCTTTGACATGGCGCTCATATGTATCGATCATGACATCCATGACTGCCGAGAGCTGATTCGGTAGCCACTATAATAACACATTAGTATTTACCACGAAAAGTAGAAGGAGATGATAATAAAGGCACATACAGTGACAATCGGACTACCGCCTGTCGCAGTAGGATGAGAAGTCCGGCGAATAATATACTCGCGGGCAAACAGCCAGTGGCGCCAGCGGAAACTGCGGACGTGGTCAAGGGTCTTCAAATAAAGAATTGCGGTTTCTTCATCCTGCACGGAAAAGTCGCGAACGCTGAGCTTTTCGGTCGTGCTGGCAACGTATGCGAGAAATTCGCGGTGAGGGCGTGGACGATAGGCGCGGAACTCGTGCAAGATCTTAGTGAGCGGCGTTTCAGGCATGGGGATCTGTAGCAGGTGGTCTAGAAGTGGGATCTAGAGAACAAATTGTAAGTTTTCAAAGACATGGCTGAAGCAAATAGGATCTGCTTACGATGGCATCATTGGCGCCGCTTTCTCCCCGGAAGTACATGGGTTGGTTATCGTTGATTCCTTCATAGACGACGCCGTTGGGGAACATAGATTGAGATGTGATGCCAAAGATGAAGACGCGGAAGGTGAGGTAGTCCGCTGGCTTGGAGTTTTTCCACATATCTAGATTCCTGATTAACATACAGTACATGTATGTACATACTTGAATAACATACCTTCCATAGACGCTTCAATAACTTCCATAGCCTTGAGGATTTCCCGAAAGCCTTCATTGACAGAATCACGGTTCCCAGAATCGACGCCATCTAGGACCTTGACGGCGCCATGGATTAACGGCGCTGTCCACTTGACCATGTCGATATGGGTTAAAATAAATCCAGCCTCGGAGCTCTTTGGGTCTAGGCCATTTTCAAATCCTCTAATGAGGCGCAAGTTATCATATTCGTGGCCTTTAGAAGGGTCTTCAAGAGTATAGTTGAAGAGAGCATACGAGGCAGCATAGGACAAGAAAGGTGGGAGGTCCAAACTAATAGTAATTAGCTTTTACATTCTCATAGAGTGATAAAGTTAGCTTACATCTCTGCACAGCGCCACATAGGACCGGCGATAGCATGAGGAAGAGTCTCCCGGCCTATTCCATAGCCTGCATCGGGATCTTTACACCAGTTCTCCCAGCACGGCTCTAGGATGTATGCCGAGGCAACATAGGAGTAGTCCCGGAAGATGGCAGTGAGGGTGAACAGATCCTTTTTACCATCCTTGGTAAGTACCTTGTCAATTTCATCCGTTAAGTCCGGAAACCCCTTGACGGCTTCTCCAAGCTCATACTTGGCCAACAGGCCCGGCGTGCCGTCGAGCTTGAGGACAGGCATGCGTTCAAGGAGGTCTGTAAGAGGCTTGAATATTTCGGGCAGTGTGGTAGGGGCTACCTGGTAGGGCATGAACCCTGATCCAGTGGTGATGGTGAAGGGGTCGACGGAGTGTGGCAGGGTGGTAGGGTCATGGTTGATATAAGGGAAGGCCTGCTCGATAGCCGAGGGCTTAACCTGAGGGATGGTCATGATGGTCACGGTATAAAATAACAGAGAGATGATTTGATAAGGAAAGGCCAACTGTCGATGGTATATGTGGGCAAAGTCTATATATTAGTGACAAGAGACTTGGGTGGAGGGAGGCAATGACACAATAAGGTTGTCACACTAGGAAGGCAACAAGGTGGTCTGAAAAGGCCGGGGGAAAAAGGGGTAAAGTCTGGGTGGCGACCGTCCACATCAATCTCTGATGGTAAAAAAGGGAATCAGATAGTGCGTTTTGGGGCGGGAAATCAGCGAGGCTTATATATTCAATGAGGCCGGAATTGATACCGGCCTCACTACTACCATTTCGAAATAAGTGTCCATCCAGGTGGACCCTAATCCCAGCGGTGCTACAGCAAGTGAAGCTTCTTGGAAAAGGCAGTATCTGGCCTAGATAAGTCCTCCAGGGATATTCCCATGGCTTTGACCTGGAAATGCAGGTATACAGATGTTGGCGATGTCCCTTTTCCATCCTTGAGAATCAAATAACGCTAAGCCCTAATAGGACATTTCAATATTTCCAGATCGAGACTTACGAAGCTCCGAACAGCACCAAATAACAACTGAACAGTTTGAAAGCGGGATTATGGACTATATTATTTCCTACATACATATCACACAAAAAAATCAACCTTATCGCCTGAATTTCCACCCTGAACTCCTGCAATATCCTGCCGTTGTACAGGCAGAGCCATAGATAACGGGATGTAATACAAACTCACGATTGGCCAGTGGTGCCGCACAGCGGTGGGCCAAGCGCGCCAAGAGGCCGGAATCAATCCGGCCTCCGAGAATACCCGCCGGCATCTGTATAATAGCATAAGAAACTGGGGTATGATTCATGAAAGTGCTTCTAGTAAACACGTTTCTACATTTTATATACTTATTATTGAACGGAAATTATGGAGTTTTATTGAAAAAATCATATTTCTCTTTTAACTTCCAGTTCTTCTTTCTCTGATCAAGAAACATCTTGGAGTCTGACATAAACCGTAACTTTGATCAGTATCCCCTTATACAAGGGATGATCTCCTCCCTCTTTTCGCACTTTTCCCTCATTCTGTCCCTACCAAGGGTATTCGTACAAATATCTAAATATGCCTGTATGGAATCCTTACAAAATCATACTCTCATGGTTTTGCGGGGCAGTGCCAAGCCTACTAGGTCAGCGGACACGGTGTCTTGCTGAAAGCCTTGTGAATCTACCGACACTCGAATCATAACTCTTAGACTATATTCGGACACCTAATTAGTCACATTTCTTCATACCGATCTCAAACGGCGCAAAATTGTCACAAGAAAAAGCTTTGCTGTAATGCATAATGGAGAAGATCAAAAGGCGTCCGAAGGGGCCTTTATCCTTCGACTACCAGATGAGCTGCTGGATAACATTATCTGCAAAGCCGCCTACCTTCCCGAAAATTCTCCCAGCATGCGTAGTTGGCACTACACAAATGTTGAACTTTACGGGACGCTAGCTACGCTCTGCCTAGTTTGCCAACGGCTCAATCGCCTTGCCATGCCATACCTTTACGCCGACCCTATGATCTACTGTTACAAACCATTGCACTCACAACCTAAGCAGGCTACAAGGCTTATACACCGCAGTTGTAGAGAAAACCCGTCCCTTTGGCCCTTATGCCGGCGTCTGATAATCCACTATGAGGATAGAGATGTCGTGGATCGGGAGAATCGGAAGAACCCATATCTCTATGTTGCGATGGATTCTGTCACCTGGTTTACTGCTGCCAAATCCTTGGTTATTATGGGGCTGGGAAGAGATGAGAGAGCGTGGATATTGCTTCGATCTGCGCTTGAACACATCACGGGCTTGACTCTGTTATCCCTTCGGAGCCATATCGGGTACAACATAAGCATACCCCAGGTAGTAGAAATATTGTCCGACTTCAAGCTTCAAGATATTCGAACACTTCACCTCGAAGGTATATCTATAGGTGGTGACGCTCTATCCTGGAGAAAGCTTCAGGTAAGCCTCTACCACGCATGATCCGAGGAACAATCTCCAAAATTATAGATCAGTATTTAAAAAAACAAACATTTCCCCATCCTTGGACTAAACACTAGTATAGGAAAAAGCAGGAACTGCCCGATTTACTGAACTAGAACTACTAAGTTTTCTCCAGACTCCAGACGTTCTGCGGGATCTCGTCAGGTGGCCAGCCCACTTGGAAAAGTTCGCTCTCGAACACACATATGGATCATGCTACAGTGTACTAGGCTTATACACGGATTGGAGCTTGGCCACATTGCAGCCCATATTATCTATACATAAGTCCACCCTACGCTCCATCAGTATCCGTTGTATAAACGTGGGTGGCCTGGACGGGTTTGATCTGCGCGAGTTTGAGAACTTGGAAGAACTAAGCTTATCATACCAATCTACGAAGCATACTGCTGATATCCATTTGATCCCGAACTTGCTTGCTCCTCAGCTTCGTGTTTTCCACTGGGACCTGACGCTTGAGGACCAGCAGTGTAATGAGAGCTTGGGCTTTTTTGAACAGAAAGAAGAAGATTGGCTGCGTACGCTTGCGCTTACAGCCGTGACACGGGGATGTCCAATGCGTAGGATTGAGATTACGTTCACACCCCTTTACACGTACTACTTTGCCGGTGTATACCCGTGGGACCGGATGGATGCGCTTGGGCGGGAACTACATCCTCATGGGGTCCAGGTGTACTATAACCCCCCGTCTACCAGTCGCGAAGAGTACATGGAAATCTTGAACAGGACTGTGGCGAAGCAGATAAAGGACTCTGGGACCGATCCTTAATTTGGCTTTGGTTATTTCAAGGTAGAGATCTGACTGTGAGTTGATAAGAGATATTAGAAAGCGAGTCTTGTTGAGTATCAAGGAATAATGAAAGAAGTAATGCCTGGTGATGATTAAATATATCGCTGAAGCTATCAATTGATGACTATCAGCTTATATGTCTGCCTGAGACACTCGGCCACGTGTGAAGCAAACCCCAAGTAAATTTTTGCTCCTCTCCTTGTTTTACTTGCTAGCTTAAGCAGTTTAAAGTTTGTCTGTATCCACATAAGCACTTAAAATAGTATCAAAGTTGCTGACCTGCCCAGTTGTTTGGATTATGCATCTAAATTGTATGGTAAAATTGAATAAGCTCAGATTATTGCTTAATTCTCCAAAAACATGAAAATCGAGAGGGTGAACTTCTGTTTAGGGCTGAAGCTTTCAGCTTCACTACCTCAGCATTATTCCTGCCGTTCGTATCATATAATTAGTATCTCGGCTGAACAACAATAATAACCAGTCATATTACAGCGCATATTGTAGCCGGTAAGGATGCGACTAATGGAGTGCGATGTAGCGAGTGCTGATATAGAATGTTCCATCTATAAAAACTTAAGTACTATATATAGTATATGAAAACTATCCTGAAGTAAACTAGCAGCGAATGGATATATGGAATAAGCTTAGCTCTGATATTAAATAGCTGCAGTATTTGTAATAGACACCGAAAATTCTCATCTTCCGTTAGTGTACTGCTCACTTTAGACTTGGAATTAAGAAGGAAATGAGAGAAGACTTGATGTAAACGATTGACCCTTTTTATCAGTGCTCAGGCTTCGCCACTGGTCTTACTGTGGTCTTTCGTCCGCCCCCACCAGCCACAGCATATCACTTCACCATCTAGAGTCCGCTGTCCGCAATAATTATTTCAGGCAACCGGTTACCGAAGGAGAAACAGCCGCAAAAAAATCTTTAAAAAAAGACAATGAACAAATAAACAATTAGGTATTCGGTATGGCCGGCAATATCGAACAAGTGCCCATTTTCAACAAAACGGACAACTCGCTGCTGCTGGTTCATTTGACCGTGCTGGATCAAGACGTAATCTCCAATCTCACAAACATTTGCCAAAAGACACTGCAACATCCTGCACAAATCCAAATGTGGACTCCAGACAAATACCTACTTCAATCTGTTGCCAGACAATACCGCAGTCGAGACAGCGTGGCCAACTTGTACGCCGTCGCAATTTTACTATACCGAACCGGCAGATCGAGTTTCATCGTCGCGGATGATCTCACGAACCGTCAATTGACGGGAAATTGTCGGTTTGGAGAAGACAAATCTCTCTCGGTAGTAGAGGTGAAAGTAGAACCAAAGCTATTGATAACGGCGAATATAGAAGACGAAGTCTGGGTTCATGCCAGGCGTGTTGGCGTGCTTGAACCAAACCAGTTAAACGGTTTGATTAAATCTTGCTCTACAAAAGTAACATCAACACCTAGTTCCTCCAAGAGAGATGCTACTACATGGGGGTCTGGGACACTTCTACATGATCCCGACTGGCCACCATTTACTGCCGACCTTGCATCTTCTCTGGGACGAGTTGAGTATATGATTACAGTGACCACAGCTCTATCACAGCGTCGCCTTCCGCAGGAACTGATAAATGAGATTGTGTCTCTCGCAGACAGAGAAGCTCTGCCACCAGCCGATATGCGGCTGTGGAAGCAGCAGCAAGGAAAAGAACATATTCACATCTTCCTACTGTTTTTTTCAAATGAACAAGAAAGTGCCAGACTGCAGTCAACCCTAGAAAAAATTGCTACTGATAAACTGCAGCGAAGCGGTGGTGCGGAAGTGAAATTCAGCGTTGAACTGATACCCCAGGATCGCCATGGCATTCAAAGTCGTCGAGATCTGTTGTCATTCTGGAAAGACTATCGGGCTCAACAGCCGGAAAGTGAAATTGATGATATTCACCTCCAAGTTCTTCTTAGCCCTTTTGAAGAACATGAGGTTAGCTCTGCTCAGTTCGCAACTCTCTACGCGGACCGGGATGGGAATGCAATTATCCGCCGCGAGTCGTTTGGCACGCTTCTCAATAGGAATAGAACTAGTCCTCTGAAGGACCCTCGGGAAGTGAAGTTCTGCTCCCCTGAGAACGTTGAGAAACTTCGACAACCAAACAAGCCCTCCTATTTCCAACCACCTTTATGGGTACCAGTAAAAGAATCACTATCAGATGGCGAAATAATTGAATGGGCACCTGTATTCTACCTCACAAACAAGCTAAACTCCGATCAAGACAAGAACATTCGACAGGAACTTATTACAAAAAACGATATCGACGAGGAATTCGAGGTTCGAAAGGATTGCTGCTATGTACCATGGGAGAGACACCAAGATGGAACACCGCAGGACATTTGGGAGATTATCTGGGAGGTCTACCAGTACGACCTTCATCGGTCGGCCATTTGCTGCATCGACCAGCAGTCCGGTGAAGATAATACAGTTCTCCTCGTCAAAATGGACTATTATTTTGAAGATTTGGAGGAGACAAAGTATCCTAGGGATCTTTTGAAGGATTTACTGTATCCTGATATACGAGGATTCAAATATGTCCGAGTACCCGCGCGAGATGTGCATACGAGCCTGATCAATCTGGCTATAGCTAATATGGGAATTGAAGATATGGGGGACCAGGACTTGAAAAGCTTCCACAGACCTGGATGGCCTAATCTTAAAGCTCTCCTTCCTTATATTGAGGATGAAGACATTGAAGAGGATCTAGCAGAATCGTTATAGAGAAGTTATCTTGGTGTTTGATTATAGAGTAATTAGAATAAGTTCTACTTTATCTTCTCTGGTTCTTTCATGGATTTTGATTTGAAGAAAGAATTGTACTATTTATGGGCTGTTCCTGTGTAATTCCAGGTAATTTATAAATAATTGCATGAAAGTTAGCTTTACTATGCTCGTAAGGTCTGTAAGGTACTTTTTAAAAGTGATATTGTCATTATGAAATTATTTTTGTGGCATTGTATTTTGGCAAAATGATATAGCGTGTTTTAGCATCTGGATAAACATAAACTTCTTCGAATCTCAAGTTGTGTATCCCAAACATGGCTGTAGATCAAATAGTAGGTGAGACGGTGTTTCGATTGTTGGCACCCAAATTAAATATAACCCGGGCCGGTTTTAGCTTTAGTAGGCCAATTGTCTTTCTTTATTGCATCTCTAGTCAGATTGATAAGCATCAGATCACTTCCATGAGCACTGACAATTGTTCCAACTATGGGTTTATTGCCCTCTGCCGCCACTAATGCGGGAATTGAACGGCTTTTGACAAACTTTTAATTGTCAGACAATCTCCTCTAGTTAGGTGAGAGTGACTCACTTGGCACCACCACTTGTGGTAACTGTAAGGTAGGCGCGAAATAAACTTTGTAAATGCTCCTGTGATACTCGGAGCTCTACTGATTATCAGTAATACATTGGTAATAGCCAGTAAAATATACATTTCACATACTTGTTTTGGTCATCACGATTTTGGTTCTGTGGTTCCAAAAGGCATTATGATAATAGCATCCGGAGTGAGTTCATCCGTCGATATAAAAATATTTTTTTGAAAACCAACTTCGCCAAATAGACGGTCCATTTGCTCCTAGTTCCTGTTCTTCCTTCCTAATCTCTGCTCGTACTCGCCTATTCCAGGGTCAAGGCTTTATTTTGCGACGTTCAGAACTCAGTATCCACTTGTCATCTATTGCATGTAAGGTCCTACATAAACATCCTTGCCAAACTTCTCACGAAGATCCTAGCGGAAAGAGTCCAATTGGTGGTATGTTTCATTATTCAGCGGGCATATTCCGATCTAAAACTGTCTCAGAGGTCATTCGATCAATAATAGACCACTGGAATGCTAAATCAAGATACTCCTGAAGCGACTTCCCTCTATACTCTTCCCGGGGGGTGGGTTTCCAACATTTTTCAAGACTGATCTCCTCTCTTTTAACACCTAGAGAACGTTCAAGAATTTGTACCCATTCGTTGATCATTTCTTGGTGAGTGGGGTCTCTTTCAGGGAATAATTCTAATGGATAAATGATTTTCTTCGGATACTATTAAAGTCAGTAATGGTACTGCATTATTGCATAGAGATCCATAGTTTTCTTGAATCCCGCATATCAAGAGACATACTCTTGATATCATGCAATTCCCCAATATCACGGCTCAACATACTAGCAGTATCATATAACCTAGGGAACTTTTAATAAATATTTCCACAAAGTAAATGATAGGTACAGACTTGCAACTACTGACGATGCCGATTAACACAACGCCGAACGAAGTTCGGAGGGAGAAGAGCCCGTTCCATGCAGCAGGGCCACTTATCTTCCCTTGCCATTGAAGAGAAAAGAGAATGTAATTAATGCTAAATGTAAAAGAAAGTTTAAGAAGATATTCACTTAATGTCGGTCCCAATTGTGCAGAGGTGGCAGTTCTTTCGGCAGGCTCACAATCTGTGTATGATCTATTCATCATGGTATTCTTGATACCGTAAACGCTAATACTATCCTTCAAACTGATTCTCATGCCTGCTAAAGGTTTTTCTGGAGACTTCTTGTAATAAAGTGGTCTGGGAACGGCAACACATCCAGACATGCAATCCTCAGCTAGTACGTGAACCACAATGAATAATTTGCTGGTCGGGTCGAATACTTTCTGTGGGATAGTGCTAATAGTGAATGCACCAAGATTATCGGAGTAGAGACTCCGGGCGCTTTTAAGATACTGGGATTGGAGAAAATAAGGTCCTGAATGGAAGACGTTCTCTCGAGCAACTTTGTAGTTGATGACCGATATAAATTGCTTGCAAAGATCTAGTAGCTCAATTATATCTTCGCAATTAACTGTTTCAAGAGACTAGATGACAAGGAAGTCTTCCGAATAGACATCATCAAAAACACTTAAATCGGGAGATTTCTTGCGAAATTGATTTTGAATCGACCTTCCCATCAGGACTGGAGATCAAAACACCTGAACAGAGGGCAGCATCACGGACATTTACTTCTTGGATTGATGCCTGTGTATCCTAGTAGTGTCGTGATCAGAGCATGGGCCATAGATTTACCAAAGGCTCTGGATGAACAAGATACAAAGTACATCCAACTTTGACGACGGTCGATTCCATGATATCGATCTCAAGCATTCAAGAAGTTGATTTTACTACTGTGGTTTTCTAACGAGATCAATTGCTCGATTAGTAAATATGTATGAGTGTTAATTTAGCTTTCTTAGATGGTCAATCAGATTTTTATCCGCCGAAAGGATACATGGGATACATGGCCCTTTTCCCTTTCTTATTCGAAGGACGTCCGTACTATACTGCATGCAGAAATTGATGTTTCCGGCCTCTCGAAAGCTCCGGTGCCAGGACACGGATTCGTATTACCTATTAAAATTGATCAAGCACGTTGTACCAACAAATATATGTAGTATGTAGTCTTGAAATGAAGGGTGGGGACCGCGTAAATTGCTCCCATTGGTGTCCTTGGGCACAACTACAGCAATGACTGATGAGGGGTCAAGCAGGAACTTCTATAAAGCTATGAGTTTTTCCGTTCACTTGATTAAAATATTTATTTCTAATTAAATTCTTTAAATACTGTTCAGTTCGAAGAAAACTACTAGTTGACCATGTCCAAGGCAAAGCTGTTGGCCGCTCTGGAAAACAATACCGACGAACACATCTCCCTTCTACAAGAACTTATCCGTGCTCCTTCGCCAAATCCACCAGGGGATACTCGTGCAGCGGCAGACATTCTTCTGAAGTTTCTGCAAAAGAAAGGAATCGCCGCCAACATCGCTGCTTCTATCCCAACTGCACCTAATATTGTCAGCGAATTTACTGGTCAGAGATCTAGAAATACAGGGGAGGCTCGTCGTCTTATTCTCAATGGTCATATTGATGTTTTCCCTGCTGGTGATGAATCAGGCTGGACACGCAACCCATGGTCCGGGGATCTTGATGATTCTGGATCCATTTATGGCAGAGGGGGCGTGGACATGAAGGCTGGCACTGCAGCGTTGATCATCGCTTATACGTACCTCTTTGCCCATCGCCATCTTCTTCGAGGCAATGTCATTTTAAGTGCAGTTTCTGATGAAGAGACTGGAGGTCGACACGGAAGTAAATGGCTAATTGACAATGATCCGGATTATTGGCGCGGTACCTGCGTGTTGAATCCAGAGCCTACTTCCTTGAAGACGATTCGTTTTGGGGAGAAAGGCACGTTGCGATTAACTTTCACAGTACGTACACTAGGGGCACATGGAGCATACTTGCATCAAACAAAAGGTGCTATTCGGACAGCAATGCCCCTTATACAAGATCTTATTTCAACAGTGGAATCACTTCGTCCGAATCTTCCATCCTCACTAGCATCGTATCTTTCCCGGACTGATGTACGTGCAGCAATAGATGAGGCATGTGGACAAGGTGCGGCTGATATTATTTTGATTCCCACGGTGAATATTGGAACTATTCGAGGCGGGGTTAAAGTAAATATGATACCTACCGATTGTGTCTTCGAAACCGATATACGTCTTCCAATTGGCTTACCTAGCCCGACAGTGATTGACAAGATCAACGAAGTTCTAACACGCCATCCACATGCAACTCTCGCTGTTCAAGAAGCTGCTAGCAATCCATCGAACTATTGTGCACACGACCATGAAATGGTCCGCATTCTAGCTAAGAATGCGAAAGCTGTCGCGGGAGTTGATGACGAGCCTGTTGCAACGCTGTCACTTGGCGCCACGGACGGCAAGTTCTGGCGTTATATGGGAGTCCCCGTATATGAATATGGCGTATCACCTAAAGGAATGGGTGCACCAGATGAGAAAGTCAAAGTGGAGGAGTTTCTCGCTGTATTACGCACCCTGTTGTTATCAGCTTGGGATTATCTTGGTGGAGAGGAATAATGAATATTGAATACCAGAGCTATAAAATTCTGCAAATTTGAATAAGACGGTTTATAAAGACTTCTTACAATTTAATGCAGCAATTAGACACACATATGGGCCTCTATATAGATTTTCAGTGTTTTTCAGAATTATCTTGTCCCTTTGTTCACCTATACTACGAGGTAATATTGAGCCCATGTTAAAATGACGGGTCTAATTGAGAATAGTACTCTCATCATTGGAAAGAAATATATAACATCATTACTTTATCAATGTTAGATAAGCTGTATCACTGTGGGAGCGGGTTACGGTTTCACAGTAAACGAGATCTACCTAGATGGTAGGACGGAATGAATCAAACAGCTGAATATAGTAGGTCTACGCGGCTGTCTTGAAAGCTAGGCGAGTGTCATTACTAGTATATACTTCAATCAATCAAGCCCATAGGAAAAACGAAGTAGGTGGAATTACAATTTTAATAACAAAGATGCCGTCTAAAAATAACCACGGTTGCACAAAATAAGAGCACGTGGACTATGGCATAACCAGCTTTGAACGCTTTGCAGATATTTTTTATCCATACAAAGCATCTTGACGTCAGCTGTAAGTTTAAAAATACCCCCGAGCCTACCGCCTTACGCATGCCACACCTTGAAAATACCCATCTAAATTGCACCTCAGCGAATCATACTGATTGAATCAAACAACGTAGAGTGATTATACTAAGGTTTAAAATATAATTAAGAATGGAGTTTATATATAAAAATTAGATTACATCAATATAAGATATAGAGTCGTGACGTTCAGACATATGGAACTAACATGAATGGAGTAAACGTAGCCCTAATGGTAGGATGTTTAGACCAACGTCTCCCATCAACCACAGCGGTGTGAAAAGACAAAGGGGGCTTGGAACTTAACAAATAATTAGTAGAAAATCTACTTCGAGTTTCAGCCCTATACTCAAGGTTAAATTGTGTAACAATATACATATGTAGGAGAAACTCTTTCCTTTGAACAGAAGACAAAGAAAGAGGCTCTAGTCAACGGCTTCAAATAGGCAGTTACAGATTTACTACTGTACCAGGCTTCCGTCTTTTGGACTTAAAATAGACAATAAACCGGCATGTGATCTATCTACTTGTTTATAACTAGTTGTAATACCTAATATATAATGTGCTGTTCACTGACCCATAACGCGAGTCATATCAAGCCAGAAATTTAGGCCAGCGATGTATGATTACAACATATTATCAACCATAACGAAAGCATAACAAAAATCTTCAGTCTGACTAGAGGATATTAAGTGTTTTTACTGAACAGATAATTTCATCATGAATCTCGGGTTACTTCTACTACTACTAGCCACCACGGCATTTTCATCCCCTTTATCGGCGTCTACCATACAAAAGGCCTCTCAAACTACCACAAGTCATACTGTTGTTGAGACTGAAAAATTAACGGATGGAATAAGGAGGGACAACCCGGCACAATCCACCGCAGCGACTTCTATAACCAGCCCACCTTTGGAACGATGCGATCCGACCAACTGCGGCACGCTATGCACTTCAAAGAGTGCACAACCTTCAGGTGATGGAGTAATGGCGGTAGCACCTATATCTGTGGGCGGTACCTCGATACCAACTGTCCAAAGCCCTATTGACACGATTTTCAGTGTCACCGCGAGCTCTATAGTCATCTCTCCAACATCGACTGTGCCTCTTCCCGCCCTCAATCAGCGGAGTATGCCCCATTACCTGGTGATTCCTGATAATAGAACATTGTTCAACAATTCCCTGATGATCCCCGATAATAAAACACTGCTCGACAATACTTTGATGAAACGCACATTTCCAGACGTGCCCCTGATTGGTCTATACCTCAAAGAACTTGAACCCGCATTCCTCCCGCTTAATGCACGTACGTCAGATGGGAAGTTTTATCCGTTTCCAGCCAGAGATCACAGTAGTGTGGGTGTGCAAGGTTTATATGGATGTACCTCTGTGATCATTATATCTCAGATAGGGGCATATGTATCTCATATCTGGGAAGACCCGGTCTTTGGCCATAATGAAGGATCTAAATGGATTGATTCTCCCGACAAGGACTTCTGGACGAATAGCTTTAGAGAACTCTATGAGGGTGGGACTTGGGCAAAGAGTGTGCGAGGCCTAATTGGAACCGATCAAAAAAAAGGGCCACTCCATCCTGACCGTCAACCCGTCATCTTCGTTGTCACTCCCTATGTCATTGATATTGATCCAAAAACGGGGGATGTGATAAAGCGTATCAATTTTGAAAAACGTGCTGCGCAACTTGCTGAGGCATTTTCGAATGTAGTCCAAAAAAAGGATAAAAAGAGGCGCTATATTATAGGATATGACCGCCTCACTAAAAATGAGGTTGAGGCGAATATAATGGGAGATGAGGGCAAAGTCGTTGTAGAGGTTGACCCTACAAATAGCATTAAGGAAATTAATGATGGGACTCTCCGTTACCTTGGAAAATGGCGGATCTTTGTGCAGGATAGGGAAATTGACGGTGTCCAATTTTATAACGTGCGAGCATCTCCCACCCCTACCCCTACCCCTATCCCTACCCCGGCTCCAAATCCTGACCCGGATGAACCAGACTGCGGTGAATAGTAGTAATGTGACATGATATGGCAGTGGCAGTGCTACTATCTATGACGGTAATGGTGCCTAAAGTAGTTTGGGTTATCCTCCACACGTCTAGATACAATGAATTCATTTTAGAACTGGTCTCTTACCGACCACACAGATTATACATAAGTTGATTTGTAACATTTCCGCCAAATCCAGGAGACATGATTCAAATGTTCACCCGAAGCAGTATTATACTTCTAATGTTCTCGTGCTTTGTTACTACGGTAGCAGGTGTTTCCTGGAAACGTGGACTCAAAACTTTTCATCCCTGTATTATTTAGTCGAGAAATGTTTTGGCTATGCAAGCTACAGCATATTCTGTATGAACAAAGGAAAAACCGTGGATTGGCTAGATTAACATGAAGTGGTCGATCCCTAGATGATTGTCGCGATGATGTGAAGCTGCCAGAGTGTGACGTTCTTCTTTTTCTAACTTGCCCTTACGTATTGTCCTCAAATTTCTGACATAATGAGCGGAGATTCAGTCATCGAAATTAAGCGCCTTTTGCCTCTTTATCGACAGTTTTCATTTTCATTGAAGGATTTTTTGAATCCCTCGGACAGGTGACTGACTTCCAAGACTGCCAGGATACTAACCGCCATGTTGTGACGCCCATAATCACAATCGTAAGTGGTATTATCACAGCCCAGTAGAGATTTAAGTACCGACCAGGTATGTTACGAGTATCGGCTGCGTCCCAATCGAGAATTGGCATCAAGAGAAAGGTCTTAACGTCTATGTATTAGTCCTCTTAACTCAAACTACCCAGCCTCCCATACATTCTTACGGAAACTTACGCTGACAAAGTTCCAGGGAGGAAGATCGTGGCACCTGATTGCATATTATTGGCATGTTTTGCGAAATGAAAATTAATGCAAGTATCAAGCGATGTGGATGTTGACCCTTCAGCAACTTGATGTCTTCTATAAGACTCCGGCAGGTATCCTCATTATTGCATATGTTACGTTAGTAACTGAGTTCCATCACATTGTAAGTTCTAGAGCCCCGTGAGACCCATACGATGCTCGGAAAATGAAACCTAATTTTGCTGAACCGCCTATGGAATTTCTGGTAAATGTACTAAAGTAAATCTGTATTTCTCGGTCTAGAGAATATTGCACAAACCAAATCATCCTGAACAACAGGAAGGTAGACAGCTGGAATAGCAATTTGAGACGATAGTATTGTAAAGGTATTCCTCGAAAATGGTACAACTAGCCAACGCTCGTCATCTTCATGGTCAGTTTGCCAGACACTATTCACTTATTAATATACGCCAGATCAAAGTTTAGGGTATGAAACATACATTAGTCTAAGTACTCCGGCAGTTTCATCGCTTATCAGTATCCCATCATGCTGTATATTAATCTCACTTGCTTGTTTGGTATTACTCACCTTATGGATCCATGGAATGAGAGTATCATCAGTCTATTGAGTACTCAGTACTCGGATTTTTCCATCCTATGCCACTTATTTTCAGTCTTACTTTCAATATAAGTTCACTTTTTTGGTTTGTTTTTTGTTCCATTTCTCACCTCTCTATAAAGTATTTCGCGTACAAAAAGTTTTTTCCGTGGCCGAAAGATTTCATCTTTATTCAACCAGATTTTTTTCTCTAGATTCCAGGCAAAGCATTGTGTTCTCTGAACTGTCGTCATAAGTTACATTTTAAAATTTTCCCATGACTTAAGATACTAGATCTCAGGAAAAAGCCCTTTTTATATGTTAGTACACGTCATTCACTCAGTCTCATTACACCGTATGATAACTTGGTATGCCTTGGGTGACTAGAAAACGAATCTATCATCCGTGGGTAGAGTATTGCCGTTGATCCGACCCTACTCAGTGATGTATGTTTTATGTTACACAAGGTGCCCAAAGGTAGTAAGTACAAAGGCAGTGCAGATGTAAGGCGCCTAACGAGGCATGATTAGGCCAAACGACCAATGCTTATAGGCTAGCTCACCGACACTGCCTACCTTTATCATTTATGTTAAAAGATGAGATGTGACTAGATACTTTAGTTCAAATCAACAAGATCAAAGTTCAAACTCACGGTCACTAAACAAATAACGTTGCGAGGCTGGGTAGATGCACACATATAGGAATTCGAGAGACCAAGACAATTTCTTAAATTCACACCTAATACAGTATATCATATCAATACCTACTACTGAGTTATAGTTAACATCACATATTTACAGAAAAACTGACTTTTAAATACTTGGTATTATACAATATATATCAACAAGACACATCAGCTCTGCGGAAACACTTAACTAGCTGGGCCGAGCAAGAGCGCCTTAGCAGTGGGAGAGAATCAATCATCGAGGGAAGGATTCATCTCTTTGTTTCTCAGAGAATTTATAAGGCAACGAATGAATGTTGGTATCATCATAAACTGCCAAACTCCAGTCCAGACCGAATGCAAGCCTCTAAACTCATCTCGAGATTAACACTCAGAGAAAAAGCTGAAGCAGTCCTCAATCGATATCAGGCCAAGAGTGCGTTTTTCTCTCAAGTATTCATCAACTTCCTTGCCCATCAATATTCTGCCCCTCAGGGACGTTCTGGATCTTGCGGTATTCCTGTTCCAGCCGCTTTTGCATCTCAAAATCAGCTTGTCGTTCTCGCTTAATGCGTTGCTTTTCTTCGTCGCGTTCGACACCAGCATGCATCGCCTATAATGAGATATAGAATGTCAGCTAGTATTTATGGTTTGTCTAGTAATGAGTAAAGTAGCCTACCGCCTTGTCTGCTTCTTGGGACCAGTGCACAAAGTAGATCATTCCGGCTGTGAAGATTGAGGTAGCGGCGAGCGTTGTCTTGGACGCACGAGACATGGTGGGATTATCTTGTATAGTAAATTTTCATTAAAATAAAGAATGCATATTAACACAATTGATACAATCCACAGGCTGTAGAAAGACAGGAATTGAAGTCCAAAGTTATTAAATAATAGTTGTGGCCGATGGATAAGCCTGGGCGGTCTGGAACGGCAAAAGGGCGACGGACGCAGCGACCCACCAACAGGTGCTATCAGCTCGACTCCGCGCTGTACTGTTCTCCAATCTTGACTTCTCTGGCCACGGTCTCTCGATAGTCGACAGGGATCTACTTTTTCTTCATCATGGTGAGCCCGACCTAACTTATATATGTTATGCATTGCTAATCAGAAACAGTCCGCCCAAAACTCCGCGGGTATTCAGACTCTACTGGACGTAAGTTGGCCGCACGACGCCGCCTCACGGGATCGACATGCATGAGGCAAGTGCTAATGAAGCGGACAGGCTGAGCGAGAAGCTCAGAAGATTGTTCAACAAGGTGAGATCTATATGCGATAAGCTGTATGTGGGATGGATATTTGCTAACTTGTCTTTCAGCTAGAGAATGTACGTTGTGGACGTCCCGCTCACCAAGTCCCCGCGCAAGCTGACTTTACCAGACCGCACAAAGCGAGTAAAGGAAGCGCGGACAGAAGCACAGCGCGAGATCGATGACTACAGGAAACAGAAAGAGGACGAATTCAAGAAGTTTGAGGCCGAGGTAGGAATCAACTTTCCATCATGACCGCGGTATACATTTATATTGACTGTCGGCTATTTAGCATTCGAGCGGCAACAAGAAAGCCGAAGAGGAGGCAAACAAGGACGCAGAGGCACAGCTGGTCGACATCAAGAGCGCTGGCAAGAAATCAGGCGACAAGGTGGTGAAGGATCTTATCAGTGCCGTGGTTGATGTCAAGCCTGAGGTTCCAGAGAAGATCGCGGCTTAGAAGTTGGCAGGATATCGTCGCTGTATATTTCCTTATGATCGAGTTCGGGCTGGTCTTGGCCTTTTGAAACGGAGTTCCGTCGTTATATTCTATATTATGCATTTGCATCGCATGAATCGATGATGCCTTTATCTGACTGAATATGCAAATTGGTAGAAGACTTCTATGGTAAACCGGATTTTGAACAGACGCCGTTGTCAATAGCGTAGCCGTATACAAAGGAAACCGCATGTATAAGCACTTCCCCGCATTATGCTCTAATATAAGTTCCGCATACCAGTCAATTTGTAGTGTATATATATACGGACGCGGCTAACTAGCGCTCCACTCAACGCTGTGGACCTCAACCTCAACCTGATCAGATTGAAAATAACACTGCATCCATGTATTATTCACTGCTATGAGGCTGACTACTCTGAACAGCTCGGTCGCTGTCTGCACACCCAGAATCCATGTTGTCCCTGTCAGTGCGCGAAGAAGTTTCTCAACCTCGCGGACACGTCCTAGCCAGGAGCGCGGGCATGCTTCAGACCCACGCTTTTCAAAACTAGGCAACCTAATTGAAGACAATTTCGCAGATATCCGAGAAAATTACCGTAAGTGATTCGCGCTCTCAGAATATTGATTCTGCAATGGCTTAAAAAAAAAATAGAAACACCTAAGAATACCATTGTCCTCGCGCATGGTCTTCTAGGCTTCGACGAGATCCGGCTTGCGGGGTCCTTTTTCCCGCCTATACAGTATTGGCATGGCATCAAAGATGCCTTGTCGATGAAGGGTATCAAGGTGATTACCGCGACGGTGCCGCCTTACGGTTCTATTGAGAGCAGAGCGCATGGGCTATCAAAATACATTGCTGCAGAAGCAAAGGGGCACGATGTCAATATCATCGCGTAAGTATTGTCTCTAGAATTTCGTTCGTGTCAAATAATAACATGAAGGCCTGCAGACATAGCATGGTAAGCTTTTCAGTATATCGGCACAAGAGAGAGCTTACTAATATCTACATATAGGGGTAGGTTATCAATTCAAAACTAGGTTTATGCTCTAGATTATTCACGTCTGCGAACCAGGGGACTTGATTCCCGATACATGATTAGCAAGCTGAGGCCAACTGAGTTCACGGTTCGGTCGCTTACTACAATTGCGACGCCTCATCGAGGTACGACCCGTAAATCATGTCTATCTGATGACAAAAATGACTGAGATTGAAAAATAGGCTCGGTGATTGCCGACCACTTTATGAAACACGTTGACACCAATGGTTTGTGGAACAGCAGCTCTAGGGGTGGGTTTATGAACTTTATTCTAATTTATATCAACAGTTGCTCGGCTACGAAGATTATCAAAGTCAATTGACCGAATCCAATTCGACGCAAAAGCATTCAGTCAACTGACGCGCAAATACCTTCAAGAGGAGTTCAATCCTAACGTGCTAGATGTGGAGGATGTGCGGTACGCTCTTACTATCACAAGAAAAATACTCAGAAAAGCTGATTCTTCTAGGTACTTCTCCTACGGTGCAATGTTCCAGCCAGGGCTGTTCAATATTTTCCGCCCATTTCATCAACTACTGGAAGAGGTTGAAGGGCCTAATGACGGCCTTGTAAGTGTTGCTAGCAGTAAATGGGGCGGCGAGGCAAGCTACAAAGGCACATTGGTTGGTGTAAGTCATATGGATTTAATCAATTGGACTAATCGGATAGAGTGGCTGGTGGGAGAACTAACTGGCAAGAAAAGGAGGTGAGTGCCCTTTAATCAATGCCGTTGGTATCAGGTTGATGCATTAACGGATTGGGATAGGTTCAATGCCATCGCATTTTACTTGGATATTGCAGGTACAGTCTCAATCAATACCCTCCGTTACGTATAAATTAACGCCGTCTTTGCTTTTTAGACATGCTGGCGAAAGAAGGGATGTAGCATAGTGAAGCTGGAGAAGTGATATATGTATGAGTATCTATAAATATCTGAGATGTAAATATCTACCAATCCAGTACGTCGACACCCGACGCTTTAGCTATCAAAAGCAATATGATGCAGCTAGTCTAGGGCCATGCTTTCAAATATTGCCATTTGAACCATGTATACTGATCGGCTGAGACTACATTGAAGGCAGCAATATTCTGCTGGGCAGTGCGAGAGATTCCCAGGCAGCCGTATTATCTATACCCAAGTCTCAAGCTGAAACTAGACTCGGGTCTGCACAGCCAAGTTGGCCATGATGAAATCATAGCTAGTCCTATATCGTATATCGTCGCAGTGTGATTAATGTGATTGATGTGATGTGATTATTTATCTTGAATAAATTAAAGCGTTCGCCCGGGAATCTCGGGGTTTGTCTGCTCTGGGCCCCGCATCAGCCTTGCTTTCTTGAGCGAAAATTCCCAACGTCATTGCAGATTCCGGTCTCCGCTCTTAAACGACGTACGACCTTGTGCACAAATCTGTTTCAATTGTCGAGAACTCGTTCAACTTTACTTCGCATTCGCTTTTCTCATAAATGTGTGCGTCTCGAACGCCGTCGACCACGCCTTTTGTCGTCGCGTCTTCCCGTCGATCTCTCGCCCCGCAATGTCTTCTGCCGTGATCCAGCTAGACAAGCCTCACAGCCATTTCACCAATCTAGACTATATAACCGGACGCGTTGTGCTGCAGCTCTCGTCTGATACCTCAATTAGCGCTATCCATGTGAAACTCGAAGGGGAGAGCCGCACGCGACTCGCGCGTCCCCGAGATGACCGAGACCGGGAGAAGAGGAAGAACGAGCTAGAAGTTCATAAAGTAAGGATGCAAATAACTCAGGAAGAGGTCCCTGATAGAGGCTATTCTAACATCTCGCCTTTGAGATTCTGTATAAAGTAAACTCGGTCTTTCCGAGTCCGGATATCGCCCAGCATAGCTCGCCAAATGCCGCTTTCACATTCGCGCCTGGCGTGTACCAGTATCCGTTTCAATTCAAAGTAAGCTGGTAGATTCGGGCTCCTTCCAGTAAATACGGTGTTAATTTGTCAAAAGTTTCCGTTCAACAACGCCTGCAGTGATCATAATTCCATGATGACGAACATCAGCATGATCGGTTTGCGGGTTGAAATGGCGCGAGACTCCTTCATCCATGTCAAGAAAACATTACCTCCATCACTGAATACATTTCCCGGCGAAGCAGAGATCAAGTACTATGTCAAGGTGACTGTAGTTCGTCCGCAGTTCTTCAAAGAAAATATTCGATCGGTAGGCCCAAACTTCACCCAGAGTCGCAAGCGGAGAAGGTTGGTGAAGCAAATATAACTAACATGCACCAGATTGCAGGCTTCAATTTCCTCCCAATAGAACCCCCAAGGGATGGAAACCCCAACGAGGAAACATATGCTAGACGACAGCAGGAATTCGCGAGAAACCGTCCACCAATGAATCCAAAGACGAGCGGAGGTCTCTTTCGTAAGAAATCAACACCCATTATGGCACCGATTTCTACAGAACCACCGCGACGCGTCTCAGTCGATGCTCGCTTGCCAAATCCTGCAATTCTCACGTGTAATCAACCTATTCCATTACGGCTACTCGTCACGAAACAGTCTCCTAGCACAGAAACTATCTATTTGCAGTTACTGCAAATCGAATTGATAAGCTACACTCATATTCGAGCTCATGACCTCGCTAGGACGGAGCCTCTTAGTACATTGATACTGAGTCGTAGTAACATGAACATGGCTATTGGACGAGGTACGGATCCAGTTGGTAAAGAGTGGAAAATCGATTCTAGCATGTGGGAGCGGCTTCCTCTCCCAAGCAACATCGCTCCGACTTTCGAAACGTGCAATATTAGTAGAGCGTACGAGCTAGAGGTACGAGTGGGCTTGGCGTATGGTGCTGGAGGCAGTATGCTGGTAAGAGACTGAAAAATCCCTATTACAAAACTATCGTTAATAAAATTATACAGTCTCAAGTCCTTGTTATTCCTCTACGGTTAGCTGTCAAGGTTTATTCTGGAATTCGCCCACCAGCTGCTCTTCTCGAGGCTATGGCCGCAGACAAAAAGGTCAAAAACAGCCGCCCTCAGCGTCCTCCCGTCGCCGAAAACGACATTCCTCCGCCACAGCCTCCCCGTCCGCAGACTACGCCAGGTGCCGCTCCGGCATTTGACGAAACTGGTGAAGAGGCACCTCCCAGCTACGAAGACGCCATGGCCGAGCATATTGATCCAATTGACGGCCCACGGGGTGAATATCAAACCCCAGCACCATCGCAGGAAACAAGCCTCCAAAGCAATGTTGGTGATATCAAGACCCCAGTCGACTCTAAACGCGCTCAAGACGACGTATACCCCGCTAGTTCGCTATCTCGCAGTTCCTCCGAGTCTATAGACATGTTACCTCAGACGCCCCGCTCACGACGCGGATCAATCGCAGATAGTCTTATGTGGGAAGACGCGGTCAAGTCCACGACTGTCGGCAAGCCGCAGCAGCAAAACACCATCCCTGAAGAAACCCATCAGCAAGCGCAGGAAGACATCCAGGGGTTTCCCATCCCATCGGCGTCCACAACAGCGCCGCGACCAGCGCGTACATTCAGTACCGGCGTGCCCAATAGACGGCCTGTCCCGGGGACTTCCCAGAAAGATCCATCGTAACCTTGGCTGGATTGATTTACCTCCTTTATATACCCCTATATTTTAGTCTTAGAGCATAGTGCATAGGCGCGAAGAGCAAGCATGGTACGGAGTTAACCGGAGGTTGCTTTATCACTCGCACCTTTTCTGAAGATAGGGCGTTTGATATGGGTATATAAGAGCTTGCCCCAAATACTATTCAATAATACCGTAATGACACTAGCACAACAATAACAATGTCCGTAGAAATGCATCTTGCGTCTGTATAGAATTGATTACCCACCCGTCACGCTAGCCAATCAGGCTACCGGGTTGTCAGGCTACAAGCTAGCGGCCCGAGCTAATCAGTTGATCCCTGATCTTTTCAATGTTTCCATTCTTGACCGCAACGCAAGCAACTACCCGCTTCTCCAATATTGGCGCATATCATTAAACCTATTCATTACATTAAAAAAAAATCGCCGGAACAAGAACTGTGGTAATACACCACATAAATAGGGGCTGTACTGCTGCAAAGCGGTGCTACCCGTGCCCGACGCGCTGCCTCGATAGCCGCCGAACCTCAAACCAACTCACGCGACCTCCTGATAATCGCAACTAACCGATCCTTCTGCGTTTTCTACTCCATGGCATGTGCACGGCAACGAAATCTTCTTTATACTTCTTAATAGTCAATGCAAGACCTGCAGCATGCGCTTGCGACTTGTGATTATCCGCCACGGCCTGCCGGCGGCTCGTATCCTGTGGACTGTTCCTCTCGGGCAGGGCTCACACCCTGTATCCTCATCTGAGCTCACGTCAAATATAACGCCGAATGCTGCATACGGACAAGGCACCTGCACGATTGCGCAGTTACTGGAGGATGTGAATGAAGTTGTGCCACTCGAGACTGCGGCGGGTGAGCTGGGGGAAAACGACGAGTTTGGTGGTCAGTGGGGACTGGAGGATTATGTCGTTGAAGTGAATCACTTTGAGTGCCTTCATTTTATGGATATTGGCGGACTGCTGCGGGATGGTGATGAAGTTGTGTGAGTGAAAATCTGACCGATACTATTCGGATGATGAGCTGAGCTGATTGGTTATAGGATTCGTGCTCTGGGGCTGTCTGATTTACGTGCTAGGAGACTTTCCGGTCGAGTTCAGATATCGTCGGATGGCAGGCGATTGATTGATGGAGTCTCATTCGGTAGACCATTCTTGAAACGATCCTTCTCGTCTAGACCACCAATCAGAATTCCTCCTAGGAAGCGTAGGAGGACTACTTTCGCAGGCTGGGCTGGAAATGCGCAACAGGATGATTATGATGAAGAAGTTGATACAACACAAGGTGTAATTGGCAACGAGTTGACAGTATACGAAGATGTCTCCGAACAGGGAACCGTTATCAGACACTCGCCGAAGCTGTACGATGATGCCAACGACTCTGAGAATGACGACGACTCTTCTTCCAGCGTAGACTACAGTGAAGACGAGGATCTAGCTGAGGAATTAAAAGTCTTGAGAGATGAAGCAGACGAAAATTCGCCCCCTGACCAAATTGACACTGAAAGTCCTCGTATGACTCGCAGTTCTGGCCGTGTTTCTAGGATGACGTATCGACTCCCCATTCCAACAAGCAGTCCTGAACGTCCATCGGAAGCCACGCCATCCCGTTTCACTAACAGTACTGCCGGAGTGGAACCTTCGCCAAAATCAACAAAAAGCGTACGTTTTGGATTAGTGAATATAAAAGATTCCGCCCGCACGGATGATTTGCTTCCCCCGGATAGTGAAGACGAGTCATATGAGTCAGATGATGAGTCGGTAGCAGAGTCCTCCTCCTCAGAAACGAGCAATGTGGACAGCTCTGTTGAGAACACTCAGGACGACGCATTAAGCAACATGGAGGCAGACTCTAGTGACTCTAGTACCAGCGACGAGTCTTCAGTCTCCGAAGAGACTGATTCGGAATCGGAGTCGGAGTCTGACAGCCCCTCATTGATGGAAGAGCCCGAGCAAACGGTGGTGTACACTGCGCCAGGCAGGGGCTCCACCAAGACCAAGAACAGCAATCGGCGAAAGAAGCTTCGAACGAGATTAAAAAAGCTAAAGGAACTCGGCCACTTACCTGCAGAGGCTAATTTCGAAGACTTGCAGAAATGGGAGCTTGATCATGGCAAAATACCACTCATGGAGGTAACAGATCTGGAGAAACCACGCAGCTCTCAGGCTCGGCAGGAGCAGTCCGAGTTTGAAAAAAGAAGACAGCAGTTACTTCGAGATCTTGCATCGGGTGGGATCGATGTGGATGCTCATTCGGAGAAAGAAAATATTCCGCCGAAATCTAAGAATGGGAGAGATTCTACCACCAACACACCAAAGCAGGTGGAAGCGGGAGGGCCAGCTGATAAGTCTGTGGAAATGGTTGATGCGTCTATTGTTGACGAGGGGGACGAAGAGGGCGAACCTAGTCCTTCATCAAACAAGAGGCGAAAACTTGATATCTCCAGTACAAAGCGTCTTCTTTTTGGTTCTCTAGGTGTGCGAACTCCCAAAACTAAGGAAGATGAGGAAAGAACCCGTAACAAGCTGGCAGGGCCAAGGAAGGAAATCCAGGAATCTAATGGCAAGAAACCAACCGTCCTAGAAGAGGGGATTGAAAGCGACCACGAGGACAATTGGCAGTCGAAAGTGATTTTGGCAGCAACTGAGTGCATCTTTAATGATGTCGAACTTATACCTCCTCCATTCCCTTTCCAGCAGCGCTGGGATGCCGATGCGGTCTCCACCATTCGTCAGCTCAAAGGTTCGAAAAACAAACGGAGCAAGAAAAAGAGGAAATCGCAGGATTATCATGAAGAAGAGTATTATGAGGAGTACTATGACGATGCAGGATATTTGGGCGATGCTACTGAGGACTATGCGAATGGTGATATTACTCTGAATTACGACGACGAGCCATCAACCTTACACGAGCATACTATGGAGACGTACACCAATGGAGAAGATGTGGGCGATCTGCCTCAGCTTCCAGAAGACCTGAATTCCGTGCCAAACCTGTCCCAGGGCGAAGCTGTGGCCGGTGCCATCATAGCTTTCATGCAGTTAGATATGTCTAAGGCCACGAACTGGCAGCCTCGGGTATCTGGATATCGAGTGGGTAGGATTGACTTTGTGCTAGGAGACGGCAGTTTGAGTATTCAACTCGCGAAGCGAGACCGAGAAAAGCGAGAGACGGTTATCGACGAGGATGGCGTCCGCGAATATTCTGGGTTTGAAATGCCTGACGATGAGGAAGAACAAGCAGTCGAGGACGATGGTTTCCGCAGCTTATCTTTTGATGAGTTGCTCGAACCGAAACTTCTCCAACCGGCGAATCAGGAAAAGGCGGCCTCTGTTGTCGATGGAAGTCAGGAACCTAGTCTGTCAGTTGGCAAATTTCCTTTCTCCTCGTCTTCTTTGTGAGGACGTCTAAATGCAGCTACCCTTGCTTTCCATCTCACAAACAATGTAATATCTTGTTAAACTTACAATATCAAAATGTTAATAGACATAATGCCACAAATTTCGGACGCAGTAATGCATCTGCAGACGATTCCTTCCATTCTGTAGAAGCTGAGCTGCCTACCGTCTCGTCTCAAGCTCGTCTCGAGATTTCGCAGATCATTCGCGACGCCGGGTTTCGGTCAACAATCGATTCAGATGTCTGTATTCCCGTGCTGGAAAATGGCGTGGTTGATGAAGTAGGGGAACAGTATGAGGGAAGCCTTGTTGTGCAATCTTCGCCGTCTATAACGTCTTCTTCGAGTTCGTCTGAAGAGGCAGATGGAGAGCAAGGCTCTAGTTTAATTGCCAGTGAGGTTGAGAACGAAAACGACGATAATAGCCATGAAAGCCACCCAAGTTCTAGCAAAGATGGTCCATCTGACTTTGATCAAGCAGCTACGGGCTCTGATACCAACCAAGAGCCACAGGCTCAAACCGACGATAATATACTTCGCATTGACCGTAGCGATCTACTCCAGAAGTCATTTGCCGGGACTCCAACTTCTTATCAAGTCCCAGTCAAGACACAAGAGAATACCCCTTGCTACCCACAATTCCCGCACATGTCTTCACAGCCCGGTGACAATGATGAAAGTAATAGGGATGTAGAATCTGGCCACGACAACACAGAAAATCTACCAAACGAAACGGAGAACATCAACTCGGAGCTAGAAACTGCTTTGGACCTCGCAGGTGATGACTCGCTATTTCAATATGACTCTCCACCTCGACCTGCATCTCGTAGCGGGAGCGAGGCTAGTGGAATGTCACGCTCGAGCTCGATGGTTCCTCACCCATTCTACGAGGCGGATCGAGCAACCAGACTAGCCAGAAAGGAGGCAGACGGAACTCAAGAAACTCTTGGTAGTGGATTTGAATTTTCCATTGCCCCTGATAATGAGCGTGCTGCTAGTCTTGTGCTGGACACAGCGGGAGAAACGCAGGGTACGGCTACTCTCAGGCCGGATGACTTTTTGTTTCAGGATGTGCAAGATCTTGATGATGTCGAGCTGCCCAGTTTCGAAACGCTGTGGGCTTCTACGGCGCCACCTCGGCCGGTGGGGAGTGGCGAGTCACGGATACAAAAGATAAAGAAGACTCGACGTGCGCTCTCTTCTCCTCGCCAGTTATCAAGTTCACCTACTTTCGAGACTCAGCGGGAGAATCGGATCAGGAATACAAACCAACCACAACAAACCCCCACCCCGTCTGCCCCTCAAACTCCCAAAGCAGTCATAAATGATGATGGCGATGCGACTAGCTTCCCTGCTTTCGACTCGATAGAACCCGAAAGACCAACAACAACAATAGTCAACGACGACACTAATAACGATAACAATCAGAATGATTCTGTGATTGACTTGACCGTCTCCAGCCCTCGTGTATCCCCCGGTGGCAGCGACGAAGACTACGCTAAATCACAAGGTCTGCCCAAAGGGCCCGGCTGGGTGAAGAAGAACATTCCTGCTACTCAACGACGCACGCGGTCGTCGACAGGGGGTGTTGCGCTGAGTTCAAGTCCGCCAACGACGCGCAGACGAGGGAGGCGCAGTTGATTATACTCTACTTGCGATATTTGAATATATTCTTGTTATTTATTTAGCCTTTTCCTTCATGCACATTCGACAAGATACCCTCGCTGCAGCAATCATGAGCGTTGATGTTTGCTTTGTTATTTCCTATTATTGTTAATTGACTATATATATTCTTTATAATATTGTATCATCTGTTATAAAAGTAAAGATGAATTGTAAATACTTAAGATGGTGTATGTAAGACGCGCGGTATTATTAAACCCCGCTCTGTGATTGGCCCGCGCAGCTATCGGCGATAACATCCAATCTCAAAAAGATCATCAAGACGTCATTGGAGACCACTAGTAGCAACACAAGAAGATAACAAAACAAACAAAACTTGGAATAACGTGTAGGAGAAGACAGTATAATTAGTTTGTCATATTTCAGATTCAGTATCTTTTAATAATTTATCTAGATCAATCTGTGTATCGAGCCAATTGGATCCACATTCCTCTTCGACGTCTGGGCTCATCAAATAACAACAAAGCGTCATCTAACAATACCAAACCATAAACCAGCTACATTGAAACCAGTCCATGCTGGCCAGACCATTAAAAACAGAGAAGAAGAAGAGAAGGGGCAGATACAACAATGCAGCGGTCCATCAGCCTGGCTCGTTGCGCAGCACCGCCATTGCATGCTGTACCCCGCCCGCTGCTTAAACCTATTAATAACCATCCACCCACGCATATTCCTCCTCATCGTCATCGTCATCCTCTTGCTACTCTTTCCTCCACCCTATCTGCATTACATAAAAGCTCACCCCCTCGCTGCTGTAGCTGTAACCCGCATTGTTGCGCGTCTGGTAAAGGTACCTGCAGCTGCTGTCATCAATCCACCGCAATCTCGTCATCGCAACCCCGCAATTCCTATTCTTCTTCCAGCACCACAAACCCATTCATCATCAACAGACGCTTCTTATCCTCTTCATCCTCACTATCCAGAAATAAAAGCCTCATCATGGCCACAGAATACAAACTCAAGGACATCACATCCTTCAAATCCATTCCAAACTTTGAAAAACTCGAGTCTGAAGTCGACGGGATCGAAAATGGGAAGGTCCTGCTTGTGCGAATCGACGACAAGGTCCATGCCATCAGTCCCAAATGTACGCATTACGGAGCGCCGCTGAAATTGGGTGTTGTTGCGCCGGATGGACGGATAACGTGTCCGTGGCATGGAGGTAATCTCGTTCTTTCATACTTTTGCTGCTGGTATTGATATTGATCTTTGTAGCTTGCTTTGCTGTCTCGACTGGTGAGATTGAGGATGCTCCGGCGCCGAATCATTTAAACACATTCGAAGTCTACGAGAGAGATGGCGCGGTGTATATCAAGGGTGAAGAGAAAGCCATCAAGGCCGGACAGCGAGATCCCAATCTCTCATGTAGCTCATCATCTCAGGAAAAAGTCGTCGTGATTGGAGGGTACGTGCTATACCTATACCCCAAAGATCTTCTCATCTAACTCGAGTATTAGTGGAAGCGGCAGCCTGGGCACCGTGCAAACACTGCGAGAACTCAAATTCAAAGGCAGCATTACTCTCCTCACCAAAGAATCCAACCTGATTATCGATCGCACCAAACTCTCTAAGGCATTGATCGCCGATGCCAGTAAGATCGAGATCCGCCCCGCAGAATGGTATCAAAACGCTGGCATCGAAGTAGTCCACGACGAAGCCACGGCCGTTGATTTCAACTCGAAGACTGTCTCAACAAAATCCGGCAAGTCATACCCATACACAAACCTCGTCCTGGCTACAGGTGGCATTCCGCGCGTTTTGCCATTGGAGGGCTTCAAAACCCTCTCCAACATCTTCCTCCTCCGCGATATCCCCGACGTCGCCGCCATTCTGAGCGCTCTCGGCGAGGAGAAGAAGAAAGTCGTTGTTGTAGGCAGTTCCTTCATCGGTATGGAAGTCGGAAACGCGCTGGCCTCCAAGAACCACGAAGTCTCCATCGTGGGCATGGAGAAAGCGCCGCTGGAGCGGGTCATGGGCGAGCAAGTCGGCAGGATATTCCAAAAGAACCTGGAAAACTCCGGCGTCAAGTTTTTCCTCAACGCCAGCGTCGACAGGGCCACCCCGTCAGCATCTAATCCATCCATCGTCGGCGCCGTCCATCTCAAGGACGGCACAGCTCTCCCCGCCGACGTCGTCATTTTAGGCATTGGCGTGCGTCCAGCCACAGACTTTCTCCGAAACAACCCCTCCATCACCCTCGAAAAAGATGGCTCCCTGGCAACCACCGAATCCTTTTCTGTCCCCAACCTCGACGGCGTCTACGCGATCGGCGATATCGCGACATACCCCTACCATGGCCCCGGCACAGCCTCAGCTGGCACTCCAGTTCGCATTGAACACTGGAACGTGGCACAAAACGCCGGGCGAAGCGTCGCCCGCTCCATCATCAACTCGGGCTCAAAACCAAAACCATTCATACCCATCTTCTGGTCTGCACTCGGCCAACAACTACGCTATTGCGGAAATACATCCACTGGATATGACTCCGTTGTTCTCAAAGGCGAGCCCGAAAATGCTAAGTTTGCCGCCTTCTATTGTAAGGAAGGGACAGTCGTGGCGGTGGCTACGATGGGTATGGATCCGATTATGGTGAAATCCGCGGAACTAATGCGCAGAGGGCATATGCCGAGTCAGAAAGATATTGAGGGCGGTGTGGATTTATTGAAGGTGGATGTTCCGGAGCATATTGCTATGTAGACAGATCAGTTAAATAGTTGATATACGAATGTTATGGAATAGTTTTGATCAGTAATAATGTTAATCAATGATAAGATATTGTTATCAAGGTTAGGTAGGTATTAATTATAAACAGTATTCACTAGAATGAACTCCTGGGCGTATAGCCATGTATCTGCAATGCCAAAAATATACCTGACATGGGCTAAATATATACCAACAAAAGAAACCACGAGTGTCCGGGTTGCCAGCTAAGATAAGAAAGGGGTATCATAATGAAGGCTCAGTAAACAAAAGCAAGTAAATGAAAGAATCCACCAATATCAAAATCAGGTCGTATAAAAAAGTGACCTACTCCCTCAAACTCTCTTCCAATAACGCCTGATCCAACGTATTCACATGGATCGAGATCGGTGGTGGCGCAGCAGGGAAAAAGCCTGGAATTGGGCCCTTTTGGTTAATACCGGAGGCTCGCATGAGTAGTGGAGGGGCGGATCGTTTGAGTTTGGTGATTGATGGGGTATCTGATGCGGTTGCTACGTCGGAGGAACGAGCTGTGGTGAGGGTAGATTCACTTGACAGGCTTGCGATATCGGCGTCGGGTTGTTGTTGTAAGTTGTGGGAAGGAGATGGTGCTACGCCCCATCGTCCCATCACCCACCCGCCGACTTTGCGCCCGATGGTGCTTGCTTTTCCGGTTATGGGGATGGGTTTGGTGGTTGATGTGCTAGATTCGGAGGAGCTTAGGGTTGAGGTTCCTGTGGGAGTTGGTGGGAGTAGCATGTTCTTGGCGGCTACAGTTGCGAGTAGAGAGTGTGATGTTTTTCGAGATGGTGCACGTGAAATTTTGTCAGCCGTGATGTTTGTCGTCGATATCACTGGGGGAGTAGAGGACAGTTCAGTTCCAGTGGACACCACTCGTCGAGGGCGTTGGTAGAAATATTGGGAGTTCATAGCGACTAAGAGCTGCGAAGGACGGTCACGTAATGTGTGTATATCCATTCCAGATATAGAGAGCAGGCTTTCGTGGGATGATGATTTTCGGAGAGTGTGGTATTGCATGGGTTCAAATGTGTCTTCCGTAATGTCTTCTGTGATATCCGGACCGGGGGCGTCTTCATTTTGCGAGTGCATTTCTGTCGTTGCATCCGCAGTTTGATCTTGCTCTTCAACTGAAACATCCTCCTGCTCCTCGGGAATAGCAGGATGAAGCCACATATCGTCATTGGCAGTATTAGTGATGCTGGGGACTGGTACATCTTCGAACTGCCCAGAAAAATCTTCTTCGCCGTCCATAGATGGAGAGGCAAGTCCTTGTAGACCCGCCGGCATAGAGAATGATCGAATCGACGCATCAGATATGCGATTCTTCCAAGTCCCTATCTTGGGCGAGGTAAAGATAAGACTTTCAGGACTCGATGGACGGGATATCTCGCTTTGATCTACAACATCGAATATCGACGATGGCTGATAAGCGGAGACAGGTGAACTAGCCAAGGAAGTAACTCCGGAGGAATGAATAGGATAGCGTTGAGAAGGTGGAATGGAGGCGGAGGTTTGAGACATGATTGTCGATGTTGAGGATGACGAGTGGTGTGAACGATGGAACGAGGACTTGGGGGTATGCATTCCAGATGTCACCAGTGACGGTCGCTTCTTCTTTGGACGACGGAGAGGCTGTTTGTCCTTCTTGGCGCCGCTGATAGAAGATGTGGGTGAATGGTAGTGATGATGGAAGTGGAATTCTTGCGAAACAGGACGAGGCTCTTTCGACCTGAGCTCTTCATCCAAACGTGAGGCATTCTGTCGGGATCCCAGGTCATGGCTATTAAGCGGCTGATGCTGTAGAACTTGCTCGCGGAGATTCTCAACTTCCTGATTAGAATTTTCAAGCAACTCTCTCAACTCAACAATCCCCATCTGCAGGTTAGCGTTGTCCTGTAAAATGTCGCGAACAAATTTCGATACCACCGGAGCAGTGTTACGATTGCGATCCATGGCCGAAGTTGCTGCAGCACCTTTGAGCCGTCCAGCAGCCGAGTCGAGTTCGCGCTCAACGGCTCTTCGCCGTTCCATGCGCTCCACAATCTGCGTATGCTGCTCCCTCTCCGTCCGCGCTTCATATTCGAGTTGATCTAGCTGCTCCTGTAGATCGCGCAAAATCGTCTCTGCTTTCTTCCACCTGTGCACCGCCGATTTCTCATCCTCTTGGGTTAGAATCAGCTGTTGCTGTAGCTGCAACTGTTCCGCTTCAATCGCACTCAGCTGCGATTCCAACTGAGCGGCGCGCGCAGCCGATGCTGCTAGCTCGTTCAACTCCAACTGTGTTTGCTCCAAGCGATATGTGAGGGCCTTGACCTCGGTGTCAGAGGTCGCAACAGCGTGATTCAACCCCTCCAGCTGTTCGAGCAGGCTGCGGTTCTCCTCGACAATGCGTGCGTTGGCGGCCTGCATCTCCATCCGGTCGTGTTCGAGACGCTCCATTTCGGAAAGCATGCGCGCGCGATCAGATTCGGCGTCGGAAACGTATGCTTCATGCCGCTGCAGCAGAGCCTGGAGGGAGAAGGTTAGCGACATGGTGTACTATTCACAGGACATGACAACAAAGGCGAGCAAATGAAGTAAAGCAAAGTAAACAGAGCAAAACATGAAGCATCCAGTTTCCAGTTCATTTTCTTCTGCAACCTCACATCTCGGAATACAGTATCGGAGGAATGCCTACCTGACCAAGACGGGCAGCAGTCTCTAGATCTTTCTCAAGATCCTCCAGGGCCACATTGTTGTGCTTCAGATATGCGCAGTCCACACGGCCACAACAGCACTGGAGAGTGGATGAATCAACATTTTTGGCGGATTCGGGCTGTCCTGGGAGGAGGTGTGGAATGTGCGGGCGAGCTGCTGCATCGTGATTGCTGGCTTTGGCGTGGTCATGCGGCTGGCTGGAGACGCCGTCCATCTCTACCACTACGCACGCTATCCAGCTGCCAGCTTAGCTATCCCAGTAATTCCAACTGTCCTCCCTGGGAGGTAATCTGCGTATTGTCTCTCTCAACAGTGCTGGATGTATCATAAACGACCGCTGCTGGAAACCGTTCACATTCAGCTGTTCCTTGATTGCAAGCCGAGTCGAGGCAGGAATGAGGAGAACTGCCCAGGCGCGTAATTAATATTACCGTATTGTCATGCCGTTACGCGAGATTCCTTTTCTGATTGGGCAGCCCGCACGGCAGGTGACAGACGACTATGACGCCATAGAAATCAGGCACCCCTCCCTTCCTATCCAATCAGGCAAGACCGCATTACATGCATAATACTATATAAGTTAACTAGTACATAACTAGTAACTTAGTTACCAGCCACCTTATTTTTCTCAGCCCTCCACGTCGCGGAGTTCCGATTAGTCGGCATTAGTGTCGCTACTTCAGACAATGGTTCGATATCATAGGCTTGGGCTCGATGCAACTACTGGCAGATGCATACGACAGGTCATCTACCAGTACCTCAAGAGACACAAGAAGTGCTATAGAAGATACGTCACTTATTGTCCATTTTAACAATGAGCTGGGCTTCTCGCATTATAACGTAAAACATGATAAATGCAAGCATGGTATAAGACATAGTATTGGGATAGTACAGTAGGCTGAGAAAATTTCCAATCTTTTACATTGTCTGTGCGCAGGATCCCAAGAAGTCTGTAACTTCAATCTGATATAAATTATTGTAAATGCAGGCAAACGACCGAAAATCTTAATACTATATTCAGACTTTTCCCATGGGTATAATAGGAAGAGTATATCTTCTCACTTGAACGAATAGTTGAGCTCTCTCGTCTAGTCATTGCGATTCGCAGTATCACGTGCTCAGAAAACCCTAACGATTCCCAAGTTTTGAGTCCAGGCTTCTATGCGCCTTCTCATGGATACTAGAGGGGACTTGAAAAATAAGTACTTTGAGGTCGGAGAAATATTTCACAGAGAGCTTCTTTTTCAAAATTAATCAACCCCACGATGTACCACTAAAGTGCAGTACTACGAAGTGATTAAGATTTTACAAGGCTGTCATATGATGCCTACTCCTTCTTTGAAAAAGAGAGGTTAATAATGTGGCTGTGGGATGCGACCAATTACTAACTTTCAGCCATTGAGGTCAATCACGGAGGAGAGTGTTCTTCTCACCATTAGTTGTGGAAGAATGGATTTTCAAGTAGACGGAAGCAACGGTTACTGTCACTTTATCTGTCAGCACCTTCTGTTTCATCATCCTGTGCGTCAGCCGCAATTCGATGGCTGCAGAACTATTTGGCAATGAGAATGGGTCTGTATTAGCCCTCAATTTAAGTGCCTTCAAATTGCAGATCAGAGGGGATTTTGTGAACTCAAGCCAGTCCATTCAAAGGAGTCTCAACGCCACGTGCACTGGTCTTCAAGACCATACGGCTTGTCCTTGTTGCGGGGGCGCAAATAACTTTAAAAGATGCCATATTATATGTAGTCTAACGTTGGACTGGGGTTATTTTCCGTTAAACATGCGCTTTCCAGATGGAATTTGATCTCGGGTTTGGCAATGTCAGCAAGTGAGTATGGTGTGGCCACAACCATCTCATTGAAAACCAGCCGCATTTATTTGCCTGATCGATAAGTTGGAGAGATCTTCCGTAGCTCTGTGATAGGGGTCTGAAGTGTTGAATGTAGGGTTGAATATGTGGCAAGCTCTTTGGCATCCAAGGAGCCACTTGGCCGCACCAAAATCAAAGCTATGGGAAGCTTAATCCAGGTTCTAAGTAGACTTTTGCTCTATCCTTCCACCCGTGTTTCTTTGTTCGGTATGCTATATCTTGGACCGAATATGCAGATATGAAGCTTGTTAGTTGTTGTGGGTGTTCGATGAGCGAACACCTGAACTGAACTCATTGCGGATGGCACTAATGATGCCTTAGGCACTCAATACTATATCATCGCAGTGAGAAGTGAGAAGTCTTACTTGTGGCTTGTTTCTCTTTGACGTTTCTCAACCCAATGTTTGACTGCCCAGCCCTCATGAATCATACTGTACATCTTCATCAGGCCGTTGAATTTTCGAATACCGCCATTGAGATGTCGCAACCATCTGTGGTCATACGTTGCAATTGTGACATACATCTCAGGGCCATCTTGAGAAACAAGAATGCCTCTATCTCTGCTATTCACGACATCTTGGCACTAAATCAAAAATTTTGTTGCCATTCCAATAGATATGGTGATTTAAGGCAAGCTGTTGAGGAAACTGAGTTAGTTCTGCCCTTGTTGTGTATGGGTTTGACTTTTTGTAACTCGTGATGCTTAGGATAGCATTTTATCCATGCCACTATTTCTACGGCCTCTTGCATGTCAGTCTTTATATATTCCTCCCTTCCGCGAGCCTTTTATAGCCACCAACTGCTGGACTGCACTTTGCGTTTACCCGACGCTGGTGATGCCGCAGGTGGCATCAAATTTCGATATTTGTCTTCGGACATCATACTGGTAAGTATAATGATGATGCCGAGGGCAAAACATTGAGGATGAAGACTGGTTTACAACTATATATGTTGTGAAGGCTGCTTCCTTCTCGCAATTCCAATATACTCTCGTAGGAAAATCACCCATGGATTTCAAGAGCTATGTGTATCGAACAAGGTCTGGAAGTCGTTGTATGGCGTTGATGACTTAGAGTCATATCCATCCATCTTCTCAAGTTTCTCCCACATATTGTAATGTAGCGGAGGATGCTGTGCTTGTTTCTCGGGTTGTTATGGAATCCGATCCGTTCACGCAATTCATAAGCCTGACCAACTTAATAGGCTTTGATTACTATTTACTGACATTGTCAAAGACACGGATGATGTGCGGTTCGGTTCGAGACAAGATGTTGTCCGCCCTGTACGCACAGTGTCGTACCGATTTGCGGTTGGTCCAACAAGTGGTTGTTATTGCTGAATTCAAATCTTGGAGCTCATATTGGATGTCAATCGATGTTATCCAGCTAGCTGGGGAGGCCTTCTCTTCGCTCCCCCCCCTCGCACACACAACTCCGGCACTATAGAAACTCTGCAAATTGAACAATGCGAGTACCCCCTCCTCCCCCGGCCTCTCTCGAGTGAAACTCTAGACGCAATCTGCAGTATTCTGACTGTAAGAACTTCGAGGCTCGTGTATTCCCCTTCGATGGGACTGAAAGCAGGAAGCCTTTGATAACTGGCGCGAATCGAGGGCCAATGGAGTCTCCAATTATGCATAAATCTACGAGGGCCCCAATGATCTTTCTATGATCTAAAGATCATATCGGTGTCTTGAATATGAAGGGCCACCGAATGGTCAAAAACCTTGAAAATATTTTCAAGACGACTTTTTAAAAGAAGTAGTAGCAGGGTCGAAAGAAGTTGAAGATATGCACAGCAAAGAAGAAGAAGGTGGGCTTCGGTAGTCACCGCGGATTGCAGGATAGCATTTCCTTGATCAATTTGATTTTTGACACGTTTGAGGTGACGCTTATGCTCTTGGAGGCGAAGAATTGGGTGCATGGGACGCCGGCACTGCAGCTGAGTTCGAGGTCGTACAGCGTTTGCTGTGTTGGTATTTAGTCTTTGTGCTGCGACTCAAGAAGGTCGAGGAGGCGGTTGAGATAGCTATAGTAAGACGGGTGTCGTGCGAGGATTAGGTCCATTTGAGGTAGCGTTCAGCCATGCTGTTATATGCTTTTCTGACATTGTCACGAATGGCGTTGGGCTCCATTATTAATTTGATTCAGGTAGGTCTAGATTCTGGGAGGAACTTAACGGCGCAGGTGTCTGACTTACAGGTTCTTGTTTAGATAGGCAAACTAGTTTTCGGTCACAGGAGTAGGACTGAAGACATCCTCATTAGAATTCTCTTCCGAATTTGGGATTTTGCTGTCATCGGTTGTAAGTGTGATTTTGAGCCCTTCTGATCTGGCAAGAGTGAATGTAGAGCGAAAGTGAAACATCGCCCTTGGTCGTGTTCCCGTAGTGATCGATTCCAATGATTGCGGGGCTTTCGTTATATATGCGGTGTTTTAGGGCAAGATCGATAACCTGCATTGCTGATTCTGGCTTATACATTTTGCAAGTAGCGAATATCTCGTTGACCCTCGTCGAGGAGCTCAGCGGTGAACGTGCCACTTTCTTGCTCCCATTCTTCATAATGTTGAGAAGGAAATAGTGGATATCAAGTGAAAGAACTTGCTCCTCCGCATCCGCAGTTTGGGCCAACTTCTCTTCAATCTTGGCGATCTTTTCACCCCGCAGCCGAATTGTCTCTAGGTCGGCTTTCTGGCATTGTGTCGATATAACCCAGTCAACCAGCCGCACCACCGTGTGTTTCAGACAGCCTTTCTAGAAGGCTAGCAACCTTATCGAAAGCATACAAATAATGGGGATCCACGCAGTAGATCATGTGATTGCCCGTCTTCATCTTCCGTAACGACAATTCCGTTTCTGTTCTCGTTTTGTTCTATATCTGAGGCAAAGAACTTACGAATCAGGGTGACGAAGCAAGGGATCTCGCTAATGTCCTTGATCTTGTGAGGATATCAGATTCTTGATACTGATGTCAGGAAATGAACAAACAAGAGGAGGAATGTAATGACGTGAAATTTCAAATAAAAGGCAACTTTGGAGGTATCTGTGTTGTTCTTTTCGACTTCAAAATGGAGAGGATGAAGGTTTCACAGATCAGTATAGAAGAAGAAATATTTATTAGCTCCCAGAGTTGTGGTAGTCTAAGTCGTATTAGTATGAGACGTAAGTACAAGGTGATATATACAGATTCAGTGAGAAACTGCAAATCATCTTCACTCATGTTGCGCTGTTTGACCTCGTCTGGTAGGTCTTCCGCAGTTTGTAAGTTGCGTTGGCCTGCGGCTAATTTTTTCTGGGCAATGGCTCTTGATACTTAGGTAGTCGCGTAGATAGTCAAAGATGTGGCTGCCTTTCGTCATACTGTGACCCAGCGACGGCAAGCATTCAAGGGCATCGGACTTGGTATATGGAATTCAGGCTAGTATTCGCCCTACTGACAGATTTATTGTCAGGACAGCTTCCTGATCAAAAAGCTGCTTGATTGGTTCCAGGGTATGCTTGTTTATTAGGTGAAGGATCTTTTCATCACTCCAGCTACTCATGGTGGGTAGCCAAGACTTCTGCTTTGGGAACTACCTCATTCGTTGAAGAGTGGCTCGAGTACGCTCTTCCAAGACAGGAAAAGATTTCTCCCTGACTTGCACATCCATTTTAGTTTGTGAGGAATGGAATGTATCGAAACGACTATTGGTGATCTTATTAATGAGTGGCCATGAATACAGCCGTTCTCCTTATCTCCCAAAGTGTGTATGACCAAATCTCGGAATTTGGTATGTCGTAAAACCAAGAGGAGCCTAGCGACATAATCCAGTTGAATCTGAAAGGCAGTATTTACCCACTACTTAAAGCGAACTGGCTTCAAGATAGAAATACAACGAATTTGGTGAGTTTGATAAAGGTAGGGAGAGCGTTCATTTTGCTGGACTTGCTGATGCTGGTATTCAAGTTGACCTGTTGGACAGCTTGGCTGTCAGACACGAATAGAAGATAAAATAATGCCTCCTTCAATATTGTCGTACGGAGGAAATCACCCGGTAGCTTAATATAACATATACAACCATTGGTCAGCTTACCCATCATATCGGTGCCGGGATGGGAATCGAGTTCGAAAATTGGCTCACTGGGCACCACGCATGTTCCAGAGTACGGCCTGCTCGTAGTGCGATCGCAAAAGGGGATCGATGACAGCTCTAGCATCGCCAGGTTGATGATATACGGAGTATCGCAGTTGGGCATCTCTGTGAACAAACACCATGAGGAAGGCAAGTCCAAGTTACTCCCTTGGCGAAGGAAGGGCCAGTGGAGTTCGGATAACCTCTGAAAAATTACGGCAGAGGCGAGTGCTATCCGTCAGTCAGGAATATAACTCAAAATCTCTTTTCCTGAGTTCAACTTCGACCGTGACTCGGTATATCCGAATTCCAAAACGACTGTTGGCGCATTTCGATGACGCCCTCTGACTCAATTTCTGCATCTCCCAGATTCCCGCCTTGCAGGTTGCGGTATGAGTATAGCAAGCTCTACACATTCACAAGCAAGATTCCAACAACAGCTTAGCAACCTATATCTCTAACGTGTCTGGAAGGTGGGAGGACAAAGGAGATGGTCTAGTATCTGTTGATGGGCCAGTGGAGGAATGCGGTCAGTGTTAGCGCGCTGTTGATGCCATTGAAAAAGGACCGGGAATCGAATGATTCCTTGTTGTCGCTGGGATTCAAGCGCCTATATTCGACAACTACATGGCTCATGAAGTGCCAGACAGCTTGGAGGGTCCATAGTGAGTGCAGTGACCAATCTAGCTTCAATAGCTTCTCAAATCGGAAAGTGAATCAGAACTGGGTGTGAAGGCTCTTTCGATTAATCGGCGCCATGCTGTAGTCAACCCAAGGGGCTGCCTGCATCAGCGTCCATGCTACTCAATTCTTAGCAGACTGCTCTATAGTACCTATTTCCTATGGAAGTGTCAGCGTGCTTACGAAAGAGATATGGACGGGTACGTACCTAGTGCAGTCCTACATCTACATAGATCAATGTGGCAATGTGGCGGTGAGGAATGTCTGAAGAGGGGGGTATAATATAGATTCGTCCTGATGGGAAAGATAAAATCTATGAAGAAATTTAGAGAATATATAGACGCTTGCAATAGCCTACCCCTCCCCAACCCAAGAAAGGCAAAAGGCAGGGTTTGACTGCGGTGCCGTGTCTGGAAGCGGTATACAGACAAACTCGGTTCCGTCAGTTATGGAGTAGTATATTCTTTTTGTCTGCAGTGCATACAGTATACAATGCCCAGTATAAAGCACTATAAGTATCATAACCAAACTGCCTCCCCACTCCCCAACGGCATTGGCATAACATCCCAGCCAACCCCCACCCCCTCCACGCTCGCCGCATGCTTCAACGCCTTCAATTCTCCAAATCCACTCATCCTAGTCTCAAACCAGTCTTCCTCCACCCTCACACTGGCGGCAGGATCAGGAGACTGGTACTGCCCCAGCGAGCGGAGCCATTTCATCACGGCGGCCAAGGACACTTCCACCTCGTACCCACTAGACACCGCACCGTCATCGCCGTCAGGAGAGATAGTAGTGAGGGTGAGTTGACGGTATACCGCCGCCATGATGCCCGTCGCAAGCAGATACCCACTCGCATGATCCAGCGCCTGACATGGCATCGCCCTCGCCGGCTCGCCCATCCCCATATGCTCTGCTTCCGACACACTCATCCCCGACACCGTCTGCACAAGCGAATCATACCCTCTCCTCTCCGCCCAGGGCCCGTCACGGCCATACGCAGATAGACTCGCATACACAATCCCCGGGTTCATTCTGGCCACATCATCCGGCCCAAAGCCGTGGCGGGAGAGACTACCAGGGCGGTAGGATTGGATAAACACATCCGCAGACCGGATTAGTTCGATTAGTGTGGCGCGGTCAGCCGCCGAGGATTTGAAGTCGAGCCGAATACTGCGCTTTCCGCGCGCCATGTCCCGGTCGAGACCGGGCTGAGAGGGGAGGTTGGCGCTGGTCACCCAGAGCACGTCGGCGCCGTGGGCGGCGAGAACGCGGCCAGCAACGGGCGCGGCCATTACGCGACTGAGTTCGAGGACACGCAGGCCGCGGAGACACTTGTCGGCAGCTTTGGTCAAGTTGGGAAGGGCAGTCTGAGTCTGTTTCTGGCCGGTTGACGGTAGACGGTGAATTAGGATGGGAAAATCCGGCACGGCGCTTGCTTGCGGATGGCCATCCCACGTGTCATACGCCCTCAGCGCAGCAATCACAGCGCCGTTCTCATGAGACTTTGTCTCGAGGTCTGTAGCTGTCCAGGACTCGCGGATGGCGCGCCCGACCTCGTCTCGCGATACGCCAGCCGCAGTAGCTGGTGTTGAAGCCAGCCCTAACATGCGTATAGCTGCATGCTCATGATGCGGGAATGCATCGTGGATACGCACATACCCGTCATCAGCGGTACGATGCAATCCGCCTATTCGGCCCCAGCTTGAGGGGGGCGGGAGGGCGTTGAGGGTGTATAGTTTTTCAGAGAAGAATTCGGCGAGGGCGTGGGCTTGCACCACGGAGACGCGGGGGACGTCATCTCCATCAGCTTTACTTGCTGTTCCTGCTGTGGGGGAGTATGTTTCTTTCTAGTAGCGTGGATGAGAGATGCAGCTAGGGCTGAGAGCGCAATGGAACTTTGAGCGAGGATGTCAATCTTGAAGGACGATGGGAGAGGAGAGCTGGTGTTGGGCAAGTGGAGAGAGGTTAGGGCTTGGTTGGGCAGGTGCAGGCCGCGCCAGATGTAGGCCACTGCATCAGCTGCGGTGAATTTCGTGCGGTCTATCATATTATTGAATAAATTATTGAATAAGAATTGGGATAATTCAAACCCGAAGGTTAACTGGTTTAACAGCTGTGGTTTGCGGCTGTTTTATGGTTGTCGGAGTTTATTCCGAGCTCCGACTGGTATAGCTAATACAGCCGAGGCGAGAGTACTATCTTGTTGTCAGATACAACCCTAAATTATGAGTGTAATGTAATTTCTGACTTGTGATAGGATATTCAGTAACAATACAACGCATGCTCGCAATTTCAGACCCCGAACGACGCCGGTACAATAGATATATGAATAATGCATGCCCGTGGGCAATGATACAATTTGAGTAAGTAGTGCGTAATGAGGTGAGAGATCACAGAAAATCACCGCGGATATTAATAAACGCCCCGACGCCGCCGTCTTCGCTAAGATTGTTGACCAAAACCTCGGTTTGGGAGTACAGAGTTTCTATCGCTGCGGACGAGGACTTGCCGAGGGATACTATGTGGGTTAATTATTTTTGCCATTAATCAATTAATGACATAGGGGCATACCTAATATAGCTGAGTTCAGCTCGTCGGCAACCGACACACGCCCGGATGCATCTAGGTAATGGCCGTGGACAGAGGACCGCGGATCGGAGTATGCCATAAGGGAGAAAATATCGTCAAGATACTGCTTATCCCCCCCATGCCCGTCCGACGGATAATCCATTCGCAGCTGTTGGCCGTATTGAACGGCCTCGGTGAGGAGCTCCTGGAATTTGAGTGTCGAGTCGATCTCCTCCGTGTCCATGCCGTCTGCATCTGAATAGCCATCATGCATGTGGTCGTCGAGTTCCATGTCCTGTTCAAACAATTCGTTATTGTAGGCAACTCCATTCGACGACTTCCCTCGTTTCAAAGCTGTGCTAGATAGGTCGCTGCATCTGCACATCATTTCTAGAAATTTTCGACAGCGGAGTTTGAAAAGGATGTGAGGGTTGTCTTGTAAGACTTCAGAGAAATATGCGTTTGTGTGCTTCAAAGCTTTGTCGATATCACCTTCCAGGATCGCCGCACGGATTTCTACACCTAGTTAGTAACCGTGCACGATGATCCTACTTGTACACTCACTTTGCCGATTCGTTGCATCCAGATCTTCCTCCTGCTCATACGCACACAACAGTCGAGCCTGTCCGTTTTCAAGCGACTCCGACTCCTGGCGAACCTCCTCCGCAAAAGCTCGAGCAGTCTCATAGTAGCCATCCTGGGCCAGAAATTGAGCCACAAGCTCTTGGAGTAGAGTAGTTTCGTCTAGCGGAGGTTGAAGGTTGGCGGTGCTCGTTTCCGCCACCTGCGAATATAAAGTAGCCTTCTCTTTCTACACAGTCCGTTAGCACACTCAACCCACAATATTATATGGTATGGTTAACTCACTTTCACCATATCGTCAATATCAAACATGAATGGTTGTTGGCCGAAATTAGTTATTATATGCATATGAGGGTGCCTCTTAATACCAACGGAGGGATAAAAGCTAACGTGGCTGGAGGTCTGAAGATTATTGAATGCAACTCCTAGTACAGTCAGTATAAAATAGAATATATCGCCAGTAAAGGAGGGCACAACCAATTAAAATGCCGTTCTTCGTGAAAAAGCACGATCCCTTGGCGAAATTCACACCACAACCGATGGTATCATTAACCGCAAACGTGGGACCAAACGGACGGCCCTGGCCTTGGGATTCCCCAACGAAGGCCTTGCCGTCATCGCCGTGGTACGCCCACGACTCGCTGTCCCAGCCGGGGAGACGCTCCAGGGACGAGCGCGAGGACGAGAAACCGATCGCAATGACGCTGTTAGTTGGTTAGTTAAGACCCCACGCTGGTAGTGTAGGAAACATACGCATCCTTCGGCTTAGCTAAGACGGTCGTTTCGTAATAGTATATCCCCCATCGCGAGGCATCGAATGGTCGGCCCGCACTGAAGCAGCTTCATGGTCTGCCTTGTGCGGCAGGCCGATATATCGCATCTCCAAGCCATCATTCAGCAAGTCGAGACCATGATGCTTATCAGCATCATTCCAGCGCGACGGGAGAGGCTGTGGTTTGTCGTCAGTGGCGAGGTCCTTTTCGACTAGGTCATAGGTCATGCCCCGGTGCGAGGGCGCCATGCGGTGCAGGTTGACATGGCTCGAAGAGGCGGACAGAGACGGGGCGTTGGAGGAGGATTCTCGCTGGGCGGCGAGCTGTTTGGCTCGCTGGGCAGACTCCAAACGCGCGATGTATCTGGAATTGCGAAGGTACGAGGGGACGAAGAAGGAGGGGTCGGGCGAGGCGGGCAACGAGGTGGTGGCTGGATAGCCCGCGGCGTACTCGGGGATGTTTGCGAACTGCCGGGAGTAGGGAGGGAGCACGGCCGACCTCCTCCAGCCAGCGCTCGTGGCGCCGTGGCTCACCTGCATGTCTGCATCTGTATGGCGGGCTGGGATGGGCAGGATATGTGGTGAGAGCGAGTCGGGTGGGAGTGAGGGCAAAGAGCTCGGGAGGACGGGAGGATTAGTATTTCCGGGCTGGTACTGGCGCGAGTGCGAGGTCAAATCGAGAGTAGAGGCGGGGTGTAGTGGTTGATGCAGTTGGTGTAATTGTTGAGGAGATGAGACAACAGAAGCGTAGGAAGAGCGTCGAGGGACCGATGAGATGGAGATGTTCGTAGCAGCAGCAGTGCTGGTGGCAGTGGAGATACTACTACTACTAATACTACCGATGGCGTGGGCTTCCGGTAGAGCTCCACCTGAACGGCTGGGAACGGGCATTGGTTGTCCCACTTGCACTGACACTACTATACCTGGTATAGTATATGGTACAGTAAGTATAGTAAGGGCAGTAAGTATAATATGCTAGGGTATGGATTGTTTCAGTCAACAGCAGGTGACTTTCTCTTCGGGGTGCAATAAAGAGGAAGAACAAACAAGGGCGCTAAAGGGTAATGGCACGGATTACTGTGGTCACGCCCAAAGCGGAATTGGGTCAGGTGAGACTCAGGGATGCCTGATCAGTGATCGGTGATCAGGAGGCATGCAAGACTAATAATCAAATATGATTACTCTGGTTGAACTGCAGGCTATTGAGGAGGGGTAATACTATTTCAGGGCACAGGGTCATCACTAGAGCAGAATGCGGGGAAGCCCACTACATAATACTTAGTATAATGCTACGACTAGTAATAATTACATTGCAATGCACGCTGATGGCAATACGAAATGCCTGGTCTCATCCAGCTACTTGGATATTTTTCTCTCTTTACTGATAATAAAGTGATCACGGATCAGCAACCCGGAGAATCGCCTTGCCGAAATTCTTGCCCTCCAGCATCGCCACAAACGCATCGGCCGCCTTGTCAATTCCATCGTCAATGTGCTCTTTGTCCTTGATGCTGCCGTCGGCGATCCACTGTGTATTCATTAATACCTATGCTAATATACAAATACTTGAACCCAACAAGAGAGGGAAAAAAAAACTCACCGCGCCAATCCGCTCGTTGCGCTCCTTGTAGTACTTGGGCCCAAAGTTCGCGTCGCCGACGATGAACCCCTCGATTTTGAGGCGTTTGCTGATGATGTGGAAGAGGTTCTTGATGCCGTATCTCTCGGCTGTCCCATATTAATACCATACAAAAAAAATAAGAATAAGAAACTAGAGAACTCACCCGGAGGCAGGTTGTACTGCGAGATCATGCCGCACGTCACTACCCAACCGTCAACACCAACCACATTAACAATTGAATAATAAGGGGAGGTCACCAATCCGTCCATGTGTATTCATAAAATCCAGCGCAGCCTCCAATTGCTCGCCGCCAACATTCTCATAATAGATATCCACACCGCCCGGCGCCAGCCTCTTGAGCGCATCATGCGCTTTCTCCTTCTTATAATTCCACCCGCCATCAAACCCCAACTCATTCAATATAAAATCAAGCTTATCGTCATCCCCTACGCTGCCAATCACCCGTAACCCTTCATGCTTTGCAACCTGGCCAACAATCTGTCCCACGGCGCCCGCAGCCGACGAGACAAAGATCGTTTCGCCACGTTTCGGCTTGCCGATTTCATACAGACTCGAGTACGCCGTTAACCCGGTCATGCCTAATATCCCGAGGAAATTGGAGAGCGGCACGCCATAGTGGTTGTCGATCTTGGCTACCTGGTCCCAGTCCAGTACATCCTTGGTCGCAAGGCTGTACTCGGCGAGCTCGAAGCGGCCAAAGACAACGTCGCCAGGCGAGTATTTGGGGTAGTTTGATTTGAGGATTTGCACGAGCGAGTACGCTGTTATAGGCGCGTCGAGCGTGTACGGTGGGGAGTAGCTTTTGGCTTCGGGCGAGCGCATGCGGCCGCGCATGTACGGGTCAAGGCTGAAGTAAAGGCCCTTGACGAGGGCGCCGCCCTCCGGCGCAGGTTGGGAGAGGTCGAAGGGGCGGTCTTCAACGGCGATGTGTGTACCGGAGATGGGGACGTGCGTAGGCACTTTTTTGAAGATGAGGGCTTTGTTTTGGACTGCCATGGCGGGGTAGTTAGACTCTTAACGGTCAATTGATAGGTGAGAAGTAATTGAGGACCTCGGCACCAGGAGGATTGTCAGAGATAGACAAGTATATATAGGATATGGCTGAATTGAATTGAATCGATCTTCATTTGTAATCACCCTCGGCATACCGGTATACGCACGTAGGGGTCCAAGATCAGGAAGAGAAGCTTGTATAACCCGCTGAGCAATCACCGGCTCGCCGGCACAATTGCCCAATGCGGCCACGCCAGAGCAAACCCTCCAGTCAGCGTGCAGCATGGCTGATCAGCTCCACCGTGTACTCAGTATGTACAAGTTTCTGACATGTTCTAATTTTCTGATATTATATTCTGACATATGGTTCATGGGTTTATAGTTAGTATGGTGGTTCTGTTGAGTAATCAATCACCTAACTTTTCAATATTCAGTCAAGATCTTGTTATGCAAGGAGCTGGCTAGAAGGGGTGTATGTAAATGTACGAGAGTTTCATTCAAAAGAGAAAGGTGATGTCCAGTAATATTATACGTAATATATCAATTGATGTATCACTGCCTGCAAAAACAATACATATGTATAGTACAAGTACAAACTCCACGAGCTGCCACAAACGCCGAACAACCAGATACGCCCATCTATCCGTCCAACATGCTCTCCGTGCTTTTCATTAAAATGCCAGCAGCTATCGTACTGACAAGCAAGCAAACAGAAATCCAAAAAAAAAAAAAATTATTATACACACCCATCAACAGACTGTAGCAATGATTTGATCTGTTTGAATATTAGGCTGTCATCGCAATAGCTGGCGCGGGAGATTGTGCTGCGGGCAAGGGCGTGATATCGCTTTCACCCAAATTACTCTTCTCGCTCGGCACAGCGCTGCTCATTTGATTGGCCTTACTGTCACTATCCCCATTAATAGCCACCCCATTCGCCTCACCGTTTGTTTCCGGTGACTTCTCCGGCTTCGGCGTGCGCCAGCTCGACAAATCCCAGGCAATGCCAGTAAAACTCTTGAGCTGGAACTGCTTACGCTCCCACTTACGGCACGGCGCGCCAGTGCGGTCAAGAGCACGGAGGCCAGCGTTGATGGCACCTTGGTTGGCCTTGGGGCCGAGTTTGTGTGCTGGAATGAGTCTAGAGGAATCGATAGCTCCGTCGTCACTAGATAGAATATTAGCAATGACCAATAATAAGGGATAGGATAGGATGGTTCTTACAGTTTCCGTTTCTTGGGACCTGGTTTGCGGGCAGCCTTGGATGCTGAATCCCCATTCTGAGCAAGTCCCCTCTTTGTACCTCTCGAACCAGGCGCGCCTTTTTGCCGTTTCCCATCTGCATTCGCAGGTGTGGAGGGCGCGTCGGAGGCATTGTCTATAGACGACGCGGGGGGTGCTGGTTCTCCTGAGGTGGAAGAGGGCGGCGACGAGGCATCCTGGATCTTGTCCTTGTTGTCGACGGGTGGACTGTCGCTAGGAAAGGCACGGAGCAGGGCGGAAGGCAGCTTCAGCACGATAGCTCGGTTCGGCTGGCCATTGGTCTTTGACGAGGCAGGCATTTCGACGATGTGATTTTGCAGTGATAATGAGAGAAAATCGGATGTCGTTGGATCGAATATGGCTCGCTGGCTGAGGACAGCTGCCTGGTTGCGGACCGTTAGATACGATGTCACACAGGGGTGAGAATAAAATAGGATCGATCGACCGTGAGCGTGCCGAGTTGTAGGCGGTCGAGCGGTGAGGCAAACTCGGGCGGGTGATCAGGGTGTGCTAGGGTGCTGGTCTGTGGTGTGTCACCGCGAGGCAAATTCCTTGTGGTGAGGCCAGGCAGGGCGCATAATCCGACGACAGCTGGCGGCGGTGGATGGAGAGGCGATGGTGGAGGGCAAGAGAGAAGGGAAAGAGGAAGGGGAGAGAAGTGGACGGGGATGGGGATGGGGATGGCTGGAGGGAAGGGAATGGCGTGTCGGTTTCATTGTGGTTTGGTTTGGGTTGGACTGGGTTGGCTGGTCACTCTGGGCTGGCTTGGTTTGGTTTGGTTCTGTGAATTGCTTAGATTAGAGAGTGCGGCGTAGGGGGAGGACTGCGTATTGTATGTATCGCGGACGTATTTTACGCGGCTTCCCGACTGCTCATGACAATACTCATACCATTCTGCTGCTATTCTCTTATTTACAATTTTATGATCTCTGCCTACATGTTAAATATTAAATATTAAATACAACTTCGTACACATTATTACATTATTCTCTAACATCGGCCTACTGTTCCCAACCTGCCGTGCAACATTCCGCCGATCCGTGTCCCACGCTCATTGTTAGAGTTTTCTTTTTCTCTCGCCTCCGCATGATTCCATCCTATTCGCTTGGCTCGTTCGTGACGGGTCGTCAGTGATGACGCGAGACGGTGACTTATGGCTTATATTGTAATTAGGAAATCGAAAAACCGTCGACGGGGTGATGGGACAGTTGGGAGTCCGTTAGACTGAAGTGTTATGTTTCGAGATCTAGAAGTCCTGGGATCGATGCCCAGTCATCCCATTTTATTGATTTTTTTGGAAAAAAATAAGTACCCTGGGTGGTGGAATCATGATCGCGGTATTGCGGCCTGGGAATGGCAGGGAAGGGAGTGGGAATGAGTAACCCTACTTTTTAAGTCTCAGATTAACATACCTGCGGCTGGGTACACTGTAAACACTGCCCCCCAGTCTCACACCACCCGGCTAACACATCAAGCCAACCTGTGCACCTCAGAATCATCAAGCATCGCCACCGGGCGACTAGATTAGCACCAACCTAGACTTTGACACAGGAAACTCTAGCTGCCCACCCCAGATGTCGCCGTTATGACACCAGACACTGATCTCAGTAATTTTCAATACTAATGCCTAGGCCAGCTACAGTTTGTAGTTACCACACGATATCCTGAGAAATGTACAGTGTATTCTAATAAATAAATAGAATGTATAAATGTATACTAGTCTATATCCATCTATTCAATCTGCTCATCCACCCTCACCCGTCTCTGCTGCGCTCGAGTAACCGCTTCTTTAACCTCGGGTGTATTGCGCACACTTCCAAGAACCAGACCCTCCTTCATACCTCGGCGCAGCGTCGCAACGCTCTCGCGGTCTCCGCGAAACGGGCTCAATGTGAGATACAGCAACCCAGACGCCTCCGTATCGGCTATCTTCGACAGCTGCACCATCTGGCCTAGTCGTTGCACCGTCTGCGGATTCAGACCCGTCCCAGCTGCCGCCGACGCTGACTGTGCCGGTGTAATTTGCGAGATGAAGATGTGAATTGTAATAGAGACTCGCCGCGCGAGGGAAATGATTTGAAAGGGCAGGAGGTAAAACTTCGGCGCTGCTTGCGGGAAATACGCTAGCAAACTCGCTGGGATATAGTTCTGCGGCATGAAAATCACCAATGGCTGCGTCATCAGTACAAGTTCGAGCACAACCAAGCCCGCAAAGGTATAAAACCGCCACTACAGTAACCCATAATCAGTCTCCTTTGTAAATAATTATTGGTTCGCGCACTCACATATCGACCCCATGCCGACCAATACACAAAATTCAACACCACAATCGTTGCCAGGCCAGCTGTATACTGGACCAACGCCTGTTTCAATCCCGCATATAGAAAATCCTGCATCGTGCTGGAGTTGCGCCATTCGTTGACAGTCGGTCCGAATCGGTCGTAACCAAACCGACGAGCTGGGTCGAGCAAGGTATCTTGCGCCAGCTTCAGATATACAAAAACGCCCTCTGTACCGCCGCCATTGGGGAGCTGGTTCGCCTTGTCGGGATGGTATTGGGCGGCTAAGCGGCGGAAACGTGATTTAATTGTACGCTCGTCTGCTAGTGGAGATACCCCTAATACATTGTAAAAGTCCCCGGTGGCGCGAACTTGGTAGAAGCTTTCGTATAAGGTGTATACAAGATATGCGGTCACGACGAAGATGAAAATGCGTCGGCGATGCTTGTCGAAGCGTGGGGTGCCGGGTTGTGGACGAGGATCGCCGGCGCGAATGGTGATACCATAGTACACGCTTTGAAGAATAGAAGTCACATACTATATACAGATGTTAGGCCATTCAAATAACAATCAGGTGTCTAAGCGCCGTGAATAGAGCTGAATCGGTGTTGACATACGTTTGGCAGAACGGCCCAGCCGAAATACGATAACAAGCCTGACATTATGCCAACAGTCAAGCTGCTAGTTTCGGACCAGATTCTCGAATCGATGAGAATCTCTCGCCCTTCTGGTACAAGAGTGAACACCTATTGAGAACATCTCGGCGGCAGTGTATGCATGGTGTTCACCGCCTAGGCCACCGCCTTCCGCTTTTGTGACGCCCGCTGTGCATGAAAAAAAGTTTCTAGAGTTCTACATCGACATCACAGCACTCATTCTCATTTTTACGGTCGATTCTCTCAAAATGTCTGCCGATGCAATGGACATTGACTCTCCTCCTCCCAGCCAATTGTCCACAGACAAAAAGCGCAAGAACAAAATTAAGGACCACTCATCTTCCAAGAAACGAAAGCACACTACTTCAGACGGCATCAGCACGAATATCTCAGAAGCACCAAAGAAAAGTAAAAAGGACAAATCGCACGAATCAAAACACAATGTTGTTGTCGCTGAACCAGCTAGTAATTCGGACCCGAATTCCCCCTTTCGACTCGTCAATGCGACCATGTACTTGCCTCTCTCCCCGATATCGATCTCTCCGACACATGCTTCAGCGTCGCTCGCGGCGGAGCATCTGGCGCCGCTTCTGTTGACTTATTACCCTCCGTTTAAAGGGATTGTGATGGCGTACTCGAATGCCTCGATATCGAGCACACCCCCGGCGCCAGAACAGCTTCATAACAGCGGAGATAACCCCAAGCCATTGACTCTCGCGTTGACTGCAAATGAATACGGCGTTCTTTATCTATATCTCACCGCCACATTTCTAGTCTTCAGCCCCCAGAAAGGCCAGATTCTAGAAGGCTGGGTGAATGTTCAATCCGAGGGCTTCCTCGGAGCCGTTGCGTATAATCTCTTCTCTGTCGGTCTAGAACGGAAACGGCTACCTGCAAACTGGAAATGGGTTCCACCTGGCGCTGACGACGAGGGCGAGAGTGGTTCGGAAACGACAAGAAGTCACACCAACGGGCTCGCTTCAGCGCCGACGTCTGGAGATGAAGACGAGTCCAACAGATCGGAATTTAACTCTGCCAAGGAACATTTCACGCCTCTGCCAAAGCCAGTCACACGCAATCCTATAGAGCTGGACGAAACGCTGAATGTGGAGCAAGAAATTGAGGAATCCAATGATACCGGCTTTTTTCAGAGTGTTTCGGGCCATCGAGTCCGCGGAACAGTCCGTTTTCGAGTTCGCGATATCGATGTCATTCCGGGGGGGACCCAGACAGAGGGTTTATCAGCATCGAAGGCACGATGCTTACCCCCGAGGAGGAGGCTCAGCTCGCGGAGAAGGAGAATCCGAGATCTCCATTGTCAAACGGACGAGATGAGACAGCGTCGGCGACTGGTGGCGCTCAGACTAACGGCGTGGAAACCAGTACAGCTGAGAAGGAAAGCACCAGTCAGAAGAGCAAGAAAGAGAAGAAGGAGAAAAGAGAAAAGAAAAGTAAGGATAAGGACAAGTCCAAAAGCAAATCTAAACGAGAATAATTACTGTTCAATTTGAGTGATTTGCTATTTCGCTATTTCAGCAGGGGCATTATAAACGGCGTTTTAAGTTTTCATGTGGATTTTGAGGAGGCGACAACGCATACTACAAGCTGACATAGAGTTGTGTGGATTTTGCACAATCGCTACAATTTATTGAAGATACGACCATGGTTTTGAACATATTGCCGTTGCCAATGCATCGTATATTGAATATATCATCTCATTCTTTATTATAACACCCAAATGCGGAACAGCTCGTAATGATGCTGTTAAAAGCTGCAGCCTTACTTTTAGCCCCCACTTCTAATCCTCCATCAAGATGAATTGTCAAGTAATGCCTACAATACATCCTTCATAATGGTCCAAATGGGACCATATATAATACACCAATATTTAAAACTTGAAACCTAGCATGTGCCTCACCTGAGCCAGTCAAAACGCCATGGTAGGCGTCTCGGGCCGAAGTAGAGCCTGCGCAAACTGCAAATCCAGACACATCAAATGCGGTATACACCCTATCCCCAAGAAATAGAAAAAAGAAATCCAGACTAACGAAACTACAAGACGAGGCCCGCCCATCATGCAACCGCTGCGTCAAAGCCGGCCTCAACTGCCGCGGGTACGAGCGAATGACCAAATTCGTCGACGAAACGCTGTGGACGCGAGGCAAGCACTCGTCCAGCATCGTCTCGAAGAAGACAGCATCCTACCCATCTTCCTGGAACTCTGCAGACATTTCCAAGAAACTCGACCCTCTTGTTATGAGGTTTCTGAGAGGCATGTTTATGCCCCATAATGTGGACTTTACGTCATGGCATTATAGTCCCTCGGATGGCGCCGTCGTGAGAAGACCGTTTCTGCCCGGTGTTACCTTGCAGGCGCTGGCGCTGAGCCTGCATGGGAAGGTAACGAGGAATCAGGAAAGTTTGAATCAGGCAGTTGAGTTGTATGGGTTTTCGATTCGGAGTATTCGTGCTGATTTGAGGGATGAGAATGCTGTGTCGACAACGTTGCTGATATCGTCGGTTCTGCATATGACCATGTACGAGGTATGTTGGTATATTCAGACTGGGTTTGTTTTGGAGGGTTAGTGACAATTCTACATAGTGGGTGCATGCTACGAATACGTTAGCATGGAAACATCATGCGCAGGCATTAGCGCGGATGGTTGAGATGCGTGGGCCTTATGTTTTCAAACAAGGCATAGAAAAGCGATTATTTTTACAGGCAAGATCGATGATTGTAATCACTCAGAACATCAATTATCTTGGATGTCTAACTAACTTGCGTTTAGTTAATCGCGGCACTTGAAGACCGGAAAAGGACATTTCTTGCAGAAGACATCTGGCAGACTGTTCCATGGTCCAACACTCCTGAATTGAAAACATACATCAACAGATACGTCGACCTTGTTCTATTCATACCCTCAATAATGGAAGATCTCGACATCCTGCGCCAAGCAGAAACCGAAGCAAAGCAATGTTCTATCCGCGATAGAATTCGCACGACAATACTGTCGCTACACAAAAGACTCCTCGACATACGCTGCGATTGGGAGATTATCACAGCAAACGCCGCCTATGAAGCCCCTCCGCAAAGGTCTGAACACGTTTATTCGTCTGTCGATGAAACCGGGAGTGCGCTGTTCACCAGCCTTCTCGGGTTTAAAGACCTTCAAACTTGTGTGGAAATGGGCATGTATCATGTTATTTTATTCTTTTTGCGGGATTTTGAGAATGAGATTGGTATGGAACAGGTCAACAATACCCCGTCTCTAGCTATGCCGAAGCGGTCGAACCCGGGTTTGAAGTTTCCGCACGAGTTGATGACGGTGAGGGATATCGGGATCGATATTTGCCGCTCCGTGGAGTTTTTTCTGCAACCGAGTCATGGATTGACGGGGGCGTATTTTCTTATTTTTCCTCTGAGGGTTGCGCAGTTTGCGTTTGAGTTGGATGAGGACCGTGCAATTGTGGCCTGGACCAGGAAAATTATGAGGCATATCGGTGATACGTATGGTTTCAGCACTGCCTATGCGTTTTGTGGGAGTTGATGCTGAAGCTTGGCTTTGTCCAAGAACTGACACATCTCAATTACACGCCATCAAGCAGTAAACGATGGGATCGTGAGAGCGCTATCATGCGCGGGGTTTACCCGGGAAAATAATCACTCCACGTTGAGATCCTAAGATGGCTCGATCGTATACGTCCAAATTGGCGTTCTTGTGTCGTGAAAGAATCCTGTCTGATCTGCAAAAGACGGCGACTCATATTGAATCTTCGATATACGAAAGTCATGATCGCCTACAATCCTATTAGTTCCAGCACGAGCATGGTAATGAAAAAAACTTACGACAAGCAGCAAGAAAAGCATTAAATGTCTCTTCGTTCCGAATTGTTGCGGACAAGACAAACTTTTTAACGCCATGTGAAGAGAACAGCGTGGATACTGTATCAGTCAGAAGCGGGATAATGGAGGTGTCGTATGTCTGTTCCATTTCCGATAGTTAGATTATAAGACATATCATGAACATGCTAGAAATAGACATACCAAGTCCGCACCCAGCGCAACATCGAACCTCTCCACCGATGCATCACTACCGTCTTCCTGTGCTAATGCCGTCCCCCATTCCCATACTTCCCCTTGAATGTCTTGGTCGTCCGCAAGTTTGTTCTCTTTCAAGCAAGTCGAATTAAACAAATCAACAAGCTTTGCATTCCCATCGGTCATCAGCACACTTTTAGCCCCAAGATGCCTTTTACATAGTAACGAAACAAAGCCTGTCCCGGCACCGAGCTCGAGAACCCTTTTCCCTTGAATCAAAGCCCGTCCGTCTTCTGTGCATGAGAGGTATGTGCCAAGATGCAAGGCGGCTTCCCAGGTACGGAACCCTGTCGAGCCAAACCCGTAGATCAAACCTCGTGATTCTGATGTTGCGATGGATTTTGTTGTCTGCGAGCGAGTACTGCTGGGGAGAGTGTACTTTACAAATGACAGTAGTGGCGGAGAATCGATCCCCGAGGAGTCTTCTTTTGGTAGAGACATGAGAATTGTTAGAGCTGTTATTAGAGGCTCGATGATTTCCTACGTTAAGAATCAGCTATTGTTCTTACGAACAAACAAGCATTTGTATAAAGAAGAGAAAGCGAGTGCATACATCCTCCTCCGGATCCCAGTCCTCGCTCGCTTCAATTCTACTTATAAGAGCTTTCAAGACTCGCAGTCGGTAGGTTTCAGGGGGGATAATAGGCGAGAGAACACCCTCATTAAACAGTTCATTGTAGATGTAAGTCTGGACGGAGGGACTTTTGAGGATGGATGAAGGCGGTATGTCGAGGTCTTTGAGATCGACCAGCTGGTAGCACTGCGCAACGAGGAGCGCGACCCCGTCGTCTCCCAGCCGGTATATCGACGCCATGGTACTGATGACTCTTATTTATTGGTCGTGATGTTCGATATGTTATATTAGTCGTAGTATTTTCCTGCCCTCTGACTGGCTACCCGAGTTGTCAAACCCGCCTTCCCCCTTCCGTCCTAGCGCCACACGACGGGCCCTAGCCGAGCGCTGAGCCCACAACCTCTTAATTCTCTGTGGGATTTCGATACTCTGCAAGAAGACCAAGCGACAACCTCATCCACCCCCATCTTCGTGTCGGTTCCCATCTTTGTCGAGCAGACAAACGACAATACTGCACACCATGGCCGACGCTCCCATTACCTTGCGGACGCGCAAGTTCATCCGCAACCCTCTCCTTGCTAGAAAGCAGATGGTCTTGTAAGCTTCCCTGTTCTTTTACATGCACAAACACTTCGGAATCAGTGCGGGTGGAGGATTAGCCGGCTTGCGATGGAAGGCGAGATTGAGTGGTCGATGAATGCATACTTTCTTGTTGTGTGATGATATGATTTGGTTGATGGAGGATAAAAATTGTGAAGCGACAAATTTTGACATCGGGTGGAAAAGGCACGAATTCGGCGTGGAAAAGAACAAAAAGCTGGAAAACCACCACCTCAATCTCACCTTCCATTCGCTCAACGGATCGCACTGGACGAAAACTCTCATTATTGCCATCAAGAAACTTTAATAGACATATTCTAATGTTATTTTCCAGGGACGTCCTCCACCCCAACCGCGCCAACGTCAAGAAGGAGGAGCTCCGCGAGAAGCTTGCCGACCTCTACAAGGCCAACAAGGACCAAGTCTCCGTGTTCGGATTCCGCACCCAGTATGGTGGTGGCAAGAGCACCGGATTCGCCCTCATCTACGACTCACACGAGGCCCTGAAGAAATTCGAGCCTCACTACCGTCTGGTCCGTATCGGCGCTGCCAGCAAGATCGAGAAGGCCAGCCGACAGCAACGTACGCTCTCCCAACCCTACAGCCCTACAAACCAATCGAAACTTTTTTTCTCTGAATGAACTATCTAACAACTATATTTTCTTTAGGCAAACAACGCAAGAACCGTTCCAAGAAGTTCCGGGGTACCGCCAAGACCAAGGGTCCCAAGAAGAGCAAGGACTAAATTCTTTCATAACGTCCAGGATGAACGTAAAGTGTGGGAGGGCGTTGCTCTGTTTTTTGCATCGATTTACGAATATGGGAAATCATCTTTTTTTATTTTGTCTCTTTGGACAAATATGCTTGTAACTCTGTGCATGGACATCCAAAAAAAGAAGAAACTTCAATTAAACAAAAACGGTGCTTGATTAAGAAAGGGCCAGCGGGTTGTTTTATGACAGGAGAATAATTGGCTGGTTTCTTTTTTATTTCTTCTTTTGATGTTGTTTTGTTGCCATCAAGTACTTGATCTTGATGTTCAATAATACAATACACCACCAATCAAGGAGAGAATCTATCTCTTTCCTTGACTCTTCGATCCTAGGAATATAATCTATGGGTTTTATCTGTCATCATTTACCATTTTGTCGTTCTCAACGATATCTTTTTTTTTCTAGATTGTATTAGTCGCGCTGTCAAGGAGAACCCAGCGTCATAACACCCCGGAAGTAAAATGACGAGTTATTTAATCCAAGCTCGCTGACGGGGGTGGATGCGTTAGGAGAAACGTACTGGATTGTACTTTCAGCGAGCGGCGTATGATTGGCCGCGCCGGCTCCCCATACAAAAGGTCAATTTTGTGCAACTGCAAATCGCCTAACAAACTCCAAAATGCCCGCGCGAGGCCTCTGGGTCATGTGATATTTCCTATATTAGTCTAGCTTTCCTCTCACCGCCTGCCAATGAGAGAATAACGTCGCTTTCCGCCTTGGACTGTGCCGGCAGAAAATGGTCTATTCGACCCTTAGAAGTAGAGAAAACTATCATCCAGCACGAGCATGTCGTCTACATGTAATCTTCATTGATCAAGCATTCAACTTGAAATCGATATTAATTTGAATTTATTCTGGCCCATCTGAATCAACCTAAGAGAAAGAAATGACGAACAATCTAGTGTCTAATGGAAGTGGACCCAGCGATATTAATGCATCCGGAAGAAAAGAATGAAAGAAAAAAAGAAGGAAACGAAAGAAAGACATTCAAAGTTTGCCCATAGAGTCTGAGCAGGGAAGCAACTGCATTTATCGATCCCCCTTGAAATTAGTAGTCTTTTCTTAACAGATTATTCCAGACGAGATCTTAACAGAGGAGCAGCAAATTAGGAAAATACAAGATATATATGAAATAAGAATCCATAGTCCCTGACTAATGCCACAGCTATGGCCGAGTGTCCTTGATCCCTTCAGAATGAAAGATATTTCTCTCCCGTTTCATCCATGCTTGGCTCAATACTCAGGTTGTTCCGAGACGCTATGAGCCGTTGACGAGGATTCCATATAATTGAACGAGTTATACCCCACTAGTCGTCCATATCCGTATGACCCGGCATTGCTGGGACGACTTTTGGCACCGCCCATAGACATAACCAACGAGTCCTCCGAGTCAATGTGTCTTTCAGCCGCACCAGAGCGACTGAAACCAGGGGACGTGAGCGGGGCTGTGCTCAGGTAGCTCATATACTCTTGAGGTGAAGCGTCCTGTTTGAGCGTTGGCAATGAACTCGGGACGCCGCTGGCAGCGGAATCTGACACAGCTTTGCGTCTGTACAGTTTGAAAGTGCTGGGCTTAGAGGGGTAGTTGCCACCGCCGATATCTCCGCCTATTGATGGGAGGCCAGATGCCAGTAGCTCGGGGTCGCCTGGAGATGCTGTGTTGCTGCTTGACTGAGGTAGCTCGCTCGTCGGTGTGGGAAGGACACGGCTGGTGAAGCCATCGCTGTGGGAGAGTAGGTTTATAGTAGGGAATAGAGATGGTACGTCGTTCGAGACCGAAGAGGATCGGTTTGAGCTGGCTAGGACAATGTTTTGAGCCGAAGAATGTGAGGCGTCTGCTTCTGTGTAGAAAGTCGCAAGTTGATACCTGCTCCCCATGTTGGTTACTGTATCCCAGGCTTTTGGGGTGGTGGGAGATCCGTAAAATCCCGCGTGGCTACCAGAGCCGCTGCTGGGTTGTATGTATGATAGACTGGATGGGCCATAGTGGACAGCGTAGACATCCTCAAATAAGCTGTTCCCATAATATGGCCCTCTTGGCCAGGAAGCAAACTGGCCCATGTCTGGTACGGAGTGCGACCGAGTCGTTTCTGGCATAGGGTACATAGGAGACATCACCGAGGGAACACTCTGGGAGAATTGGTTATTGTAAGGAGACTGGATTGATGTTGTAGCCGGAGTATTTGTTATTGTTGGATGAAGAAACACATCTCCAGATTCCGGTCGCGTTTGAAAAGTGCATTTAGTCGAATACGCCTAGCTCCGAATATTTAAGTATTTTGATCCCAATCTAGATTTAGGGAAGCTGGTCTGGCTTACCCTTAAAAACTCGCATGGTTTTTGATTTGCCGCCTTGCAATTGGTACATCCTGAGCCATCGGCTGCTTCACCGCTGCATTTGATCTTGCGTTTTCGACAACGTACGCACTGTCTTATGGTTAGAAATCAATGTTGCAATGCGCCTCTTCCACATACAGCAAGTTGTATCCGACGCCTAGCTGGCTTGTTGTCATTGTCAAGATGGGGCATTTGTGTGACCCCGTCCGTCCTTCTTAACTCTTCCTTTACAGCGCGATGTCGGCTGCTAGATGCAGATGGGGGGTTTTGCAGTCTGCTCAAGTCCGACTCAGAAGCTCGTAGACTGCGATACATCTTGAATGTATACTCCAGCTATCACGCAAGTGCTCCGAAATTACCTCTCGAGTAGAGATGAATAGAGATGGATAAGGAATGGACAGAAAAGTAACTGCCAAAAGAGACAAATATAAAGCAGCTTGATCTCATATATATTGATCTAGTAAAGATACATATCTGCAACACAACTGGCAGATATAAGAGGAAGAAAGTAATTAACAGTAGCTTTAGATATGAGAGGACAACAGAAACATTGACAAGCCTTGGCCTAGGACAGGGCGTGCCTATAAAGAAACTCAGTTATGAATTTGCTTGATAGACTGCTGTTGGTATATCCGGAGTTTGTCCACCAGTACAAAGTTCACAGACACCGGAAATCTCAACGATGCGGAGGCAAAGGGGAGCCCTTACATTTCAGGCTAGCCTGTCTGATGCTGTTAGAGGTGCTTTGTCGTACTGAGTGGAACTGGCAGACGTCCGTTTGAGGGCGCAGTTATCTTTAGAGACGAAAGCATCTCCACAAGATACGTCGAATGGTAGTTCACCGTAACTTGGTCATAGTCTGGGCTCATATATTAAAAGTTGTTTCACAAACTAATGTCACACTACACCTTGCAGTTGTGGGTTTAAGAGCACTATAGCCATGCAAAGAAAGGTGGAGTGAGATGAAAACACAAATATGTATAGCCTAATTAAGCATAGTTAAATAATGCAACTGCCAACGTGGTTTATCTTGAGCAAACTGTACCAAGAAACGGGGACGGCTTATAGGAGGGCGGGGTTCTGGTGCAACACAGTCTGAGATCATGTGGATCCCATTGCCCACGCGTAGAAACCGGAGAAAAGAAAAGAAAAGACGGGGGGGAAGAGAAGAGACTAGAAGCCAGATCAGCAGACGAATTGAAGATAGGAGGGGGCTGGTGTCCGTTGGCTGCGATGCCTTGAAGTCAAGCAAACACGGAAGCCGGAAGGTAGAATGATTGGTCGTTCAGACAAGCATGGCTGTTTTTGCACTTCCCCAAGGCGCGCGTGGCAACATTGCGAACCCCTGTCCTCTACCCTTAAACATTTCAAAATGCGTATCAAGAGCTTCCTTAGAGAGGATAGTAGCAAGCAGCCAGGCCATCCAGCAGGGGCATTACCGATCCGGGTACTGTAAAAGAGTCCTAAGCAAACAAAATCTTCCAGCTTGACTGTCAATCAGACATCTTCAAAACAGATGTACCAAGAATCGATGCCTCAAGTGTGAAAGAGAAGGATGCAAAGATCCATAGCAGTTTCCCATCTCAAATTGTTCAGACATTCCCAAATTCTTGTCGCTGTCGAACAGTAGCGAAATATTGATGAAACTCCAAGCCATCGTTGCCAAAGACTGGGCTCGCAACCTCAATCCATTCAAAACTGAGACATCGAAGGTTTTGAAATTGCGACAAACGTGGGTTACATCGCTGTTGATTGGAAAACCTTAGGCTGTGGCATATTCTGCCGAAATGCACTCCTAATGTTTGTCCCTCTCTTTGTTTTTGCTCGAAATACTTGAAAAGGTATAGGTATGCTGTCGGTGCAATACAATTTTGGACGTGATTACAGAGTGGCTGCAGGCCGATCGTAAGCACCATCAATGTCTTGCTTCCAAATCACGTAAGCCTGATCAGGCTGTTTGCTTTCAACTGGCGTTGGAAGCTGAAAAGACGTTTGACGTGCCTATTTGGTGCTAGCAAATGGCGATTCATTGTCGAAGGCCCAGGTCAAGCCAAGTCGTAATTGTGTGACCGACTGATCAACTTTCCAACCGGGTTTCCCTGTTCGAGTCCAAAAAAAGGTTACCAACATCCCAAACGCATGGCTTGGGTTGCCCCTGGACATAACGCATCTTTCCGTGACCCTGTCAGCCTTGTTCAGAAAGCAGACCAGGAATCGCGGTGATTGGGTATACCCTGCGCTTGCATGGCCTAACACGCGGCATATAATCCTCCGCAGTCGAAAGAAGAGAAGTCGAGCGAACCCTAGCCGTCTTCTCCTTGTATGCGACCAACACCTATTACAATCGAAGCATTCCAACGTGGTGTGAGCGCGGTTTGACTTTCGCAGGGTAGGACGTGTCCCAGGCTGTGAAACGCAGAGGACCAGAAGGAACTAATAAGCAGCTGTCTTGTGCGAGACCCTGGAGGAGAGAAAGGAGGATGATCCCAGTGGGCAGGATGTCGTCCAGAACGTCGTTTGGTGCGGAAGGCGCCGCCCTGCCTGGACACTGTTAGACACTGGTTAGCGTCTCGCCCACCCGCAAGTTGTAACTGTAATTGTCCCTCCTTCACTTTTCCAATCCAAGACACTCTTAGATTCCACTACAACTGCAGAATTCACACCATTCCTTACAAGTGGCGCAGGCGCAGGCGCACACGGGAAAAAATATATCCACCGCCATTCTTCCCACTGCTCGATCTTCTTGCCCCTGCCGTGTCGGTACAAGCGTGCGCATAAGAGAACGTGCCTGGGGCCCGCCTCCAAGATGAGCGTGCTACTCGAGACCTCTGTGGGTGACCTGGTCATCGACCTCCTGGTGGACGTGTCTCCGAAAGCCTGTGAAAAGTGAGTTTGCATGAAATTCGCGTCTTTCTTTTCCTTTCCAGCATTTGCCGTTACCGGCAGCTCTGTCCTACAAGTGAGGTGGCTGAATGTGGACTAAGAGATCCTTCTCCCTGTTAGCTTCCTCAAGCTATGCAAAGTCAAGTATTACAACTTTTCCCCTGTGCACAGTGTCCAGAAAAACTTCACGTTTCAAACCGGAGACCCAATCGGACCCGGCTCTCCCGACAGCGATGGTGGATCTTCGATATGGGGTCTCCTGCGTGGTCCTTCGCACAAAACGTTCACCGTCGAATTACCGCCCAAATTGAAACATACGGAGAAGGGCACCGTGAGCATGGCGACAGTTCCCTCTTCGAGCGACCCCGACGAGCGACTGGTCGGCAGTCAATTCATCATTACGTTAGGGGATAACCTGGACTATCTCGATGGAAAAGCCGCCATTTTCGGCAAGGTGGTCGAAGGGTTTGATGTGCTTGAAAAGATCAACGAGTCATTTATCGACGGCAATGGAAGACCTCTCAAGGATATCCGTATCCGACATACTGTGATTCTTGACGATCCCTATGATGACCCTCCTGGCCTGGAAATTCCGCCTGAAAGCCCTCTGCCCTCCAAAGCCCAACTTGCCACGGTGAGGATTGCCGATGATGAAGAACTGGATGAGAACATGGACGAAGAAGCCATGGAGAAGCTTCGGCGGGAACGTGAAGCCCGCGCTCAAGCTTTAACTTTGGAAATGGTTGGGGATCTTCCATTTGCTGATGTCAAGCCACCGGAGAATGTGCTTTTCGTCTGCAAGCTAAACCCCGTCACACAAGGTGAGTAACACCCCTTTACTACTGCTACTACATCTAACGCCATTGCCAGACGAAGACCTACAATTAATTTTCAGCCGCTTCGGGCAGATTCTCTCATGCGAGGTTATCCGAGACAAGCGAACTGGCGACAGTCTACAATATGCCTTTATCGAGTTCGAGAACCAGAAAGACTGTGAACAAGCTTATTTCAAGATGGAGGGTGTTTTGATTGACGATCACCGTATCCATGTCGATTTCTCACAGAGTGTAATCCAGCCTCGTCTTTCATATTATGGCAACATACTAACTGGTGAGCACAGGTCTCGAAACTCTCGGACACCTGGCGACAAGCCACAATATCTAAACGACAAGGTGGTGGATTTGGCGGCATATCAAGTCTAGAACGCAAGCGTCAATACCGCACTGCGGATGACCATGGTCGTCGTGACCGTTATGGCATGGTCTTCGACCGGGACGAGATGCGCCGGCGACCAGACCAAGACACGAAACCATCACGGCCAGAGAAATCACGCAGCCGTAGCCCTCGCTCTGAATCCTATCGACGGAGGGACTACGACAGAGAAAGTGATAACCGAAGGCACGACGATAGAGACCGGGACCGAGACCGGGACCGGGACCGGGATCGGGATAGAGGATACAGTCAGAGGGAACAAGAGCGACGACGGCGATGAGCCCTGTACCATCTAATGCCAAAAGTGAGATTACTGTATAAAGGGAACCAGCGAGGCGAACGTGTAGGTTTGGCGCTGTAATGCAATTTCTTTCTGACAGGGACTACATATTCTACGAAATGTCCGGTACGCCACTGCGTAATCGTAGTATGTACGTACAGACTAACTATTGATCTACTCGAAACTCAATGATGTCACGGGCCACAATATTTTACTTGTGCGTAGTATGCCCCCCTTTTTACTGCATGCAACGCATCCACAGGGGTGTCATAATTCATAACTTACCTCCCAGTTTTGCTGTTTCACTGTTTCATTGACAGGAAGAGCCCTAGTTAGTGCTTATGACACAATGGGATCAATTGATGATTTGCCCATACAACTCGCACGTATACAGCCAAGGCAGCGCGGGTCAGCATGCCGCCAGAATCATACGCCAGTCTATATATAATCATAATAATCCTAATAGTCAGGAGCAAGGGCAGCTGCGCCATTGGCTGCGGGGCCCTGACACAGCCCTTGCTAAGTAAAGCTACCGCCCCGCAGCAAAGAATTCGAGCTGTGGCGGGCGGTGTGCTTGTCCGTCCCTCTCAATGGCGCATCGCCATCTGAGACATCAACAATAAGAATACGTGCCTTAATTGCGGTTTCTTTTCTTTTTAATTCTCCTCCCTTCCTCCTGTCCATTCCACTGCATCATCTTCGTTTTTTGGCTCGTTGTTTTCTTTGTGGTTTGCCTCCTCTACACAGCTATGGCTTCTCTTGTGCACAATCTCTTGGACAAGATCCAGGGCAAGGCCCAGGACGCCCCCCCCCACCCTCCCTCTGCTGAAGAGCTGCAACAGCTGCGAGCAAAATACGACACAGCCGGCCAAGGCCATGTCTTTTCCTTCTATGACAGCCTTCCATCCGCCGAGCAAGGCCAGCTCTTCCAGCAATTGCTGACCTTCAACCCAACCCGCATCAACGAGCTGGCCGACATCGCCATCAACCCGCCCAAGGCCTCCTCCGAGCCTGCCAAACTCGAGCCCCTGCCCGCATCTGCCACCGCTTCCATCTTGGACTCGGATCCCACCGATCTCGAAAAATACTACAATGAGGGTCTGAAGTTGGTGTCGGAGAATAAGGTGGCCGTGGTGTTGATGGCCGGTGGACAAGGTACTCGTCTCGGTAGCTCTGCCCCCAAGGGATGCTTCGATATCGGTCTGCCAAGCGGGAAGACTCTGTTCCAGATCCAAGCCGAGCGCATTGCAAAGATCCAGGCTCTCGCTGAGAAGCATCACGGCAAGAAGGCTGTCGTCCCCTGGTATGTGATGACCAGTGGCCCGACAAATAAGCCCACCGAGGAGTTCTTCGAGAAAAATAAATTCTTTGGCCTGGACAAGGACAATGTCAAATTCTTCGAACAGGGCGTGCTACCTTGCATCTCCAATGAAGGGAAGATTCTCCTCGAGAGCAAATCCAAGGTACGTCTGCATGAGGTTATTCATACGGCTGTGTGCTGATTATGACTAGGTCGCTGTCGCTCCTGACGGCAACGGCGGCATCTACCAAGCCCTCATTACATGGGGCGTCAGAGAGGACATGCGAAAGCGCGGTATCGAGCATGTTCACACCTACTGTGTCGACAACTGCCTTGCTCGGGTTGCCGACCCGGTCTTCATTGGCTTTGCCGCTTCCAAGAATGTCGACATTGCTACCAAGGTGGTCCGTAAACGAGACGCCACAGAGTCTGTGGGATTGATCTTGCAAAAGAATGGCAAGCCCGACGTGGTGGAATATTCTGAAATCGACAAGGAGACCGCCGAAGCCAAGGATCCTGCCAACCCGAAGGTGCTCAAGTTCCGTGCCGCCAATATCGTCAACCACTACTACTCCTTCCGATTTCTCGAATCCATTGAATCGTGGGTGCATAAGCTGCCCCATCACGTGGCTCGCAAGAAGATCCCCTCGGTCGATTTGGAAACCGGGGACACGGTGAAGCCCGAGAAGCCGAATGGCATCAAATTGGAACAGTTTGTTTTTGATGTCTTCCCCTTGACCCCGCTCGACAAATTCGCCTGTATTGAGGTCCGCCGCGAGGACGAATTCTCGCCGCTCAAGAACGCCCGAGGAACTGGCCAGGATGACCCTGACACCAGTAAGAGAGATATCACGCTCCAAGGCCAACGTTGGATTGAGCAGGCCGGCGCTGTTGTCGTCACCGAGGGTGACGCCGTTGGAATCGAAGTGTCTCCGCTGATCAGCTACGTGAGTAGCTATCCTACCATCCTATTCTATTAACTACTAACACGACTGTATAGGGTGGCGAAGGACTTGAATTCCTAAAGGGCCAACAAGTCAAAGCCCCGGCTGTGATTGAGAAGGAGAGTAATGCGTAAATTTATTAAAAGAGAGAATACCCCGCGCCTATTGTTCTGAACAAAACGAGTATGACTAATTTGAATGACATCCATGATATTTATCCACATATTCAAATCCTCATCCCAATAATAAGTACAAGTGTTAGTGTTATACCAGATCTGTATGATGAGGAGGGCTGGGCCCCGTGGCCCGTGCACCACTGCCAATCTGGGGATGCACACTTTACGCAATGCGGAAAGCGCCGGCAAAATTAGGTTTTTCTTTTTTTTTCTTGTCTCACGAATTTTGCATCAAAAAGGCGCTAAAAAAAAGTACCCTCACTTGAAGTTTCTCCTCGATTTTTATATTTGTTACTATTGTTTTGAACAGAATTTTGAAGTCATCGACACTCCGTGACTGACCGTGTCTCGAGGTCTGGTGGGCTAGGAGACTGGAGTGTGCTGAGAAGGATTGAAAGATTGAAGAATTTGGGCAGGGTTTTCTTTTCTCATTCTTAATTATTCCTCTTTTTCTCTTAGTGTAAGTACTTTACTTCTTTCTGCATCGCACAAATTTTTTTCTATGATTAGTAGAGACTGCCCCGAAATATCCATATCTATGTGATCCCACTACACTAGTGCTTCGTTCCCCAAGGTTCTCACTCACGACTTCGCTTTCTTGCAGATCCATTGGAAGGACGGTGTTTAATTAGGATCTAAGTAAGTCAGTCGATTTTAGTCTTTCTCTCTTTTTTTTTTTTTCAAAAAATATATATATAATCCTGCTTGTCTTTTTTTCGACTCTTTTTGCATGTGTCACTTTGACTCGGATTCGCGCGGGGAGAGTGTGAGAGGGAGAATGTGTCATGCTGTCGCGGTCTGGAGTGCTTCCTGCTATCCCTCCCTCCCTCCACGGAGGGAGGGAATTATGAGGCATGATGCTTCGCACGACGGCAGAAGCTAGATAGCCTCTCCTCCCTAGCACTTGACCTTCCACCAGCGCTTTTTGATAGACGGGACGTGACGTGACACTAATACGAGTCAGAGCTGGATCGATCGAAATCGAAGATGTTGCTGTCTCGTCGTGCATGCTACAAATGTGGCAATATTGGCCACTATGCCGGTTGGTAGCTCGATTTTCTGCAATATAAGTTAAGCTTACAGACTGACAATCGAGTCTAGAGGTTTGCGCCTCTACGGAGCGTCTTTGCTATAACTGTATGTATTTTTTTTATCAGAAATGTTTACTATGAGTCTGGCTGATTGTTCTAGGCAAGGAACCCGGTATGTTGGGATATGTCTTGGTGTGCAGGTGCATATGTCAAGGCTAATGTGCTGTCTGTCTAGGACATGAGTCAAATGCTTGCCCGCGACCTCGTACCACGGAGAGTGAGTTTTCCTTATATCTCCTTCTTCTGTTCTCTGGTCGATCCCATCTGACAGTGCGCAGCCAAGCAGTGCTATCACTGCCAGGGATTGGGCCATGTCCAAGCCGACTGCCCTACTCTTCGTCTAAACGGCGGTTCCAGCAATGGCCGCTGCTATGGGTGTGGCCAGCCCGGTCATCTGGCTGTAAGCACGTTCTACTATACATAATAAGTCGGGTACTGATCTCTGCAGCGCAACTGCCCAACCCCAAATGTCCAGGGTGGCGCCCCGCGTGGTGGTAATGCTCCTCGCGGAAACTTTGGCGGGTCTTCTCGAGGCGGTTTCGGGGGATACCCACGAGCTGCCACCTGCTACAAGTGCGGCGGCCCCAATCATTTTGCCCGTGACTGCCAGGCTCAAGCTATGAAGTGCTATGCCTGTGGTAAACTGGTAAGTATCATCATCGCACAGTCCGTGCAGGAAAGGACGGCTCAGCTTATATCTTTACAGGGTCACATCTCCCGCGAGTGTACTGCTCCTAACGGTGGGCCGTTAAGCTCTGCGGGCAAAGTCTGCTACAAATGCTCCCAGGCTGGTCACATTTCTCGTGACTGTCCTACCAACGAGAACAACGCGCAGGCAACTACCGACGCCACTGCCACTGTTACTACTCCTGCGGCTCCGGCTGCTGCTGTCGAGGACTCAACTGAGGCTGTTGCTGCCCCAGTAGCTGCCCCTACGACCGCCGTCGCCTAGACGGATCATACCATCCTTTCTAAACCAACTCCTCCCATTCTTCCTTTTGTACTAGGTTTGCCGATACACTCGGCGTGATACCAAACTCTTAATGCCTCAAACCAGGATCCATTTTTTCCTCTATATCCACACGACACATTATACCTCCTTTCTCTGGAAAGAGGATGTCTTTTTTTTCCTGTTATGTATTCGACGACCCAAAAAAGAAGAAAAAGTTTTCTTTATTCACGAAATTCCCGAACAATCCTATTCCTATTTGTGTCAGAATGGGATACACATTAGCTCAAGCCTGATGTCATGATGTTACCGATTTCACACTCATGATTTGATTCGGCGTCTATTGTTATGAAATGTAATTCTCGTTGGAAACGAAGTCAAGTCTGTCAGCGACGCTGCGTTTTGCAGAGAGAAGGAGAATAACAAGAAGCGAGAGGGTAGCAAGGCGTGAGAGGCTGTGCGTGCGTTCAGTGATGTAATGGGGGTGGATCAAGGATCGTATGTTGAGATGAGGTGTTTTGTGTGTGAATCGCGGCGTGGGAGTGTTTGGTTGGAGGGGTGATGTCGAGGCTGTACTTTCTTGGCTTGAGATTTGTTATTCTTCTTTCTTCCTGAGTCTTCCAATTAAGAGGATCTGATCATAGTCTGGCCCTTCCACGTGACTGCTGTAGGCTTTCTAGAGAGGGAGGGAAGGAGCGGTGCGCCTACACCTTTCGTCTAATCTTCCTTCCTCGCGCTCACCGTAGAGTTCTCTTCGCTTGCTCTCTTCTCTATCGTTGCTATATCTTCGTTATTGGCTATCGACATTCACTTCAGTGATCATCATGCCGGCATCCACTGCGAGCGAAGAGTTCGATGAAGATGTATGCCCCTAGTTACCCTTCTAGGCCATATCTCTAATCGTAGACAGGACTTCATCGTCGACATTGACAGCATCCAGGCTCACGGTATCCATGTTATTTCCGGCATACAGACATCTTTGGTATCAATCTAACATTACTAGGCATTGGAGTCGCCGATATCACTAAACTCAAAGCCAATGGGTTCTACACAGTTGCTGTATTCCTATACCCTCACTACCTACATTATATGGACCTCGCTAACTTATTTCCAGTCTGTCCACGGTGCTACACGTCGGACTTTGTTGAAGATTAAAGGGTTTAGTGAAATCAAGGTCGAGAAAGTCAAAGAGGCGGTTCAAAAGTGTCTTGTGAGATCTTTTCTTCCTCTTTTATTTTTATTTAATTGACCGATTAGCCTTCTGCAGATGGCTTCGTGACTGCCATGGAGCTGTGCCATCAGCGCAAGAAAGTCTTCAAGATTTCGACCGGTAGTAAACAATTTGATGCCATTCTCGGAGGGTACGTACTACGTGCTGATGACTGCAGGCTAAGTATCAAGTCTAATCAACTATCAGTGGATTCCAGAGCATGAGCATCAGCGAGGTATATGGAGAGTTCCGTTGCGGCAAAACACAGCTCTCTCATACCATGTCCGTGATTGCCCAGCTGCCCAAGGATATGGGTGGTGGAGAAGGCAAAGTGGCGTACATTGACACCGAAGGAACCTTCAGACCCGAACGTATCGCTCAAATCGCTGAACGGTTTGGTGTTGATCCCGATTCTGCGCAGGAGAACATTGCGTATGCGCGTGCCTTGAACAGTGAACATCAGCTAGAATTGCTGAACTCTCTTTCACGCGAGTTCGTCGGCGGCGATTACAGGCTTTTGATCATCGATAGTATCATGAACTGCTTCCGTGTAGACTTTTGCGGTCGTGGTGAGCTGGCGGAGCGTCAGCAGAAACTCAATCAGTTTCTCATCAGACTTGCACATATGGCTGAGGGTGAGTTTTAGATTAATTCTCTTTGGGCTGGGTTAATCTCTTTTACTCTAGAGTTCAATGTCTGCGTTTTGATGGTATGTCTTCTCCATTCAATAGCTAGCCAGCTTCTTACAGTGATTTCAGACAAACCAAGTGCAGAGCGATCCAGGAGCCAGTGCTCTTTTCGCAGGTGCTGATGGCCGTAAGCCTGTTGGTGGTCATGTGCTCGCTCATGCCTCGACAACTCGTGTTCTTCTTCGCAAAGGCCGAGGTGACGAACGAGTAGCCAAAATCCAGGATTCGCCAGGTCGGTTATTTGATCTATAGTATGAGGAAAGCTAACTCTAGTATTACTGTTAGACTGCCCTGAGCGCGAGGCAACTTATATCATCACCAATGGTGGAATCAACGACCCGGATAAGGTGTGAATATCAATACTATATCAAGGGTTGATATTCGCTTGTTGAAACTTCTCACTCAATCTATACTATTTAATATGTATACATATAATGCCTACGAAAAATATATTATATTCGCATTAGATATAGTATGTGAAGTCAATTCAATGTTATTCAGAAGATCGATATCTGATTTATTTGCGGGTGAGGTCTAGTAGTAATATCTATGTAAGTCGTAGTTTAAGGCCCAGAAAATCATTCCTTTCTACCTACATAACATAATCCTCGTCTTTTCTGTCATTTAGGGTCGATTTCTGAAAATGAGGGACCAGAATCTAGACCTATGTCGTCGTCACCCCTTCCTTTTTGACGTACACCAGAATCAACAAACAATCAGCCGTCAACTTTTTCATATTGTCGGGATCCCTGAAGAATTCCTTAACTCCCGCAGCAGCTCCCCTCTTACGATAGATGTTAGGATGCCCCAGGCACCCCTCTCCGCCTCAGCCTAGTGCGTTTCCAAGGCCACACATATAAGCTTAGACTGTTATTGGGGTGTGGACTTCGAAGACAAAGAAAGAGAATACACTACTCCAAAGTGTGACGGATACTGGGTTTGTCCGTATACCGCTTCCAGTACTCGGCACCGCAGAAATCCTATCTTTTTGTCTGTCTTGGGGTGGGAGGGGCAGACTTTTTGCAAGAGTCGGCCATTCACTCTCAACTATATTTTCACTAAATCTCTTCCTGATCTTACCTATCATCACCAATCTACGTTTAACGCATACCTTTCTTCTCACTCCTATCTATGTAGATGTAGGAATCGCAGCAGGTACGCACCCATCCATTATCTCTTATACCCGTTAACGCTTCCGTTAAGAGAGATGTTATGGATTAGATACCGTGTATTCCTTATCGTAACGTGAGGCTGCGGGAATGCCTACGCTGTTGGGGAGTGGGGAGGCTGTTTGGTTGTGATATCCGTTACCGCGTTCATTGTTTAATACCGAGTTATTAGTGTTGGCTTTGTTGTCATGGCGGCACTGTTTGGGATGGCGGCACTGTTTGGGATGGCGGTACTGTTTGGGATGGCGGCACTGTTTGGGATGGCGGTACTGTTTGGGTTGGCAGTGCTGATTTGGATGTTTGTAGCTTCAATCCCTGGATATAAATACATTCATATTGTCTCTCTCATTCCACAGTAGACATTCATTTGACAGCCTCTCTCCCTTTAACTTCAGCTCAAGAACTTAGAGGGGCCGAGATGTCTTCCTTTCCAAAATCTGCTCATATCAGATCCCGCCAAATGTCAAAACTTTCTACCGTGTTCACCAAACGGTCAGCCTGTCAGACCCGTTATCATAGCCTGTGATTCCACTAGGTAGCACACGAGACAAGTCTTGAGAGCCAAGCGCTAGAGAAACCATATGTCTCACCTGCTTCACGCCAGTATAATGCCAGTTGGCTACTTCTTGCGGTGGTGGGTCCTCGCTAGAGCTGACTTGATAAACGTGTATGTCTTCATACTCGGAAATTCGCTCCAGACGAGTTCGTCGGGAATTGCCCAATCCCTGCTAGTATGATTTTGCGCAACGATCCACGAAAAGTCCTTGATAACTATATGAGCCGACAAGCCTTGATAACGCTACTCGGCCGGCATGTCAGTTCCTTAGGTTACTGTACACCTAGAGAAAGAACTGCAGCAATTGCTAATTTGCCTTTTCCAAAGAGCACAGGCCACTCACCAAGCATCCCACACCTCATCAAACCTCATCAAACCTCATATCATCCTTCTCCACCCCCTTACGACAGCTTTAATTATTCCTTTACATCGTCCACAATGGTTCCATCGCAGGTATAAAAGAATACCCAGATCTAGAGGAAACTGGGCACTTTCCAAGATGCCACGGCGTTTTGAGATCCCCAGGGCCTACATTGTTCGTGCCTCCTGAACTGATTCTGTTTCCGGAGAGTCACAAAACCATATGCCGCACATGTCCCTACAGATACTCAATTCCGATCTTACGGATGAAGACGAAAATAATAATATCGGCAAAGCTGAATCAGATCCTGGCTTACAAGATGAACTTAATGATGTCGACGACATCGACGACCCAGCCGATCCAGATAGTGAGCTTGCGAAATACATATCCTCAAGACAGAGGCTCTGTTCTATTTTTAAGTTGATCAGGCTTATAAATTGAGTGAACGGATCGGGTTACACAACAACCCCGAGAAACGAGCACAGCATCCTTCTACATTACCATATGGGAGAAATTTGAGACGATAAATAGATTTTACTCTATTTTTGTAAAGCTTGCCTCATTCGAACATCGTCCACGAGGTCCCTCGAAGCAATTGCTCTTGAATCTCGAGGAAATGTTCATGGCTTGCGTTTTACAATCGTTGAAACATCATGACCTTGAAGTTTGGTTACCTGAGGACGAAGATATTCCAAGACTTTGGCCAGGGGTACACTTCGGAGGGTACCATATCATATGACGAAATAAGGATGACAAAGGTCGAATTTCAAAACTTCTTCATGACGAAGATGACCTTTGTCGACAGTGGGCCATCGATCTACGTGATGCCTATCAGAGTCTTCGTGTCCACTCTAATTTTACCCTAATTATTCCCTATAGAAAATTGATGATAAAGTCTATGTTCACCTCAGAGGGGGCATTTTTGGCCTTTCCTGTGTGTCTCATACATTCGGAATCAACGCAAGGAATGAAATTATCAAGTTATACGGCGAATGAATGTCTTGAAGTTTTTGATATTCAGATGATGGATGGATTCGAAACTATACTCACCGCCGGCATGCTAGTGCAAATAACGCACCGCAATCTAACCCAACGAGGAAAGAACTCGGCAGAATAAAAGCAGCTAGTAGAACGGGACCAGAATTAAAGTCCATCAAACAATTTTCCCCCTACGCAAATATCAATGCATAACTAACATTCGTGATGTTGTGCTGTGATAGGATGGCACGATTAAATGAAGCCCTTTTAGCACAGTGGTAGTGCGCGTCACTCGTACCATTCGAAAATGACGAGGTCCTCGGTTCAATCCCGAGAGGGGGCATTTTCGTTTTCTGTTTTTTTTTATGACCACATATTCGTGATCATGCGAGGAATAATCCTGGAGTATTTATTATTTATTATATTTTTCTGATTTAGAACAGAATAATATATTAAAATTTTGATCAGATATCTTATTAGATTTTATGAAAAATTTATTCTATCAGCTGCGGGTCTTACGATAAGGCTTAAGCTCCGCCAAACAATTTTCCAAAATCAACCCCAAAATCAACCGGTTTATCACCAGCATCCCCCTCACAGCATCAAACCGTCGCCATAATGCCGAAAAAGTCGAAATTATTAGCCACCGAAATCTCCGGCTACACAGTCCTCCCACTACGACTCCCACCCCTTCCTTCCTTCCCTGACCCGGTCACGCACTACTTGTACCTTCGCCCGCATGACCCGCGCATCCCAGACCCAGACGCTGCTCGCTCGCTGTTCCTCGTTAATATCCCCATCGACACAACCGAGACGCACCTGCGCCATCTTTTTACAAGCCAGTTATCGGCGGGCCGCGTCGAAAAAGTGCAGTTTGAGGGTGCGCTGGGGGGGTTAACGAAACTTGCAACGACGACAACTCTGCAAGATGGCCATTCTCAGAACAAGAATAAGAAGCGCAAACGACAAGCACCAACTGCAATCGAACTGCAGACACAGCTAGAAACCTTCTCGCTGCCGTCGACATGGGATCGCGAGTTACACGCCAGCGGATCTCACGCTATCGTTACGTTCGTTGATAAATCGGCGATGGAGGCGAGTTACAAAGCTGCGAAAAACGCAAGTAAGGCTGGCTCGAGCAAAAACGAAGAAACAACAAAAATTATTTGGGGTGAGGGGATTGAGCATAGACTCCCGGCACTGGGGGCCACGCGCTACAGAACACATCTCAAGCTCATATATCCTCCTACAGACGAGTTATTAGCAACGGTGAATGAGTACATGGCGACATTCACGGAGGTCGAGGCGACGCGAGCGGCGGAGGAAGCGCGGCGATTGCAGGAGCCGGATGAAGATGGGTTTGTGACTGTGACGCGGGGTCCCAGACTCACGGATATTGCGAGGGAGGAGGAAGTGCGCGAGTTGGTGGAGAAACAGAAGAGGCGCGAGGAAGGACTTGGAGACTTTTATCGGTTCCAGATGAGAGAGAAGCGCAAGGAGAGGCAGAATGAGTTGTTGCGGAGATTCGATGAGGATAAGAGGAAGATTGCGGAGTTGAAGAGGCGGAAGGGGCGGATTATGGTAAGTTCTTCTTTTTTTTTGGGTTGAGATTACTAACTTCGTATAGCCTGAGGGTGTGTGATTGGTGCTGTCTACGCATTTTCGGCGTTGCGTGAGTGTATTCTTGTAAGGCTGGCCCGGCGTTGCTTCGGGATGTGGTATACGACTACATGGTGAGTCCTCGCACTTAACATTATTTTTGTTTCATGATGAGTCCGCTGGGGCCAGAGTAGCATATACCTCAGAAATGATGTTCATTTCTCGAATGTTTGTACTATGCCTTCAAAAACCAGCTTATCAAAATCTTCTCACCTTCTGATGTCTTTGTGCGCATGTTAATAACATTCGAGGTTATTTTATTGAATTCAGACTGACTGGAAGCAGGAATTGAATAAAAGCGGTTTGATCTGTATATAGTATAATAGACAATGGAGGGGCATTCTAGCATATTCATTCGTAAATTTCTCTCTACACATCTACACAAAAGTATCTATGGAGGGTGAGCGGCAACTTTAGTCGACCCCACCGCGACTGTTATGTCATCACCATGTGGCATGAGAATCAACACACAATTCTGGCATCCCTACTCCTCTTCACCATATACATAGAAAACAGTATAATTGAACTACCAGACTACACCTCACTACCACATCCCTACCGATGAGCATGTCTTAACCAGCCCCTCCTCAAGCTGTACCAACCATGACCGCACAATACGAAGGAGGAGGCTTCATCCCCAACCTCACCTCCCCAGCCTACTCCATCGCCACAACTGCATCAACCATCACACCCTCGCATCTCCCACGCCAACGCACACATCCCCTGAGGCCAGGGTCAAATAAGGAAAGCAGCTTAATTAACCATGTAGATGCGCAAATCCGGAATATCAATCGTCGGCATGCCAAGAAATTTAGTAGTGATATCGACGAGCATACTGATGCTAGTGATGGCCCAGGTGCCGAGGGGGGCGGGGAGAAAGGGTATGATAGTTTCAGGGAGGTGGTGAGGGATATCGAGCGGGTTATTGATGTTGTTTGGGTTAGTGGGACACGTGAGTAGCCCCTTCTTCTTCTATCTAGATATATGTTCAGGTGTAGTATAGTTGGTAGCTAACATGCACAGCATCGCTGCAAATCCCGTATCTGATCTCAGTGGCCGGCTTGGTTAGCACTTATCTCCCGGATTTCCCATTCACGCCAAAACCGACATTCAGACTACTGAGAAAACTCGACTCGGTCTTTGTCAGTCTTCTGACCGGTGAAGACGCCGAGTCAGGGGCCCCGCTGAGCGGGTTTGAGGGGAGACGAAGTGTCGTGAGTATGACGGAGAAAGTCAGAATTAAGAGTATCGCGGAGGCATGTCGGATTGCAGTGATTGAGGCAAGGGAAAGGGAGGAAGATGATGACGAGGATGAAGAGGATGAAGAGGAGGATGATGAGATGGATATTGATAGGGAGTTTGACGAGAATAGGAATTTTGGCGTTGATGAAGGTCTCACGGTGCCGGGGCAGTGGGAGATGGATATTGCGAGGATATATGAGAGGACGATACAGTTTTTGGGTGATGAGCTGGGGAAAGGAACGGATTTGGTGGTTTGATTTATCAATTGATATGTACTCAGTACAGTAATTGAAGCAGTTAGTACATAAGTAGCTCTTTGGAGTGCATTTTCTATAGTTCGATTGAGTTGACAATCGCAAGCAGAGAAATCTATCTATCCCATTACCAAAGGCCATGAGGAGGATATGGGTAAACCGAGCCAAATTTGGGGTAAAATAACATGTAGATACACCAATATGACAAAGGTTGAATATAGTACTAATCTATATCAGATTAAATATAGAGCTCTGGAGGGAATGCAAAAAGGCTGAAATATTATTAGTATTAATATGGGGAGGGCTCTTATACCTCATCCACTATCCACTTTTGTTTGCTATATTCAAACTTCTATTACCACACTGTACATAAATGATTGGTTACTGGTATTTTTAAAAGTACCTCGTAAGTATTGAGTGCACGAAAGTCGTTGGGCTGCGATTAGGCTACGACAAGGCTGAACTTTCAACTAGTCAGTTTTCCCTTGTTTATCAAGCTTTCGTTTTTTTTCCATTTTAACCACAACTTCTCGGGGGCCACCCGTAGATAATGCACAAAGTGGAAATATTATTAATATTGATATGGGAAAGGCTCCTATGTGTTTGGGATATGAGAGTGGTGGGCTGTGATTGGGCTGCGTAGGCGCCGCAGCACTGATCAGCCACACTATCGTGACCTCTGACCTAGACTGACTTCAATTTCTTCAACTTGTATTATTCTGCGTTACCTCACTAAATATTTAGACACGCTTCTAACATATCATTTTAGTAATGAGTAGGTTTATCCAGGCGTTGGCTGTAAGGTGTTCTTCTGACAAGGCTACGTCAACATGGACGAATCTCATCGACAATTATCACATGACGATTATACCGTTGGATGGATATGTGCATTGCCAAAGACCGAGCTGGTAGCCGCAGCGGCCATGCTGGACGAAGAACATCCCATACTTCCAGCCGATCCGCAAGACACGAATACGTATCTCCTTGGTCGAATCGGTCATCATAATGTCGTGATTGCTTGCCTACCGGCAGAAACAACGGGTAAGGTATCTGCTGCAACCGTCGCAAAGGATATGATTCGCACCTTCAAAGCTGTCAGATTCGGTTTGATGGTTGGTATTGGTGGTGGAGCACCGTATTATGGCGTCGAGAAGAGCGACGATGGTAGAGACGACGAATCCGAGGATGAGAATGAGGATTCCGAAGAGGAATACTCAGACGACACGCGAGATATCAGGCTCGGCGATGTCGTGATAAGTCTGCATTCAAAGTCTAGAGAGGCTGTCGTACAGTACGATTTTGGAAAGTCAGAACAGGAAAAGGAATTCGTTCGTGCTGGTGGAAAACTTAATAAACCCCCAAATATAGTCTTGAACGCAGTTAGTATGCTTCAGGCTCAGCATGAACGGAAGGGCCATAATATCTCTGAGTTACTGTCAGAAATGCTGACAGAAAATCCGCGTATGGCAACAAAATTCGGGTATCCAGGTTCAGCAAAGGATAGACTTTTCAAGTCGAGTATCATTCATAAAGAGGGAGAGAAGTCGTGTAAAGCTTGTGGACCATCTGATGTTAACCTTGTGAAAAGAAAAAATCGACATGACGGTTCGCCAAAGCTGCATTACGGAACAATCGGATCGGCAGATCAAGTGATGAAAGATGCTTTATTAAGAGACAAGTGGGCACAAAAAGAGAAGATTATGTGCTTTGAGATGGAAGCTGCAGGTTAATTTTACACTCTTCTTATAATTATTTATTATCTGACTTTCTGTAGGGTTAATGGATTCATTTCCCTGCCTCGTCATTCGAGGGATCTGCGACTATGCCGATTCCCATAAGAACAAAATCTGGCAGCCGTACGCGGCAGCAACGGCGGCAGCATATGCAAAAGAGCTTCTTCTTGTTATTCCAGGGCAAGGTCTCGTTGACCTGCCGCCAATTGAGCAAAGTACGTGAACTAATCCCCGGGTTTTGATTTTAGTCCAGACGTACTTGGAGAAATGAGTAAATATATCAATCGATATATCGCTTCTCAGCTATCTTTGTCACATCATGATTCAAACCTTAATTTAACCTTCCTGGACATTCGTCTCACCCATTTATGATCTCGACAACTTCATATTGACTAGTAATTAATACAGTTGGCAACAAGATTATACGGCAACTCGGGCATGGCGCCGATCAAATGACGAAGAGAAATGTCTCCAAGCGTTCCGCACTACGGAATATGAGAGGCAGAAGAATTTGAATCCTGAAAGAGAAGCCGAAACATGTCTATGGTGTCTTGATGACGAGAGATTTCGCAACTGGCGTGACAAATCCACCTCCTGCTTATTATGGGTAACTGCAGACCCAGGATGTGGGAAATCTGTACTCTCCAGAGCGCTTGTAGATGAGCGTCTACTTGACTCGGCGCCAAATGATACGACAATTTGTTATTTTTTCTTTAAAGACACATCTGAGGATCAGCGAAGTCCGGCGAATGCCCTGGCAGCCTTGTTACATCAACTTTTCACATCTCATGTCGGGCAAAAAGCCATCAAATATGCCCTCCCACGTTTTCGAGAGAACGCAAATAACATATCTCAAAACCTCCAAGTCATGTGGAGAATTGTTCAAGATATTGCTTTGGATTCTGATTTCGGTAAAATCATCTTTTTGATTGATGCTCTTGATGAATGCCAAAGATCAGAACAAGAGAACCTCATCAGGATGCTGATGCAGCTTGAACGGACATCGACTCGCCATGGTTCTAAGGAAACCTTCAAATTCTTTATCACAAGTCGCCCATATTGGGATATTGAAAGGGAATTCCATATCCTCATTAGCAATATCCCCAGCATTCGACTCAGAGGGGAGACTCAATCGGCAACCCTTCGCTCAGAAATAGACCGCGTCATAAGATGTCGGGTATCCAAATTAGATAGCAAGATCGTCAGCTCGAAAGCGCGAGAAAAACTTCTTGAGGAGCTTTTGAAAGTTGAAAATCGTACATATCTATGGCTCCACCTCATCTTTAATCTCATCGCATCAGAGCCCAGGGTTGACACGGTAATGGTACAGAGCTTGGTACAGGAATTACCAACAACTGTGGAGGAAGCTTATGAAGCAATTTTGCGGAAAAGCAACAACAAAAGGCTGTCTAAGAGACTACTCCAAATCATTGTCGCGGCTGTGCGGCCACTTTCTGTCAATGAGATTGGTGTTGCACTATGTATTACGGAGGCAACACGCACCTACGAAGATCTTGAGCTACAGGAGGAAGAGCAGTTTGAGGTCACCATTCGACATCTCTGTGGCCTTTTCGTTAGCATAGTCGAGAAGAAGGTCTTGCTGATTCATCAGACTGCAAAGGAATTTTTGATAACACAGAACGATGTCTCACCTCCTACCCCCGAACGAGGGATTTGGAAGAATTCCCTCTCCGTACGAGAGTCCAACTTACTTCTCGCTGAGATTTGCATGCATTTCATGCAAATGGATGAATTTGGTAGGAAATTTTCGTCTCAGAGCATAGAAGTAATTAAGGAGCTAATCTCCAAATACAATTTCTTCGACTACTCGGCAGAAAATTGGGCAATTCATTTCCGAGCTGCTGTGAACCCAAACGACGACCGCATGATAGCGTTAGGTTCGAAGCTCTGTGACGTTCAAAACGACCGATACTTGGCCTGGGTGTTAGCATATTGGAGGAAAGATGATCCATGGTCAACTCCTGTGGGATTCACGAGTCTGCACTTGGCTTCCTTCTTAGGACTTGAAGTGGTAGTGGACCTGCTACTTGCTGCCCCTGGCATTGATGTTAACGCAGCAGATGAAGTTGGTAGAACGCCACTCTCACACGCAGCATCTGGAGGCTATGAGGTGGTTGTGGACCGGCTACTTGCTGCCCCTGGCATTGATGTTAACGCAGCAGATGTAGTTGGTATGACACCACTCTCACGCGCAGCATCTAGAGGCTATAAGGCGGTTGTAGACCGGCTACTTGCTGCCCCTGGCATTGATGTTAACGCAGCAGATGAAGTTGGTAGAACGCCACTCTCACGCGCAACATATGAAGGCTATGAAGCAATTGTAGACAGGCTACTTGCTGCTCCTGGCATTGGTGTTAACGCAGCAAATAAAGATGGTACAACACCACTCTGGTGGGCAGCATCTAAAGGCTATAAGGCGGTTGTGGACCGGCTACTTGCTGCCCCTGGCATTGATGTTAATGCAGCAGATGAAGCTGGTAAAACACCACTCTCACGCGCAGCATCTAGAGGCTATAAGGCGGTTGTGGACCGGCTACTTGCTGCCCCTGGCATTGATGTTAACGCAGCAGATGAAGTTGGTAGAACGCCACTCTCACGCGCAGCATATGAAGGCTATGAGGCAATTGTGGACAGGCTACTTGCTGCTCCTGGCATTGGTGTTAACGCAGCAAGTAAAGATGGTACAACACCACTCTGGTGGGCAGCATATGGTGGCTATGAGGCGGTTGTGGACCGGCTACTTGCTGCCCCTGGCATTGATGTTAATGCAGCAGATGAAGCTGGTAAAACACCACTCCAGCACGCAGCATTTGGAGGCCATGAAGCAGTTGTGGACCGGCTACTTGCTGCCCCTGGCATTGATGTCAACATGGATGATAAAGATGTCATAACACGCCTAAAGTCACGTTAATTGTTTGAATATATCACCACAAAAATAAATTAGGTATAGGAGCCCTCCCCATAGTAATGCTAATAAAATTTGAACTTTTTGCATTATCTATCGGTGGCCCTCCAAGAAGCCTAAATCTAATCCAACATAAATTGGTGTAAAAATGCAGATGAAAGGCAGAAAATGTCGATACTGTATTCACACTTTTATTGTATAAGTTGTATCAATAACCATATAATTAGGTCTTTGTCCTACATGAGTGGAAAAATCGAATATCTGTTGAATTATCATATCTGTCCTTATAGCCAGAGCCATGAAACTCATATACTTTAAGTACTAGAGAGATATGTTTAATAACTAGACAGAATAAACTAGACGAGGTCTGATATTACTCCACAACTGAAACTTTCTTAGAGTATTTTATAAAATTTGCTACTTGTGGAGTAGTAAATCCGTCGCTACATATCATATGACAATCATTGTAAGCTGCCAGGACTCGAGCTGTTGTGCCGTTTCCTTGGTCTGTGGTAGGCGGGTGTGAGGATTACGGGCCTGGGTTACAACTTTCTGTTTAGTAGCATACTATTCAACACGGAAACAGGATGGTAAATAGCGCGGTAGGGGCATATGGATTTACAGTATTGGCACTAGGGCTTGAAAAGAAATCTGTCATGATCTAAGGGCTTTCGCCTTAGTGAAATCATTCTGTAGATAATATGTCCTTTGTATACCTTCGGCTATATATTAGAGCCCTAGGTCCCTCATGTACCTAGAGAACAAATCTCATCCATATTAGTAGAATGTACACATCCTTTAGATCGGTACAAAATCACTATATATCTGACATTCAAGGCAATTTGGAGTGTACATATATGGTGTGAATCAGGGTGGTGGTGTGTCAGACTACGGCTAATTATGACTCATTTGTAAGCTCACCTTGAACATGCTTAAATACTTCAGGCTTCGACAAAAGACGAAATAATCTCTACTCATCAGCTAGTTGAAGACCTACCTGAATCAAATTTAATAATGGAGTCCAACACTATCCGCGACAATGTCAGAAAAGCATATGACAGTATGGCCGAACACTACCTCGAATGGACCCATGCTTCGCACGGCACCCGCCTTGGCTATATCCAACGCCTCCTCGACCTCCTCGAGTCGCAACACAAAGACCAAACACCGCCACAGCAAACGCTGCACGCCCTCGAACTCGGCTGCGGTGCCGGTGTCCCTGGCACCCAATTTCTCATCTCTAAGGGCATAAGCGTCACCGCAAACGACATCTCCAGTGCCCAGATCTCGCTCGCCCGAACCCATCTCCCCTCCTCCGTAACGCTCATCGAAGGGGACATGATGGATCTAGAATTCCCGGCGGCCCAGTTCGATTGCGTGATTGCCCTGTACTCAATCTTCCACTTACCACGGGATGACCAGCGCACAATGCTGCAGCGGATACGCGGCTGGCTGAAGCCCGGAGGTCTGTTTCTAGGCAGTTTCGCGGCTGGAGAGTTGGAGGAGAAGGAGAAGGCTTGGTTGGGTGCTACGGATGGGGTGATGCATTGGGCTGGTTGGGGAGTGGAACAGACCTGTGCGGTTTTCGGGGAGTTGGGCTGGGAGGTGCTGGTCAAGGAGGTGAAGACTGAGATTGAGGATGGTAAAGCTATTCCGTTTCTGTGGGTGATGGCGAGATGAGAAAACGTATTACGATGGAAATATACTTAGTAGTTAGTACTGATACTATTGATAATAATGGACGAGCTTTGACTCAGCAAGGTTGAAGCGGGGTACTGACAATGGATCCTGACCGTACTATTATTGCCGGTTGATCGAGAAATCGCCATGCGACATTGAGTCCAAGACAAACTAAAGCCTGTGCATCTGTGTGGTGGCGGCGAGGCTCGAGCCAATCACTGCCAGCTCCGGGCTTTTGCTCAGCCACTCCCCACCACGAGCGAGGCCCAAGTGGAGAGACGAATTTAGAGAATCTGAGAAACAAGAAAGGGTATGATTAAGATTCGTGTTGGTATTAGATCATGGGACGGTACGTATTATAAGATCGATCCTTGCAGACGCCGAGATAGTTGTATAGTGTATATGGCCCGGAGATGAACGACGATCCTTGCAGATTGTTACATCATGACGCATCCAAAGCGAGATAGCCTCTTACCCCTTGTCAGGCTGCGTTAGGACTGCTTCTGGCAAGCTGCATGACAGCAGGCGGTGCAGATGATCCGTCCAGTATCTCACAAACACCAGTTATACACCTGCTAATCGGGAATAAATCGAGAATGCGCCATTGCTGATTCGCCGAGCTGGTTATACCCTACATATCTTCAGAAATTCAGATCGAGCCGGTCTGTCGGGACAAGAATCGGACAAAGAGCTAATCGCACTGTTCGCGATAGGGCGGCGGTACTGGAGGGTACTTGTACGATACTAGCCTATTATTATTATCGACCGGCGGCAGGATCAGGCGATAGATCCGACTCGTATCGGGTCATCGGGCTCGTTCGGCTGTGTATACTAATATGTGCTATGTGTACATATAGCTATTATATATAGTGTGACGGCCTTGTCTGAAGTTTACTGTTGATCTGGATCGCTGGAAGAGAGAACGCATTAATAATGAGAACATTCATCCAGCGGGCAGTGGTACTCCACCGGTTCCGACCTGCTCAGGAGCGTAATACTCAGTTCGCTGGAAACGCCAGGAGCAACATAGATATAGAAGATCGTGTAGAACATAGACGTACTATGGTGCATACACTCTCCAGTGTGCACTATATAATAATCAAGTCGAGGTCCGTAAGGGATATTAATAGAGAGAAAGGATAGAGGAAGCAGCGTGCACTGTGCAAGTTATGTAATAGGCCTGCACCAATCGCCGGCCTCGCCCGTCGCCGCCTGCCCTGGCTCCTTCCTGCCCTGCCCGCCTGCCCGTTTGTCTGCAGAGAAAGAGCGACCCTCCCGCTCGCTGTCGCTCCTTCCCTCTTTCTCCCCCCCAAATCCCGCGCTCTAAGAAAATCCTTGTCGCTTGGAATTACGCTCGCGTTCTCCCTCTTCTTCCTTTCCTCCTTCTCACTGCCCTTCTCCTCCCTCTCTTCTTGTGTTCTTCGCAGATCCCGGACGGAGTTTTTTCTTCCCTTTCTTTTCCTGCAGAGTTATCAGTTATCCTGTATCTGTATCCATTCGTGTCTTTGTCGCCGGAGTTGAGCTTTGCCCACGTCTAATTCTCTATCTCCCTCTACGTCTTCCTTTGCAGCCACTCAGTCCTTGCGCAACCGAGGCCGCCGCGTATCCTTTTTGGCTCCCCCATCAATCGAAATCCTTAATCTGCATTGACCGCAATTCGTCGCTGTTACTTGGTAAGTCTGCTCTTCCATGCCTCCCGCCAGCTGCCTCTACTTCCCCTCCATTCCCGCACCCTACGCGAACCTCGTCAGCGCTTCAGCACGTCCTCCATCGCCGACGCACCCGGCCTCCTATGACGCCTATTGTCGAGTCTGTGGTCGTGTTATGACCATCGATTCAATTGCGCTCGCGATGACCTTTGAATCTACAAACATTTACCGGGGCATCGTGATGGCCTCGTGGTGTCGCCTGATTTACGGTTGGAATGGTGGCCTCAAGGGTTGACGACTCGGGAGGATGGGCACGGTCCGATGCGATTGAACGAGATCGTGCCTTGAAAAGAAAGACGTCAAACAAGCGCAGTGCAACCGTCTTGCTGAAGGATGCGCGGATCTGGGCGGCTGCGCCATGTTCTGCGCTGGAGTCATTCGCCGGAAACGGAAGCGGCAGCAGCCACGACATAGCAGTCTCCGAACTTGATTCCTCGCACGTGCTACTCCTCCCATTATTCGTATTGTGCCACTGTACTCCGCGAATGCAGTAGTAGATTTTCGGGGAAGACCCTCTCAGAGGATCGCGTTGTCCACCACCGCTGCGCATCGCGACATCCTTCAAACGCTGACCTGACGGCACTTTTCATCCTTGCAAAAAAGATTCACTGCACTCACTTTTGACATCCCCACACCTCACCACGAATCGCTCTTTACTCAACTTCTCGACTTTTGGCTAACCACTCCTCCATGCTTTAGGAAGTAAGATACCTTTTAGCGTCCTTGCGCAAGCTTTATCACGACCTTCGCAATATTTTGCCAGCCGGTGTTTCTTTCACGACTCGTACGAGATCTCAAGTCGCGACGGCCATTTAACGTACACTTTCACAAAAGTTATTGCTTGAATTTCGGTTCTGTTACGCTGTGCTCGTGAATTGTTATTCTTCAGATCGCCATGTCTTTCCAGAACTACGAATTCCAAAACCAGCAGGATGCCGCTGCCCCAACTGGCGCTCCTGCTCCCGCCGATGCCAACATGACCGGCCAGGAGCCTTCTCCTGCGCCTTTCACTGGCCCTGCCCCTGGCGAGCCTTCTGCTGCTCCAGTTCCCCAGCAGGGAGGCGACGGAAAGACCACTCTTTGGTATGTTGGGTCATATCTAAGAAATTAGATGAGCGCGCCCGCTAATAGATTTTGAATTGACAGGATGGGTGAACTCGAGCCATGGATTGATGAGAATTTCATCCGCAATCTTTGGTTCCAAATGGGTGAGCAGGTTAACGTCAAGATGATTCGGGACAAGTTTTCCGGGTAAGCAAACACATCCCCTGCCCATCTGCCATGTAGAACTAATGTTGACAGCAGAAGCAACGCTGGTTACTGCTTTGTCGACTTTGCGTCTGCCGCTGCTGCCGCCAAGGCCCTCAGTCTCAACGGCACTCCTATGCCCAACACCACCCGTGCCTTCAAACTCAACTGGGCTACTGGCGGTGGCTTGGCAGACCGTGGCCGCGACGACCGTGGACCCGAGTACTCGATCTTTGTTGGCGACCTTGGCCCCGAAGTCAATGAATACGTTCTGGTTTCTCTTTTCCAAAGCCGCTTCCCATCTTGCAAGTCCGCTAAAATCATGACCGACCCGATCAGTGGCATGTCTCGTGGATATGGGTTCGTCCGTTTTTCGGATGAGAACGACCAGCAGCGCGCTTTGAGCGAAATGCAGGGTGTCTACTGTGGCAACCGTCCTATGCGTATCTCTACCGCCACTCCTAAGAACAAAGGTCCTGGCGTCGGCCCTGGCGCATTGGGAATGCCTGGTCCTGCTGGCCTGTACCCTCCGGCCATGGGCGGTCCTCCTATGGGCTTCTACGGTGCTCCTCAGCCAATGAACCAATTTACCGACCCCAACAACACAACTGTCTTTGTTGGAGGTCTCTCTGGCTATGTGACTGAGGATGAGCTCCGCTCTTTCTTCCAAGGCTTTGGCGAGATCACTTATGTCAAGATCCCTCCTGGAAAGGGCTGCGGTTTCGTTCAGTTTGTTCAGCGACACGCTGCTGAGATGGCCATCAACCAGATGCAAGGATACCCCATTGGCAACTCCCGTGTCCGTCTCAGCTGGGGTCGTTCTCAGAACAATTCCGGCCCAGCTGGCACCCCATACCGTCCTGCCCCCCTCCACCGATCTATCCCAACATGGGCATGCCCCCGGCGCATCAATACGGTGGCTTCGCTCCCATGAAGGTTGGTCAACCTGATGCCTAGTCCCAAGTGAACAATCGGACTGACTTGGTTGTTTGTTTTCAACCTGACAGTAAAGGAAATCATACCCGCAAAAGAGTTTTAGCCTCATTTCCGCAATGAGTCTAGTTTGACATTTGGCTTGCCCTTTTTTTCACAATTTCGCTAAGGCTCTTTTATTGCTCTTGATGAGCGAGGTTTTTTCCCTGGGCGTTTGCTTTCATCTGAGCGGTCTCTTTCTCTTTATTTACTTCAAGATATGGATGTGTCGACGACGTCCGTGTAAAGCGATTTCCAACCTAGCTCTGTTGTTTCTAGTGGCTTGCCTACTTTGCGTCTAATGATGCACGAACTCTTATGCCCATGCCCATCTAACTTCCAGATTGCACCCTTCCTTCTATTTCTCATTTTTGCCTCGTTCCCCGTTGGGTCGGCATGCTGCAAAAAGTTTTTCTTTTTTTCATGAAGCCTCTGTTCTCATGAATCGGTCCTGTCGAACGTGCTTTTGAGGTTGTTCTATCATGCTTTTTGTAGACTGACGACTGTACAACATGCTGAGCTGCTCTCGATTTCCCATCATTCCCCCGCTTTCTCTTTTTTTCTTTTACTTAGTAGTCCCCGAGATCGTTTTGCATCTCCATACGCTCTTTAGATCCACCAAGTTCTCTTTGATATTGTTTCTTCTTTCCTTGTTTCCTTAGCTTTTCCTCCTTTGATATAAACCTGTGTCCACGCATGGCGTCAATCTCCTTGTGCGAATCCATCATTCGTCATTCTGCATTGATTTGAATGCCATGGCATCTTCAGGTTATGCCGGACTTTCTTGTAGCTACTAGGGATGATAGACTGCCTTATGATGAACACCCTCGGAGTTACGGACCAAGGCGACGCTGATGTTCGTTTTTCAGCTTTTATCTCCACTTGGGTCGGCTGTTTCTTTTTCTCTGTCAGAATTCTATCACTATCCGTTCTATTCTGCTCTTCTACTGTAGTGTGGCCGTAGTCTGCCTCCTTCCCTGTCTACACAGGAAGCTACGTTTGCTGCAACCCGCGCCTGCAGCAGGCACTGCAACGACCTTCATCCTCTCCAGACTGATAGCTCAACCTGCACCGACCACGACTGTCTTTATTCTTCGTCAACAAGTAACTCCGTTATCCGTCAGCGAGAGCAGCATGAGATACAGCAACTGGGACGTGCTCCTCTTCCCGGCCGATTCCAAGGCGCCCATCCAGGAATTCCGGACCCAATGCTGTGTCGTCAGCGACAAAGGTTCGATTGAGACAGATGCCCTCTCGTCGAGATTCCTTGCTGAATGGATACAGACTCCCCGTATCTTAATTCACCGTTTATGAATCCCCAGCACGTTTTCAATCAACGGTCCCTGGGCCAGCTGCCTATCATCACCTCTTTCATACCTAGTCTACCACCGCAGAGCCCATTTCGAGTCTCAATACATAGCTGGGAAAAGCCATGCCCTTCTCGTATTTTGGAGACCGTGGTGCGTCCCGATGACTGTATCTTGTACGAGGTTAGAATCTATGCGGACAATGTTTGCATTGCGTAGGTTGCCCTTGGGATCTCCTTCCTTTCCTAGTGTGCTAATATTCATATCTACATCGCAGTGGCGGCCTTTTCAGTGCTCGTAGTGCATTGCCGCATGTGATAGGTAAGCCAGTAAACTTCAATATTCTGTCTCGCGTTTAGGACGTGGCTAATGAGCTTCCTCCCACAGAAATGGGTTCTCGTAAGTGAGAAAATCAGTCAGCATTTGATCAATATTGATGTTGCTGGTAGAGGTCGACAAGAACGGCAATCAGGAAATGCTTCGATTTCCCACCTTCCACCCAGAAGTCATCGATCAATACGCCTGGGACGCAGCTGACACGTACGGCCGGGTACGGATCATCCTCTCGGAGGGCTTTGCACGGCCTAATCGCTCTCCACCTTTTGAGAGAGTCAAGGACACTATTGTTTTTTCGTTCCAACATGCCCCCCTAAGTAAGTAGGTCTGATATGTAAGTCATTCGCAAGTTAACAAAGCACAGGTGTTCTAGAAAATTGTGGGATAGCTTGGCCCAATTCTAATATGTGGTTGCAACTTCCTACAAACCTATTCAGGTATCAGCTCAACTACGGAGGCCATGCAGACCAGAGAAGCTATGGTAGTTACGATGACCACAAGGATCTCGGAGATCTTCATGCGCATTCACCAACTCGTCATGATACAACGCGTTACGAAGGTATACGAGCGCCTGGAAATGAGGGAAATCACCAAGAATTGTGTCAACACATGCCCCAATGGAGCACGCACAAATCTTTTGCTCCAGCGTCTGCGCCGCCCCCTCTAGCTATTCCCTGGTCCGACATTTACAGAGACCGCAGGTTGAATCTACACCCTTCAAATTTCGGTAACATGTTTAATAATGGCTATGGTGGTTCAGACCCATTCTTTGACCCTCCCATGGTTCACCGCAACCACCAAACACGACACAGCATAGGTGATATTTCCATGCCAGATGCTGGTCCCTTATCTGTGAGCAGCCGCGCAATGTCGAGTGTCAATGGAATGAGTTATGACCACAGTCAACCAGCCAGTATGGCTGCGTCAGGGGAGAACGTTCACCAAGCCAATGAACCTACAGGCCCTGCGAAGGCGCTTCATACATTATCCAACCAGCAGAATCCTGCTCCTTCAATGCCACCAGTTTCCCGGCCATCTGCAGCCGCTCAAGCTCGCTCTGAATCTTACTCCAAAGCCACGTCTAAAGCGACACATCCAGACTCGAAAGATTCCAGACAAATTTCCGGTTCAAGTATAAAATCAAAATCGAGTCAGACAGGAAGCGTTGGCGAGACAGTCACTACTCGACGGCTCGCCGTTAGTCCGCAAGGTCAAGTCAAGGGCAAGAAGGAGGGCAAGGCACCCCAAAAGAGCAACCAAATCGACTCTGAGCCGCCCAGTGAACCTTCTAGCAGAGAAGTTAGCCGGGAAGTCAGTGTATCCAGTGCTCATCAACCCAATTTCATAGTACACACGACTGAGACTGTGCGCGTGTCTGGTGGTGAGGTGAAGAGAAAAAGGCATACAAAAGCGCCGGACGAAGCCTCACAGACGAGTGAATCGCCAACGAAAAAGATTCAACGAACCGAGAGGACTCCATCTCTAACGGAAACAGATGGCGGAATTGAGTGAATGAGTATCATATTAAGGAACAGCTATTCTTATCAGCCTACCACGCCAAGTCGTAAGAACCTGCCTTGTTTGTTATGTTGTGCTACTTCCCTCCTTTCAACGAAGATAACTGTATGTATTGTATTCATTGCTTGAGGTCCTGATATAGAGATGTGACATGGTGTTTGGAGTTGGCGGGGGCGGTGCCTGTTTGGGTGGCTCCTTCCTATTCGGGCTCCCTCGCACGCCCGCCTTCCACGAGTTCTTCTTGCCATCATCTCTTCGCTATCCTCAACTCTCACGCAATCATTCTCTCTCTAGAATACCAACAACTCAGATAATTCATGAAGATCACCATCCTCACTTTCACAAACCCCTCTAAGATTGAGATCTGCTCCACCCCGCACCATGTATCCTAAGAGTACAGGTTTTGAAGCGCAAACGGAGATGTCTTCAGAAGATTTCTCACAGAGACGTGAAGCTTCTTCCATCCGCAACATGGAACCGGCAGATAACTTCTATCTACCCCCCTATCAAGGCGCTGACCACATTCCACCAGTAATTCCCATAGTTGAACCGATTCGTCCTTATTATATACCTGTCGAGGAGCTCAACCAGGCTACCTACAATGCGATACTACCCAGTCCCGTTTACCCCGTTGCCGCTACGAACAAATTCGACACGTCGAACGAGGACCACATGTCAGCGACCCCTCCTCATGACTTTGGTGAGCGAGTCATGAACAGAGGCTACTACCCTGCTGCCCATGAGGTCGCCATATGTCAGCCCCTAAGTGAAATTGACACTCGCAGCTTGACAGCCAAGCAAGTGCTCTTCTACTTCGGGGTGTTGACTCTCATCCAGCCTCATCTTCACCCTACGTTCGAGTATTCCCAAGACTATCCTGGGAAGTGGACTGCAAAGCTTTTCCTCTATCGAGAAACGTTAAGCATTCCGCGACTGCGGACGCAAATGGCTGCCAAAGTCGAAATCTGTCGTGTAGCTTTGTCGTTGCTGAAATCTCGTTATGCGGACTGGAGGGTTCCAGATGAGCCGAATTTGGCTTTGACCACACCAGAGTGGTTGTGGGTGGAGATGCTGGAAGGTAAGAAGAGCAGCTTTGGCAAGTCTAGTTTTGATACTGACGGTTGGAGAATATGCACGTTCTAACAAGCTACCTGCCCCTGTTTTCACCAAATACATCCACAAGTACGGATATCGCTACGAGACAGGCGTTGGGACTGTGGCTTGCTGGGGAGTTCGCAAATTCTACGATACTGAAGCTCAAGCTGCCGATGCGGCTGCTCATCAGACCTTGTATCTCTTGCTTACCGAAGGCTCTTCGGATCTTTTCTCGCTGTCTTCGGCCTCTGAAGAAGGTATCACGATCAAACAGTCCTCTGAAGATGCCACTTCTATAGAGGAGAAAGATATAGTAAAGAGAGATAATGATGTTTGCAACGATGTAAACGTTGATACAAGACAGAATTTTCCTCATGCCAACCAACCAACGAGCCGCGGATCTCGCGCGGAGTCATTTTGCCCAGAGTCAATGGGGAAAAAACGACTCCACGACTTTATGTCGAATCTCGTTCCAGTCTCCAACGCTCGTATCTCTACGGTTAGTGTGGGAAAAGAGCCCGAGCAGAAAAGTAAGTGGGGAGTGACTGTGAATGAGCTATTGAGTGAAACAAGATCCCTGAATGCATGGAGTGAGAAAGTCAACAGTAATCCCCCCTACCTCCCCCATCAATACGAACCCAAGAAGTACTTTGGTTGACCACATCACAGAGATCTGCGAAATCCTCCACCTCACTCCCAAATTCACACTCGACTCCTCACCCATCCATCTTCCTACCTCATGCAAAGCAGTCAAATCCTACTCCATCTGGGTCACATTCCAAGACGACCCGTACCTTACGCGAGCCGGCGCCATTGGCAAGGTGTATGGGTTCTACGCGAGCGAAGATGAAGCGAAAGAGGCATGCTGCAATCGCGTACACGATTACCTGCTGAATCTCGTCAAGGAAGACACAGCGTTTGAACAAGAGGAGCGCGAGTCGTATGAGCTGATTAGGAATTTTGGGCAGAGTAAGAGGAGGAAATTGGAGAGGATGGGGTATGCGGTATGTCGGTAAAGCAGGGTTCGATAGAAGGGGCGATAGCGTTGCTTATTGGCTGGGCAACTTCTGCCTTTTAGTTTGGTCGTGAGTTCATCCGGAGTACTTTGACAAGGCATATTACAATTCTTCGATATTACTGTATACTCCTTTTATCTTAAATCAAACAAAGAAATGCTTGTAGGAACTCAAGACCAATTCTCATGACGTGAATCAACACTAGAATCCTTAAAGAAGAATATTATATTTGAGAGTTCTATTACCTAATTATTTGATCATAGATTTCAGTGTGAATTTGTATATATATATATATGTCTAGATAGACAAGTTATTAGTTATTTGTAATTCGGGCTTATCTAAATCCAATCGAATTTGACACTAAACTCAAGTTGTTCTAACGTTCAACAATTAATTAATAAAAACAAAGCAGATGCTTTTCCCTGCAATTCACCTTCAATCGAGTCCACTGGCTAATGAATTTGCAAAGTTGAATAGATCTACCATGTCTATTCCCGGAACCAGCTGCTGCATGTCCTCATCTCTAGGCACAAGATATGTAGGATCATCAACGAGAGGAAAGAAGATTGTTTCCGTCTCGGCTTCAGGCTCAGTGTGTACAGCCTGATTGTAGATGACAAATGGATGTTGAGGGATTGGATTAATAGGTGGCAGTTGCTGTGCATTCATGACTTGGTTCTGCTACTCGGGAGGAGCTGTGAAATATACTGATGTTGGCGTTGCCAAAAGAACTTTCATCGCACCTATTAGCTGTGAAATGCTTGATCCGCTACCAGATATTTCCTGGCCGAGTACTCCGCAATGAGTGGTCTGCTGTAAGGTTTGTTCAAAATAGATGCCATTGTCAGTGGATATCATTTCTTTACTTTGTTGCCGGGGACTGGGTGTCCGATTGAGGATGTCATCCCGTATCTGACTACTCTCATTATGTCACCTGTCTGCAATACCTTGTCTTTGTACATCTCGAACATACTCCCCGTGCCAATATGTGCGAATTAGAGAACCGGTAGAGTCCCGTGACTTGCGTACTCGATACGAGCGAAGTGACCACTAGCGATGTCGAGGAGCGTTAAGTTGTTATTAGTTTCTGGATTGGTTGGATTATGTACGACTAGATCGAAAAGGATAAAAAGGGTTGGATAAAGCCAGGTATATTAACAGCGCTGATGGTGAGTTATAGAAGCTACAGGGTTTGAGATTTAGTTCACATTTTCTTACGTATAGGGTGCAAGTGGTGCTGGTAAGACGGCCCTTCTGAATGTTTTCGCCAGCCGTATCACAGTTGGTGTTATTACTGGAAACGTGGCCGTAATGGCTCGGCACGAGACAAATCGTTTCAGCAAAAAACAGGATACGTGCAGCTATAAGATGTTCATCTTGAGATCTCCACTGTTCGGGAAGCACTTGAATTCAGTGCTCTCCTACGCCAGCCCTTGAAATATTCTAGAGAAGGATAACTAGAGGATGTAGATGAAGTCGTCAATCTTCTTGATATAGAAGCCTATTTGGATGCTATTGTTGGAGTTGGTGGTTCGGAAATAGCCGTGACCAAGAAATATGACGTCGTGGTCTTTCCGTATGCGGCTAGTGCTCCACATCGGGCATGGCGCGCCTGTACGCCACTTTGACCCTGGGCATGTTTGTCACGCGCCCCACCGCTGTGGCTGACGATATACAGACTGTCAGCCCTTCTCCTTTCCAATCATCGACTTCTTTTCTCCTTTCTCTCGTCCTTCTTACCCTCCATGGGCCTAGCTGACACTCGCCGGCATCCCTTCCGAGCTAGCTCGGTCTTCTACGCCTCGACCTCCCACGTGGAGCTACGTAACACTAAGAATGATAGTTGCTCTTGCTCTGATCAAATCACTTGCTCAGCAGCCTGGTTGGGCTAACTATACGTGGCTACCTCCCGTATGTTTTGTATCGTACTTTCCCAACTCGGTAAATACCTCATAGGTGCTCTCAAGCTAAAATGAGATTGGACCACGTCGTCACCTGCGTCACTTGTCAAGTGGCTTTGAGCCTTTTTCACAGCCACACCTAACCAGTATATAAGGAAGTCCATGCCCGCTTTTGACACGATACATAAACTCTCGAAAAGCCTAGGTGCCTTCTTATATCCTCCTACACTGCAGCTATCTGTGATTCGTGTTATTGGTGCATTCCAACCTTAATCCGGATATTCTGACTTGATTTTAACAAAGCTGACCAGGACTAAGTTTCGCAGGAAGTCTCTAACATGGCTAGCCCGTACTCGTTTCTCGATCGTGATCACTATGGATTGGATCCGGGGTACTGCAAAACGTGCCATCTCAAACTCCAACCCGTTTTTGAATACGGCATCGGTCCAAAAAAGCCTTCTGAACTCGAATCAATACTTGCAGGCACCCCACAGCCTTCTCAAGGCGTCCGCAAGCATCTTTTATTTTGCTCGAAATGCCAGAAATATGATGATGCAGACAAGATGCCTCGATTAGATCTTCCGCAGTTTTGCAAAAAGTGCTATCGCGAGCTCAGCCCCTTTACACCAGATCACCGTGAACTGAAAAATCTCTCTCGACTCGAAACAAAAGTTTCAGGCATCGGAGGATCTTCACAAAGTCCTCTCCAGCTTGACCTATTCTGCTTTAAATGCCGAACACACCTTCACGCAAGAAATATATCACCCACAGTCCTACGCTGTGTATTCCCTAAATGTATAAAGCCAGCCACGACTTCTGTCGGCTATTGCAAGGAGCATTGTGACATTGTAGATGCTCGCCTAAGGATGGAAGCAAGCCAGAATAGCTCGTCCTCAAATACCAGGGTGGGCAATCTCCCTACATGGGCGAAAACCAAGGGATGGAAAGACAGCAGCTCGAATTTGGAGGGATTAATTCCCAGGAAGAAAGCAACACCACGTCTCGGACATAATAATTTGAATGCAAGTTCAACTGAGCGATTGAAGACTACTCTTCGAGAAGCACAACTTCCGAAACCCAACCCCCTTCTTCCGGGTTCGTTTCAGAAGATACACGTAGACACCAGTCTTCTAGGGGAGCCACAACGTCCGGAACTCAATCCCCTTCTTCCGGGTTCGTTTCAGAGGATACATGTAGACACCAGTCTTCTGGGGAAGTCGCAGGGTCCAAAACGCTAAAAACCACCTGGATATACGGTAGTATGACCATCTTCCACGCAAGTGCACATAAAACGACCAAGGTGAGTAACAGGCCGCATTCAATTTCAGACGCGTATGCTCATGATCTACTTGTGAACAATGGTAAAGGCTGAGGCATCAGGACCTTTGAGTGCAAACAGTTATCTCAGAACGGTCGTATATACCGGTGTGTTAAATCAGGCCTGGATGGATGGGCACTAAGAGCCTGATATGTATGGATTTTTTTTAGGGATAATATGGTAGTAGTACCACTAGGTATATGATTACTATGCTGGGATGAAGGGCTCTGTGTAATTGTGATATGAGTTGTATGAATACATGATGTATAGGATAGCATTTCTAAAAGCTTTTGTGTATATCCCATTATGTCGGCAACTTCAATTATTTCCAAACTAATGAGGGTTGTAAAATCGGGACATCGAGCAGCTGTCTTCATCTAAGATTTATATTATTTTTTTCTGCACTTTGTCAGAGCTGTCGTGACCTACCCAATGATGATACACCTCTCTACGCCAAAATGGCAAGACTTTGCGGTCGAAACTAGCCACTATGATGCCCCTAGACGCAACATTGGAATTTGAAATTAAAGACCAGGCTGGTGGATATGGATTGATCAAAATACTGGCTTAGAGTGCAAGACGGTGTCAATCGGACTCAGATGTAGGAGTGTTACAAAGAAAATGATCATGCCTCGACTTTGGGCCTGCACCGAGGACCGTGCGGAGCAGCGATCATTGAACGCCTTCGCGCCGCACATTTCATTTATGTAGGAACTTCAGCATACCCATACATACGCCCATACAACATTAACCCCAACCCTCTAATCAATTACCATTACCAATATCAATAGAGCGTATACCTGCTTACTATACTTGATACTCACGAAAAAGAAAAAGAAAGAGAAAGTGAAAAAGGTGGAATATCTTATCCTTATCCTTAAAAACCAAGACAAGTAGAATGATATAATAAGTTATTGTAAATAAAACCCGAACCAAATCCATCAAATAGAAAGCCCAATCCGTTTAAAATATCATCGAAGCGTTGGTTAGCCGGGATATCGACTAATCATTTTTTATCAGCCTGGAGACAGCAGACAGCAGATGGCGATGATATGAGGGGAAATGCGAAAGGGAAAAAAGGAGGAGTAAGCAAGACGACATCAAGATTCAACATGCCTGCTAGGTAAGGTAATGGAGCTAAATTCTAAGTAAGTGATTGATTCATCGCACATCCCATACCATACGTCCGCAACACACGCACACAGCAAGACAGGTAAAATAAATAAGCGAGGAAAGGAAAAAAAGGCGAGGCCAATAGGTCAAATGATGTACAGGTGTAGGTGAACAAGAAAGAAGGCGCGAAAATCAATAATTCGTAGAAACGGGCGCTGGATCACCAAGACAAATGAGAGAGATAAAAGACAATATATCCAAAGCCACGGAGACAAGCCAGGGTATGACATATAATGCTAAATATCGTAGCACCTCCGATACTCAGGCACCGCCGTAGCATCTCCCACAAGACATTGCGCCAGTTCAAAAATGATGATGACAAACCAATAGGCAAAAGGGCGAGACCAGTGGTCTGCAGAGAAGAGATGTACAGATTCAGATATGGGTATAAGGATTTTAAAACAAGAAATAATGATTAAATGTCCTCGGGATCCGTTCACAAGCCATCGGTGCCTGTCTCTACGCCGTCTGCAGAGTAGCTGATGCTCGGGTCGAATCCGAAGCCGGCCGTGTCGCCATCAGTGTTTAGGAATGAGTCAAAATCGAAATTCTCCAGAATTTCGGGATTTTCAAGAGCACTGAAATCAAGATTGAACCCAGATGGCTAGAATGCATGTTAGTTTTATATTTATATCAGAAAATTTATGGTTAGATGCTTACATCTGGCATGAGGTCACCAAATCCGGGGTTGGGATCTGGTTGCTGTGGAACCATTGGAGGTGCAGGAGCTGAAGTGGGCTGTTGCTGGGTGGTCGTTGTAACATTCGGCACATTTTTATTGAAGGAATTAGGATGCTGTGGAGTAATAGGTGTAGAGGGGGTAGGAGTCGGGGGAGGCTCAGCCTCGGATGAGGGAGTGGCAGCTGCTGCGTTCGCCGCGGCGGCGGCGGCCTTCTTTGGAGGACGCTACAAGAATGTTTAATATAGACCACATATAAGAGTACTAAGTTGTCACTTACCTTTCTGTTCTTCTCAGTGTCCTTTTTCTTCGGCGCGGCCTTGTTCGACTGCTGTGGAGTCGGCGGTGCCTGTGAGGGAGAAGCAGGCTTGCCACCAGCAGGGGGAGCAGAGGGTGGTGGCATTGCATTACGCTCTTGCGGAGTAGGAGCCGGTTGAGTAGCTGGCGATTGCTGAGGCATCATCTGTTGGCCTTGAGGACCCTGGGCTGCTTGCCAGTTACCACCGGGCATGCGGTGATTAGGCCCTGGTTGCATAGCCTGGCCCATCTGAGGATTGAATCCTTGGTTAGACGTAGGCGGCCGCATACCATTAGGGCCACCAACCATGCCATCAGGCTTCATGAAGAATGCATTATTCATATCCGGAGGGATTTGACCGCCGTTGAAATTCATGGACGCTGGAGAGCCACGGCCCTGTAAATCGCCAGCATTGGGTGAGCCTGGAAGGCCTGACTGAGGAATCTTCGGAGTTCCTCGCTTGATTTGCTCGCTTGGGTTTGGAGATGTTCCCGCTCTACTACCCTGTGGCGAGGTACCAGGAGGTAGACCGGGCTGGCCAGGCATGGGCTGACCATCGGGGCGAGCCATGCTATCCTGTTCCTGGCGCGCCATCATCAAGCGTCTTTTGTTTTGCTGCTCAAGTAGCATTAACTGCATTTGATAATCTTGAAGGGCGTGATTGCCGCTTTGACCGGCGGCATTCGCCATTCCGGCTCGAACGCCGCCCATCTCACCGTTATAAAGTTGAGCGTTCATCATCTGAAGGCTCTGGCCATCAGGCATCTGCGATAACATGTCGTTTTGGTTCGGCATAAGGCCGGTGTTCATCAAGCCGTTCGGGATACCCTGATTATTCATTGCTGAGTGCGAGTGATGAAGAGCCAGATTCTGAGCATATACCTGGATGGATTTTTGCTGCGCAGCTTGACCTGACTGCTGGAAGGCTTGGAACTGCGCAGGATTCATTCCTCTTGGGTTGATCCCATTCTGCATCAACATTGCCTGCGGATTCAATTGACCCGGCATTTGACCCTGTCCCCGACCATTTGGTGTCATTTGCTGGGCTACCGCTTGAGCGCCATCGAGTCGAGGTCGTTTCGAAGGCGAGGGAGCATTTTCGGCCGACGATGGTGACTGAGGCCGGTGGCCATTCATGTCCATATCCGACTGCTCGCGTTGCATCTGCATCTGCTTGTTCTGGAATTGGGCCATTTGTTGGGGGGTCCTAAAAATCATTTATCAGAACTAAACCAAGTCGGGAAGTAAAGAAGAGTTGGAAAAGGCGACATACATTCCTCCAGTCGAAGTATTGTTCTGCAAGGCAGCCTTCTGCAGGTTGACTGGTTGCATTCCATTGCGGCGAAGGTTAGCCATTTGATTCTGCATCATTATCTGAGGTTGACGTAAAAACTGTTGGTTAGCTTGTTCTCGCAAGCGCATCAGATTCTAATTGTTGGTGTCAGCAAGTGGAGTTGGGGTAAATCATCCGATCAACCAACCTGGGTGTGTTGAACAAATTGCTGGGCCATTGGATTCGACGAGCCTCTTTTACGTTGTGCAGCAAAAATATCCCAAAACAGGCTAAACCATTCGAATAAGAAAGAGTTTCCGCTATCCATTGGGACACGGGGGCGGGGGAATTCGTCAGGGATTTTGATTTTTTCGTCTTTCCCATCGGTCATCGACGTGTCTCCGTCGACACCGTTCATATGGTTGGGACTGGTTTTTGGTTCGAGATCAGTATCTAGTTTGATGCTGTCGTCGGACAGAAGCATTCTTGCCACTTCGAACTGGCCTCGCTTCAAGAAGTAATCGTAGATACAGGTGTTCAGTTGGATATATAGGTGATCTTGAGAAGACGGCGGTTCATTGCGGGGAGCAGCTGAGCCACTATTCATCATGGGGACTCCCCCGACAGGACCACCAGGCATGGGATTCATCCCGGCCATCCCAGCGATGTTCATCGAATTCATGGCTAGGAGCCCACGCGGGCCACTTCTAGCTCAAATAAAAACTAGGATATGGTAGCCAGGCTGCTTAAGTGTCGAAAATACGCGTGATGCGTAGCACCGAATTGTCGAGGCCGAGAGTTTGATGGGGTCGCGCGACCGAGGCGATGGTCTTATAAATGATGTCGCGTCGTTGGTTCCTCCTCGGGGGCCGGTTCGTCAAGAACGCAAAGGAGACGGCGAGGCGTCGCGAAGGGATGCGTTGGCTGACCTGGAACTGGATATCAAGCGCAACGTAGTAGTAGATAGGAGGGGTCCAGAGCACAAAGACAAATGGAGATCACGCGAGAAAAAAGGCGTTTCGGTGAGCGGTGGCGAGGCGGTGACCCGGGATTGTTACGAGAAAGGGACGTAGCACCAGGCGGGACGACGAACGGAGACCACAGCAGCGTGATGGACGATTGCGAGGTGGACAGTCAATGACCAGAGGGGAGAAAAGAGAGCGCGAGGCGCACGCTGGTTGATGATCCGGATACGGCAACGGGCGCTTAAGAGAAGAGACAGGAGGCAATCCAACTATAACTAGTGGCACAGCACCGACCGATATCGACGACCAACGCTGGGCTGGGCTGAGCGGCGGGCCAAAAATAGCGAGCACGACAGGGCGGAGTGAAGGGAAGAGAAGTGAACAAATGAGAGCCCTCAGGGAAGTAAATTGCACCCCGGTGGTTGAGATGGAGGCAGGCTGATAGAGCGAGACACAGAGAGAGGGCAGATCGAAGAAGGTTGGGCAGGCAGGATAAAGGTGGAAAGTGGTGGATCTGCCGGGATGGAATAAGTGAATTTGGGGGGGGAAGGGAAGGCGATACCTGGGCGGGAGTGCCGCTGCACTGCAGGGCAAAGAAGCCGCTTCTGGCTGCTGGCGCCGCGCCTATTGGTCTGCCGTCTGCGGTGGCCGGGCCGGAAAAACGTTTGGGCCACACTAAAGGAGGCTGGGAGCGCGCCGCCCGCGTACTTTTCAGCATAGCCGCTGCCTTGCTGCCTTAGGCTGACGTCGTCGCATACATGACTTACATACAGATTGGCAATTAACCATTACATGCATGCAGACTCAATATGGGGCCGACTGCCGTTTGGGATCGTGCACACTGTCTTAGAGGGCTGCTAACTTACTAGGCTAAATTCCGAATGAAAAGGAAGCGACTACTCTCTCAATCATATATGTCATTTACACATTTATGAAGAATGTACGGTCATGAATATACACCAGGGGCTGGCTGCGCACTTCTCAGAACAAACTAATGACGGGCGGGGCGTAGGCCTTGCCTCTCTGGGACTAGCGCATCACGTGGAGCGGCTTCTGTGGATCGGCACCCTTACGAGTAGCACTGTCCTTCCAGTTCGCTGTTGTTCTGCACAACAGCTGTATCAGATTGGACATGTGCAGCGCGGGGAGGGTGGGAGAGATGTGGCAAGGTGAACAGCGATAGACCTCAATTGGTGGGTGGAAATGCCAATCGGACGGTGTCTGACGAGCTTTTGGTTTCAGAGTGGTGGTTGATTTGTCTGATTGAATGATGCAGTAGTGGTAGTCTAAATGATCAAGGAATTGAATAGGAATTGAATACGATATGGAATATCACTGATATCTACAACGCCAGACGCCTCACGCCTCCTGCTGCATGAGATAATATCCCTACTCATCATCCGGTGGCATTTCGTCCTCGATATATCGCACAAGCGACACCCGGATTTCAGTTGTGTCGTTGCCTCGCAGCACGTCGCTGACAAAGTGTGCTTCAACTTGCATTTGGACCTAGTTTGTAGAGAAGATTAGATGTTGGATTCCGCACTACCTTGTGCGCACGCATGCCAGGTGACCGGTCTTACCATTTCTAAAGCCCCTCGTAGCACGCCACAGAGGATATTCGAGAACCATAACTCATCTTGCGCTCGCCCATCATCAGGCAGCTCGACAAAGTCTGCCAAGGGGTTCTCATCGAAGACCAGGGAAAATTGTTTATTGTCGCTTGTCCAATTGGTGACAGTGGGCGTTATATTAAGGAAGATCTTGAACCCGACCTACGCATATCAAAGTCAGTATATTCCAAATATTCAGTAACAGACATAGCCGTTTATACATACCTTCGAGATCATATCAGCAGTCTCCCTGAAGTTGGCGCACCGTCCGGTGTTCGACTTGGCAAAAAAGTCCTCAATCAGACGCATGCCTATATTATATCCCATCTTGTCTAATTGCTTATTGACCTCGTGATAATCTCCATCATAATCTTGGCATAATTGAGCGACGATTGTTCCATATGTCAGAGTCACTAACTCGGCATTCACTTTGTCGATTTTTGTCCTGCATCACCGTATTTAGAATCCTGGACCATATCAAACTCGAATCGCATTTCTGCTAGGAGATGTTCGATAGTAAACTTCGAAATGTGGGAATGAACTCACTTCCAGATTCTAATAAGCAGTTAGCAACAATTCCACGGAGGCTAGGCGCAACAATGGTCTTACTCTTCCCCTATTCGGGCCGCTTTGGTGGTTGACGACATCTCTCTTGTAATTAGAATGGTGCAGTCTTCAGGTCCTGACAAGCACTATGCTTCTTCTTCTTCTTTTTCTCGTATTATAAATGCAGGCGCTTGAACTCGACGTGTTGTTGAATCTGCGAGATCTTGTGTGGGGAAATGGCCGAAGATAGGTCCGTGATATAGCCGCCATAAAGCGTTTAGCGCGCCTACGCGGGCATCTGGATTCTGGATGCCCACCACGGCAAGCTTTACCAGGCGATCACAACCGCGTCGAAACTGACTTCTCACTTCGAATTTCCTGTGCACAACGCCATTTTTTCCCCCTTCAAATATACTATCAGGAGGAGTATCACACAGTCGTCATGTCCGGCGAGAAACGCCCGGCTCCTGAGGCATTCGGCTCCTCCAGCCAGCTGGTCGTGAAAAGACAAAAATCTAATACCGACCTGAATTCGACTTCAATTTCTTTGCGGCCTAGCCAGAACGATGCACTCATACAAGCTGTATGTATAGCCCTCTTTGTTACTTCAATACAGTCATCACTCGCCACCAAATATCAACGTGGTTATGAAATGCTAATTTTGCTAGCAGATCCCCCGAACCAGCGGTCTCGCTGCTCCAATTATGGAGCTTACAGGTATGCTCCATGACTCTCTTATGACCTTGCGATTTCCGGTCTGACTCGGTGAGAAGGCCATTCTGGGGAGATATTCGCAACGCGATTCGATCCTACAGCGCAAAGTATCGCTTCTGGGTCTATGGACCGTAGCATAAGTGAGTTCTGGATAATCTTCCAAGCTGCTATCCAGCTAATGAGATTCGTATAGTGCTATGGCGAACCTACGAACAATGCGAGAATTACGGAGTACTCAACGGGCACAAGGGAGCTGTGTTGGATTTGCAATGGTCAAGAGACTCTCGTCTAATTTTTTCGGCTTCGGCAGATATGACTGTAGCGAGTTGGGATCTTGAAAGCGGCCAACGGATACGAAGACACGTGGGTCACGAGGAAGTTATAAATTGCTTAGACATTAGCAAGCGTGGCCAGGAGCTGCTTGTTAGCGGCAGCGATGATGGCTATATCGGGATTTGGGATCCAAGACAAAAGGAGGCTCTTGATTTTGTCGAAACAGACTTCCCGGTTACAGCTATCGCGCTATCTGAAGCTGGAAATGAGATTTTCACTGGAGGAATCGACAACGATATCAAGGTCTGGGATATCCGCAAAAAGGCAGTGGTGTACACGCTCGTCGGTCACAACGACACTGTCACATCCCTTGAAATATCACCCGATTCACAGTCTCTGCTATCCAATTCTCATGATTCTACTGTTCGCACTTGGGATATTCGACCCTTTGCCCCTGCCGATCGCCATATTCGGACGTTTGATGGCGCACCCGTGGGATTGGAAAAGAACCTTATTCGGGCCAGCTGGGATCCCAAGGGAGTAAAGATTGCAGCTGGCAGCGGAGACCGCAGCGTTGTGGTCTGGGACTCGAAGTCTGGCAAGCTCCTTTACAAACTTCCCGGACACAAGGGTTCCGTAAACGATGTTCGCTTCTCTCCAAACGATGAGCCTATCAGTAAGTCTATGGCATGTTCTTCGCACACGGCTTTTAGCTGACAAAGTACACAGTTGTCTCTGGCTCATCTGATAAAAATATTATGTTGGGAGAACTCGGAAAGTAATCGCATTCATACTACGCATCCGCATCGCACGTCTCTACAGATCAAAACAAGATACATTTAACTAGTTCCTGCGCCGTCACACTTTGATGCAATGCAGTTGAAAAGACACTATTAGAGCATCACCACTGGAACCGAGAACGTAAAGGGCACCGAAGGCGAGACATTATAAGGGGAGACCTTGTCAGGCTCGCCAGGGGTGTAGGAGTCGCCGCTCCTGTATTACTACTTCAAACCGGCGATTTTTTTGGACCGTGATTTTTGAAAAGGGGAGCGGGAGTTGTACAATATTAAATGAACCCCGGGTTTCATATGTGCCCATGATACCATATCTATTTGCATTGATTATCTGACTTGATACTCGTCTGTTGCATCTGAGACTTCGCATAATCACGCGAGGCGGCGCAACACCAGTAGATGATATGGAATCGGCACTAGGGCGATACAAAGAAAGGAATTAATGTTATCAATTATTGGATAGAAAAGGCTTGCCGAAAAATGGTGCCGCACACCCGAAACAGGAGTAGCTGTAGCACGGATACTCCCTAGTTGCAGCTAATCCGGCTAGTCTTGCTGCGTGCTAAATAGTAGGACTAGCAAGAGTCTCCAGCCTCACGGCGCCACTGTTATCTCTGCGTGCGTAAGCTGGATGCGCTCTGCGTTTGCTGCTCACACTCATGCTAATGCATAGTCGTGCTGTGTTGTCTGTTATCATGTAGAACACTGCAGCTCTCCGAGGTCGCATTCAGTTATCGACATCTCCTAAGTCAAGGCTCAACAGGGAGCCAGGCGAGAGTTAGGACTTGGGGGGAGACGGGGGAGACCAGGTGCTCTGCCGATCTCCTGGAAGCCATGGCCAATCGCTAAACATTGTCAAGCAATCTGCGTCCGGCGTCTGCAGCCCCTGCTTCGTGGCGCGATCCCGGCAGGCAAAAAGAAGCTCCCAGCCTTGACTGTGTCCGGCCTAGCCTGAGACCCTAGCTCTGGGCGGAGATGGAGGAGGAGCAATGATCAGGGGAGGTGTGCAGCGATGAAGTTCCCTGTGCTTCACCACCCGGCCTCGATTGTCAGGCCATCCATGGCTTTTGACGTCTCTGCCATGCCGTGCTTTTCCGCCCGTCCTGTACTGTGACTATAAACCATCGTCGCTCACTACTCTTATTTGTTGCTACAAAGCTCGTCAAACTGCTGGACAGTCCGCGAGTTCTGTACCTTGTCCTGCTTCTTGTCGCCGCCATTGCTTCCATCCAATGCATTGCAGACAGCCTATCGTTGTGTCACTCCACAGTCACGGTATCTCGCCATTCGATACGAATAACATATAGCATAAGAACTCGTCGTGTTCTTCTCCTGACATCACTGTCCTACAACATACACTCCAAATCCAAACAACCCTTGCTACATTTCTTATTTCAGCGATATTTATACGATACCCTTATATTACAGCATCAGAAATAGTCATTAATAATGGAACTTCCTTCTACCTCTTCGCATACTGCGGCAACTGAGCACAGCGCTCATGAATCTTATTCAGCCTTCACGTCGGACTTCGAGGCAAACAGCTCGCAAACACACACATCTCCTGTCTTTTCTAAGCAACCAAGGCTGAAACAGAAGATTAGTCGATTACCACTACGTCTCTTTGGGATACCAAATAAGAGGATCGGGCAATCCTCCGAGGATGTCATCATGCTTGTTCCGGAGCCATCATCTAGCCAACATGATACGTCCATGCAGACAGACAGCACAGCCAACTCACTTCCTTCTACGAGTTCATCAAATAGAACGCGACGGAGACCAGAGGTTACTGCATGGATTCGAGAACCTGCGAGGAAACGAAATGCCTCCAACCGCGTGAGAAGGTCTTACCGGAAGGCTTTGAAAGACCCGGCAGTCCGCAAACATCTGGTGATTTCCGTGATATTAGGGTTTCTTCTTATTTCGACGATAGCTATGTGTACGTTCTTTCCCATAAAATACATGCATCGGCATCTAACATTTATAGATCTGGCATTCGCCCTGGCCTCCGACACGTTTCAAGGCCAACAGTTTCACGTCCTAATCATCCTATTCATAATAATCCTCGCAATAGTCTTCTGTCATTCCGTTGCACGTACATGCATGCTTGCCACTCGGTTTGCAAGATACGGTACCACTCTTCATCGAGTACCCAGTGTCGTCGGCCCCCGAGGATATGCTCAGCCTGCAGAACCTATACACGTCATCCTTGCTCGAGACGAAGAAATCGCCGAACAGGACCAGACCAGCCCCGGTCAAACAAAAGTCACACCGCCACCGCCAGCCTATGGTCTCTGGCGCAATAGCGTGGTATGTTTGGATCATAGACTAGTCAATGTCAGAAACTAACATTTGTATCTAGCGCATCGATCCAAATATGATTCACTGGCAACGAGTGGAAGCAGCCAAGGCTCGCAAAGCCAATCGCAGTGAAACCCCAGAGCCAAATACCGCTAATCGGCCGCCAAGTTATATTTCTGAGAACGGGGTAGATTATGTTATTGAAGCGCAACCGAGATCAACGGTATCTCATCAAAAGGAGCTTACAACATAGGTTCAATCCTAGGGAAGCGTTGAATCTATTTTGTATTGAACTTGCTAAAAGTTGCGATTTTGCATTGATATTTTTGCTGGTCTCATTCCTCGCTGCATCGAAACTGCTATGCGTCGGAACTATTAAATAGTAAATAATCTTGCGAATGAATAAACGATGGAACAGTAATGCAATTTTCAACAATAAACAGTAAAGAAAACGAACAATTATGTACAAGAATAAACATTCTTTGTATACTCAAAATGCAAGTCGATCTAGAAATTAATAATTAGGACTGTAGTAGTGATATCTGGCCTAAAATAATTTATCCGCTCTTAGTACTGGACACCCGATCTCGCCACATTCCAAACAAGTAACTTCTCGTGCCGTTCCTCTTACAGCTCACAATCCAAAGTCTTCGAATGAAGATCCATGGATGTTTCCCCATCAAACACCATGCTACACCTCTAAAGCCAATGACTGATGATCCACCCATCCTCTGTCGGCGATGCGCGCACTACGTCAGTGCCCGCAGTTATCATCGGGCTTGTCGTCAATATGTCTGAGCTACATGGTCATTCTGGCGCTCTGGCTGGTCCAGGTCCAGGCAATGAGAGAGGGTCAGATACATGAGCTAAGGTAATTAATCCCAATTGCAGTACCATTCGAGACCGCACCACCGGGCATACCTGGGGCCCTGCTGACAAGCTCCAACAGGAAAGAAACAGAGCAACTATTCTACCACGGCTTCGACAACTATATGCATTACGCCTTCCCTGAAGATGAGCTTCGACCGCTTTCGTGTGGCTCTCTAACCCGCGACCGAGAACATCCAGAGAAAATCGAATTGAATGACGTGCTGGGTAATTACTCTCTTACACTGATTGACAGCTTGTCGACGCTAGGGATATTGGCGTCTAGTAAAGAGTCGGGGTCGAAGGCATGGGGTTATTTTGAGAATGGTGTGCGCGACTTTGTCAGACTGTATGGAGATGGGTCGCCGGGCCTGGCAGGGCAGGGTGAAAGGGCGCGAGGGTTTGATCTGGATAGTAAAGTGCAGGTCTTTGAAACTGTTATACGGGGTCTAGGTGAGTGCTGTTGAAATGGTTATCATTTTAGAATTTGAGCTGACGTCTTTTTTTTATGCTTAAAGGCGGTCTCCTCAGCGCTCATCTTTTTGCAGTCGGCGACCTACCTATCAGAGGTTATACTCCTCCAGAAGAAAACAGAGAATATGCGCGGGCTTGGGACAAAGGTTCTTTTGGACCTGGTCAAAAAGGCATTGGCTGGTCAAATGGCTTCGTGTACGATGGTCAACTATTGAGACTTGCGCGAGACCTGGCCGACCGAATTCTTCCTGCATTCTACACACCAACCGGGCTTCCATATCCCCGTGTGAATCTTCGATACGGTGTCCCTTTTTTCGAAAATTCCCCCCTGAACAAAGCAGATAGTGATGGTAATGCCGATTCTAACGACCGGACTTCAAGTTTTAGTCAGCCACGAGAGATTACTGAGACGTGCAGCGCCGGCGCTGGCAGTCTCCTCTTAGAACTCACCACGCTTAGTCGATTGATTGGTGATGGACGTTATGAAGATCTTGCCAAACGAGCTTTTTGGGCTGTTTGGTTAAGAAGAAGTGATATTGATCTGATTGGCGCTGGTATTGATGCAGAGACAGGTGGATGGGTAGCCCCATATTCTGGTGTACGATAACTCTCCTTGTATCGTGTGAGGTGCGCTAATATGAATTCACAGATTGGCGCTGGAATTGACAGTTTCTTTGAATATGCCTTCAAATCACATATTCTTTTATCGTCCGGTGAGCGGCCTGAATTTGACCCAAGTAATCGCTGGAGTGCAATGGACAATTATTTTCTCCCTCTTGAAGAAATCCATCATCACCCTGAGGCCTATCTGCAAGTCTGGGAAGATGCTCAGGATGCAATCAAACATCATGTCTATCGTGGACAGGGTTACCAACATCCACACTTTGTGCAAGCTGATATTCAGACTGGCGCAACGCGAGCATTCTGGATTGATAGTTTGAGTGCATTCTATCCTGGTGTCCTCACCTTAGCTGGCAAGATTGAGGAAGCAACTGAAATCCATCTTTTAGCTACTGCCTTGTGGACTCGGTTTGCAGGGTTGCCAGAACGTTGGAACGTTGTCACTGGAAACATAGAAAATGGACTTGGTTGGTGGGGAGGACGTCCTGAATTCATTGAATCGACGTACTACCTGTACAGAGCGACTAAGGATCCGTGGTATCTGCATGTCGGAGAAATGGTTCTGCGAGATATCAAACGGCGTTGCTGGACGAGATGTGGCTTGGCTGGTCTTCAAAGTGTCCTCTCTGGGGAGCTTCAAGACCGCATGGAAAGCTTCTTTTTGGGAGAAACGGCAAAATACATGTATCTGCTTTTTGATTCGGACCATCCTTTGAATAATATTGACTCGCCATTTGTCTTCACCACAGAAGGTCATCCCCTGATTATTCCCAAGGAAACTTCAACACAGAAAAGAAGTCATGCCGAGTACAAAAGTAGTACGACTGGGATGTGTGAGATTGCTCCTCACCTTCCGCCGCTTGGCTCTTCTTCAACTGCAGCTCGTTCGGATATATTCCATGCTGCGAGTCTAGCACGCTTGCATCTAATGGAAAAGCGAGAGACGGGAGGCGCGTTGGTCGAATTCTCCCGTGATTATGCAAGTGTGACTGTCTCCGATCTGTTTTCTCCATCCAACTATACATTCTACCCATGGACTCTACCCCCAGAATTAGTACCATACAACGCAACCAGCGCACCAATGTCTATCCGTCCTACACTCGATATATCCTTCCCAAACCTCCCGGGTATGCTACTTGGACCAGGGTCAGTGGAGAGAGTACGAGATGGCGTTTTCCTGAAAGCAATAGGCGGCATGCGACTCGGAATGGTGCAAGACTTACCACTCAATCCGGACAAGACTTGGCCAGCAGCGTCTGCGGATGGATTTCGCATACAGGTAATCAACAACGTACCACTTGGCAAAGATGAAAAGGTATATTTATCGCGCGAGGTGACATTTGGAGTGCTTGATTCTGATGATCCGAACTTTGCACGGGTCCAAGACTCCATTATGCTGGATATTGTCATCGACGTCGAGCCAAAGATGCCAACAATGGATAATGCTACAATGGCTATTCCAAATGACCACATCACCATTCACCATCAGCAAGAAGCCACGGTGAACAAACCAACCCCGTCAGCCATGGTCTCCAGTGAGGAGCTTATAAACGCAATTTCTCGCGTGTCAGGCATGAAGACCGCTCTATCCTCTCTAGTGAGCCACGTTTCCTCCATCATACAGGAGGAATCTACAGAAAAAGCACAACACCCTGCAGACCCGCTACTCTCGCAGAAAGAAACCCCCAGCAACAGAGCAATCCGCATGACAATCCCAGCCGTCAATTCCATCGGACTAGGCTCAGCCCCTCTCCCCGAAGTCCCCGACGCCACTATCTTTTCCCACAACGGCAAACGATCCACCGACCGTCTCACATGGTCCAATATATACCTCGCCGATGAGCTCTGCGACGGCCAGCTCCCAAAAGACGTGCCACGCAGGTACGACGTGCTCATCATCAAACGTGGCGGATGCAGTTTCTCCGACAAGATACGAAACATCCCCGCGTTTCCTCACTCACGAACGTCGGGACTGCAACTCGTCATCCTGGTTTCGTATGAAGAGCACGACAATGAAGTGATGACCGACACATCGACCTCGTCTTCTTTTCTCGACTACCACATTCTCAACCGTCCGTTTACATCCACCGACCCGGGGCTGATGCAGCCCAAAGCGGCGATTCTGTCAGAACCGTTTTTGGTTCGCCCTCACCTTGATGAACCGCAGTTCACGACGGGCGGGTTTGTGAGACGGCATCCGCTGGGTGTGATTATGGTTGGCGGGGGAGAGGAAACGTATAACTTGTTCAGGGATTCGACGGGCCTGGGGATTAGAAGGAGATATGCGATGAAGAGCCAGGGGGTCCCGATTGCTAATTTGTATATGATTTAGACATACATATTTTCTGTACCATAGCTACCTACGTATGTACGCGCGGCTCTGTTTAAAATGGTTTCATTGTTGTATTATATCAATTATTCATTCGACACTATTCTCCAACTTCTAGGTATCTGTCTGAAATTCAATTTTGACAATCATCATCAAACACATGTGCTGACAAGGATACGTACCAGGATCTACACCTGCAGCCCAGCCGCATAACCAACATTCATATTAAATATTAATTAATCTTTTGCGGGGTACACACGATATCTCACTCCGATCCCACGATTTCATTCCCAAATGGCCCGTCTGTGCAGCGTGCAGATTGACTAGGCGCGATTGGGCTGGTGATCATCTATTTGTACTACAGAAGATTGCTTTTTCTTCGTTGAGGAGGGGCAGATGCTTGTATCGTAATGGACTTTTACATAAGTAGTTGAAAAGGCAAAGGCCTTGATAAGGTGATACGACAGCCGGAAACGTGCAGTCGCTTGATTGGTATGGTGTCACAGCGCAACGTTCCTTGAAACGGTGACGCAGCTGGATATTATTAGACACGACAAAAGTGGGCTGGCTGAAAGGTTGTGTGTTTGTTAGTCATAGGAAGAAGGTTACTACATGTACATGTAATGATAATTATATTTATAATTATAATTACATATTCTGCTGAGGAATATTGCACGATTGCGTCAACGGCTGCTAATGGATGGCGTAAGGCGATAACGTGTTTCTCGAAGGAGATGGTGATGTATCACGGCCGTGCAGATCACACATCGTTGCTGATTTTATGAGTCTATTTCATAGTCTGCGCGTAGGTGGGCAGCATGCGCTGGCCGAGTTGAGCTGTCTGGCGGCGAACGGCTAACTTATCTCCCAGCCTCGAGATAGCAACAGTGATTGAATCGGGTTTGATAGAGGTTCGTTCGCAAGCCCACCCACCCCAACCGCGGAAGGTAGGTGAGACTCTCGACTCTAGACTCTAGACTTGGAGTACTGCTTATCCGATTCCTTACCGTTCGCCTTTCGCTGTTTCGCCGTTCGCCAGCCAGATCATTGCCTAATGCATCGAGTCAGGCAGTCTCACGGTGGTGAGTGGTCCGCGACCTTGCGAGGATGGATCTAGACTCTCGCGGCGACGGGGATGAGGCACACAAGCAAGACATCGCCAGGCAGGCTCCCGGTCCAGACAGGCCGAGCCGGGTACGGGCCGATCGATAGGGTGTGAGTCAATGATATCAATAATAATTAATGGTGTTTGACTGTTGATACAACATGTTAGCGCGGCTGGCTGACCACTGTTGTCGAGCAAATACTCAGAGCAGTTAGAGCCAGGCCTGCTGATTCGTCGCGGCGGAGCCAGTGAGGCACGTTGCGTGTTGATTGCTTGATAGGAGGGGCGCTTCTTGGTGGAGGGGCAGTGTCAACTCAGAGATACGCCGGTGGCCATGGCGTGCTTCTATTATTTATTAACTCTCAGTGAACGCTGATGCGGTGTGTCTGTAATACTCCCCTGTCATGCTCACATATATTCTTTAGAATGTAAATCTCGTTACTTGTGTTCTCGTCGCAACCTAAATTAATACACTACACATATTTTATTCACACTGTATAATATGATATAAAAGACACGGCCTTGTATCTAGTGTTTAAATATTTCCAACCGATAAATATAAACGTATATAGATATATAGATATATAGATAATGGCGGAATAATACCGTACCGTAAATACACGGATCACCTAGAAATTAGTACTGTTACTGTCCCTCATTTTTTTTTTGCCGCATCCTCCCCTCCTCTCTTATCCTGCATTTCTCGCCAACTCCCTGCCTGTCTTTCCCTTCTTTCTCTTCTCTCCTCCAGCATGTCCCAGTCGACTTCTCAGAATGCCTCCACCACCGCCCAAGAGCCCGGACAGCCCGCCTCCAATCCCTCCAGCGCCACCGAACTCGCCAGTCTTAAGATAAGACTCCGCCAAGGTCTGCGTCAGTTCCCAGACTTCCCCTCGCCAGGCATTCTGTTCGAGGACATCCTCCCCATATTCGCCGACCCTTCCCTGCACGAGGCTCTTATTCGGTCACTTGAACTGCACGTCTCGGAAGCCTATCACCAGAAACCGGACGTCATCGTCGGCCTCGATGCCCGTGGTTTCCTCTTCGGCCCCAGCCTGGCTTTGAGGCTAGGCGCCAGCTTCGTTCCTGTTCGTAAGCAGGGGAAGCTGCCCGGCCCTTGCGAAACCGAGGCCTATCAGAAGGAGTATGGACAGGACTTTTTCCAGATGCAGGCAGATGCCGTGAAGAAGGGCCAAAAAGTGTTGGTGGTGGACGACATTATCGCAACAGGTACTTCCCTCCTTCTTAGTTAAACCTATCCTACTGGCACCCATTACCCTGGCGACATATACCTCCAGATTGCTGGTTTGCTAACAATGTTTAGGAGGCTCGGCCGCTGCTGCTGGAAATCTTGTCAGGAAACTGGGCGGAGACCTTCTGGGCTTTGTCTTTATCCTTGAACTCGATTTCCTCAAGGGCAGAGACAAGCTGCCAGCGCCTGTCTTCACTCTTCTACACGGCCAGGAGGAGAAAATCTAGGTTCATGACTGTCTTCCTTTTTACGTCTCTTTGCGCTTCTTGGTTTCGGCACTCGATGGATATTAGCAATAGCAACCGATCGCCATTCTGTTTTGTTGACAGTTTTTCCATAATACCGGCGCGGACTCGATCCGAGGCGATTTAGTGAATATAAATAGTCTCATACCATCCCCCCACCCAGATAACGACATCACGCCCTACTCTGGAATGGTCTGAGCAATTCGACCGGATGGCGAGAACCAGGCTTGGTTCTGGGCCGTGGCTCATCTCTCATCTCTACTTAATACTAAACTCAGGATTATCTTGGTTTACATCTCAGCGGTTTTGGCTGAGGGACGCTTCAGCTCTAATACGATAGACACTTGGCATTTGTTGCTGCAGAATCGATTGATTGTATATAGGTTGCCTGGACAAAAGTGCTTTATATCATACCATAATACCTAAATACCCCAATACCCAAATACCTAATTATCTAATTATCTAATTACCTAAATATCACAATATCACAATATCATAACTAACCGTAGAAATTGCTTGATTATTGCCCCACCACCCGAGCAGGCCTGCCAAGCTCATCACGTGCCCGGGCGGCGCAGAAATTATCCGCGTCGCCTGTTGCTTATTCATTCTTCCTTCCTCCCAGCTGCCTCTCTGCCTCTGCCTCTGCCTCTGCTTCTGCCTCTTACTGTCTGACTCCTCCGCTCCTCCCAATGTAAGCCAGTCACCCTCCTGGGTCCTGACATTGCCTGTCACCTCAGTCTCCGCCCATCTTATTATGTTATTATGTCTCCCGCCCGAGTCCTCGAGACCGTCGGCCAGAACACGGAGCTTCAGACGCTGGTCTCGGCGCTGGATGCCCTCCTCGTAACTACTTATCAACTCAGCTTAAGAGAACAGGACTTGCGACGCAAGGTGCAGCTGGCTCATGACGAGGTATGTCTCTTTCGCTTTTCTCTGCCTGTTATTTGTTTTGCACCATCTCCAAATGATGAGAAAATTTTATCAATTAGCTCTAGATCGTGAGCTGCTTGCAGCCGTGACTTTTTCGCATGTATTACCTGATGAGATGTCTACACATCACCTGTTACATTATATGTCGATATTCGTCGGACAGAATCTAACTGGACACAGTATCAGAAATTAGCCGACCGAGTGGACGGAGGCTTCCAAAAAGGCGAGGAACAGGTTCTAGCCCAAATCTGCCCTGGTGATTCTCAATCCTGGCTGAAACTGGACCCGTCCCTGAAACCGCTAGAGGTAGTCGATCATCTGCGAGATGTCGGGCACATCCAACATCAACTGCTCGATGTCGTAGTAGCTGGAGTCAGCCGCTGTAGACCCGGGGTGGCGACTCCAAATGGCACAGGCTCGGAGATTAGGTCGAATCCGTGTATAGTGGCTGAAAAGGCTCGACGGCCGTCTCTGATTGAACGAGATTTTACTACCACTGGCGTGCGAGGCAGTCTGAGGTGTCCGTTTGCAAAACTCGTCGGTAACGATCAGTCTGTAAATGGCACTCAAGACGGGCAGAGCTCGACTAACAAATGTGAATTTGACCCTATCAAAGCTGATCTTGCACCGGAGCTTGCGTCTAGTGCAGGTGTCTCGGCTAGGTCCTCGGCGGCAGCTCGTTGTCCTATCAGGTACATGGACGACCACTCTCCGGAGGAGCTCGCCCAATACTTTGAGAACCACAAGCATGAGATTCCCAGAAGCCATGCAATATGCGTAACGCGGTTCCAAAGGAATGGAGCGACTATGAGGCAGATGGATGCTAAATATGGCAGCTTGGTGAACATGATACAGGGTCTTGGTGCAAAACACAAGGCTCTTCTTCCACATCCAGAACACAACGGAAGCAGCTCTACTCCGGAGGAAAGGGTAGAGAAATGGGCTGAAGATGTTAGTTCCAAATCTCCGCATCCAGCAACTCTGAGTACTGTCGAAGAGGATGGGGCTGAGGAATCTCCAACCGACCGGACCAGCCGCTTCGAACGTCCTCTACGTGAGATCCGTGTTGGCGAGTCTCCTAGTCGTCCTTGGGGTATTCCCGTTCCTGTTTCCCACGAACCTCTGAGCGCTATGAACAGCCCGGTTGCTCCGGTGCAGGTTTCGGTGTTGAAAGACACGCCAAATCTTGCTGCTGACAGCGAGATGCCTTCATCATTGCAGCCACAGGATTCGTCGCCCACTCCGGGAAGACCACGAGGCAAATGTCCTTTCGATCACAAAGCGTTGATGCAATCATCACCTGATACCCAGCCGACGCCGCCTGTTTTAAACAGCAGCGCGCCTCGCGCTGCGTCCAGTAGTGCCAACAAGGACCCCCTTCCACAAAAACAAGAGAAGACCAGCGAGGGGCTGAACATGCCAGCGGCCAAGCCTGCTCAGATGGTTTTCAATGGCCCTGTCTTCTTCGGATATTCTGCGGAAGACGCTGCAGCGTTGATGCAACAACTTAGTGCAGAGGCCGAATAATGTATATACCACGATTTGACTTGCTAGCGTATTGGCGATCTACATTATGAATACATACCAATAATTTACTATCACTGTACTCACTACTCAGTGTACTGCGTCTAGACTAGAGATGATATTGACATCCGATATAGGAGCAGAGCCGGCCGCCCTTAACCGCGCTGCTTCTCCGATGCGGGGCAGCTATTCGCCGCGGAAAGCATCTTGAGCTGTCTTCTACCTCCCACTTTATTTAAACATCTCTCTTTCAATGCTGCCTACATGTTACGAATCTCCAGACCAGCCTTTTTCAGCAGACTACCATACTCCAATTCTTGCCGTCCAGCAGTCTATCGCTCCTCATTTTTCTTGTGCAAACCTGTTTCACCTTCTCCCACTCGCACAATGGCTGGAATGACCCCTGTTTTTGCCAAGGACGCTGCTCCTCGTAAGCCCAATTCCTCCTTCCATCCCTTCTAATATTTGGAATCGCTAACACCTCTCAACCCTAGCCGCCGGTCCATACGTCCGTTTCCCCTCCCATATCCCCTCAAAATCCTAACTCTACTCTAACGGTAACCAGTCCCACGCCATCAAAGCCAATGGCCTTATCTTCGCCTCAGGCTGCATCCCATGCGACGCAGCGGGCACAATCCTCGAGAACGCCACGATCCAAGAGAAGACAGCGCTGAGCATCAAGAACGCCGCGGCGGTGCTCGAGGCCGCAGGGTCTAGCATCGCCAAGGTCGTCAAGGTCACGGTGTTTCTTACTGATATGGCCAATTTTGCGGCGATGAATGAGGAGTATGCGAAGCATTTCACGCATAAGCCAGCGAGAAGCTGTGTGGCGGTTTATCAGTTGCCTAAGGGTGTGCCGGTGGAGGTTGAGGTTGTGGCTTTGGAGTGAAATGTGTTAGGTAGCTAGTGGGTGAATAAATTGATTCCATGACCTTCTTCTTATTATTGTAACTCTGCGTGGTTAATTAGCTCAGTATATAAATATCAGTCGAGTTGATAGTCAAGATTCAGTGGTGAACGACAAAAGCGGTTAGACCAGACAAACAAATATCGGCGAAAAGATTTCAACTGTTCCTCCGTCGACACTTCCTTCACCTACATACAACCTTCGACACCATATTACTTACATACTTACAGCACCGATTGCATACTACATATATGTAGCCATGGCCTACTTCGAGTTTATGATGCTTGAACTACAGGAGATAACATCTAGTCAATGAACACAACTACGAACAATCGAACTGCGTCTGATAATAATCGCAACTCCCCCGATCCAGCTGTCCTGCACCTCACTCATCTGCGCTTATAGTAATGACACGGTGATTCTACGGACCCTTCAGTCTTTTTCTACGAAAGAGGAATCGAAGGACAGTCATTACACTGGCACGTCTTGTGCATGTACCGACTGGAGCTGGATCCGGGCTGGTCTCTCGCTGAGAGGCTGGTTGGGTTGCAAGATCAATAAGGGCCTTCATAGTTCATGCTTGCCTCGCGGACTCGAGTAACTCTTTGGTCGTTCTTGAGTTGGTTACGAGAGCGTGACTCCTTGTGCACTACATAATACACATACATAATACCAATATATATGAATCAATCATCAACAACACGTACAAATGCAAGGATTTAAATGGGATATTTATATCACAGCTTACTCTGCCCTGATCCTCCCACTTTCACAACCACCTTTCCCCATGTATCGCGACTCCCCAATGCCTTCAAGGCCTGCGGAACACTCTCCAAGCCCACGAAACTCTCATCCTTAAACGAGATCCCCTTAAACTTCCCCTGAGCAATCAAATCAAATATCCCCTTCCAGACCACTCCCACCGTCTCCTTCTCGAAATTCGCATACTGACCCCAATGCAAGCCCACGAGACTCACATTCTTCAACAACACTCTATTCAACGCAACCTTCTCGATCTTCCCCGCCGCAAACCCAATCACAAGCAAGCGCGCATTCCACGCCACACACTTCAGACTCTGTTCAATCATCCCCACGGGGTCATACACAATATCCACGCCGGCCTTCCCGTTGCCCGTCCGCTGCGCTTGACAGATCTTCTTGACCTCCTCAGGCCAGTTTTTATCGCGGTAATCAATCGCATAATCCGCGCCAAATTCCTGCGCGATCTGCCGCTTCCGTGCCGTCCCCGCGGTCGCAATGACCGTCGCGCCTTTCGCCTTGGCGATTTGTACGGCGGCGAGTCCCACGCCGCCCGCTGCTGCGTGCACAAGAACCCAATCCCCCGGCTGCACATTTGCGCGCGTGACCAGGCCGCCGTAGGACGTGGGTGCGGTCACAAACAGACCCGCGGCGTCTTCAAAGCTCCAGCCGGCGGGGACGGGGAAGAGGGAGAGTTCATGCGCGAGGGTGTGCGTGGCATACGCGCCTTGAGATGCGCCAAACACTCTATCGCCAGGCTTGAATCGGGGTTGTGACTTTGAGGCTGTGGGCACGGCGAGAATTGTGCCGGCGAATTCCATGCCGGAGATCCATGGGAAGGCCGGCTGGTGTTGGTATTTGCCCTGGATTTGTAGCAGGTCGAAGAAGTTGGTGCCGGCCGAGTGGATTTCGATTAGGTATTTGTCTGGCGAGGGCGTTGGCGTGGGCAATTCGCTGATTTTGAGGTCCAGAGGGCCCTACATCAATTGATATTAGCATATTATTCCAGGTTGAAATGAAGGATACGTACCTTGACATATTCGGCGAGTTGGATGGCACGCATGTTGTTGAATCACTCGATATATCACAATGTAAACCTGTCCAATATTGATATATTTGATGTGTTGTGTTGATGTCAACGGAGTGTATCTCCGCAGAACGTTGTTCAGTGGGGAAGAGCACCGAATGGGGAAATAACCTCGGCTGGTCGGCTACTCTAATCTACACCAATATAAATGTATATATGCTCACCACAACATTACTAAGTATACTAACAGTATGCATGTGTATGAATATGAATACCATAGTCAGTTCACAGTTCTGCCAACTCATGCATCATCCATTTCTATATGCATAATGCATAGAATTAGAAGCAGGGGCCAAAACAGACCACCATCAAAAAATCGCCTGGCCCCTACATCAATTGATATTGTCATACACCCTTCAGCCTGGGCAGGCCAGATATTTTTTGATTATCATCATAGGGCATCCAGTTATGACAAATACGGAATAATATCTCCCTACCAGCTGAGTTCAGCTCAGATAATAATAATCACGGAGCAGTGTCCCTCGTGGCCTGTGGTTCCAAACAAATAGTCCTGTTTAGCACTCCAATAGTCTGACAATATAAAGTCTGAGTTCCTGAGTCACGCGAGGGCTTAAAAAATTAAAGTATATCATTATCGACTGTTAGCCTTTCGAGAAGGAAAAGGGGAAAATTTCCGGATTGGTGAGTTCGAGAAAGGGCTTAGGCCTCAGGGGATGTCGGCGATCATTTACTACTTATTACTAGTAGTCTAGTTGTACTACGTCGACGGTACTCGTAGGGGCCCGGGCACATGTTGGTCATAGAATTCATTACGTTTTAGGAGGTAGGATGAGGCTACGGAGTAATACTATCTGTTTTGTGTCTGGGCGTATCGAGCCACGTGTTTGTGTCGATCTGCGTTTAGAATTATTAGAATTCCATGTGCTGCTAAAGATATTTGTAGTTGAAATGTAATAGTTAGATTATGTATTTTCAGAGTCAAGATATATCCTCCAATATACACCAAATATAAACCAGTGCACCGGCCTATTTTCCCAAAATGGTACTTAAATCACCACCAAGCAATAACCAATAACCATAAACAATTAATCAACCCAAATATAATAACTATACATTGAAAAATGCCTCCGACTCCGGCAACGCTGCATTGCAGAAACAATTGAATGGGTATATAAACAGGTATGCCGAATAGACAAAAGCCCAATACAGCCATGATGATGGCCTTCGTAGTTGTTGTAAAGTACTCGAATTCCCTCCCATGCGCCTATCATATATGCAAAAATAACAGTATGCTATACAGTTAGAACAATATCAATGGCCGACTGGCCGTTGTAATAATTGCTCGTGGCCTGCATAGGCGTATATATCTTGCGGGGCCATCGAGTGGTGCCCCGCTGGAATATACTGGGGAGGCATGGCCGATTGTATAGCTGGATGCATCGATTGGATCGACTGCATTTGCTGAGAAACCATGTTGACTCCTTCCACCGCCGAGTCCTTGCGTTTTCGGTCCGCGACTTGTTTACGCTGGCGACCTTGGCGGTCTACGCGAACGTGTCCCGGTGCTGCGTCGGGGTTGTAGTGTGAGGACGTTGCACGCCTCCATGGGCGGACTGGAACTGCCTCGTCGAATCCTTGATAGCTAACCATGGACTGTTGTTGATAGGCACTCATGTCCTGAGGAGCCATTGGCTGTACAACTTGACCGTAATTGTTGGAAACCGGGTTGATGGCGCGCGGGTAATAGACGGTAGATGGCCCGTTTGGTGTTTCGTATTGAGCAGCATACCAATTTGACTGTGGCATGCTCATTGTCGACGGGCTAACATCGGGCTCGATGTAATCGTTTGCCATCGGCCACTGTATTGTCGACGGTGGTGCTGGTTGAGGATATGTAAGGGGAGCCATCGGGTAAGGAGCGACATAGCTCGGCGATACCATATGAGTGTTGGCAGGAAGGTTACTCTGGGGAGACTGCTGAGAAAGCTCGTACGAGGCGGGAAGACCGTGGCTAGGAAAATGTGATATGACCGGGGTACTGATCTGACTGCCGGTATTCTGTGGCGGAACCATTTGAGGGTGACGCTCGGTTGTCAAGCTCAGTTGTGGAGAAGTCGACACGGGAGCCGGCCATGTTGGCGTGACAGCGACCTCTGACTGCTCCGCAGAAGGAGCAATGACAACCGTTTGTGCGATCGACTCTGGTTGCGATTGTTGTTGTTGTGGTGGTGGTGGCAGTTGTTGCTGCCAGGTCTCTGCCGAGTACCAGTCTCGATTGCTCTGTTGAGCATGTGAATGTGCATGGGGATGACCGTGACCATGACCATCTACATGGGACATTTGTTGCGGCTGCGATAGCGAAGTTGGCGTTGGCAGCGTGACATTCTTTGTTTCCACAGGGGACATCTCCTCCGGCACGTCATCCTCATCGTCGTCGATATCGGGCTGGCCATCGACGGGTTTCTTGCGGGTCTGGCGAGACGGCTTGGTGACCCTCCATTTCTTCAGGCGGCTGCGCAGCTGGGTTTCACTGGTACTATTAACAATACATTCCAATACGAGAAGGCGTTTGGATATACCTCGGGTTGAAGTCCTCGGTGCGGATCTGCTTGATGACCTGCTTCAGCGGCCACTCCTCGTCTTTGTACAAGCGAGCAATCAGGGCCTTCTTCTTCTCCCACACGTCGGAGGGAATGGAGGTTTTCATGGTGCAATTGGCAGGCGCAAGAGCATCCAGATGGAAGGAAGCGGCGAGCGAGGTGGTGGTGAGGAGGAAGAGAAGAGGACGAGGTGGTCGAGGGAGGAGGGAAATGCGGCGAAGATCGACAGCGGGCGTAGGATATATCTATGCTAGTAAGTACACGAATAATAATAATGCTAGAAGAATCATAGGAACCTCGTGCGCGGGCCTGACTTGTCCAGGCTCGCCTGGGTCGGCACTTGTGGCTTCCCGACGGCGCGCGACAAGGACGGTGCAGGGTAAGCAGCGCCCAGAGCACCAGAGAGGCAGTGCCATTCCTGGCCTAGCGCACGCACTAGCCGTGCAGCGCCCGCCTAGCGTGACCATCACGCTAGCCTGCCCGGGCCTGCCAGTGCCCCCGTTGCGGCCTAGCACGCGCCACGGCGGGCGGGCGATTGGCCCATGGGATTCATCCCATGGCTCGCTAGCCCCGCCCTAGTTCCTGCCTAGCTCCTTCAGGCCCCCGCTCTTGCTCCCTGCGGCCAGGATACCCTTGCGGCCCCCGTATCCTCCGCACCGGGCGGCGAGTGATTGGCGGCTGCTGCTAAATGTGCCCACTCAACGTGTATGATGTACGAACCTCTTTCGAGTCAGTTTCTTCACTCTAGCTGCCACTGGCAGTGGCCATGCACTACTACTAAGTCATTTAGCACTAACTCTAACCTAAGACAATCCGGCCTGCTACTGGCTGGGGCCAAACACAAACACCGCTGCCTCTGTCCCGTCAGGATGGCTCCGATCCGCAGCCATTCCGAAAACAGCAGTATGTGCCTCTGACTAAGTCCACTTGCCAAGTCCACTTTCACGGGTGTTAACTGCCTCGGTACCTGCGTTCTATTTGACTCTGCAATCTGCTACTTGTGAGTTGCAAGTAAATGGGTAGACGTACTATGTCATCTAGGTCGAGGCCGTCGGCTATCTCAACGGCTGCAGCTCCCGGCGGATCCTGACCCTGATCTCTGGTTCTGGGAGCGATGGTGGGTGGATGACTCGGAGGATGTGCGACGTACGGAGAATATGATCACGATATGCGTGCCTCGTGGGAGGCAAACTATTGATCGAGTCACCGTGCACGACGGAGAATTTTACACTATTAATATTAATATTAATTAACTCCTACCGCGATCAGAATTCAGAATAGATATGATGATTAGAAGGTAAACATCAAGTTGATAACCACTGAGCCGCGATGCGACTACTCCAGATCGAGTAGTGCTGTAAACTCTGGCTACTCAGTAGTAGACTTTGTAAGTGTACTAGTATGACGGGGAGTTAATCTGACTGCTAGCATTTACGGAGCAGTATTAGTAGTGCTAGTACACAGCATAATATTACAGTCATTATTATTGTTGTGAATCAAGGCTAAAGCTTAAACCGGCCCCAGGCCCAAACAGGCAGTGAGGTCAGTCAGGTCACTGGGTGTATGACTAAGGAATTCCAAATACCGTGAACTCGACTGCCTCATTGGGCTAGCGTGGGGTCTTGGCACGTTAGGGCAACTCGGGGAAGATCCGTCGCCTCCACAGACATGGCTCCCTCTCCATGTGCTCGGCACTATCACTGACGCCACTGAGCACTGCACTGTGTGGATTTGTTGTGAAGGAACAGTTCTTCATGTTATCGAATGCTCTTGCTCTGTATATTTTATCCACATATCCTCGGATCCTTGACACGATACACGCAAACAAATTATTCCATAGTAGATGAGTTATACACGTAATAAACAATATAACAATAGTAGTATTAGCCTGTCGTTTCCGGCCTAGTGGGCCGTCAGGCGGCCTGGCCACCCCGCCCAGCCGGGAAATGGCAGCAAAATTATCCCGCTCAACCAGCTGACGTCGAGCTAGTCTATCTAGTTAGCCTTTGAATATACGCGGCAACATACTCCGTATATATATATATATATATGATACGGAGTATATACCTGTATATTGTTATTATATATTACACCCTAGCAACCATGTGTGCCAGGTCCAGATCATCCTACGTCGTCGTACAAGAATGCCCGTCAGCAGGATATCATGCATGGACGACAAAGACACGGCAGCGGGCCTACAACTAGTCCCGAGTCTGGTTGATAGACTAGTGGATCACCATGCATCATCCTAATCCCTGTTGACAAGCCGCCCGCTAGTTTCTTGGTGGCAAGAAACACCAATCGCGATACACTATCCCCCCAACATCAACGACACCATCACATTCGCCATCACATTCTGATACACTCATAACCTCGTGCTGTTATGATTTTCCTCTTATATTATGACGGTACAGCAGTAATCTCGCGATATATGGCGAGACTACTGGCCGCTTTGTTAATCGTGAAACTGACCAGTGTAAAGTATATTCTTTGTGTCACAAATGTTAATAATTCAACATTGCCGTCTTGACTCGTAGCACTATTGACTCGACGTGAATCGACGACCTGTATACTCCGTGAGCCCAGAATGCATCATTTCTATTAACTTCTACAAGAAAGATGGACCCCGAAGGTCGCCGGGGCGGCTCTGATTGGGCGATCGCCAGGCTGTTCTCGCAACGGACCAATAGGAAGAGATCCTGATCCTCGCGCTGCATAGCACAACAAAGACTCCATCCGCAATTGGCTAGACTGAGGCCGGGAGGACTGTGTGTGGTGCCCAAGTCGGGCTAGCAAGAGGAAGAAGAAAACATGTACAGCATCAACAGAAAATAAGAATATGAGAAAGAGCAATCGGATGTTAATTAAAGGGTTAATTAAAAGAGTGTCGAATCAGCAGTCGCGTAAGGGTTGATGTGAGCTATCACTATATACTAAGCAATGTCTAGATCCTAGACATGGACACAGAGCATAGGATGTATAAGCATAGGAAGGTCATACAGTACATGGATGGATAGATGATCAGACCCGTCACAGTGGTAAGTTGGAAGTCCTGACAGCGGGTGGGACAACCATACGTCACATAACAATAGCAAGCAGTAATAATATGATATGCTAATATGATCTCTTTCTTTCTTTGCTGCTTCCTTCTTTGTTCTGCTCCTTTCTTTCTTTCTTTCTTTCTTTCTTTCTTCCTTGTACTGTCGACACAATGCATTGCCTTCAAGGGATCCTAGCTAGGCTCTAACCCTCTCTACAAGGACCCTGGGAGTAAGAATTAACTAATCAGTCACGCAATATTCCATAATCGAACACCCGGCTGCTGCAATAGCCAACTACCGTCGCATTTTACTACATATTATTTGCCACGATGCCTTATCCTCTGCTATGTATGGATAGAGCTCGGACGATAAGCCCCTTCCGGAGTAGCCGGCCCACTCTGCTCAAACGACGACGATCACGATCACCACGATCACCACAATCAGTCTTCCATCTCGGACACGCACCGACTCAGTTAGATGATCGCCGCCGTCCACGCTGCCGGAACTGTGGGACGGATCAGCAATTCTTAGCCAGCATTAAGTCATTAATACTCTACTTCGTGTGCGTATTTTGTTATTCATAATTCACATCATGTGCATGACCATGTAGTTGTACCACCACTGGAGTACCACCTGTAGTAGCGTATGTAATAATGTCTCCGGACATCCTCCGCCCCCCTCCCAGATTATGATTATGATTTATGTTTCTGGATTCGACACCCTAGATACCCCTCATCCGTTCCATATTATGATTCTACATGTCCGATCCATGGCTATGCATGAACATGTGTTCGTAGCACATCACGCCTGCTTTAGTCCACCTCCCTCGTCAAATGCTGTTCGCGCATAATTATTAATTTAAAATGCTAAGCCCAATGCTAGTCCTGATTTGAGAGGTGATGCGTCAATTTGATAATTGGTGACTTAAATCGCGCGTGGATGTGACTGTAGGCAGTTGATTGCTGTGATTCGCTAGCTGGATGGAGTCGAGGTTAGGTAGATAGGTTTCTGTTTACAAGAGATCAGGAGAGGTTACTACGCTATGCTCGGTGATCTGAGTTGAACAAGTCTCGCCCATCAACTGATGCCATGATGGTGAAGATTATTTAATGTATTAATTAGACACGAGAGAAGTGTAGTAAAACAGAACAAAATTTGAAAAAAAAGGGACAACCCAAGTATCCGTCCATACGCGAAATTAAAACATCAACGCCATGAAATGTAGTCGTGCAAATAACCAGAATATCAGTACAAAATTAGGATCTAGCGACGCCTCTTGATTCGGTGCTCCTTCCCTCGTTTTGACTTTTTCTTTGTCTTGTCGGTGGGCAGAATCAGGGGCTCGTTTTGAAGATTCCATTCCATGAAACGCAGCAGATAGTCGTCGATGTGGTTCGGCTCAGTGTCTTCGGTTATCGTATCGGTCGCCACGCTGGGTCCCGGTGTGCCGTCCTGCGTTGCTGTGCCTAGCTGCGCGGGAGTGCGCTCCTCAAAGTCGCCGTCGTCTGCATGTTCCATCTCCTTCTGCGCGTTCTTCGCCGCGACAATATCTTCCTTGTCCTCTGCCTGCTCGAACACGCGTGTAGTCCCGCCCCGGTTGTCGAGAACCCGGTCCATGGCCTTGCTTGCTTCGTCCTGCTCGTCTGGTGCATCGACCATGTCCGATGTGGCGACTTTGGTGAAGTAGTCTGTAGTAAATCCACCTTCTTGGATGACTACATCGTCTAACATCCGCTTCTGATTGGCTTTGCGGAGGATGTTGGACTCGATTGTGTACTCTGACACCAAACGGTAGATGTGCACATCTCTGGTCTGCCCGATACGGTGACATCGGTCCTGGCATTGCTTGTCCATGGCCGGGTTCCAGTCCAGATCGTAGAAGATGACACAATCCGCGCCAGTAAGATTGATACCTAACCCACCAGACCGAGTAGACAAAATAAATGCAAGTATACGATTGTCATTGTTGAAGCGATCGGTCAGCATCTGACGTTGCTCGACTTTCGTAGTGCCGTCAAGACGGAGGTAGCGATGTCCATGGATATTCAGGAACTGTTCTAAGATATCCAGCATTTTGGTCATCTGCGTAAAGATCAGGGCGCGGTGACCACCTGCCTGGAGTTTACGTAGCAGCTTGTCTAACTGCTGAAGCTTGCCACAGTCGTATTGCAACAACCGTTTGTCTGGAAAGGCGATAGACAGCCGCATTTGCGCTTCGTGGAACGGATCGTATTTGTAAAGCCTTAAGTCTTTGTCAAAGTAGCGTGTTTCCAGAGGTGTGATGGCTGCTTCCGTAGTACCTGCTGCAATAGCTGCCGGAGTCACACAAGCAAACCTCTGAATGTAGCCTTCCATGGAAAGTGCACGGTCTTCGATACAGTTGATCATAGAGGCTAGAACTGCTGACTGGTTGGACAGCCGCTCAAGTTTAGACACTTGAAGAGTTCCCCGTGTGGAAAATCCATTGTATGGTCGTTCGATTGTGAGAAATTCAATCAAACTCTTTCCCCAAACCGGGCGTCTTCCGTGTCGATTCGACTCAAAGTAGAGCGTGCTTTCCAGCTCATTCATCCTCCTCTTGCGTGTAAGATTTTCCATCGAGTCCAGCGTAGACCGCACTGAAGAGCCATCGAATCCCATCTGCCAGTTGGTCCGTCTGTATTGACGTTCACGTAATGTCTTCAAAGGTTCAAACGCCATTATGCGGCTAGTATCTTGTACTAGCCTCTTCGATAGGGTTTCTCGGAACACAGGCGCTAAATTGAGGAAATCCAAATCAAGATTATCGAACGGGTGCTGGTATAAAAGCCGGCGTCGTACGAGCAGATTCTTAATCTCATAATCTGTCGCCAGCGATTTTGACATCACAAATGAAGTCGATATTTGCCGCGTTTCAAAGAGATCAGGATGATTGCAGACTTTTCGAAGTTGCATGAGACAGTTGATAATGGAAAGATAATTGCCAGACGCCAAGGTCTCCTTTGTTTGAGCCCTAGACATGAAGCCATCATAAAGATAGCGCTGACGTTTTGACAAGCGGCAATTTATCACATGCTCATATTTGGCAGGCATCTGTTTCTCGACATCGGCCTTGAGTCGCCGAAGCAGGTATGGGCGGAGGACGGTATGCAGTTTTGTCACTATCTGTTTCGCCTCATCATCCATCGTCTCTCTACCATGCTCCAAAATTTGTTCGACTGGCCGCCGGAACCACTCTGAAAAGTTTCTGAGATCAGCAAATCCTTCAACACCAGCTCCATCTTCATCTGAGGGCATCAAGAAGAACAGGAGAGACCAAAGCTCGGTCAGGTTATTCTGCAGCGGTGTACCAGTAAGCAGAAGACGAGCCCGAGTCTTGAATGTGAGCAACGCCTGCCATCTTTGGGATCGGAAGTTTTTGATATTGTGAGCTTCGTCGAGAACCATGTAGTGCCAATTTCTTCGTTTGAGCACCTGTTGATCCTGCAAGACCAATTGATAAGAGGTGATCAAAACATCCCAGCTACTGTCGTCCGTCCAGCCTCGTCTTTTCTGCTTTCTTTCTTCCTGGTTTCCATAGTAAGTCATGATTTTGAACCCGGGGCACCACTTTTTGAATTCCATCTCCCAGTTGAGGATAACACTGGTAGGTACAACTACCAGGTGAGGGCCCCAAACTTCATGTTCAACAGCTAGATGTGCAAGAAGGGCAATCGTCTGAATAGTTTTGCCAAGACCCATTTCGTCGGCTAAGATGCCGTTGATATGATTATTGTAGAGTCCTGCTAGCCAGTCAAGTCCATAGTGCTGGTATTCACGCAAAGTTCCCCTTAGAAGGTGAGGGATAGGAGTCTTCAATCCAGCCGTCATAGGCGATTCTGTTATATCCGCTGGTTTCTCGAATTGATTCTCGTAAGACGAGATTGATTCTGGTTCCGATGGCTTGGTGGCAACGGTACCCGGAGAAGCTTCACTGGAACCATCCCTGCTATGCCGCGACTCACGAGTATCTTCATCTTGAACTGGCAAGTTTGGTTGATCAACATCCATCTGTTCTGGTAGACTTTCATCATTCAGTATTCCAGGCTCAGCAACAGCGCCTAATTCTGGAACGACACCCTCTTCCGATTTTGTAGAGTCCACTTTAGGATTCAAGAATTCAGTTTCATCGTCGTGCTTAGGCAGACCTGTCGGAACGAGAGATACTTCATCTTGGTCTTCAGCTTCTTCAGCTTCGACTTCCTCAGCATCGTTCGTATTGCCGCTATAAACTGTGTCTTTCGAGGAGAAAAATCCCAACAACCCAGGGCCATCCTCAGAAACATCACTATCATCGCTCTCATCGTCTTCCTCTTCCTCTTCGTCAGCATCGGCATCACTATCACCCATATCATCGTCCATATCGGTAGACTCATCACTGTCGTCAAGGAGAAGAGGGTCGACATCCTCAAGGTTCCCAGTTCTCTCTGAGCCAGCACCGTCTTCAGTGAACTCATCGTCAGGTAACGGCGTATTACGGGTTGAAGAGACTAGAGAAGAGTCGGAGCTGGCATTTCTTTGTGACAAGGCGCCAGGGAGATTAGCATACTTCAATCGCAATTCTTCAGCAGTCAATGCCTCGTCGTCATCAGCAGGACCTTCGCTTTCACTTTCACTTTCACTGCTAGACATATTGCTTTCGTCATCATCTGAAATCAACGAATCGTTTTCGTCCTCCTCATTATCGTCTTCTTCTTCTTCTTCTTCTTCATCATCTTCATCATCATCAAAGTCCTCGCTTACAAGATCCATATCGCTTCCAACGCCGAGAATTTCTTGTCGTCTTTTCTCAAAAAGCATGGTCGACTGCTTGATAGCTTGATTCAACGCTTGTTGGTTTTCGGCTTTTCTTTCTTCTTCCCAGCGAGCTAAGCGAGCCCTATCAACCTCAGCGCGAACCAAGTCAAATTGTCTTTGGAGGTCTCTGATAAGCTGTCGTCTTTTAGCTTTGATGATTTCTTCCTGCTCGCGAAGAATATCTTCTGGTCTTTTGTTTCTCTTCCTCCATGCTTCGGCACACCATTGAGCAAGCTGACGAGCGGTATTGCGATGACGTTTGTGTTCTTGGTCTAAGAGTTTGCGAAAGAACAAGGCATGTGCGACAAGGTGGTCGTGGTGAGAGTACTGTGGTGGAGGTTCTTCCTGCGGTTCAGGGAGGCAAGCCGAGCAGACCTGTGGCGTGAGCAACCCCCCCGGCTCTCCAGCTTCAAATACTCTAAGCCGTTTAACGGCTTCTTCTTCTGCGTCTTCTTCTGTGGCGATGGTATTTTCTCCTGCAAAAACATCCGTATTGGCGACCCATTCTCGAAACGAGGCGTAGCGTTTTGGGGCCACGACATGTCCTGGATGCTGAATGCTGGTGGACCCTTTCTTGACTTTGAGTCGTAAACGGGGGTACTTTTGACCACCACCATATTCTTGAAGCTCATTTTTATCATGTTTTTCTAGTGTATGGATACTAGGGTTCGCTGGAGGTGACGCATCTATCGAAAAGGAAGCATTACGACGCGTGCGTCGTGGGCTCGCACCATTAACAGCTGCTTGTACACGTCCGGACGCATTCACAGAGCTTTGAGACCTCATGCGAGAATGGACAGGTTTTGCTGTTATCGATGGACTAGTATGGCTAATGCCACCAGTCGAAAACCTTGAACTTGACTTTCTAACAGACTCCCTTCTGGGTATTTGGCCTGGCCCTGGAGAAGACCCTACTCTTGCTCCAAGGGATTGTCTTCCAATTTTTCCGGCTCGCGCGGACGAAGATAGTGGTGAAATTTCCGACGCATTTTGACGAGAGGGGATAGCCTTGATCACGTAGTCCTTTTGGTTCGCTCGAGTTTGCCTCTTAGACGAAGGTGGCTGCAGGTCGAGAGGAATCGCGTTTGTTCTCGAGGATTTCCGTCTACCCCCTTCAACGAATGATGTAGGACCCTCAACTCCGATTTTTTTCCATGGTGGGGATATTGGTCGAGGAGTCGAGCGTTTGGACTCGGCGAGTTTTCGCCTCTTGGACAGAGGCTCGTCCGGGTGATCAAGTGCCCCTTCGTCTTTTTGACCATTCGATAGCTGGATAGGTTCGGCTGCGGTTTCCGGAAGTTCTATTTCAGATGAAACGCGAAAATTCTCGCTCGGTTCGGGGGTCACGCGTGCATCATGCTGTGAGGTCCCGTTAGGTTTACCGTTTTGCATATCTTGTTACTAGGCGCGACGGGGGCCTGTTCTATGGCTGACCCCAACTTTCCCAGCACAGACACAAGTAAATATGCTGATCTAGGCATCAAAATAAAGCTTAGTGTAAACATAGACCCCTGAGAAAACCTGGCATCGTTATCAGCAATTTTGCGTTGCTGACGATAAAAAGAAGCGCGTGAGGCAGGGCTTTGGTGACAGGTTTGATTTTCGCTTCGTCGACGCAAGTTCTCCCGTGCCGGGCGGCGATCTAAAAGCGGCGAGCGGCGAGTGTTTATGTAAGCCTGCCAAGACTGGAAGCCTCAGGCCGCCAGGCTAGTCCAGCACTTTACCAACCTCAGCACATTACCCGACCTCATTATTGCATACATCTCACGCAACGCAGTTCACTGTTTCGACCGTTCGTTGTACCAATTGACCGTTGGCGGAACGGTATGTCCTGTCTCTATATGTCAACTGGATAATTGACACTGATCCGAGCTTCGTAGATGCTGTCTCGCCAGGTTCTGTCGAGGCGCTTGCCTCAAACTGCCTCTCGCCTTGCCTTCCCCCGCGCCTCCTTCTCCCAAGCACGAGCTCTCCGAGCACAGGAAGAAAATGACGATCCTAATCTAGTATGAATTAAGGACATCTGATATCTACACACACGACTGACTCGGTTCCCTGCAGAATGGAAACTACCCCAACCCTCCCGCTATCAAGCGTTCATTCCGCGATCCCAACGGTGACTGGTGGGATAAACAAGAGCGACGCAACTTTGGCGAACCCGTGCACGAAGACAATGACATTTTGGGGGTTTTCAGCCCCGAGCAGTACACTCATGTTACGTCGAACAAGGCCCTCCTGTCCGTCGGGACATTCATTGTTGGCTTTCTCGGATTCTGCGGTCTAGTCAGCTTCTATTACCCAGATAAGCCGAGCGCTCCACGAACATTCCCGGATGGTCTCGAGAAGGAACTTGGTGGCTCTGGAGCTGTGGCGGTGAGTACTTGATCTAGATTGTATTCGGAGCTGTCTCTAACTGATACAATAGGCTCGTAAAACCGGCGAGGAAACATGGTGATGCTTTTCGCGAGTTTATATGTACATATAGCAGTTTTCTATCAACATCAAAGAAGTGTTTTGGTCGGCCTCTTGAGTTAATTCTGAGAAATAATACAAAGACAAATCGATACATGCATTTTTCTAGCCTCCTGGTTCTTCTCATATGTTCTTTCTATTTAGTTCAATGCTATCGATATCTTTTTGATTATTTCGAAGCTGTCTTTGTTTGTGGTATCCCTACTATCACATGAGGGATCAGCGTTAACACTACAGGAGAGATTACTAGGCAAATATGGGTGAAAGTCTTGCGAGTTCTTACCAGCCACGTAAACCCCGGGCATCCGTGTCTACCATCCGAAGGTGATAAACAGTTACAGCTTGAATACAGTAACTGTAGCTTGCCCCTAAAGAACGCTTCTGTTGGGTTACAGGTCTCGTGTTGTTATGTATATGAGAGGACCTAAGAACATAACAATAGTTGCTTTGGATGGGTAGTGCATTGCAATATTGAGGGTCAACGTGCCTAATAAGACTCTACAACATTGACATTAACTATTAACCAGGCTTCTCAATTGCTGGCTTGAAACGGCCCTCAAACTTAGTAGCTGTTTAATATATGGTAGTATTTAGCGAATATATATGTTCTTAGATTTCATCAAGATCTGTCCCTGATTGAGCACCATTGCAAAACCGCGCGTGTGAAAGTGAGTAATTACTGGATTTTCTAAGTAAATACAGCGTATATATGTAATCAATTAATCGACTTCCTGCACGCTGAACAAAGATGATTTCAATCTAAAAATAATACAAAATGTAATAGTGTTTCACAAACGCGGCCCACATGACCTGGAGATTTGCAAACGCCTTCTTGGCGGCCTAACCAGTGTTTGCATAGCCGCCAGGGTGGTCCGCCTCTTAGCTACGTCAGTGTGTTGTTTCAGAAATGACACCCCTCTTCAGTATTCAAACACGAACTCAACGAGCCAGAACTGAGAAGACCTGCACCGCCTGGAGATCGGATTCCGTCCACGGCTATCGATAATTCCCTGCAAATTCTTCTCTTTACACCGCTTTCTAGATTACGCCTGAAATCCAACGTCTCTGTGTTGTGTACCTCATGCTCTTCCAATCCCAAAAACATCTGCCGCCGAGTTTTGGGATAGGAAACCAGAAATAATTTGCTGAATCTCATGTCGACAGCCTCAACGCATTCTAGCGGTGGCAACCGCCGCCTGAATAGCCTGCAAAATGAAGCTCGACACTCGCACTCCCGCAGCCTGTCCAATTCTCGAAAGCGACTCTTGAACTCGACCGATGCCTATTCCTATGCGCTTCGAGTTGCTTATCTCGCACACTTGCTTCAACCACGAGCACGACGTACGCAAAAGACGCCGGGACAAAACAATCATGTTCGTCGATCTTCGTCATCGTTTCAAGACCTCCTAGGAGACTTCGTCCGGCTCAGAGATTCAAAAAGCACAAGGTTTCCGCATGGGTTCATATCAGAGTTGGAGAAGAGACTCACTGGGATATTGGTTGGAAAAGAAAGGCGAAAAGAATACCAAGATCGTGAGGTGGTGCGAACGTTTGCTATTTTCCTCAATGCCTTGAAAGAGCAGTCTTTCAAGAGACGCATGGAACAAGATCGCCGCGTGGAGGACCTTGTCTTGATATTTTTCTCGAATGCAACAAAGGAATTAGGAAAAGGCAAAGAGTCGAGCGACGATAGTTGGAGCCTCATGGTAGACCGGCACGTTGCGCTTTTCGTCCGTCTGATCACACTCATCCTCAAAGAGCAGGACTGGGCAAAGGATCGACCTGAACTGACTAGCAGGCTGGCAGTGTTGGAAAGCAAATTGTTAGCCCATGACCAGGATCTTGCCGATGGCAATGGACCATCTACAACCACCGAAATCATCGCCCCTATTAGCTACGATGTTAAAGACATGCCACTAGTGCAGTTTGTTTCGCGAATTTTCGGTACCAGCACATTTCAAGCCCAAGATGAAATAAACAGGAACAAAGGTGTATGGACAGAGAAAGCTGCTCTCCAAGACTTGAAAAATTATCAAGCACATTTGACCTTGAAGACTGGGAAGACTTTATCTCGGGATGACTTCCCTGACGATGAAGCCTACGAGGCATGGAAACGTGGTGAAGGGCCAGACCTTTCACAAATGATGTTGGCAATTGTCCAATCTAACCCTGAACTTGCAAAAAGTACACCGGGAAGTGCGCTACCGCAGTTCAATGCCTTGGCGCAGGATGCCTCAGGAAACGATTCTAACTTTGCGGAATTATCACAAACGTCGAGTAGATCGAACCGCATATCCTATGTCATTGACCAGCCTATTGATCTAAGCTCACTGTCCCTGACGGACGGTGCGGACCCGAACAGTATTTACACTTTTATACCATCTGATCCGCGATCACTCTACCGGGCAATCCTCTCGCGTGCTCTCATGTATGATATCCACGATCAGAAGCTGGAAGCCACGGAGGCAACATCTGAAGTTCCGTCCATGAAACTGCTTTCGAAACAATCGACAGAGCTTCTGAATGAAATATGCTTGCACTGGCGCATTCCAGCTTCTTCGCGAGTGGTTTTATTCCTTGATGTCATTCGGGAGAAGTTCATGGAGCAGAAGATTGACATTGAAACGGTCGATTCTGCATTTACGTTTGTAAAAGAAGCACCGGCGCAGGATGGGAAGAAACGAAACAACTTTGTGACGTCTGTGGTCTTCGATAGAAGTCGGTGGATTGTCCCTGATTCTGTCTTAATGCGCGAGCTTTTATGGGCTCTTCGCGAAGCTCTCTTGAGAGAGTTATATGAAGTGATGATGCACTGTTATGATCCGCAACCTCACCCTATTGGCCCGGTCATGTATGTGCTGGATCATCACGTTCGATCTGATCCTCATTTTGAAGAGACGCCGCATAAGTTTGAAGGATTTGCGAAATATGTCAGCGAAGGTCTTCATGACAAAGCCAAACAATGTTATCAGCGACTTCTTGACGAAAGCATCCCAGCTGATCAAGCAGAGTGGGAGGCATATCAAGTGACCCAGCTAGGAGATTCGATTATGAAGCTGGGAAAAAAGATTCAAAAGCGTTATAGGAACAATCCCGAGATTATGGGGTAAGAGGAATTTGTTCTTGCCATCTATGAAGCGAGTCAAAACTGACTATCTGGAACTGTAGGGTTAATCCACTGGACATATTGCTCAGTTGTGTGCTTCCAATGTACGCCAAGGATGCGCAGGACATTGTCATAAGACTCATGCAACGAGCGAAAGACCAAGGAATCGAAATTCCCGTAGAGGACGGTTTCGAGCTGTACAAAGGGTTTGCAGCAATCAGACGACTGCATAGAGATGCACTTCCTGGGTATGTTTGAGAAGTCTAATGCTAGCAATTATCGCTTATCAACACTTTAGGTCGCCATTCCCTGTCCCCATTGAAGATCTGCTTTCTACCTTTGTCTGGCAGTGGGTTCGTCAAGTGGATGATAAAATCATGGAATGGGTGGAACAAGCTGCTGCGAAGGATGCATATACCGTTCGCAGTGGAGAAACAAGTAATCTTCCAGAGGATGAATTGCGACACAGTGTTTCTGCAATTGATATTTTCCGTTCATTCAATCAAGTTGTCGAAGAGCTGGTAAATTTAGGGTGGGATGATGATTATCAATATGCCAAGTTCATGACTGCTCTTTCCAAGTCAATTGGACGAGGTATTGCCAAGTATTGTGAATTGCTTGAACAATCCTTCATCAAAGAGATGGATCGATTGTCACCAGATCAAGAAGCTTCTTTGGTTCAGAGTAGGCAAGAAAAGCTCATGCAGTTAGCCAAGGAGGCATGGAACTACAAAGAGAAGATTGAGCCCTTCCAATTTTTGACTGAGGTATGATTGTAGCCTAAGCATTGGTTTACGAAACTAAAATTTAACACAGTCACTTGTCAAATTGAACAACATTGAATACGCCATCGCTCAACTCGATAAGTTGGAAAAGGAGATCAATGTCGATGGCTGTGCAGATGCCATTGCGAAACACAGCCCTCCGATGACTCAGCAGAAGGTTCGTAAAGCAACTACATATGTTTTCACTGTCAAGATTGTCGAGGGAGAGGACCTGAAGGCTTGCGACATTGATGGTTGGAGTGACCCATATGTCGTTTTGACCGACGAGTACCAGAAGCGTATAGCCAAGACTCATATTGTTTACCGCAACTTGAATCCTCGATGGGACAGTTCGATCGACATCACGACCAAAGGACCCCTGAATATCATTGCTACGGTCTGGGATTGGGATGCCGTTGGCGACCATGATTATGTGGGACGCACGTCGCTTAAATTAGACCCAGCTCATTTTAGCGACTTTCTCCCAAGAGAATTCTGGTTAGATTTGGATACGCAAGGGAGAATTCTACTTCGTGTCAGCATGGAAGGTGAACGGGACGATATCCAATTTTACTTTGGGAAATGCTTCCGAACGTTGAAGCGGACTGAGAAGGAAATGACACGGAAGATTACCGAAAAGGTCAGGAATTCATTCTACAGTGCAGGTATATACATATATTAACATGAAAATAGCTCTCGGCATACATTAGTCACTCTCTTTCCCGGAGGGCTCTGAAGGCTTTACTTAACCGTGGCCTCACTATTTCCAGTTTCCTCACGCGCAGTCGGTCTGGAAATACATCGACCATGCCATCACAGGCGGAAATCGAACTAGCTTTAGACCCTCTCTTTACATATTTCAACGACAATTTTGCCATTATGGACAAAACGCTGACTTCGGAGGCGATGAAAATGGTGATGGCTCGTCTGTGGAAAGAAGTTCTGGTTACCATCGAGGGCTTACTCGTCCCTCCTCTTTCCGACAAGCCATCGCACCAGCGACCTCTCACGCAGCAGGAAGTCGATATCGTATCCAAGTGGCTGGAATTACTTCTAGTATTCTTCCAAGTTCCCGACGAAGTTACTGGAGAGGCAAACGGTGTATCGTTGGATATATTGAAGTCGCCCAAGTATCATGAGATTCAGTCTCTGAACTTCTTCTACTTTGAGCCTACCGACACACTCATACGTACATCTGAACGGATGGCATCCGCGACAGCAGCACGGCAGCAGTCGAACAAGGGCCGCCTCCCAGCTGCCACGGGATCAGGACACTTGGGTGGTTCGGGGATGCTGGGTGTACCAATGAAACGAGCCAAGAGCGTCATGTTCGTGAGAAACATTGGCACGATGCGCAAAGCCAAGGCGGAGAAATGGCGCGAGGCGCAGGCTGATCCAAACGACGATATGATTCTGCGGATTCTTCGTATGAGACCAGAAGCCGCCGGCTATCTCCGGGATCGTAGCCGCCAGAAGGAGAGGTTGGCGGCGGCGGCGGCAGCGGATGCGATTGTCAAGCAGAGTCTGATGGCGAGTAGTGGGGGGAGAATGACTGGTACGATAGGACGGCGATGAGCTGTATTATTTCATCATTTGACCTTTCTTTTCTTTTCTCTTTTTGTTGGTCAAGCGATAACTAGCGGTCTTATACCCATTACGACGTTGCCTTGGATTGAGCTCATATCAGCGTTTGTTTTATGTTTGTGGATATTGAGACAATTTCATGTAATCACTGATATTTACATTCAACACTCCATTCAATACCAGGACATTCTTCAACTTAATTACATAGAATTGCCTACACATGTAACATCACGTGTGTTAGCCAGGGGCTGCATATTGGAGTATGCTATAATTACAACGACAACTAAGCAGTTACATCAGCCTACATATTACTACAGAACGTACATGGACATGTACAGCGCACATGTCAAACGATCGCCGAGAAATAAGGGAAAAAAAGGTTTTCACCTTTCTGAAATTAGGATCTACTCGGTCTCAACCCCGGGAACTTGTTCCGAAGTTTCAGATCTGTTCATCATTTGCTTAGACAGGTAATGGGCCCTAATCAGCAGTAGGGGACCATGTATGGGGGTGTTCAAGCCATGCATTAGTTTAATGCAGATGTCGCTGTGAGTGGTGGTTGTGTGCCGGTGTTACATGTCGAGGCTTCGAGCACGTTGTAGTTTTTATTAATTAATTAAAACGTGTATTAATTAGCAGGGGTAATATTTTTTTATTTTTTTTGAAGAAAGGAAAAAGTTTTTTTTTTTCGGAGGAAAAGAAAAAAGAAAGACGATGAAACGGGTTACTTCTAGCACATGCACATGGATTCTACTTCGGTTAGCGTGGGTTTGAGCTAGCAAACTATGATACGTGACTTAAGGTACCAACCGACATATATAATAATAATAATAATGAAGGATTGTTATTTAGTATTTACTCGCATATCAATTCGCTGTAATTAACAAACGACTACGCTGTAAGCCACTCATTTAGCAGTGAATAAGATAGCGTGCAGCACATGGTATAATCAGCCCGAGTAATACCGCCACCAGACCCTGCCTTTTACTCAAATCAGAAGAGTACATGCAGAGTGCATGCTGCAAGGCCCAGGTTTGAAAGCATTAGCTCTTCGGGGGGAAGTCAACTTGCATATCCGGTGGATTTAGTCATGGCCAGGAGGATGCTTATGCATGCCCATGGGGGTAAATATTAATGGGGGTTTCGGGATAATTAAATCATGAAATAAATAGTAAAATATATAAATAAAGCAGACCGTTTTGAGATTGTGGTCTGCAATTTGGTGCGAATTTAAACGCATCTAGATAATTTCACACCACATTAAATACGAAGAGAGTCAATGTTCTCAATGTCGACTTGTGGAAAATTACCAGCACATTCACTGCTCAGAGAGTATAATAGGGTATTAGAGTATGGATGTCAGGTGGAGTAACAGTAAGAATTAGTATCGTCGACTAACCAACGCACAAGTGGGGAATTCATCGAAATACTTCTCCAGCTGGAAGCGGATGAGTACTACCAGGTTCGTGCGTCTGGGTAGCTTTGATTGGCCAATGCGACGTTTTTCGAATTGGGAAAGACGTGCAGTGACCAGGAAATGACGAAACTGTCGACCTCAGGTCAACGGGATTGATTTACGACAACAATGGTTTATCATCTAATAATATTTACTATTAGCGGTGATAGCGGGAGGACCGGACCGCGAGAAGTGGCTATCTCCCGCCCGCTGTCCGTGGTATGCGACTTGCGATCCTGTAATTAACTAATGGGCTCCATCGGGGGGGTGGAGCCGCCGCTCTTACTTGCTCTTACTTGCTCTGACTTGCTCTGTAAGAATCGCTGGACCAGTGAACCGACTGAAGCAGCCCGTTCCGACCTTCTTGCATGCGATATCGCGTTCTGACTCCAATATCTGACTCACAAGTCAATCCGGACGGGGCGAGGAGGATAGAAGCAGGATGACGTGTACATTCCTCGTCGCAATCAAAGCTATTTCGCCCGAAAGTCTGTGGTTCTCGAGACACCTGCTATGATGGCCTAGCAGAGTCTCTAGTAGTAATTAAACAATTAAACAATATCTAGTCGAATAGCACTAGAATTGCATCCAGAAATGGTCTGCACGTGCTGCCGTCAATCGAGAGCCCCTGATTTGCTCCGCCGGCATCAAGAAAAGATGCGAAAGAATAAACGAAGCACAGCTAGATATAAGAAGGAAACAGGTAGAAACGTTCGAGAAGGTCTGTCCAACTGAGCACGCATTCCAAAGGACTAAGGGCATGGCAGGGCAGGGTAGGGTAGTGTAAGATAGGGTAGGGCAAGGGCAAGGGCAAGGGCAAGGGTAAACACGAGGCGATGGCCGGGGAAGGACCGGGGAGCGCTAAGCTTAGTCGATACTAAACAGGCGCTAAATCGCATACGCCGAACTAGACACTCTGGATGGTTTGTCTTCGCTAGCCTCGAATTCAACGAGCATGAAGCATTACCCTGCTGCCCGTACTGTAGATCTGGCAAGACATATACCACATCTCCCCTCCCCAAAGCACAATCCCCATGAGAGCACGGCTAATGATATGGTCGTACGTAACGCCAAATACCATCTTCGATTGATGATCGCCTAAGCCGGGGTCGCTAAGGCGCGTCATACATCAGAGTTCTGAGGCTGCATGTCATCCTGGCATGACAAGGATAAAATTGCGCCATCGAACGCCTAGCCTGCCGCTAAAGCCAGCCAGACACGCATGCACGGCCGAGTATCTGTATTTGGTACGGTATGGTCACGTCACGTCACCGTATTATTCCCCTCGCTCCTGCTGTCTGCGGTTGGAGCAGCCGGAGCATCTCGCTATGCTCCGGCTGTACCTTCTCTTCTTCTTTGATTATATTTAACAATATTATGGCGACGGATGATTAATCATAATCAACAATGGACGACATTCGTCCCCCTCGCGACTGTCGACAGTGATCTCGATCTGCAGCGCTTGGGCCTTGTTCAACACTAATTAACTATCAACACCTTGGTCTCTTGGTGTCAATCGGCTAATTAGAGTTTGGGGACCATTGCGTCAAGCAGCTTCATTACCATTAAGTAGACCTCTCTACGCGTACTTATTTCTTATTCTGACCATATCCTGCATTGAGTAACAGTCACTCTGACCGTCTCGCAGCCCGTACTCCGGCGGAGACAGAGGCGAGAAGACAAGAGGGGCAGCATCATGTCACGATGGTGTCCACCGATCTCTATTAATTAGTCACTTGCATGTCATAACCCCATGCCGATCCCTCAACGTATCCCGTTAGTCGCACGCGCTCACATGCGAGTGATGATTTTTGATCAAGTCAGCGACCAAAAAGTGAGCCTAAACAAGGGTCCATCGGTATTGACTCATTTAGTGTTTGGAGAAAGCTTCTGCTGTTGCTGGATGTCAGACAAACCTGTCCGCGAGGGTCCGAGTTACCAGCGCTGATTGTGCTTACGGTCACGTTCGCTGTGAATGTTTGGTTCAGCCTTTGGTTTGGCTCAGCTGAGCGGGGAACTAATCCCTAGACGACCAAAGGGCAAAAAGTACAGAAAGAGACACCGAAAACATCGTCAACTAATTAAAATAATCTGTCCGAGTAAAGTACCTACTCTCCACGGACCACCGTTTTAATAAATGGCTGATAGGCTAGTAGGAGGCTACTGGCTTACTGACCTGCGTCTCGCCTGGTCTGATCGCCGCCAGGATCTGGACTATGTTAGCCTAGACTTGCCCACGCAGTGCCAGATTGTAATCATCAAGGCCGCAACGGGCAAACCTTTGGCCTTCGTGTGTGAATACGTATTAACCAATCAGCCGGCATGATGGGCTATCGAACGGGTCGCCCGGCTGACTATATCCGAGCACGAGCCTTAAAAACACCGCCAGTGAATAAAAATAGACGAAAAGGCAACAAGAAACAACCGACGAGCCGCACTGAGGTTGCGAGCGACGAATAGTATCGCTTTGATACATGTGACGCAGATTCACGAGGGACAGAGTAGCACCAGTGGGGCCACTGAGACGCTCATAACAAGCAGTATCGCCATCGAATGAGGAGCTCAAGGCGTCGCGTCTCGCTCTTATCATGTGTTTCACTCACGGCGACGTCTGCCGGACCTCGTTGGATGGAGGAGCATGGCGCACGAGCCTGGTGGTCGGCCGTACAGACTCAGTACGGGCCGATACAGCGTGCACGAAGACTGGTACCGATATGACCGAAGTTACATGGGCGACAGCAGGCTGCTAAGGGTTGCTAAGGGTTGCTAAGTACTTACTAACAGCAACTACCACGACTAAATAGAATAATAATACGAAGCCAACGCTCCACTGCGCTAATGCAGGCCGAGTGTTTTTGATTCTTGTGACTTTTGGCGCCTTAGCAGCAAGTCTTAGCGGCCTGCCCCAGTCTTCTCACGGCCTCTAGGCCTCTAAGCTCGGCGCTACGCCGCCCACTGCGGACTCTCCTCGACCACGACGCTCTCTTGTTTGTCAATGCCTCGTTGAGCTAGCTAGCTGCCTATGTACCTGCTCTCTGCGCCAGCGAACCAGCAGCGGGAGTCGTCCTGTCTAGGGCTGACCAATCCGGCCCTTTTCCGGTCTCCTCGGTTCGCTCGTGTCCATTGACTCACTGCTGCCGTGCTCTGTTCTACCTTGCGAAACGGGCAATGTGTCCGCTGGAACATGGCGGACGTAGCATCATCTTCATCCTCGCTGGTCCCTCAAGCGCCCGCCAGTCATCATCGTGAACCGTTGCCCGGGAGGGTCTTGGCCCCTGCTCGCATGTCACTCTACCTGGTCCCATCCGCGGCGGCAAAAGCCCCAGTCGACTAGCCACTTACCCACTCGTCCATTTCCCATCTAGATCCAGGACCCATGACGCGCGAATCTGCAAGAGACTGTTTTTGTCGAGAAACTCGGGAACCCTGGCGTATTCAAGCAGAAACCCATGTTCATGATTTTTTTTTCCCTTTCTCTTCTCTCTCTCTTCCCTGTGGGCTTTATCATTGCTGCCAGTTCCATGGCTTGACTCTTAAGTACTTACTTGGGTCTCGTTTCTCACTCCTCTTTTTATTTCCGTACTGAGGACGAGAGTCATGGACAATTACACGCGGCGGTGTTAAGCCTCAGTTCGTCATCTCCATCCTACCTCCATTTCTCACCACCAGCTGTGAGCAGCATCGGTTGTTTTGATTTTGCCAACAACCTATACATTCGCTTCTGTTAGCTCTCAGTGGCTCGAGCAGCAAATCTACTAGTTTCAAACGGATTCATAGGTGGCATAGTTGAAAGCTTCCACCAACAAAAAGACGAGTACAAAAATAGCTTGCAGATAACGACACCATAACATTTAATCATTTATGTGTCTGCTTGATCATTGGGTTTATTGCCACGTGAGGAAAATCGGTCGATGAGTGATATTTCTAACCAGGATTCTACCTGAGGACTCACATCGCAATGGCTTTCCCATTCATGAGAAGTTTTATTATGCTGTTGTTAGTAGCCTAAACTATGTTTACATTTCCAAACCTATCCGGCTCCATTCCTTCAAGCTATCACCTCCTATATTGATCCTTTTTAACTAACGATTATCCTCCTTCCCTCGACAGCCTCTACCGCTACTTACGACTAGTCATTAACTTGTGGTCGTTCTATACCTTCAAGCCCATCCCGATTCCAGAGAATCCCAGACTAACGGCGGAAGATGTGACCGTGATAGTGCCGACTCTAGAAGGATGCGGAGATGAATTGGTGGAAACAATTCGTACTATCCTTGATAACCGGCCTGCGGAGCTTCTCCTAGTAACCATCGAAGCCAACCGCAAGAAAGCCGAGAAGATGCTGTCTGCCATGCCTGCTTTCAACTCCAGGGTTCGCTTGTTCACTGTCACCCACCCCAACAAGCGGCGACAGATGACCCGGGCTATTCCAGAGGTGCGAACTGCTATTACTATATTTGCCGACGATGATGTGAGCTGGCCGTCCACCGCATTGCCGTGGATATTGGCACCGTTTGATACGGACGACCGCTATGGCGGTGTCGTAACATGCCAGCGGCTACGTCGAGCTGTCAACCCCACTTTCTCCGAACGCATATGGGGTTTTCTTGGGGCTCTGTATCTGGAACGTCGCAACTTTGACTGTGCTGCCACTACTCACATTGATGGTGGCGTTCCTTGCCTTTCCGGCCGAACAGTTGCCTATCTTACTAAAATTTTGCAAGAGGATGGCTTTACCAATGCTTTCACAAACGAGGAATGGTGGTTCGGCAAGTACCAGCTCAATGCAGATGATGACAATTTTATTACTCGCTGGATGGTCTCTCATGGATGGGAAACATACCTTCAATACCATCCCGAAGTCGAAGTCAAGACCACGCTTGAGAATAACCCGAAATTCCTTAAGCAGTGTGCTCGATGGTCTCGAAGCAATTGGCGCAGCAATTTGACCAGCATGTTCAGCGAATGCCATATCTGGTAGTAAGTACTATTTTTACTTGGTTTTCTTGTATTTTTCTTTACTGTCCTTGTCCCACCTCAAGACAGAAATTTATCACATGTTTGTACGTGTTGGGTGCGATGCATGACATCTGCATGGGTACTGTTGACGCATTGCACTCGTTATGTTATAACGCTGGTCCTTCCGGTTGGACCGGGCTTTGCAATCTGCTTTTCTTTTTCCCTTTTGGCGCGTTATGCCCGGGTGGGGAATGCCCAGTATAGCCCGGTTAGGCATGACACATTAAACTAGAAAAGAAACACCATGTTATATGGACGACGCTAACTAGGGGCTGCGTTACATACAGCCGGCAGCCATGGAGTACGTATGCGGTCCATCTCACGACGCTTTCGCCTCCTGCTCTTCTGGGCGACCTGCTTCTCGTCTACCTGTGCCACAAGGCCACCGAATACTGGGATGGGGACTCGCATTCGCTAGCAATGCGCGCTTTATATAGCTGGATGTTACTCAGCAAGTTTATCAAACTTCTCGGACACTACATTCGATACCCCGTTGACGTTTTAATGCTGCCGATCTCTATTCTCTTCGGCTACTTCCACGGGGCAATCAAGATCTACGCTGTGCTCACACTTAATGTAGTAAGTGTAATTTTCCGTCTCTGTTGCGTCCGTTGAATCGCGTTCTTTTTTCTTTTTTCTTTCTTTTTTGTTTTGCCTCCCGCCCCTTATCAACGGTTTGTCCCTTCACGCATTATTTCCGATACTGCCTGGTGCTGTGATTTGTGATGCCATTTTCACCGAGGGGCAAACGAAGCTGCAGGCTGCAGGGGCCTCGCGGCTAGACTCTAGAGTGCTTTAGGGCTTCGCAGGGGGCGGCCTAGGCCCGGCTGCCCAGGCTTAGCAGCACTAATCGCCGACTAACCCTCCGCCCGCTGCCCTCAGTGCCCCCCTCCCTCCTCCGATACTCTCACACTCCAACTGCCTTGGGCCAATGCGCGTTCGTTGTTTCCCCGCTCTCAAGCCCCGATTGATTATTAGCCCTGCAACACTACGCAAGTACCTTCCCACCATCCTCTTTCGTGTCTCGTCGAGCTGCCAGCCTTGTCGCCATGGCATCATGTTGGTTTTGGTGTTGCCGTGTCTCGTCACGTTTCATCTTTTTCAATTTTTTGCGGCTCTTTGTCGACGATTTCGTTGGATTTGTTGCAATCAACCCTGGTGAAATCTAAGCCTTGAGCAAGCCGGATCAGAGCGGCCGGAGATACTTCCACACATTACGTATTTCATGGCGGTTGCTGATATCCACTTCGCCGGTGTGATGATTCAGTCCGTTTCACAGACTATCCCGAGTCAAGCTTGGCTCATATCACCATCAACATTAGTCCCACATGTCTTTTATTTACCGTTATGAAACCTCCAGTCGAGTTGATCTAATCATTTATTTTTACAGACTACATGGGGAAGCAGAGAAGGCGCTGATGCCAATGACTCGGAGCGCATGAGAAAGCGATCCGATATCGAGCGTCAAAAGCAGAACCAACGGCTTAACTTATTTGTCTAAATCAGGCATGGCAGGTTCTATATTGGTTCTAGACAGACTGCAGCCGACCGGCGACTGATGATTGCGCTTGTCATCATCTAATCCGTACTCGCCAGCCACAGTCCAGGTACTAATTTCAACACCATGAGCTAGCCATACATTCAATTAGTCAAAGAACAAATATCTACACCTACGAACATCTCTCCCCTTTTCCTCTTTTACGATGCCATGAATCATGTTTTGACTTGCACTTATTAGCTTTTGTGTCATTAAAGGGTTCGCTGATCTGCAGTATTTCCTGGTTCTATCATCATTTTCACGAGCCTTGTCAACTTACTGTTTAGTTCTTGCCGTTTTTGCTGCCATTTGAGCCAGCTATTTCTGCCGTGTGTTTAAAAAGTTGGACCCTATATTGCATCTACTCGATTCGATTCGCTTGGATTCGCCACAAGTGCGCTTCCAATGACGGCCACAGCTGGGAAAGACAGCACCGCTGCACTGCCGAAAAGATCCCTTGAGCGTTTCTGCGTCAGATAGTTGGTCATTACCTTCTATTTTTAATTTTGGCAATTGGTCAAAAGTCATGCGTGTAACAGTATCAAAAGCATTTTTCTCGCTTCTTGTGACAGTAGCGGCTTAGACAAGAAGAGTGACTGGGAGGCTATTTGTCTTTTTGCATATATATTTTGTCAATTCTCAAGCCTGTGATTCGCACTTCAGGTTTGTTTTGCTTTTCTTTTTCGTTCCACAGATCATTAATCAATAATGTGATGAATTGGTATGTTGCGCATAACTTCATCAAGCAGACGTCTATGTTAGTATTGAGTTAATGAGTAAATTCCATTTTCGGCTCGATTTCATTCTTGCATCACCTAGTTGGTATAAACATCCCAAAATCAATCAGCATTTGAAAAAATCGAGCATCAAAATCATGTCGATACCCGTCTTCTGATTGGCTGGAGCGGATATAGACGAGAGAAAAGGCGGTGGCAACCGGCAATTCAATATCAGCAGTTTCTCGATCAACCATTCATTTCTACTCAACCTTCACATCTTCTTCTCTTAAAAATAAAGTCATGATGAGAAAGGTACCTTCGTGGGCTGTCACAGCTCTCTCATCACCACGAAATAGTATTTCCAGCCAAACATCCCCATCGTTCCGTTGCTTTCATTGCTCCCCAAAGACATGGGCCATTGCTCACCCCATCACCGCACATGGACCGCCTCCTAGAGCTCCGAAGCCAGCACCTGAGTTCGGTGAGCGAGTGGAAAGACGCAAAAAACAGGAACAATCGATCCAAGAGGGACAGAATACAAATTCGCAGGCTTCGCAGGCGAAATATCCGCTCAAGAAGCGATTTTGGAAGTATGTAAATGTGAAGGAGTCACCTGGTAAGAAAGTCCATATTGAGATCTTTACTCTTTCTCTTCTGTTAAATGGCTAACGTCTTACGTATAGATGGATATCAAGTGCTTTTAGATACTCGTCCAGTTCGCAGCCCTATGAAGACCGTCATTACAATCCCGAACTCCAAGCGCCACCTCGCCGAAGCTATTGCTCTCGAATGGGATCTTCTAACCTCTGCGCAGCAAGCGCTGAAACACCATTTAATCCCGCTCACATCCCTGACGACGCGTGCGACTGACATTGTCCGAGAAGACGGCTTGGGCGAGGGGAGAATCAGAAAGGAAATCGTGACCACTGCGATGCGCTATCTACAAACAGACACCCTCTTATGCTGGGTACCGGAAAAGAAGCTACATGATCCAGATCCAGTCAACGGTGTACTGGAGAGTGATACTGCTCAGCAAGAAAGCTTGCGCACTCGTCAAATGAAAGCTGCACAAGAAGTCATCGGCTTCCTCACCCAGACCATATGGCCTGGCGTTGAGATTAAACCTGTTCTTGACGAGGATAGCATCATTCCGACGTCGCAGAGCGAGTCTACGGTTAATGTTATCCGGGAATGGATTACTGCTCTCCCTCCCTATGAGATTGCAGGCCTGGAGAGAGCGATTCTTGCCAGCAAGAGCTTGCTGGTTGCAGTGCGGTTAATTGTCGAATGGGGCGAGCATTTTGGCGATGTCCAACCTGCTCAGAAGACGAAGGCGTTTGGTGTCGATGAGGCTGCTGAGGTATCGAGTCTCGAGGTGACTTACCAGACGGATATGTGGGGAGAGGTCGAAGATACGCATGATGTTGACCGAGAAGATCTTCGGAGGCAACTCGGAAGTGTTATTCTCCTGATTAGTGGAGATAGAAGGTAGTGCGATAGCTAGAAGTATTGTAAATATATCTACATAGAATTATAATCGAGAATAGCGCTGGTTATTCTTATTTTATGGCGCTAAAAGCTGAAGTTTGAGATATATATATGATGGCGAGATTGGGCCGAGTCGATGACGTCCAACAATCGACCAAGCTCACTATTAATATTATCATGATCACAGTCACCACGAATTAATATTGCAAAGGCCGTTATGGGGTAATGTTAGGGAGTCTGTGCTCGCTCGTGCTCCCATGGTCTCATTGGCATCGATTAGTGGATCGACAGCCCGCCCCGAAATCAAGTCCGGTCCAAGATCTACAAGTCGTCCTCGCCTACCTTAGTGCTCTCTTCTCATTCAATTTGGTACTATTCTTTTGCGTACATTGTTCCTCCCACAACATTCAGTGATAACGGAGCGCCATTCTTCTGGTGGCATGCTGGTGCTCGGAAAATGACAGAACGGAGCGAGGGGTGAGTTTCTCCGCATTCTGTAAACATGGCATATTCGCAGTCGGGCAGTACGCAACGCTGAACAGCAAGTTGGTGATTGGTGTTCTTTCCAATCAACGGCAATACGGCACCTTCTCTCACTCACTCCCTCTGTTTGTCCTCTTTCGATGAGATGGAAGCTTGTTATTGCCGAGCCACCTGTCTGCTAGTACAACGCCGCTCCCTACCCCCTCTTGCACGCAATTGCATCCCGGATGGGAACCGCGTTTTTGGATGTCCATACAGAATACTAACATGATTTCCAACCCTAGTCACCACAAGCGATCCAAGAGTTACTTGGCGCGTTCCATCCTTCATCGCGACAAGTCGAAGGGCGAACCCCAGGATGATGGTAGTGACCGCGGTGGCGCAGAAAGTAGCTCACCAACATCCACAGTCGCATCCTCGTCGTTCGCCGACCCACCGATCGCTCGCAAATCCTCTCTATCGCTGAACAGGATCCGGAGCAGTAAGAAAGTTCCCGCCATGACGGAAGATCCAGACACGTCGCCAAATGCGTCCGGCAACATTTCGTCGCCACCAGGTGGTGCGGATAGCCCCGAGAAGGCAGGCTCTATCAAAGGCGCTGAACCTGTGACGTCGATTGAACAGTCGGTGAGAGCGTTTCGTCTCTTTGAGATTTTGCGTAGTGGCGATACCACTGCTATTTCAAAGGCTATCAGGGAGGCCAAGGAGCAAGGAGCGGGAACAGCGTCATCAGGGACAACGATTCTTCACCTCGCGATCCAATGTGCAGAACCGCAGGTCGTGGAATATGTTCTGGCAAGCGGGGCTGGGGTTGATATCAATGCTCGTGATCGCGAAGGAAATACCCCGCTGCATCTAGCCTCGCAGTTAGGTCGAGATGCCGTTGTCAAAGCATTGCTTGAACAGTCACAGATCGATGACTCTGTGGTTAACTACCGGGGTCAGACAGCACTTGATTTGTCCCGTACCCCGGATATTTTTGAGCAATTACAACTGGCGCGTTCCATCTTTATCGATACGAAGATAAAGCAGATTCAGGATCTGGTCATTCGGTCTGATTACGATACTCTAGGGAAGCTTCTTGAAGAACCGCGAGTGCAGGGAAGCGTTGATGTTAATGCCCTGGAACTCGTTACTGATACGGTGACCGCTCAGTCAGGAGGAACTTTACTACACGAGGGTGCAAGGAAAAAGGACACATCTCTAATCCAGATCCTACTGATGCACGGAGCTGATCCGTTCCGACGTGACAAGAAAGGGAAGCTCCCTCAGGACGTTACCAAGGATGACAAGACAAGAGCTATTGTTAAGAAGTCTCCGGCTGCTGTTATAGCGCAACGTGGAATTCAAGAGCGAGCTATTCTGGGAAATAGTCACTCTGGGGCGGCCAGTTCCAACAGAGCTGCGAGTTTGGAGGTCACAATAGCTGGAAAGGATGCTAGGGAGATGAAAGGTTATCTGAAAAAATGGACGAATTATACGTCAGGGTTCAAGCTGCGTTGGTTTGTCCTTGAAGATGGTGTCTTGAGCTATTACAAACATCAGGGTGAGTTTAATCTGTTGAGTATGATACCTTCGGGCTAATATTATGTCGTTAGATGATGCCGGCTCTGCTTGTCGAGGTGCCATTAGCATGCGAATCGCAAAGCTACACATGGACGCACAAGACAAGACCCGATTCGAAATACAGGGCAAATCCTCTGTCAAATACCATTTGAAAGCAAATCATGTGGTTGAGGCTAAACGATGGTTTTGGGCACTCAACAATGCCATTCAGTGGGCAAAAGACGAGGCAAAGGAAGAGGAGAGAAGAAAAACTAAGGACGCAGAGGCTCTCCAGGCGAAACTACACCAAGTCGAAAGCCGTGCTTCGGAATCTCACGGCGAAGCTAATTCTTCTCCCACACCTAGGCTTAACACTAAAGGACTTGTTCCAACCCCAAAGTCTACCACAAGCTTTTCAAGGGTGAGCACACACACATCGCGTACTGTGCCTGAACCAGGTCTCGGAGATGACGAAACATCTGCATATGACTCTTACGCCCAGAGTGTCACACAGACTGATACCAATCGAAACGTCGGTCAGCCGACCGGGATCGACGACGATGTTGAATATGATGACTTCAATGACTACGCGTCTAGCCGTGATATCCAACCAGCCAACAAGGACGCCTTTTACATCACCGCCCAATCCGCAAAACTACAGCTTGATCTTCTTTCTAATGTTTCGTCATCCCTTCAAAATGAAAAGAAAAACAACCCCGAACTTCCTGTGTCTGACCCAGCGGTTGATCGGGCATTGACTGCTTATGACTCTGCCGTGAACAGCCTGAATGGTCTTTTGGCCAATCTAATGAAGATATCAAGGGACCGGGATGCCTATTGGCAGTTCCGTCTCGATAGAGAGACCGACACGCGTAAGATGTGGGAAGATAGCATGGCTCGAATCGTTCAAGAACATGAAGAGCTCCAAAACAAGGTTGGGGAATCTGAAGAAAAGCGCAGGCGGACAAAGAAGGCCCTTAAAGAGGTTCTGGAAAACTCGTCCGGACTGGACAATTCACGAGGATCTCCTGCGCAATTCGATGAGAAGACAGATGTTGGAGAGCATATTGTGGAAGACGGACCGGAAATTGCTGCTACTACTGAAACCACGCATACAAGGCGTGAAAGTTTGTCTGCGAAAAGACAAAGCCTGCCCGATTTTGCGGAATTGGCAGAATCTGATTCTGATGATGAGGTTGAATTCTTTGATGCCATCGAATCTGAAGAAGTGGATGTTCAGAAATTGGCTGTCAGTGAAATTTTGACAGAGAAGCAACCGATAGATAATGGTGCAGCTGATTTGCGCTCTGCGAAGCTTACTGCCATCACCCCATCCTTCAAGGGCTATGAAGAACCTGTCAGAGAGAGGCTGAAGATGGACAACGACGACAGGCCCAAGATATCTCTCTGGGTAAATCATCCCATGAATGCATTTTGTTTTGATGAATATGAATTTACTAACATGTTTTCTTTAGGGTATTCTCAAGTCAATGATTGGTAAAGACATGACAAAGATGACACTACCAGTCTCATTCAACGAGCCCACCTCGCTTCTTCAGCGTGTTGCAGAGGATATGGAATACGCGGATCTCCTAGATATTGCGTCTGACCGTCCTGGTTCCTTAGAACGGCTGCTATATGTAGCTGCCTATGCCATCAGCGAGTATGCGTCTACCATTGGGCGTGTGGCAAAGCCTTTCAATCCTCTCTTAGGTGAGACTTTTGAATACGTGCGACCAGATAAAAACTATCGCTTCTACGTCGAACAAGTCAGCCATCATCCACCGATCGGTGCTGCTTGGGCTGAATCGCCAAAATGGGAATACTATGTATGAGAAAGCCTTACTATTCTGTCATTGCTTGTGTTGATACTGACTTTTTACAGGGTGAATCGGCTTTGAAATCCAAGTTCTATGGGAAATCTTTTGATATTAATTTGTTGGGAACTTGGTTTTTGAAGCTGCGTCCTATTACCGGCGGCGAGGAACTCTACACATGGAAGAAGGTTACATCGTCGGTCATCGGTATTATTACAGGAAATCCCACCGTAGATAACTACGGACCTATGGAAGTGAAGAACTGGACGACCGGTGAAGTCTGCTACCTGAACTTCAAAGCTCGTGGGTGGAAAGCATCATCTGCATACCAAGTCGCGGGCAAAGTAGTCGACGCCGAGGGAGTCACCAAATGGAGTATTGGCGGCCGATGGAATGACAAAATCTTTGCTCGGCCAGCTTCTGCCCCCGAAGGAAGCTTTTCTGAAAACGACGAGTCCGCCAAAACCACTCTCTTGTGGCAGGCCAATATCCGGCCTCCTGGAATCCCATTTAACCTGACTCCATTCGTGATAACCTTGAACGCGATCCCCGACAGCCTCCGTGCACACCTTCCACCCACTGATACTCGACTCCGTCCTGATCAGCGAGCCATGGAGGACGGAGAGTACGATTTCGCGGCGACGGAGAAACACCGTGTTGAAGAGAAGCAGCGAGCCAAACGAAGAGAGCGAGAAAGAACAGGCGAAGAATTCTCTCCAAAGTGGTTCAAAAGGGCTAAATGTCCAATTACTGGTGAGGAATACTGGCAATCCACAGGCGATTATTGGAAATCCAGAAATGCAGGCGATTGGAGTGCCTGTGATGACATTTTCTAAGCTGCTACTCTGCTTACTCTCCAGAGAGTGTTTATTGGGGTGTCTGTATATGCCAGTATAGAATGATCGCGTCGCTCGGTAGTATTTTTTTGTATGAAAGTTTATTATTCTTTATAGATTATTACCTGCATACAATAGTTATCATTATTCTATCGATACATATTGTTTTCACTAAGTCCTTTGCTATGTTTATAGCGTAGCTATCACGTGGTAAGTCATCGGTGTCAGGTTTTTCAATATAATGCCTTTCTGAGCGGTATCACAAAGCGGCTTTGAATGATAGTTATAGAATAACTTCTCCAATACTGCTTCCTTCGTTGTATCGCCAACTTTGACAATTCTAGGCGTTTTCCGAAGCTTCACAAACATCGAATTGTAGTTGCAAATATGGCAATCAGTGCCGGCGTCATATATGAAGCTTTTTCTCATTCCATCGTCTGACATGACGTTCATGGAGATATTGCTCGTTACTACCGTGCAAGAAAATCGATTACCGGCGTAATTTGACTTTGTATGCCGAACAATGTTAAAGAAAGGTTTTGCGTTCGGATGTTTGGATAGATATACACGAAGGCGCTTCTTCGCCCCAGGGTCTTCTTTCCAACTCTTTGGCCTCACTTCTGGATTGGCACATGGGCATTTCTAGAAGCTGAATTCGTGGGAAGAACCACATGCGCATTTTTGGCGTTTATGCTCATGTTTATGATCGTAATCTTTTTTTGTTTTGTATCTCATATCTTTCTGACTGTTCGGAGTGCTGCCATCGCTTTGAAGAACCCATATGATATCGATGCTCCAAATCTTTGGGGCTTGATATGTCGATCGAAGATCTCAAAAGATGTTATTATGTACTTTAGATCCGGTAGTTTGTACGCTTCGCCTTTGACCACATAATCTATGTACTTGCTATTCCAAATGGAATAGAATTCCAGCGTCAAATTCTTCATCGACTGTATGAAATCGGTTTTATGACGCTCATCCTGCACATCCTGCACATCAGGCATCTCTGCCTTTACGTACTCGCCATATACTGATATCCATTTTCTAGCTAATTCTTCAGTGTTAGTGCCACCAAATTGAGCCCTGAATTACAAAGAAGTTGAAAGTACTCGTCTATCTACACGTATTTGTATGCGAATTGTTAAGGGCCTATCCCCAAACCCGTTAGTGCCAAATGCCCCGACAATCAACTTTAGCAATCTGCGGCATCAGTTGCTGACAGAATCCGCTCAGTTGAACAGCTTTCAATTGACCATCAAAATGGCCGGTGAATACAACTGCAGTCGATGTATGCAGGTCATGCTACCGAAGACTCACAGTCGAATTTCTCTCGCTCGCTTCAGACGGCTAGGCCTAGCCAGTCGACGAAGTAATTTTTCGACATCAACATCAACAGCTCCGCAGAATCCTCTACTTCGACTTCATAATTCCAATTCCGCTACAGCTACAACTCGGCTAGGGACGCTTCAATGCTCGAAAAATAGAATTCTCAAACCCCTTACTAGAAGCGTCCAGACCGCCATTGCCGCTCCTGAACCTTCCGAAGAAACACGGCCGTTGCGGAAGCCCAATAACCTCTTCCAATCTTTCTCCAAGTCGCCTTCTCCAATCATACGGAAACGCGCTGAATTCATCAAGCACAATGCTTTCTGTCCTCATCCGAGCCACCAGCAGACCCGCATATCACCCGCTGCCTCCTCCCATTCAGACGCCTCGGCAGATAGCAGCACCAACTCGTCCTCGATTCCCCCAGCCCATTCACATTTTGAATGCCCCGACTGTGGCGTACCGATATACTGCTCAGAGGAGCATTGGATGGACGACTACGAGGCACACTTGGAAATATGCGACACAATCCGGCAGATCAACGAGGATGATCACGATCTTGTCTCAGGACGGTTTTTCCCCGAATTCGCCTACCCAGGTCCCCAGGATGACAATTTTATTGTCAATATGACGAACTGGGATACTTTTTTGTATACCCGTGAATTCGATGCGATTAATAATGAACGAAGTATGCGTCAAGTCACTCGCATGCTGACGTATCCAACGACGATTGCGAGCGTTATACATGAATTGAGTCCATACACTGCTCGCCCGGATGGAAGGTTGACAGTTGAGGGTTTGAAGAGTTTGAGCGGTGAGTCTGATACATACGTCTATTTTGACAAATTCTAATGCAAAATAACAGCCCTTCGCTACACGCTCCATCCGCCTAAACAAGGTGAAGGCAAAGACATCAAGGGCCTCCGTCTCAAAGCACCCCCTGTCCGCATATTCATTCTCGGTGCTCGAGCAGAATCCTCGCTTCCACGACAAGTCTGGCTCCAGCTATCACACATGTTCCCCAACGCGCTGATCAACCTGATCTTCATCGGCCCTGAGAGCATGGCGAACCGTGACGAGGAATTCCCTCTACCCGAACGTACGCCCGAAAACCCATTCGGCGGTATCACCGAAGACAGATTGGGTCCACAGATGAAAATCACCACGTATGTCGACTACTTCCACACGATGCACAACGCGCAGTACTTTTATCCGTACGACCCTTATTTCGACTGCTTCATGCTTTTCCACCCTGGCCTCGGCCACCCTGCCAGCTCGCATGAATGGGAGGAAACGCTGCCTAAGCTTCTCGAAACAAAGGTCCCGATTATTTGCACGGGATACACGCAATCTGATATGGAGCGCGATATTAACTGGGTGCATGAGAAATGCGCTGGTGAATTCGATATTCTCTTGAAACCAGGTGAGAATCGGTTCCGGAGTCTGAGATGGGATTTGAATGATCTCGACCCGTTGGATGTGTCGGCGGGGAATTGGGGGATATGGGGGTTTAGAGGGAAACGGTGCGTTTTTTCTTCCTGCATATTTTTTTTTCTTACTACGCATGAACAGAGGTCAATTCTAACACGTTTAATAGGTACGAAGCGACCCATAAGAACGACACAATCGCCGCTTGATTGGTTATTGTGGTTTTATATCTCTCCCTTCTCGTTCTACAATTGCTTTTGAGTAGCTTGATCTAGCAGAGAGAATTAATTACATTCTCCGGTTTGCCAGCTGTATTATATTTCTTTCTATAATCATATCATTATCGAAAAATATTCGTGCATTTCCCACAGTATAAAGAATACGATGCAGACCGATTCCAGTTGATCATAATTGTCATGCCAACTGTTAGGGTTAAGAATAGTATAATGTAGTCGCTCTGATGTAATCATCGATTCCATGAAGCCGATCCTATCGGCGTAGTATATTCAAACGAATCCGAGCCACACGATATACATAACTTCTCCGTATCCGCCGGCTGAATTAATCGGACAAGGCTATATATCCAACAGAAGAATACCCACAAAAGTCGATAAAACGAATAAGCCAGAATCGGTAGTAGATCCGAGTTGGTACAAGAAGGGTATATAATAAAAAAGTAACATGAAACCGACAAGGTAGCATGCTAGAACGAAATGAAATTCAATGAAAAAGGTCCCAAGGTATCAGTTCCAGTATATATCCTCAAAAAGCTTGCCATTTCCAGAATTGACGATGACCATCGAACGGTTGATATACAGCAAATCAGGTAGTATCTTGTTGCTTCGTTCATCAGTTACGGTCGTGGTTCGTAGGATAAATGATGAATGGTCAAGGCCCAGCCTTTTTGTCTATTATTGCGCAAAAAGAAACCATTCAATGTTTACTCCCCGGTTTTTCTCCATGAGTGATTTATAGCATGACCAAACCAGCAACGGCCATGACGCCGGCCATCATGGCACCATTAATTTGGTGGTTGACGGGAGCAGCACCGGTGTGTGTAGTAGAGGCGGCGGTGGTGGTTTCGGTGCCAGCAGGTTCGGTGGTTGGCACAGAGGCAGGGACAGTTCCGGAAGCGCTGGTAGCTGACACAACAGCAGAGCTGGAGCTGACAGGATGGCTAGAGGGAATAACGACAGACGAGCTGGGGTGGGGGTGTGAGAGTGAGAGTGAGAATGAGAGTGGGAGGAAGGAGTGGGAGTGGGAGTCGGCGTCGATGTCGATGTCGATGTCGATGTGCTGCTGTGGGCATTGACGATGGTGACGGTCGTGGTAGAGGCGGCGTAGGCCGAGAGGGCGGTCGAGAGCAGCAGGAAGGTCTTTGTGACGAGCATTTTGACTGCGGAATCGGGTGATTTTGATAGCCTTGCAAAGATGTCGCGAAGACGAGTGGGTTAGAGTATTGGGGAACTGAGTCCGGAGAATGAGAGGACGACAGATATAAGAGTGCTGAGCGAGTGATCACTCTGATCTGCCTAGAAGAAAGCGAAGGTGGTGGTGAATGTGGTGGATGTGGTGGTGAAAGGAAAGGGAGAGAAGAAAACGGGCTAAGAATATTGGGGTGGTGTTTTATTATTATTATTGTTATTAGGGGTCAGGGCGAGGCGCGGGAGCCTAAGGCTAAGACTAAGCTCAGGCACGACGTAACTGCCTGCGTCACCCGCCAATCGCCATCGCGCGGGCCTATCTCCATCCCGTGTTGCTAATTACTGCTAATTACTTCTCTTAGACTCTTACTCCTCTTACTACTGCGTCGATGAGACCATGGGGGAACAAATCACGACTTGTTCTTGTTACTCTCTATTGCAGTTTACGCTTACTTCGTCTGCCATTGTTCACATTTATTTGTTATGCATACCGCGGTTCAGCATTCCAATCGTTGCTGGGCCATCATCCACTACCCGTAACTACCATCACCATACCCTGATACGACCTCGCAGAACACCCAGGCTCGGCAGGAACCTATTCAGTGCTTTATCCCTAGTGCTATGTTGGTTATATATAACAACTGCTATTATTGCCCCAAAAATCCCTATTAACAGCCAATAATACCAAAATTATTGAGCATGGCAGACGTACTCGTTGACATCTACGAAGCCCAAGTGGATACGTTCATTTGCCAGTGGAGAGGCTAACTGCGACTAAACAACAATCACTTCTGCGTAACACAGAAAATACACGCAATCAATGATTATTGTTCGCGATACCAAACATAACGATCCAAGGAGCGTTCGATGCTGGTTATCTGAATCTTGGTGCATCTAAAAATCGAGCAGACCTTGCGGTTCCACGTCAGGATTAATTACTATTTGGCAAATCGTCAAGAACGGGGTCAAACTAGGATCACACTCCACTCTGTCTCTGTTTCTATGATATGATTAGTCTTCAAGCTCGCATGGCCACAGCGGCCTCCGTAGAGTCCTACATCCTTTCCCAGTGAATACTTATCACGATCGACATGATCAACGCGACTAACACGACGTTGCACTCGAAATTGATCTGCCTCGACTCTTAAGTCTCAGAGGACAGACATAATTATTCCAAGAAAAGGGAGTAAGGGCCATATAAAATCGGTCTCTTGGCAATTGTTAAATATTCCAGCCCTCCAATCAGGATAGTAATTTACTGAGTTTCGCAACTTTTGAAATCGCTTCTATATTTATATAGTACCAAGTCTAATATTCCTCTCTAATGACAGCAACTCAAGACAACTATATAAACTACTTATAGTCAAACAGCCTACTTTGTTAGCGCGTACTGCGTGTCCAGCGTTATTGTGGCTGGCATTACGTGTTCTAGTGCCACGTAACTGAGATAGCTCTTAGTATCTCGAGAAAGTTAACTTGACATCTAGCATACGCTATCATTTCTTGCTTGTTCCATTATTAAATAAATAAGAATATCATTAGTTTTATCCAAAGCAATACTGCCGTAAGTCATCGGGTTAATCGTATACAGGGTATAAAACATTTCGCAAAAAGCCGCCCAGTCAAGCCAAAATGCCGACTTTGTTTTAAGCATAGGAACACTCAGCCGAAGCAAGCAATGCCTTTCAAACAACAAATAAAAGAGAAAAACAATCGCTCAGAGGGCCCATACCATGGCAGTGACAACCATCACAGCCGGCAAGTAGCCGTTCCACTGCACTCCCAGACCAGATGCGGCCCCAGAAGATGGATCAGCGGCTGTAGTGCCATTCGCAAGAGTACCATTGATATAAGCGGTCTCGTTCGTACCGTTCTTCATAATGGTCACGACGCTGGAGTTGTGAGGAGGGTCGCCAATGATTTCGTTCAAGTATGTGCTATTGGTGTTATCATCGCATCCGCAGGTCTGGTATTCTTCGCAGAGACAAACAACGTTCATCGTGTAGTTGCCGTTGCTGTCGCTTTTGTTGTTGCCAATAGGATGTTGGTAATAGTACGGCGCATGGTATGGATACGACCACACTGAATAATGCCATGCACCTACTGCGAATCCCAGAGCCGCGCCGGTTAGTAGTGCAGGGGCTATGCCGGATGAAGATTGTCTGCCAGCGGGATATGGTGTGCTTGCGCCGCCAGGATAGTAACTGCCTCCTCCATACGATCTGGACGTTCCTGAGCCTGAACTGGATGTGCCGCCCGAATTGCTGTGATCCTTGTCAGTCCCATATCTGGAGTAGGTTTGAATAAAGTGGTCTTTGCCTTGAAGATGATGTGCTTCCTGATCCACGACTGCCAGAGCTGGATCCACTGCTGCCAGAACTTCCACTGCTGCCAGAACTTCCACTGCTGCCAGAGCTTCCACTGCTGCCAGAGCTTCCACTGCTGCCAGAGCTTCCACTGCTGCCAGAGCTTCCACTGCTGCCAGAGCTTCCACTGCTCCCACTACTGCTTCCTCCACCGCCACCACTCTTACCACCTCCGCCGCCGCCGCCTCGTCGCTTCTCGAGGTCACCCACCTCCGGAACATCAGCCGCTACATCTTGTTCGGCAACGGCAAGATCAGTTTCAGGGATGGCAAGCGCTGAAGTGAGAGGGGAAAGAAGGAGCAAGAGACTGGTTGTGGCAGACAGCTTCATTCTGAAGAATCTTCAGAGTTGGTAGTAGAAGATAAAAAATGGGAGAGAAGCGCGTCAGTAGTCAGTACTAGGTGTACAAGGAAAGATGTCTGTCTGTATTATGGCCAACGGATTGATGTCTGGTGGGAACAAAGGTTTCCGAATTGTTTCAGTCTGAATCCGCAAACCCAAACAACGACAGAAAGACTTGGAGGTAATAATCCGCTATGAGATATCGAGAAAGTGACGAGTATCTAGTGTGTGGCCATCAGAATGGTGTAATCAGCACGGGGGTCGGCGGCTCTTAAAGTATTTTCGGGGTCATGGGCCAAGCAAAAGCTTGAAAGCACAGCACACTGGCGGACGATAGTGTTATTATTACTATTAGCGTGGCTAAATAGTACAAACCAAATAAGAAGCCGCAGTCAATCAGAAGGAGCAAAGGGCAAACTATTGCTCCTGCGTCGGACTTGGCGACATGTGGGCTCTTTGGAGTGGGAGAACGGGGAGTTACGGTGCGACGCTGACGATTGGCACGCCTTTTCCACTAATTAGCCTGAGGCTATGTTGCTTACATCTTTTTTTTTTTTAATGTTTGAATATATTAATGTTCATACTAATTGCCAAACTGGGGTACTGTTACACAGATCGAACGGATCGCTTCTCGAGGTAAAGTAATATTACAGCAGCTTAACTGTGTGGCAAGGCAGAGGGCGGTGCGAGGCAGAATCATCCATAGGGCGATGTAATTGTGCTGTAATTGTATACTTCGCTTGTTACCGCTATTTTCTTACATGGTCCAGCACAGCCACAACTTCTATGACATCAGCCCTATCGGACGGCAAGTTTTGCCTGTTCGTATTCCTAATTTGTAGGAAATCGCCACACTTCTCTTGTGATGTTGACAAATTTCATAATTTAATACGCAATCAGATTATGCTTTTGGTTTCGCCAAGGGCCGGTAGACCGCATCCCACATTTGCGCCCTGATCCATTCCTCCAACTCAGCGTCATTCTCGGGGATGTTCTTCTCCTGCGCCAAGCCTTCTTCAATGGCAGCTTGGATTACTGCCTTGGCAATGTGCACACTGATTTCACGCACATCGACGACGTCCGGGAGTAAAGGCTTGTTGGGGTCCCTGAGCGCCGGCGACTGCGCAGACAATGCCCTAACCGCCGCCACCAGCATTTTGTCTGACAGCAGACGACTTTTGCTCAGAACAGCACCTAGGCCGATGCCAGGAAAACAGGTGGAATTATTGCATTCAGCTGAATCTCCATCAGTAATAATTTTTTGCTGCGATTGGGAAGGCTCTTCATACCAATCTCGTACGTGACCCCGTTATATTCCACAGGAGGAAACGGGCTACCTGTTGCAATCAACGCGCGGCCTTCGGTCCAGTCATTGATATCCTTGGGCTGCGCTTCGTGTAGTCTTGTTGGATTACTCAGTGGAAAAACAATTGGACGTTCCACATGTTTAGCCATTTCCCTGATGATTTCTTCGGTAAAGGCGTTCGGTTTGGTGGACGTTCCAATCAGTACATGCGGTTTCACTTGTTTGATGACGTTATAAAGGTCCAGTTTCTCATGATCCGTCCAATCTGCATCATCTCTCGCAAATGGTATCTGCGCTGGCGTCAATTTGTCTTTATGGGACTTTAGGAGAAGCCCTGGCTTGTCAATACACCTATATCCTTTGAGTATGCTGTCACTGTGCAGGACTTCTATTTCTTACCATATGTGCTTGGCAGCCTCTTGCTTTGATATCCTGCTTTCAGTTGCAATAGCATCACATATTTGATCGGCTATACCAGTGCCAGCAGTTCCAGACCCGAAAATTACGACCCGAGCATCAGCGATATGAATGTTGCTGACGTGCAGACCAGCCATAAGAGCTGCCAAAGTAACACAACCTGTTCCTTGTACATCATCGTTAAAGCAAGCTATTTGGGGCCGATATTTTTCAAGTAACCTCCTAGCATTTTGGAGACCGAAATCTTCACTATTTCATCTAAGCGTTCACGTCTTTGAGGTGGTGTCTTGTGAGGTTCAATACTAACAAATGGATATAGGCATTTGGAAACACCTTTCTTGCGCCGGTAACAAACTTGTCCACGAATTTATCGTACTCCTCCCCTCTGACTCGAGGATGGCGTAGACCTAAGTATAGGTCGTCGTTCAGCAGTTCTTTATTCTAACAAAATGTCAAATTTCATCGTATCAACAAAATGAAAAAAAGGAGATACGAACATCTGTCCCACAATCCAAGACTACTGGAAGCTGCCTGGCAGGGTGGATACCTGCGCATAGGGTGGTTAAGACCAGCTTAGCGACTGATATCAGCACCGATCCAACGCCTTGGTCGCCAATACCAAGAATCTTATACCATATATCTATTAGTAGTGCAATGATTAGACTCATCGAGGGGGCCTGTCTTACCTCTTCCCCGTCTGTGACAACAATATAATCGATATCCTTACTCTTCCCATTTCCCGCAAACCTACTTAAATCCTCCTCGATCCTTTCTTGATCATTAATGTTCAAAAAACAACCCTCGGGCTTCCGGAACAACCTCGAGTAGTTCTGAATTGCGTCTCCTTCTGTTGGGGTATAAATCACGCTAAACATTTCCTTCAGATGATCTTGGATGAGCTGGATAAAAGCGAAATGATTAGTCCACCTTCAAGTACTCCCAGGAAATACATGCCCTATAATACAAGACCTCATCCTGTGCTTTCATGCTCGCCATGAAGGTGTTTTTGGCTAGATCATTGGGTCGACTGGCATACTGATCATACGCTCGCTTCACCTGTTCCTCCAATGTCTGCACATTGGGCGGAAGAAGGCCGTGAAGCTTGAATGTATGACGTTCTTCCTTGGTAAAAGCCGATCCTTTATTATAATAGGAGTTGTGGAGTAGGGCATGGCTCTAGATCACCGCATTAGAGACTTTATAGCATATATTTTCCATGTGTGCGAGGACGGTGTACTTCGAGAGGGCATTCCAGTGGTCCCGTGGCTGCGCGGGGTAGATTGCTAAACTTCGAGGTCATAGTGAAGGTTACCACCAGTTTCTTCGTTTGATATGTAGGTCGGATAAGGCGGCGTTTAATCATGCTATGTTTAATGACATAGTCAACTAATAACACTTGAGAAGCGGAAGATGAGAAAACGAACAGATAAGTGCATGCAGCCAAGCCGGGATTATTAGCCAATGTTAATTAATAGTCGCAATTAAGCTTGGATAGGGACATGTTTTGCGACTGCCGGTGAACTTGGAGTGGGGGATTCATGACGTAGTCAATAGAACCCGCACATGAGCCAACCAGTCTTTCACAGCAAAGCGAGGCTTCACGGGGTATATTTCGTGTATTAATATTAACATCAATATTGATGCATATTGTTACTGGATATTGTTATTAATATGAATAGAGGATATGACCAAGCAGCTGCCCGTACCGAAAAGGGAAGGCGGATTGGTCAGCAAGCCTCAGCCGCCGCTTTTATGCTTACCAGAGCATTCTGACCTAAGCAGACCGCACACACTCAGACATGTCCAATCACAGCTCGGCCAGCCGGCGAGCTCGTTCTTTCCGTGCGTCCCGGGCGTACAAGGTGTAGCTTAGCCCCCAATGCCGCTTTAAGTCTTTAACCGTTCTGGTCTCGGTTTATAACGCCCACAATGTCTGCTCGAGCAGCTTGACAGCGTTCTCTGCTGCACTACCAGAATAATACCTCCAATGTCCCATCCATTCTCTCCTGAGATCATATCAGTGTCCTCCTACCCACTCCCCGTACCGTCCGGGCTGGGAGAAGGAGATATCATGGCTGATCCCAACATCCTCTACGGGGGCCTTTCGCTGAAACAAGACGACGGGTCTCAAGTGGATGAGCAAAAGAAATCACAAAAGACGGCCAAAACTACGAGCAACAGGATATCATCACGGAAAAGGGGCCGTCCGCGTCTACTCACTAAGGATGAGAATGCTGCTGAGGTGTGTTGATGAGATAACAAATGCAGAAATACAAAAAACAGACTTCACTGACTTAGTGACTGGTCATAGCGCCGAAGGACACAGATACGTCTTGCGCAGAGAGCGTATCGGTCACGGAAGGAGGCAACTATCTCGTCCTTGAACGGCCGGGTTGCTGAACTAGATGCCGCCATCGAGGATGTACATAGGTCGCTCGCATCTTTTCAGGAGGGCGTTGTAGCCTCAGAGCTGTTAGAACCACGCTCAGATTTGCTGTATAACCTCCGCGAAATTTCAGAAAAGACAGCTGCTCTTATCCAGCTTTCCAAAGGAGAAGCATTCTCCGAGAGTGGAAGTTCAAGGGCATCTGAACCCAGAGAGGCTTATATGCCAATGATTGAGAATTCAAATGAACATTTAATTTCTGATTTGATAGAATACAATGCAGCCGATGAGATTTCACTCGCCACAGAAAAGAACTCTATTTTTCCCAAACGAGCCAGACTTTCCAATCAACAAGACCAGGACATGTTCGAAAATATCCACGCCCCTGTCAATGCTAAACAGCCTCATTCCTCTATACCAAAACCAACCTACCGACTCCCTACACCAAACTTGCACCAGCCTCAACCTCCTTCCACATTTAGCTTTCATGAGAATACATTCGCCCGCCGACTGCGCCGCAATTGCTGGGAATATGGCTATCGCTTGCTTGTCGACAGCGCTACAGAACCCGAAGAGCTCTCTCGCGTTTTCCAATTCTCATTCGGTGTGACGAATCGCAAAATGCTGATTGGTCGCTTCCAAAGAGCGTTGGCCATGTCCGGCGATGCCATTGAACATCATTCGAGTTCTCCTCCCTTTTATATTGGTGGCGCTGGAACACATTATACACAGAAACTCCAACAAGGAGATCCAATGTCTCCATCGTTGAATATTTATCCTATTTCCAAATTCTCTGGACCGTGGCCGTTCCAATTCGCCGAAACTCCTCATGAGGAAACCAGTATTGACGGCCTTTTAATGGCCACTGGGTTTGATGGCGAGTGGTTCGACTCGAACGATGTGGAAGGCTTTCTACGAGAGAAAGGTATATTTATCGACGCGCGGTCCTCTATTGTCGGAATACCAAAGTTTCGCTCGGAATTTTTCGAATCATCCCCATCGAGCAGTCTATCGCCAGAATCGAATAATTTACTGGCATCATCCGAGCAGTATAAAACCCCTATGTCTATGTCTCTGGATCAGAACGATCTCCTAGATCCCCAATTGACATCGCCCTATCTTTATTCTGCGGATGGAAATGCGCTGGACTCGCCAGAACTTTCTTTGACATTTGACGTGGGACGATTTGTTGACCGTAAGAAACCACTACTTCCCCCCTATTGGCTATTCATCTGCTAACTTCTCTAAAGGGCTTGTGAGAAAGGCAGTTTGTTTGGGACGAGTGCCGGGTTATCGTAAGCAAGACGTGGAGGAATCCATGCGGTATGCAGTCCGATTCTTGGTTTGAGATTGGAGTGATGGTTCCTATGTGTCTATATTTTATTCCTCTCTGTGATAGTGTTGTAAATAATGATACCTCAGTTTAGTTTCCAATTACGTGATCAATTAAGTACGCGTATCTATATTCAAGACTCGCTGGTTAAAAGTTGTAGAGTAGGATTTGAGATTTATTTTAGCTATGGTACTCAGTCTAATCACAATTTTGGGAACGTCAAAATTCATGTCATCGTTACCTCGTCGCAATAAGCAATTAAACATAAATTAATTCTCTTATTAGAAAATTAGAACGAAAGAACAGATAGAAAATTTTCGATCAAGGTCTGTCTACCTGTCAAACCTTAATGGTGTCGTTCAAGCAAATGAACCATAGTCGTCCAGCCACTGCAGCAATTCTTGGATAACTCATGGGAACACCAGCAGCAGTGAACAGAGCTCTCATTCGAAGGGGATTGGGAAGCACCCGATTGCCTCTTCGATCCGGCGCGAGTCCCGCTGCTGTCGCGAGTGTTGCTAGAGGAGCGTCGCCCAACGAAGTCGCCCTGACTAGTGAACAGAAGAGCGTCTGGGATGATCATTTTTGCATACAGTCCGGAAGGTATGTCGTGCCAGAAGTTGCATTGACAGCAGATCACGAATATCTTAGCTAGGTATTTGTCTTGTCTGGGGGAGGCGGTGTTTCTTGGGATGGCGTCGACTTCAATGCGAGAAGATGCGGGTATAGAGCTCCATGTTGACAAGTCTGTTGATGAGGATGCGTTTTCTTGGTCTGAAGTCCCTGGAGTAGAAATATCTGTTGTAGATGGATTGGATACAGCGGGGGAGTTGGCGGGAAATTTCGGTACATCGTAAATGGCTGACTCTATTGACATTGATACTTGTTGCTCGGGTGGGGGTCGTTGGGGGTAAGTCGGTTTCTGTAAGAGAGCCGGTGTCTGATCTGCTTCCTGCTGCTTGCTAGTTTGCACCTTTTTTGGAGCGTGCTGCAGTGAACTTTGGCAGTTCGAGCATGTTGGAAAGTTGGCCTTTTCCCTGTAGCTAGCTGGCAACGCCTTGCTTTCATTCTGTTTTCCTCGGGCCTGTAATGAGTCTTGAGGGCTTGGTTTTGACATCCCGTACTGAGGCTGGTTGGTTTCTATCTTTGCCAACGCTCTCTTTGGACTCTTTGGCCCTGGCTCGATAACCTTGGACGGTCCAATCCGCAGTGAGTGTGGAATAATAACCTCTTTTCGATCTGGCTCATTATTTACCTCGCGTTTTTTAGCTCTCTCTGCACCAAAACTCTTGGGAGTAACACTGGGCTGTGGTTGAGCGACATTTTCTGTCGAAGAATGGTAAAAAGAAACCCCCGATCTGCGCAGAGTCTGCTTTTTCTCCACGCCGGTTGGACTCACTGGATACCCATTCATAGGCAGCACTTCTTGCTGTCCACTCGTAGGGCTAGGTTGATATTGATTGCCTACAAACGCAGAGTTGGACCCTTTTGCCAAGTCCTTTGTTATAGTTGCATTAAACCCTGGTGGTAAGGTGGCAGATAGTCGTGGAGTTGGGAGAGGTCCATCAGTAGTCATTCCAGGATCCTGATGAATGTAGGGAGGCAGAGTCGGTTCTCCAACTGGCGCATTGTTAGATATGCTTGCACGTCGACTCCGAATGCGGGTCGATATGCTTGAGAGTAAGGGAACGTTTGAGAATCGAGTGGTATCGGACGCCACACTAGAATCCCTGCGGGATGTCTTGACAGGCTGCTTTTTGACCAGGCGTCTTGACGATGAACGAGATGCGGGTTGTTCATCAGGGCCAGCTGGACCTACTGATTGTGACCGGCGTGAGCGTCCACGAGATTTGTTCCATGTCGGAGAGATACAAATCTCACGGCGTTCCTTTTCAGAGTAAAGAGGAAGTGCGTCTATTGGGAAACCAATCGTGGTGACTGGAGGCCCAGACTTGCGAGGCATATCCTCCTGGCGCGATTTGGTGAAGGAAAACCTTCTTGGCCGTGGGATTTGCTCCATCACTTGAGAGATCATGATAGAAGATCGTTGCTGATGGAGTCGATGTATCGTTCGAGATGCACAGCAGGAGAAAGCACACCAGAAGAATCGACGGTGTGTGATACAAAATTAGAAATAACGGAGGCGCAACGTGCAAACAAAGGCAAGGCGGTCAGTCCTGCAAACGCCGCTTCCTGTCAAACAATGATATGTGCCTGCAGTGGATGTACTTGTAAGCGGAGATGGCTGTTATCCCGCTGACTGGACAGTGAGGTTGACACGAGATGGTCCTCGACAGTCAGTCAATGGCACGTATGGTCAGTAGATAACAGAGCTGAACAAAGACTGATGATGCGCATAAGTTATTGGATGACTCGATTCTCAACTGTCTGAACCTAAGACACAGAGTAGATACACATAATCGCAGCACAGAAAAAAACGAGGGGCATCGCTGCTGATAAGGCCAAAAAACTGATGGAGCATAAAAATCAAAAAACAATCAGTCTATACAAACAAACGCACGCATGTCTCAGCGCGGTCAAAGAAACATGGCCAATCGGCAGGCGGTGCATGTTGCTGCTGCAGGAGCTGCCAATGAGGCAGGAGCGACATGCAAGGTCGGCAGGTGCGTCTCGAACGATTATTATCTAATCGATCGCAGAGTGGCCGATCCGCACTGTCTTAGCACTAGACTGCAGATAGTAATCTGTATTCCGTACTGGAACTAATAGTGTGGCTGAGTATTAATAGCAGCGAGCTGAAAGCCTGTAGGAGGCTAAGAGGCTAAGAGGCTAAGAGACGCCTACTACAGCCCCACTGGAAGCATGGCCGCTTCCCACTGGCCAGACGCTGGCCGAGGCGTGTGTCTGCCAATGAGAGCCCGGCTGCGGGGCTAACAATGCTGCCAAGGGCGGCCATGCGAGTGAAGGGCTTGGCATGCCTCATTCTTGAATCATCGGTTCAGTGACTGGGATAGGGACACAGGTACGTCATGGCTTGATTGTGGGATGCTGCAAGTTCACAACCAGCTTTACGCAGCTGCCAGCACCGCCAATTCCCCATCTCTGTCCTCAACGGCGGCTTCGACCAAGGCACTTTGGCCTGGCTTATCAGTACAAGCCCCGATTGGTACTCTACTGATCGGTCTCGCGCGTGTGATTGGCCCACGCTCCACCTATCCTAGTCTCTCATCGCTGATCCCACGGTTTGGCTAGCAGCATCCTCATAGGCCTGAGCAAGCTTAGTTACTGCCTTGATCATGCCAGAGCGTGGTCTTGTGGTGACAGGAATACGTACTGCTTGGCTAGCCTCTTATCGTTGATTGACGATGTCCATCCCTTGCCAAGTCGCCACTACCGCCCTCCAATAAACTACCTCCCCGGCATCCCCATCTTCTGTCCCTTCTGTCAACGCCTTTATAACAACACCGACCTTGCTGGTCTGTTCCACTTTGTACTCTTTCCCTCAACCATCGCTCTCGTCTGATCATCTCTGGGCCTGGTTATCCGCCGATTCTCAACAGCATCAACATCGATGAACGAATCTCCTGACGAGCCACCTTTAGACCGTTCCGGCATTTGGGATCGCATCAACGCATGTGCCTCGAATCTATTGTCGCGTGCCCACTCTCGCCACGGCCACGGGAGCCGTAATAATACCGTCCTTCCGGTAACTAATGCTTCGATAGACCACAATGACCACCTTCAGCTTCCAGCAGCTGCAGCTGCTTCCAACGTCCGCCAGCCGTCCGTTCAGTTCGAACAACAGTCGAAGGAGAAATCAAAGGATAGCCTTAACTCCGCTGGAACCGTTCCGGTGGATACGCAAGATGGAGAGAAACCTCCCACCCTAGAGACAAAGCCAAGCCTGCTTAGCAGTTTTTTCTACTCCGTCAAAATGATTTTACTTTCAAGCTGGGTAAACTGGCTCCTCGTTTTCGTGCCTGTCGGTATCGCTCTTGGTGCAGTAGAGCGGAGTATGGGAGACAGTAGTCCTGTTTCTCCAACAGTCGTCTTCGCTATCAACGCTGTTGCCATAATTCCACTAGCATGGATGCTTGGCTATGCCACGGAATGTGTCGCATCAGATTTGGGCGACACTGTAGGTGCTTTGTTGAATGTTACCTTCGGTAATGCCGTAGAACTGATTATTTTGTAAGTACTGTGATCCACTTAACGAGTATTAAGCTAACATACAGTATACAGTATGTACGTCACAATTGGTTTTATTTCTTGGCCCATTCCTATCTGAAATGCTAACATCGTGTCAACGTTTTTAGCATCGCATTGGTTGCAGTAAGTCACCGATTTTCCCCGTGCAAAACGAAGATTAACAATCTATCCAGGATGAGATCTCTATTGTACAGGCATCCCTTCTCGGCTCTATCTTGGCTAACTTGCTCTTGATTCTGGGCATGTGTTTCCTTTTTGGTGGACTTCGCTTCCGCGAGCAGGTACGTAGCTGAGACGTCCCGGACGTGCTTGAGAAACGCTAACACGGCTGCAGCTTTACAACTCCGCAGTCACCCAAATGAGCGCCTGTCTTCTGAGTCTTAGCGTTATCAGTCTTCTCCTACCTGTTAGTCTGCCTCCAACTGTCGTGAAGTCGCATTTCTAATCACATCTACCTAGACCGCTTTCCACGCCTCGTTTAGCACTCTTACAAATGCAGATGCTGCGGTAGTCAAAGTCAGTCGAGGCACGAGTGTCGTAAGTCACTATTCCTTACCTTTCTATGCACTCTCTAACGTAATATAGGTACTGCTTCTCGTGTACATTTTATACCTATTGTTCCAGCTCAAATCTCACTCGTATATCTACGAGAGCACACCTCAGCATATGATCGACGAAGAATCACATCCCGGTGTTCTTGCCGACATATTAAATTCGTCATCGAGCTCCGACTCATCGTCTGATGATGATAGTGATGCCAGCTCAGGGTCCAATACAACAGTCAAGAGAATCAGAAAAGCTCTACGGAAGAAGCGTCGCCGTAAGTCTAGTTCGGCCTCCAAAGAAACTATGTGCGCACCGTCTCCCCCGTCCTTTGTACGGACAGGATCCTCTGGCTCCCAGGTAATCGATGAAGTCATTCGCACCCCTGAATCCGTCCCCGCTGCTATACGTAACGGGCAAGATGTCACTTTGTATGGTCAAGAACAATCGGCCACCGGTGACGTCTCGAATGAGGTTACAACCCGCGATTTTGAAGGCACCAGGTTGCCTTCCGTCTCTAAGAGGTCGGCACGCAAATCCAAGCAGCGTATAAAACATGGGAAAAATCGGAAAATGCAAGAATACAGAGACCAAAGTAGTGACGAGGATAACGTGCCCCAAGCTGCACCTAGTGTGGCTCCGAGACTTGAAGAGCTTCAAACCCAGCCGTCGGCATCTGAATATCAGAGACGCTCCTTCAATTTTCGCAACCTGCCTTACAAACCAGCAATATCTCGTGTGTTGACTTCGAGTGGCTTGAAACCAACGCAGATCTTGCAAGCATCACCTAGTGTCCCCGCAGCATCAGGTAACGATCGCCCAAACCTTCGCCGTACAAGTTCCCTGCCAGATCGTCTCGATCAAAAGGCTCTCACGACAGCTATACCCTCGGCTCAACCTTTACCTCACTTGGTTTCTAAGACAAGGGTTGTTGAACACAAGGATTATAGTGACGAAAAGCCGAAACTATCCCGATTTACAGCTATCGTTTTACTACTAGTCTCTACTGGTCTCGTAGCTGCCTGTGCTGAATTTCTGGTAAACTCCATCGACTACCTCGTGAAAACAACTGGAGTCAGCCAAGCTTTTATCGGTCTAATTATTTTGCCAATCGTCGGAAATGCCGCCGAGCATGTGACTGCTGTTACTGTCGCAAGCAAGAACAAGATGGACCTGGCAATCGGAGTTGCTTTGGGGAGTAGCATACAAATTGCACTCTTTGTCACGCCGGTGATCGTTCTCCTTGGATGGATACTGAATACAGAAATGTCGCTCTATTTCAGCTTGTTTGAGACAGTCTCTTTGTTTGCTTCGGCCTTCATCGTCAACTATCTCATGCTGGACGGACGCACCAACTATTTGGAAGGTGCTTTGCTCATTTCTGCATACGTAATTATTGCAGTGGCAGCATTCTTCTACCCCTCCTGCGAGGATACTAGCTCTGCCAATGGTGGAACAATGAATGGCACTTGTCGCTAACCAACAGATGCCTAGACTTAGAGTCTTACTCTAGCTACCTAAGAATGGTCAACCAGGCTAGACTCAACGTCACCTAGTAATATGATATGTGGTGGTAGATGTAGTGAATGGGGAGGGGCCTTTATGATGGGAAAGGTGGTGGTTTTGAAATGCTATAGCATATTGCTACATAATTTGTGAAGGCAATTTGGTGAAAATAAATTGTATCACCTCGTTTGAATCGGTATTACTCTTGCCTAAATTCTGATACCCAAGTTCTACGTCAGTTGGTATTTGTAGAGTCCCCACACTGTAGACAGCTGTAAACTGTAAAGTGCACAGCCACCACAGGTGTGCCGTCATCTTGAACGTTACATTGTTGTCCGCTGGCAGCAAACTATCAGAGCATGGTTCGTTAGTATATATATCTTTGTTCGACATCAAGCAAGGAGTCACAACCTCCCATTATCTCACCACCCAGCACATTCTACGAAAAAACAGACCACAAAAACACCAACTCTAAATGTCGTATAGACCACCGCCAGGGCCTCCACCAGGCTATCAAGAAAGAAATGATGCAAGCACGTCTTATAAACCGCCACCTGGCCCTCCACCAGGCTTTAAGGAGATAAATGACCCAGAGCCGCCACCTTATCACAACTGGCAAGAGGTAGTCCCAGACACATCAACACTGCCGCCTCCACCAACAATCTCCTTACCCTTTTCAGAGACTGGCAATGCTTCGGAGGATGATGCGGGTTGGTTTCTTACATAGATGTGTTTTTATGATGAGCTAACCCTAGAGTCTGTTTATTCAGGTCGTGCTCATGCATTTTGTGATACGATACCATTATGGAAGCCCGCCGTGGTAAGCTTTCCCCGTGCTTTGGGAATAGCCCTTCTAATGATGCATACAGCCGCCTGAATCTGTCTACAACAAGACCCTGCAAGGTGACATCCACCCAGCACGACCAGCAGAATTCCGTGGTAATCTGCAAGTCCCTGTTACTGGAAAGTGGATAGTCCAGAGCGCCAAAAACTGTCCCGACTGTGTGATCATATCGATTCTTCCACTCTATTACGCCATGCGAGATTCACCGCTGCGCACAGAGAAAAGCAAAACTATATACTTTGAAGTCAAAATCACACGTCTGCATCAACCACCACATGGAGATGCCAGCGGGCTTTCCATAGGCTTTCTGGCGCAGCCGTACCCAAGCTGGCGCTCGCCAGGATGGGAACGAGGCAGCGTCGGCGTCTTCTCTGATGATGGGTGCCGATTCGTAAATAATTCGTTTGGCGGAACGCCGTTCACCGCGCCGTTCAAAGTTGGAGAGACCGTGGGGTTGGGCATGACCATAAGCCTGCCTACCGGCCAGCAGGAGCCGATTGTGGGACCGAATGTGAGGATATTCTTTACCAGGAATGGAGGTGATGCTGGGAGCTGGGATTTACATGAAGAGCTGGATGTCGATTCTGGAGATGTGGAGGGGCTCGAGGGTGATTTTGATCTGTATGGCGCTGTTGGGATATTCGGTGGTGTCGAGTTTGAGGCTTGCTTTGAGAGGAATGGGTGGTTGTGGAATCCGTTTTCTAATATACAGTAAATTATACTAGCTAGCCATCTCACTGGTAAGAGCTTATAACAGGCTCGATGTTGACAGAATGACATAATCTTATCATGAAATTAATTACTCTATGAAACCGTCAAATGAACTCGCCAACAAGCTGGCTGCATTGTCACCATCACCAACCATGGCCGCATGCTGTCATTGGCCAGCACGGGCTAGCTTGATGGCGATGTGGGGAGTGTTTATGCCTAGGCTGTCAGGCTCTCTCTGATAAGTAATACCTTAAATAATGCCTCACAGCCATGATCACAAGCTCGAGCGACACAATCATAATTAACTAATTAGCCCCCCCCTCCCCCCCTCCACCACCGCATATCGACAAGGCATGAGACCCTCGACGGAAACGAAGTAGCAATGGCGGGCTCGCGGAGATTCTCAAATGCTTCGTCGACCTCCTCTCTGCCGGACCGAACTCAGGTTAGTCGTAATTCTTTTCCAGCCCAGCTTATCCTCTCTGACAAACATCGTATATCAGGAGCTCGAGAGCATGTACGACTACCTGGCGAAAGTCATCCTGGTCGGTCCGAGTGGCACGGGAAAGTGCGTATTTTGTGAAACATTGCACGATGGGATATACTGACGGTGACCTTAGATCATGTCTTCTTCATCGGTTCGTCAAGGACGAGTGTACAGCCACCATTTTCCCTTAAACCTGTATTTATACTGCGACATATTGTCAGCAACTGCCGCCTATTTGTGGATGCGCTGACAGCATGCCACTCTAGGGAGGGTCTTATCATCTCAAACCATCGGGGTTGAATTCTCGTCGAAGATCGTGAAAGTAGGCACTGGCTCGCGCCGGAAGCGAATCAAGCTACAGCTATGGGATACTGCCGGCACCGAGAGATTCCGATCCGTGTCGAGGTCGTATTATCGCGGGGCCGCGGGAGCGATTCTGATCTACGATATTTCGTCGTACAGTTCCTTTTCTGCGCTCCCGACCTTTCTCATGGACGCTCGTGCGCTTGCGTCACCGAACCTCACCGTTCTTCTGGCTGGCAACAAAACCGATTTGCTGGAAGATTATGCCGCTGAAGATAGTGATGACACCGAGAGACCCCCGTCCACCTCGGTTAGTGTCTCTAGTAAACAGTCATCGTTTGCCTTCGAATCGAGCGCCGGCTCGCTCCGTTCTGTAGCTGGACCTAGCGCGGGAACCCGAATGACTGCAACGACTTCTCCGCATGGCCGTGAAGTGAGTGACTTGGAGGCTTTAGAATGGGCCCGCAAGTCGAATATCCCCGTGGCAGTGGAAGTCTCGGCTCTTTCGGGGTTGAATGTGGAGGAACTGTTTACTCGACTCGCCAAAATTATTTTAACGAAGATTGAGCTCGGTGAAATCGACCCGGATGATCCGCAAAGCGGCATTCAGTATGGTGATGGTGGAGCGTGGTCTACGGGTGGTGATGGAGTCAGTATCCGGAGTGGCCTGACTGTGGAAGACAATAGTAGCCAGATACACAAGAGGCGCAGCACAACAAGGCGACAAGGTGGAACTGGGACATGGACAAATGGCAGAGAATGGGAAGCCGTTTTTCGAATACGTGGTGGAAATAATAGAGGCAATAGGGGTTGTTGCTGAAATGTTGGGATATTTCATCTTTTTCACTTTCGTTTCGTTTCATTTGTAGCGATCTTTGATACCCTTGCCTTACTTTTTTCATTTGCGTTGGTTGCTGATGATGCGTTTCAGTGCCCTATGATAGAGCTTGCTTTTTGGATAAACTTCTTGATATTTGTCTAACTCCAGTATATAATAAATACCCCACCAGCTCACATCACCGTTCATTACTTCATCACATCCTTTGACAATGTTTGCAAAACCTCCTACTCTGGTCTCTTTCCAATTTCTTGCCAGTTAAGCTCACTTTATTGGCCGGCGATGATGGTTTTGATGCCTTTGCCCATCTTGACGTCTTTGATAGCGGTCTCAGCATCTTCAAATTTGACCTCGTTAGTGATCAGATCCTTGACGTTGACTTTACCAGTAGCGACCAACTCGATGGCGAGTTTGTAGTCTCCACTGCCGTATCTGAAACTTCCCTTGATGTTTAGCTCCTTAGTACAGGCTGCCATGATCGGGAATGTGATTTCAGACCTGCCCATACCACCCTGTACATATGTGCCACCCGTCCTCAGGGCATGGATACCTGTATGCACCGAGGGTTCTGCGCCAGAGGCATCAATCACAACATCCGCTCCAGGTCCGAGATCGTTCTCCTCTTTCAACCGAATGGCATTTTCCTCCGCCGACCCTTTGTCCGGCATGAAAGTCGAAGTCGCGATATACTTCTTTGCGAATGCCAATCTGTTCTGTTGGATGTCGACTGCGATGATCTTGCTCGCCCCGAACGCTTTCGCTACGGCACAGCATAAGAGTCCCACAGGACCAGCCCCGAAGACAATCACAGAACTTCCAGGAGTGACCTCGCCCTGCCTGATAATGTGGACAGCAACCCCCAATGGCTCTACGAGAGCGCCTTCCTGGAGCGACATTGTCTCGGGGAGTTTGTAGCAGAAGTCTTCTGGCAATCGGTAATATTTGGCCAGGGTTCCGTCATAAGGAGGGGTGGCAGCAAATGCCATGTCAATGCAAAGATTGTATTTCCCCGACTTGCAGGGTTCGCATCGTCGGCAGGGAATACCGGGCTCGAGAGAAACTCTGTCGCCAACCTTCAATGTCTTCACTCCAAGTCCGACCTTGCTGATTACTCCAGACGATTCATGGCCGAGGACCATGGGCTCGCGCAAGACGAAGTGGCCAATAGAGCCATGCTCCCAATAATGGACCTGAACGGTTGGGAGGGTGAGATAGAACTCTGGAAGAGGCATTGACCGTGGCTACTTACATCACTGCCACAAACGCCGGTGTATTTCACGTTGACGAGGACGTCATGGCGATCGATGATTTCGGGAACGGGTCTGTCCTCGAATTTGACTTGCTTGACTCCTTCTAAAATGAACGACAGATTCTAGACGCACACAGTGAGCAATTGAAGTGGAAGAATGCGCTGGAACTACCTACCTGAGCTCCGGAAGTCGACATGACGACAGAGTTGGTTAATAGCACGCTGATACGGGACAATTCTTCTCGCTGTGGGAGGAAGCTCAGCCAGGGGGATCGAATGAATTAAATAATAATGTCGAACAGACAGCTCCGAAAGATTTGCAGGTCATGTGCATTGTATTTGCTGGCAGACCCCTCCACGTTGAAGAGTGGATGGCGGGGACAACACCGTCGCCCAGCCAGATAGGAAGAGAAAGAGCTTGGGCCACCGGCGTTTTACCCGCGATTCGTAATTATCCGCCTCGCTCTTTAACCGGGACAGTTTCTTGCATGTATGCTACCTAACATCTTAAGCCTTCAAGTGAATCTAGAACAGCTTGATTCATCATGAGGTATTCAACCCTTCCAATCAAATCCGGTATCCAGTGTCTCCGTCGACAGCCGCCGCACCATGCTAGACATCTTTTCCCTCTCAGCCGCCAGTTTACCTCCACCAGACAGCCCCGAGAAGAACAGCGACCATCGTTCAAGGGCCAATTGTATGAGAGTACGCAGCAGCGATTGAAGAGGGAGCGCGCAGAGCAGGAGAAATATTCCCAGTACCATACAGCATCATCCGGCGGCCGATATGCAGCGTTACTGTTCGGTATGCTTACAAATTATCACCCATTGTAGAGTTCGTATAAAGCTCTGGGATTAACAATATATACCACGCAGTTCTGGTATTTTTCTCGACAGGCGGATACTATCTTGGAACCCTGAAACCTGCTCCTCCCCCGACTTCTTCCACAACAACCCTTTCGAATTTACAACCTGTGCGACATGATACCTCCTCCTCCAACTTGCAAGCAGCCTGGGCCGATTTTGTCAACATAGTCGGCAAGGACAATGTTTCCACAGATGAAAACAATCTCAATTCCCACTCGGGCTCCGAATTTTCGTCTTATTCGCGGAAGGACACCGAGAAACCATTCATTGTCGTGTATCCTGCAACAACAGAAGAGGTATCACGGCTTATGAAAGTTTGCCATGAAAGGTTGATACCAGTGACTCCATACTCTGGTGGAACAAGTCTGGAGGGACATTACACGCCTACAAGAGGAGGCGTGTGTATCGATTTTCAACGCATGAATCGCGTTTTGGCGCTCCACAAGAATGATCTAGACGTTGTTGTACAACCCGCTGTTGGCTGGGAAGATCTGAATGAAGAAATTTCCTCCGAAGGACTGTTTTTCCCTCCCGATCCGGGCCCCGGAGCTATGATCGGTGGTATGATTGGGACAGGTTGTTCAGGTACTAACGCTTACAGATATGGAACCATGAGGGAGTGGGTTGTATCGCTCACAGTGGTGCTTGCCGACGGGACGATTATCAAAACGAGACAACGACCTAAGAAGTCGAGTGCCGGGTATGACTTGACAAAGTTATTCATCGGTAGTGAAGGCACTCTTGGCCTGGTGACAGAAGCAACCCTCAAATTGGCTGTGAAACCCAAGAGTCAAAATGTTGCGGTGGCCAGCTTTCCGTCTGTCCATCATGCAGCTGACTGTGCAAGAAGGGTTGTGGAAGAAGGCATTCCTGTGGCGGGCATTGAGATTCTAGATGACGTTCAAATGCAATGCATCAACGCAAGCAAAACCACAAGGCGTGAGTGGAAAGAAGCGCCCACGCTATTTTTTAAATTCGCCGGTACACCACTTGGAGTGAAGGAACAGGTAGGCATTGTTCAGAAACTTGCGAAGAGCGCCGGTGGACAGACCTTTGAGTTTGCTCGTGGTGACGATGAGATGAAAGAGCTTTGGAGTGCCCGCAAAGAGGCCCTCTGGAGCGTGATGGCTATGAAGAAAGACCCTAGTGATCATGTCTGGACTACAGATGTCGCCGTGCCAATTAGTAGGCTCCCTGATATCGTGGAAGCAACCAAACGCGACTTGACGCAAAGCGGTTTACTTGCTGGTATATGTGGCCATGTCGGGGACGGTAACTTCCACGGTATGTTTCTCAATGTGTTTGTTGTCTGCGAAATAATTTACTGACTACTACTCGTCTAGCCATAATACTTTTCAATGACAAACAAAAGGATCTGGCAGAAGAAGTAGTGCATCGCATGGTCAAGAACGCTGTTGAAATGGAAGGCACCGTCACCGGTGAGCATGGAATAGGGCTTGTTAAACGAGACTATCTGCCTCATGAGCTGGGCGAAACGACGGTGGATGCTATGCGGCGGGTAAGTTTGGTATCCTTTTCGCAAGATGCTTTCATTTCACTGACCTATTTCCAGTTGAAACATGCCTTCGATCCCTTGTGTTTGCTCAACTGTGATAAAATTGTAAGAGTGCAGCCACCTGCACCTGGAGAGATTAAAAAATGGTAGTTGAGATATTGATATAATATTTTCTTGGCGACAAATTTTTTAATTGATCATATAAGGCTACTTGACAAATGGCATCTCACTCAAAAGACTTTCTCCCGCACCATCTACTCTTCCAGAGAATAGTTTGTAATGGCGATATTTACAGCTGGCTGCTCTATGTATATACATTACAGTCACTATGCGCTAATCTTCTCAACGTCGTCCTCCAGGCACGAAACCTTAATTGACTGTAAAAGTCGATAGTGACACCTTCCTCTTTGCCTTGTAGTATCGGGTCCTCGACCAAGTCATAAACCGTACCCAGTTATTATTGTTGTTCAGAGGAGATTGTGAGAGTCTCCTGACTGGCTCGTATCCTTCTGCCTCTGCTTCTAACTCTGCGCCATCCACCGTGTCTACATTACTGGTTGCATCACGCATTTTCTTTTCGTGCAGAATAAAATCCGGATTTAGTGTATATGACTTTCTTCTTTGAGATGGTGACAATATATCCTCTAATTGTTTAGGACTCTGGTGTATCATTGACTGTAGACTTCGGCGGTTGTCGCGCTCCTGAGTTTTGTTCCGTAAAACCTCGGCTTTCTGTCCCTTTGAAGCTTCTTTTTCTTCGAATGCGATGCGAGCAGCATGAACGGCAGCCGCGTGCGAGGCGGTAGCGTCAGATGACACTTGCCGCTTGGATAGTCGTTTCCAAGATGATTTCCCAGAGTTTACTTCGGTCTTGGCCCTTTGGATGATGGGCCTAGTAGTGTTGTGAAAGGTTTCTGTAAAAGTTTTGGCTGTTTCCAGTCCTCTAATGGACTGGGAGTCTTCATCTACCACTGAAATAGCTGCGCTCTCCGAGGCAAGGATATTTCCATTGGTGGTTGAGAAATAACCCTCATCGATGGAGTCACGTGCCGATTCACATAGAGACGGGGTAACTGGCGTTGGCAATTGACGTCGTGGGTGGACATAGGAATATCTACTTCCGTTTGCCGAGGATGCGATTTCGCTGATGGATCTATGGTGGTTCGTAGCACTGCTACGGTTCTGGGAAAACCTGACATCTCTTTCTAGGTTTGTGTAAATTCCGAGGCCTTCAAGCTCTAGAGAAGATCGCGACAAGTCGATTGATGTTGAAGACCGTTCATCGCGAGATCTGCCTCTGATATGCGGTTTGATGTTGGCCCTAGTGCTGGAGTGTGTGCGTAACTTTGGCAGAGCGAAGAAATGCCCCTCGGGAGTCGCGGGTTCTGAAATTGGCGTGTCGAGTGCATTTTGAGAACTGTAGCTGGACGAGAACCTGAGGAGGTCAGGAGACGACTTGCCGGAATGAGAATCCCGCCATGGGGCCGAAGAAGCTATGTTGTTACTGGACAACATATCAACAGATCAAAAGTCAAAGGAAAGTGTCGCGAAATTCATGTGCATAACCTGGTAAAATAGAGGAAGACTCTCGTATTAACCATGTCGCTGGTGCTTGAAATAGGTCTCGATCAAGGGGAGGATCGAACGTGATGGCAGATTAGCGTTGTCTGGGGAGTTATCAATGCGCGCCACACGCTCAGCACGTGGAGCAATACGTAAGTGGATGTAATCGACTTTGCTGGTTGTCTGGGTCGAGTCCAGGTTGCGATCGACGCCTGCGAGACTCAGGGCAGGCAGAAACAGGTGTTTACAGCAATTTCGCGTTTTCTGTGGCTTACACAGCAATGCCAGTCGAGAAAGCACTGTTGACTGTTGACTATTGGCGGCCAAGACAGAGTCATGTGACTTTCCGGGAGCCGTGAAGTTGAATTGGGGAAGCTGCGTCAACTGCGCTTTTGGTCACTGTAGCATCGCTGACCTCTCCGCCCATCAACAAATTCACGACACCACCATCGTACTCCAAGTATCCCCGCCCCCTTCTGAGGCTCAAGGGCTCGCAGGCGTCCTTGAGCTGCCCGCTGTGGATCCCTAAACTTGCTGCATCGAGGTGCGACCGGACGCCCTTGATTCAAGATGGTCTACGACTGGGAAGGAAAGCGTGATATATGCTATCAGATGTATATCGAGGACAAGAAAGCTCTAGAGGAGATAATGGAGTTCATGAAGGACTCGTATCAATTTTCACCGAGGTAAGCAACAAAAAGCGGAGCAAGCATTGTGAACTGATGCCTTCTACTTAAATTTTCTATCATTCATTTATGATCATAGCTTAGATTTTGAATTTCTAAATGAATGATGGTTTCCCCTCCTAAGTCATATTATGGATACATGTACTTATACTTTTGGATGACAGTAAACGCGCTTTTCAGACACAGTTCAAACGATGGGGGTTCCCGTCGAAGCAAAATCCTGCCCATAAAAATGCCATGCTGGTTGCACGAGTGAAGGAGCTCTGGGAACAGAACGTTAACCAACGTGAGATGCTGAGGATCCTGAATGACGAGGGGTTCAACATCAAGGAAAGAGAGTTGATGCGAGTACGCGCTAAGAATCGCTGGCTTTTGCGTGTCCCCAATGGCATGAAATCAGAGGCACACGGACAACCGTCAATTGAAACATCTGTCGAAGAGGGTGTGCTTACATTGCAGCAGGAGATGTACGAGGGGCATAGGCTCTCTAACGACAATCAATTGCTAACAAGCCAACCACCATTTCAAACCTCCGTTCCTCCCAATCCGTCACCGGAGATCCTTGCAAGGCGTAAAGAGCGACTAGAGAGGTTACAAGCAGAAAGTGCCGAACGATGGGCCAGCAAGAAACGTCGACGGCGAACCCGCGGTTGGGCAGGCTTACCAGCCGATCCTCCTGGACCACCTCGGTTCCCTTCAGAAACTACCATTGATGAAAGTAAACAGTACCTCAACTTAGATTCGGAACTCTATCGTAAGATACGTGACGATTTCCAGAAAATTTGCGAAGAGGCTGGCTTTATAAAAAAGACTATCGCTGGTCCAGAGCGGTGGCAGGAAGCTAAGAACAGACTAATTCGTGAATCTGCCCATCTCAGAAGTGTTTTTTACACGGATCCCACTATGACAGATACAAGCCAGTTGGAGGCCAAGAAGCTAGCGTTGGATGTTGTTTGCACAGATGTCACTAAACGTATGAGAACTTTGGAGCGCCGAATGACTATTGCGGAGGCGAAAAACGCCCTTGGTGTTAACCCTGAGGAGAGTCGGCAAATTCGCACCGCATTCTACAATACCTTGAAGGCTGATCACTTCACCAGCAAACTCGAAGCAGGTGATGAACATTGGAGAGAACTGAAGGAACAGTGGATTCACGGATCTGAGCTTCTCCAGAGAATCCTGGCACCAGGGATGGCAGATCCTGACCATTCCACCAAAGTGAAAGCCATAGAGGTTCTTTGTCGTGACGTTATGAAACGGCTCCGCGATGATCAAGCAAAACGAGATCCTTTGGGAAAAAGTTCAAAACCAAAGCCCAAACCTTCACAAACTAACACAGGAAATGTCATTTCTAATACATATAACCATGGCATAAGTACTTTAGCCTCCGAAGCGCTTGCAAGTGCATCCATGACAACCAACGATCTCGGTGAGATGCAAATAGATCCTTCACTTCTCCAAGCCGCAAATGATACATCGGTTGCAGGAACATTTCAACAAAACACAGAACCGACCTTCGGCTATGTTGAGTCACTTCTTGTTCGTCCTCCAATTGCAGTTTACTTCCGCATCAGTCCTCAAAGCCAAATTCACGGCGCGTCGAAAACCTGGGTCGAAAAACTCATTTCCAGTTCGGTAGCAGAACTGCGAAACCTGATTCAAGCGAAATATCCCGCTTCCGTTGTTACTAGAATCGAGGGTATTGAAAAGGATGAAAGGGGGGATGAGATATCTTTTGTGGTTGATGAAGATCACGAGTTGGATGCTTATTTAACCCATATGCATGGAAGAAAAGCCTCATTTGTAATCCGTTTGAGTCCAAGAGGACAATGACACGCTAAGTTATTAATAGAGCTGAAAATAATAATATCATAAATTGTACATCCATCTTTGCGATTCGTATGAAGCTCGTATATCATGAAATCATGCCTGGGCTTTTGCTTTTTCTCGTTCGGCGGGATTGTACCTGTCTCATGTTAGATTCGTACGCCATAACTATGCGAAGGGGAGGGAGTAAAGGCACCGTAATAATTTCTCAATCAAGTCAACATGTGTCATGACCATTCTTCGGCAGCAGTAACGTTTACAACCCAGCTGATCCATGGCATCACTACAACAGTTAGTGACCCTAGAGCATAAATAGTAGTAACAAGAGGTTCAAATACCCATCCGGTACCCCATCATCGAGTAGCTGAAGATACCGTTCCCATAGATCGCCGACAACCTGAAAAAAATTGGCGTTAGGATCAAGCACCACAAAGGTAGTGAATGGTGTCATACCTTGCCGCAGGAAAAACAGCGAACCGGGATAATCATTTTGTGAAAATTATTTTTTAGCGAAATTGGTAAACAGTACGAGTTGACGATCAGCTGTCAATTGAAGCTCGAGAGAGGAAAGAAGATTCTTGATGCCGGTCTTCCGCACTTAAATGGTAGGCGGTCACCCCCAAATACTGCCGGGAATGCCCACTTTTTTTTTTACAAGAAAATCGAGAGGCCGATGCATGATCACGATGAATAGCCATGCCTTGTAGACGTGGCCACAGGTGTTTTTTCTATTCTTTTATTTGACAAATCATCCCTTGTTTTCATTTTTCTGCTTGGAAATTGGTTCCATAAAGACGTAATGTCTCCTCCAACCCAGCTGGCCCATTCGGCCAAGCGTCAACGACCTACAGACGGTAATCAGAATTTGTCGAGAAATGAATCACAAAATCGATCAAAAAGACTTAAAACTCGCAAAGGAATTCAGAAAGAAACTGACTCAGGTAGCAAGTCTTCAAAAAACTTGATACCCACGACCAAGAGTGACTCGAAATGGGTGCTTGATACAATTTCTCACGGCGAAATATACAATACTGAGCCTGTATTCTCATCAGACGAGAAGTATATGCCAATACCTTTTGACATTGATAAGATCCACACTAACCTCATCCACGTTTGTCTAGTCACATTTTCCTGAGCTTAGGAAATGCAATTCAAGTTTTATCTGTCTCAGCACGCCGGCCGATTCGCACTCTCCAGTTAGAAGATAACATCAAAGTGGCTGGAATAAGACCTGCTTCAGATCCTCGATTCTTATACATATCAACCCTTTGTGGTAAGCTCATTCAGTTTGATTGGGAATCGCACCGCCAGGTCGCAAAGTGGACAGGCATTAGTGGGGATCGTTGTCTCGAGATTGTTCGTGTTGATGCACAAGGTGAAGAACGCACAGCGTGTTTCTCATTGAAAAAGTACAATGGACAGTGGGCAATAGCAGTTCATTCACTTTGGATGGCGCAATCTAAGAACCCCACCGAAACAGTTGTTTTAGAAAGCGCACAAGCTATTAAGCAGCTAAAGGTTTTGCAACGTGGGCGCGTCATCGTTACCTATACAAGTCAACATATCATTGTTGGAACCCTAGACCACAAGTCAAAGAAAAACCATACCTTCGACAGCTATACCTGGAAAGAATTTCAGATCCCTACTAAACAGATCACTTGTCTAGATACTAGAGAACATTTAACATCGTCGGGTACTCCTTCAACCATTGACATAGCAATCGGCGAAGCGTCTGGTGCTATTTTAATTTACCAGGACATTCTTGGTAATCTCAACCGCGATGGGTCATCTAGTGACGGTTCCAAAGGAGGCTTACCTCTACTGCAACGCTTACACTGGCATACTGATGCTGTTTCCTCCGTTTGTTGGTCACGAGACGGTATGTTGTTCCATGTCAAACTTACAAAACAAAGCTAAAACTTGAAAAGGTAATTACATTATTTCTGGGGGTAGCGCGCCTGTGGTGGTTTTCTGGCAGCTAGAATCTGGGCGTAAAAATGTTTTACCACACCTCTCGTCATCCATTTGCTCTATCGCCGTTTCTCCGGGCGGAGCGTTCTATGCAATTCAGCTGAATGATAAATCGACGGTCGTTCTATCGGCAACCGAACTGGAGCCGGTGCTCATCGTAAACGGCTTACAGCTACCATCAACAAGGCGCGCAAAAAATATCAAGGGTCAATATTCTCATTCGCGTCCAAGCCTCTTCGTTCCTACTATTCTTCATCCCCATAACCCTGAAAGCTTGTCCGTCGCAGTCCCAGGAGGGGATTCCGATAGTCTTTCCTTTCTTCAGACTCTCGACATTCGAAAAGGGTCTCAAATATCTCGACAGGCTCTCACAAGGACAAATATTACGTCTTGGAATACAGGGCCCGAAGGCTTGCCAATACAGACACCTAGTATAAAATTCATGGCTATGAGTGAAGATGGTCATTGGCTTGTTACCGTTGATCGTTGGAGTCCACCAGAGCGCGACCTCAAGGCGTTTGGACGATCGCTATCTTCGGATAGTCACAGTGAGATCTTTTTGAAGTTTTGGGCATGGAGCAAAACGCAGGAGATATGGGAGTTGGTCACACGCGTCGAATCTCCTCATCTCTTAGCAGGCAACCCCACCGAGATCCTCTGTCTCTCGGCTCGACCTGGAAGGCACGAATTTGTGACATTTGGAGCGGATAAAATTCTAAAAATCTGGCAGCCGACAGCGCGATACAGCAAGGCTTCCAAGCACCAGCCGCGCCGCTCTGGCGCTTTTGAGCAAACATGGAAATGCCAAACATCCGTCGACTTCTCAGGATCCAAGTCTGATAAGGTACTTGAAAACTCAGCAATGGGATTCTCCGACGATGGCTCTGTCCTCGCATTGAGTACGGGAAATGTCATTCAACTCGTCGACACTCATCAGTGGGCTATCTATTGCACCCGCAGTGTCTCCTCCTCTTCTTCTGACTCAGTGACGGCCGTTAAATTCTTGAAGTCGTCATTGGTCATTCAATCAAAAAAGAGTCTTGATATTTGGAATGTCGTCGACAACTGTTTGAAGACGGTTGCTAGCCCACATGCAATATCTAAATCTGCAGACACGTTCAATTCGCTAGCAGTAAACCCCACTACAGAGACCTTCTCTGTGATCTACTCCGGGGCATCTCAGAAATCTACAAAGGCGTCAGACAAATGGTCCGTGTATGGCATTGCAGTCTACAATGCAAGTACTTTGACTATCTTATTCCAAACTGAATTCGAAGAAATGCCTATAAGCTTGCTCTCTGACAAAAACTCCGGTGATTACATTGTCATCGACGCCGCAGCATCCCTAAAGCGAGTCGGTTGTGGCCATCGGGGAGTTCACGCCGTGGAGGTCTCGTCAAAAACACACGAGCACCAGACAGCTGGTCTCAGTGATATATTTGGGCGTATTGGTATGAAGCCGCATCATACTTCTACCCCGACGCCAGTTGTGGATGTCAATTTGAAAGGTATTGAAGGAATATTTAACCAAGCACCATCTTTTGCATTGCCTCCTGCAAGTTCACTTTTCAAGGACGTCATCAAATCTTTAGTGACAACTTCTTGAAAGATTATTGGCGTGGTTGCAGGTACGAAAAATAATTCAATTTAAAAGTTGCGATTGCCACGGTTTTGGGATATATTTTATGGTGGTGATTATTTGTGTATATAAGCATCAATTAGGTGTTCATCTTCACGGGTTGCGGTTAAACAACGGTACTTTCGAATCGCCTTATCGCATGCAATTATATGACGATCAATCAGGTTCAGATAGTTCAATATTCGAGATAAGAATTTCAATATATCCCACTCTTACCTACGTTTCATCCCTAGTCTTGGAAGTCCATTTCGGTTACCTGTTAGCTACATTGTGTTGGGATTAGCACGTTGTAGAAATGAATGCGGCGCAGAGAAGCCGACTTCAACTGCAGCAGTATCCCAAAGGTGTACATGTACGTGTACAGAGTCAGTGCAGAGTAGTGCGACGTGCGTGGCTAGCGGCGCTTAGCAAAGGGGAAGCTATTTTCAGTTCCTACGAAAACCAAGGAAACGACCACATATGAGCAAGTTATCGGCTAAACCAGATTCCTGGAACCATCAAGGGCGAGACGCCCAATGAAGCCGGGGCCGGCGTGTTATGAGGGGAGAACAGCCAGTGTGAGTGGGCGCAGATGCAAGTCCGTCACGCCGCAGGCGCCTAAATGCTCTCCTGGTCCAACTCCGCTAGTTGTTTCTGCCTATGAGATGTTTCGCATCGCTTCAACACTGCATGATAGCTGCAGCACTAGCCCAGCCAGAACCTAGCAGTCAGTCAGTCAATTGCGTCTTGGCTTCCGCACCTGCCTCCTCGCAGCCTGGTCTCAAGTCCTCAATCCCCTCTCTGTCGCTCTTCTCTCTCTTCGCTCGATTGTGATGTGCCACGATCAAGCACCGCCCGTGGTGACCACAGACAGTCTGTTCAGATGAGTCTAAGTATTTTTGCTTAGTGCCCTGACGCTTCCGGATTAATCACAATCGACCCCGTACAGCATGCTTATCTAGAACCGCACGTTCATTTGTATCCAGACGGCTGGATCACTGTCGCGCAACATCACCTACGAAGCGTGTACGGTCTAAGCTGGTGTGGTGGGTCAATCTATCCTATATCTCAACTCATGCGAAACAAATAATTCATATCAAACACAGCTGTCATTGGCATCATGTTAGAGCATCCGCTTGTACCTGTTCCACCGAGTATCTTCGTTTATCCCAAAGTACGCGACAATAGTCCGCCGCAATCGATAGCAGAGTCGTCGCATGAGAATCCACCGTATAGTCTACACCGTGTCATTCCAAAAATACAAGAGATAACTGAACCGATGTCTAGACTTATCATCATGTCAAACAGCCATGCTGCGCCAGCCCCGTCTTCGACAGGAGACCAGACAATATCAACCGATGCGGAGACCTCGTCTGAAAGTCAGGAGTCGAATACATCCGAGATCGACCAATCCGGAGAGCACGTCTCCAATACGGCATTGACTTCCGCTCCAAACTCTAGAAAAAGGCATATATCGAGCATCCTCCAATCGGAACTTAGTGTAAGTAACAATTGTAGAAGCAACCCAAACAAAACGCGCTGATGTATTATGCAGATCCAAACTATTGGTGTCCAGTCTGGTGGTTTCACGGCCCGGTCCGACGAGGATGATGCACCGCAGTCTGTCATCCACGCGCCACCTGGATTCGGCCATTTCGTGGGAGTCGGGAGTCCTCAGTCCAAAAAAAATATAGTCATAGGAGCTAATGTTTGCTCAGAAACCGACGTCTAATCAAGCCCATCACGATAAAGAAGAAAAACGTGACTCTGTTACGATAGATACGAAACCGAGCGAAACACAAGAGCAAGCGCAGAAGCTTGGGAAGGTTAGCACCTATTTTTTATTGCTGGCAAACCTATAGTAACATGTATTAGAAATCATTCAATAGCCCCGTATCACCCCCTCCGTTGACAACAACGATTCCACCAGTGAAAGATTGGTCTGATCGAGCAACCCCCCGTGCACAAACGCGACAAGAAATTGAGGAGTTCGGCCGACGCCCTCATTCCACAAATCTTGAAGGTAATGCGTGCACATATCACATATCTATCAAAGACACGTCAGGATCTAATTTTCTTTAGATATCCCTGAAAGCGCGGATGTCGATTCGATAGCAGGAAGGGACGTTGACAGGCTGGTGGAGAGCGTCACCCCTTTGAAGAATATCCAGGCTCACCGAAACGAAATTGCTGCTCTGTGGACTGCACTCGCCGAGTGTTGGACGCTTTGCAACACCCTGGCGACGCTCAGCCATAATCACCGTGAAAGACTGTTTAACTCGGCGAGCAAAGGTGATATGCAAGAAGTCGCCTGGAAATCATGTTGGAAGTTATGCCAAAGACTATACGAATGCCGCGATGACGACTATGCATCCCAAATAGATCCTACATTGGACCTGTGCCGCGAGTTCTGCCAGGCTTTATTTGAGGTTCGGGCGAGAGATAACGAGGATGCGGACTCTGTATTGCGGGTCAGCTTTGAACTCAATAATCACCTTTATAATTCCAGTGACCGTGAACTGCCCGGAGTGTTCCGTGAACGTACCCTTGATTTCTACATCACATTATGTCATCGTCTCATGAAACAGCGCATGCACCTGGCAGAAGAAACAGATTCGTTGCTTCATGCTTGTTGGTCATTGGCCGAGATGCTTTTCAGCATACGGCAGAGCAAGCGTGAGGGCAAGAAGCCAGACGAGGAGCTCCTAGGGTCTGCTGTGCAAGCCTGCTGGGAACTTTGCGATCTCTTCCGAGAGGGCTGGACGCAGATTAGGCCGGACCGAGGAACACCGCGGCCTAGCCAGACAACTTTTTCTCAAGCTTTTCAGCAAGCCAAGGAGTCTGCTGCTGAAGCAGCTGAAATTTCTCACCACCAACAGACCAACCCAGAAACTCCAACTACAATCTTTGAAGACACAGCAACGATCTCGCCGGACGAAGCACCTATTCCCAATATTCTTGTGCTGGGACATGCACAAGGTCCAGGGAGCCAGACGAAATGGTCGTCCAACTCTTCAACTCTCTCTGGAAGATCCCGCTCATCCGAACAAACATCATCAACAAACACTGTCATTACGCCCGCTGAAGACCCGAACCTTTTGCGCTTGAAGCTGCTCATCACCAAGGCAGCTTTGAATAGTGGCTATCAGAGAGGAGGCTCTCAGAACCTTGCATCATTTGCAAAATCACTTTCATCTGATTCGTTCGGCCCAATGCCATGGCAAACTGCACTACTTGATCAGTACAAGAAACTCGTTATAAGTGACGCCTCGTTCAAGGTAATTGGCATACCTGGCCTTGCAGGCGCAGTCGATGTTGCAAGAGCTGTTCAATCCATGTCTCAGAATGGCCAGTATACCTGGTTACGTGATCTCTATAGGCTTGTCTTCGGGTTTCATCCTGAAGAAGCTGTTAACCGCAGAAACGTGACAATTCAAACGTAAAGTGATTCTCCTAGTTCGGAGTCAATTGTGGCCTTTGTGGCACCTGTGTATATACTACCTACCAGAAAACATTTGATTTGGCCAATTGGCCTTCCCCCTCCAAGCTCCCTCTGATCACCCCCCTCTGATATCGCCCCCGCCCGCGTTTCGAAAAGTGGATACACAACATTCCCTCATCATGTACGATGACCTCGTTGAGAAACTAATTTACGCACCGTCTAACACCATTCTTAGCCTCCCAGCCCTGTAGCCAATCATTCTCCACGTATATTTGCATGACTCGCCCCTCTCTTTTCCTCCTTGGACCTCCATCACCTCCCATGTGTTTCAACCTGAAGGGGGATATATTCCGTGGAACTATCTCAAGAGGACTCCACCTCACCTCTTTGTGTTGACATCTCGTGGCCTATGGGTCTCTGCCACATGGTCTCTTATTAATTATGCAATGTGTGCTGCTCAGTCCGCTCTATGAGGTGGACTGTTGAAGTCGTGTCTGCCCGAAGCTGGCAATTATGAGTGGTTTATAAAAGTGGACACGCGCATGGTTTGCTTTGTGGACTAATAACATTAATATACGAACTGGCATAAAAACGTGGGATCACGAGCAATTAATAATAACGAAGTAATTAATATATGTTACTAAAGCGCCCGCTTCACGCTTTTCGGGTGTATGAGGTCATCGCCTATTGTTCGGCCCGATTCACAATGTAAATACAAAGCCTTAATTACTCCCTCTCCTTCGCTGAAGACCATCGGTATCCCGCTAATTCTTCTCGTTACACCAGTATAGATAGTCTAAATATATGTACATGGGGGCTTCTACCTGATTCACGACAGGATTTGTTGGAACTACGAGTGTTAGGAAGCCGAAGAGTCAATCACTCCTTACATTTCGCCAACAATAAATAATTGCCAACGCCCACGAGTAGTAGTAGCAGCAAGCACTAGTTGGTTGCTAGTGCTCTACTTTTGGTAGGTACTAATATAGTAATTATTTCGGGACGAGATAAGTAATATCAACGTTCATCTCCGAGACCTTGAGATCTACTGTATGACTTTGCATTCAGATCTACTAAATATCTATCACTCAAGGGACCGATCCATCATTATTGTGTGGATACCTCGCAGCATGTTGTGTACTGTGTAATTTACTATGTGAGTGACTATGTAATATGCACTCTTGCTGCGAGACAATGCTTGTGGCAATGATTGCCAGTCGGTATCCAGTTTCCGAAACATTACCCGATCAACCCGAATAATAACCGCATCAATCCCAACGATGTGGGATGCGCAAATAAGCAAGTGCCCATCTCGAGTGGGCCGGTAGATAAACCATGGGATAGGATGGATAGAAGACGCCATGCGCTCCACTTATCATTTCTCCCGACTTCGCCAGGAGAAGAACGGAGACTATGGAGACGATGGAGACGATCAGGCACAGAATACTACGCTACCAGAGCCGCAGCGGCACTGCAGTGCAGTGCCGCGCTTCTCCAAGCCTGAAATGGCCATGCAAAATGATGCTCTTCGTAGCACCTCGAGGATATCATTACATTGACATCCGTTGTCGGGCCGAAGGGAGGCTAGTTATAAATCGGGATTGCGCCGTGTTCTCGTCGGGGTAAGCCTAGCCCGGAGCAGGGGATCAGAATTTTCCCACCCGTCCAGCCAATCGTCTGCGCCGCAGATCGAAGTATATTCTCCACAGGTAGACGAATACGTAAATGGCGCCGGCGCCACGGAGACGATCCCTCCTCGGCGCCCCGCACAAGGCTGGCGACTCTGCGCGGCCATTGGCGTAGGCTGCCCCGTAGGTACGGGCGGACAGCCAATGAACACCCCGGCATCCCCCGACACGGCGTTGGCTGAATGGGAGGCGTCCGGAGAAGAGCCCTGAGCGCGACCCCTTCTCCGCTTACGTAGAGGGCTGCATGCTACCCGCAGTGACCAGCAGCTAGGGCCAGCACCTTCTTACTACGACTGGCATACCGTGAACGACCGCCCGCAAATCAATGCACGCGCCTGCCGCCTCGCCAATCATGAAGTACCCAACTTCTGCTCCACCGCAAAAGCACATGCTTGTCATTCAGGAATGCTCATGTTACATCCTCACTCTCCACTCCAGCCCACTGCACCTCCCCGGCCTCTGTATGGTCGGCAAAGCGATTTTAAAAGACTTTTCCAGTGTTTTTCCCATGTGCCTGTGCCTTACCGGCTCAATGCCAGATTCGGTGGGGAATTCACCCGTCCCCTTCAAACCCCAGCATCCAAGAGACTGCCACAAGCTTATAAAGCGCACGTCTTTCCCCCGCAGTTTCATCCCGGTTTTTCTGTTGTTCTGTCACTTCAAGCAGAAAACTACTGTATCTTACCCTTCCCTTTGCTTTTAGTGTGCTTCTTCGATGCGCACACTATTGCTAGTCCAACGGTGTGACTAAATCCCCCTTCTCCCCGAGGCTGGCTCCTTGGAACCCAACCCATCCCATCCCAAGGCCCGAACAGAGTGATAAGTGCATTTCTTCAACCACCTGAAAATGGCCGTCCCCCAATTTGCCGGCATGTCCGGCAAGAAGCTGTCCTGGTCGATCTCGACCATTGCGACCATGGGCTTTCTACTTTTCGGTTATGACCGTATGTATCTTGATCCTGATGCCGCTCACTCTGGTTGCTAACTGTCCATATCTCAGAGGGTGTCATGAGTGGTATCATCAGTGCCACACCCTTCAATGATGTCTTCACTGCCACCAAGGACAACACTACCATGCAGGGAACTGTTACCGCTATTTATGAAATTGGTATGTTACTTCATGGGATTCATTTCTCGATCTAGTGCTAATCATCTGTCCAGGTTGTCTTTTTGGTGCCATGTTCATTCTCTGGTTTGGTGACTGGCTTGGTCGTCGTAAATCCGTTATGCTGGGTGCTTCCATTATGATTTTGGGTGTTGTTATCCAGGTCACTTCATATCCTGGACACGTTCCCCTTGCCCAGTTCATTGTTGGGCGTGTCGTCACTGGTGTTGGCAACGGTATCAACACCTCTACCATTCCCACTTACCAAGCAGAGTGCTCCCGGACTACCAACCGTGGTCTGTTGATCTGTATCGAAGGTGGTGTCATTGCCTTCGGAACCCTTATCGCCTACTGGATCGATTTCGGTGCTTCATACGGCTCTGATGATCTCTCTTGGCGGTTTCCAATCGCTTTCCAAATCTTCTTCGGTCTGATTATCATCGTCGGCATGATGTTCCTGCCGGAGTCACCTAGATGGCTTTTCGTCAGGGAGAGATATGAAGAAGGTGAAAGCGTTATCGCAGCTCTTCTTGATGACGAGATCAACAGCCATGCTGTTCAGCTGCAAAAGACACTTGTTTTGGACTCAATCCGAGCGTAAGTCATTATAATTTGCATTTTCTTACTCGAATCTAATGGTCGTATAGTTCTGGCCAGTCAGGAAAGTCTACTCCTATGTCTGCTGTCTTCACCGGTGGAAAGACCCAACATTTCCGCCGTATGTTGCTGGGTGCTTCTTCACAGTTCATGCAGCAGATTGGTGGTTGCAATGCTGTCATTTACTACTTCCCTATTCTTTTCGAAACCTCCATCCATGAAGACCACACTATGTCCATGCTTTTGGGTGGAGTGAACATGATTGTTTACTCCATCTTTGCCACTTTCTCATGGTTTTTGATCGAGCGTGTCGGAAGACGCAAGCTCTTCTTGTGGGGAACCGTTGGCCAAGGATTGTCCATGGTGCTTACTTTTGCTTGCTTGATTCCCGGAACCCCGTCTGCTGCAAAGGGTGCTGCTGTCGGTCTGTTCACATACATTGCCAGCTTCGGCGCCACTTGGTTGCCTTTGCCATGGCTCTACCCAGCTGAGATATCTCCTATCAAGACCCGTGCTAAGGCCAACGCTTTGTCAACTTGCACCAATTGGTTGTTCAACTTCCTCATTGTTATGGTTACGCCCATTATGATTTCAGGTATCAGCTGGGGAACTTATCTTTTCTTTGCTGTCGTCAACGCCTGTTTCATACCAGTTATCTACTTTTTCTACCCAGAGACAGCGGGCCGATCTCTCGAGGAAATTGATATCATCTTCGCCAAGGGTTACGCTGAGAATATCAGCTATGTGAAGGCTGCCCAGGACCTTCCCTTCCTTTCTGACGAGGACGTTGAGCGTGTTGCCATCCAGTATGGCTTCGGTCCACCGGACGCTCAGGGCAAATCATCAGGTAGCGAAGACAATGCCGACTTCGAAGCTGATCGACTTGAAGATCACGCCAACAAGGATGCTGAGAAGGGCTCGTGGAGCCAGACAAACTAGAAATTGCGTCAGAACTGTGATGTTCTGCATTATTTCCGTATTATTCATCTGAAAAGAGCGACGTTCGCTCTGGATTTTTGTGGTATATAGAAAGACATCTTACGAATAGATCATATCTACATGTATGAAAGATAGACTACTAAATACAATTCTACAGCAAAGAATGTCTGGGTCTCGATGTATCAGTATTGGAAACATGATAAAGGTTGTAGCAAGATCTAAGGCAAGATATAGACCACTGATGGTATGTTGACGCGAAGCAAAAACTGTGTTATAAATGAATAGGGAGTGAGAAGAGGAAAGAACGGGTATTAGAATCTCGACATAATGGTATTACCCTTTGCCTTTTAACTTCTTGGATCCTGGGTAAGGTTGAATGAAGGATTTTCTATTATGCCTAATATGTAATAGCAGGACTAGGACGAGCCTGCTAGAGCATATCTATACTTTGCCACCCCCCATTTCTAAACATTAAGAAGACAGTCGCTAACCATTGCTAGATAATCATGAAAATAGTTGCACATGGAACATTTAGACAAGAGTTAACATCTCCCTTATTCACAGGGGTGGTTATACTAATTATGTTTCTTGGGGCACACGAACAGATCCGCCTTCTCTCAGAGCACGCTGAAAATGGTTGTCAAGAACGAGGTAGGCTCTCTTCCAGTTCCTTGTCCATCTCTTTTCCCAGATTCCTATGATATTAAAATTCGCCCAAGTCGTTCGTGTGCTAACAACTTTATTGTAGGGAAAGCCAAATGACTTAGTCTCACGAATCCAGAGCACGGATTTCTTCAACCCTATCTGGAGCTAACTAATTTCAATTCTCAAACCCGAACTGTAAGTAATTTTCAAACATATCGCCTTCGGATGCTTCGTTGAGGCGTTTTGCGTCTAGTTGGTAATACTCTGTTTTGCGAGGATAGGAGGAATTTATCTACTACAGCTACATTGGTTGCAGTGTGGAGGTAGTAGAGAGGTATTGCGGTGCTGGCGGTATATATAAAATACATCATGCAATCCACCACTGCACAGCTCAGTATCTAGATGAGCTCCTTTATCAGCTGGCATGAAATGCAATGGAATTTCGACCCCAATATGTGGTATATTTTCTTCCTTAGGCTGATACGATCTGCTGTACAACCAGCTCCATGTTAGGATCTGATATTAACATTATAGTTGTTAAAACTTATTAATTTGGGCAACTACTTTTTCTGGCAATCATTCCTTCTACAGGTTATTACTCACCTGTCTTCAATTCCTACTCTTTCTTCGATCGGTTTAAAGCACGATTTATAGCACACTCAGATCATTGTCGCATATCAAAGTGACAGATCAAGTTACCTGCCTTGATTTAGTATTTTTTGCAAACCATAGCGCGGGATATATGAGTCATGTATTAAGACTACAAACGTTAAGGATCATTGGAATCTTCTGGTTTTCAAGCTGTCAAGTCGAGTTGTTACAATGTAACGTAAGTATATAGAAATCAATAACATCAAACTGATCTCTAATAAACGATACCAGATTTGATCCCCGTACATTGGCTGTATGTGTAAATAGCCACAAGTAGGTACCCATTACCATGCATCTAATTGTTGCTTCTCATGCATTCTATAAATTCTTCCTTTTTCGTATAGCACAGCATGGAGTGACGTACTGCACCGCAAATCCTATATGGCAGAGAGATTAGCAGACATTAACTACTTAGAATAACCATGCATGAAGACAAATAACATACTCCACATCGTAATTTTTACTGATCTCACGACTAAGATAGCATTAAGCCAGATCACACTGCTAGATGGCAATATCTTGCGTAATTCCTAGGCCCTCAAACATAAGAACAGTGCGATCGCTCTTCTGGTCTATCTCAGGCTACTAGGCTTTTGGAAAGAGCGAAAACTCAGAGTTTTCTGTCTGGGTTTTTCGAGTCACAATCTTCAAACTTGAATGTATCATGATTGCTGTATTTCTTTAGACAGTCCACCCCTATTCAGCTATCAGTAAAACGAACCAGTCAAAGTGATTATATACAAACCTTTTGCTCCAAAAAAACATGAATTCCCCTTTCTTTTCTCTCCTATAGAAAAAGCCACTTCAGCGGTCTTTCTAGCAGCATTATTATTGTACGTGTACTTTCCTATACAACCATACTCTTTTATCTTACTAACTGCCGGACAAGAATATACACTAAGATATGGGTCTCTAATATCTTAGTCATATTAATTGCTAGTTCCTCAATGGCCAAAAGTTGAAGGACAACTTGAGTCGCAGTCACAACAGCCAAAAAGATAATGACAGTCAATAGAAGTCTCATATTAATGCAGTATATCAAAGCATATCAGGCCAAGCAAAGGGTAGAACAATTTATACTACAAGAATCGGACAGAGAGCAACCAAGACTAATGAAGAAGGGTTCAGATGGCTGGCTGGGCTGTACATATGAGATATGGAAAATTAGATCTGCAAGCCCAAGTTCACAGGGAGCTTGTCACCGGGTCGCTTTATTCTAAATCCATACTGTTCTCGTTACTGAGCAGACCTGAAAGTGGCTGGCTGGAGAATCAGTACATGGCTAATGAGTACATTTTAATTGTTAATATCCACGAGAAGGCGCCAGCTCTAAAATATCTCCGAGCAGAACACCTCTCGTCCAAGGAGAAAAATGACAAGGGGATGAAAATCATAAAGGAACTCAAGATACCGTCTGGTGTGGAGAGAACCCCTTGTAGCAGTAAAGACTACTTCTTCCACATTATCGACGGCGTATACTAATTTTGCATTAAAATTTTGCATTAACAGCATTCAAAGTGAAAGAACTATGAGTGTCGCCGCACCTACCCAAAAAGCGACTGGAGGAAGCGCAAAAACAAGCAATAAAACATCAAGTGTGTGTCCATTCATTTCAAAATATACTGTCACTGTACTGATATGCCAGGTCTCCTTCCACATCCCAATATTTCAAGTTAATGACGCCTCGTATATTAGTGTTGTAGAGACCCAAAATAAACTACAATAATACTAACTAAAAGCTCATTCTTTAATACATCAGTTAAAACCTCTATATAGGTATAATATTAATTTAATTAAATATACCCTATACTCACAGCAATTACTAGAAGCAATAGATTCTAAGATATTTCAGAGATCACCAAGGACAGATTCTCCAAGAGTCATAATGAAAGAGAAATCACAACAAATGCTAAGAAAACCCACAACCTTCATATTTCGTATATAGATGGGTCGTTTCTACAGTTAAATCAATCTACTAAACTTATCTCAGCCCCCTCAAATAACTGTCTTATTGGACGCAAATTCTCTTAAACTTACATCTAAAATCCCCCAAAAAACCATCGCTAAGATTAAAGGTAAGAAGTCCCTTAAAGACTTTAATAAAAAAACATGGTCTCTCTATGCGTCTGCCTTCCTATTAACAGACATTTACTGGTTGACATTCTACCCAGCAATATCTTCTTATACAAAATTATATTTAGTAGCAAACTCACATCTATATCTTATCTTAAATCTAAAACTAAAAAAAGTCAAGAGGAGTATAAAAACTTGCTCAAAATTGCCATAGATGCGTCTTTCTTAGAAACCTATAGATCTGTCTTTACTAAAGGGAATGGTTCCAATTGAGATAATAATAATAACAAAACTAATAAACAAGATTTTTCTAGCAACTTAAGCTGGGAAGCAAGAGGTGGAAACTCCACATTGTGTAACAAGTGAGTACGGCTTATCTAGCCTTAGAGGAAAAAAACCAATAACCATTTCTGAAGCCCAACCCCAAGTGGCGCGGCACCATAGGAAATTTTGACAACTGGCACTTTGCTGAAGTGAGCCTCTTCCTTGAGCTTCTCTGTCTGACTTTCTAATCTTCTTATGCCTTAAGCTCAACAAGCCACCACTACTCGCCAAGCTTATCAGCATTTTGAAAATTTTCGAAGTCATTAAAAAACAGTTTGAGATTGCTGCTAGGTTTAAGCCCCTCAAGATCAAATCAACATATATACACCAAAGCTATGTTAATTAAGACAACTACAAAAAAGGCTCTTATACCTTCAAAGGCCTCGAACCTATTGGGTATAATCACTCCTCACTCTCCTGTTCTCTTTCACTTGTTTCATCGGTCAATATACTAACTACGGATTTTAAAGAAAGGTAATAGAATACTCACCGTGATTCATCTAATCTAGTCTCTGTCGTTCGATACTTCTACGAAGAATCTCTTGAAACAAATCTTCTTTGGGGGATTTATGATTGGCGATAGTGATAATGGTCAGGTCAATCTGGACATTGCCGCGCCGGGCTGGACATTAAGAAGGCTGTGAGATGAGTATTATAGTTCATGTATTATGCCATGACATGGGCATAACAAGAGGGACAAATATAATCATCTTTATGGAGTCAAAAGCTATCTTATCAATAAGATAATGCCGAAGTATACAAACTATAGAAGCTATAGCTGAGATTATAAAAGCCTATGGTTTTAGCTTTCTTTACTCTATCATTAATTCTGAAAAGTTGTGATTTAGCTTCAAATCTGCTTCTAATAAGGCATCAAGAACTAGCCCACTTAAGGCAAGTGATATTATCAAAATACAGATCTGTAACAAGGGTTATTCAGCAACTAAGTCGCCAACAGAATGGTTGATAATGTTACGGTTTGGCAGGACGATTCTGGCAAGAGATATATTTCTGCAAAAGGGCGGATGCCTGCTGGCTCCCCCTGACAGCGTACCAGGCATTTGGGAGAGTCGGCAAGCATTCATCTGGGCGCCATGGCAGGCACTCTTAAGAGTAATTATTGAGGAAGATTGATAGAAAGCAATTGAAGTATATAATATCATTCAATACATATAAGACTCCCTTTTATTAATCTACTCATATAGCAGCGGTTATAAGGGTTAAATTAGATTAATAATAATATATTTTCAGATTAAGAAGCAATATTTAGTATATCTTAGTATTAAAGATACTTTAACTATATATAC